AAATCTTTCTTTATATTAGTAATATATATAGTACTAGTAACTATACTACTTTAAGCTATAGGCTATTATCTTTAATTAAGCTTATATATACTAGTAGTAATCCGTATAATTTTGTTACTAAATAGTAAGCTACTTTAGACCTTACGAATTTAGCTATTCTAAATACCCTATTACTACCTAAATAGGCTCTAGCTTATTTTAAGCTTATAATTAATAGCTACTAAAGCATAAAAGGTTTCTTAAATATATATAAACCTCTAACTAATCCGGATAGTATACTTAACTATATTTTTAGTAAATTTATTAAATATAAGTCGAATAAAAAGTCTATAAATATAGTAATTATAGCTATTTCTATCTTAAAAGATACGAAATCTATATAAAATAACGATCGAGGTAGAGATAGAGGTAGAGGCCGAGGAAATAGAGGCTACGGTAGAGGCTCCGGATAAGATCGTAGCTAAAGTTAAAATAACTAGGATAATAATAATTAGCTATTATATTATTATATCTACTATAAGCGTTTAATAGCTTATACTAGTAAGTAGTACTTCTTTAACCCTAAATCTAAGGGTATCTCTTAAGGCGAAGTTAATATAGCTATAGCTAGTACTTCTGATTTAAAAAAGGACTTAAATTCGAAGGAGAAATCCGAAAATAAGATTTTAATAAGCTTCGCCGAAATAAGCTTATTAGCTATTAATATTATAGCTATATTAATAGATAACGACGAATAGTATACTTAGATAGTAGACTCTAGCGTATTAGCGTATATAATATCTTATTATATAAATTTTATTAATTTCACGCTACTTATTACCGATATAAAGCTTCTAAATAGTTATTAAGTATAGACTAAAGGATATAGTAATATTATCCTAAACTTTTTAAATAGAAATAATATTTCTAAGCTTAAGCTACTTAGAGTCTAGTATATTCCTTTTTTTAATATAAATCTTATTTCCTCGTAGTAACTTACGAAGGATTCTAGTATTAAGACTCGATTTAATAAGATATATAGCTCCCTATATAGGAGGGAAGAGCTTATTATTATAGTAAAGTAGGAGAACAGTTAATATTAGGTTTATACCTATAATAGTAATAGCCTTATTAATATACTTAGAGCTCTATCTATTTAACTATCCTATATATTTAGTAATAGCTATATACCCGCCGTATATTTAGCTATAGCTTCTTAAATCGGTAAGATTTAACCTATTTTAATAGATCTAGCTTATCGTAGAGCCTATTACGTAGGCGAGTAGAAGATAAAGCGTATACCTAAATATACTAAAGGAATTAATATTAAAAAGGGATCTAGTATTAAGTACCCTTATCCTTCTTATATTCTTAGTAAAGGCTATACCTTATCCTTTAGATAAAGTAAGTATATTAAGACTATACTAGCGTAGAAGCTTTATATTAATATTTAGGATCCTATCTCTATTATAGATATTAGAGGTAATTATTATTTTATAATAGTTACCGATAATACTACTCGCTTCTGTTAGGTCTTCCTATTAAAGACGAAGAGCGAAATTACTAATAAAATTTATATATTAGTAACCTATTTTTTAATATAATTTAACTATAAAGTTAAGGTAATTTTAGGCGATAATATATAAGAATATATTAAAATCGCTACTTTTTACGAAGAAAACGGTATTATTTAGGATCCTATTCCCTCCGATATATCTTAGTTTAATAATATTACGGAGATTAGGAATTATTAGCTTATTAAGCCGCTAATTACTATATTAGCTAAAAATTAGCTTCCTAAATATCTATAGGGCGAGCTACTTTTAGGTATTAATTATATAATAAACTATCTCTAGTAGTCTACTATTAATATAACTCTATATAAAGCTTTCTATAGTAAAAAGCTAGATATTTTAAATCTACGCGTACTTAGCTACTAAGCTTAGTATCTAATTCTAAAGGAATATAGGGTAGATAAGCTTTCTCTATATATAGCCGAAGTAAGGCTAGTAGGCTATAGTACTAATAGATATTAACTCTATAATATTTATTTAAAGAAGATCGTAGTCTCTCGTAATATAGTCTTTAATAAGAATATAATAAAGAATCTACCTAAGCCTATATACGATCTCGATATAGAGCTAAAGTTAGTTCCTACGTAATCTACGGCTAATTAACGCCGTTATATACTATTAGATTTCCTACCGGCTAATAGCGATTAACTAATTTAGCTAGATTTAGCTAATAGCCCTAATAAGCTAGTATAGCTAGTAACTCTATCTCCTTATATTCTAATAGGAGATCTACTATTATCTAAGCGATCTAATATACTACTTTCTTTATTTAAACGCGAAGTCTAACTTAAAAAGCTTCGTAAATAGATTAAGCGGAGATTCGCCTATAAATAGAATAAATATATCGACGATAGCCCTTAAACTATAGAGGATAGTTCCGAAACTATCGAGAGTAGTCCTAGAAATATCGACGATAATCTTTAAGCTATAGAGGGTAGTTCTGAAACTATTAAGGCTAATCCTAAAACTATCGAGAGTAGTTCTTAAACTATATCTAAGATAGGTCTTTAGTATTCCTTATAAGTCTATAAGAAGACTTAAGTAGCTATAGAGTTAGAGGAATATTTATATTCTCTTAAGCTTTTAAATATAGCTCTAGCTAATTATATTAAATACGCTACTTTTTTAATTCGTAGTATAACTATAGACTTATAACTACTTCTAAAGCTTTTATATTAAGCTTTAGCTTAGTTAACGCTATATAAACTAGATAGCTAGTAGGATATAATATAAAATTATAGTAAGAATAAATAGACTAAATAGATTAAAGCTATAGATAAGGAAATATAGAAGTAGCTAATAAACGGTACTTAGTGCGTATATAATCTTCCTACTAAGGATACTAAAAAGACGCTTCTTCTGCTTCGATAGATCTTTTATATTAAGGATAATAGGACCTATAAAGCGTATCTTATTATAAAAGGGTTTAAGTAACGCGAAGGAATTAATTATCTTAATATTTATATAAGTATAGCTAAAGCTTTAAGCTTTAAAATATTCTGCGTAATCGCTACGTATTTCGGCTAGTAGATATATTATATTAACTTCGTTATAGCGTTTCTTAATATAGAGCTTCTTAAAGAAATCTATATTTAACTTTCTAATAGTTTTAAAGAGCCTAGAAAATATAGCCTTCTTTTAAAGACTTTATATAGTCTAAAACAGAGTCCTCGCGAATAGTATAATACTATCTATAGGGCTCTAATAGTAATTAGATTTATTCGCTTATAAGTAGACTATTTAGTATTTATATATATTAAACATAAGCTCTATCTTCTTATATATATTAATAATATACTAATTATCACGTCTTTAGATATATCTCTTATATAGCTTAAGGACTATATTCGAAAATCCTTCGATATTACTAATAATAGTACTACTACGTAATTCCTTATAATTAATATCGTTTATATAGATAGTAAGATAAAGCTCTCTTAGCTCGCCTATATTCGAAAGGTCCTCGCGAAATTTAACCTATAAGATATATATATAGTCCCTACGCTATTTTATAATAAGGAGATCCTATAACCGCGTAAGGATACTACGACTCCGGCGGAAGTTAAAGCTTACCGTAAGATAGTAGGCTTACTTATTTAGCTAATAGTTAATACGTAACTAGATATTATATTCGTAGTTATAAAGCTTATAAGATATATATATAACCCCTCCGCGAAGTATATAACTATATTAAAGTATATCTTTCGATATCTTAAGGGTTCTGAAATACTTACTATTACGTATTCTTACTTACTAGACTTCCTCTTTAGATTCGTTAATATAGATTAGACCGGTAAATATACGGATAGTAGTATATTAACCTCCGGCTTCCCTTTTTAAGCTTACGAATAGTATAATTACTTAGGCTTATAAAAAGTAAATATATATTACTCTTTCCTCTACAGAAAGTAAGTATATAGCTATATCTTTAGCTATCTAAGAGGTATTATAGCTATAGCTTTTCCTTAAGGAACTTAATATAGAGTTCCTTTTATAACTTCCTACTATAATCTACGAGGATAACTAAGGCGCTATTTACCTTACTAAAAGCTATGATTTATACTAACGAACGAAGTATATTAACGTTAAATACTATTATATTAGAGACTAAGTCTCTAGGGGGGTATATAAATTCGTTAAAATCTCTACTATAGAGTAGACCGTAGATAGCTTTACTAAGCCGCTATAGCGAGTCTAATTCGAGAGGTTTCTATACCTTTTAGATATAAAAAAGCTCTGATTTAACGGCTATTTAACGGTTTTTTAATAGCCTTTATAGCGAGCTTAATTCTAAGGGTTTAAATACCTTTTTGAGCTCAAAAAGCTACATTAAGGCGTTATTAACATATTTATATAATCACTTTTTATGTTTTTCGTGTTTTGAGTGAGATTGGTGGATCGAGGTCTAGGGGGGTGTTGAGATAGCTTGGTGGTTTAGCGCGTCTCACCAGCGTGGTGCGCGCCCACGCACACCACCTTCGTAGCTTAGATAGGCACCTCTCACCAGATGCAATCTCACCATTCCTTTCTCCCCTCTTTTGGGTCTGCTACGTTCTCCCAGTAGCCTCCAATACGAGTTCCCCCCACTTTGTGAGACGACTTCCAGATGTTGGGTTCCCCCGTCACGTAGTGATTCTGTCACGCACGATCTGATCTAGTCATGTGCCATTTGGCACACTGAATCATGTCACCCAAGTCTGGTTACTTGCCGAGGTAGGTAGATCTACCTTAGGTACGAGGTGCGAGGTCCACGGTTGTGCTACTACCTGTAGATTAGTATTCACTACTCACTATTCTATCCTTGAGGTGTGCTTCATTGATTATTGCATATGTCCAGTACTGTGTTCGGATGATAAATCACGCTGGGATACCGATACAGACACCCTTTTTGATCTTCATCGAGCCCACAGCTATACCATTTCTTCTATGATGATACTCTCCAATTCTTCACGCACCCTCAGCCAGCTTCTCCAGTGCCGGCCCATCGACCATCATTTTCAACCACTCGTCCATCGGCTTAGCCCCAACCTGCTTGTAGAATTCAATGCTCGGCGTATTCCACGTCAAGACGCTCCACTCCAACCGACGGCCATTGATCTCGAGGACCTGCTTGGCCAAGAATCGGAGCAGCTTGAGACCATAGCCGCTGCCGCGCGCCGCAGGCTGGACGTAGAGATCTTCCAGGTAGATACCCGGTGCGGAGCGCCAGGTGGAATAGTTGTAGAAGTAGAGGGCCATGCCGACGGGGACGGGGGAGGGGTTCTCGGTGGAGGGTGGGGGAATCACGAGCGCCGTGTAGACGGAGCCGCGCTTGGGCGGGTCATTGGGGAAGGAGAGGGTGGCGAGGAGGGATGCTTCGGTGGCCTCGACTTCGTGGAGGGCTTTTTCATAGTCGGCGAGTTCGCGGATGAATTGGAGGATGTACGGGACGTCTGTTAGGGGAGGAAGGGTCAATTGGAAGTCGGGCGGTCATCTATTATTGTACAGGGATTGGCCAACTTCAAGGAAAGGAATCCAAGAGGAAGAATCCAATGCGTTCGATAGACCATTCGCGTAGTAAAACATACCCTCGGGCGTCGCCAGACGAATAGTGGGTTGACTGGTGGCCATTATTGCAGATAGACGAACAGAACTGCTGTACAACGAAGTGGAAAGCCTGGGAAAGATTGTCTTGGAGGGTGTTGGAGAAATTTGGGGTATCAGCACGAACGGGACCGGGCTCCAGTTGCGGCTTATATACTTCCCCGCCGAGGCCGAGTATTCTCACGACTCGGCTGCCCCCGAGACGACATCCTCGACGCCGAGAGCAGAGACCCACTCGGGGACTCACGGCATTCTATCTCCGTAAGTAGGGCGTAGGGTGTCGGACATGCCCACCTTCGACAGTTTCTCTTCTATACATAGTGTGCTAGCTGACCTGGGGCAGTTGTGCTCCACCCGCGTGAGACCTTACAAATTGCCGACAAGCATGAGAATGACCCCACGCAGACAGAAGATGATAGAATGTGAAGGATATGACATGGATTGTGTATGAAGTAGTGGCTAAGATACAAGCAATTCAGGATTTCCATCTCCGGTAATCAGACATCTAGTGAGCTCACAAAGAGAAAGCATGAACATCAACGGTATGGTCGAATTCGCGATTAGCGGGACATGATGGCTGACATCCATTTTTGTTCATCGGTTCTGGACACAATCGCATTAATCTCTGAGGGTCGTAATCTTCCGCGCGAGGAGCTGTGCTTACCGGTCAAAATGCAGCAGCATCCCCAGAACAGGAATGAGCTGCTTCTGGTAGTTCTTGTCCTTTTGCTCCATGAACTGCAAAAGAACATTCTTCAAGTACATATAGTCAATGGAGCCAGCCCCAACCCCAGGACCAGCACTGGACGGAGTCTCGCTTCTCCGGCTCGAGGCACTGCGGTCTGGTGCTGGAGGGGGAGAGAACGCCGCTGGGCCGGCGAGAATTGGAATCGATGGATGAGCGAGACGATTGCCGACCCGACTCCATGCCACGCAGGCGAATGTCTTCGCCCAGGGTCTTGTGCGATCGACGCAATTTCTCCAGGCGATTGCTTGTCTCTTCTACAGAGCGACGAAGCTCGATCTTTTCCTTCTCCAGATCGCGCACTTGCCTTTCGCTCTCGTCAAGCTGTTCACGAAGAGAGGCCATCGCTTGACGCACCTCCTCAAGCTCCTGAGTGGATCGCTCCGACTGAGATTCAAGCTCATCCCGTCGGCGGCGCCAGTCCTTCTGGGACTGCTCAAGATTTTCTCGATCTTCTTCGGCCGTCCGCAATGCGCGTTCGGCTTCACGGACCTTGGCCTTCAAATCTTCCATCTCGCGAGCACGGCGGCGAGCCTGGGTACTGGCTTCATCTTCGGCACGATCGCGTTCCTCAATAGCGGCCTCCATGCGTTCCTTAAAATCACGAACCTTCGCTTCAGATCGAGTCTCAATATCATTGATCAATCGGCGCATGGTCTCACCCTCCCGGGTCCGCTCGTTGAGGAGGCGGTGGGCGTCCGCAAGTTCTTCCTCCAAGCTTTCGCATCGTTCTTTGACTTCCTTCATCTGCGTGGCCACTTCGGTGGTTTGATCGCGCATGCTACCTATGAGACTCTGCGCACTTGCATGCTGAGCAGTCTTGAGTTGAATCTCTTCTTTGAGTCCTCCGACTTCTTTAGTCAACCGCGAGATTTGCTCTTCCATCTCGCGAACCTTCACTCGTGTACTCTTCAAGCCTTCCTGTGCCTTACTAAGTTCACCGAGAGCATTCTCTCGCGAGGTAATGGCCTCTTGCTTCCGCGCTTCAAATGACCGTAAATCAGACTGAGCGACTGTCAGCGCCTCCTCGGCCTTCAGACGGCTGTCAGTCTCTTGCCGAATCTTCTTATTAAGAGTGCCGACTTCGGAGTCTCGCTCAGACACCGTCGTCTTGATGACCTTGAGCTCGGCCCGCAGTTCGTCGCAACTGGCCTCGAGATTTCTCAACTCGCCATTCTTGCTGGCGAGAATATCTTTCATGTTCTTGAGCTCAGATGATTCCGCTCGCAAGCTGCGCAGCTCGGGTTGAACCTTCTCCAATTTCTCACGCAGATCAGTAAGGTCCTTGAATCGCGTCGCAGCCAGTTGCTGGGCTGCCGAGAGGTCAGTTTCCAGCGAAGCTGAACGGGTTCTCAGGCGTTCAAATTCCCCTTTGAGGTCATCATGCAACTTCTGCGAATCGGCAGAATTCGAAGCGTTACTGGTCCGAACCTCTGCTAACTCCTTTTCGAGCTTTGTAATTGTTTCTTGCAGTGCAGATTTCTCTGTTGTGAGCTCCTTAATCTTGTCCTTAGACTCGACATGCTCTTGCCCGACATTGATAAGATCATCTCGGAGCGACTCAATCTCCTCTTTGAGATCCTCCTCACCCTTCAATTTGACACTCAAGCGATCGATCGCACTTTCTTTCTCGGATAGCTGCTGAGTGAGGGTCTCGATTTGTTTCGTCAGCTCATCAACCACCCCAGGGTCAGCCGCTGGAGTTGCCACTTCGACTACGGATGCCTCTTTTGTCTTGGGCTCCTCCTCGGCGGCCTTACCGCCCTTCTTCTTCTTCTTGTTCTTCTTCTTGCCGCCGGCACCCGAGCCTCCTACAACAGGAGCTGCAGCTTCCATTTCGACGGTTGCAGGGGTAGAGGTGGGGTTTAGAGGATTTTGGGGTGGAGCAAGGCTGTTACGAATTTCTTCGAAGCTGGCCTCCTTGCCAGCCACGACGTTGCTTTTCGCTTGCTCCCAGGCAGGGATACCTTTCAGACCACCATCCACAAAATCGACGACCTGTTGAAGCTTGGAAGAATCTTCGGTCTTTTGGTCTATCTCCTTCTTCAAGGCCAATACTTGCGATTCGGCTTCCTTGAGCTGTGATTTGAAGGTGTCAACGAGGCTCTGCACCACATCGAGTCTCTTGTCAGTGGCATCCTTAGCTTTCTTAGCCTCTTCCAATTGGGCCAGAAGGGTTGGGTCAAGCTCCGGCTTCTCGGCCTCGAGAGCTTCGGTCTGCAGTCGTTCAATTACCTCGGTCTTTCCCTGCAAGTCGGTCCTCAATTGATCAACCTCTTTTGTAGCCTCCTGCAGGGACGACTCGGTATCAGCGAGCTTGGCCTTGAGCTCGCCGACCTCCTTCTCTTTGGCGGATTTCAACGAATCAATTTCTGCGTCTAGCTTGTCTTTGCCTTCGCGCAATTCGACAAGCTCCCGCGTTGAAGTCTCCAAGCTCTGAACCATTCCTTCGGTAGACTCTCGCGCAACGAAGAGGTCTTTTTTGAGCTTATCCACTTCAGTCTTCAGGGTGTCAACCTCTTCTTGCTTCTCCTTCAATTCTCCTTCCAGTCGAGGGACTTCATTATCGAAAGAGAAGAATTCTTCGTTCGCCTCCCCCTCCTTGTTCGCGGCCTTCTGATCGGTTTCCTGGCTTGAGGTTTCTTTTTGGCTCTTCAGCCCAGTCAACTCATCGTGGGCTGCTTTTGTTTCCTTTTGAGCTTCCTCCAACTTGTTCTTATAGTCGTCGCGGTCGGTCGTCACTCGCTTAAGTTCATCAATGACCATGTCGCTTTTCAGAGACATTTGATTGAGGTACTCAGTGAGGGCTTTGGGCTCGGCGATAGAGGTCAACGGGGTATTCTCTCGTAGTGCAGCCTCGAACGGCTCGATGGAAAGGACTCGTGCGTGTGCAGAGCGATAAGCCTTGAGTAGCTCTATGTTATAATACGGTCAGCCTTGAAAATTTTTCGATGTCATGAAGAGGCATTGCCTGAGGTGGTATGTACCATTGTATCGACCCTCGAGCTTGTCTAATCTGCGAAGCTTCGCCTTGACCTCCACAGGAAGCTCAAGTTTGTCTTGAGCAGACGGAGTCTTCTCTCCCGCGGGTGCCAGATCTTTGCCAGAGCTCTCAGCAACAAGCAGCTTTGCTTTGCCCTTCTCTGCATCATCCTCACCGGGTTCTGTCTCTGTCGGCTTCGTAGCTTCTTCCGAGGGATCTTCGGGCGTCTCTAACCGAGGTGTCGCTGCGCGGCTTGAATCCTCATCTTCCCCGATCGCAAACTCTCCCTCAAATTCCTGGGGATCTGGCCCCCGGACAGGGGTTGCTGTGTTGCGGCGGGGTCGGGAAGGTCGACCCGGGGACGAATTGTTATTGAGAGGACGGCGAGTGGAACCAGAGCGCGAGAGGTTGTCCTGCGCTGTCTTTTGACGCGCCTGTTCCTCTGCGATTCGAGAGTCGATGGCGTCGCGGAGGCGCTGTCAAGGGAGCCGAGGTTAGTTAGGATCTCGCAAAGCTGGCGCAACGCAACGGTACAGACGACTGCCGTTGTGGACGAAGAGCTGGCTGGCGTGTTGAGCTGGGGAGGTACCTGAAACATCACCGCGGCAGGTCTTTCGACGACCGATACCACCAAATTGTAGCAAGCAAGTACAAAGAGCGCGACGTAGATACTTGAGAACAGGAGGTGGGAGGAGAGCGGAGACAACAGCATGGAGTGTCTCACGGCGGCAGGTACTCCCGCTCAGCTCGGAGATGTTGAGAGCCGACTGGGCCAGATCTCAGCTCACCATGTGGATGTGACTGCCAAGACTGGGCACAAGGTATGGCCCACATCAACCGAGATGTCCATTGTCCAATATGTATCCATCGCCTCAAATTCTCTTCATAGGAGTCAGTGCCCAGCTCCCATGTTGAGGGTCTCTTTGTCGTTTCAATTTGAGGTGAGCTATCGCTCGCACTTGCAATTGAGACCACTGAAACTCGTCTCGTGTGTCCACACACACTTCAAGATTATCCTAAATGGGATGCTGGGGCTGAACGTACACACTCTGTCCGTGGTCATGTACTGTTCACCTCTCTGACCGATTCGACGAATTCAATTTCAAAATGCGGATTCCTCCCTTTTTCTTGACCACGATTCTCTGGACACGGGAACCGCGTGGCTCAAGGGCATCAGTCCGCGCTCGCGTAGCTAAAAGACAAATGTGGAAATCCTCTTTGGTCAAACACCTCCATCTTCGTATACAGAATGGGGACTTTTTACGACTACAAACAACTACCTAGATAGACATGCTTTTCCAAGGTACTCATCCTGGCCCAGCGTGCCACGATAGCTACTTTCGAAGTACGTAGCGCATATAAGTCTTCTCGGTCCCAACATCCCGGCACCAACGATATTGGGCCCATCTCGACATCAGCAGCAGCTCGTTGAGGGCATCCGGACGTTTGGGATCTCGATTTTTGACAATGCACCGACAATGGTCCATTAGCGACCTGTCAATGCTGCCCCGACTGGATTGCGATGGTTCTTTAACCTCAAGAATTTGCAGATTGTGGTACGGTGGTAGAGGTACTGGGGAAATACAACCCTGCTCCCAGTCGATGATGCAATGAATAGAGCACCTAATGTAGATATATGGATTGATAGATATACCTAATACTGTGCTGTACATCAAGATAATGAATCATGTCTGGTTGGGGTTGATCGAGTTGTCAAACGTCACATCTTCGAATGTCTGTCAAAGGGAAGTCGATGATGGCACCGTATTTGGCATTTACAAGCCACGCGGACGTCTTTGCGATAAGATCGAAACAGTCAAGCGAGAGAAGGCACTCATGGAAGTTAATGATGGATAAAGGCTTGGAAAGTCTCACAAAGGGTCTCATGACGGGACGAGGTACGCGGCCGCGCATGCCTGTGGTACTAACGATACCTGTCAGTCTAGGTAGTTTGTGCATTTTCCACAACTCGAAGCGCGAATCCCTACCCCTGACTTGTTTGGAGGGATCTATCAAGTGAGGTCTTATACCTGTATTGATCAAGCATCGACCTGACTTGGTGGTCTTCCAGTGACAGGAGTACTCACAGGCAGAAGCTCAGGGATAATCTCTTTGTCCTCGTCCAATCGACCCAAGGTCAGTCACCAGACTTGGCCTGTTTGAGGCCTCCAAATCCGTCTGACACTAACCGTGCGGCTTTCTCTGATGTTACAGAACGCCGGCAGGGCAGGAGAGGTGTGGCAGGACACTGAAGCATGTGGATTAATACGTTCACGAGTATAATTCTCGCGCAAACGGGCATTACTCAATTGGGTACTCATTTCAGGTATCATTTGATAAAGGTATGTTGTCTCATCAACTGGAAGAGTTCTTCCAATCGAGGGCTTTTAGGGCTTTTAGGAACCTTACTGCATTCCATGGATATGACTCAGGTCAAGTGTTTGAGGGGGCGGCGTCAGGAACCCGAGTGGAATATTCTATGAAACGTCAATCTCACTTTAATACTTTCAACTGAAGCCTTCAGGTAAAGACCGCTTTTATCGCGTGAAGTATGGATGGATACCTTCGAAGATAGAATTCAATGTTCCCATCCGGGTACATATGCGAAGGAGCAGCTTCTATTGGTTCGTAGGTCTCAGGGTATTGCATCAAACTATATGCGCATGCAATATGAGTAAGATACAACCAATCGATTACACAAGTGCACAATTGCATGTTATTAGTAGCGGGTGGGACACTTGTCGGAGATCATCCCGTTGCAGATGCACTGAGAGGGTGGATCCTCCCTGACCCTGTTGATGGAGGTCGTCGACGGCAAGAAGTCCCAAGTCAATGAGATCTGCAAGTCTCGGGAAAGCCTCGTGACAATCGAACCACATAAGTACATAATGATATATGTAGTGGGAGTACTACTACTACAGTAGTGGGTGGCTCATCTCGTCTTAAGCTCATGCTACTGACATGGCAAGTCTGCCGATCTCTCATCTCTCGAGTGGAAAAGCAAAATCCTCGTGATCTACCACGCTACAGAGTGGCCCGAATGCCAAGACCGCTGCCAAACCATGAAACCGCACAGCTGGCCCGTGATCTGGAAACCGAACCACCGCCTGGACCTCGGCCACATGCCATCATCCGGTTTTCCTAATGCTCACTCGAAAAAGCTCCGTCCTCTTCCCCCTACCTCTGTCCAACTTGTCCAGTGTTGTCCTCGACAGTCACACGTCTTCCGCTCTCGCCACTTTGAACTGTTTCCTCTCTGGCCTTCCCCCCCCCTTTCCTCCATTGACTACGGCGCGGGGACTGGCACGTTCTTCGCTCGACCCTGATCTGGCGTCCGCTCGGTGGGCTGCGTGCTGCCCCGGTTTAAAGTTAGGACTGACGTCGGCCATGTGCAAACAAAAAGTAGGAAGCGGAGCCTGGGTCCCAGCTTAACCACATTGAGCGTATCCAACGGCCCTCTTCCCAGCGCCAATTTGCAGCCCCAAACCCATGGCCCTGCACGGCCTAGCCCCGTTCTGCAGCCGGTCCCTGGCCCTCGCGTTAATACCGGCCGCGGCTGCAGCTGCCTCAATGGACTCAAGCCATTCCGCTGCTTTTGTTGCCCTCGCTCCTTCGGATTCCAACGTTTCCTCTACTTTGTTCAGTCCTCCCCTCGCGGCTGCTGCATCGGTCACGGTCACGGCCACGGTCACGCCCACGCCCACCACCGTTACTTCTGCTCTGAGTACCGCCCTATCCGCTGTGGTGTCCACCCATCCCCCCCCCGTTCATCCCCCCTCTACCCTCAACAATGGCGGGGTGGATCACTTGGTTGTTCAACTTCATCTTCCAGGTGATTCCACGCGGTTTATACTGGCTGATCACCTTTACCACCATTGTATTGCCCACATGGCTCTTCACGCTCTTCTCCATGAGCTTGACCTTCACCATGAATTTCACTACCCTGTAAGTTGATCCGGACTGACCGACAGCACTGATGCGCGTGTTGCTACAATTCATGACAAAGCTAATGCCCTGTTCCACAAACCAGCATGTTGATCCTTCTCGCGCTGGTGTCGACGGTGAGCTGGTTCATTCGATACCGGTTTCTGAATATGTACAGCCGTCTTCCCCCGGAGCCCCCACGGAAGGAAGCGCAGATCGACCTTTTCCCAGATGTGCAAGAAGGGGACTCTAAGCCCGGTCTCGCCAACTATCTTGACGAATTCCTGAGTGCAATCAAAGTCTTCGGATACCTCGAGCGCCCGGTCTTCCACGAATTGACGCGGACAATGCAGACCCGCAAGTTGATCGCCGGGGAGACGTTGATGCTGGAAGAGGAGAAAGGATTCTGCTTGGTGGTCGACGGCTTGGTGCAGATCTTTGTCAAATCCACGCGTCAGAGCCAGAACAAAATGGGGGTATCTGAGGAGAGCCTGCAGCTGGATGAGGATGTGTTATCGGAAGAGGAGGATGACCATCTTCACGGCCGGCAGGGGTACCAGCTGCTGACCGAGGTGAAGAATGGCGCGGCAATGTCATCGTTGTTCTCAATCCTATCTCTGTTCACCGAAGACATCCAATTACATGACTCGCGAACTTCCACGTCGAGCCACTCAGATTCGAGCCATTTCCGTGCCGATTCAATGCCTGTCAGCCCACGGGTCGGCATGATTGGCAGCCCCCATTCAGTCATGAGAGACCCGAGTGAGCCCGCCACGCCGATCCATGGCCCCAACGACGGACTGCCGGCCGTGCCTCCACTTCATCTGGGCGAAAGTCATGGTATCCGTAGCCACACCCCGCAGTCTAAAGACAGCAGGCCAGCGGGAAAGCGACGCAAGTCAGTTCATCCGGACATCGTCGCCCGCGCGACGGTCGACACCACCATCGCGATTATCCCCGCTAGTGCCTTCCGCCGCTTGACAAGGGTCTACCCTAGGGCAACTGCGCATATTGTCCAAGTCATTTTGACCCGTCTTCAGCGAGTGACCTTTGCCACTGCGCATTCATACCTGGGCCTGACCTCTGATGTGCTGGGAATCGAGCGTCAAGTGGCCAGGTTCACCACCTGGGACCTCCCAAATGATCTTCGTGGTAGCGCCTTGAATCGCTTGAAGGAGAAGTTCACACGAGAGCGAGACCGCTTGGGACCGGAGGAGGTTTGCAAGGGGATTGCGCTGCACAATCCATCGATGGGCAGAAGACGCCGCTCCAGTAGCTCTCTTCGGAAGGACGCCGTCTTGCAAGCTCGTGTGGGAGGCAGTGGCCGTCCCACGGCGCTTACACCGAGCAGACGACTTCCGTCCTTTGCGGACCGCGATGTGACGGGTGTTAGCCCTGGAGATCTGCTCTCGACAATCCAGCTCTCTCGTTTCGGCCCGCGCGGTGACCATATGAACCAGCAACTTCACAGTCCTCTCTCGGAGCGGGAGCGCCCTCTGTTCCAGGCCGCCGGCAAGGAAGGTCGTCCGACTACCTTCCACCGTCAAGACTCCATCGACGAAGACGCCATATTCCGTGACTCGATCTTGGATTGTATGATGAAGGGCATTGGTCTGACCGAGAGCACAGGCGACGTCCTGCGCAAAAGCAACCACAACTCTGGCGATGCCTCTCCTCGCTTGCTGTCATACGATTCGCGGCGTCAGAAAGCAGTCTTCTCGAACGCATTCGGATTCATAGATCCATACGAGGGATCCGGCGACGGTGAAACCGAGTCTATGATGTCTATGTCAGTGACTAGTGCCGGGGGAACGTCGCCTGTAGTGAATTTACGTGAAGACCTCCGCCATGACATTGAGGTTGTGTATTTCCCACAAGGCTCGGTCCTGGTAGAGCAGGGCGAGCGTCACCCAGGCCTGTACTATGTCATCGACGGATTCTTGGATGTTGGTGTTCCAGTGAATGAGCGCGGTGAGGATCTTGTGGGAACTTCTCGCCCAACCGAGGGATCAATCGCTCATGTGCAGGAAGACCTTTTCCCCAATTTGAAGCGGACGACCACGGCATCTTCGCGCATGTCTGCATCAAACCTCTCTGGCGACCCTCGGCGAAAGGCTAAGTCCCGCAAGTCCTTGTATCTGATCAAACCGGGCGGCATGCAAGGCTACGTCGGTGGTCTCGCCTCTTATCGCTCATACACCGATGTCGTCGCCAAGACTGACGTCTACGTGGGATTCCTTCCTCGGGCGTCTCTCGAGAGAATTGTCGACAGGTACCCGATCGCCTTGCTTACTCTAGGTAAAAGGCTCACAAGCCTTCTGCCACGTCTGCTCCTTCATATCGATTTCGCGCTAGAGTGGGTACAGGTAAATGCGGGTCAGGTCATATACCATCAGGGTGATGAGAGTGACGCGATCTATCTTGTTCTCAATGGTCGTCTGAGGTCCGTTCTGGAAGGTCCGAAGGGCAAGATGACGGTCATTGGCGAATACGGGCAAGGTGAGAGTGTCGGAGAACTTGAGGTGATGACTGAGTCTACCCGGCCAGCAACGCTTCACGCTATTCGGGCCACCGAGCTGGCAAAGTTCCCTCGTTCCTTGTTCAACAGTCTTGCTCAAGAACATCCTGGGATCACGATCCAAGTTTCAAAGTTGATCGCACAGCGCATGCGTGATTTGGTTGAGCATCCTTTATCCGAAAAGGGCGTTGAAAAGGCTCAGAATAACGGCGTGCAGACGGCAACGTCAACGGTCAATTTGCGCACGGTTGCGATCTTGCCGGTCACTGCTGGAGTCCCGGTCGTTGAATTTGGTCACAGATTGCTGCATGCTCTGCAGCAAGTTGGGGTTCCTCGAGGCGTCACGTCTCTCAACCAAGCCGCCATCTTGAATCACCTGGGTCGTCACGCATTCAGTAAGATGGGAAAGCTCAAGCTCTCTCAATATCTCGCTGATCTTGAGGAGAAGTATGGGCTTGTCTTATATGTGGCGGATACCAACGTGAACTCTCCGTGGACCCAGACATGTATCTCGCAGGCAGACACCATCCTCTTGGTCGGGCTTGCCGAGTCGTCGCCCGCGATTGGCGAGTATGAGCGTTTCCTGTTGGGTATGAAGACAACCGCTCGAAAGGAACTTGTTCTGTTGCATTCTGAGCGTTATTGCGCGGCAGGCCTGACCCGGCAGTGGTTGAAGAATCGAGTCTGGATCAACGGAGGTCACCACCATATTCAAATGGAATTCCGCGTTACCGCCGAGCCGTCACACCCACAAGCCAAGAAATTCGGTACTGTTCTGAAACAGCGCGTCCAGATTCTCCAGGCCGAGATTCAGAAGTATACTTCGCGAAGAATCCAACAAACACCGGTTTATTCACCCCAGACTCCCTTCAAGGGTGATTTCCATCGGCTGGCTCGGCGACTCTGCGGCAAGGCGGTTGGTCTTGTGTTGGGCGGTGGTGGTGCCCGTGGAATTGCCCATGTGGGTGTGATCAAGGCCCTTGAGGAGGCGGGCATCCCCGTCGACATCGTTGGGGGAACTTCCATTGGTTCGTTTATTGGCGCTTTGTACGCCAGGGATGCAGATGTTGTGCCGATGTACGGCCGTGCCAAGAAATTTTCTGGCCGTATGGGCAGCATGTGGCGATTTGCGCTGGATTTGACCTATCCCACCGTGTCCTACACGACTGGCCATGAATTCAACCGAGGAATCTTCAAGACATTCGGTGACAGTCAAATTGAGGATTTTTGGCTTGAATTCTATTGCAACACCACCAACATCAGTCGCTCCCGGGCCGAATACCATTCATCTGGCTATGTCTGGCGCTATGTTCGTGCCTCCATGTCTCTGGCTGGTCTTATCCCCCCAATCTGCGACGAAGGCAGCATGCTGCTCGATGGTGGATACATTGACAATCTTACTGTGGCATATATGAAGGGACTGGGCGCGGATGTGATCTTTGCAGTGGATGTGGGTTCCATTGATGACAACACTCCACAGGGCTATGGCGACTCACTTTCCGGCTTCTGGTCCATGTTGAATCGGTGGAACCCACTATCTACGATTCCTAACCCGCCCACTCTCTCGGAGATTCAAGCTCGTCTTGCGTACGTGTCCTCGATCGACAACCTCGAACGAGCCAAAGCCACCGCTGGATGTCTCTACATGCGTCCTCCCATTGAGTCATACGGAACCTTGGAATTCGGCAAATTCGATGAGATTTATCAAGTCGGGTACAAGTACGGCAAGGAGTATCTCGATCGGCTGAAGAACGAAGGGTCGCTTCCTATTCCCGAGGAGACGGAGGAGAAGCGAAAGCTGCAACGCACCATGGCTCCTCGACGTGCCAGTATCTGATTTGGGTGCTTTAACCTAGATGAAGTACTGCACGACCAGCCATTTTTGACATTCCGGCTAAAATACCATTTGTATTTGCATCTTGCAATTTGGCGTTTATGCATCTGCACTTATATATGAGCGCGCTTTTCTAGCTATTTTATTCATTTGATTGCGGTCGCCCGGGTGTGATATTTCATTTGCTTCTTCTACGTATCATATACCATAGAATAGAATTTCATGCATCCATTCGTCATGATGAGAATCTTCCTCTCTATGGCGTCCTGTACTTTTTCAACCTGAGTTGGTAGCTATTGCATAATACTAGGTAATTTACTTCTGACAGCCAGTGCTATGCAGGTGGACTAAGATGGCACTCAATGCTGTGAGAATGAAGCTGCTCCCGTCTGTAATGCGATCATCACGAAGTTATCCCGAAGTCATCGCGAACTCGGTACGTCACTATACGGGGAGCCGAAATCTGCGTTCTTGAACTTGCTATTTTCATCGCACTGGGACTTTTGTAATTTTGTTCACTAGTTTTGATCACCACACTCTGAAATAAGTAAGGCAAATGGACAATCAAACTAACGATGACCCGAATCACCTCTAGAATAGTATTGGTCTCCCCGCCAGCGCCGTACTCTCGGCTCGCGCACCAGACAAAAGGCCCGATTGTATGAGATGCAGCAAGCCCAGCACCGGACTCGTTACCAGTGAGATTAGATAGCGAGGAGAGATTTTGTCCAAGCTATAGACTGCGGTGAGACGGCAGTATCACATGCCATACTAGCAATAGTCCAGACAATGCGACACTGGTTTCACTAGGACGAAGCCAATAGTTGATGAAAGCATTATTCGCTCCATTCGAAAAGTCGTGGGCCCTCTAAGGTTATATCAGGTTGGAGGCCTCAAGTCCGGAGGGTCTTGAGTTTCCCGGCCCGGGGATGTTATTCATCTTCCGGTTTTCGCTCAGTATCCGGCGTGAAGAAGATATGTTTTTTTTTTCACATGAAAGGCGACATATTCCACAGGCGTAACCACTCATCTGCTCATTGTGAGGTTAATTCTTCCAAGATCCATCAAATGCCCTTCTTCTAAGGAAGACATCGTGTTGGTCACCGAGGCTCTTCGTCAGATCAATCCAGAACTCAGCGAGACCGTACTGAAGACACAATCACTTTTACTTCTCCTGACAACGAAGATGCCCTTTCCCCCAGCTCTTCCGGACATGGCCTAATTCAGCAGATTCTGTTATCTCTACCTATCGAGTGATAGCCGATTCATGACCACTGTCGTTGTTCTCTTACTCTGAGGACCGATTTCTGCATCGACTGGAAGGTACCTGCTCCTCTCAATTCCTCGACTGGTTCTGTGGATCTGCAGTCTACATATCACTTCGAGTGTCTCCCCGACCAGGTATGTCGTGGTACGGGAGACACAAGCGGTGGTGGATCTTCATTTGAAGAGTGCCCGACCATTTCCGCAAATGGGTGCCCTGAGCATTCTTTCAATGGAGAAGACCAATTCAAGCTTTGCATCTATGGTAATGACAGATGCACCGGCTCAGATATCACAGGTGTCAACGACGGTTTTAGAATTTGCCTGGTAATTCAGAGTCCAGGTGGCTATAAAGTGATTAGAAGAGACACCGTCTGCTAGGTGCGACAAGTGAAAGGAGGCGCTAGCTATCGAGCAGAGGATGTTCAGGTTGAGCTATTGACCAGCTAAATGACGATTCTCTCTTGTATTCGACAGATAATACCAAATCTCGTATATCGTGCTTAGCGCATCGCTGATCTCGCATTCCCAGGATTGAACGCCGACGGGGAGATCCCCTCGGTCTGCATCACCTGGAAAGAGAACGGTGCTGCTAGATGGAAATGATGCGTAAATGTGTGCGTGCCCGCAATTCCGGGCAGGAGTCTTAGCAGGCGACAGTCAAGGAACCATTTCTCCTGTTGAAAAGCACATTCTGGATTCCGAGGGGCAACCAAACACCGAGCCTATGTCCTCCCATGAACCGTATTGAACTCGGTGTCAACTTCGCCAGTCCGCAATTTCGGAGGAGATCCTAACCACAAGCCTGGATGGCCAATATTTAGGCAGATGCAAGCAATCGCAATCATGGCGCCCTCAAATATCATGAAGACTGTTTCTTTGCTTGCCAATTTTCCCTGGAACCCGTCCTCGAGTTCGGCCGTTTGTTATAGAGAGCGTATCAGAATCGCAAAGGTCGATATTGCGAGCCCCCGGACACGCCAGTCTTGTTAGCTCTGACCCACGATGCGAAAATCATAGGTGTTGAATAAATATATATATCAGAAGGTATTTCCGTGAGGTGAATGCTTCAGCTACGTGCCGAGAAGTTTTCTGCTTCTTGGAGCAGCGCAAGATGCAGCCCCCTGCAAAAGTGATGAAAGTATCGATGGAGACCACCTGAAGAGCTCATCCGGCAATCATCACGTTGATCCCAGTTTGTCTCATGTTTTCTGCGGAGGGGGTCGGGCCTCTAGAGGTGACTGCTAGAGCACCCCCAGCAGCTTGCAAGATGAGACAGATCAAATCACTCGTAATGAAGATTGTCGAATAGAACTTGGGTTTGATTCGAGATAAGGCGGGACTGCCCATGAAAATCATGTGGCAAAAGCAGACGTAGATCGAAGCACTCAAAAATGTGGGTGCAAATAGTCAAGCAGACCAGATATCTGAAGAGGTCGATGAATTAGCTTGATTAAGTATATTGAGTCGCAGGCAAACCTTCCAGTTAGGGGGAATATAGTAAGGAGACGACTCACTCTATGAAAAAGTTGAAGTTGAAGGGATCGTCATGCAGCTGGAGTCTTACGACGCAGCGCACAACTTCAAGAATAAGACCACCACGCACGCCAATGGAGTAGGTCCAGGTACAATATTTGAAGCCTAGATAGAGCTGGACGATTAAGACAAGCGCAAAGAGACCCAAGAGGAATCCGTTTCCTCCCAGATTTGGCTGGTATGTGATGATTCCATCTTGTATTGGGCACGTCTGTAGCGCACAGGGAATGTATTGCGATGAAATTGATCTTTCAAGAGGCACTAGCGATATCTTTTTTAGCCGATAGTGGTGAAAGGATGTCAAGCATTACTGTTCGGAATGTGGCACGTTGTTGGCGAGATGGAAGACGAGTCGTACATCTGTTTATTGCCGTTGATGAAGATCTGTCTTTTGGTACGTAATATGGCGGGGGTGGTGGGGTAACGTCGTTTATTGGATTGTAGATTTGAGACAAATTGCTTTGGGCCATGGAGCTTTTTGGGGAATAGAACAGGGGCTATGCAGATTGAGTCTCAAACTTCGAGTAAGCTGCTGGACAAAGAGACTTTCTTCACTCCATAGTTCACCCTTGATTGACTGAGGGCTTTGTGGGTATCTTCGCATTGAAGGGGCGTAAAAGGTATGGGACATGTCAAAAGCGCTAGGAGTGGGCATGACTTTTAATTGAGGCAATTGAGTGTCTGATGATCGCGAACTCATGTTAAATTCAAAGTCGCAAAAGGACGTCTCCTGTCCTCCATGACGAGCTCTGCGGCTTACAGCCTCCTCGTTTTTGAACAATCCTCACGTATAAATGGAAATTTTCCCGGTCGATATCCAGGGACACGCCACTGACACGTTTGGAGATATCAATTGAGGATTGTGTGATGTGCAGAGGGCCTGCTGTTGACGTCTCAAGTTGAATCACATGTTGCGCGATCAGTGTGAGCATGTGGCCGTCCCAGATTCCATCTCTTCCTGCTTGAGGGAGCAGTTCCAGGGCATTGACTCGAATGCTTGGTTCTCTGCACTTCATGCATACGAAATAGAGACAGCCTACCAGTCCAGATCCGAGCAGCATATCTGGAGGAACCATCTGTGAGGTGGTCGGAGTGATCTCGGCATGGCCCGAGTCATTCATGATACTTTGAGCTTCATGCACGTGAGACGCGAAAATTGATAGGAAAGAGTCATAGATTATTTCTTCGGCGGAATGAAATATGGCAACCGGGATATGTTCCATCCAGTACATCATCCGAAGCAAGGATAACGACTGAGCACCGACGACCCTTCCTTGTTGATCGACATCCTGAAGAAAAGCCTCATGACCCACTTTCCATTGTTCAAGGGCATCGAGAAGCTCGCGTCGCCGAGTGTCAAGGTCATATGGAAAATAGCCCTTAAAGGTGCCGTGAAAAACACGAAAGTCGTTCGGTCCTCGTCCCTTAATTGTTATCCACGGAGGACAGTACTCAGGGCCCACGCAAGCCCAGGGATTCAGGAACTTCAAGGTGTGAGACCTCAGTTGATCAAGCGCGTGTCTAGCTTCAGTAAGAGAGGAGAATGTGTTGGGACGCTTTGGCTGGTACTAAAATTGGGGACCAAAGAGCCGATGAAGAGGGTGGCTTGATTGTCAATTCGCAGGGTGACAATTAAATGCCAGAAGCGCAGTGGCCTCGGATGTTGAAGAAGACCCAGAGGTTTTGAGGCTTAAAATGACAGCCTGAAAACCGTGGTGATGTCGAAAGGCTGCTAGATGGTTGTCTCGTAGTACCTCGAACAAGATGAAACTCACACAGCACATCATACTATCAACTCCGAATGAGCCATTCTCCAGGTGCCGGGAGAATGATTTTATTGCGGCAGTATAGAATTTGAGGGTTGTGGAAGCTTCTCTTCGTATACACCAAGCTTCGAGGGGCCCGGGTAGGGATTGTTCTCGACACAGACCATATAGCGAAGCTACGCCCAAACGGAGAATAGGACTTGATGCGCATATTCCGGTGAGACCGTCTGTCAATGAAAGGGCCTCTGTGAAATGCGACGTGTAGTGAACATTCAACAGCGAGCGAAATAGCTCGATCGCCCCGGAGTATTGAGACAGGAAACTGTTAAAATGTTCAAATTCTTGAACAATTGAGGTCGACGGAAAAATACGCCATGCACTCGAGCGCGGCTGGTCATGGCGTGGTCCGCATAGTTCGACAGCCTCTATGTGCTGGGTGATGGACTCATCTTCTGTGGTCGAGAGAGGAGACCTGTCTATAGGCGATGAAGCATAGGAACCGGCTGGGCTATTTGCCTGATGGGGTGAGCTGCTGCCGGTCCTTCTGGTAGTCTCAAAGTCGCCGCATTCCCGATTGGCAGCGATGTACACTCCACAGCTTGGGTTCTTCTCATCGCAATTGACGTGTCGTAGCCTAGAGCCCTGTTAGCAAATGGCAGTGAATCCTCAGATGGAACTTGAGACTTGCTTGCAAGCCCGGCATCCATTCCTTGACTTAGGTGCCGACTTGCGCGACTGCTTGGCATTCGGCGTGCGAGACCTCTCGAGTCTTGGGTTATGGGATCCACTGGCGTCAAAGGCATGTTCGCGCACGAATAGTACGTGGCATGAACATTCCGAAAATCGTCTTGTCCTGCGAGAGCTGCGCAATTAATGCACCCCGGCCGATGGGAAGATCCCGTCAACCAGGAAAGGTCTCTATCGACCGGGATCAGGTAGGGTTATGCCATACCTCCTATTCACTCATCGCCCTGCAGTTGTAGCTGACCGCTCCTTCTTAAGCATTGACCTCAGCCTCGTCAGAGCTTGAGGTTCATTATTCTGCCGGTGGAGTCACGGACTACGTGGATTCTATCAACAGAAGGAGAACGAGAAGGTTGAAGGCTCGTGAGGAGGTTTCTGTTGCCAAAATAAAAACGCAAGTACTTACTTAGGTAGCAGCCGCCTTCCTCTACGGGACTAGCGCCGCTCGAATGTAGCCTCGTACGACCACGTCGATGTTTGGACGAGGATGCACTTTCGCCCGGAAGAAACCCCGGGCTTTTCAGCCAGATCCATATTTCCTTTGTTCAATCCTCGAGGTGAATGAACAACCACACGTCATTTTCCTGTAGAGACTGTGGAAGGGCACAACCTCAATCTTGTGTATGGATTTGGGTTTCTCTCAGAAATTGCTTCTTGAAGGGTGTCGCTTCGCTCCGTCAAAAGAAGACCTTCGATTTTGACACGCGCCAGAACAAAGAGACCTTTTCATTGTATTCGGGCTCGATCCTTCGACAATCTTAAATATATAATACACTCACAGCGCCCGCCCTCTGCAAGCCGAGCTGTAGTATAGACACAGCCAGTGCTCAAGCCATGATTGAAGACAGTCTGATTCAAGGGGATATAGTTCTGCGGTACTTGCCCCTGAGCACCCTGCCTTGTTCGAATCTGAAATGTTGCCTGTGGAAGAGGTATGGCTGTATGCTTAAGTGTTAATGAGTCTCCATTGCTCATTATTATAATGTTGCTGCCTTTCAACCTAATCGCCCAGGTTGGACCTGCTCGTTTTCCCGGCCCGCTGGGCTGGAGGCTGCCATAAGAAAGCATCAGGTAGCCATCCATGATCCGATAGCCCCTCGGTAAGCATTTGTAAGAGGGAATGCTCCTTTGCACCTCGATTCGGTTGGGAGACTCCGGCGCATGAATTGCAGCTCTTGTGGATGAACATAAACAGCCAGGATATGAAACAGTCCGGAAAGGTGAAAGTTGCACAACTCGAATTCAAGCTGCTTTTAGAAACATTAAGAACTGTAAGAGCATGAACTCATTTAAATTGCCCCGAGAAACGCAGAGCCCATCAGGTTGACCTGTCTACTCCACCGTCCCATACTGATCAATGATAATGTACATGGGAATGAACCTCGCTTGCATCCTGTTCAGGAATAAGATGGGTGATTTTGGCAGTAATGAACCAATGAACCAATGAACCAATGAAAACGAAACAGGTGAAAGAACTTTTCCACCAGACTGCATCAATCTGAGACTTCAAAAAGATGGTTGGGCAAACAGTGATTGTCAAATCCCAGATCAGCCGGTCCGGTCAGAAATGATACCAATCGTTCTCAGAGTATCGAGTGCTGTATAGATACTTTCCCCTTTGATACGTTTCTCTCAACCTCTAGACAGTTCCTGCTGGCGGCGCGGGAGCGTCCAATGGATCAGTAGGACCGCGCTTCTCGGGGGCGATGCCGGCTCTGGTAGCTCGTGATCTTTCCTTGCGATAAGCCCAGAGACCGGCAACTTCGAGGAACATTCCGAAGAAAGTGAAGATGCTTCAAGATGGGACCAGAGGTTAGCTTCTTCTAGAGACCGGCGCACAGGGCGTGGAGACTGAGAAGTATGACTTACAAGGCAAGGAAGATAAAAGCCTCGTTGGCGTACTTCTTCTTGCAACTAAATCCGGGTGGAGAGTTTACGTAGCACGCTTTACGGTTGTAGTCCTCGGCTGCGAAGATGAATGCAGTCAACCAGCTAGGGAGATATGCGTTAGTATAGAAAGGCAAGTGATGTGGATCCCCTATGAGTCGTTGAGGATACGTACAGGTACGAGAAGACGATATCGATCGCCAGCACAAACTTGCTGAGACTATTGGGCACAAATGGCGAGGCGAAGGCTGGAAGGAAGAAGACAACCGACAGAACTGCCTGTTATATCAAAATAATCAGCACATAGAACGAATGAGGAGAAGAAAGGGATGTCCAGCCGTGATGAAGCGATGATCCACGTACAATAACCTCTTGGTAGATCAAGTGCGTGCTGTGAGGTCCTCGGTGGATAAAATATGAAGTAATACCCATGACAATGACTGCACTGGTCCACTGCATGAAGCGAGTAAACAGCTGCAGCGGCCGAGAGGTTTTTGTCGTGAGCATTTTGTCAATTGTTAATACGATTCCAGACCTCGACCCAAATATAGTCAGGAAGTCAGGTCGCTGTAATGGTAAGTGATTGTATGCGCGGCTGAATGTTTTGGGACCAAGTTAATGGAACAAGGGAGATAGAAGACAATATGAGGAGGAGGCCTTCGTTTGCTTTTCAAGAGAAAAGAGTTTCTGCTTTGAAGAGATGAAGAACACAACGAGGAGGGACTGGGGACTTGCTATCTTCTTATGGTCCGATGTACAGAGCTTGAGTCAATGGCTGCCCTCTCAGCGAGACTCAGATATGACTATGTTCTGGTCGATCAAAGTGCCAGAACCACAACAACATGAGAAACCGGCGTGGCATTCAATCGGTGATTCCAGTAAGTGCAATTCCCGTAATTGACTACAGATCTGCGATACTCAAAATCAAGAAACTCGGTCGGAATAATGCAATGCGGACAGGGATTGCCCGGTAGAGGTTTTCCCCCAAATGCGTCATGATGGCTTCGGGATGAAGTCAGTCGTACAGGTCATTTCAGTGCACAGTATGTCAATCGGAGCTCACAGTATCACCTCAACCCCTGGTTTGTCCGATCGGAAATGAGTGCCAACTGCCAAGACACTCCGCTAGATGACTCCCACCGACTAATGCTGTGTCTCACCTGCTTTTCAAAACCGACAGAGGCAGTCTGCCGAACCTGCAGTTTTGGAACAGTGTGTGATAAATGTATCACCTGTCTCTCCTATGTCACCAAATCATATTGTCGTCGTCGGTCCAACATCACGAATTCTCAGTTTTACTGTACTACTGTACTACTCTCTTGCAGTCCCGCAACTCCGTCTAGTGGATTTCCAGGAGAAGGTGATATCAGTCAGCAAAAGACGAAGATGGAACAAGTGAACCTGAAGACATCCTAAGGACTCGGGGAGGTAAACATTACGTCAGGGCTACCATGTGACCCAAAATGACCCCAGAAGCATACAAGACCTACCATCGAGCACCCAATTAAGGGTCCAGATCATCGGTATTTCGGCTGCCCACATCAGGAATACTTAAATGTATGTTCTTTCATCGTACTTGGAGCTCCGCCAAGGATTGCGTCGCTCAAAGATGCATAATACATGATTCGGCAAGCTACTTCGTGTAGATCAGGCTGTCGGGCGCCAAGAAGCTAAAGTCAATGTTGCATAATGGATGCAGATCATTCAGCCTTGTAATCTCAAATAGCTGGGCTACTCATAACTCATCCGACCAGCGCTGAATGCGGTATTGATCACTTGAATAATATCAGGTTCTTGGACAATCGCAGGATGACTCGATTGTACAAGCAAGCCTGTCATGCTACACACCACCATCATCTATGGCGTGGGAGTGGCAATTAAGTTGGAGAACAGGTATATCGCTACATCAGCCAACACCGTCAAACTCTCAGGTAAGAACCAAATTCCTGGCAATGTTTTCAGCCCTGTCGGTGTTGATCATATCGTGCCCGGGTTGGGTCTACTCAACCATCTCGCGAAAAATGGGCGAGAGGAGCACTGGATAAGCGGTACTGAAGATATCGTGGTCCTGGGCCAATGGCATATTTGACTGAGCCTGTCACAGCTACTTTCTATTAAGGGGTCACGGAACCCAGAGTCCCGGCCTTGATTGACTAGTAGGTGTTCAATAACTGCACTCTTGCATCGAATTCATGTCGTGTCAGTCAAGGGATGTTTCAAAAAGGGCTCAATTCCCGAAAGCCTATAACTTTCGCAGGTCCAAGCTTCACGATAAAGTGGCAGTCCGTGCCGCTCCAATCAACTCCATTGCGCCTGATGACCATTTTTGAATACAGACGGAACACAGTCACCATGAAGCATTACCAAGATCGTGTTCCTGTTTGAGACGGACAGTGTCACTAAGAAGAAAACGTAGAATGTGAATTTACGCGTGAGAGCGCGGATGGACTCTTACCTTCATGTATTCACTACCCTTCTCCAGATACTCCTGCCTAGTCACAGACGACCGGCCGTAATCAGACCCGGAAGCCCATTGAGCCGCGCCCTTCCACGCGTCCATAATAGGATCGGCAGCCCGACGGACCGCAAGCTCAGCGTCGACGGGCAAGTAGGCACGGAGCTCCCGACGGAAACGCTCATCGAACCCTGCGAACAGGGTATTACCTCCCGTCAAGAAGACATCCTTGAGGAGACGATTGCGATCGACAGGGTTGGAGAACCGCTGGTTGACAATGTCGGCGGCAATTTCAACGAGGCCGGCTTGGTCAACTCCCGCGATAGAGGGCTTGAAGACCACTTCGGGCACTCGAATGCGTTCCACATTCAAGTGAAGCTGGTGCGCCTCACGCTGACTTTCCGGATCAAATGGCCACGGTCCACGAAGAAAGGCGTGGACCAAGCTCTTGGTCCAATCTGACTGAGCGGCCAGTGTATGGTTCTCGGTAAAGTCAGGATCGTACTCGAGCAGCTCCCGTTCAACGTTGTTCAGCATGCCGTCTAGATCCTCCTCCTCTTCGTCGTCGCTTTGTTCGTCCTTGGCCACGGTACGATACACACCCCAGTCCTCGTCATTGGCACCAAAGTCGTCATCGTCACCGCCGCGACGCCGCTTCTTGGGGCCATCTGCGGCCAAATTGGCCAAGGTCTTCATGCGCATCTGACTAGCGAGGGACTTGCGGTTTCCGAGGTCGGCTTTGAAGCGTTGTCGATCTTTGATTTTTTGCAGGAGATTCTTCACATATGTCAACCAATTGCACAATCCATCTAGTTGTTCTGACAGTTCACTTACCTGTCGATTCGCACGCCTCTCGGCGATCCAATTCTCAAGATCATTTTCGCGCTTCTCCCGGTCGAGTCGCTCTTCTTCCTCCACCCGGGCCTTCTCTTGCTCCTTTTCAGCCTTGGCGCGTGCTCTCGCTTCGACATTAGATTTCATCAATTGCTGGTGTCGCTTCTCCTTCAGACCAGCCTCATCTAGATCCTCATTGGGTACATCCAGCAAGTGGAAGGACATCTCCTCCTGCTGCTCTTCCTCCTCGATACCCAGGTCTCGATTGCGTGATCGTTTGATGGATTTTTCGAGATCTCGGATCATCCGGTCGAGATGGGCCTCGTCCTTGAGCTCTTCAGCTTCTAGAGCTCTGCGGATCTCCTTCTTGGTCTCTGTGGCCAGTCGTGTTTGCAGGGCCTTCCAGTATTCTAGTTCCTGCTCTTTCTTCACCAGCTTTTCTAGTCGCATCTTGGCGGCTTGCTCCTGCAGGCGGCGTCCGCTTTCCTTCTTTCGCTCGGCAATCCGAGCCAATTCTTCCTCACTTTTCTCAACGACCACATGCTCTGTGAAAGGGTACTGAATGACGTGATCTCTCTCCTCGAGTCCGGTCCAATCCAAATATCCACCCAGCTCGCGATCGTAGTCTTGAGAGACATAGCAATGCTTATGCACCATCTCTTCCACCTGGTTTTCCGTCACACGCGCTGGAAATGTGGGATATTTCAAACGGAGCAGCTTCAGCAGGTATTCGGCGGTTTGCAAGCCACCCCAGTTGAGGCGGGACGAGTGCGAGAGCAACGGTCTCGAATTCAGGACAGGAATGACATGTGTGGAGGCGTGCGATGAAGAGACAATTAGACCGTCAGTTCCTTTGTTGTAGCGGTATGCGAAAAGTGAATCGATTCCATAGGCCACCGAGGGCGCATTGTAGCATTCAAACAGAATCTCGTTCATCACTAAATAACGTTAGCCACTGGTGCACGAAACTATGCGCATTATTTTAGGACGCATACTTTTTCGTGGATAGCCCAAATTCGCAACCGGTTCAGTCATGACGATAGGGCGGTCCACACCTCCATTGGCACCGTCGACACCCAACTTGAGGAAAATATAATCCAGTACACCCTCCATCACATCCCAATTGCCGACCACACTTGAGCTGCCATCAAAGGCATGCTTGAGCTGACCGCGCGTGGTCGCGTCAACATAAGCATCGTATCCGATAAAGTGTGCTTGACGACCGAGCTTGCGATCTCGATACCGGCTCATGACCGGAGGTAGAACAAAGCGCGGATTCTGGTCGAAGGACCAGCCAGCCTTGACGAGATGAGAGCCTGGCAAAACAGAGAAGCATTAGCCATCAGCCTAGCTAGCTGTATGAGTCGCTCTTCAAGAGAATTCCATACCATTATCAATCACAATGGCGCTCGTTTCAGGATGCGCCTTGCTGCGCTCATATCCATCCGGCTGCGGGGGGCTGTAGCTCTTGAAGGGAAAGTCTTGGACGGTGTAGGGCTTTGGGAGAGGCTTTTCCGTCCTCTTCTCTGTGACATTAGTAGAGGAGCGGCTGGGCAAGATTGTGTGGACTGATGTGATAGTCATCGTGCACAGCACGGGCTGAATAGCCAGAACCTTTGGAGAGGAATCGTTGCGATCGTTTTAGAGGGTCTGTCGCGGCTTCATAGGATGAAAGGACCCGTTATGAAGGAGAAAGGGTGCGGTCGACGGATTTTCGAAATGCGTTGGCGAGACACGTGCCAGCGCCCTATGTCAAGTTGTCAACACGCAACAGTATTCGCTTCGCAAAGTAGGCTGGTGAATAAGAGCGGTCGCGGCTTGGAAGCCGACGATAACTTATCGTGCGAATGCATCGCCACGTCTCCGTCTGCGTTCCGATAAAGGTCCCGCAACGCGACCGGTTACATTTTCAAGTTGGGAGAGGTTGGCCTGGGGCGTCTGATTGAGCATGAGAAGAGAGAAGCAGTAGTATATTTAGTTTAAATCATTCAGCGGCGGAGCAATACTAAGAATTGTCCAGATAAACAGCTAGCGCCAATAATATGAGTATAGGTATTTTAGAATGCGTTTCTTCGTAATTGATGCAACTACTCGGCCATGGCAATAGCCTCAACTTCAAGAAGGTTCCGTCAGGTTTTCCGTCGCTGCAATAAAAATTAGCTACTTACAGCCCGTATGCAGTGTTTACTAGACGATGATGAGGATACGTACCTTCGAGGTGGAAGAGAACATTGGATTGGTAATTCTTGAACATCTGCGCAACCAACTCCACATTCATATTTTGGATGTTGACCTCCTATAGGCTTGTCAGTGATTATCAAAATTCGATTCAGACGCATCAAGATGTACCTGCAGGCTCTTGTTCATGACCATGATGGCCTCGTTCAATTTCTCCTGCGTCAAATCAGTAAACCGAGGGGCGTGCCTATCGACTGGTCAATTTGACTGACAACATTGGTAATGATGCGGGATAGCAACACAGCCTGCTGGTGCTCGTGAGGGCTCTCCTATATATGATCAGCGTTTTCCTTGACAAAAGCCCATTCACAATTGGAGCAAACTAGTCTTCAATGTGTATATCATACCATTCTGCTGAATGAGTCTCGAGTGTGCTCAGAGTTTCTTGCTGATAGAGCTGATGAACGAGTTCCATATCATTCGTTTGGTTGGAGCTCGTTGTCGGTCACGTGCTGATATACGGAACGGCTGCGCGAACGACAACGGCAACGGCCAAGGGATCTTGATTTCATTCGACGTACGTTCCCACGAAGCCAAATCTGCATCGGACTTTGACCAGAACTTCGAAGATGGCACCAGCAGTCTCAACCAAAGATGACGAAGCTCATCAGCAACTCCTGAGTCAGCTCGATATTGCAGCTCTTCCGAAGCCGTTCCGCAATCCTCACTGGAAGCCCTCCACCCGCCGCAACAAGAACGTCAAGGCGATCATCGCAGAAACTTCGCGCAAAGAGGCATCTCAGCTGGCCACTCAGACTAATTCGGGTGCTATGACTCCTGTCGCGACAGACACCGTGAGCACTGATGGCACCAAGACGCCCGCCGATGGTCCCGGCAAGAATCCCAATATCGCGCAAGCTGCGCAGAATCTCTCCACTCTCGTACTGGAGAAGAACGCACGCGCTATGTATCCAAGTGGTCCAGCTGTGACATACACCAACATTGAGTCGGCACCGTCGCTTGACCCGGCCAACAAGCGTCATTACTGTGACATCACAGGCCTGCCTGGTCCTTACACCGATCCCAAGACGCGACTGCGCTACCATAATAAGGAGATCTTCGGTGTCATTCGCAACCTGTCACAAGGCGTGCCGGAGAGCTACCTGGAGGCCAGAGGAGCCCACACGATTCTAAAATAAGTGACCACCTTCACATTGTGCAAGAAAACGAGAAAGTTATACTGGTGGTTGGCGTACGAGAGAACGAAGTATGTCGGCAAACATTGATTGTGATATCAATTCAACGCGCTAATTGCAATGATCATTTCACCTAGAATGGCAACTACTACATGACATGTCCGATCAACACAGTCAAGCCCTTTCCACCCCACCTGCCTCTCTCAAGGCAGGCTCAAGAAAGCGCTCCGGCTTATTCGTAATCGTGAAATTGTTTCTCTTCGCCCTGTGTCAAAAGAGACACCCGACTATTACCGACGCGCCAAGGAAAGGCGCGTCAGTTACAGCATCCGAGGATAGCTGTCGCCGCGGCGTGGTGGGGATTTGACTTGGGAAGCCAGAATAATCCCCGCGGGTGTTGGAGCGACGGACCAAATCAAGAGCCCGAGTGCGGGATCAGACTCCAGACTCAACAAAGGAACAAAGGGACTGGAATTGAGTCCAGGGATTCGCCGAATATGTAGTGACATGATTCATCTCGAGCAGCTTGACATTATGCTGTCACAGTCAAAGTGATGTGCACCCAGTTGAACAATTCTGCGCCACTGAGACCTCATTCTTGACAAGTCTTGTCTTCCGCACAAAGTAAGCATGGAAGTGAAAAATGGCGGTGGCATCCCGTGTGGCTTAAAACCAAGTACTCACCGCCCCCGAGGAGCGCTCCGGCAGAAAATGACCCGTTGCGGATTTCTGTTTACGGAAACACATTCGGAATCCAGACTATTCAAGATCAGGACTGTGAATATTGTTGCCTTTCGCACATCTCTTTCGAAAACCCCCCGCCCCTTGAAATTGATAACTCTCTCGTCACATATAATATAAAAATGCCAAGCATGTGGCTGTCAGAAAATCAGAGTACGCAATACCTCCCCACCTTCTGCACCGGATTCTGGCTTGCGCCATAACCTCCTAGCCCACTCGAGGCGCATCCACGATCGCATGATGGTCAATGCTAAATTTTGATACTAGAGATCGGTGTGGTCTTCTGCTCCGCCGGTAAGATCCAAGTCTCGAAGCCCTGTCGTACTTTCGAATGTCTCGTCTCAATGACTGTTCAAAACTCAATTTCCGTCTCATCGTACTAGGTGGCCTGTTCCTTTTCGGAGGAGTGCTCATGTTCTTCGACCGATCGCTGTATGTTTGTCTATACCAGTCGAATATCAGGCCAGCAACCATTTCGCAGACTTCAAAGCTGACCTCTTTCTCCACCATCTCCAGACTCGCGATGGGCAATGTACGCAAGCCCCCAACCACACCCCCCTCTCACAACTTGCGCCAACCAAACTAACCTTCCACGCCCCCAGATCCTCTTCCTCATCGGCCTCACCTTGATCATCGGCGTCCAAAAAACAATTGTGTTCTTCACACGGCCGCAGAAACTCAAAGGCACCGCAGGCTTCTGCGCAGGCATTATTCTCATCCTCCTCCGCTGGCCATTGATCGGGTTTTTCGTCGAATTATACGGGTTATTTATTCTTTTCGGGGACTTCCTCGTGACGATCGGTCAATTTGCCGGTAATATCCCGGTTGTCGGGACTTACATCAGACGCGGACTGGAGATTCTGGCTGGGGAACGGAGTAATGCCGAGTTGCCTGTATGATGGAGGGCGCTGGTGGTCGGTGTCGTGTTATGATTTTCCTTATTGACTCCTACTTGTACATGAGAGCATGATCTGATCTGATTGGGAAGAGCATTGGGGATTGGTGGCCGGGTGCATGGGATTGCGCCCCTGCTGGGGAAGTGTGCATGGCGTGGTGTCAGACGCGGTAGGCGTGATGTTAACGTCTCTCGATTGAGAGGACTTGGGCGAATTAGCTTTTCGCTCCCACGATGTAATTTCTAATGACTCCTTTTTCATTTGCATGGCCGTCTGAGGTCTGAGGACAGGCTCCAAGTTTATAGAGTGTATGCATTCGAGCTTGTAGCGAATGTACAACGCAAGATGATGAATTCTTACGGAAAAGTCTTGGGACCTTATGTACCTGAACGTTAGCTGGGGCTGAGAAGTAAATCGATATGTCACGTCGACCCCGTACTGTTGATCTGCCCAGTCAACTCCAGTCGCAGGGCGGCGATGATACGCGAAGGAGAGACATTCAACCTGCAGAGAATCCCAAACCTGCATCCATAGACGATACCTCAGCTCTCCTCCCCATCGGCGAAAGGCAGACATAGATTAGAGGGTATGTCCCAAAGCTCAAGTGCGATTTATCAGATATGACGGGACAGCAGAGGAAAAAAAATTCTTGAAGGCCCCTTTATTTCATAATTTTCACAGTCCTGCTATCTGGTGACAAGTGAGACGCAGAGTTGAAAAGAGGTTGGGGTGGAACTGAATTGGTGGGAATGGTGCTTGTATGATTATTTATTTAGGGTTGTTGATGTAGTCGATCAGGTTCTCGACGACAGTAGCGGCATTGTTGGTCTGAGCAGATTCACCGTGGACTCCGATCATGGTGCAAGCGCTAGCGCGGACGACAATAGCGCCCTCCTTGCCCTATATAGTTCGATCGCATTGATTCATGGTTAGCGCGGCTCTCCCGGTGACAGTGGTAGCATTCTTCGGTACAAGTGGGTCGATGATGACTTCCCCTTTTGACCGGAGCAGGGGAGGGGGAGAGCGGCGGAGGCGCGGGGGGCATACCTTCTTGCCGTATAGACTGCGCTCGTCGGCCTTGATGCAGACGTACTTAGCACCACCGATGGAGAAACCGTTGGCGAAGGCGTTGGAGCTGGAGGTGAAGGCGGAGGCCAGGGAGTTGATGTCCTCCTGGGAGAGCTATTGGGAATGGCCGCGATTAGCTCACGACAAGTATACGGCGCGGTCGAGAGAATCGATCCGAGGCCAAAATCCGTGAGCCGAAGAGCAGATGTGACATACAGTGAAACCGGGAGAAGCCGCCTCCAAACCGGAGAAATCAGCGGCAAGGACGCCGGCCTTCTCGAATTGACCCGAGCCCATCAGGCTATGGACACAGGCAGGTTAGCGAACGGGTAGGATCCTGAGTGCATCGTAGCCTTTCCGAGTGCGGCGGCAGCAGGCGCTAAGCGACATGGCGATAGACTGGAGCTTGTCATTACCTGGAGTCGACGTATGCTATTCGGAGCGACAAGAAGTGATGTTAGTGAGGGGAAGCTACCACGTCGGGCCGGGGCAGTGACTCGGTGCTGGATATCGTACCTTGCCAAGTTGCGGAGTGAGCACCCATGGTGACGATGTGAGGTTGTGGTGGGGGGGTTGGGGGAGATGAGTTTTTAAATGACGGAAGAAGCGACCGATACGAGCGGAGGCCAAATGTATTATTGAGCTAGATAGGAGAAGAGAAGAAGAAAAGGAGGTTGGAATAGACAAGAGAAAGAGTAGCTTGTGGGAGGTGACGAGGTGTCGAAAAAAGTGGGGTGCTGGACTTTGTCGGACGGTTGAACTCTCTGGCGGTAAATAAGAAAAAAAAAAGAGGAACCCCGCCAAACTGGATTCCGCTGATCGACTAGGCCGGGAAACGGTGAGTGACTACCGGATGAGAAGTGGGATCTTTTGATAACTGGTCCAGATTCGCATCCGCTGCGAACATCTATATACTTCCCTCGGACAGTTCAGGTCAAGGCTTTGCACAAGGGAAGATTGTGTTTGCCTAAGATGATGTTGGTGGCGGACTGGCGGCTGCAGATGACCCTTCCATGCCTTGTTCAGCCTCATTCGAGTAAGGAACTCTAAGACTCCTTCCCGGCTGATTTTCCCTGGCGCCTTTTGTCTGCATGCTTCAACGCATGTCAGGCACCTGCGGCCGCACGTCAGATATCGGGTGCCTGACGACTGTCGGCGATGCGTGTATTTGTCCGAACTGCTCGGTTCCTGTCCGAGTACATCCGTAGGCAGTCAGTTAAACAGTCTCACCCAACACAATGCCACGAGGGCCAAATTGCAAAAGTCTGGTGCACCACTGCCCTGTGGTTGTCGAGGACAAGGTTGATATGACTTGATGGTGGAAAAGGCGGTCTAAGGCCAACCGAAACATGTAGTGTCGGATAATATCAAAGGTGACTCAGTTGTGGTTACCGCATAGGTTTACATGAGTATGACCGTATGCAATCATGCTGTTCATCGCATCATGTTTTGCAAAAGCCTCAGTTCTCACGCGGTTCTGTTCATACTTAAGACTTCTCCAAGGCTTGATCATCCGGGAAATCGAGGTTCATTAAGATTGGATATCCAGCAAAGCCACGGGGTCCATGCGTAGTGTTGACAGGCTGGATGCAAAGACACGAAACGTCGTGAATTCTGCAGATCAATTCTAGGCCGAAACAACCTGATCTGACAAGGACAGGCAACTTCATTCAGATGGGTCGCGACTTGGACTGAACTGAATCAGCAAATGCTTCTGCCACGTCACGAATCAACCTTCCATTCTGCATTCCCTTCACCCATCGCTCAGGCATGGACTCAAACCCGTACACGATCCCCGCCAGACCGCCATATACAGCGCCCGCCGTGTCCGAATCTCCACCGAGGTTAACCACCGCCAAGGCACCTTCTTCCCAAGAATCGTATTTGAAAAGGGCCCAGAGAGCCACCTCTAGCGTATCCACCACCCAGCCGCTGCTCGTCATGTCGACCGGAGATTTCGCTCGCCAATCCTGCACAGAGATATACTGGCTGAGGCGAGAGACGAGGGCGGGGTGCTGGAATTGAAATTGACCGATCGCTTGACCAAGACCTTCCTTCGAACACCCTGTTGATGAGTGGGGTCAGTATCGAATGAAAACAACCTCGAGATTCAATTCCTGCGAGACCCTCGGTAGTCAAGATGAATAGGGTCGATCGACATACCACTCATGGCCATACACACCAGCTCAGTGTAAGCTTCACAGGCCTCTAAGCATGCCAGCGAGGGGTGCGTGACCATGCTCTGCTCGCGGGCAAGCTTCTTCGCCTGGCCAGGACTCTCCCAGAGCGCAATTCCAAGTGGAGAGATCCTCATCAAGCTCCCATTACCGGAGGCCTCCTCGCGGGTTAGCTCCTCATTCACTAGCATTTGGGTGGTGTTTGGATCTCTTAAAGCTCCTCGTTTTCTCCATTGCCTCAAGGCGACGCGAGTGGACCGCCCGAGATCCCAGGCTCGGTCAGTCGTACTGAATCGGCCAAAATTGAACCAGTCGAGGTAATACCTGATCGACAGGGCATGGTTATAATAGCCATCTGAATCTACGAAGGACTGGGCCAGCGCGAGGGTCATGGCACCGTCATCGGAATAAGATCTATCGAGTGTGAGCAAGTAGACCAAGATTCCCCATGTGCGGGAACGAGATGCGATATATACCCTGAAGGTTGTTTGAATGGCCTCACAAACTCGAGATCCGTAATGGGCTTGAAGGTGCCGGGATTGCTGAACTGGACGGGGCCGCCGAGAGCATCACCAATGCAGACACCCCAGATAGCGCCTAGGGCTCGGTCATATGTGGTTCGGGGCATATCGTGAGAGAATATTCTGAGATAGCTGAGTGTGCGAGCGGAGAAAGTGGCAAGTGAAATCAGTACTGAGAAATATGTTTCGAGGACTCGAAAGTATGTGGGACGCTGGCGTCGTGGGCGATGAGCAGCTGATGGCACAGCCGCAATGCGGGCTCAGCGCAATGCCCCAGAGATCCGTCATCCCCGCAAACCTTCCAGTCTGTGAAGGCTGAGTGCGGCTCAATCAGTGGGCTAGAAGACGATGACCAGCGGGGTTCAGGGGCTTTCATAGTTCGATGAGGCTCAAGTGACGCGGTGACGCGGTGCTCGAGTATGCAGGGCCTGTGACGCGAGAAGGACAAACCAAGCTCGCAAGTTGGCCTTGTTTTGCACGGTTGGAATGGCCATGGCGCTTCGCCGAAAGATATCCGCAAAACAGCCCAGTGAAATTCACGTGCCCAGATACTGAAGGCCGATCAGCACCTGCCAGGCGAGAGGTTTGTCGCAGTGTCACTGTGAGAGCAGGCTTCGCGAACATGTCACGGGTGTCTCACCGTCTCTCACGTGCCTGGACATCCAAGCTTCCCTGCCGTCGGTGTTCTGAGGTTCAATCCCACCTCTGGAAGGTACTGGTACTTGAGGTGCAAGTCATTCTAATCATGAGTGTCAACACATATTTAGGAGTTGATTGAGATGCCCGTTATGTGACTGGGATGATTCTGCAATTGCTGTCTTTTCTGTCAATGAGGCATCCTATGGGATCCAAGGCCGTCCAAACTTCCCAAAGGTTTGCATGATTGGAATCGCAAGTTGTTCAACGACACACGAGCTTTTGAGGTCTGATCAGAATCTAGGATGTCGTGGGCAATATGGATCTCATGTATACACACATTATTGCCACAACCGTCACCAAGCGTGTTTGTCAAACTTACTTGATCTACTACTGGGCCTGATGCTATCTGATACCGGCGAGTCCTAGATCCGAGCGCGAACCGACTGATCACCACGAGACTTTGTGACCTCCTTTCAGGGCTCAACCTTGATCGGCCTCGTTGAGATGATCGCCAGTCTGCCTATGGCACGCGACTATGCTCGTCTCACATGTAGTCGCTGTCGCGTGGGAAGCATGAGAATGAAACCCTTCGAGAGCAACCCACACTCACCTCAAACCTGCGCATTGACCCTTTGTGTCTCTGCTTCCAGGAATAGATACCAGGAAATAACAATCAAGCTTTACGTCCAGGTGTTGCGCGATGATCGTCAGTCATATTGCATCTCAGTTTGAGGGGGGTGCATCTGGGTGGTGCCACACATTCTGCGGACCAGACTTGCACGTTCTCGGTACCTCTGAGCCATTGCAAGTTTTGATGGTTGGGTTGTCTCATACTGAATTACAGAAGCTGGACCCTGTAATTCTTCCGAAAAGAACATGAACTGCCTTTCCGATCTGGCAGATATGGGCATTGCGGGGAAGAGTGAAGGACATTTGTGGCACTGTTATTCGAAACTCGCATTGCGGGCAATACATCGGAGCGACACACTCAACCTGAGACGAACTGTGCGTCGGTGTCCGATCGATGGTACTCCAGATTTCAATAGTACGACTGGGAAGCATTCAGGGTCTCGACAGACACCAGCTCCAGGATTCGTGCTTGCGGGGGTTGGGAAAGGTGTCGTATAGTACCTACGTATGCAATGACATGCATTGTCCATGCAAGTTCGCTCATGCAGTGGTCTCTCAGAGGTTTCGTACCACATCAGCAAAGCTCCCTTTTTCTTGGAGACAATTCGTGGACAAACGGTACAAACGATGCAATCGCAGACATGACACAGTCTGGGTTTGAAGGAGACCGACTTCTGACTCGCCATTGGCAGCACACGGTCGGTTGAAGCGGAAATGACAGTTGCGCCCGTTTCGAAGAGGCTGAAACTTGAGCAGTCTCGGCGGGTCGGCCTGGAGGATGTTTCATTCGGCGGTCGTGCCTTTAACACCATCCCGCTGGACGGATGTCACAGCTCATCGACGCCGGATCGCGTCCTCGACTGGAGACTTCTCATCGCTACGAACACCGTAGAACCCTTTTCTGCAAGCAGAACCTTGCGTTCTGAGGATGAACACAATCTCGGTGATTTAATCGAAAAAACCGAGCAACACCCTTTTTCTGGTCTTTCCAATAGAAGCGAACGTCATCTCCGGTGCGGAGGGCAGTTGCTCGCGTTGGACATAAGACCGATCAGGATTGAACGCTAAGGCGAGGTCAAAGTCTGACACCACAACCACCATCTATTAGACTACACATGCAATCTCGTACCCTTGCGAATCAGCTCTTGTGCAACAATGCGATTCAATTTCCAGGCGCGCTCCACTTTGGACTTGGAAATTACTTCGGCCCCGCCTCGATGAATAGCCCCCACTGCTGGCTGGAAGCATCCCCGTTGGACCAGCGCACACTGAAAACCGCGGTTCAGGCTCAGATCAAACGCGCATGAGACGCGATCGACTTGGAGATCCGAGTTTCGCTGCTGTCGTGAAACTAATGTCGATGGTAAGAATAGAAATGGAGGCCAACCCTGCTCAAAGTAGCAAGAAAGCACAATCGGTGTGAGGCTGTGAGCTACGTCCGGTGTGACGTGATGCAATTGACCGACATGGCTAGCTTGTATGACCTCCAGCCAGAGACCGCACTTGATGAAGGTAATGCCGGGAAATGAATGGCGGCGCCTCTCGGTCGATCAACGTGTCCCGCCGTTGGCATGTTGCATATGGTTGTCTCAGGTGCAGTTTACTAATTGCCTGGTGCGATTCCGTCGCCCCGTTCCATCTCCACCCACTCAAACGATATTATCCACGGGATGGATCGCTTGCAAACATTGGGCTGGCCCTGGAATGAGGACATTAAGGCTCTTTAAAGATCTGTCTTAGCCCCCGGACCTCGCGCGAGCTTGACGAAAGTACCCCTGAGCCTTTGTTTCCACTCGACCTTCTGGAAGGTCGTCCATTCGTTTGCTTAAGATCCGGCATCTGAGCGGAGGCATCCTAATCGTGGCGTCCAAATCCACGAGGCTCCGCGCTTTCTCTTCGTACCGCCGGACGTGCGATTCGTAGAGCACCTATTTGTTAACTTTCGACAATCACGCGACAAGAAAAGCATCCCTTCACGACTCTGACGTGGAGTCGGAAATCCTTGGGCTTCGATATCGACTCTCAGTGACGGAATGACCTCCTCCACTACCTTTGTGAAGACGAAACCTCATGCCGTCCTTGGCATGGATACGATCTCATTCCCAGTGATGACATATTCTGGTGCATTGCCAAAAAGTTCCCTCGAGGACCTATATCACCATTCTCGGCGGCAGCCAAACATGGAGTCGACAGCCAAGGAAGCAGCCCTTCAAAGCAACTATACCTTTGGAAACTCCACCCATAGCCAAGTCATGGGCTCGAGCTCCTTGACCACGTTCGATTTTCGAGTCTTGCCGCCGCCAGACGAGGTTTTCCCCTCGCAACCTGAATCAGCCGATAGTCCGCAGGGTGTACCGCGGATAGGACTCGCTCTGGGAAGTCCAAGAATGCTCGATCATCGAGATGATTTGTCTCCTCCACAATTCCGAACGGAGATCTTCACCAAACAGCAAGTTGTTGCACCATCGATCTCACGAAAACCGAGCAAGTGGAAGAAGATCGGGGGCCTGTTCAAAGCAAAGAATGCCCTGGCGGTACCAGTTCCCCATCTGGGAGACTCTGCCGCGCAGGTTCCCCGTCTTCAAGTGAACGACGGGGCGCCAGAACGCTTATCGACGGATGAATGGCCTAAATTTGGACCGAATTTCACTGGAGCAGGGTCGTCTCAGAACGGCCTTCTACTGGCAGTGGATATTCCAGCTGCGCAGATGGAGCGGTACAGTGTGATGTTCGATCAAGTGATGAGGCAGAACGGCCAAAGGCCCTCACTATTAACGAGAAGGCGCAAGACTTTGGACAATCTCCGTGTGCCAAGCAATGAGGTACGATAAGCTGAGTGGAAGTGACAAAGTCCCCGAGCTTCCATTTGTTGTTCTGGCTGGTCAACGTGCTAATTTCTCTTCTTTGCAGGCTTTCTTAAGCACAAAAAGACCTCCAGTTCCTCAGCGCAGGGCGACCTCGCCTGGGCGAAGCAACTTTTCTCTCTTTCCAAGTACGCAACCGGCCAAGGTGATACAAGGCCCGGGCACGCAAAACTTCTCCCGAGGGCCAAGTCCACTGCCCAGGTCAAATACTTTACCAGTCGATACCTGCTCTGATATAGGCGAGCAAACTCCGCGACCGACCCCAGATGATTTCACAGATGGGCCCTGGGACATTTCCCGCGTTCGTCGCATATTCGGCTCGCCTCAGTCCACACCACGAGGTTCTCTTGACAAGGCTCTGCCGAACATCAAATCAAAGCTGCCAGCTCAGACGACCCACTTGCAGGGGGGATCTTCTCTGTCCGTTGCGCATAATATGCAAGACATTGCCGGCAGGAGTCGATGCGATAGCATCCAATCAGACACTGGCGAAGCTAAAGTGCTCCCACCAACTTTGCCTTTTGCCGACCCTGCAAGACCATCTTCTAGTGACGACCAAGCGAAGAAGCGACTCGCACTGCCTGGAACAAAGTCAAGACGCCGTTCGTACAGCCTGGGACCACCTCGTACATCCGCCACTTCTCCGGGTACTGTAAAACCACCACAAGGAAATCCTGCACATCGGTTCCAGTCTTCCGACAAAGCGGCATCATCACAAACCTCGACCCCGCCTCATCAACAACGCAAAGGCTCATTACAAACAACCATGATGCAGCAAGTCTGTTCATCCGAACAATCATCCTCACCAAAACAGTCAATGATACACAAGACATCCGCATCGCCTCCCACACAGCTTCCGAAACCCATCACGAAGCCTGTGACCAAGGCAGGCCGCCCCCAACTGCAAATCGCAACCAATACCCGCATGCGCCCAACGCTGCAAATCCCCAACAACTCATTGTCAGATTCATCGGCCACTCGCTCCCTCTCACAATTACGTCCAAATACCAACACTTCCTCTCTAAGCACCCAATCTCACCAAGCACATTCTCCTACCATTAACATCAGAGCCCCAAGTCCACACTCAGCAGGCTCTTCGGGAATCCTATCCCCGCGCATGCCTCTGGCCACAGACCCCGACGAGATCGACGAAGAAGAAACCGATCAATCTAGCAAACTCCCCGTGGTCGAAGTCTCCATTGCACGATCAGTATCCGTCTCCCGGGCAAAGCGTCAGATACTCGTCCCGGTTGGTGCACGCGTGGACACACTTCTACCCAAGGAGCGCGTGGTTGAACGTGGTCCTATGATGCCACGGATAATGGATACGAGTATCCGAAGTAAACATGCCGTATCGCAGCATCTCCAGGTTGAGTCGTTTTTATGATGGATGTTTGATGAGAGAAGATGGGTGACGGTCTTAAGTTACTTTTCTTCTGTGTTTCTTCCTCGCTTGTGGGCCTTCTTCGATGAGCGTATATCTCAAGCCTGGGCAGTCCTTCGGTTTGGGCCTCCTTCATCATGATTGAGCGTTTACATTGGCATTGTGTGAGTTTATTCTTTCTTATCAAATTACACATTCGACCTGGGAATCTCGATCTATGTACGAGTATGCATGCACAATATTGTAAATAGATGGGCTATTTCCCATTTTGTCTGAATTGCGATTCCGTGCACTTGACTTTTCAGACACTTCACATCTTTCGAGATGGTCTCACCTGACACGCAAGTTTTTGCAAGAGCCATACAACGTTGATTAAATATAGGTAGCACCTGGGACAAGGATCCCGCTATATATTAACAACACATCTATGACATGAATGCTCAGTCTTTTGATCAATGCACTCGAGAAAGAGGGGGCATTCCCCATATATACCTGCTGACCGGTCTCTGGCCTGTGTGAGAGTTGAAGACAGTGGAAGCCAAGTCAACCTCCACTCGTGATACAAATACATTGCAAGACGATTATGCAGTATCGTCTTTCAGGCTGACGCTTGAAGAAGGCTCCACCACCTGGGTAGGCACCGTTTGCGTCGAAGTGCCTGAAGCGGATGCAACTTCGACTTCAACGTTGGACAAATTCCACTGCATGCCAGGATACGAGTCACTGATGAGCTTCACATTGACCCGCGTGACACCATTACTGGTCAGGGAAAGGTTTTGAACAAATGCAGCACTCGGGAATTTGACCAGTGAGCGTACAGTGAGCGAAGCGTTGGCATTGCGCCCTCTGCCACTAGCCGCACCGCCACGGCTTGAGCCAGGCGCTGCACCTCCGCGGCCTTGAGATTTGCCATTATGTCCAGTTGAGGAAGACCATGAGACACGCTTGAGACCGAGAAGCTCGCCGTCAGAACCATCTGGACGAGCACTGCATACAATTAGGAAGAAGCCCTCGGTTTGTGGCTTGGGGAACTTCGGCGCGTAGATACGATATTCGGGGTTGGTGGGATTGTTGTGGCGCGTAATAGAGACACTCAGACCCTTTGGAGAAATGCCAGCGACAGCAATAGACACATTCGGCAGGTTATTGGCCGCCTTGCTGAAGCCCGGGTGCAGGTTGAGCTTCTTGACCAGATCAAAGAGTGTAGACTTTGGCTGCGAGGATAGCTTGACCAAAGTACCGGGAAGCCCACGAGGTGGCTTGTCAGCTTGGATACCGGGAAGGATAGATAGCGCATGATCATCTGGCCAGCGTGCAGATTTGATACACTGCAACAGAGCGATGAACATTTCGCACGCGGGGATGAATCCAAGTTCAGCCATGACATCGATAGACGCTTGGATGATACGAATGCCTTGGTCGAGGACAGACGTTTGATCACCGACATAATCGGAGATTGGGAGATCAATGCGAGACATATAAGCTTGCAGCAAGAGGAACGCCTTGACGTGGGGATCCCACATTGGAATATCGCCCATGGACTCCGTAGAAAGCGGTAGGTTTTGTGCCAGTTCAGCGTTGATGAGATCTTCATTGTGGCGGACTGGCAATTCGTCAAATTCGGTAGCAGAGCACATCCAGCTAAGAACATCTTGGAAGGAGGGCTCTCGCTTGGCATGTGACATCAGGTACCTGATGGTCTTGTGGGAAAGATAGTAGTAACTCATGATCTTGCCAAACGGCGTCGAGTCCACTTCACCAGTTGCAGAGTCCACCAAGACACAGGAAGACTCTGCCAAGTCATTAAGCGAATTATCAACCAACTCAATCATAAACTCTTGGGCAGTAGCATGCGCCGCCATGGTGTTTTGCTCTTCCGCGGAGATCTCGAGGCCGTAATATGAAGGGTTCTTGTGGAGACGACGGAAGAAGAATGTCCATGTCAGATAATCAAGTGCATCCTGTTTCGTGCCGATCGTTCCGGCGGATACTTCAGCGCCCAAGTGATTGTCAAGCACTTTGTGCAAAGTTGACTCCACGGGGAAACCGGTGTGTAAGAAGTGCTTGTAGAACGCCTTCTTAGAATCCTGGGTGAAGATACGTGCAATGCCTGAGTTGTCGAACTGGGGACGGCCAGCGCGACCAAGCATTTGAAGAACATCGGTCAAATCCATGTCACGATAGCCTTCAATCTTGGCGTCAAAAAACTGGGTGCCCTTGACCACAACGAGATGGGCGGGAAGATTGACTCCCCATGCCAGGGTACTGGTGGCCACCAGGATCTGGATTTTGTTGTTAGCGAAAAGCTCCTCTGCTAGTTGCCTGTCAGACTCGACAAGACCGGCGTGATGAAGGCCGATTCCAAAGTTGAGCGCCTCTCGCAATGCATCATCCTTGACTCGTGCCAGGTTCAATTCCAAGTCTTCCTCGGACATTCGCACGAATCGACGAGGATTGTCTTCCATGCCACAGTAGTTGATCAGGTCTTTAGCCGTCAAACGGGTTTGTCGACGGGACGCGACAAACACAATCACTGGTTTCTCGGGCGAATGATTCTTAATGGCCAAAAATGTTGGACGATTCATGGATTGCATGAGAGGACAGAATCCACGCTGCTCCGGGAAACCGTCAATGAAAATCTCAAGTGGGACCGGACGGACAGAGTGTCGGAAGTTGTACAATCCTTCCTTGACACCGAGCCAATTTGCGAGGTCGGTGGCGTTTGCACAAGCAGTGGACATGCCCATCAGTCTGACAGATCCCTTGGATTGGGAGGCAATGTAGTTCATACGAGATACAATGATCTCTAAGATAGGGCCTCGGTCACCTCCGAGAAGATGAATCTCGTCGATGATAACAAGGCTAACCTTGCGCACATAGTCTCGAGTCTGCCAGCTACGCGAGATACCATCCCATTTCTCAGGGGTGGTGATGATAATGTCCGCGTCTCTGATGGTTCGGGTATCCGGCGTATTGTCACCAGTCAGCTCAACTAGCTTCAAGCCCATCGGGCCTGTCAGACGTTTGCGCCAATCCTGGACACGCTCGCGAACGAGAGCTTTCATAGGAGCAATGTAGACGACCTTGGAGCCAGGTTTCTCACGGAAGGCCCACCACATAGCCAATTCTGCGGCAACAGTCTTACCACTACCGGTAGGAGATCCCAGAAGCACATTGGAAGCGGTGTGATAAAGAAGGTGGAAGATCTGAGTCTGCATGGGGTTGAAGAATTGGAATCGCTGACCGTACACCTCCTCAAGTATGGGGTTTTTGAGCGCGGAGATGGGAAGCGGCTGCAAGTTGAGGAGATCGGTGTAGACACTCTCAGTGTCGGGACGAATCAGATGCTGGAAGGACACGGGACTGACGGTCTCAGCGCCTAGCCAGCGATCCGAAATAATCCGAATATAGATCTGACTGGGCAGTGGATCGGAAAGCGGAATAGTAAAATTGAGTTCATGGTCATCGTAGAGCTTCTTGCGGCTAAGAATGAAATACTCATGATGGTAGATCTCCGAGGTCTCTGAGTTCTCAACCCATACCCAGAAGGATTCAGAGCTTCCATGGTGACGATCGTTCCAACTAAATTCAGGATAAATCAAAAGCCGGATTCGCAAAACATCCCTGTTCAGGGGTGCAATCTCAGTTTCGACGCTCAGAGTGGGGAAGTTGTCCAGTAATTTGGTCAGAGTCTTGCCCATCTTTTGATTATGGACAAGCTGACCGATCTCTGCCGAGTCCATTTCCCGCATGGACTCGATTGATGATGTGGGGAGCCTCTCATCCAAGTTTCGCAGGACAGGCTGGGGCAAGTCGAATTGATGGAATGGATGGTCAAAGGGCCAAATTTGCTTCTCAATCGACTTGCACATTGAAAGCAGAACCTGGCACTGATAGCCCCAACGACGATTCAAAGCGATCATGAACAACGCTCGACAAATGCGGGCGGCATTCTGGGCAACGTAGCCTGTGTCAGAGACAAGGGCAAAGTCCTCAATCCGAGCACGAGATATGTATGATTGCAGTAGAATGTTTGTCTTTGCGTGAGGGGAATCGTTGCCACCTTCAACTTCTGTCTGCACAACCTCGTCGCGAAGTCGTTGCAGCTCCTTCGACTCGCTGTCTCGGGCTTGAATGTTGTCAAATTCACCGCTCAAACTGATCATCCGGAGAACATCTGCTTCGCCAGATTGAGGGCGCATCTGGTCATTAAAAATTTCGATACTTGTCTGCAGAACATAATATTGGCTTGCAATACGTCCAACATCCTTGGCCTTCAGATCTTCCGTCTTTTCATTATAGATGATCATTTGACTTTTTTGCAGCGTTTGCGCAGCCTGAATGATCAGCTGTCGCCGTCTTTGCACGAGCATTGGGTCATCCCTCAGTTCCGCGTACTCGATACCGTAATTGCGAGGTTCACGCTTCATGCGAACAAAGAGGTACGAATAACCCAACCACTGCACGGCTTCAGAAATGGACGTCACGGTGCCAAGTGCAATCTCGGCATTCAGGTTATCAACAAGACGACTGGAGAACTTCGACTCAATAGGCTGTTGGGCTGTCACGGCAGACAGATAGTGCTGCAATTTGTCATGCGTGGTGCAAATGAAACCGATACCAGTATCTTGAAATTGAGGACGACCAGCACGACCAAAGATTTGAAGGACATCGAGAATAGACAGGTCAACGAATTTACCTTCCTGTGGGTTGTACAGCTGGGTTCCCTTGATGACAACGGCTGCGGCTGGTAAGTTGACACCCCAGGCGAGAGTTGCCGTACAGCACAGGACTTTGATCAGCCCCTCGGAAAACATCCGCTCCATGAGGTTGCGGTCGCTTCGGCTCATGCCGGCATGATGCGTACCAAAACCGCTTGCGAATATGTCACGAAGCTCTCGAGCTCGCGCATGCTTCATGTCACGCAAAGCGTTGGAGTATCCTTCGTGATCTTGACAGCTGAACAAGTCCTCGCAGCCTTCTTCTGCAGCCAGTTGCTTGAGCAGCCGTGCAGTTAGAACGGTGTCTTTGCGAGAGTGAACAAAGACCATAACCTGGTGACCTCTTTCCACCATGTCACGGACCTTTTCAAACGCAACGACATCCAGGTTTTCACGAGATTGCTTCGATCCCGGCTTACCCTTGACGCCGATGAAGTGCTGCTCTAGTGGTACTGGTCGGAATGAAGAATCGAAGAAAAACAGTCCTGCCATCTTATTGACCTTCAGGAAGTCTGCCACATCTATGTAATTGGGTAGCGTGGCAGAGAGACCGACAATGCGAATCAGCGATTGAGTGCTCTCCACTTGTCGTTGGGTTCGAGCCACCAAGGATTCGATCACAGCACCACGCTCGTCGTGAAGCATGTGAACTTCATCAATAATGAGCAGTCGGACTTTTTGAACAAGCTCGGTATCGCCTGTACTTTTGCGCGTCACAACGTCCCATTTCTCAGGGGTTGTGACGATGATTTGAGTCTCGACAATCTCTCGTTTCGTCAGTTGCATATCACCCGTGAGCTCACGGACCTGGATACCCAGCCACGCCAGTCGCTTGCCCAGCTTCTCGGTGACCTCGGCAGCAAGAGCTTTCATAGGAGCCACGTAGACAATTTTAAAGTCATCTACTTGAACGGTGAACTCAGTGGCATCGGGCACTTCGAGCGGGTTTGGAGAAGTGTTCTTCCCGATCGCGTTCAAAATTGTGAGCATTGCGGCATCTGTCTTACCAGCACCAGTGGGCGCACAAATGAGCATGTTCTCATTTGTTTTGTAAGCGACATCATACAACAAGCTCTGCATTCGATTGAGTGACTTGTAGCCCTTGAAGGTTCCCCGACAAAGGCCATCTAGGCCAGCAATCTCTACAAGCTTTTGGTTAGGACGCACTGCTCCCACGCTGGAAGCTGGAATCTCAAACTCCGTATACTTGGGCTCTTCGATCTCCCGACTGCCGATTGGGAGACCATACTTCCGGCCGTTTGAAGAGAGTAAATTTCCGGAGGTATGAAGTTTGTAGACATGCGGGTATTGAGGTTCGGTGCGGCTTTGCGCAGCCAACAACGGAGCGTTCTTGTGTTGCCAATCACGCTCTCGCAAGGCCTGTGCTCTCTCTGCTCGAGTTTGGAGTTTGCCCGAAGCCAGTCCGTCGGTTTGTGCTTCCCCTTGCCGAGGCTTGTCTGACAAAATTTCGCCGCGGTGAGCGATGAGCTCGATCACCAGATCCAGGTCGTCGAACCCGACTACTTCAGCGAGCGACATTTGCAATTCAGCATCATCACTGTCCGTGGCGAGGGTGGCGATAATTTGCTGCGACAATTCCTCGGCATTCATCGTCGGGTTTCGCATGACCACGTCGAGGCATCGTTCTTCCAACCATGTTCGATCGTACGCCTTTGACTGCGAGGGAGCAGAGTAGTCGTGCACATCGGCAGTGTCGTCCAAGCCGCTATCCTCCTCGTCATCGGAGCTGATGATGTCCCACACATCGTCAACGGTTCCTGGCGAGGAATAATCGTCGTCAATATCCAAGTCGATATCACTTCCATAACTGATGGATTCGATGTTCTGATCATTCGGCAGCTTCAGGTCTGCAATAGCCTGGCGCATCGCAGCCAGCTGTGACAGCCATTGCGACTCGGTACTTGATATATTGTCCATGATTGACTGAAGTTGCGGACCTTGGTCAAAAAGAAAAACCGACTTGTGGGTACCGACATAAACCAAGCAAGGTCTTGCCGGAGAGGCCCTGATATTTATGAACTCATCGGCCAAGCCTGGAAGTACCGGGGTCCCAAGCGGGCGGGCGTGCTCCACTGCAAAGCTCGGCGGGGTCTTGGGCGGTCTGGAAGAACAGGATATGTTTGCCTGAGGCGTTCATTGCGGAGACTTGAGACTTGGTGCCATCATCGTAGGCTATCAGGAGTCGGGCCTGCCATTGCATCCTCCAGGCCCGCAGCTCCCTTTGAAAGAAACGATCACGCGCCAGCTGTCTTTCAGCGTCAATCTTGTCGCCTAGCTTTCTGACGCCATATATAACACAGTATCTGGACACGGCCTGAGCCCGTTGCTTTCAAGTCGGAGTGTCTACTTATCCTACCTCCGAATCCTTCTAAGCTTCCCCGCCACCATGAAGATTCTCTATATGGGAGTAAGTGAACGACGTTGAGATCAACCGTTTCGCGACCTTGAATCGGTAGTCAAGTCATACTGACGCTCCTCCGCTGTGCTAGGTTCTCCGGAACGACTCCCAACCCGCTGTTCAACTTTGCGGAGAGAAAGATCTGACTAGGTTAGGGGTCACTGCTTCTTGTGTGTCTTCCGAAAGACGGTGTATGCTAACCGATATTCCTTAGCTTCTCTCGTTTCACCCGTCAAAAGTATGTTTATTTTCGCTTTCCGAATTGATTGGCTCGAGGCGCCGTCTAAGACTAAGTGATTACAGCTATGAAGAGTTCATGATGCTCTTCACCAAGACGGTCGCCGAGCGGACAAAGCCCGGGCAACGTCAGGACATTGAGGAGAAGTCGTATACATTCCACGCTTACGGTCGTACTGAGGGTGTTGCCGGTGTCATCGTCACAGACGGAGAGTACCCTGCGCTCGTCGCGCACCAGCTTCTGTCCAAGATCGTCGACGAGTTCCTCGCCAAACATCCCCGCACATCCTTCTCCGACCCGTCCCTCCGAGAGAATGCCTGCCCTCTCCCCCAGTTGAAGGAATACATTGTGAAATACCAGGACCCGAGCCAGGCCGACAGCATCATGAAGATCCAGCAGGAGCTGGATGAGACCAAGATCGTTCTGCACAAAACGGTACGTGCTGAGGACGGGCTGGCTTGGTCTATTGCAAGCACGATCTCTGTCGAAAGGGTTCCTAAATTGCTGTGTGGTGAAATTTATACTAATGTCCTTTCTCCAGATCGAGAGTGTGTTGGAACGCGGGGAGAAGATTGACTCTTTGGTGGCCAAGAGTGACGGCCTGTCAGCCCAAAGTAAGATGTTTTACACACAGGTATGTGATTCGACTTTTATATCCTTGGGTGCTTTCTCTGACAACCTTCCAGGCCAAGAAACAGAACTCTTGCTGCATTGTCATGTAGATGTGATGATTTTGGTTTGCCCTCATGAGCAATGTCTTGCCTTCGTCTTCAGTCTAAATGATTCATGTAATTGAATTGGGCATTCATGCACCACGATTCGAATTGAAATTTGACTCTGGTTTTTGGCGCGAGCTCCCGTCTTCTCTCCGGTACTCCAGGCAACCTGTCTCCTACGTTCGGTCGGCTGAGTAGGGACTGACCACCGGGTGCTGATGCATTTCAAAGACCGACTTCCGACCGCCCAGCATTCTACCTGTGGTGCATGGCCATAGACGACCTTTCGATTCGCCGGGGGTCCTGCCAAAATCTTGCTCTGGTACGAAGAAGACAAACATCCAGAGCTGCCATACCGATACATCGACTGGCGTTGAAGAGTGCAAGAAGCTACGCTTTATATCGATATCCTGGCATGCATCAGGCGGACACCTGCCCGTTGTGCTGGCTCCTTCCCAAGGGCTGTCCCAGCCTGCAGAATCCATCTCCTTTGTAGATTGTGTGGTCTCGTTCATTTCAGTTCAGGGAGCGAATCGAGCCGAAATTGCGGCAAAGACCATGTAGCGTACCAGAATGATGCAGCGTCATCATCGCCGCATGTCGGTTCATGGTTTCGAGGAAAACTCTCCAGCCATGACGTGAATTCAAAGCATCAGTACCGCTTCTCGCTTTTGCTATTCATGCTTTTCAAAGCTTCAGAGCAAGCTTGAATCTTCGAGGACATGCCTTTTGGCAGATGCAATCCATTTCCGCGGCGACATTGGTAAATGCTTTACATGTCATCCTGAGCACCGGTTTGTGCTAAATCCCCGGGCATTCAAATGTCTGGATCACCTAGACCCCAAATATGGACCCCGCAATTCGGTCGATCCCGTGTATGAGCCAGCTGCGTTGTCCCAATATCCGACCGCTCTGACATGGGCACATCCAGCCCTCTCTCTAGATGTCACACCGATCAAGCTTGTGGGAACAGACAGGATTCTTGAAATCAGGAGGCCCCGCTCATTTCTTCTGGGGCAGTCTTGTGTCGCACAAGCCAGTGGGTCAACCTTGGCTTCACATGGCTCTTTACGCTTCTGTGCAGTGAACACGCATTCAGGTACGCTTCAGTATATACTAGACAGTAGACAGTATATTGTATATACTGCCTCTAGACATTCGCCCAGGACCTGCGTTTGAGCTTTTTGAGTCATGGTCGTTCGATGTAATTTATGCTAGTTATCTATACCACCTTCCTAGGTAGAAGACCGGGCTGGGGGCAACCACGCGCATTAAGGCCGCACTGTCGCTGAGTCGAGGGCCACGGCGCAAGCTCGTGACATGCATCGAGCATTATCCACGCGTTTACAGTCAAGTGGAATGCGTGCAAGCGAGGACTCAACCTTGAGCTCGAGATAGTGCAGAGGTCTGAGAGAAGAGTGACCGAGCGTCAGATGGAGACGTTGTGTATAGTGGGACCTTGGCAGTCCACATTCACAGATCAAGCACTAAGTACCACAACGGTCAGCCTGCGAGACTTCCGACTGGATGGAGAAATTCTCAAGATTTTGTCAACCCGGAGACCGACGGCGATGTTGAGCGCAGGCTTGAGCAACTGTAGTTTGCAGGCAGTCATTTCGGCTTAGGTCGGAGAACAACATATCCCGTGTGCATATTGATGTTGCAATGGGTTGCGCGTACACCAGATCAGTACTGCTTGCAATTGGTGTATGAAGAAAAGACCACGTAGGTACTTTTTGCCCGCGAGTCGAACGCAAGCACGGTGATTCTACCAATTCCGACACCAAGTTTGCAGCAGGGCAACCGAGGCCAGCAAGTTTTGAGAACATACTCTCTTAAGGTCGCTTTTGCAAGCGGGATGCCACGGATCGCACATATTAAGCAAGCGCCTGTTCCGTGAGGAAAAGCAACTTACAGCAACGAGTCACCTCGGTGGCTTGCCTCGATCGGAAGAAAGGTGAAGCTTTTCCAAGTGCCCCAGGCTTGGTGAACATGCAACCACATCTGCTTCTCCGCCCACGTGTCAGGAACGGCTCCAGGAACAACAACGCGGTTCCATTCGGCAGACATCCCACGCTCGGACCGAAGTCCCCAGATGGGACTAGCGACCTGCACTTCTGACTTTGCAGCTGGACAGACATGATTCGAAGCTAAGATAGATTAAATGATTCCGAAATGGAGTCGTCGACTGTGCGTGACGATCCAGTCCGAACACGATCCGGTCCTGCAGCGGGCAAGCCACCATGCCGATCGCATTGAAGAAGCCAGTGCGGGCAAGCAGCGTGTGATTTGTTGTGGGAATGATTGGCCTACATTCTGACTAGCACTGGCGTGAGGCTGGCCGCCGGAAGTGATCTCGACAGTGATCACGGCCGGTTATGCGGCAGGTCGCCTCCGACTATATAAGGCGACCATGTCGAGGCGAATGTTACATGTTTGGAGATACAAATCGGCAGGCAATACACTCAAAGGCTTCTCTACAGAGAACCGAGGCTCAAGATGGTTGCGGGATCACTGTCATTTGTCAAGGCTTTGCCTCTGCTGGCGACCTCTGTCTTTGCGTCGACTTATCCTCCTATTCCCAGTGATCTAACGACGCCTTACCAGCAGCGCCTCGCTATCTACGGTCCCAATGGTAAGGAACATGTGCCCCTGGACAAGGAGGTCTTTCAGAGGCTAGGGGATCGCACGTATCGACGTCCCCCTTAGTGGTACCGGCCATAAGCTAATCTTCTGTGATCGCAGCTGTGTCCGTGGGATGGAATACCTACGAACAAATGAGCCAAAGCTGTGTCGACTTTGGTACTTCTCCCACCAGCCTGACCTCGCGGGCCTGCACGGAGGGCTCTAGCACGTACGCCACATCTCGTACATGGTCCAACTATGCTATCTTGACCGGGTTGAAACCGGCGACGACCTACTACTACAAAATTGTATCGACCAACTCGACTGTGGACCACTTCCTCAGCCCCCGTACACCCGGCGACAAGACGGCCTTCAGCATGGACGTGGTGATCGATCTGGGCGTGTACGGCAGCAACGGATACACGGCAAACAAGCGCGACACAGTTCCTGTCGTCGAGCCCAATCTGAACCATGCGACCATTGGCGCTCTTGCACGGACCGTCAATGATTACGAGATCGTAATTCACCCCGGCGACTTTGGCTACGCCGACGACTGGTACTTGAAGATCGGCAACCTCTTCGACGGCAAGCAAGCCTACCAGGCCATCTTGGAGCAATTCTACGAGCAGCTCGCGCCCATTGCGGGTCGTAAGCTGTACATGGCTAGCCCCGGTAACCACGAGGCTGACTGCTCCGAGATTCCGTACCTGCTGGATCTGTGTCCCGAGGGCCAGAAGAACTTCACCGACTTCATGCACCGATTCGAAAACACCATGCCATCGCCCTTTGCGTCCTTGTCTTCCAACACCACGGCCCAGACGCTGGCCGCCAAGGCCAAGAGTCTGGCGAACCCTCCCTTCTGGTACTCGTTCGAATACGGCATGGCGCACGTTGTCATGATCAACACCGAGACGGACTTTGACGGCGCCCCCGACGGTCCCTCCGGCTCGGCCAAGTTGAACAGCGGTCCCTTTGGCAAGCCCAACCAGCAAATCGACTTCCTCAAGGCGGACCTGGCCAGCGTCGACCGCAGCGTCACTCCCTGGGTGATCGTCGCCGGTCATCGACCCTGGTACACCACTGGTTCCGGCAGCGCGTGTGACTCGTGCCAGGAAGCATTTGAAGATCTCTTCTACCAATACGGGGTCGACCTCGGAGTCTTCGGACACGTGCACAACTCGCAGCGATTTGCTCCCGTGTACAAGGGCACCGCCGATCCCAACGGCATGAAGGATCCCAAAGCCCCCATGTACATCGTCGCCGGTGGTGCAGGTAACATCGAGGGACTGTCTGCAATCGGGACCCAGCCTTCTTACACCGAGTTTGCCTATGCGGACGACTGGAGCTATGCCACTGTGCGCTTCAACGATGCGAATCACCTGCAGGTGGACTTTTTCCAGTCCTCGACCGGGACCCTTTTGGACTCGAGCGTTCTGTACAAGAGCCACGCCAATCGTTTCGTCAGCCAGTAACGCGTTGGATCTCGGCGAGATGACTCGGTATCGCAGTGGTGAGTCGTGTTGATGGGTAACGATGGAATGTTTTGACGAGAGGGAACCTCGCAGGTACCGCATGTAAATAGATCCTGTACATGTCACTGGACAGCACAAGTACAATGCATACATTGAAGACCTGTACATAATCACAGAGCTACACTTCACACACTATAGTTTTCTCCTCTTCTCAAAAGACAGATCTCCGCAGACGATCACATTTCCAGAAATTTCCTACCCAGCGCAACCCCTCCAACTAACTTTCAATGACCAACCCCTCGGTGAACTGAAAACTCTTCGTCTCTTGCAACGGCTAAATCTCAAGATAGACCAATTCTAGTGTAATCATCTTCTTTACTCCCATTTTGGTAGCGCTGCCCTTCCTCTATGCCGCCTACTTCCTGGGTCTCTACGTACCCCTGAAGGGCATGCACGGGGTGGAGCAGGCAAACTTATTGTTGCAAGGTTAGATTCCTCATGGCATGTTCCAGAACAATAAGTGACACAATCAGGCAGGTATATCCCTAAATTCCAGGCGCGGAGGAGTGTCCTCTTTTTTAGGGCTTAAGTCTTCGGAGAATACGCGATCAAAGGCTTGCAACGATTAATTCCAAAGTATCAATTAAGGCGCACTTGTTGCAGCAGTGCATAATTTGTTGTGTCTCGTAAAAAAAAAAAAAAAAAAAAGAAGAAAAAAGAACAAAAAAAGGCCCGTCAAATTTGAAGTCGTGAGCCAAAGCCTCGGGACTCAAAAGCGTAGAATAAATGGCCTTTGTTCCGTTTTATCGTTTCCGTATCCACCGGCGGCAACAGCGGTAACGGTGAAAGCCACTCAAACTTCATTGTGCGATTTGAGATTGGGGCATGTTGAGGGCCTTTTCCAGCAGTAGTATGTCACTGTCAAAGCCTTGGAGCAAAGGGCGTCCAAATGATCGAAACGGTCGATCGGTCGTGAGTGTCGTCATACGTCACTTGAGTTTGGCACCCACTTTGATCCTTCTGTCTGCAATGCTCGGCTACCCAGCCGACGCAAGGGGACGATGTGGGGCGCCAGAGGTAGAGCAAGCCCGGCTGTGATGGGCTGGTGGCTGAAGCTGAAGGAATGGGAAGCAGTCCGGATCCTTCAACCGCGTTCTTGACAGGGCGGCAGTCTGGGGACTCACGGCCGTGAAGTAATGCCTCGTCCCAGCTCCCCTCTTTCCCCACGGTTTCGCCCTAGCGTTGGGAACTCTCCTTGCCAACCCGTCCAGCGGGGAAAGACCCGGATACCGAGATCTTGAGAGCGGCTTCCTGCTTGTGAGGAATTTGCCGCTGCAAGGGAGGGGGGAGAGAAAGAGGGAGGAGAGCTACAGGCGGAGGAGAATGTCACTGCAGAGCTTGTGAACCTCCAGTGCGACCGCATCAATTCTCCTCGGCTTATCGAGGAGGAGACAGATCGTTCTGACGATATGTGGAGAGTTCTAGCGGGAGAAAGGGGGATCAGTATTCGATCTAGAAAGCTTCGACTTGGCACCTGACCATTTTCGAGGGAGTATGTGTGGAGGACGATGGTGGAGGGAACCGACCTGATTGAAGGGTCTTCATCGCCTCTTTCAAACTGACAATTTCGGCCCGCAGGTCCCGAATAGCTTGATCTCGGAGTTGGATGTCCTCGGTGAGATCTGCAATGGTGTCACTGCATTGCGAGCAGTCGACGAACTGGGCGGTGACGCTGGTCGCGAGCACATTGGCCGCCAGCGGCGAACTAGACAAGTCTTTGTCTTCATGGAGAATTTTGACTATTGATTACCGTCAGCTCTTGACCTGATTGCTTGGTGCTGTGTTTCTCTCTGGCATGATCCCAACAGGAGACGACAGAGGAGGTGGAGATCATCAAGAATCACATCATACCGATATTAGAGGTCACTTGGAGAGTCCCGTTTGATGAGGAGACCGATGAGGAGGAGAATTGATTAGAGCCGTAGTTTACCCAGTCGACGTGCCGCGCTCCGGCTGTTGAACACCCCAACTGGGGGCTAGACAGCTTGCATTGCGAAGACATGAGATTAGATGGGAGGCGGATGGGTTATAATGGCGTCAGCATCGATCCAACACGACCGATAGTGCAGTTGGTGAGGATTAGATGGCCGCTGTTGTCCCAGTAGTCTTCAAAAACATAGAAAGTAGAGGATGTCGGATGAGGAGAAAGAAAGGCCCCCAGCCCGCGATCGATCCGAGGAGAAACGAGAGATTGAAGATATGAGAGACGCGGCGCCGTGCAGTTGCAGAAAACGGACAGTTTTTTGAAAAAAGAATTGACAGTCCTTAGACTCCTTGCTCCTCCTGAGTGGGGCAGACTCGGAATGGATTATGGACTTCGTCGAGACTGTGATGGCCCCAGTGGAAGGATCGTCGTGTGAGTGCGGGGCATTCAAGTCCTTTTTTCATAAGGTTTCTTTGACGGCAGGGCAATTTCCACGAGCATGACAGGACCCGCCGATGACGTATTGGGGGGGGGGCTACTGTGGAGACGGGGATGGCGAGTCTTTTTGTGTGTGGGCGGTTTCGGGGACTGCGATGGGGCTGTGGGTCGGAGCCGATGGGGACGACGTTCAGGACCGCTCCAGATCAACTCGACCGTGACGGGGCTGCACAATGGGAGCAGGTCGGGCAGGTATTAGTCGGCATTGGCCGAGCAGCAGAGCAGCAGAGCAGCAGAGCATCCACGGGGGTCACAGCGTGGGACTGGACGGGTTCGAGAGAGAAGGGTTGAGCTGAAGGAGGCAAGCCTGGATTCAGTAAGTGGTACGAAGTAGGTCCAGTATTACATCCAGTAGGAAGGTACTGTAAGGAGGAGGCCGAGGAGGCGTATGGGAGTGCGCATCTGGAACAAAAGGGACAAACGCCCCCAGCTGGGAAGAAGAAAAGAAGCACCTGCTTGAGATCAGTGGCTCTCGGATGGGCCGACTGGCCACAGGAGAGGGTGATGGACTGAGGGAGCGTACGTCCAGAGAGCATCATGTGCGACTGACTGGTCAATAAAGGTAGGAATGAAAGGAGACTTCGAGGAATTTTCAATTTTAGGTGCTGACTTGTTGGGAGTAACTACCGAACTACACGAGTAGTAGTAGTAGTAGTAGTAGTAGTAGTAGTAGTAGTAGTAGTAGTAGTAGTAGTAGTAGTAGTAGTAGTAGTAGTAGTAGTAGTAGTAGTAATAGTAGTAATAGTAGTAGTTGTTGTTGTAATACTAGAGATAGTAGAGATTCCCTACCTATGCACAGTTCGAGGCGAGGCAACTGACCCATTGCGTGAAACCTTTGTACATAACCTCCAGCCTAAGCAACATGCAAGTTCTCCCCATCCCACAGCCAGAATCCCCATGGCCTCGAAATAAGGTCGGACCACACCAAAACAGTACGAGTAGTACCCAATACCCATCCAAAATCCCCAGCGACCGAAGCTTCTCATCGCGACCGAAACGTCGAAACCCTTCTGGACGCCCCGTCTCCACATACCGCGGGGCGTCAAAGTCCCCCATTGCTGGAATTGCTGTAACTTCAGGAACCCTCCCCCCCATCCCCAACTCTATCCCAGTCCTGACGTGGAGGGATCGCATGCCCGGACTCCTGTCCGTCGGCATCCCCGCTCTGGACCAAGTTGGCTTCGGCCGCAAGTATGTGGGGTGTAACACTTTCGTCGGCAGTAGAGCCTCTTTTCGAGAGTCGACACTATCGACTTGATAGTGTCTTTCAGGGCTCTCTCAAACATTGCGACCACAGATCCAATGACACAAGCCTAGGGATCGGACACGCCTCAGTTGTGACTTGTGAGCCTTGGTCCTGGCAAGTGCGTTTCAAAAGGTCTACCTTACTCTTCATGGTGGGAATGTACTTGATTGCTATTGATGGACCTGGGCCGTATCACAGCTCATACTGAAGGCCAAGAATTCTCGTCCGCGATGCCAGACATAGTTACATACGACACGTTTACCCAATGCAGTGATGCAACCTCGAACCGTCAAACGTGGCCACCGAACCCATGAGACTGTGGCAACTGAACGGGGGCATCGTTCATTCATGAAAATTTTGAAGATTTTGTTCTCGGTGATGAGTTTGATGACGGGCTTCGGTCCTCTGGTGGAATTGTGTCATCAGGCCGTGGCAGTGGAAGTCGCGGGACCTTGAACCGTGGTACCAGATTGCGCAGCCAAAGTACCGGGAGCACATTGAGAATCAACATGGGACGATTGCCTGCTGTAGCGGATCACTGCCAACTGCCACCTGCCAAGTGGCAACCGGTCATTGTATCTGGTACCTCCCTAGTGCTTCATAGGAAGTATACTAAGAATCAGCATGGAATCCCCAACCCCTTTGCTGAGGATCAAGCTCCCCTATAATCAGACTCTAATCTTTAGGTTGCGCACATTGGATTCACCCATCTGCAACTTGGGAATTTGGTCATGAACATGTTGAGGCGTACCTCCGAAACACTTCCTCCACAGTCGCGACCCAAGGAAATGCCTACCGACCAGGTGGAGACAATCCTCGCGATTCGAGTCGGTGAACGACACTTAGGTACCTGCCTCGGTGCGCTCAAAGAACTGCTCCAGAAGCTTTTGAAATATAGCTCATTCTGCGATTCTCATAGGATGATACGTCCAGGCCTGGTTACCTACTGGAGTCCTTGATTGTCCCCTCAAATTGACCACGCAATAGGAATTCCACCGCCAGTGACTCATGATGCGCGACAAAAAAGACATGCCTATATACTTCCTCTCCTATTTTGAAGGCGGAATTCGAGACAGACACTCGGCCCAGTCAGGCACATGGATTTCAGAAGGTACGGCGCTGCATCAACGATATCGCTCAGAATCCAGTGATCCACTCATTGAACTCCTGCTCGGAATCGAATGGGTCTCCGTCGATGGACGCATCTGCCCCGTGATCGCCTGACCACGGTTGCTCGCTCCGATGTTGTCGCCTTTCAGTCGCCTTTCAAATCACGGAGTTGCTCCAGATACGAATGGAGCTCGTCGGCCATGGAGAGTTTCTGTTCAGCATCGAGAAGGTTCCACGCTTCGTCGAGTCTCTTGCCGGGCACATTATAGTCCATCACAAATATTGTGACTTGCCCATCCTCATATTAGATATAATGGACTTAAGGGACAGGGATGGTGGTGTTTCGCTGCGATAAATTAAAGGGTGGGTGCTTTCGTGAGCACGAAGATCACCCGACTTTACGACGAGGTTGTTTTCATACCGAATGGTGGTGCGGCCGCCTGGTGAGTGTAGGACGGTTTCCCTGTTGATGCTGGAATTGCTTCATTGTGAAAACGGTGTATCAGATCGTCACTCGAGTTGCAGTCCTCACGTGGGGGGGGGGGGCATCTGTCGGGTGGAGGACGCCAACCCATCTTTACGAGGAGGAGACCCAGAACGATAAGAGTCAGAGCGGGGTGCTGACGAAGAGGGGCTAGTCTCTAGGGCTGCTAAACACTTTCTGCTGCGCCTTGCCAAGATGATTCCACAAAGGTCCTTGAGTGTATCATGGTGTTCAAAGGTAGACACACAACCTTGGCGACGAACCCTCGAGGGCTATATTACATCGTAGGAAGGCTATTAAACTCTAGGGTCGCCGTCTACGTGAGTCTTGGCACCGGTGCCAGGAGTCCAGAGTAAGATGCCGTCGTCCAGTGTGGGTCTGACATCACAGCGCCGCAGTGTGAATGGAGAAGGCCCGAGGAAATCCCCCACTAGATCAATCACAACTACTTTGGAACCTTAATACCACCTACCTATAGGTGTCAAGAAATGCCAAGGGGGGTGGAACTCTCAAAGTTTCTCGACACTAGCCAAGTCAGGGAGCAACGCAGGTATGAACATGACTCTGAACCCAGAGCACGCAATTTGTGACTGACCAGTATCCACGATGTCGCCAGCGACGGCCTTCCAAGCTTCTTCTCCTACAGAACCAGCCCTAGTAGCCGGTACTGTGAGAATCCAAGGGAAGATACGAATGCAATGAGATAATTGTCCCACCCGCCGATAATCTATCTCGGTTAATATCGAAGATGATCTACTAGATTACCAAGTATCCTGTAGCGATGACCCGAGTCAACCTGAATTGGTGATCGTCTATCTTATCTTACGGCGATCATCCTCTGGACGTGACGAACTTGTATATTGACCATCCTCAACGTTCTTCCGTCCGTCCGGCATCTGTAGGACTAGGCTGTAGTGTAGGCTCAGTTTTGTCCACCCCTAGATTTCAGAATGGTCCTATGCCATCTTTGCCAGGTCCAAGCGCGCATAGTTTCCCGTTTCGATCCTTTTTTTACCAACACCCATGGTCCCATCGGTGAAGATGCCGGTCCACTTCTACTGAGCCGGACAGGAAATACAATGGCGTCGACCACAACAATCCTCGAGTCAACACGAGTCAACACGAGTCCACAACAACGAGTCAGCCAAGAAATGGCAGTCAAAGCCCAGCTGATGTGGCGGCGTGCCCAGACGCCGGCTCTCGGCTACATCAGGAAATACGTTCCAGATCAAGTCAAGGCCCCAACGGGGTACTGCGTGGTACTGCGTGGACTAGCTAACTTGTGAGGCGCTTCAATAGCGTCTATATTCTGCCACGGTCTTGTAGAGTCCAGTCATTCACTAGTGGAATCTCAGTGAGAATTTGCGAGGTTTCGCCGAGGAAACGAGTTATTCCTTTGCAGGAGGACAAGGGGCCAAGAGGACAAGGGGTCAAGAGGACAAGGGGTCAAGAAGTCTAGAACATGCTGCTAATCCTACACGAGAGCTAGTAAGTCCTATTGCTTGACCGAAAAAAAAAAAGAAGCTTAGATATCTACAGTACAAGGTATGTTTATTAGGAAGTGTCATTCTAGGCAGAGATCCACGTCTCTGTGCAGGTGAGGTGGGACTCTCAACTTCTCGTGGTCTCTTATCAATCTCTTGCTTCTACAGTCACTAGTACATGCATTGCACGACTGCACGACTGCACGGGTATGTTACGGCGTCAAGGAAAGGGGCCTTCACTGTGCGCGCTGTACAGTATTCCTCTGACTCGCTCGATGCACAAGTCGTCCTTTTCGAGGTCAGTACCAGTTGCGTGTTTGGGTAGGTCAATGTGCCTCACACCCATAAGCCGCGTCTTTTACTCACAAGCTGGAAAGCAGCACACTACCTCCTCTCGTCTCGTCTCTTTGTGGATGGAATTCATTTGTTACGGGGCTCATCTCGCATTCTCCATAAGTCGAGGTCCCACTCATGCCGTCTGTGATGGACCAACAGCTCTCAATCAAGGCTGCACTTGATAAGTCTGTAGCACAATTGAGCTAAAAGTCCGTACACCGACTGCACAGAAATGTCTCCAGCTGAAAGCATGCATCCACACTCACAAGTGGAAAGGCTTTAGCCCCGGCCACCCTCGAAAACCAAAACCAGAAAACGCCACACAAAGACAAACGCCGGTCTCACAGCATGATTCACTTACTACGGAACTTGTCCGCTCGGATCAGTCCGACACCAGGCAGTCGCGCCCAGAACGATAAAAAGTGAGGCTGCATGATCTCCACAAGGGGCCGGTTTGCACGGACGAAAAGAATATGATTCTCATGATTACCCACTCGTCAGGCCCGTGCCTCGACACGTGCTAGACCGTTTTTTTCCCCAACGGTGATCCTGCATCTTTGCCGAGTGTGGATCGATTAAAATTGTAGCATCATAGCATGATCCGGAGCTCTCCATAGCCAGGATTCTCGCTCGAGTCTCAAGCCTAAAGTGGGCCACGGCAGCTTTCAGCTTCTATGCAGAGAAGAAATTTCCATTCAGCCGAGATAAAGCCGCAGTTTCTGCTATATACCGTAGAGTATGGACTGTATGGTATGACTCGACATGATGCTGCCTTATTCCAGCACGGACTGAGAAAAACAAGGTTCGCTGATCATGTAGCTCACTATAGTTGATCTGAGCCGCACGGGCTTTGGGGCGTCAAGGGTCGTTAGCTCCCAAGGCTGAACAGGATCTCAAATGAGAGATTTCCATCAAGTGTCGTCATCTCCGTCGAGGTGTGTAGATGAGGTGGACCCATTGAAATTTGTCGCGTGAAATGAATTTCAGTCCACGGACGATGTTTCAGCATTAGGATCTGAAACAGGAGCAAGTACCTCGCTAAGTGAAAATTGGGTTGGACAATCGTGCCGATAAACCAGCCCACGTGAGTTGGGCTTCACGTCCAACCTTGTAGAAGAAAGGTTGTTGTCAAGATCGGGCGTCTCCTTGAACAGGTGGATACAGGACTCTTTTTCTAACCGGGCAACAACCCGAGGTGGAAAACTGCAACCTTGCATATTGGCAAGTACTCCTCACAGCAGTACCACCACATATATACATGGCTGGAAGTTGTGATCATGATTCGATGTCGAGGAGCGCATCCGGGCAATCAGGCACAAACATCAAGTGGAAAGATGGATTACCAAACCCTACATATAAGGCACTGGTACCTCACTACCTCCCTGTAAGTTAGGTAGTATAGAGGGGAATGCTCAAGGCAGTCTGATCTCACCAGACAGGTCGAGTCATAGAGGAACCAAACACGACCACCAGCACGCACGTCCGGAGATCTTCCAGCCCGACCGTACAACACCTATCCATAGGATGTCAAGAGGCACAAGTGAAGATCAAAAGGAGTGTGTCATTGCAATGCAAAAGAACCCGACTGTAAAGACTGTACTGAACTCTCAATTCCCTTCTCCGATGGGTCTCCCGGATCCCATGAAGTTGTTCATTCCCTTGGCTCCTTGGTTGTCCAGTTGAATGACCCCCTCTCGTCATGTCCAAATAGTCTCTCCCGACTATTAGGCCACCATCAGGCACACGCAACTCTGCAAGTCATCTGCTCGACATACACGTAACCGGATTCCCTACTACAGTAGATAAAACCCAGTCACGTGATCGTACCGCTCGGAGCTCTTTTTAGCTCCGTCGAGAGCAATACTATGACATCATCGAGCAGGAGCTTCCGCGCGTCTAGACTCACTACACTGTCCAGTGTCCACTGTGTCCAGTAGCAGCCGCAGAGTACAGCACTACATGCTTCACGAGATCGTCGATCTTGATAATTGAGCTTATTATCAAGCTTACCACAGCACTAGTACCGAACAGCGAGCGAATTGACTACACATCTCGAGTACTTCACCTCTACCTACTTTTGCCCTGGTGTCCGTCCAAAGCAATGTCAAAACGCACACTAGAATCATTCTTCAAGCCAAAAGCCAGCACCAACCCCGCGAAGCGCGTCAAAACCAACGACACATCCAACGATGGGCCTTTAGAAACAAATGAGACCGACGCCAAAGACGACGCGACTACCGACACCGGACCGCCAGACACTCATCCCAGCTATCCCATTCCCATTCCTCAACTCCCCTCACACATATCCGTGGGCCTCACCCACGGAACACCCGCCAAAGATCCGCGTGCGATCAACAACCAGCCCGATCTCGATCTGCTCTATTTCCAACCGTTCATCGCTCGACCTACCGCTAATGAGCTATTCAAGTTTCTCCGTCGCGAGTTGCCCTTCTACCGAGTTCAATATACGATCAAGCGCGGGACCCTCGAGACCGAAATCAACACCCCGCGATATACCACCGTCTTTGGCATCGACGATACTTCAATGTTCATACACGATCCAGATCGTCAACCATCCTCAAAGGGATCCGACTCAACCCCAGATCTGACCACCGAACACAAACAAGGACACCCCCAATCGGCCCCATTCTCAACCCTCATTCCCGTCGAAAAGACCTCCAAAACACCCATTCGCGCCTCGAAATACCAATACACTCCCCGCCCAATCCCACCATGTCTCACCCACCTTCAGACCGCCGTGGAGTCCGCCACCGGCGCAACCTACAACTTCTGCCTGGTGAATTACTACGCAGACGGAAACGACAGTATATCCTACCACTCGGATGACGAACGATTCCTCGGCGCACTACCCGACATTGCATCGCTCAGTCTAGGTGGAGAGCGTGAATTCCTCATGAAGCACAAACCACCTCCACAGACTTCGCAGGAGACATCTTCCCCGGCAACAATAACCAACCCGGCCCCGGGATCCGTGGCACAGACCCAACCGATCAAGATGCCCCTGTCATCGGGGGACATGGTTGTCATGCGTGGATCGACCCAATCACAATGGTTACATAGTATTCCGAAGCGGAAGGGGAAAAGGGGAGACGCGGTACGAGGACGGATCAATATCACTTTTCGGCGGGCGATGATTCCCGCGGGAACGAACAACTACTATCGGTATAATGTTGGAGTCGGGCCCGTTTGGAGGTGGGACGAGAGTGAGCAGGAGATGATGGCTAGACCGGAGAAGTTCAGCGACGAGGGAGCGACTTGACGGGGTTGGGCGCTCAAGTCAAGTCGGTGACTTGATATTCCCACCTCTTGAGCTCGTTTGACCCCTCCGCGCCAAAGGGAGGTCTCATGTGATTTGCAGGACGTCGCCCATTGACCTCAGGGCTATTAGCAGCTGTATCACTGGAGGCCGAGGGTCCATCATTGATAGATGGTTCGGCGAGCATCTCATTCTGCAACAGCGGTACAAGTACAGACATTGTCAGCGAGTTCGTTCTTCCCAGGTTGAAGGCCATTCGTGGTTCTGAGGTCTAAACTCCGGGCTGGAAAGATGGTCGAGGTCCACCAAGCCAATCTTGTCACTGACACCAGCCTGGACGCTCTCAACGCTGACAGCAGATGGGACAGGAATCTCCCCCGATTCACTGAGGTTACAGACGCACATGTCAAGGAGCGGAGAAAGTCTGGAACATGATTCTATTCATTTCCACGACCTCGCACTGAGAATAAGATAAGAGACTCTGTCCCACGTGAACAAAAGGAAAAGATCCACGTGGTAAAAAAGGGTTCAATAAAAATATAATAAAAATATCCGCACGTCTACACCACATACAAGAAGTCTGATCATGTTCATGATCGAGCGCCCTAGACTAACCCACGAGTCACATGACAATGCATGGACGTCTTCACCTGGGCTCACCACCAGGCAAGTCTGAACATGATACAGAATCAAGACGAAGAAGAACGACCCAATTCAAGGCACGAGTCAAGCATCGAAGGGTCATCAACACAAACTCCATATACATCACGCCCGAAGGGAAAATAAAAAAAAGAAATTGAAAAGTCATCAAGTGCACAAATGAAGTCATCAAAGTCCCACCAAAGCCGACTTGACCGCCGTTCCAAGAATGAAAGCTTTGCCCAAAAGACAAATGCAGGGTTAACACAGGGGTTCAATCCGTGGGCTGATGAAAAGTACCAATGACGAAGAGAAGGATGTAGATGAGAAAAGGCTGAAGTGTCTGTGGTTGAGATAAGATGTGAAAAAGGGAAGAAGACATAATTTGTACAATACAAACATAAAAGGTCCGTCGACAAGCGGAATGGGAATCGGAGTGGGAGTGATCAAGCCATCTGTGCGTTAATGAAGAATGATCACCGGGATTGAAAAGAGTTGCAGGCAAAAGAAATTATTCGACTATCACTTCCTCGCCGTACACATTTGCGTAACATTGGAAGGTATCCGGACAGCTGTGTTTGAGTCAGTGGAAAGGAATCACTTCATCAAAATGCGGCAGGCGAACTCACAATTTAGGCTCCTTGCCGAAAATGATATGCCACGAGTACTCCATAATGTTGGATGTCACCTCGTCCGGCAGATCATTATTCAACACCCAGTCGTACATGCGCTTGTAGTCGGTGAATGGCCGCTGAAGCACCTGATCTCGCGACACGGCGAATTGTGAGCAGCAAGGTGCGCCCACCTCCTTGGGAACATCATCGTTACCAAAGAGCGCTTTCCACGCCTTGGCGTAGTGTTTCTCGCCCGTGTTGCCTGGCTTGGGTGGGTTACGGAAAGGTTGAATTTCTGCAGGGCATCCTGGTGTCAATTGACAGCGCAAATTGACAAATCCCTCGGCCTGGACGTAGTCGCGTCGCAATGCACGGAGGGATTCCACGTTGTTGTTGTCCAATGTTTCAGTGTCCCAGCCGGCGGCCCAGCCGTCGCGATGGGGGTGCAAGAAGGCGATCACAGCGGGAAGATCATCGTAATGATCGACGATATACTGAAGATAAGGCAAGGCCTCGCGACCTTTGTTCTTGGGCGTGTGCACCTTGGCGCTGGAGTCGTCGACGGTATAGATGAAATTGCGCCAGCTAGTCAACATTGAGATGAATTGTTAGCCACGTGTCTGATCGGCTGTCAATGCAGGGTGGGATGGGAAGAGCTTCATTCTTCCCCCTTCTCGTGTGCCGCGCGCCCATTTCAATGCTTGCACGCTGCGATTGCCAGGGTGCGTGATGTGTAGCAGAGAGACAGGCAGCGACGAGCAAATAGAGATGGGCGATTGAGACGCTTTTTTCCCGACGGGCATTTGCACGTGCGACTTACTCGGCCAATTCGGCGGAGACCCATGCGGTGTCCTCTTCACGGCGCTTGCCAATCACAATGATTCCCTCATTGGGGATGTCGATGGGGGTGTTCTGGTAGGTGAGAACATTCGACTTTGCGGTACCCAGACCCCATTTTCGGCGAGAGACATCTGCTTGTGGTCGTCGTGGTGAGGCGAGGAAGGATGTGGTGTCGAAGCGCCAGAACGACGTAGGGGTCTGAGAGCTTCCGAGGCGACGGCCCAGGAGGAAAAAGGCGACCAGGATCAGTGCCGCGACTGAGGCAACGCGAAGTGATAACCTCATGGCATTCCGTGGTGACTTGGGTTGCGACGGGAGGCGGCGGGAGGGCGAAGGAAGATGTGCCTCGAGGGGAGCGGGCACAATGTACTGGTGGTTATGAGAATTTGGGTGTGAGTTTCAAAGTCGAGAAAGGAGGTGAGTCGAAAAAGAAAATCGGCGTGGAGATCGAAACGGCAGGCGGAACCCCACGCGGCGGTGATCGTCGAGGAGGCCGGAGGGGCGAGATGCGACCGCAAAACTTGACAGCGTGACCTGTGCTCAATTGCGAGGACTGAGGAATTGCTTGTAGGAATGCAAGACACCAACAGATTCTTGATCCAAATACTCAGGACTCAGGACTCAGGACTCAGGAGACACTGGTAGGGGGGGGGGCTGTCCGTCGATTTTAAATAAGGGGACGTGCGTTGCGCAGTCCAGGTACCAGTGGTCCAGTGCTGAAGTGAGGGTGCCACGGTGGTGGTACGTACTGTAACTCGAAAGTACAGTACCTCACGTTGTCAGCTCCGCAGCGGAAGATGAGTGGAGGTAAGCGGGAAACGTGTGGGCGTCAGCGTGTCGCAGACGAGAATGGCTTGCACCGTGAGTCTTCGAAAATGATTTCAAGGCTGATGAGGGCACATCGTAGGTATATCATAAGTGATTTACGGTACTCACTTGAGACCAAAATGAGGTTCTAGACTTTGGGCCTCAATGGACATTGGAGACTATACAGGTGCTTTGCGCGGTACTCGGTGGAGTTGGTACATCTCAACATTCGAGCTCTTCATCTCTTGCGACCGTACGGGTGATAGTGCATGAGATGAAGGTACGGAGGCTGGGCAAAGTGCAGAGTGCAGAGTGCAGAATGCGTGGTCAATCCTTCAATCGACTACCAGACCGGCGTATAGTCGTCGTATCACGGTGGTGTAGCAATGCACTCGTGCTCTTGCACTCTCTTCGGTATGCTCCTCCGTTCTGGCAGTTCTCTCCAAGTTCTGGCAAGCTGGCCAACATGGATGCTAATTCGACCCGGTGGATTTCCATGGAGCGAGTGGTCCAGAACACTGATTTGATTGGGAGCAGACGTGCCCGCCGGTGGGGATTCAGTGGACAACGGGCATTGAAAGCGATTGGCTTTGGCGGAGCTGAACGTGGAAGATTCAGGCACGGCGCACGGCCATTCTGCAATCTCCCATCAGTGTCCCACGGAGGTACCTCTGCCGGTGAACTTGGGCGTAGAGGTACTGGTGCTGTACTTGCTTATCTGCCGATCCTCCTGTCCTTTCCATCTGATCTAACCTTGGACTGGCAGCCCGAAGGCAGGCACACTGTATGTAATACGCGACCGCAGAACGTGTTCAGCACGTCAAGTTCGCCTCGAGATCGAGATAGAGTCGGTGATCAGATGTTTCGGCCAAGGGTCGCCTTAGAAGACTTGAAGATAGTAGAGTCGTGTAAGGTTACCCGATTGCATGGTTCCACAAGCCAGGGAGATGAGAAGCGTCATGAGCACTTTGGTGACCTTCCACAGAGACACAGACACATTGACCACCGATCACACCTTGCCTTCCAGGCTTATAGATCAATTCCAACGAAGCCCCTCCGCAACCATCGGATCATCGTCAGGAGATCAGTGAGCTCAAGAGTCTTGAGTGCTCATGATTGCTCAACCCGACAACCGTGGTTGAGCTACGAGGCCCTCCGATGCTACCACGTTCCCCATTCCACCCAACCGCTGCAACAGTACCATTTCAACGAGACGGAATGGCATTCCGATCTCCCAAGGTCAAGTCAAGCAACATGGAAACAGACAACCTTTGAAAGATGAAGTGAAATCTCGTCAGGCATGGATGCCACTTTGACTGGCCGAGGGCCCATCATTATCTGATAAGGAGATGGCCAGCTCTCGCCCTATTAGTAGTGATGGGATATTCTGCCTTTGAACTCCGCCGTTGCTGATGACTGTGTGTCCAGAAGCGTTCCAAGTTATTGCTTCAGTCTTGAAACAGGAGAAGATGGATCATGGAATCATGAAACATCACTTGTCTATCCGATTCATGGCGGGATCGGCCACCCTCCTGACCCACCTCGGCCGATCGAGTCTTCTCAAGGTCTTCCATCAAACATGGGTCGGGCACTTCGAGAGTCTCGACGCTGAACCCATACTCGATATGAATGTGGAGGAGTCTCTCTGGATGAAGTTTACCAGAGACCAAGGCCGAGGGTCAGCCTTACTGCCATGGTATTCATCAACCTTTCTTTTCACGATTCACACCGTCTCTCATTCTCGTCATGATCATCACCGTCATCCTAATTCCTATCTGAGTACCTGCGTATCCATCGCCTCCATATCCTAGTAGTTGTACCCTGCTTGTCAGCCAGCCAAGTATATACTACTTGGAAAGTTCTTGCTACCTACCAGGATACTGCAGCCACCTCATTCTAGCCGAGCGTGGGCCACGAGCAAAGGCAGGCGTATGGGTACAACGCTTAATACCTGAGGCTACCATCCAAGGGCTACGCGGTAGATGACTTGCAAGAGAGGGTCGATGAGGACAGTATGCTCTTGCAGCAATGACGGTATCCTTCGACAGCCAACCTTGAATCTTTCCTTGTGGTTCAAATTCATTGTATTGAGGCCCATCTTCAATACCAATATGGACAGACCACCTCTTACGATCCACGACTTCACTGGTGGAAGGACGGCCCGCCTCCCTAGACCCAATGTCCACAAGCAATGCACATTCTACGCCTCCATTCCAGGCTAGTGGCGCTTCGGACTTGCTTCCAATCAATCCAATCTGAAATCGACAGCCCAGTAGCATAAAACCATTCATTTCTCTCCATAGGTCACAAGCAGAGCACCGGGATGATCTGTCGGAGGCTTGACCATGACGTAGGAGGGTCATGTGCCCCGGACATGGGTGGATCCGGGGCACTTCGTGGAAGAACAGATGCCATCACAAAAGAATGCTAGTACTGGACGTTGTCATAGGACCACGGACTGAAGATCGCCGTCTGCCTACATCAATTCCAAAGAGCGGGGGCGCTCATTCAACATGATTGACGGCGGAAAACTTTGGCCTCATCCATGTGAGTTTCCAAAGTCAAATAGTTGCATATTTACACATGGAAAATGATACAACCATCCCAGCCTGACTGGACCTACCGACGACGAACTGAGTAAAAATGAGAAAGTGATCACAAGAACAAAAAAAAGGTTGATAATTGCACACGCTATGGTATATGACACACGTAATAATCTAAATACACAGGAACCACTATCAATGCAGATGCCAATGCAAAACAATCCAACACGACAAACGCCATCCTCTAGATGTACATCCATCTCCTTCATCGAGATATCATTGCGGGGTCGTGCCATCTCTTCGTGTAGAGGGGAAGTGAAGGGGGCGGGGTATTAGGCGACAGGATCACTGAAATGGAAGAAAAAACAAAAAAAGAAATAGAAGCAGACGGAGTAAAAGGTGGGATCGGCGACTCGAAGCCATCGCCAAATTGTCTGACACTTTTGAGTAGAAAGACGTAGATCAACAACATCGTCCACGCTGCTTGGCCGCATCCATCACCTGGACCTCTTCCGCGTCGCCCACCGTCGGCGAAGCCAGCCCAAGCCAGCTGCGTCGCTTGTCTCCATGTCCCAGTCTGAAACTACCGTTGGCACGGTCCAATCCAGGCGTAAAGGGACCGATGGGAACATCAATGCCTGGTGTGCCCACGGCTGATAACGCGGCTTCGGCATCTCGACGGTTGCGTTGTTCGACCAGTTTGCGCGTCATCACACGAAAGACTTCTTCGATGCCCTCCCCGTCTCGGGCGCTAATCTCGTGACAGCAGTCCCACCCGATCTCCTGACCCCAGAAGGCGGAACTCCGTTTACTATCAGGACTCTGCAGCGGAAGAACACTCGACGTTGGCAGACTCCCCGCAGCACTGGTGCTTCCGCCGCCACTGCCACTGCTGCCAAACATGCCCGCCGCAAATCCCAGCCCCGAGCTGATTCCGCTCATTCCAGCGGTAGGTGGAGGTGTCGACGCTCGGCTGGGATACAACTGTTCGGCCACGTAGGCGATGGTCCGCTCGAAGGGGACCTGGCGTTTGGCGGGGTCATCTGCGACGATATCGCTCTTCGTGCCGACAACATGAATGACCAAGGGATCGAGGTCGCCTGCACCGCCGCCGATGTTACGTCTCAGTTCACGTAACCATCCGGCCATTTCTTGAAAGCTGCTTTCATCGGTGATGTCATAGCAAAGCAGGCACGCATGCGCCCCGCGATAGTAGAGTCGCGAAATGGAGCGGAACCGCTCTTGACCGGCGGTATCCCAAATCTGGAGGCGCACAATAGTATCGGAGGTAGTGTCGAGAACGCGCTTGGTGACAAAGGATGCGCCGACGGTGGAAGTGGTGGTGGCGGGGTCGAAATTATTCCGCACATAGCGTTGAACAAGAGAGGTTTTGCCGACGCCTAGAGAAATTGGGGGAAAAAGGCGGTTAACTCAGTCCAAGGTCTTGAGGATCATCCGCATACCAAGGCAAGGTGCTACATACCTTGTGCGCCGAGCACAACGATCTTGGCCTCGAGAGAAGAACTCATCGCGCGGGGTCAAGGCGAGCGGGGCCGACCGTTCGCATGAGCATGATATCGGGGTAAGACCGGTCTCGCAGGCAAACTGTGCGACTTGATGGTGATACAGAGGAACGAGTTGGCGGAGAAAGGGGTGCTGGGGTCACTGCAAGGCGGCTTTTCCTCCGGTGGTCAGAGAGAGACTCGGGCGGCGCCGACGGGGGCTCTTTTTGTACTTGGACCTCCGCACGGAGAGGAGGGTCAAGGAGGATGAAGAAAGTGGGATTCAGAAAGAAAAGAAATTCTCCGACCAACAGAAGATCCAGCGGCGGCCAAAAGGACCAAATAAAGATGGAATGCCACGCGAATAGAGACCCAGCAAACACAAAACAGGGAAACCTCGAGAACGCGGCATCAGCCGATCGAGGGTGTTCCAAGGTTCGCCGGTGGGCAACTTTGCGGCGTTGGGCTGTATCCCAAGTTAGAGTCAGCTGCAGATGATCTCTTGCTGGTTTGGGTTTCTATCTGCACCATGTACAGGGCTGTGCCGCTGGCGTAAGATCCAATGGTGAATGGATCAACTGAAAGTAGAAAGAACAATATTAAAATCTTTTCAATGGGACTCGGTTCATCTTCTTTCGCCAGTGTCTGCCTGAATGTCACGAAAAGTCTCAGAGGAGAACCAAAAGGGGGGAGAGAATGCCTGCAAGGGCCGTGGGTTTTTGTTCGAGTCATCTTATTTTGGTGGCCCAAGTACCAATCCTCGGTCCTCACCCCTCCAAAGTGGTATCCCAGTCGATCTCATAGAGTTCATCAGCGTCAGCCGGGACAGGTCTCACGTAGCACGCCCATGAACGATCTGTGAGATCATCTCCTGCATGCAGGTCAAGGATATCCTCCGCTTGACCACAAAGAACACTAGTGCCATTTTGAGCCTCATGCATGGGGGTTAGCGTCAGAACGGCAACACTACTGTACGAATTATACATACTCACATGGCCGTCAAAGTCGGGGCTCGATTGACGGTGAAGGATGGATGCGCCACAAAATGACATGCATATGTACGCAAGTTAATGAGCGACTACCTATAACTAACTACCGAGTCAACTACCTTCCTCCTTACTACTCCGAGTTCAATGCTCAACGCTGGACTTGGCACAGCGGTCAGAACTCGACTCACAGCACTCAGGTGCCGACCCTGTATGTCGAATGTTCCTGCGGTTGAATAATCAATAGTGTGTGCGTCCTGCGTAGTCCAAATTCCTCCACGAGTAGCTCCGTCTCCTCCCCTGTTTGAAGACGTTGATCTCCTTACCGAGGATTCATGCCTGATGCGGAGCTTCCTCGGTACTGTATTTAGGCGGAAGTACTACTACTACTACTACTACTACTACTACTACTACTACTACTACTACTACTACTACTACTACTACTGTACTACAAACTCGAGGGCAAAGCATCATGGTAAGAGAAGTAGTAGAACTAGACACTGGACACCCTTCTGGAACACCACTTCGCCCATAGTTCGTTATAACTTCCTGCTTCCAACTATTACTCGTACAAGTCCCCCGAATGATCTATGCTTGCCAGATACATCGGCAAATAGACAACTTAGCAATAGTGTTGAGTCTGCTGAGAGAATCTCTAGTGGCACTCGATAAACTCCGGGGTTGCCGTCCCGTTACGGCCTTAGCGTGTCCGAACGCCAAACTTTGGTTCCCTGGTTCATCAAAAGATCAAGATCAAAAAGGAGTGCGTGATCTGTGCTTTCAGCCCCGTTGTTGGGCAGCTTTTTTCTACCAAGATGCCGCTTTCTTTGCTCGGCTCGGATCCACGGAACTATTGAGATTGGGCATGCTGAACCCCTGAAGTGATCGGGACAAGCGAGTGCAATGTGCATAATAGAAAGAAATTGGTCAGACACAGGTACTCTCCCGCTGTACTTATCACCTTGGCGCGGGCTGGACAGCCCGAGGAGTAACGAGAAGTATTAGCCATCACCAGCGGCATTACCACGAGGATTCGATCAGAATGGGGCGCATCCCGACCTTTCTCCATAAATGTAATATGAAAGTCTCAGATGCATACCCAAGATCCTCTGGGAATCCACCTGATTGGGCTACGAGGCTAGCATTTCCAGTCTTTTCCGAAGTTCCAAAAGGTATGGAACCAGACGCGCCTTCTACATTGACTGAATCATGTGAAGGGAGTACAAGGTCACCTGATCTTCTGGTCAGTGACCTTGTTCCGTGAGATCACTTACTCGACGACCTTTTGGCCCCGCGTTTGCCTTTGAGCATGGAACACCGTCCTCTTCTACAACATCATCACTTTTCTACACGAAGGATCATTCTACAAACATTTGCTCTGGCTTTCGTGTACATCACAAGCGCTTGAGAAAAACACTGAAATTTCGTTGTCATGGGAATCATGAAATCTATCTGCTGTCTATGAATGTGCAGGGGCTCAAATCGTTTCTCCAGTACAAGAGCACATGGTCCAACCAAGCCATGAAAAGCGCCTTGGCGCTGAATGGTTGTGCATCTTGAAATCATATACAGATAAAAGGGCATGAGAATCATCAGCCTGGAGCTTGAACCTGTCCGTTGCATGTTCAAAAAGGCTGTGCATAAATAGAGTCAATTCGACTCTCAAAGGGGAGAAGGAGGGAAATATTTTTTTTATAGACGATGCTCCTGATGCTCGTCTGAGGACCGAGATGATCGACCCTTCTCTGGGTCGACAGAGCCATTGCGATCAGTAAAGCCATACTCGACAGCCTTCTCCTCAATCTCGCGCTCCGACATTTTGGCCAGCTCATGAGAGGCCTTGACGTAACTGATGTTGTCGCAGTAGCCCTTGGCAAAGATGAGATCGATCTCCTCCAGAGAGCGGCCCGCGGTCTCGGGATAGAAGGAGTACATGATGGGGATGAAAATGGCGTTCATGGCGGCGAAGAACAGATATGTGCCCCAGCCAATGCTAGCGACCATGACCGGTGTGATCATGACAACGGTAAAGTTGAACAGCCAGTTGGAGCAAGTCGAGACAGCATTGGCCTTGGCACGAGTGCGAGTAGGCGACAGTTCAGCGGGATACAGCCAGGGAAGCGGGAGCATGGCAGCGCCGAAAAAGGCCATGTACAGGAAGAGACCGAAAACAGCGCCCTTGGCGGGACCGGTTTCATCGGGAATCAGACAGGCAAAGACAATGACCATGGAGACCATCTGGCCGCCCATACCGCCGATGAATAGCTTGCGACGACCAATCTTCTCGATGAAGAACCAGGAGAAGGTGGCGAAGATGGCGTAGACAATCATGTTGATACCACCGATGAGCATGGACATGAATTCTGTCTGGCCAAGCGATTGCTTCAGCAGAACGGGGAGGTAGTAAATGACTGCGTTGCAGCCAGACAGCTGCTGAGCGATCTGCGATGACGAACCGATGAGCATACGGCGGAGATGTTGAGACTTGCCGCCGGTAAGGAGGTCAGAATAACCTGCCCCCTCCGCAGCACCAGCACTAATAATGACGAGTTAGTCGAATTTTGCCCTCTTCATTGCGAAAAATCCACGGTCACCGAAAGGACTTACGCTTCAATTGACTCAATCACTTGCTTCTTCTGAAGCTGAGTCTCTGGATCATGAGCCTCCTTGCCAGCCAAGGCAGCCAGAACGTACTCGCCCTCTTCAACTTTGCCCTTGGCAATCAGGTAACGAGGCGAGTCCGGCAAGAGGTACATGCCCACGATGATAATGACACCGAACACGACCTGGAAGGCGATTGGGAAACGCCAAGCCAAGTCAGGAGGACCATAGGCCGCACCAAAGTCGATCCAGTAGGCGATCATGGTACCAATGGCAATGATACCGCCTTCGATGCAAATCAAGAGACCCCGGTTGCTCGTGCGAGAGCACTCAGCCTGGTAGGTGGGAATTGTGGACGTGTTCATTCCATTTCCAATACCAGTGATAACACGGCCAAACATGAATTGCAACAGGGGGATATGATCGGCGAAAGCGGTGACCTGGATGACCACGCCAATGATCATGACCAGAGCACCCCAGATAATCATCCATCGTCGACCCAGTCGATCACCTGCGAACAGGGCGAACATGGCGCCAAAGAGACATCCTAGCTCATACACCGCGGTGATGAGAGCCTGCATGGTCGAATCACCCTTGGCAGCAGTGAAAATGTTGACGAACGGCTTCGCCGAGATGATCCCTGACATGACACCCTGGTCATAACCAAAGAGCAGGAATCCCATCGTGGCAATGGTGGACACTGTCAGGGACAGCCGCTTGCCGGACAAGCCAGCAAATGAGGGCGCCATTTTGAAATTAGGTATATTAGAAAGATTGAGGTCCGAGCCCTGTGATTACGAAGAAGCTGACTTCGAGAGAGTAGTCGAGACAGTCAAACAGCCACAATAGGCTTTCATCGGTATAAAAGGGTATCAGAATGGAATGAGAAAAGCCACCAAGAGCGGGCGAAGTGAAAAGAGGGAGATACGGAAGAATTGCATCCTGGGGAAGGTAGGGGCAGAACCTCTTATACAACAATCTTTCTCTCACCCCTCCATTTCAGTGGTCCAATATTCAAATCGTGGAGTAGAATTTTTTTACTCTCCTTCATGCGAAAAAACCGAATCTCTTCGAATCAAGATCGAAGTATGCGGTGGTGACTGCGGCGTGGATTGTATCATTGCATGCCTATTTGGAGAAGAGCGTGGATCGGCAACCCGAAAAGTGGCGCCGAGAACCCGCTGGCCCACCCCTCCAAAAGGCTCCACATGTCCCGATCCCTCGACTGGCTGGTCCGGTGTGCCAAATAACGACCGGGTGAGTGGAACCAGGCCGTCAAAAGCTTCAATGACGAGCCTGGAAGCGCCGTGGAAAACTTTTCAGAGGGCCCGCTGAAGGCTGCAGTCGCTCGTTCCTGATGACATAGCGATCCGAGTGAGGATCCCCTAGCTATGACCACACATATGTGGGAACACGCTCGCTAAGCATTGTAATTTGCTGGTGTGGTTCTGACATTGAAGATTTTGATGCAGATCCAGAGGGCCGTTGTCCACAGACGATGTCATTGAGCATCAAATTCGTGTCTGGGTTGGCGCCATGTTTCCTGAGGAAGAAGTTTCATCATTCGTGCCACCAGGTAGACAGTTTCTTCAGTGAAGAGTCACCAAACGGGCGCTCATGTTATGGCTCAGCAGAAGAAGTCTCGAGGAGGGGACCCTGGGTACTTTGTGGCAGCCTCATCTGTCTTATCATGACGCCGCGGTTGAAAGCGACACCGGATCCCCGTATGATGATGAAGAACACAATATTCAACAGACTGCGTACCGTCCGCGCAGCTTATTGAATATTGACATCTCCAGAAGAGGACGTAAGCCTTCGACCTCCATAGATCAGTGCGGTGGGATCCCATGAACGTGTCCGTGTCTCCTGGGAGATAACCCCGCAACTGAGAAGTGACAGTTGTGTCACCATAAAGTCTTGTCCTGTGCCTCGATAGCAAGCACATTTGGGCGGCATCCTTGTCTGACTCCGACTATGACATTCATAGTGCAGTATCTAGACCAGGTATTCAACATGATGGCTTCCCCCGCATGATAGGATTCCACACGGCGGGTTTTGCGCAAAAGAGTCATCTTGACACTCCAGGATGCCATTACTCCACGTTAGGAAGGTCAGCTCGCATTGCAGCATCCTACTTGGTCGCTTTGTTAGCTGGGCGGATCATTCTCAGACGATCGGTGGACCTCTCTGCATCTTCCATCGCGACTGGACTGGATAGTCAGTCGTGTACTGAAACTCGTGTCCACTCCGTCGCGCAGGACCAGTGGACCACCGGACCAAGGCAAGAGAGTACAAGGTGTTCGTGATTCATCATCATAGGCAACTGTCTTGCGGATCGTCAACTATGCTCATGAGCGTTGTGGCTGCTTATCTACCCGAGTGCAATCAAGGTTGATACCACATACTACGAAGCAATGACCGTGTACAATTCGCCTTCCCCCAGTGGTTCATGTCGATAAGCAAGAGAACGAGTGACACCCACGGTCTGATGATGATGATCACTGGATATCCTTCCAGTTCTCGTTGGGCTCGTCAAGAGGCATGACACGAGTGTGGGCTCATGAGGCCCCACCGTGCTACAGACTGAGAGGGCTTTCTGTAGCCAGACCGTTGAGGCTGTACGTTCAATAATAGCCTAACCTAGCCTAGCCCAGCCCATCGATTTGCATTCCCCAGTGACGACAGGGACTAGCCGAAAATCGAACACTTTATGCCACTGACCTGATTCAGGCTATGACGGTGGCTCTTCGATGTCATGACGGGATACTGGGCAATCGAGTGTTCTGCACCCAGATCATGTAGATACCTCATACGTAGTAGAAGAAGGGTAGAAGTTGACTGTGTATCGTCCACTGAGCCAGGCACCTTCATCTCAGCGGACTCACTTGCGAATTCGAGCGGGAGTCTCCCTTTGCATCTCACAACACGGAGGGCTCGGTACACCAGTCATGTCTAGCTACCAAATTCATATGGAAGAGCAATAGTCCATCTGCTGATCCAGTCGTACGGTTCGGTGAACCACGCCAAGCAATGGGACAGTGCCCGTGCCGGGTGCTTTGTGCAGTACTATCTTCGAGTGCTTGTATCCACCGGCCGCTCTTGGCACCACAGTTACGTGACGTCATCTAGTTATGGAGACGGCACGGTAGCGGAACGTCCAACGCAGTATTCCGCCGTCATACACCGCACCTCACCACCGACGGACTCTGCGTGACGATGCCGTCTTTTATATTTACAGACTACTAGAGCAGATCATTGTGAGGTCCTGACGGGCATTGTTCCATCTTTGAAACCTCTGTTATCCTCTCAGAAGACATAGCAGAATGAAGTTTCCGCTCGGAGCACGAGGAAGTCTGTTGAATATGCTCGACATATATTTGCCGTAGAACTTGGAGCCCGTCAAATTATCACCAACTGAAATTACCCATATTAACCCACGAGCCGGGAGATGCGAGAGGTTTCCTTTGCATAGATCGATTGCCGGAAGTAAGAACTGGAACCAAAAGTTCCACCCAACCTTCGGGCATAAGGTAAATCTACCTCCATAGGTAGGTAGGAGGTATGACTTTCCATCCGGTTGGGAATGACACGAAATTCGATTAGGTACTTCCAACCTCCTCGTCCTAGTTCATCACTATCTACTTCAGGATACCTGAGGCGTGATCCTTTACCTACATTGGCTGGAGGCCCTCAGCTTTGGGTAGTTTTCTAGGTGCGATTCGAATCAATTCAAGCCCAGAAAATGGATAAGCGAAGCTCGAGAATTCACAAGAAGTCATTGAACACTTGTCTATCGAGGGTGCACCGCGACGGTGCCCTCGTGAGAAATATAGCATTCTTCCAAAGGAGGTCCAAGAAGGGCACAATCCCTCCCCTTGCCGCCAAGATGCCAAATTCGATTTCGTTCAACAATACTTCCACTGTCCGGCTGCTTGATTCACCGCCCCTGAGTAGATCGTCGGTGCATTGATATCCGGGTTCATTGAATTGCCGAGGCTGTTGGCCTGAGGCATCAACAGCATCATTATCGTCGATTCTACACGTCCGTTAACAGCTCCCTGTCACTTGTGTTTAATTGACAATACCTTAGTTTGAAGCAAGCAGTCACGAAAAACCTCTCTGTTTGTCTCGCAGCAGTTCCCTTTTGTCGATCTTTCGATCACAGGCCCTTTTTGACTCTGCCAAATCCGATCGCAAGCCGACCGCGGCGAATAAGAACCGCCCGAGTCGGCCGAGAGCGCTCCCCGCAACTTTCATTTCTCCCCGGACTCGATTAGCCCGAGCTCTTTTGATCTCATAAGTTCCTTTTTCTCTCGTCCGAGACCGAGGATCCTGGTTCATTTGCGATTTGAAGTTGTTTTCTGTTTCTTCGATGCTTCAAATGCAATAAAAATAACTACTGGGCTACCTCCGAAACACTCAACTTAGTACCAGACATGGCTCCCAGATTGACCGGTGCGGCAGTTGCCGAACACAACTCCAAAGACTCGTGTTGGGTGATTGTTCACGGAAAGGCCTACGACGTCACTGAGTTTTTGCCAGGTGAGATATCTTCCGAAAATTCAGCCCACATTGAAGCTTTGGCTAACAACAAACCCGCTCAGAACACCCCGGAGGCTCCAAGATTATCTTAAAGTATGCTGGCAAAGATGCCACTGAGGAGTTTGATCCGATTCACCCTCCCGACACCCTCGACAAGTATCTCGACAAGTCCAAACATCTGGGAGATGTTGACATGAGTACCGTCGAGCAAGAGGAGAAGGAAGTCGACCCAGAAGAGGCGGAACGACTCGAGCGTATCAAGCGAATGCCTCCTCTTGCGGCCTGCTACAACTTGATGGACTTTGAGACTGTCGCGCGGCAGATCATGAAGAAGACCGGGTGGGCATATTACTCCAGCGGAGCAGATGATGAAATTGTAAGATCCCTGACATCCAAAGCTTTGCGGTATCCGTGTCCAGTGAAGCTTGACTAAACGTGTGCTCGTCAATCAGACTCTACGTGAAAATCACCACGCTTTCCACAAGATCTGGTTTCGGCCTCGCGTCCTCGTCGATGTCGAGAACATCGACATGAGCACCACCATGCTCGGCACACCCGTTTCCATTCCATTCTACGTGACGGCTACTGCCCTTGGCAAGCTAGGTCACCCCGAAGGCGAAGTCGTGCTCACCAAAGCCGCACACAAGCACAACGTTATCCAGATGATCCCCACACTTGCATCATGTTCATTTGACGAGATTGTGGATGCGAAACAAGGCGACCAGGTCCAATGGCTCCAGCTCTACGTGAACAAGGATCGCGAAATCACCCGAAAGATCGTCGCCCACGCCGAGAAGCGCGGGTGCAAGGGTCTATTCATCACGGTGGATGCGCCACAGCTCGGTCGACGTGAGAAAGACATGCGATCGAAATTCAGTGACGCGGGATCAAATGTCCAGTCAGGTGACGACGGGATCGACCGTTCACAAGGTGCAGCGCGCGCAATTTCCTCCTTTATCGACCCAGCCCTGTCATGGAAGGATATCCCCTGGTTCAAGAGCATCACGAAAATGCCCATCATACTAAAGGGTGTTCAATGTGTCGAGGATGTTCTTCGCGCCGTGGAAGCCGGCGTTGACGGTGTCGTCCTCTCCAACCACGGCGGCCGCCAGCTGGAAACAGCTCGCTCCGGCATCGAGGTCCTCGCCGAAGTCATGCCTGCGCTCCGAGAGCGCGGATGGGATAAGCGTATTGAAGTATACGTCGACGGTGGCGTGCGCCGAGCTACGGACATTCTCAAAGCTCTATGCCTGGGCGCTAAGGGTGTTGGTATTGGTCGACCCTTCCTATACGCCATGTCGGCGTACGGTGTCGACGGCGTGAACCGCGCGATGCAACTCCTCAAAGACGAAATGGAGATGAACATGCGTCTGATCGGAGCGACCCGCGTCGAGGACCTGAACCCCAGCTTCTTGGATACGCGGGGACTGCTGAGTGGTCATGCTGGTACCATCCCCTCAGACACGCTTGGTCTACGGGCGTATGATCCCCTGCAAGGGCCAAGATTCAACGAAAAGGCGAAATTGTAGAGGTCGGTCCACGTATCGGAGATGTTGCCGTTGTGCTTATATTTATATCCCAAACCCTGCATCTGCATTCCATGTATATACTCGACGTTGAAAGCCAATAGTCAGTTTTTGGACTGGGAAACCCACCTTGAGATAGACCAGCACAATAACTGTTGTTTGAATGTATATGAGCGCGTAGGGGCATTGGACGAGGACGCCGAAAGTTCAAAATTACTCTGATCACTTACTACTACTCCCAAGACAGCGTTCTGACCTGGATACACGCGATACAAGAAAGTAAAGCGACCGTGACACCGATCGACGAAAGTTGTACAGATAACTTTTTTCAAAAGCCAAGTCAGGCGCTATAAATGAGTTACTCCCCCCAGACACCAGCCGCATGGGCGAAAAGATCCCTTTTCATGATAAGCGCAGTGGACAGAAAAGCTCCCACTGGTTCAGACAACGCCAAAAGTAGCTGAATGACCGATCAACTATGCAAATTGCCGATGCATTCGCTTCGATGGACTCGGTGTGCGAAGATGACTTTCTCTCTCACGCGATCTCTCTGTCACAAAGTCCATTGCTCGAGTATTTTCCAACAGAAGGGGCGCGTCCTCGTCCCTTTCGGTATAATTTTTCGAAGGCGATTCTTGTTGGCCGTGGAAGCCGTATGTGGGATTTTGTTGGAGATGAAGAGCTTGGCCGTGCATGTTGGGGTTGTACACAGGCGGAGGAGGCGGTGGATAGTCGTGTTGTGGGTAACCCTGGTTCAGGCGGTTGTTTCTGAAGGAGCGGAAGGACCAGTTACTGGCCCAGGCTACGGTTCCGATGGTGGCGAGGAAGATGATCTATCGCGAAGACGCAAGTCGAAGAAGTTAGCGCGGGTTGAGGGCAAGATGGCCGGATGGAAGGAGAGATTCTCACAATAGCTTTCCATGAGATGGGTTCGATGAAGCTGTCGATGATCTGGGCCATCGTTCTGGCAGATAGCATAGCCCGTCTCACATGGGTTGGATCTGTGTCCATGCATTTCCGATCGGCAGCGCAGATCGGAATCAGGCCCGGTACCAAATTCCCAGCAGCGCATTTGTTGTCCTCATATCGCTGCATACACTCTGCGATGCTGTGCAGAATGGAATCCATCTCCTTGCTGGCCACTGCGTCGAACTCGTTGCGGATCTCCGCGACGAAGGAGAAAACCATCCAAACGGCGAGGGAGAACAGCGACAAGTTCACGACAAGCTGTGCCCACCACGATAGAATTGCGGGGACATTTGGGTGCTCTTCCAAGAGTGTCAATACTTGCTTGAAGAAACCCATTCTCGCGGAGCTGGACTGAGATGGTGCGGTACCAGGCTCCGCAATCTTCTGCCTCCTCTTCTTTTCGATCCGTCCTTCATTGCTGCCCGGCCTGTCGCTGTCATCGTCCTCGTCGTCGTCGTCTAGCTGGACCTCTCTCTCAATGGCCCTATCTCGATTTCGCGTCCGACGTTTCTGTACCTTGCGAGCCGCGGCGCGCGAGTAGATGTTCTTGCGTGGAATTTCCCCCCGACCGGGACTGGGAGCAAAGCGGCCATACTGGTTGAATAATGAGTTGCGCCGCGTGCCTCTTGTCTGTTGCTCAGGTGTCTCCTCATTGTCGGCTATTTCAGGCGAGGAAAAGTTCTCAGCGCCGGATGAGAAATCAACTTCCAACTTTCGGGGCGTCATAAATGCCGGCTGTCCGAAGATCGACGACTGGGACTGAGTAGCTGCTTGTTGCCGCGGAGGAGAGAAGAGGAAGGATGACTGGGAATTTGGTGGTCGAAGTGCAGGTATAGATGGCTTCTCAGGAGATTCGAACACCTGATGTGATCCTTTGAGATGAAAAGTCAGCGAGTGAGCCTCGTGGCCTGGAGTCGACCGCTGGTCAACACCTACGCTTCTTGTTGTCCTGTGAGGGTTGCCTTCGGACGTGCGAAAAGGGCGAGGTGAAGTCCACTGGTCCAGAGCTTCCACCATGCCACTCGTAGTCCATGGGTATTACCCCTCCAGCTTCGTTGCGTGAGTTCATCGCTTGGAAAGCTTATCTTGGGAGAATCTGGGGTCGAAGCTCATGAAAGCGGGATGGTGGAGTGGGAAGGAGGGTTTTTTTTGTTTGGGTCAAGCTGTAAACAGAACCTTGCGGAGCAACCATGGGCGGAGTGGCGAACGACGGCCTCGGCTGGAGCGATAACCTAGAGAGCCAACTACCTCTCCACACGGCACGAGATACTGAGAATGAAAAGTGAGTTCATACGAGAAGTGCGAATATCTTGCCGAAAAAGGTTGCAAGTCCGATTTTTCAAATATGAAAATTCGGCTGCATTTGCTGGATACCGGCTTAGCTTATGGTCGGCTCACCTGGCAAGTATACCAAGTCGATCGCCCAGTCGAAACCCAAGGTTCTGGTTTGGTAGTTGTGAATTCGCCCAGTCGAAACCCAAGGTTCTGGTTTGGTAGTTGTGAATAGCTACACCGTTACATAATGAAACTGACATGCGAAGCTTTGATTGACAGATACTATTCAGTCAAGGATGAGGGCGCCAGCGCCCTAAAAATGCTTCCGAACTCCGTCCCGATGTAGAGCTGCATGACATCTGGAATGACTCTCTTGTATTGCCCCCATGAGCCTCTTACTCGTCCATCTGCCATTGATACTCAAGAGCCTCGAATCGGCTTTTCTTGTTCCTCGCAGCAAACCACTCCTTCTCAAACCCAGTCGAGCGGTCCACGCCGTCCCACCGATGGCCCGGTCGAATACCATATCGGTTAGGCTGGAACGAGCCCTTGTATAGTGGCTTCCCTGACACACTTGCGCCAGGCCCCTTCTTCTGTGTCAGGAACTGCGCCGCGGGGTCATTCCACCTTGCGACATCCTTCAGCTCGTCGTTCAGCGCCTCATCGTCAATGCCTCGCGCAACAGGCATGGATCGGATATCTTGAAGTTCTTGTTTCCTCACTTCACGCTGCTGCCGCTGGACATCGCCCATGAGGGCTTCACGAGCAGCATCCTCCTTTGCTTTCTTCTCCGCTTCGGCTCGACGGGCTTCGGCGCGTTTCATTTGCACGTTGATGATCCGACCGGAGGCATCACGATAGATCGTTTCTTGAGATTTCGCATCTGCCGCTGCAGGATCCTTGTAGAGCGCCTCTTCTGCCTTCTTGCGCCGCTCCTGCGCCTTGACCATTGCGGCGGTATCAGCCGCGGTCTGAAGACCGGCGCGAACTCCAGACTCCATACGCGGCCCGTAGTCCTCGTCCCCACCATTTTCAATCATGGGCGCATCGTCATCATCATCCGCCTGTCTGGCGGCTCGTTCTGCAGCCGCAGAAGCGAGGATTGCATCGGCGGCTTCTTGGTCAGAGTCTCGAGGAGGTGCAGTTGGCGTCCCGCCGATAGTCTTCCAGCCGGATCTTTTGGCGCGTCGAAATTCAGCGCTCGTTACAGAGGTATCGATGGATGGTTTGTACTCGTCATCTTCGAGGGGACGAGCGTTGCCGAAAACTGGAGCATCATCGTCCGCAATGATCAGACCTGACTCGGCCGTGTCTGTAGCTTTGGTCTTCTTGCGCTTCTTTTTGGGTCGCTCTGGCGCGGGATCTGCATTGAGGTAGTTTTTCGCGAGGTAGTCTGCTAGTGACCCCGGCATGATTATGTGGTATGTGTGATCGTGCTGATGGGACGCTCAATGATGTTCGACAGCGGGACTCTCTTGGAAAGTCTAAGTGAAGCCCAAGCGCATGCCTTGGCTTCTGCTTATCGATAAGCGGAGGTACGTTTACCCGTGTTGAGCTGGGTCTAGATCCCTTATCAGATGCAAGCTAACGTACTACTGTCCCATTAGGTATTGTGCCTGCCTACCTGTATCTTGCTGTCATGAACTAGCAGACTTGTTCGGGATAGATATCCTCACTACATTACCGCCACCTCGACTCCAACCAAATGCCTCGCTCAGAAGAAGCAGAGTGGTGGGCCAATGCAGTCTACTCCGCGATTCAAGAGATCCCACACGGCAAAGTCACATCGTACGGGCATATTGCGCTGCTCCTCGGCGAACGTAGGTCTCCGGTACTGATCAATCATGGATAGCGCATAATACCTCATTAATGAAAAAATTCGCAAATTCTAGCACAACGACCGCGACAAGTAGGCGTTTGTCTGAAGTCACTGGCTGGTGCTGAAAGTGGCGCCCACTTCAACTCCAGCAATGTTCCATGGCAGCGAGTCATCAATGCCAAGGGCATGATTTCACATCGGTAGGCAAAAATAGGACTCGATCCTTCTATTAAACAACAAAGAATGCCTTGCATGGGGCTTGAGTCACTCCTGGCAAAATGAATCCGCTGACCGACTCCTCAAGTGGCCCAGGTAGTGCTGAACGTCAAGCCGAGGCCCTCGCTACAGAAGGCGTCGAGGTGACGAGGGATAGTATGGGCGAAATCTACGTCGATTTTTCGCGTTACGGCTGGTTTCCAAGCAGACTACCTAGTGAAGAAGAGCAAGAAGCTGATGGCGGGGGGAAGAAGATGGACAGCTGTTTGTGCAAGAGTCATAGCGTTGCACACGTCGCTTAGTTTTATCTCGAAGTCCCTACATCTGGTAGATGATACCATCCCAGTACCCTCAACTAGGTGTCATAGCTCTTGCCCTTAATGGGAGCGCGCATCGTCCAGGAGCAAAACGTATAGCCAGGAACCACTACAGTTCCAGCCCAACAATTCAGGGAGAGACAGGATCATTGCAAGCCCGTTTTTAGGACGTCAAAGCATATGGAAGACAAATGTCGAGAACAACAGGCGGTTTGACTAAGGTAGAGTCGTCTACTTGCTAAGTCTCACGCCGTTCAGGCAAAATCAGTGGCTAGTCATCTTCTTTCCGTCGCCGATCTAATACCGATGGCCAAAAAAAGTATAGCGGACATATGCGTGAAGATCGACCGGACCAGAAGAGAAGAAGAAAAACATAGCGCTTGGGCCGCGCCCGTCTTTTGGGTACATGTCATTGATCCAAGAGCACAAAGGTTCGTAAGAGCTTACAATTCATGAAGTGTTCCACAGGTTGATAGAATGAGGTTGGGCGGGAGGTCCAAGAGCGTGGGGTTGAACGTGGGGAGTGTGTGAGAAATATAAGAGGGGTCCGGAGGCAGAAACATGGAGACCTTCCAGTAAAACAAAGTACCTCCAACAGACCATCACGTCTACAGCCTTAGATTGTCAAAGATCGATCGAGAGGAAAGAGGGAGAGAGGTTGACGGGACAAAGGCGGTTGATCGGGAGAGAAGGGAGAAAAGAAAGCCCGAAAAGAAATTCGAACAGAGAAATGATGACAGAAAAAAGAAGAATCGCCAAAAATACGACAAATCTCGTTTCAACTCAAACACGAAAGACTCCCGTCAGCGCCGCTTGACCTCAAAGGCCCAGCCATCGATCCCCTCACCCCGTGTTCCAGGTGCGATCCCTAAGCTGACGCCACTCATACCTGGCGTGTCTTGCATCCACTCGTGGGAGGCCATGCCACCGGCGTTGGCGCGCTTCTCTGGATGCAAGTCGAGCATAGGCAGCAAAAACTCACTGATCCGCATAGCCTCTTCGACACTATAATGGTACTTCTCACGGAGAACGTCGGGGAGCGCCCAGTGACGCAGACGGTGGATATTCCGCAGCTCTCCCTTGCGGTTGAAGATCTCTTGTGACCATTTGCCCGAAAGGCAAAGCGACTTGGGGAACGGACCCAATAGCTCGATGATCTGGGCAATGTGATCGTCGTCCTTGCCATACTTGGTGCCAGATTGCGGGTCAAAGAGATAATCACCAGTGATGAGCTCGAAGACCTGTATCTGATTAGAAAACGATTGCGTCTTTCCACATTTAACGTGGATGATTCTCTTACCATGCAAGCCATGCTCCAGACGTCAGTGCTGGCGCCCCATTTGGCGCCCAGGATCACCTCTGGTGAGCGGTATTGGCGCGTCTGGATGTCGTTGGTGAAGTGATGTCCAACCCAGCAGGCGTTGCCCAGGTCAGCGATCTTGACCGAGATGATGCTGGCGTCGATTGCCTCTTCCAGCGGAGTCTTGGATGGGCTCTTGTCCAGCGAGATTCCGGAAACTTCTCTTTCGAGGAGATCTCTGTACTGCCATGTCAGTGCCGCACATGTGATGGCACGCCGGTGTCATTTCATCGCCCAGCAAACCGAACTTACGTTGTCTTTTCTCGCTGCTTCTGCTTCTCATCCTCATCTTTGATCCCAAGTGTCTCCTTCATAGAGGGATCAGTTGACGCTACAGTTGAATTGCGCTGGTCAGTAACTCGTTTTTCACCATTCACCTTGTAGTGCATTGGGTATCTCTGCTGATCCTGATCTCTTACTTCCCCCATTTAACTCCATATGTCGATTACCCGGGGGCGCTTGCGACTTACTTGACTCATTCACCATTTGACTTAGGCTGCTGTGTGAATTTGATGAGCTGTGCTTGAAGTCGAAGCCGCTGAAGCTCGTGTTCAACGGACTCGGTAGGGGTTGACTGCCGGTGATCAATGTGCGCCGGCGTCGGCGGCCATTTCGATTGTCTTCTTTGCTCTCAAGTTCCTTCTTCGCCTCCTCTTGCTCGACATGCGCCTTGACAATCTGCTCCACGTCACCAATCTCGATCAACACGTTCTCTGGCTTCAGATCGGTATGGATGATCCCACATTCTCGGTGTAGATAGTCCAACCCCATCAAAACCTGCTTCGTGATCTGTTTGACGAGCGGCATCGGGATGCCTCTGTGATTCCATCGCTTAATTAAGCCCAACAGATTCTCACCTAGCACCTCAAACACCATACAGACGTGTACACCGTTGGGGCCCTTGTGTTCGAATGAGTCCAACAGACTGACCACATGCTTGCGACCGGGGTGGTCAGGCTTGGCCTGAACAATACGATTCAAGAGCTTGATTTCATCAATCGCAGTCTCGGTATAGTGAGCTGCTGAGCGAACGACCTTCAGTGCCACATGTTTCCCGGTCGTGGTATCGCGCGACAGCCAGACAGTGGAAAAGTGACCCCATCCCAGCTTGCGCACGACGACATAGCGACCATTGTTGTATGTTTCGCCCACGGCCACCGGGTGGTAACCACCTTTGCAATAGTCCTCTGAGTCTTCTTCCTCGGCGGTCGTCTCTACCTCATCCGCCGACGAGGAGGATGGAGAGCGGGATACTGCTGCGCCGGGATTCTTGGAGTGTGGTGCTGCGCCGCTACTATGCATCAAATTGGAGAGTGAAATGTCAGCTACCAGGCTTTCGGAGTGAGCGGCCAACGGGCGGACGGCGGTTGCGAGTATCGCAAACAGAAAATCACGGGCCGATCATCCAATCTTCAAGCAGGTTTATTATGCTATCGATAGGCCCAAAAAAAAAGAACCACCGACTCTGGAGGTATGACAGGCGACAAGAAGACGCTTCCGAGGCAAGAGAGAGAAAGCAAAAGCAGAAAGTGCAGGCGCTTTGGTGGAGAACAAGAGGACGCAAAGAAAATGCAATAGGACTTACGATGTGGTGATGGCGTCAACCGCTTGGGCCGACTTCGCATCATTGGTGACGATCGGCTTCAAGTCGGTACCCTTTCGCCTCTTCTTTCCGGCGGCGCCATTGGCGGCAGAGGCAGCAACACTGGCCATCTGTTTACCTTTGTTGATAACCGTCTTGGTCAGATCAATGCTGTCCATGATGCGGAGAGAAAGTAGGTCGGGGAGGGACCACAGCTGGAAGAGAGCGAGAGGCGGGGCACCGGGATGGGAGGTGGTTGGTTGCGACAACAGAGAAATTGAGGGCGGTGCGCGGCCGAGAGGGGCCCAACTGCGGGAAGCAGACGTGGAGTTGAGATGAGGATGAGGATGAGGAGTCCGCGAGATTTGGGAGATTGGTTTGTTCGGAAGCAGCGGAGATTTGGAAGAACTGGTTCAAAAGAACACGAATCGTTCAGATGAGTGAGGGGAATCGGAGGTTTGAAGAGAGGAGAAAGCGTCGGGAGGAGCGTGGGTGATGTGAAGCGTGGTTCCGGAAGCAGCCAGTCGTTGGGTGACTTTGGGGCTGTTGTATGCGACGGATGTGGCAAACGCTGGTTAGGAGAAAGCCAGGAAGAACACCGAAAGCAAGGCCGCCGGACTCTCGAACCAAGGAAAAGAATCAACAGATGAAGCCCATCAACAAGGGAGCATGGGTAGCAAAGTTTAGTTCCTGATCTGATCGGGACTCGAGAGGGCTATCCAAATGATCGGAAATCGGCCGCCGCGGTCATCGGAGATGACATCTACTTCAAGTCTTCAACCCAGAATCAGATAGGGAGGGTACGAAAACCGTACGGCATCACAAACATATCTTATGATTCCTCGTGAGCGGATCACAGCTTCTGCCTGACCAGGGAAATGCCACGAGTTCATTCTTTCGCATCGCGATCGCTCGATTTTGTCAGACTGGGCGAATGGTTTAACAAAACAACCCGGTCGGCGGAGTGAGCGTTTTAAAGTGGTGAGCGTTTTGTCTGTTACGATACGCTCTCAAGAAGACGTCCGTTCAGGCCACCTTCCAACTTTCTCTTGCCGGTGATGTGTCTTTGAAGCTCCGAACCCCAGGCATGGCGAGAAACCTAAATCACCTGGCGAAACAGTTGAGCAAACAACGGACAACATGACCTTGGTCGGGGCCGATGTGCCGACAAGATATGGTATCTTTCATGCTATCAAAGACCGGACTGCCCGGGATAGATCTGTGAGTCTGATAGTCGACCATGCAGAATAATGTTGAGCATCAATACTGAATCAGTGAATACAGTATCACTCTAGTCCACGCCTTGGAAAATCTACCCACTGACACGGGGCTTCGTTTAACTAGTGAGCTTGGTTTTGAAGGCGTGGAGTACTTGTTCCGCTCCATGACGTCCATGTACATCTGCTGGACCGACATCTGTGTAGCCGTCAGCGGCATCTACTGAAGAGGCAAGCCAGAGATGAGCCTTGTATCTCGTTGCCACGATGTTCTTTCAAGTAAAATGTGACAAGATGTCTTTGTGAGTGTCGGGGACGCTGAAGATGTTAGCTGTAATAGTAGATTCGAGAATAAAATCAAACCCCACGGCCTTTTATCAAATGGCCAGCTAAGTGCAGTACCAAAACGGCCATTCACTTTACAACGTCAATCGCGTAGAGGAGATTAATCGGGCCAAAGACCTCAGAGTACGTTACTGCTCTGCAAATGCCATGTTCCAGGGAAGGGGTTTCAGACAACTAGACACCTGCCCAGTTAGAGGACTATGGAGCACTTGTCCATCTCATTCATCTTGTTACGTATCTTGTATCTCGTATCTTGTAGTTGAGGTGAACTGCTGGCTCTGCTACTTAGGGCAGACACGAATCATGTCGAATATGATGAGAAGTAGCATCCTGACTTGCAAGGTACCGAGTACATGGCATCCCGCTCGTTCTCGCGGTGCTCTGATGTCACTCTCCCGGTTTCTCCGGGATGGGTCCTCGAACTTTAAGTACCCAATGACCTGGCCTGACTCAAGCTTTCCCCCAGGAACTGACCACTGGCCAGAACGACAGTCTATACTGGACACTCTACAATCCACACTTGGCCCGAAGCCATTCTATTCTATCGAACACAAAGCAACCTTTGCCCATATCTTCCTTGGAGGCAAAGATCCACTAACAGACAAAGAGGTTTCTGGTGTTCTCACCACCCTCACAACCTCTCTCACCATGTCCAGTCCCTATCACAAGCGTCCCTTGCCCGACTATTTCATTGCTTCCCCGCTTCTCGCCCTGCTCTACCCTGTGCACCATGCCTTACTTCACCTCCGAGGGCCTCCACGACTACCGCCTCCACATGCGAAACCCATTCGCGTCGTTTGTATTTCAGATACTCACACGCTTGAATGCTCCGATGTCCCCGACGGCGACCTCCTGATCCACGCCGGTGACCTTGCCAACGATGGCTCCGTCCGGGAAATCCAAGCGGCGGTCGACTGGCTGCGCTCCTTGCCTCATCCTCAAAAAGTCGTCATCTGCGGCAACCACGACAGTTACTTTGATGTGCGCTCACGTCTCGAAGAGGATCGCGAGGACACGTCCTCGATCTCCTCCTTTGCGGCCATTTCGTCCTCCACGGCCTCCATCCGCTCGCTCGACGAAATCACGGCCCCGTCGCGCATTGACTGGGGTGACATTCATTACCTGCAACACAGTGCTGTGACCCTCTCCTTCCCAGCAGATGCCACAACCGACGGCTCACCTCGATCGGGCTCGACTGCAACCGCATCACTCGCGAGGCCGCGTTCCCGCGAGCTCACCATCTACGGCGCCCCTCAGATCCCGGCCCTTGTACCATTCGGCCCAGAGCATGCCTTTACATACCCACCACATCATGATGCCTGGTCACGCACCATCCCCGCAGAGACCGACATCCTGGTGACGCACACACCACCACAAGCCCACCTAGACATGTCTCCGGTCTTCTCGACCGGCTGTCCCAGTCTTCTCGCCGAGGCCTGGCGCGTCCGCCCCGCTCTCCACGTCTTTGGCCACATTCATAATTCCTCCGGCCGTGAACCAATCTTCTGGGACGAGGCTCAACGGGCATGGGAGCGTCTCTGCGCGTCTCGACGGCCGCGCGCAAAGGAGGCCCGTGTGGTTGCTCTCGCCGGCATGATGCGGGATTTGTTTGACTTGTCCGGGTGGATGGACGCGGCTCGAGTGGTGTTATATGGCGTCTTGGGTGTGATATGGTCACGAGTCTGGGGGGGCGAGACGCTCGACGGGAGCTGGATGGTGAATGCCGCGTGCATGTACCGGGACAGTGGGAAATTGAAGAATCCGCCTCGAGTAGTTGAGCTATAGCTTGCGGAAGCTCCACCGCTGTGCCTGTTGATTGTGTGTCCATCTATATTACTTTTGCACCTGCTGGCGGTGTGCATCGTATCCATTATTTGTGGCCCGAGTCTACGCTGGGCCGTGACCAGCATCGCCTCATATTCAAAATATCTGTAATGTTGTCCAAAAAGAAAATTCAACCTCCATCAATATCCCTCCAAGCGATTCTCTTCACTCGCCTCCGATAGTATACAATACCTTGTATTCGCCATGACAAAATTACACGGCACGTTCCTTTCGTCATCGACAAGGGAAGGTTCACTGTTGCTAGCAAAGCCCAACCTCCGTAGACATCTACAGAACCATAACCTCCAAAACCAAATCCCTACGTAACTTGATGAAAATGAAGCGCTCCCAGGCCCTGGTATGGCTGGATCTAGCATAGCCAGCGTCGCTTTTCTTCGTTCTCTTTTCCAGCTGGACAGGCATACCTTGACACGCTACTCAGTCCACGGAACCCTGGCATGAAAAACGTCCTGTTGACGATTGACGAACCACCTGGCAGGATACTTACTTTATGAGCATGGATCCATTCATGAGTCCTACGCGAGACACAGATCTCCCTCTTCTAGTCGCAATTACATATTTGGTATCGTCCATCCTCACAGGGCCTCGCGGATCATTCGCGTTGACGGTCCTCTCACAAGAAGACTTTGTTAAGCTGCATTTGACCTTAGAGTATTCATGAACGATGGTACTGGGATTCAGACTCGACTAGGTACCGCGTGCTCGTTGACCTACTGGCCGACGAAGTCTCTACTGGACAAGGCATAGATGACAAGCCAATATTCCCCCAGTCCCAGTATAGGCCAACGGATCTCGCGCACACTGGATTCGATGGCCGATTGAGATTCACTTACTGTGGATACCAAGACTCTGTGGGAGATAGAAACACTATCCAGCTTAGTCTCTTCCGAAAATGCATCAGCTTGGAAGGTTCCAGAGAGTGATGGTCTGGTAGTGGGTGAGCTTAAGCCTCTGTAGTTGACTGAATGTGCCTCTTTACAAAAAGAAAACAATCCGAGACGAAGACATCTCATTTTGCGTCTTACATTTGTGGTAGTCGAGTCAGTAACCAAGGAACATTTTGAGCCTACAATATACTACAGCATGGAGAAGGACAGTTGGTAAGAATAATGATGATGTTGATACATTGATAAGCAATGATGTGCGTATCAATATGTTGTAATTTGCGGAAGCCCACCCATAATCCAGCAACCCAGACACCGGAGCCATGTCGCAATAAAAACAAAACAGGTAAAATAGGAACGCGAGAAGATATAGAAGCAGTAAGAATAGACATGCAGTGGCCAGTAGCTGAGGGGTAGCCACTAGCCACGCATGTCGGAAGCCACAGGAAGGTAAGAATATGAGCATATATACAAAACAGAGCAACGGCAATAAGAATAAAAAACACGAGGAACGAAACGATCATAAGGGCAACATGGCTCTGTGTCTGGTGGAGTTGCTGAATACCCACCCGCGTTCCGCATTGTCGTGGTACGAGGCTAGGAGCCTCTGTCACTTTGATGTGTGTAAGTGACAAGTCAGCTCAAAACCCAGGAGATCTGAGGCGAGAGAGAGAGGTGAGTATTGGCTCATGAGGTGATGAGAGATGATCATGACATACCTTGAGATATGAAGTTGAATACATTGTGAAGTGATCAACCATGTGAGACGAAGGAAGAATAGCACTAAGGCGAAGGATGAGTTAGTGTAAGCCGATGAAATGATGGGTGAGAGTCATGTAATACCTTAGTGAACGCTTGCTGATTGACTTGGGCATTGTATGTGGTGCGCATACACTGGCGAAGGTGTTGTGGTATGTGTTGGACCACGATGTCCTTGAAGATGCCATATGTGGTTGTCAAGTGGAAGGCATCAGGATAGCTGGCGTGGCTCAAACCTGACATGTGGTTGATCATAAAATTGTAAATTCAAAAGATGTTTGAGGAAGAGAGATGAAGAAGAAAAAGTTCAAAGATCTTGGGAGGGGAGGCCATATTTATATTCGCAAACAAAGACCACGTGAGGCGCTTGCGAAACTAGTCCATTAAGCGAATTTGTATACTCGAGGTCGAATTTTGAACCTCGAGTCCGAGATGCAAGGAATTTCACGCTCGATCTGGTGGCAGTGTTGGAATTTCGCCTTCAGATTTTGGTAGAGCCCGGAGCTGGTATAATCGAAACCCCAAACCGTCTTGCACATCAGAATTCCAAGGATGGCGCTCAGGATCACGGTTGAAAGTGGTGTTTGACGACAGAATGACCTTCTCATGACCTTGTGTATATCATCGCGCGCGATCACCGCCTTTTCCAACCGTGAAGCTTCGCTTATATATCCTATTCCAGACACATTGTCTACCTAGGGAAGCTATCTCAGATGCAAAGTATATCTCAGAACCTCATGTCTGGGGCTCACAAGGAGTTAAGCTTGATTCAACGCCACGATGGGGATGTCGACACAGAAATCTGTATATCATTAGAAGTCCTCGAGACCTGCTACTTGAATTAATATTTCGTCAAAAATAGAAGGGCTACATCCAGGATCACGACTGAGCTTGGTGATGAATGACAGAATGGCTTTTTCTTGACTTCCTTGTGGTCTTACGCGGCAGAATCGCAGACTTCGTCCCATGAAGCTCGCTTAGCCGTCCTGTAACGGAAATGCTCTTGCCTTAGTATCAGAACTTCACATTGCACATCAAAAAGAGAAGCCCTATGTAGCTCTCATGACCACTCCAACTCGATCCAACACCAAGGTCACAATGATGACATCAGATATTATATATTGTTAGAGGACTTGCAGATCTCATAACTTGCTATACAATACTTCTCATTGAGAAGCTATACGTTCAGGATCAGGTTCGTAGGTACTCCTGGTGGAACGAGTGACCTCTCTCATTTTCCCGCAGAACAGCCATGTACACAATCATCGCCTAGAGCGCGAACCCTGCGATGATCTCGCTTAAGTATCCTATTTGAGAGTCAATATTGTTTGTTTCCAGTCTGTATCACAGTAGAGTATCAAGTCTTCACGCACTAATCTCTTGTTATGGATTTATATTTTTCGTATCAGCCTCGCGTCAACTGAAAGTCATTCTTCTTACACACATCGCGTCTTGCTCAGCGTCAACAGATAATCCATCATTCGTATCATCTCCGCTCGCGTCATATTTGATGAGGTTTTTCTTCTGCGCAATTATCAAAGGTGGAAAGTATCTTTCTGTTATATGATCATGTTATTCCATCTGACGTTACCATGCATATTATCCTTGGGTCTCTCTTCTTCTATGCGCCGAGACTACTTTCAAAGCCCATGAAGCTACAGGGCTTCAACGAATTATCACTGCAAAACATGGTGTGTATCTTCTTTTCACTCACCCACGGTTTATCATATCACTGACTTGCCAAAAGCATCAGTCGAAGCTCAAAGCACCCTATGTCGTGATTGTTGCCTGGCACAGCTATTGCATTCATCATTACATCTTCTTCTTCTATACCAACAAGGACCTGGAATGGAAGCGCCCCATATGTCCTACTGTACGGACTAGGTAGATGGACGACTAAACACATCTCTTCAATGACTGCTCCATACAGATATGACAGAAAGGTAAGTCGTCTTCTATCATTCAACATGCTCTGCCAGATATATACCCAAGCCCGATGATGAGAATGTGCCTCCTGAATACCGATCACCATGTGGGCGAATAATCTTTCTCATTTTGATGGGACACTCGATGGTCCTGTATGCTTAATGACCTGAGTTTTGCGCCTGCAGATTGGCATTGAATGATTCTTCATCCAGCTCAAGATGTCGTAGGAAACGTATGAAGTTCCGAAGACTCGACACAGACTCCATCAGCCGAAACCCATTCTTCATTCAACATTTCAACGACATCCTTGACACTTTTCAATGGTGTCCTTTCAAGTCTTCACTCAGGATAACCTACGGCATCAATACCTGCGCAGGAGGGGCTTTACACTTGTCATGTGAGTTGCCAATGGGACCATGAGACTAAGCCTCATTACTGATGCAAACCCTACACTACCTAGCATTTGTGCAGCTGCACCAACTTCTCCACCTTCGTCCTCACTATTTCCTTGGCTTTTTCTGTTTACAGTGACTTGAAACTTCAAGCGGAATATGTGAGTGATGTCGATGGCCACTTTCTATGTTCCAAACATACCCATCATACAGAATCCTTTTCTCCATGCGGATCAAGTTTGCTTAACGAAACTTTTTTGCACGCCTCATCGAGTTCCATAGACACTGACCAAGTGCTCATCTGTGACTTGAACTTCGTGAAAAAGGGAAGTATTCATTCTACGGGTATTGGAATCGCAACAGGATATATTCGCTTTTGGGGCTCATGATGAATGGTTACCGGTTCTAAAATATCCATTTTATTTGAGAAAACCTTGAATTTCTGAAGCCCTCAAAAGCCATCTTCCACCTTGAACCCGACCCTTGTCATTACCATTGAACACATGGAAAGTTGAGACTAACATTCTGCTTCTCTCATTTAGATCAGTACTCGGTGAAGCCTTACGTCCTTCGATCCCCAAATCTCATATACACTGACCGAGCACTGCTCAGCTGCGAATTGAAAGTCAGGGAAAAAGGGAAGCAAACTTTCCGCGGGTGTTGGCATCACAGCAGAACATGGATGTTATCTCTCGGGGCCTATGATGAAATAAAGATGTTCTTCTGAAACATCGATTCAATTGACGAAAAGCTTGAGGATCTGAAGCCCTTGAGGTCTTCATTCTTTTTTTTGCCTGGCCCTTGTCATTGATATCAAACACGTGGAGATCTGAGACTAACATTCTCCTTCTAGAACACAGGCTCCTCTGATAAATCTCACGTCACCGGCTCTGGGGTATATACATACGGCATATAATAGACATGTTGACAGTCCCTGACCAAATGGCAGAGCTGTGGTATCAGCATCAATGAATCGATGACTGCATCTTGCTCTGTGCAGAGCTGTGGTATCAGCATCAATGAATCGATGACTGCATCTTGCTCTGTGCAGAGGCTGTCGGTCAAGCCCTTAGCTGGTAGTTGCGGGGCTTTCACTCAACGCAACCATATATCCTATACATCGTGAGGAGTGTTTATGCGTGGCATTGCGGAGAGATGTATCCAATTTAGGTTTGAAGCGGATTAGAGATCTGCGAGGTCCTAAACCTCGGATAGCTAGATCTTAATTCCTTCTGGATTCGCGGATATCCCTATTTAGCCCTTAATAGATTATGGAGATAGTAGATTCTACTATTTATTATTATGAGAGTCTAGAACTATCTAGCAAGAAACAAGAGTAAAGATACAGGCTTTTCAACCCCACTCCCATCTTCTCGTGTATCGGGCTTGCCTACGATCAGAGAACGTGCAAGCTGCAAATCCTAGTCGCGTGCTAAGCGACTTTGAAGATTGTCGTTAGAAGCGGTTTCATTACCGAGTGAACATGAGTATGCGACTGGTAACGTATTTCCGGATTTGATTGCCGTTACACCCCAAACCCACACAAATCCAGCAGGACATCTTCACTTATCAGCAGACAGAAGCCGATCGACCAGGAGTGTCCACATGTAGATTAGACATGTCTTCAGTCCTGACATCTCGACTCCGCTCAATCAAGGTTATCCCACAGCAAACCATCAAGCAAAGCAAGCCCTGCATCAAAAGCCAACAAACCCAAATTTTCCCTAAGATGAAGCCTCAGGACTATGAAACAGAACGTGCGCATCGCGCATGCGGAAATCCGTCGGGACACCGAACCCCGCGGGTGAGGATCGCGAGCCGTCCACCATCACAGGTACATTGATTGCCATTTCGCCTACATGAACAATTCTTGCAAATCCTCTTCTTCCTGAAAATCAAAGCTCAAGTAGAGTTGATCAATTCAAACCACTTAAGCAGCAAGTAGGAAAGCCCGTCTCTTCAAAACTTCGAAATCGCTCCATCTTCGACTTTCCCCACATCATCTCTCCTTCAACGTCTAGAGATCGCACGACGTCTCCGTTTGCACCGTGCTCTCAACCCACACAACTGATTCGCTCGATAAGCCTGATCCATAATATAAACTACATCTCCGAAGCTCACTGTTTGAACCCAGAAAAAGATGTGTGCCCCGAAACTTTCTTCAAGTGCTCGGCGCGGGTCGATCATTGCCCTTTGAATAATCACGGGTAGGGCGCCGGTGCGACCTCAAAAACGCCAATCAACACTGTAAGTGTCGCGACGTGCCGTGGTTACGGTTGGTGCGCTTTGCTCTCAAAGTCCCGTCTTGCTCTTAGCGAGCATGCTGCAGATCGGCGGATATTCCAGTTGAAGGCTAGGTTGGCGCAACACACGGAAAGATGTTGATAGGTGCATGAAGGCTTGCGCCTGAGATCAGCTCCTCAGTGGTGAGGATAGGGAATGTAACGCTGTAAGGTCCGTTGATTGTCTGCGAGGTTCTGGTGTTGAGCAACGAGATGCCAAGTCCTTTCGAGGGAAACTTAGCGCCAAGAGGGTTATGCAGCTGAGTCTTGCTACAGATTTGGCAAGTATAAAGCAGGTGAATTTTCCCTTGAGTATCGAGGAATAGATTCAAGTCAGTCAGCCAGCTTCACTCTCGACTTCCCCCCATTCTTCAAATCTCATCTACAAGCCTCCAACATGCAGTTCTCTCAGGTATTTGCCTCTGGCTCAGTTACACCATCAATTATCTGCCTTTTTAACGCAATCCTCCCGTTCCCTTCTTAGGTACTGGCTCTCGCCACTCTCTTCATCTCTACTTCCGTTGCTGCGCCCGTCGAGGTCGTCGAGCGTGCCTGCGCCTATACCTGTGGCTCCGTCTGCTATAGCAGCAGCGCCGTCAGCAACGCCCTGAACGCCGGCTACGACTTCTACTCCGCTGGCTCCACCGTCCACAGCTACCCTCACCAATATCACAACTACGAGGGCTTCGACTTCCCCGTCAGCGGCACATACTACGAGTTCCCCATTCTCAGCAGCGGCCGAGCTTACACCGGTGGCTCCCCGGGCCCTGACCGTGTGATCTTCAATAAGAATGATCAACTGGCTGGCGTTATTACCCACACCGGTGCTAGTGGCAACAGCTTTGTGTCCTGCTAGACGGAGAGATGACAATCGTTGAGTGTTGATATTGGAAAGTCAAGGACATAATACACACATGAGAATATGACCTGAATGGCAATGTTGCTAGGGCTGTTGAGAGCCCTGTCTCCAGTTCCAGATGACGAAAAGAATGTAGATGACTTTCTTTCACGTAAACACAAATGGAAAAGCATCGTGTAAACATGCTGTGAAGTCTTCCTTGAATCTAGGTACATGTAGATAGAACAGCAATCGACACTCGCATATAGAAACTTGAAGTTTCCATATGAGATCTCGTCGTGGCCGTTGTCCCGTACCAGTCATACGCAATTGACTTCTGAATATTCAGAATCCTATCACCAGAAGTACCGAGGTCGTCCCATGCTCTTTAGTGATCGAACACCGAAATGGTCAACAATCATTAGGCCCGGGCCGGACCGCCGACCGTCAGTTGACAGGCACATCTGCTCTTGTCGTAGTTGTCCTGACGGATTGGTGAATTTGAAAGTCAGACATGGCTGGATGTCAAGTGTTTGAGCGAAGGTCGAATCTGTCATTGGTAGAGTGGGCCATGCTCTGCGTGCTACGTGACAGTTTAGGAAAGAAGAAGCAGGATGAAAAAGAGTGCGGAGGTTGAGACGAAGTATTCCAAAGTATTTCATCTGTTGGGCACAGACATCCCCGGACTATTGGCGGTCCGAAACGGCAAGGGGTCAATCATGCGGGGGCGAAAGCGGAGAGGCAGGAACGGAAGCCGTGTATTGCGCGAGAATTAGATCATGAAGACCCTTCAACACATCGTACAAGCTTCAACAACAATGTCTCATAACACGCACCTACCCCAAATTGCAATAAATTTCCACGTCAAATCCACCAGGACTTCTCGATCAACACCCGTGCAAATGTGCCGTCACCGCAAAAAGCATCATCCCAAACTCATCAGCCGACATGATCCACCGCTCGATTCTCCCTCGCCTCTTTTCTGCGGAAGAAGCATCCCCATCAGGAGCCTTCCACAGCTCTCCAATCGTCAACATGCCATCTTCCCATCTACCCAAATGCCGATTGTACTCCGAGACCCAAGCGTTGCGGTCTCTCGCAAGCCACAGAGCCTTGCTCTCGGGAACAATCACCTCGGCCAATTCGTTGTGCATGACGTTGGGAATGTTCTTGGAGGCGTTATAGAGGCTGATGAAGAGATACATGGTCAACAGCGTGCGGCGCTTTGCTGATGCGACAATCCATGACTCCCAGTCAGGTCGACTCTGGGTATTTTCAGCGGGGCAAACTGACGCCTCGCTTGGCGGAGAAGAAGGCCAGATCTTGCAGTCTTCGAATGTCGACGTCGTCGATTAAAGAGATCTCGCCGAGGGGGAAGGAATGCGCCATAAGGGTGTATATCAGCAGGGCTTGGAAGGAGCAGAGTAAGTCAAAGTCGCTGATAAATTGTTGCTATCCATGGGAATGAGAAAGGCGCGTCAATTTGCGTTACAGTTTCGTCGAAGAAGTCTCCATCTGAGACTGCAAGGGAACTCACCTCAGCAACCAGTCGGTCAATCTCATTCTTCAGCGTTGCTAGTACCATGCCCTCACTTCCGGGTGCACGACTCATCCACAGCCGAACCAAAGACGAGCAATTTGCCAGAGCAGGTGATGCCGGCACTCTGGTCAGTTGCATCGGGTGAATGAATGGGGGAAACTGCATCTCATCTTGCAGCTGACTCGGGTACGACCTCAGGACGCACGATAGGTACTGCACCGTGAACACGTGAAAGTGCGTCGGTGCCGCGCCGTCATTGACCCCGAAGCCCAGTTGTGGCTTCAACCACCGATCTCGAATATTATCGGCTTCGAGCATCGGCACGAGAGCCACATTGTGAAACTCGAGGGGTATGGTGCTTGCGAAAGCCTCTGGGCGGCTAACGTGTGATCGGGCAGTCTCGGAGCTCGAGAGGGCAAGGTTGAAAAATCCCGAATTAACTGGCAGCTTTGAGCCTGTGGAAGGTGGTGGGCTTGCGATGCTAAACAGATTGCTCTGTGTCGGGGTACCGCAGCTGCTATCCGGCACCGGGGGCGTTAAATCAGGCGAGACATCGAGGGTCCCGTCTGGGTAGATTCATTCCTTGCCCTGAGTTGCACATCGACTGCAGGTGGGCCTTGCTCGCGAGCATCGTTTTCTGGATGCTCGGCAGGCTTGACACGCGGTGGTGTTGGGCCCTGGAAGCGTAAGCATGCTGCTCACTAGTCTCTCAGCTTGCTGACAATTCGAGGTGAGAGTAAGATCGATGACCGGATCAAGGTAATGTCGAGGTCTCTGCGAGAAAGGGACTGCCGATGACCGTCTCCCAGATTTCGACCTTTGTCAAGACGACAGATGTAAGTGGGAAAATGTAGAAGAGGCAAACGCAAACCTTCCAGAACGCACGGGGTGAACAGGACTTCTCACCACCCAGATTTGTCCAGGAGTTTCTTCTTGCGTGGAGACGAGTGTGTCCACTTGTTGCTTCTCGAGAACCACTGATAAGATCAATCGCTATCACAAGTCCATCTATATATTCCGTCCTGGAACGCAGCCGCAAGCCCGAGAGCTTGAAAGCCCATTCGGGCTGAAGACACGTAGTGCTTGATATGACTTGACTGCGAGAAATTTATCTTGAAACGACATACGGGCTAAACCCAGGCGGACCTCCGACATTGAAAGTGGCTTGAGTCTGGACAGGTGCGACGTCGCTGATCTCGGTACATGGATGTGTGCGTGGGAAGTATTGCTTCCAGGCGCGTCACGCACGGTAAACTCGGGAGTATGTGTACCGCATGCGCTTGCTCTTCTACCGCGACGTATATGGCGGCGATGAGTCACCTGGGCTTGAGGCAATACGTAGTTATGTACTAGGTAGTAAGTTAGTATAGATGATATGGGTTCATTGGGAAATATTTTTGCCTGATAGAGCTCGCAACACAAGTTATATCAAAGTACTGCCCAGTCTCAGAGCCTAGTCAAGACTCCATCCGAAGTCATGATCTGAAGAATGATTGACTGAGATCTAAATCGTGATAATAATGTCCCTACGATCTAAATCGTGATAATAATGTCCCCTTAACCGATGCCATGCAAAACCCCCAAACAAGAATGTCCACAATAATGGAACAAAAGAGGGCGCCCAGACAAAAGACATCCAAACAAGAAGGGCTTTCAACCCAACAGAGAGATAAATAGGTGGCCCGAATTCGACAAGCCCAAGTGATGGACAAATGGGCAGTCGCCGCATACGGCATCATGGTCCTCTTCACACCCTGGTTCCAAGCATCTACCAGCCCTCGTCCGAATCTTCATAGGCCTGATCTTGACGGCCTTCATAGTAGGCCTCTTGACGGGCCTCCATGATCTCTTGCTCGCGCTCCTCCTCACTTTCTTCTTCCTCGGAGCTGCTTTCTTTCTCTGTACAATAGGTGGGAAAAAGGACCCATGATCAGCTTCTTTTTTTTTCTTTTCACATTTTCATTGTAGAGTTCGGTCTAATTGATGTTCGAGACTTACCGACTTCATGTTCAATGAGAGCCCCGGCAACACCACCCAAAGCCAGACCCGCAACACCCGCGGCAATATACTTGCCCGCATTGCTCTTCTTCTCCTCGGGAGGCGGCGACTGCACATAGCTATCATTTGCTCGGGTATCATAACCCATAGGAGGAGGACCGGGTGGAGGCGCGTAATATCCAGTATTCTGGGGAGGCGGAGCCATGTCGCGCGAATCATCGTTATAATATCCGTGACTCTGATTATCGAGGGGAGTTTCCCACTGCGCGCGGCCGGTAGCATCTTCTACCCAGAAAGCACGGCGCATGTTTGGTTCCCATTCCTGGTGCCAGCCCATGGGCAGAGATGGAGGTGGACCCGGAGGAGGGCGGGCCATGGGAGGAGGGGCACTGTATGTAGCGCGATCGTAGGTGGGACGGTTGTCATAGGGGGCAGGAGAAGGCCCGTTGTTGTAGGAGGGCGATGGGGAGGGTCCGCTGTTATACGGAGCTGGAGAGGGCCCACCGTTGTACGGAGCTGGAGATGGGCGGTTGTCGTAAGGAGTAGGAGGAGGAGCGCCGTATGTTCCGGGAGGACCTCGGTTGTCATATGGAGGACGCTGGTCATATTGGCCCGGGGGGGGAGGGCGAGAGTAATCACCATAGTACGACATTTTGGTGGATGGGAGTATGTATGAAAGGGAACGACGGAGGAAGGTGAGAAGGAGGAGGAGGAGGAGGAGGAGGAGGAGGATTATGAATAAGAAGAGAAGAAAGGAGACGGAGGAAGTAAAGAGCTAAAAAGGAAGAGACTGAGGAGAGCAAGTGGACGGAGGGCGGATTTTACAGATCTACCAGCTGAGTATGGCAGGCACCACCCTTTTTGACAGCGGAGATCAGGCACACGGAGTACGGCTAGCTTCGAGGGGAGCCACAGCTATTTGCGGCTAGTACAGCAGTGTACAGTAGTGCCGTAACTACTAAATCCAACCTACTAGAGTAGTAGAGTCTAATAGTAAGACTCAGTTGTTGCAGCCTGCTAGTCCTTGTACAGTACTGTTGAACCAAGAGGTATTACCTATAAAGGATTGTCAACAGAGTGGGTATGAAAACCATCAAGACAATCGGCTAGATTAATATACGCTACACTCGGCGGTTCAACCCGGAGCGATCCACTCGCATCTATTCAACTGAGACGCTTCTCTGCTCTCGGGGTGACGACGTTACAAACTGTACGATCTTATGGTACACGGTACCCGTAATACCGTAATACCTTAGAGCTGATCTAATAGTCACGACTCACTACTAGGTAGAGTGACTACAAACATACATTCTTCCTCTTCCTCTATATACTCGGCCCTCTGTCTTTGGTCATTCGTCATATTGTACCCTTGATCCTCCTACGGGGGTCATACAACCGGGACACCACTTGATGATAACGTAGTAAACAGTGTTTACCATCATCAGCAGACCTTATCACGCAGCCCCATTGGGGCGACCGAAAGTGGAGTGGACGAGACATGTAGGCGCTGCAACAAGCGTTGAACTCGAGATGAGGTATATCCCAGTGCCCACCCGCCGGACGCATGGGTGAATGGTCAAATGATTGTGTACCCGGAGGCAGATGGATTTGGTGGCTGGACATCTTCCTTGCCAAACCCGAGCCGAGAATACTGAACACTGAACACTGAAGGATCCGTCTTCACTCTTCACTGTTCGCGATTGAGGAGAGTTACAAAAGTTGAAAAAAGGGGGGAAGAGAAAGAGTGGGGGAGCGGGCGCTACTATCAGTTGGAAGTCCGGATGTTCTGAGAACTTCGGTATCGCTGGCGCCTTCGGGCCGCCCGCCTGGAAGGTCTCTGGATATGGTGGAATTTGGACAAAATACGAGTGGACTAGGCAGATGCGATTCTAGGCGACTTGGCAAGTGATGTTTTCTCCATCTCCGGTCCCCACGCGACACTTTTGCGTGGAACACGTCCTTGGCCCGCGTTTGATGCCAACATTGTTGTTCATGGTATGTGTGCAAGTGGCTAGTGTTTCAGGTCTGGCGATCAGGTGAGAATGTACTTGATGCCGAAGGGACTGGAGTAATATCCCGCTCGTGGATCATGTATATTGTATACCCCTCTTGCCTCGGCTGCGGGGCCCATCAGAGTCAAGAGTCAGACAGGGTAAGTTTACCCTCGATAGTTTACTGTTGCCGAGTCTTGTCAGGCAATCTATGGCCTATGCAGACTGAGGTACGGATCTATATGGGATCGACATTATTTGATATAGTATACTAGACAGCATAGATATACACATCAAGGATATATTAGTATACTGCAGCCATACAGCGACATGTCTCGGGGTGAACATGTTGAACGGGTGCAGGTGGAAGCAGATGGAAGCAGGTAGGTTCGATACCTCGAGAACATGAAGCTAGACTTGGACGGAAGCCTCGGAAGGATCATCGTTCCGCGGGCTGGCCATGAAGGCTCAGGAGTAAGCCACCAGACTCAGCCGGCCAGCCCTAACTGACAACGGTAGCACTGTCGATCTGATTGATTTGTCACCTACACCGTTGACTTAGTCACATGACCAGGTCGTGACTTCAAGCCCCCTCTCATAACGGATGAGTGCCATGAGTCTTCAAAGTGCAAAGCCAGCTGAACAACGCACAATTTCTCTAGCATGGACTGATCCAAGGACCTGCAAGTAAGCCGAGCAATAACGTGGCACACTCACAGGCCGTCAAAACGGGGGAGTCGCGGGGCACTGCCACTCGGAAGACCACACGTGGCTGGTGTGCCCCGGGTTCACTGTCCAAGGGTCCACCATAGGGGATCAAGTGGGTAACTGGGTATATACTGTAGTGCTCAACTACTCATAGTAGTAGAAGCAAGTTATTGACCGGATTCAGTACTATGACAGCTGCCTAGTGGCTAATGGCTAACTTAGTAGGCGAGTAGCCAGTGGCTACATTCATCATGGATGAACCTGGAAGCGAGCGCCAAGGTCAGGTGGAGGTGTACATCACCGTCATCGCGCTATCACCTGCATGGGGCGGAGATTGGAGACCATCACAGGTCCCAGGTAATTCCGGTACAGGGTTTACGATTTACGATTTACGATTTACGATTTACGATTTACTATATCCTTTTCACTATTTCATATTTACTAATTCCTGTCGGGTATGTCAGAATTGAGATTATACTGCAAACTGGTGCTAGCGTTGTCGCGTAACTAATTTCTCAATTTCAAGGAGCCAGCGATAAATGGCGCCAAAGACAATGCCCAGATTTATGATATAAAAGCCGAGATCCGTGCTTCCCACCGCAGCGTTTCCCATCGCACCCGTGTTCCAACCCATGTCGGGAACCTTTGTGACGAAGAAAGAGTCGGCGGACGGCCCAGTCAATTGTCGGTGGACGAATTGGATTAGCCTGCTATTGAGCTGGCGGCGTCGCCACCCGGATAGTAGAATGCTGCCAGTCTAATGAAAATGTTAGTAGGGTTCACCGATGGCGCCACTAGGACTCTTCGGTGGGACAGGGACAACGTACGCAATGATAATATAGGCAGCAAGAAGGAGCGAGCCTTCGAGGTAGTTGCTGCGACCGTCCAGGACGAGGAAGTTGACCACAAAGGCCGTGACGAACAGACTGATGGTCTCGAACAAGGTAAAGTACAAGGTCATGTTCTTGTCCATGCACCAGCCCAGAATGACGACGAGCGGAGTGACGAAGATGGCTGCAAGGAAAATGACGGTTAGATAGGCACGCCTGTGACAAAGCTAGGAAAGCAGACAGCGCAACTTGACACCTACCAATCTGAATACTACTGCCGACGGAGACCCCGATTGACAGATCCATCTTGTTCTTCATGGCCACACTGACGGCAGTGACGTGCTCGGCGGCATTACCGACAATGGGCAAGATGATCAAACCAATAAAGGTTTCACTGATCCCAGGTGAATTCTCCAGCATCTGAGGAATGGCGGCGACCAGGAACTCCGCACAGGCGGCGACGAGACCCGTCGAGAGAAGCAACATGACTATCGCAGCCGTGCGCGACATTTCAGGTTCCTCATCACCGTCATCATTGCCCGCACGCGTCGTGTCGGCCGGCCTGGTGGCTCGGGCAGCACCACGTGCATAGAGAACAGCGTTTCCAACTGTCGGCTGACGGCTGACAGGAGCGGGAAGGGAGTTGCTGCGAGAAAGACCCGGGCGCGGAGCGTCTGCTCCTGCCTGAGCCGGCGCGCCTGGTCCCGGCGTGGCAAAGACCGTGTTCGACAGAAAGGACGGAAGAGGACCAAGTGGCAAACGTCTCTTCGGCTCAGTCTTGGAATTGACGGCCGCAGTCGCGTCGGGGTTGGGGTCGGGGTTGGAGACGGTAGGGTCGGTGAATACGGGGGTGGAGCGGAAGGCTTTCACTGAAGGTCGGGCCCCGTCCGTAGGCTCCACCGAGCTACCCGCCCGATCGAGTGTCCGATCCATTTTGCGTGCTCTGCGCTGCCTCTTGCGTTCACGCTGGCGCTCGCGGGCGCTGGGAACACTCGACACTTGAGTCACTGGGTTACCAAAGTCTCGAGAGAGGAACTGTGAAGGTTGGCCCACGTCCTCATCGGCATCGTAACGATGCTCATCGACAAAATCGATCACACAGGAGTTGACCTCTGCATTGGTGATTGAACTGTCTGCCGAAGCTTGAGGCTCGTCTGCAGATGGGTTCCTGACCATGGGCAGATTCGAAGTAGTACCCTTGGAACTGAGGCTGGACTTGCGACGGCGTCGGTTCTTCATCGCCCTCTTGATTCGCTTGGCTGTGGTCCAAGAGCTAGTGGTATGGACGGATTCGTCGCTGGAGCTGCTGGAGGAGTCGGAAGAGCTGTTCATGAACTCCGCGAGAACTCCCGGATGTGACTCCTCATCAATGATCTGCTGAGGCGTGCTAACGTAGAGATAGGCATGAGTCCGGAGCTGGAAGACAATGTAGAGAATGTACACAAGTAAGAGCACCACGCTTGTGCCCCGGCTGACTTTCAGCGTGTACTTCTCGGCGTCTTTTTGGTCGCTCCAAGATGCATGGAATGCAGTGGGCAGAAGAAGACTGGTGACTGAGAGACTGAGCAAACATGCGCTCATCTGCGTCACAGTGCTGTTGTAGATCTGTTCCTGGAATCGCAGACCACCGAGTAAGAATGCCATGCCGAGAATGAGCAGCAAGTTCGCTAGGATAGAACCCAGCAAGGAGGCCTGGACAATTCGAATCTCGTTTTTGACGAGGGCAATGATGAATATGATCAATTCCACAGCATTACCGAAGGAGACATTGATCAGAGCACCCATAGTGTCACCCAGCCGGCTGGCAACGCTTTCGGTTGCATGGCTAAGCAATCCCGCCAGTGGGATAATAGCCACTGCATTCAGAGCAAAGATGACGGCAGGATTTAGCTTTGCAGCCTCGGCAGCTATACCCGCAGGTACAAAGATCAACAGCACATTGACCCAACTATGGCAGATGGCATCCTTGGTGTGAATGACGAAGCGGATAGAGCCGAGGCGCATGCGAGTCCCAAGACCCGGCTTTTTATTTGTATGAGATCTATCAACGGGTGTGGCCATTGATGCCACACCCTGACCTGAAGAAGTCACTTGATCATCTTGCTGGAGGACAGATGATTCCTTGGAGGGCTGAATTTCGGGTATTTGGGTGGTCGTGGGATGTGTCGCGGCAGCGTCGCCAGGTTCGTCTCGTGAAGATGCGTGAGCTTTCGCCCACGAATTAATACGGTCTGCAGGAAAAGTGGTCAGTGGGTGACATTCGGAACGCGTTCGTTCATGACAAGTTGGCCGGTCCAAGCCTCGGACCAAAGACCCCTGAGAGGACTTGGTATGGGGAAGCGGAGAGACCCAGGGTGTCTTTGGCCTCGAGCCGCACGTCAAGGAAGGGGGGGGGGGGGGGGGCTCACTTACGCATGTATCAGAGGAACCAGTAGCTGATTCAGTGGAAAGTGTCAACGGAGTCTGATCTGAAGCACGTGTGTTAGTAAGGGGAAGAGTTGTCTAGGGAGACAAGAGCCCTGGTAATGGGAATCGAGCGAGGAGGAAGAAGGAGCGGGTCGTTTCGTATTTAATCACGAGCCTTGGCGATTCTCTTGGCCCTGGGAGGGTATTGCAGAAACAGGAAAGGTGGACCCAGAGCCCAGAACTGGGGCTGTGAGTTTGTGTGTGACACGCCACGGATTGCCCGCTTTGTCTTAACGCTCTCTTCCCACGCCAAGCAAAACACGGGACATTGTTAAAGTACTCGAGTTGGCCGGTCATTGACCCCAGTGCCGTGGAATAGTCAGCATTTAACGCTTACTGTCAACTTGTCGTCAAGGGAAATCCTTTTTTTTTGCCGTCGTGTCGTGATTCGAGTCTTGAGATTTGTATGATTTTCTACTCTCTCTAAAACACCTCGATCTGGGCCTTGAGTCACGAGAGTTTGTGTTGGGTATTATTCTATTGTACCCGTGGAACCTAGGCTCTACAGAACAGGCATAATGACGCGTTCACACATTCGGATCCCCCTAAGGGGCAGAATGGGTGAACAGATATGCGCCTTACCGCGCAGGTTATGATTCTTAGCAAGGACATCAGTGGGAGAATCTCAGCCAAGAGGGCTTAGGGGGAGTGATCAGGATCCATCTTGACGTGGCCAAAACATCCAGTTGCACAGCATGATTGGGCGGTGAATTCGGACTGGGACATTTGATGGTCCCAGGAATGGATGTCCACGTCGATCATCGCGCAGTTGTCGCAGTTGTTTCGGACGGTGATGACAACCTGGCACCGAGTGTTTTATACACAGTTTGCCTAAGGACGGGGAAGTGAATATCATGCGATGAAACATCCCTATGAGACAAAATATTGAACTTGTCATGCACGAGCTTTTCCACAGCGATCAAGCTAAATATCTAGGGCTACTCTATGCGCAGAATAATCATCCTGCCTTCCTGGGTAAATGGTGAATGGCTGACAATTCTATAGGCGGTGAACTACTATGAACACTGATTAACATCCATTTTGACGCTACACGAATCATAAAACGAAGCAATTTGCAAGACTCGTTCTCGCCGGGCCACTGATCTAACTTTCGGCATCACGGCCAATCACGACCCTGCGATCTAAGCTTCTATGATGTCATCTTATCAAGGCCGGTCTGGTTGCAGTGGTCGCTTGACTCGCTTCATGGTTGATAACTTGACACAGTATTGTTTACACTATACCGGATTGTTGTGGACAGTCATTCCCTTCACTCTAAATGGTTCCCTTGAAGATCATCTCGTTGGTCTGTGAGAATTGGAAGTAATCGAGAGCGAAGATCTTCAACTGACTTATTTTTGGGATCTCTCTGTGGGTCCTCCATCCCACACTCACGTGACTAGTGCATACAGTCGATCAGCCACGATAAAGCAATGAAGGCAATGTGTGAGAATCAGTACCTCGATAAAGGTCAATGAGTCATGAAGTGGCGCTCCATGAAAGACTGCATCCAATCATGCACTACTGCGGCTACTCCACGGTTGGCTGTTCACAAACCATGGGATGAAACCTTCAATAGCCCAGCATCCATGGACCGGAGCTGGAGAGAACGGTCCGAAGGACTGCTCAGCCACACTGACCAGGAGGCCCAGCCACAGTACAGACTGCTGGTTCAGATCGGGATTGCAATCGCAGCGACGACAAGCTCGCGGGACTGGGAGCTTGTTGTGGACTCGTGACTTTATGCACCATTGTGGAAGGGACCAGTGATTCTGCAGAGTGGACCTCTGTATTTTGAGGCGTTCCGCTCTCCTGCAAGTTTACGTACAGATTAACTTTGTTGTGGGTTTCGAGCCCATCCACCGATGGTGGTCAGCAATCAGCATAGCTACGTTGAAGGTCTATTACTCTCCTGTACTACTGGACCACTCCATCAAAGGTATACCTTGCACGTTACGTAGCAAATAGTTGGCTCAAGCGATGTGCTCAACTGCTCATTGATCCTTTGTTTTTTGGTGCATTCTCTTGGCACGGCAACCTACATGAGGACGTTCCCCATCAAGATATTTAGTCGTCACATGACATAGGGCCCTTACTCTTTTGAAGCTATGGCTAGGTAGGCTTGCCGTCGTTGTCGAAATCGGGTCAACGCATGAAGGACCCAGACAAGAATCTACGCTTTACCGTGTCTGAGATGTGGCAGAGCTCAGCTTCTCACTCCGCCTCCACTCTGAGAGAGATTAGACAAGGAGATTGGTGATGGAAAAGATGAACCGATAGATGATGTGTGTTGAGTCTGTCCTGGCGCGCTCTTTCGTCCAAGTCAGACTGTAGGGAGACTCATCACCAGCGGGATTACCAAAAGAGGCGAGCTCTCCAAACCATTCCAATACCATTCGGCTCCGGTGCAGATAGCCTTCCCGATGCGCGGATTCCTTGCCAGAACTCACTACTCGCGTTGTTGTATTCGGATCTACTCGAGCAAAGTCTCATGGAAACCAGAGAGGTAAACTCTACGAAGTGGGAACAGTCGGAGCTCGAAGATCGATTGAATATCATCGGAAGCCGCTTCGGTGATATCATGCAAAGCTCCGAATGCCAAAATCATCAGAATACCTCCCCCAACGCCGCGCAGACCCCAGGTACCCTTTCCAAAGACCAAAAGCAAAAACGAACCCAAGCCGACTACCCGTTCTCCGCCCCATGACGCATGTAGAAGATCCTCCTATGATGTGAACCAGACAAAAGAACGAACTTTGTCGGTCTTCGTAAGTAGCCGTCGAATCATCGCGGGAAAGGACCCTGTAGCTCGATCCGAGTCAATGCCGTCCACATAGCCATGATCTCAAGCAACGATGCACGTCGGACCTACCTCGCAGCGCGGGTTTGAGAGAGCCTCTTATCAGAGCTCAGGAATGTAGTAGTCACTGTTGTCCCCGTAGTTGGCGCGGTTGCGCCGCCTTCTGATGTCGGGATAGACACAGAGCAGGAGCAGGAGGACCAGTGCCAAGATTAGGAAGGTTGGCAGCCAGGGGAAGACGAAAAGAAGCAAAGTGACCCAGAAAGACATCTTGGGTCCCCAGAGAGGTTTGGAGAAGATAGAATGAGGGATCCTTGATTGAGACATAATGTGAAAAGGGAAGGAGGAGGGAGGAGAGTCAAGTTCAATTTGGCGTCAACGTAGCGGCGTGGTTGATTTCGCCAACTAAGCGTAGTTGCCCTCCAGGACAGGGACTCAAGTTCGACTCGAGAACAGCTGGTCACTTATAAAAGAAATTCTGCCGTCGAATGAAAGAACGTGCTACATAGAAAACAAACACATATCAACTGCGTTCATCACCTCGCACCACCGGTTTGTCAAAGTTTTTTTTGGCAAGAAATCTTGCGAATGTAAGAATCAATTGAAGATACTCGATTCGGAGCCAGGCGACATGACATTACTTATAAAACATGCCAAGACGGAGCGGGTATAGAAAGAATTGCATCGTTCGGCAAGCTTCCCTAGGCGACCATCCTCGGTTCATCTTGTGCTTTTGTGGTCATCCAAGAGCCTTATTGATTGTGGCCGTGCCCGTGCTGTAGGTGACTCGGTGGCTGTTGGCTATAGGTAGTCAGGTAGGTACTGACCTTGGCCAAGTACGGTACGGCAGGCGGATGTTCGGATATCAACATCGGAACCTCGGGTGGACGCTGCCCGATCCACATTCCTCTATGGCCCAAATCAGCCTTACCCGCTGAGTTCAATGACCAGCCTTGAAGTCTGCTCTGTCACAACATCGATAAATGCGGAAGCTCACCTGTCCCTTCTTCAATGACAAATGACAATGTGGGCTGCAAAGTAGATGGAAGCGCGAAGATTGCTTTTCCCACCCACATTTCTCGGTAGATTAACGGACGGAGCAGTGGCACACACGTGTGTAATGGTCATGTGACTTCACCAGCGCGACTCCATACATGTATGCGCTGTATGCAAAATACTCTAAGGGTGGGAAGTGAAATGTGTCTCATTTTCCATACACCAGGAGACGAAGAAAATCCAATTCAGATATTAAGCCTAGGCTTCACCGGTCATAGTATATGGCTGTATGCACATTATTGCCAGCATATTTGAAACACAGCAGAGCTTCAACCGTTTCATTGATTTGTAGGTGGAATACCAATACGTAGAGAAAATGATTACCGAATACTGCTGGTTTATTGTGGGGCCCTTGGCGTGCCACCGATTCAGGCAGCAGCATTTCCTACCGTCCGCAAAAGTACATCCATCAATCGCAAGGGGAGAAGTCCTACTGTTACTACGGTTGGATGATAATGAAAAATAACTCTGCAGAAACCCGCGAGAGACAACATCCACCCAGAAAAGTGACAGCAATTTGAGAGGTAAGGAATAACATGCCCAAATACATGCTTCACGTAGCCAATATTGAAGTTGTTTATACATTTCCCCGCTCGGATTGCTGCTCACAATGTATGGCTGGCCTTCAAATTCCCAGCAGTGAGATGTCTCAAGCCCTATACTTACAATGATAAGTGGAGGCCAATATGTCTCTTGACTCAAGAGTCTTGAGGGCTCGAGCCTGGTACTTGAAGGGGTTGGTTCTCTGGTTAAATCATCGCAAGCTTTCGCAGCAGAAGGACCCCGCATAAGGAGACCACAGAGTCACGGCCGGTCAGAGGGGCGGTGAAGATTTTAATCAATGAACACGGTGGAGTGTGTGTATATAAGTGATTATCATGTAAATTTCAGCAGCTCAAATTTGCTCTTGGACTGCTTTGATAACTATTGGATGCTACTGGGAGAACGTAGCAGACCCAAAAGAGGGGAGAAAGGAATGGTGAGATTGCACCTGGTGAGAGGTGCCTATCTAAGCTACGAAGGTGGTGTGCGTGGGCGCGCACCACGCTGGTGAGACGCGCCAAACCACCAAGCTATCTCAACAATAACTGCCAAAAGAAGATGTGACGATACGTGCGCTGCAAGCTTCATTCCTTTTCAGGTACTTCATACAGCTTATTTGTGCATCCCGCCGTGTTGCTGTACTCAGCTATTTCTCCCTGTAGGGCTGAAGCTTGGCTTGGAGGTCTGTGGCTCACTAGAGCCTGGCAGCCTGCAGGTCGGGTAAGATACCCGGTTATAATACATGATGTACCCTTGGTCCCTTATTGCTTCTGAACCCTGGGATCTGCAACGACTAATTGTGTAGTGCAAGTTCCCAATTGGGTCAAAGGTCATGGAGGTGAACCGAAATTGAAGTGACTTATATCCAGAACCCTCCTTGACGAGCCTCAAAAGATCCAGGGCTGGCGAAATTGCTGATGTACAAGTTTACGGTAATTCATCTGAAAGTCGACAAGTTCAATACAACCCCACAGGCGAGGATTCCAGCAAAGATGTCAGGGTTCCCACGGGCCGAGTCCCGGTCAACAGTGGCGATATTATTGGTACCACATGGTCGACCTGACCAGGTCGACTTTATAGTTGCCTAGAGACTTCGAGAGTAACTCCACGCGTCTCGTTTCTTGCAGGGCTGAACTACCCCACGATGCGGTTTCCCTCCTGTTCAGGTTTCTACCGGTGTTCGGTCATGACCACGCACCCTGTTTCTCCACTCAATACATCCATTTATCGGCGAGGCTGTTTTTTGTACTTGTCAGCTTCAAATACCCTCAACACAGTACACAGTGTGAGGCAGAGGGACACTCAACACGGCCCTGGATTCACCGAGGCCTAAAACATCCTTCAATCAGGGCTCACTGCGCCGCCCGTTGGCCGATCAAGATGTCTTGGATCGTGGGCGGAGTGAAGCACGGTAACGAGGAAGACAGCAACCTCGGCATTGACTGGGTCCTGCAATATGACTTTAGCGAACTCGGTGAGTTTAAGCATGACAACTTACATAGGTCGGCATTGATCAGGGGCCCAGTATGTCATCGTTATAGGATTCTTCTCTTGCGACATGGCTTGGCTTGATATAATGCTGCTCCTCAGGTCTGTCTTGTGATCCCAAGAATACACTCACTGACGACCGTGATTGTGCAGACCAAACAGAAGCTATTGCGGAATACCGTAGTCTGGTACAGAGCTTGACCAATGCCGGTCTTCGGGTCCAAGTTCGTCACGGACATGGATCGTCACTGCTGGTGTGCATTCATGTACCCCGAGATCAGCTGGGGAGGATGGTCCATCAGTCAAGGTAAAATCATCCCAATGGGGAAACAGCAAGTTTGCAGTGTTCCTTAGCATTGATCATGATTGACAATCTGTTTAGAATCAAAGATTGGCTGTTCGGCATCACATCGACCATCCCCGCTGGCCCCGGAGACACCATTGCCGCGGCCGAGACACCTTCAGAAGAAATTCGATCCGTCTATCATGCCGTGACTTGGTCAGAGAGTATGGGTGGTGCTGGCATCACCCCTGGATTTGGGAAATGGAAACGTGTTACGGCCTCATTTCCATTGCATGACCAGGATGCCTGCTCGGAATTGTTGAGCAAGTGGAATCGAAAAGGGAACTTGACCATGGAGGATTTGGATGCCATTCGTGCACTTTTCGGTGAGAAGGTAAGAAGAAGATCCCTACCACTACCATCGGAGGATTCGCAAGTTGCAACCCCAAAAGTTGACTTGTTCCCTCCCCCAACAGGTTGCCTTCTATTTTGCTTTTATTCACTGCTACTCGCTCTTCCTGATGTTCCCTGCTGCGCTGGGTATCTTTGTTTGGTGGTTCCTTGGACCCTATTCGATTGTCAACGCTGTCCTTCTTTGCGCATGGTGCGTGGTCTTTGTCGAATATTGGAAGCTGCGCGAGTTCGACTTGAGTGTGCGGTGGAAAGTCGACGGCGTCGGACAGCTCAAGGTCAACCGTGCGCAGTACAGATGGGAAAAAGAAGTCAAGGATCCAGTATCGGGGGAGGTCAAGCATATCTTCCCTGCATGGAAGCAGATCATGCGCCAGTTCTTGCTTCTTCCATTCACAGGCGTAGCCAGCCTCGCGCTCGGCACGCTGATTGTGGCCACATTTGCCGGTGAAATCTTTATCTCGGAAGTTTACAACGGTCCCTTGAAAAGTTATCTTGAATTCGTGCCGACCGTGCTGTTTTCACTCTCTTTGCCAGCCATCACCTCCTTCTTGACCGGGATTGCCGGCAAGCTCACCGAGTACGAAAACTACCGCACCCAGGATCTCCACGACCTCGCCTACACTCAAAAGACATTCATTATGCATGTCATCACATCATTCCTGCCCACTATCCTCACGGCGTATGTCTACGTGCCCTTCGGTCATCAAATCGTTCCCAAACTGGATCTCCTTCGCCGACTGGGCATGGAGACTTTCAGCAACAAAGAATTCGTCGTCGACACCTCCCGATTCCAGGCCGAAGTCATCTACCTGTCCGTGACCGCCCAGGTCTTCAGCTTTGCGGAGGAGATCGTTCTTCCTTACGTCAAACACGTGCTGTGGCAGAAGTGGCAAAATTACCGCGAGCACAAGGCTGGCTTGAAGCGGCAACGCAGCTTTTCCAAAACGACCGACCTCCTGCTCATTGACCCTCCCCAAGAAGTGCAATTCCTTCGCCGTCTACGCAGTGAAGCCGGTGCCGACGAATACAAGGTGGAGGAGGACATTCTGGAGATGTGTGTGCAGTTTGGCTATCTCGCACTCTTCGGCGTTGCGTGGCCCCTTGTGCCGCTCGGTTTCTTGCTGAATAACTGGCTTGAGGTTCGAGGTGATTTCTTCAAGCTGACCCTTGAATGTCAGCGACCGCCACCCATCCGGGCGGATTCCATTGGACCTTGCGTTCTCGGTCTGGACTTCCTCGCCTGGCTGGGTACCCTTTCCACTGCTGCCATTGTGCACATTTATCGGGGGTCCATCTCCGAGGTGCGTCTCTCGTCTCTGCTGCTGACGCTCTTCATCGCCGAGCAGCTGTACCTGGCAATGCGTTTCGTCGCGGCTGCTGTGTTGCGCAAGATTCTCGATGAGACTCTCAGTCGCGATGAAGCCGGTCACTTTGCTGTGCGTAAGGCATACCTCGAGACACAACAGGCCCGGTATCGCTCACCCGACTCATCTACCCGGGTGCGTCAACGCGTGCGCTTCCATGAGCGTGTGGATGTGTACAGTAGTGATACGACTGTCTCCCCGGAGGGATCTCCTTCTCCTTCACCCACCACTGAACAGCAGCCGCTCAATGAAGATCTCCGTGGATCCGACCGAGAAGCTGACTTTTGGGACAGCCGGCAGTGTGAGCCGATCGAAGCGGGCAGCAAGATTATTCGCGCATTGAGCGAGAGCAAAGTCCAGCACGAAAGTAAAGGCGAGAAACGGGCGTGACCGGCATATAATTCTTGGGTGGTTGCTAGCGAGATCGCATCATTTGCCTTTTGACACGAAAATGAGACGCACTCTTGAGGCTAATGTAAAGAACACTGTAAGAAGCAGGTTCCTAGACCCAGAAACGTGTAAGATGCGCGAATCCGCTCACCAGATCCACAAACGACCGGATTTGTCAAATTGGCGGGGACGAGTTCAGCCCTACGGGGCAATGCCAAGCCGATCGACTTGAAGCAGGCAGCCACTGCAGATTGCAGAGGCGAGGTGTGACTCGGCGATGTAATGCTGATGTACTGTACATGCAAGGCTCTTCGTCTGCCCGCAGATGTGGTTGGGGAATCGCCAGGCGAGCAAGTACCGGCACCCGACCACCGGGTGGTGGAACTGATCCCCTCTTCTGCCCCCGGGTTTAGTTCCTGTACTGAGGGCAGTCCACCTCGGTCTTACCAGACTCTGTCCACTTTCTCCCCTTCCGTCCTTCGCTTTTTGTCCGACTTCTTTCCTTTGTAAACAGTTTGCGTTCCTCTCGCCGCAGGGTTCTCCCTCCCACCCTTTACCCCTTCTCGCTCGTCAAGCCTGCTGGTCAGAGTAGATGCTATATTCGGAACGCTTTCCGAGAGCTGGTCTCGTGTCCATTCTTTCTTCGGGTGGAGAGGTCGTCCACCGACGAGACTCGTGATCAGCATTCTCTCAGACCAGGCCCGGTCACCCTGTCCCAACACCCACATGGCGACATTTCGTACGTCCTCAGACACTCTCGTCACGTCCCGACCTGCTGCTCCCAGTCAATCGCCCGCCGAGGTCGACATGCAACATGCCTTTTTAGCACCAGACTCACGGGCTGCCACGGAAGTCGAATTGGCCGATTTGGACACTGCGCCTCCCGTCTCACCCAAAGTACTCGATGTCTCGACCAAAGCCAGTGACGAAACGGCATTCGAGGACAATCATGAATCTGTCACAGTTGTTCGACGCCGCGGGCGATTCCGTCTCAAGCACCAAAGCCAGTACGAAAATAGTCTTCTTGCCGGCGTCGGATACCTGGAACTGGCCAATGCCGCGGACTTTGCCGCGAATGTGTGGAACCAAGTTCCTGTACCGAAGTTCGCGGCGGCGTTGATGGGTGTTGGTGCAACATGTGCGTTGGGCATGGTATTCGTCGCGATGCAGGATTTTCGACTCGGCTTGCGGAATGTGAAGCTCCTTCGTGCGGAGAGAGTGCGTCTGCAGGATTCACTACGCCAATTTCAACCACAGCAAGAGATTACCAAATACTTGAGTAGCAGGCTGGCTGTGAATACAAGAGAGCTCGGCACTGAGATTGTCGACCGTATCGTGATGGATGTTCTCATGGGGTTCGGGTCGATGCTTGTCGGCGTGGGGACGTATATGGCTATAGGTGGAGCCAACCGCCGCGTCTTTCTAGCCAGCAACCTCCTCTCAGGGTATATCGGAAATGGTATGGCGGCAATGTTTGGCCTGATCAATGCCGTGTGGTCGGTCTTTCTCTTACACCGCTTCCAACAACAACTCAACGCTATCCGGTCTTCATATCCGAACGACGATATCAAGCGTCGATTACACCAGCGTGTACGCCGGTTTCAATGGCACTCTATCATTAACGCCATCAATGGATTGGTGGCTGGCGCTGCGTCGATGGTCACCGCGGAACGGTGGTGGGGATACGTGGTGTTAATACCTTGCATTATTTCGTTGATTGTCGTCAACTTCTTCTGGCGCAAAAAGCTCGGCTATGACAGGCCGATGTTTGTGGAAACCCCCGAGATGACCTGTGAGAGCCGCTTTCTGGTTGAGGATTTACAGCTCGTGATTTCGATGCAGCATCATCTCGCTGAAGGTCAGCCGGCCCTACCTGGTACAGTTGTCGACTGGACTTCGCTGGAGTCCGTGTTGACATTCATCAAAAACCAAGGCATGCTGGAGAACTACAGCAAGTCGCTCATACAAAATAAGCACACACGGAGACTTCTCTCCGAGAGTTCCCTTTCCCCGACCCCTGCAACCGAAATCACCCTCTCGGTGAACACCATCCTTGTCCTCTCATCACAATCTTCCCGACATGTAACCATTCTAAAGGATCATACGCGTCGGTTCCTTGAGCATGGCGGACATCAATTTTTCGTTTATCGCGAGCGACATCTCCTCGAAGTTCTTAGCTTCTCCATCTGGCAGGACCAGATATCCCACTTTGCTTGTACCAAAGCCGAATCCTCATCGAGGAGTGACTCTAATTACCCGCTTCCCTCATGGCAGCTAGACCAAGGCTGCTATACATAGTACTCCGCCCATCCTTCATCATTTGCATCTTTGAAGGTTTGATACGCGAGGAGGAGAACCAAGCAGACGACACATTGCAATATGCACCAGTGTGGCGTTGTTCATGTATGGTTAATTTATAGACCCGTCTTGGCCGTCAACCGCGGTCATGATGCTTTATAGAGTAATACATAATTCTTGAATAAAATCATTCTTTGCTCCAATCTTCGCAAAGTCATTCTGGGCATTGAAAAAAAGTCGTGTCACATCGAAGGTGGATGGTGGGCAACTCGCAACTCGTCTAAAAAACAGGTATTCTGTTCTTCCGTGTGTCCGGTGCCAGAGTCACATGATAAAGATCGCGAACACGTGCGACTTTTCGATGAAAACAGTTCCAAGTCTAGACTGTAGACTGAAGACGTCACGCAATCGGTCATCTTTTTCTGCCGCATCAAACTCTAGTTATCCAGACCAGGGCAGTTTTCACTAGTCTGCGCAGTAATGGCATTATACGGCGCAGGATCAGTCCAGATAATGTTGAAGCTTAACGGGGGAATAACAAGTTAGCCATACTGTTGTTCCCCCATCCAGCCGCGGAATTGCATTTCCCTCGTATTTGTCTCCCTTCACAGTATGACTATGTACGTACCTGTGATCAGGGTAATCCGGCGCATTGGAATCCCCCAACTTCGAAACGATATCCGTCAAAGCATTGTGTTCCCAGCAAATCAGGATATTGCCAGGACCGGTGTAGCTGTTGACGACGTTCTTGACGCAGCCAGGGTCATCTCGGCCGCAGGACAAATCTACGGACAGACCGAGGTCGGCTGCGAGGGGCTTGACGGTGTCGTAGGGACGTTGGCGCTTGCCGTCTTTTTTTTTTTTGGTGAGGCGTTAGTCTGCTCTGTCTTGTGGTGCGGTGCGTGTGGTTCACGAAGAGGGCGGAATGTTAAAAGAATGACGTACTGCTCTTCGGCGTCTGCGCCATAATATGTCCAATGTTATACTGGGAGTTTGCCCCAAAGATCTCGCGCAGACACTGGGCGCGCTGCATGCCCTGAGCGTTCAGGCCATCGCCGGAACTGGGCTTTTCGCCGTGACGGATCAGATAGACGGTTGGACTGGCGATGGCCACGTTGGCCAGGGCCAGCGTGGCGAGGGAAATCAATTTGACCATGATCGCTGGTGCTGGTGCTGGTGCTCTGGGTGTGTGAGGGTAAACGTGAACGTGAAAGTGTAATGGGGGATAGTTTGAATATTGCTGGAGATATAGGTGTGAGGTAAGAATGCGGAGGTCCAATCTGGAGGGACAGTCTAGTCTCTCTTTATACAAAGGTAGAGACTGCGTGTTACACTGTCAAGTCAAGTCGGGTTGGATTAGGATGTGGTGACGATTGTGTTTTCCGTTGAAGAGTTCCTCCGCCTTTCCGGGCTGAAGATGAAGTTGGAGCCTGGTACGGTGCTAAGCCGAATTGAAACAATGCTGATTATATTATTGATCCCCGGCCCCTCTAAGCGTGTGGAAGGTAGTGACTATAGTGAGTGTAGTTCCTCCACTATCCTAATACAGCCCAGAGCGGAACCACGTTTATAAAGCTTGAATCAATCATTCATTTATCCATAGATCTCGACTCGCGAAGTACCTTAAATTCACTACACAAACTGCGAAACCAAGCATACTAACTTTCTTGGAGTCCTGTTACTAGTTACTACTGTACTACGCTCTACACAATTCTATTCAGCGACCACAAAGCCACCGGCAGCTTTACTGAGTCCGTCTTTTGTCCCTCGATCCCCATGGCCTTCTCCACTACCCTCGCACTGTCAGCCTGCATCTGCATCACTCATGGACAGTGGGAGGTGATCAATGATCTCCACTGAATGCCACCTCACCTGTCTCAGGCTCTCGGGATCCGCCCTCGACTCGGGGCATACCGATCACAGATGCTCTTCCTCGGCCACAGACGTTCCACAGGAAGTCGACATGGATCAAGACGAGGGTATGACTCGTCCGTGTGATTCACACGCTAGGTCGAAAGGGGTGATTGAAGAAAAGCACACCTGTCGTACTAATTTTAACCGAGTTACAACTTACCTGTGCTTACTCCTGAGTGGTAGTGACTCGTAAGCACTAAGGCAGTGAGTACTGGAGTAGTGAGTACTGACTTTTCTAAGGAAATTGAGTACTTTGCTCGCTTCCGATCGGCGCCCGGGCGGCCCGCTGATCGTAGGAAAAGGAAAAGTCAATATCCGCGCTGACTTGCAGCCAAGCGAGAGACGAGGAATCCATGCAGCATGATGTCTACGAGTCAAGATCGCACCGTCTCTTTGCTTGTCGCGTCACAATGCCGGCACGTGGGCTCAGTGATAGGTAATTTTATACAAGACAGCTCTCTTGAAGAATAATGTTGAACTACCTACATCAGTGTCGGACGGTAGGTTCCGTCCGAGCGAGCAATGTACAGTTTATATACATCGAGCTCGCGAGGAGTTCCGAGAACCGATGCACGATGCTTTCACATCGAGAATACCCGGCATTTGCTATGCATCGAGTTACATTTCATCACTTCGGTCCTTGACGATCAATGGCGAACGACATTCCAAGAGCCCTTTTGAGGCACGCTCAATTTGGCGCCCAAGCAGGGGCACTGAAGGATCTGGTGGAGTCTTTCTTCAGTGATGACTGGATGACTCTGCATTGGATGTGTGCAGGTTTCTTCGTGGTCTCGCTGCCTCGACGACCTTTCAGTTGGCCGGTAAGCGAGCCAATATCTTCTCGTATCGCCAATGTCAGCTGAGCATGCGTACTGTTGCATTCGACCCTTTTGAACGGACCCCACTCCTCATCATCTCGTCGGGGGCGCACTGTCGTGGCGTCTAGAAACTGAACAATCCACTCCGACGCTTACCGAAAGGGTAGACAACGAGTGCCGCCAGGAACAACCCAATCGTGATGCCAATCGCCACTTGAATCATGCCCAGTCCCAGACTGAATACCGAGTTGCCTGCTGCCAGCCCAGCGCCAGGTGGGGGATTGGACGAGCCGTGCGACGAAGTGATATTTTGCTTGATCTCCTCGGCAGATTGAACCCCCGAGATCAAGGAGCCTGTCGCGGCCAGACCAGAAGGTACAAGGATGAAAATCGCCGGAAGAATGGCGGTCGCGGCGTGGCCGTGCCACAGTCGACTGTACAAATTTCCCAGAATCCCTACGGCGAACGCACCTACACTATTCGCAACCTGAGAATTTTTTCCGAGCTTCAGAGTGCTGAAATAGTTGCTGACATACCCCGACAATGCGATGAACATCATCGGAGGGAGCTGCTTCCACTTGCCTTGGTTGATGATCAGGAGCCAAACGGTCACGAGAGCCACAAAGGGGAAGCGTTGTATGTACGGATTTTCGAAAGCTCCCCCTGGTGGGCACTGAATGTCCGATACGGCGCCGCTGTCCATGAGCCCATAGATGGTCGTGCCCACTGTCATGCCGTAGCCTAAGAAAAGAGAGAAAATGATCGCATATACCATGCGAATGGATCCCGCGATGATCTGGTGCGATTGCAACTCCAGACTGCTACATAGCACGAGGAAACCCGGCAGGATCAGAGCAATGGAAGATTGAGCAATCGCCGAGAAGCAGAATATATACTGGCGTTTTCCATCGACGATCCTCAAGGGAATACTGCCAAAGGCTCGCGCCAAGAATGAGGTGACCACTGTCGAGGTCACTTCAAAGACATTCGAGTATAGTACTGATCGAGGGGCTGCGAGATGCTGCATGAGGCCCACGAGCAGGCCGTTGAGAAAGATGATAGGCATGTCAATCGGACGAGCATAAAAGGCGAACGGACCAAAGGTGGCTGTGGCCAGTCCATATACCAGGACAATAACCCATTTGGGATAGCGAGGTTTCTTCCTCATCACATCATCGAGCTCTTGCACGGCTTTTTCAATCCCAATCACGTCATGGATCACATTCTTGTAGATCAGATGTGTATCCGAGAGCCGAGCCAGATCGATACCTTGGCCCACGCGAACGAGTTTCACCTCCGTGCTTCGCGTTGAAGGGTCGTCGAAGGACATGATCATGCACCCCGGGAGATACAAAAACTGGCTTTCGACATCGAGAACTTTTGCAGTCATCTGCATATACTCTTCCAAGCGATGGGTCGGTGCTCCGAATCGCATCAGCGCCCGGCATAGCTGAATGATGAATTGTTGGCGACAAATGATCTCGGCGATTCGCACCGTCACTCTGATCTCTTCTTCCGTGTTGGCTCTTCTTTCGGCCTGTTGTCCACGACGCTGTGCTGCGGCAGAGAGGACCTCGCTTGAGACCGGCGTGCTCGCTCCACTGCGGCCATTGGAAATCCCAACAAGAGTCGAAGTCGTCGTGTTCGGCGGGCGTTTGTACCATTTATCCTGTTTATTCTTTTTGCCTGGCAACAGGCGCGGGATCAGAGTTGGGTCAAGGGATTCTTCTGCCGGCGAGTGATGACTGCTGACCTTGAGCCTGAGGTGCCTCGGTGCCTGTACTCGCCACATTCTCTCTGTTCAATTTCGTCAACTGGTGAAGGATCTCCTCGCCAGCAGAGCGATACTGGGAGCTTGATTGCACAGCAAATTGATCCCCTCCTGTGATAGGAATCATTCCAGCCTGAGGATACGTCCTAGCCCGCACCTTCCGTCGCTTTCCCGACTGTCTCCGTGTCAGATCACGCACTATCTTATGAGCCTCAGAGCTGCTCTTTCCCTCGTCTTCTTGCCCTTCTTCATCATCCTCGTGCTTCTTTTCGGCCCTCGCCGAGCGATCGGTCTTCAAACCTTCGTCATAAAACCCCGTCTGCAGATATTCTTCGCCGCTGGCAGGTCGGCCGATGAGCTCACCTACCGCAGTGGCTTTTCCTTTCAAACTCCTTGCAACGGAACGAATCTTGCGTCTAGTGTTTCTTAAAGTGGATGTGTCTGAGCCTGCCTTTTCACCAGACTCTGCTTCTGAAGATGGCGGCGCATTGTCGCCCTCTCCAGCCTTTTGACCCTGATCTTGGACCCGAGTGTCCGTAATGTCCGAAGTATCGTGAATGTACGGCAGAGATGGACGATGTGGCATGGCAACACTGTTTGCCCTTTCCAACTCTGACCGGGGGCTCTCCCGTGGTGCTTCACGCGGTACCTCTCCAGCCAGGTTCTTTTTTGACTGGAAGTAGACATGTCGTGGTGATCCTGAGTCTTCCCCGCTTGATGTATCTTTATGTGAGCTGTTACCGCTCTCGCAGGAGCGAAATTCATCGTGGTCTGAAAATTCAGGTGTCTGCTGCTCGCTAGAGATGGACTGTCGATCGGTCTCGGATGTGTCTGGGCTGGCTTTCTCATTGGAGACTTTACCATCTTCCGAGCCGGACATGATGTCTAATATAGTCTTTTCATCAGAGCCTCACAGTGCTGCGCTCACTATTCCATGGAGAATTATGCCGTGGAAGGTGGCTTGACTCTGATGGGGGTACACGTCTCTTAAATTGTTGAGTGTGAGAAACCATCGACAACCAAATAGTTTGTCTCTCCCAGTGAGGGAAGAAAAGTCTGGAGTGCTGCGCTCGCTAAAAACAAAGAAATGGAGGTCTATATCCAGGAAGGCGCTGAGGGCCCTTACCACGGCTCGCCAACGTCATGTTTCGGATCCGTACTCCGATGATCTACTGCATGCTAACATGGGCGGGTTTCTTTAAGGTTGTCGCAAATAAAATTATTCATGTACCAAAACACTCGAGGCTCAAATATCAAGAGTTTCCGACAATCTCTTTGCAAAATCTCAGCCAGTGACTGGGCATTGTCAAGATCCTCCCCGACCAGCTCGACAAACCTGTCTTTACGACTGCCACCTTGAATTTGTTTAGGATCTTACAATCATGCCGACCAAGAGGGCTCTACGTAAGTGCGGTCCCCAAACCTTGAAGTAGTCTCAAGCCAGCAATCGACGAAAAGCCGCGTTCTTGTCCAGGTTCGATGGCGTCTTTAGTATAGCACCTGCTTAGAATGGCACGATAGCATCGCATCCGTGGGATAGGCAGGATTCTCTTCAGGACTTGTCTTTTACCTTGTGTCTCATATCTAGCATGTGATTCTGCCAGTCGGCCATTACAGCGCACCCAGAAAGAGCACTCATCCCTACCCGCAACAATCTCACTTTCTATTCTTGCCATCTTGGGCTACCTACATGGCAAAATCTCCCTATCGGCTCTTCCAAAATGAGACTAGGATATCTTGATCAGTCACAGGGTATTCACTCGGCATATTGGCCAAGTGCAGGTAGGCACTCGACGTACCATCATACCAGTCAAGTTCACTATACCACCGATAATTGCCTCGATCTCGACCAGACATTCAGCGTTCCAATTTACCCATCTTTGCGTTGATCAGTGGCAGGCTTACAAAATCTCGATCTACAGGTGCACTCGCAATGTTTTGAGTCCCGAATCTTGTGACATCCGTATCCGCCAATCCAGATATAAGGTCGTGGAACGTATTGGACATGCCCGCAAGCTTGCAGAGATGGAGTACGTTCCTATCTGCTTTGCAGCCAAGACTTCAGTTACAATCTAGCATCGCGGCTGACATGTGAAATGAGGGTACGAGCTCAAACCGCTCTTTGTCCCATGTACAATCGATGCAGCCCCAGCTGGTGCTTCACATTGACTGGACTTTTGCGCCAATGATGCGATAGAAAGATGCACGACCCATGAGCAGAAATTATCAGCAGCTCAATATGACGTGTCTCAAGTCTGATCATGAACTGGGTTCGTGCCCAGGAACTTGGACCGTGTTCTAGAATGGGAAGGTGAAGCCTGATCGGCTTGGTTGACGGGCGCAACTCTAGGCCAACATATCAGGGCTTTTCATCTGTTTTGCATACTTCGCGGGTTATATCTTGCTATATTATTGACCCTTCTCCGCTTGCTCGCCACTCATCATGAACATACTTACGAGCTTGACTCTTCATGGGCGCTTTGCGGAGGCGCCCCCAGTCGATCATGACCTACACAACGGCTTCTTGGCACATCAGATGCTCATGTCTTCACCCCAGAACTCAGCATAATCTACGGAGCTTACAGCAGAGCCTATTCTACATTAGTGATCCCAACGAAGGAACTGCATTTTGAAGACGCAGCTGATCTTGGGGTTGTGCCTATGCATCGTGTGTGGGAGACTAGGAAGACTACCTCGGTCCCTCCGCCGATTGTCACCGATCGGATTTCTTTTCGCGCAAACTTCAAGTTGCTCCACAAGCTCATTTGTGCGAAGAAGTAGATTTACGTTGCAGTCGTTTGCGGTCTGGTGAGTACCTCGGACAGGGCCTTTCCACCTGATCTGTCTCGATTTCTCGAGATATACTGCAAAGAAGCAAGCACCTTTCTCGTTGCAGACGAGGCAATGAATGCCATGCGGTGTGGAGCATCTTCTGTGTTACACAAGGCGTAATACGCCGAAGATGAAGATGTGCAGCCTGATATGAACGTCTTTGGAAAGGGAATAGGCGTGAGTGGTGTCGCAGTCATTTTCAACGGCACATTGATGCGCTAGCTCTTATCCACGTAAAGAGACGAAGACTTTCACATTATAAAACGAGGCGCGTAATGGTAGGTCGGCCCGTGGCTGCGCCGATATTAATCGAACCGTTAGGGATATATCATGTTTCCGATGTGGAAAATTAGCCCCCGGGAGTGAGCAGATTGTTGTTACTTTCCCAGGGGTTGTCAATCGTTTTGCTCGGGGAATCACAGTCCAGATCGAAATGCTTCGTGGTCTGAGAGCCTTTCATGTGGTGTATAAGGAAGTTCCCAAGCCAGTTGGTGTCATGCGAGCATTCGCAGACGAGGCACTTGGGTCCGCTGGCTTCTCAAGCTCAACAAAGCCGCATCTGTCGACCCTTTACAAAGCAAAATGTACCTTGTTGGGCCGGCTGCAAAATCCCTGCGAAGCACATCGTCCGAGGATGCTGTTCTCCAGCGAACACAGTCTTTCTGGTGCTGTATCTGGGGCATTGATGCGACCGGCAGCGAGTGGTGCCGAACTTGCTTATTGAGCCATTGCGGGATGGACAAATGCTTCTAGACCTATCAAGCACCTGGATGTCCTAACTGACCGCCTGGTCCTTGCTATTGGTGAGCGCCTTGTATAAGAATTGCAAAGTTAATCACTTTTCCATTGCTAGCGAGCATACAAGGGGTCATTCAAGCTAGCATGGTCCTGTCTGCCGGCCAATATCTCCATTTATGCTAGGCGTATCGTCAGTCTGCACGATGCAAGGGACCCCAAGGACCCTGACGAGAATCAGCTCTAGCTTGGTTCAAGGCTGGTCGTAATGCACATCCTTGCGCAGTTCATACTGTATACCTGAGCTGTATGCCTGCTGGACAGAAGCCACACTAGATGTGTTCCATCCCTGGCTCCGGCTCAGTCCTCGGATACCTGAGCTTAGCAGCAGTCTCCATGACCGCTTACTCCAATCCCTTCGACATAGCCGTATCTTTGAGCACGTCTGTCTTACGACGAGAAACAGCCGTAGCCTGGATCTGAAGAAGAGCAAGTTGGGGGAACGGGTATTCTTTTGGAGAACGCTTCTGTTGTCTACGATTGAGTAACATATCAAGGTCGGTGCTCCGTTAGATTGAGTTCGAGATTCTTAGGACAGAAACTTTCAAACACTGGAATCAATCATGTTCCATTTCCACGGTTTTTTCGTTTTGCAGCGACTCCTAGAGTTCCAATCCCCTGGCCTGGTGATGTCAAAGGCCTCTGTGTCAGCATTCTCTGCAAACATCCTGCTACTCAAAGACGTCTCACCCTTATTAGGGGAAGATCATTTGCATCTACAGTCTTTTGCCCAGGGATAATCCCAAGGCTCTTTGATTTAGCAAGAGATTGAACCCGCGATCACTGCCGCTGATTTCTCATTCATATACATTGGACAGCCCCTCTCTCATGTCAGTATGGAAGCTCCGAAGACCCTATAACTCAGATGTCAAGATGAAGTGAGCGGTCGTCTCAGTCGCGTATTAATTGAGTCGATTCCCACCAACATACTGGCCGCTGTGCGGGCCATTTATGATGAGATGTAGGAATGGTTCGGTCGTGGCACCATGGGTCATATGTGCGATCTGAGAATTGACGGGATCATGACCGAGCCCAGACCGTTCGTTCTCATGGAGCTCAAAGAGAGTGGGAGCTAAGTTATAGCTTGCTCTGTAGATGAATGGGCGTAACAAGATGGACTCACTCCTGCTTGCCTGGTTGCAATGGACTTGCGGATCACCGGGTCAACTGAATCCATGTCAGTTACAGTTTTCCAAGCTCTCCCCTTTGTCCGGAATCTCGAGTACACCACCCAGGCTGTACTTTGCTCTTTAGAGCTTGAGGAATGATTCCGCGGCTGTCAAACATGTGTCGCTGACGTCAATCTCGCCAAGTCCCTGCATAACAACCCGGTGAATGCCCCGGATGGGCGTTGTCTAGAGGAGAAGGATTATCGTGACACGCTGCGGTTGACAGAACCAAAGACTCCCACAGCGACTGACACCCTGAAGTTACCGAATGCAACATGTAGAACTAAGAACGTTCCGTTGATCAACATAATCGCCCTGGAAAAACAACTATATAGCTCCTCATTCTCACACCTGAATCAAGTTTGCGGCATATTCCCTGCTCGTCGTTGATATTCTGTCAACTTGGAAAATTGGTGAATTGCAGGTCATCTGGAAGGGTTCAGCTCATGTCATGTCTTGTCTTTGCTCAAAATGTTATCACCGATCGGAGTTTAGGAATACATCTAGGCAAGACCAAGCCCTTAAAAAAAGGCCCTATACCTCGGAGCGTTTGGTATGTCGATTTGATATTCTCCGATCAGGTTTGGGCCCTATTGCTTGACAATTACTTGAAGCCTGCGTTGGAGCGCAGAAAGGGCTCCGTAGACAACCATTTTCCTCCAGATTTCCAGCAAGTGGCCCCTGGATGCGAGTCTAGAATATCCCTGGGCCATGGTCAGCGTCCTGCCGAACAGCATTCCGAGCATGAATAAGCCTGACAAGAAACAAGACGTCAGTCTGCCTCCCTTGCATTCAAGCTGCGTGTTATTTTCCATGCCTCAGGCGGGAAATCGAACTTCCTAGTGTGTCTGCGCAAGTTGGATTCGGGCATCAAGCTGGCTGGGATGACTACTTAGTAGTAAATGAATTCCGGCTTCTTCTTCGGAGTCATTTTGTCTAATTGGGCAGCAATATTGGAAGCCCCGTAGGCCATAGATACCTTAAGAGATGGATTTCGTGACTTGGAGAAGTCCCCTGCATCGCTCAAGTGGACTCGCTGATTGAACCAATCTTTCACTCCAGCAGGTATGGGCCACGAAACACAATCTGGTAAGCTAGGATGCTTAGGTCGAACATTATAGGTCAGATCTGTATGCTATTCACAGGAATCGTCGAATGGATGCTTCCATCTACGTACCTAATTCGGAGTGTTTTCAGGGGCCTGGTAGCTTTCATTAGCTACCGGCAGGTGCCCAGGTTTCAACTACTTCCAATACCTCGCCTGTTTTGCCTGAGCACCATTGGAAGCTTTTAGCTTTCGACACAGGTACACGGGAGGACTGAGCTTCTTAATCTCCATGTACAGTCCCAAGCCTTGGTATACCCAAGGCACGATGGCGATATCGTGGTTCTAAAAAGCGACCATGCGACCGTACATATTTTGTCACTAGGCGTTGTCTAACAACGTGGTCCCTGCCTGAATTTGGGGCACTCGTCAACGCATGTCTCATCAATACGAAGATCTTCATGATTTGTCCCATATTTGCCTGCGCAAATGCTGGTCAGATGCTTGAACCTGTGCAAGTCACCCTTGTCTATCACCACGTAAGGTCGCTGGGGATAGGTACCACCAGATCCTGTAAGATGGCTTGTTCCTTGAAACGCGACATGGCGGTGCCCGTCTCCAGGGGGCAACCGCCCTGCGATGCAGTCGCATTCCTGGGGAGCTGACTTGCACGCGGACATACCAATCGCACCACGACTGTTTAGATCCGAGCTGGCGCTTTGGACTTTGATTGGCGACGGATCGAGATCTAGAACCTGACTTGGCTCCGAGGTTCAACCGTTCTGAGAAGTAAATAACCTGTCGAGGTAACTTTTTGCCTAAGAGGCTCATTTAGCCCTGGATCTGCGCGAGCTTTGGCCGAGGGCAACGTTTGATAGCTGCCATGCAGAGGTCAAAATACTCCGTTTGTCTGGTTTCATGGCTTGCGGCAACTGTCACTGCGGACAAGCTTCCGCCAGAAAAGAACCAAGAGAAACAGTCTACTGCGGACGTGCCACAACGGATTGGTCCCTCGTGGCTCTATAATATCGGCCAGTAAGTTGACTGCTGAAGGAAAGCATGAGCTGTGCATAACCAGCGAGCCCGACTGACTTCGAGAAATGGAACAGATACGGACTCCCAGGGTTGTCAGGCACGGCTTCCAACAATGCTGAAGTTCCGGACTCCCCCTCTGCAGATACGAATGCAGATGAAGAGGCAGATGAAGATGGCTCCATTCCTGGCTCACCCTACCCCGGAAATGTCTATTCGAGCGTCATAAGTTCAGTCATATCCTCTTCATTCGCTCATGCGCCTCTGCAAGCGACCACGTCTTCGTCTGTACCCGCGTCCGAAACAACATCCACTTCAGTTGCAGCTCAGACTTCAAGTACCCAAGCAAGCAGCCCCACGCCTTCGGAATCTGCGAGCAACCTGACAGTTCACACGTGCCATAGCCCCATGATCAATGCAGACTTTGTATATTGGTTCGAGGCTCAGAATCATGGCGGCAAGGCTGCAGGATATGCTCCCTACTCCAAGTCTCCAACCACATATCCTGTATTTCGCAATGCAATGGATTACAACGTCATCAACGATGGCACTGGTGATCAAGCCGCGGCGCTGCAAAAAGCCATCGATGACGACGGAAACGGAGGCACGCGTAAAGGAACGGGCGTAACGCGCAATCCGGCCCATGTCTATCTCCCAGGAGGAGTGTATCAGTTGCGCAGTACGCTCAACCTGACCGTTGGTACTATTATTGTCGGAGATCCCAGCAACCCACCTGTGCTTAAAGCAGCTTCTGGCTTTTCGGGGGATTACCTCGTCATGGGCTACGACAAGCACAATGGCAACCCGGAAACGAGCTTCATGACTTTGATGAAAAATTTGATTCTCGACACGACGGACGTGTCGCCCACTCAAGATCTCACTGCCTTACAATGGGGCGTGGCGCAAGGAAGTGGTCTGACGGGGGTTCAAGTGAGGATGCCAACGGGCGAATGCTCTCACACTGGGATTGACATTGTCGCCGGTTCGACGATAGCTGTGACGGATGTGGTAAGTCGAAGCTGCTAACTCCTGACCTTCTCTGGCAAGAGACGAGCTAATTTCACGGCAGATCATTACCGGTGGCGCCATCGGGATTATGAACTCCAACCAGCAAGTGAATTTTAAGAACATTCGATTTGTGGGTTGTCGCACCGCATTCCATGCCGCTGGCGGCTGGACTGTTCTCATTCAAGGAGCTCTATTCGACACTTGCGGTACCGGCGTGAACATGACGACCAACTCATTGGGAAGCCTAGTGATCCTGGATTCATCCTCGACAAACTCGGGCCCATTGATTCGATTCCACGATTCTTCGCAGGATACAGGTTCCCGGAACAGTCAGTTCCTGATTCAGAATCTGGACTATACCTCCGAGAACCCCATTGCAGTGGATGTCAATGGTGCTACCCGTCTGAATGCCACTTCTCATGTTGATACCTGGGTCTGGGGAACCATGGTTCCGGGCAATTATAATGCTGGAGGATCCTGGATCACCAAAAGACCCGAGCCGCTTCTCGTCAACGACCGCTATTTTACCCGATCCCAGCCAACGTATGCCGGCTACAGTGATGTAGAGGTGGTAAACGTCAAGTCCGTCACTGACCACGTGGTCAAGGGCGATGGCACGACCGACGACACCGAATCCCTCAACGCCATTCTCGCTGAAAACGCCGCAAATTGCAAGATCACGTATATTCCTTTCGGTGTGTACAAAGTGTCAGACACAATCTTCATCCCCATCGGATCCCGAATCGTGGGCGAAGCCTGGTCTGTCATTTCTGGCTACGGTGATGCTTTCAAGAACGCATCCGAGCCTCGTGCGGTGATCAAAGTCGGTCACCCAGGCGACGTCGGCGTGGTCGAGATCCAAGACATGCGATTCTCCGCCGCCGAGATTCTTCCAGGTGCGAAGATAGTCGAGATCAACGCGGCGGGCAGCCAGCCTGGTGATGTAGGAATGTGGAATACCGTTATCACTGTGGGAGGGACCGCCGAGACATCCATTTCCGAAGACTGCGTCTCCCAGGAGCCAAAGGACTGTATGGCGGCATTCATGCTCATGCATCTGACCGAGTCGTCTTCCGCTTACATCGAGAATGTCTGGGGCTGGACTGCCGATCATAATTTGGACAGTGAATCGATACTCACTATCATCTCAACAGGTCGTGGTCTTCTCGTTGAGTCAACCAAAGGAACATGGCTCACCGGAACCGGGTTTGAGCACAACTGGCTCTACAACTATAACTTTCATGGCGCTAGCAACGTGTTCGCAGGTCTTTTGCAGAGCGAATCACCGTATATGCAAGGCACGGGCGAATATGCTAGAGCACCCGCGCCATGGACCCACGAGCCTAAACTGGGAGATCCGGATTTCACATGGTGTGGAAAAACCGACGACAAGTGCCGCACGTCTCTAGCAACGAATGTCGACGGCGGGGCCGATATCGCTTTGTATAACTCTGCAGCGTGGGCTTTCTTCGATGGGCCTTGGAATGGAGAATACAACGAGCCGTGCCAGGGCAAATGCCAGACCAACATGATGAGAGTGGCGGGCACGCCGAAGAATCTGGTCTGGTATTCGATCAGCACGCGGATGACGGACGTTGTGATCCTGGACGGGAACTCCAATCCCAAGGAAGCTGATCATGCCGGTGGATGGGAGAGTTTGATTCAGGCTTACGGCCAATTCTCGGGATAGACGATTCTGTCTGCTTCCATGTGTATATTTTAGTATTGTGAATATAAGTAGACGACGAGTTTAATTACCCTGAGCGACGAAAGCTTCGGATTTTCTTCACAGTCCAACAAATAATTTGATGAGCCATCATCGACAGAAGGTACCTCCTCATATATCCAGGTTTTGACACTATTTGTTTTCGTATTAGCCGAGCACAGAGATAGCTGGCATGAACCCAATCTTATACTATACTCATATAGAATCCCTCTACATTTCAATTCTTCCCTTGGCCACCATGTGGCCCAGTTCCGGCGAAGAAATCTGCGCAAGCATACGTCTGGAGTCATTCGGGCAGCGGACCTCTGGATGCATGCGCTTGGTACTGGCACAAAAGACACCAACCAGGCTCCAATCGAGCTACTGGCTTGCGGATGTTCAGCCGTTTCTTGTGGTTTTGTTAGAATCACCTTTTGTGCGATCGCTGAATGTTTGCACCTCACAAGCGAGCGAGATTCGCATGATCAACTCGTATTGTCGAAAATCTCGCCCGGCCAGACGCGAGCTCCTCGTGTGCTGTGCCCTAGTTGTTTGCTCTCCTCATTACCTGTTGTAGCCAAATTGTTTGCCCTCCCAGTACAGTATAAATACCTTCCCTCCCAGCTTTCTTTTCTTTTTTTTTTTCTTTCTTTCTTCTTTCCTCAACCTGGCCGGCTTTCTTAGACAGTGCTTTTGATCAACACACTGTAACAGTACCTACCACTCATCACCTCGCTGTAACAGTGCTGTTGATCACCACACTGTACGAGATTTTTTTAGACAGGTATGAACTAAATGGTCAGTCCACGAAAGACATCACCATTGCCAGGCTGGAACACACAAACCTTGCCAAGGTTTTCCGTCCAGTTCGGTTTCTCCCATGGGTGATAGTCTGGATGCTTTCGAGCCTTCTGAACCAAACAGTCTCACTGCAATTCACCTGGATCACTTTGTCCAAGGTAGCGGCGTTGGCGACCTCTTCAATGAGAATCCAGAACTACATGCTGTCACCTATAAAGTTGATCTGGAGAATGATCTTAACAAAGCACTCTGCTGGAGGAATCTGGCGAGTCGTTGACTCATAAGTCCACAGCATACCGCAGATGCGAGAGAGGCATTGGAAGTCTCTGAGATTCATCATATACGATGGTTGGCTTATGTTACCAGCCGTTGTTATGATGATGACAAGCCACATTCGCTTACACAAATGTTTTCTTGCGATGTGTTTTTTGATTTCGTCTCTATGATGTCGTTCCACCGTTGTTGATAAGGACCACAAGCCGCGTTTGTTGTACGTTTGTGCTGCGTCGCCTTTCCATGTCACCTCTCCTGACCATAGGATATGGCGCTCATCGTTTTTGTAAATAAGTCGGATATCATAATTGAATTCAACCATAGACTTCAGATCAGTATCTCATTATAAAAAAGGCTATCGGGAAAGATATCGAAAAGCAGGCACCGGATCATTCGGACCTTACTTCGGATCATTCGGACCTTACTTCCGCAGTGCGGAAAACTATCTGCACTCCAGAGTTCACAATCTCTCCCATCCGGGCTGATCTCTTCCAGTGCCCGTCTGTGTGAGGACCACGTGCTGAGCACATGGCTCTGAGCCAACGTCGCGAGCAATAGCGGAGGGCCGCACGTTCCAGCACTGGCAGACACCGTGGATATCGACACAAATTTCAATTCCCAAAGCGAACGAAGAGTTCAGTCTCTGGCAAGCGTGAAGTCAGGCTGTCAACACTCAACACTCAACGAGACCCAATGGTTCACTGTCCAAGTTCAGAAAGTCAAAGGCACTTGTCTTGGGGGTTCTGGACCCTCGAATCATCAGAGAGGATGAAAGTTCTCTCCAAGCCTCTTGAACCCTTACCGTCCCAAATCCACGCGACAATACCATCAATCGCACGGTGCCTGGGCAGCTTGCCAACTCGTGAGTCCGAGAGATATGGCTCATTTCCTTGAATGAATAATGAATGAGCAACTGTACTGAAAGCATGGTTCAGGGACGGGTTTCCGCCTGCTTTGGCCCGCGGAAGAAGGATGGAAATCCAAATCGAGTCTAGGCAAAGGCCCAGACTGCATCAATTCTTTTGCGGTGAACAGCTATGCAACATCCTGTTGGGCTACTGGGTTGATGGAAGCTAGCCATTTCAGAGAGCTGTCCGGCCTCAGATCCACCATGTCCGGGTGATACAACGGAATATCCAGGGGCCCGAACGCGTCACGAGCTTGGAAGTCTGGGGTTTCTGCTTGTCAGACGTCTGGGCCTTGAATGACCTGGAATGATCCCTGCCCCGAGGTTGATGCACCACGCTGACAGGTTCGTACCGGACATGCGGTCCGCCCCAGGCGGCGTCAGGCTAGAAAGGCAAGGCGTCCTGGAAGTTTGGGGGTCGATTTTGGGGGGTCTGATCCGTACTGCACTCTAAACACTACAGTATTGAGTAGTGAGTACTCTCGTCGGGATCAGCTGCTGGGCCTGCTGCTGTACCATGGAGCGCCGATGCTGCAGTGCAGTACATGAGTGCTCCTATCTTTAGCTACAACGCGTGTCCGTCGGGTGGCTGTGATGCCGACCGCCCTGCTGTCCCTCGGTCCGATTTGATGGGGTGCTGCCAGATTGCGCCTCCTGCGTGGCGCAACGCAAGTGATTTGTTGAGACGAGCGAAGACGAGAAGAGAAAGAGAAGAAAACAAGATGCCGGCTGCACTCCGCAACCCCACATTTCGCCGTCACCTGATTCGCACCCGGGCGGTTTCACCCGCCCACATCCAACGTCATGCCCCAGACGACTCCGTCTTGGCAGATCTCATTTTAATTCACACCGTCTGGAAAACCAGGAACCTCCTTTCCGCAGGTGGCCTACTGCCCCGGTTTGAGGCCTCTCAGCGTCCCCTCTCGGTAGGTTGCAGTTTGGTCTGGACTCAAGTCACCAAATTGCTTTTCCGGCTCGAATTCCACCCACAAGGGGTAGGCCCTGGGCACTGGCGAAGCATGTTGTCGGTAAGAGCAGATGTTATCTCTAATAGTTCATGACATAAACCATGGCCAGCTGGTGAGGTTTGATGGTTATATAGAGCGATGAAAACTCGTGCGCGTACGACTACGAAGCCGCTCCGCAGGCAGCAACGTATAACTTCGTACAGATACTGTACGGTCATTATGCACTGATTGCAGTCACCGCAAGCGCAATGTGCAATGTGCACCAACTGCATACGCATGCGCTTGGGCAGCTTGGCAATGATGCTTCTGACGAGGCAGGCGCTTCGTAGAGGACTTCCCTGAATCGTATCCGTTCAGATACTCCACAAGTCGAGAGACTCGAGACCGTTGGTCAATTGCTAGACCTCCCACAAAGGGCCTCTCATTTCCTGGGTGAGGCACCTTTGCGCGCATTCGCACAACGTCCCCCGGCCCGTGCTCCACTGAGAAATCGCATCGAGGAGCCTCCGCGAAACATTTCAACTGCCCAGTCTGACGAGATGGTAGTGGGAACTCGATGGTCTCTATTGGCGTGACCAAGTTTTGGCCTCGTTGCATTCTGGTTGCCGGGCTGGGGGAGAGGTCCCGAAAGTCAATGTGATGATGGCGTGTTCCACGATCATGTAATCATTGTTTGTGGGGGTGAGGAATCATGTTTGAGGCTTCGTTGACCCTGGCAGGGCTGAGGTCATATCGCCACTGAGCTGGGTTTCCCCAGTCGCCCTGTTATGCTGCATCGTCTCTCTCTCGCCTACGAGCCTCCACGGGAACTCCGGTATGATCGAATGGGAAATTGGTACCGTGACTTCCACGGTATATAAGAGTATGGCAGTTGCCCAGTCAGGCATGCTACTTTTCAATTTTCCACTTTCTCCAATCACTCACCTCAGCCATATATCAATCTCCTCTTTTTTTGGATACTCCCATCCAACTACCACTTCTCAATCAAAATGAAGTTCACCACTTTCACCTCTTACCTCCTGCTGGCCGGTGCCGCCGTTGCCATGCCCCAGGATAACGGCAACGCCGCCGGCTCCGCTGCCACCGACATCTCCAATGCTGCCTCCACCGCTGGCGGTGCCGTCGCTAGTGCCCTGAGCACCGCCGCCAGCGCTGCTTCCACCGCCGCCAGCGCTGCTTCCACCGCCGCCAGCGCTGCTGCTTCTTCTGCCTCGGCCAGCAAGTCCAGCGCCACCGAGTCCTCCTCCAGCGCTACCACCCACACCTCCACTTACACCACTGCTGTCACCACCACCAACTCCAACGGCCAGACTACCACCATGAGCTCCACTGGCACCGCTACCTCCACCGGCGGCGCCGTCGCTGCCACCGGTCTCGGCAACGCTGCCATGGTTGGTGTTGCTGGTGTGCTCGGCGTCATGGCCGCTCTCTAGATCAACAGAGGTTTGAAATCTTCACATCTTTGTTGTTTTGGCGTTGGTGAGGTGATTGGAGGTGGTTTTGGGACCCACCATACATGATTTACCAGGATATCCTTCCCCTTGCTATGCAAGAAGGCCTGTACGGTGGCTTTCTTATGTTAATATCACGCCTGATACATCACGGTCGGCTTGTCTATTATAATAGAGTAGCCGCCTGTTGTACGTCCTTGGCAATTATTGTAAATAGTACGATTTGAAATATGACTCTTACTACATTATTGATATCGTCCGTGCTCGCTCATAACTTCCTTGTAATCCAGAGAGAGTCATGGGAGATGATTAGGACGCCATTCGCAGCAACATTCTGCATTTGAAGGGATAGCAAGACGTGTTACAGCATAATCTATGACTACCTAAACCAGCTTCGATGGTTGACAATGGACGTATGTCTCCTGGACGAGCATATGGTGATATTCAGAATATGTATCGTGTTGAGGCTGCTTCATCTGCTCTTCCTCCGTTCAAATTGGTAATGTTAATCAGTATACTCGCGATAATGAGTGGTTGCTATCTCTGCTTCTGAGCGCCACAGATAACCATTCTAGCCCTCTCGCGATGACCTCATTGAGATGCAAGCTAGGCTTAAATCGATCCGCTCCTGACTCGCTGTCTAGAGAGCCTTGCAGTGACGTAAGCTTAAGAATGCGGAGATCCATCCATACAAGGGGGTTTGAGCTCGAAATATGGCAATTAGGGTATAGTTTGGTGCGGAGTGAGTTTCGGGCGGGCAGAGGATCGATCCTGTGATGTATCGCAAGGGGATCTGCAGAGAATCGGTATTTCATCCTGTTCCTTGCACTGTGCATTAATTCCCGTACCAGGAGACAACTTCATCACAAAAGCACATGTATCGAGATTATGCCAACCGAGATGAGCTAAGTGGAAGCTCTAGATGACCTATTCTGTTTGATGCGTCCCTGGCAGCTTGGTGGAGGTGTTTCATAGCATTTTGCCTGGAGATCTGGCCCAGGCATCACATTGCTTATGTCGAGACAGCACCTGAGACACCTCTCACGCAGCGATATTGGAACGATCAACCTGCATTTTCAAGATTGAGATGGAAAGAGACACCAGCAAAATGTGTAAGTACTACCTGGCAGCGAGATATCGTCGCTTTCACCAACTCCGCTGACAACCGTGTGGACTGTAGAATAGGCCACCATGTGGGGTCATACAGATGGAAGAAGCTGTTGTGCCAGCTCCAGCCTTCCTGAATTCCTGAGGATAAATGAAACATGACATTGTGGATCTTTGACGATCTGTTCAGCTGGCATGGATACCCGCGACGGCACTCTAGATTTGACTACAGACATCCCCATCCATGGAGAAATTATCGACTCTCCCAAAACTGGGCATCCATGGCGACCAACCGATTGAACAACTGATTTCGAGATCTCATCCCAGTGAGGTGGAACGACTGGCCCTCTTCTTTTCCATTGATCACCAATCCATCCGCAGCCTCTTTACTGCCGGCCGTCAACTCAACAATCAGCTTTCCCTTCCACCCCAGACCCTCAGTCTTTTTCAACTCTCGAATATCCGTCACGGGAATTTGGAAGAGCACTGATCCTTTCTTGCGACTTTCAATGCGCAGGTCGTCCAATCCGGCGGACTGGTAGGTGGTAAAGTAAAGGAGTGGCGGCTCCTTTGTGGAATCGATCACCGCGGCGCCTCGCTTTTTCATGAATTTTGCGTCGAACTTAAGAGGACCAAAGGGCTTGGAAGAAAAGTGCTTGCTTTGGAGCATGCTGAGTAGACTTTTCGTGTGGGCGGAGCCTGCGATCGCCATCGCACGATCAAATGCTATGTGTCCCTTGATGGCTGTTGCAATGGTGCGTCTGACGAATCTCAGAAGTCGGGAGAAGAACTTTTTCTTCGGGGGTTTCACCGACTGAATAGAGCCCTCGGGACCAATCGTTTGTAGGGATTCGGTTGATTCGAGGGCGCCGCTACCCTCTGTGAGAAGCTTGGTCGATGACTTCTTCCGTCGAATAGGCCATTCTGGCTCATCGCTGCTGGAGTTCGGTGGTGGGGGTAAGGGCGCCGAGTTAATTTCTCCAATGCGAAGTAAAGTGAGGGCCAGCTGGGCGTTTGTTGGAGTTCCTTCCAGCAAAGTTCTGAGTTGACGTTTTTGTTAGCCACATTGTCAAATTTTCAACAGATGTTGGCAGAGTCTTACTTTTGGATATCCATGCGATCTTTCCAGTCGGGGACGGTCCTGTTCAAAAATGCCATACCAAAGACAAATAGTGGATCACCGAAAAATCCAAGACCCAGGGTGAATCCCACGGACTTGACAATGAGATGACTCGAGGTGAACGGGAATGCGAGGAACACGAAGCCCAGGATACCGAGAAGGCGCAGGCGCGGTATGACGAGGTTGAAAGGAGGAGTCGGTGACATCAGGCTGTTATCAGCTTGTTAGCGGACTCGCCATATCCCGGCGTATGTGGAATGGATGACTGACTTTGCAAATTGCTCGTACACATCAGTAACATCACTGATCACACGCATAACCTGATCAGTGCCTCGCGCCACCTTCATCTTGATCGGCTTCTTAGTCCTATCTTCTGCAACGCCTTCCGCCCCGTCTTCCCCCACGGGAACAGAACGCAGCGAAGACGAAGCCGGCACTTCCTCTGCATCTTCGGCTACAGTCTGGCCGTACTTTCCAGCCGCGGTCTCGATGGCAATGTTTGCCACGCTATCGACCATATTCTTGGCTTCCTGCTCGGCCGCTTCACCTTTGTGGACCTCTGGAACTCCCGTAATGCTGTCGTGAGATTCTGTTTGTTGGACCTCATCATCAGATAGCTTTGAGCCCGTAGAGGCTGGAGAGCAGGGGAAAAGCATTGGCCGGAGGGGAGGAAACATGATCAAAGCCATCAGCAAGCCCACTGATGTAGGGACCAGGATATTGAAGTGCCACGCGAGGAAATAAGCCTGTGGTTGTTAGCACCCCCAAACTGTAGACGAATACTATTGCAGAAAGACTCACCAACGCAAATACAGTCGTCCGTCCTGGCTCACGCCAGGACCGTAAACGTGTCACTTGTCGGCAAAATTCCGCAAGTCCAACGATCACAGACGTATAAAATCGCTCGATAGTCATGCGCAGCTTCTCTGGCGGAAACTGTTCATCTTCGACACGATTCAAGTCAAGGTTGCGACCAGCTGTATCGTCGATCGCTTTCACATGGTATATTTGCTAACGATCACATGTCAACTCATTAGAGACTTTTGACCGCCGGTCCCTGCGCAAGCTTACTTTGTTAAATCTCCGAATCAATAGCCACAGATCTTCATTGGAGAGCCCCTGTGCAAGCGTTTCCTCCACCGTTCGCGACGCTGGCTTCCATTGTACGTTGGGTTTTCTTGAATTTCCGGAATCTGTCGAGCCCCTGCTGTTGGTGAACGCGGTGAGACTGAGCTCGGGTGTTTCGTTGTTCCCTTCCCCTGAAACACCTGCTTCATGACTCATATTGAGATGTGAGCCTAGAGTACCTCGTGTCAAGTCCCTAAAGGCGCGGTATTGTTCAGCACTTGGAATCACAGATTCGCTGTGCTGTTATTGTTGTTGTTGACTGCCCCGGGTTTGCCGTGGCTGCCGAGCCTGCTCCGCCTGCACTGCGGTTCCGGAGGAGGGGGTACAATGTGGGGACACGACGTCATGTTCGATCCACTTTGATCTCTCGGCGAGTCATGGTCGTTTTTCATCCACAGACTGCTGCTCTCTGGGGCTTAGCCATATCGTACCCAAATCCAATGGTGCGTTCTACGATGCTCTTCAATTATGTGCTGGATTGAAAGAAAACACGAGTAAACCACAAGCTTCATCTTCCAGGAGGCTCGTCAAGATCAAGTCCTTGCAGATTGCTGGCGTATCTCACACATATCAAGTTACGACTCGTCGAGCGCGCCAAAGCTGTCGACAATGGCAGTCCGCAATGTCCTGGCTGAAATGTGGAGTAATGAAAAGATCAGTACGCGTTGTTCATTTTTCAAAGGTAATCCCCTTTCCAACAAGGAATAATTGTTGAGGGATCTTCAGCGGTCCAAAGACACAGGAAGCAGCACGAGATCGGAACGGGTTGGGGAGAGGAAGGAGGCAAAACCTGCCCACGCAGGGCAAAACCTCCAACCTCCAACCTCTCAACACTAAATAACAGCTGGTCCTGGCCACGCAAACCACGCAGCACCGAGGGAGGAACTTCATCAATTGTCAGTTTTCAAAATGGCAATCTAGGGCAATTGATAGCCAAAGCCTGTGATGACTACTTTGAGGAACCTCCTAGTTATCTCCTCTTGAACAAAAAAATGATCCTGTTCAAGTTTTACTTGAAAACGGGGGAATGCAGCCAAATCCGATATAGAAGGGCATGGGAGTATCGGGAAATGGCTAAGAGTTTTCATTCAAATGAGCGGAAGAATGAACATTTGAGGTGGTGATAAGCCGAAGGTAGATTTAAATCAATTCATTTGGAGAAGCTACATTCTTAAGCGCTCCACTCGAATAGAGGGCCAGATTCAACAGCCACATGCGCCCAGAAAGCTTGTCGCTTCGAAGCCGATCGAAGCTCACCTAGCAAGGTTCATGCGAGCAGTACTGATGAAAAGTCGAAGGGCGGCAAGTTTTCTCACTCACAAAGTACGCCACGATCCAACGAAAACTGATGATATCAAGAAGCCTCAAAGACTTACGCGGCCCAAGGCGAACTGGATGTCTCGTCGAAGATATGAAAATCTCCCGATATACGGCATATGCTCGGAAGAGCCACTGCGTCGAGTTGTGATCTCCGTGGCGCAGGTAAATGAGAAGCTTTCAAGTAACTGAGGTGTTTTGATCGCAACGTCTGTGCTGTTCTCGTTGCAGCCTTACAGTGCAATTTCATGAAAAATTGCTGGTCAAAGATCCTGTCATTTTCAAAGAACAATCACAACCTCCTCTCCGGATCAGAGTAATGCTTGAGCATCGTGGCAGTGATTTGAATTGCGGCCCACGACCGAAGAGTCACCTCGTTTCAAACCGCTCAATCTCCCAGTCTATTTTTCAAGCCGTAAGGATGACGAGATAACTCAAGCGGTCATCAATTCTCGTTTTCACGTCAAGGTTCAACCAAGCTTCGGCCCGAGCGCACGAAGGAGTTCCTCAATCAAGTTCACTTGAAAAAACCAAATCGCTCGCTAAACGGACGAAAGGCATCCATAGCATTCGAGTACTCGTCATTGTGAGGGAGACCAGCGTTGAACAGACGACCAAGTCAAGTTATTAGCAAGATTGCGGCCAGTTTCCAGTCTTATTGCTCTCTCGATCTGCATTTCTTCGCACCAAATGGATGAATACGGGTAGCCTATGGATCCCCCCATTTTCACGAAAACGAGCGACTTTCGAGAGCCTGCCGCAGAGCGCGATAAGGTTTCTTTTTGTGTTCAACACAATCCTACTGTCTCCTGTCTGCACCAAGAGATACTGCACGAGGCAGATGGACGACCAATCAATCGGCATGCCATACACATCATTCCATACATTCCGACCCAGTCTTCTTGTGATTCTTCATGTTCAGTGCAGAGAACCAGGTGAACGGCCGTATTGCGGGCTATTATTAGGGTGCCTAGCGACATGAGCATGCATCAATAATCGAACTGTATCCATGCAAAAAGCACCTGGGGTGGTCAATCGTAGCCGCTCCGGATCTGACTTGGGACAATGGTAACGCCACGAGGCTGCGCTATGGTTCAGGGTTGTTTGAGAGTAAGTCTCTTCATTGTGTATTGCTTGTGTTTACGGTCCGTCCGTTGGGGTGTTTGCGCAGTATTGATGACTCGCTATGGCCTTGATATAGATTCCAACCTTGGAAAACGAAACGCAATAAGGAATCGAGAACATGGGACAAGGTCTGCTTGAGACGGAATTTACGATCTCTATTAGTCTCTGGGCGTGACTGCTTATCAATAGAATCAACTAGTATTTGAAATCTTTGGGAGCCTTGGACACGAAATTTCGATTTGAAGAATGACCTTTGGTCGCAGGATAGCAACTCAATCACAAAGCGACCGCCAGAAGTGAGCGCCGAAAGTTGATCATTTGCTTGTTGAGCAGAGACCTGGTTTATACCAAGGATTTACACGTCCATGTCACAAATTCTACACATTGAAGATTGGAAGTTTTGTCAACGGTAAAATCAGGCAACAAAGTGTGCTGTAAAACGACAGGCCCATCAAACACATTACTTCAATCACGCGGTTCTGACTCTGGTCGAAAGACGCCGCAATAGATGAACAAGAATTGGAGAAAGCACAACCAGGAACCCTTCACTTGCTTGAAGGAATGCCGGCGAGGACATCTCCCCTCACTACAATATCATGTTCAATATTCTCAATACCCCACAGACTCACACAAATCTCTATGAAGCTTAGAGTTAGTGCAACTGGAGTCGTGATCGATATCGCACCATGTTCTTCAAACTTGCTGCTCTGGGGTGCCGGAGGTGATGCCAGGAGCACGAGACTGATTGCCGGTTTGTCCCTGCGCGGCATTGGCACCATTGGGAGAATACGTCTCGCCTCCATGGTCGATCCGATCACTTGGAGATTGGTCCGAAGTCCACGATTGTATCTTGGCAGCGGCTTCGGCACTAGCCTCCCACTCATTGGCATCCTGGCCGGGGTTGATCTTCTCGAAACGGACCATCCGGAGGAGGGCGAAAAAGGCCGATGCAAGCAGTGAACCTAGAAGTGGTCCAACCCAGTAGATCCAGTGGTATCCCGGGAAGCTTCTGTTGATGACATCCGGTCCAAGGGATCGAGCAGGGTTCAACGAGCCTCCGGTATAGTAGATACCTGGCGAGAGAAGATGTGTGTAAGAAGACGACTGTACACCGGAGATATAGTAGTGTCACCACGTAGACTTACCAACCATTTCGCAGACGAAGAAGGTAAGACCAATTCCCACGGGAGCGAGGAAAGTTGACTTGTGCTTGACAACGGCCAACATGGTGATGACAAACACGAGCTGCGCAGTCAGGAACATCTCGATGAACAAGCCTTGGGAGATGGAGGCACCTCCACCCAGGCGAGTTGTAACGTTGAGAGGGCCCGGGAATAGGCAGCTAACGACGCCAGCAGCAGCGATGCCACCAAGCAGCTGTGCCGGGAAAACATACAGTCCACGCGCGATGGGCATACCTCCCACGACACAAAGGGCAAGTGTCACCTATCATCAAGAAGGGAGGTCAGACGAAGAAGATGCTTTATAGGAATGAATTGCATACCGCAGGGTTGAAGAGACCTCCGGTCACTCGGAAGAAGGCCCAGACATTCACCGTCAATGAGAAGCCGAAGGTGAGCGAGGCATAAAGTAGATTGGAGGTGTTGGGATCGGATCCCGAGGCGGGTGCCGGGGTGTTGGAGATTTGCGTTCCTGCAAAGGAAAAGAAGAGGAACAAAAAGGTTCCAACGAATTCGCCTAGCATGCAGAGGAGGTTGTACCGGTTACGATCAGGAATCGCCAACATGGGCAGCTGCGTGCGCCGGGTGCTTCCATTGGTAGGCCCGAGGGTTGATGCCTCGGAGGCAATTCGCTTGTGAAGACTGACCATTTTTTGTCGAGGTAGGGGGTTGGTTCTGGCTGGTGTGCTTTTGACCAAGTGATCTGTCAAAGTCGCTTGAATGGGAGCTCTTTATCAACTCAGACTCGGAACAAGCATGCACGTCTTTCGTCTCTCGGGCAGCATGAAATCAAGTATTTATAGCCACAGCCATATCATTTTTCAAGCGCCACCTTCGGCAATCGAGATGTCACAGCGATAGACTTCGCTACTCAGTCGCCTTGAAGCTTGAACCATTGGACAACATTGCATCTCTCACATAGTAGATCGAGAAGTGTGGAGCTCTTCGCGAGTCGAACCCCCATGTTCAGCTTCGTTGGTCCAGTCCGAGATCGAGGCCCAAACGACTTTGTTTGTTGGCCAATTGGTCATAGGTATTTACACAAGAGAACAGAATGTAAAATGGTGAAAGCGTGAGAAGCGATACCAGACAGTAGTGAGGTCAACGTACCATATCCCTGGGAGGGATGCTCCAATTGGGGTTTGGTTGGTCCAGTCAACGATTGGAAATGGTGGTGGTCTGGACCTCCATCCCGGGCCCGATTCATGGTTCACAATTTTTATAGACCAGATCCGCAACACAGTGCCGAAGACCAGCTCAGGCAAATGCAATACGCATCCACGCTCATTGGCGGAAATCTGCACGAGTCGCCAACGACTCTTGTCGAGAGTACAGATCGGATTGGATGTGTCATTGAATGCCCTCTTCCTCTGCTGGGAAGCTCTCGGAAAAAGGCCATACCTTAGATCCCTCAACGCATCATAGGAAGAGCTTGTGTTATACGGAGAAGACCGACGCGCTCGATTTATGAGCCATGCATCTCGAAAAGGTGTGCGAAACCGCCGATCTCATCGTCATACCGAGTTATGTTTGCTCAAGCAGGCCTCGACGACAAAGTGTACGCTGTCATCGGTTGCTCTCATCCAGAACCGGAAAATAGTGAGATGCAGTGAGATAAAGATGACAGTGATCCTGTCTAGTACCGGTAAGAGATGTCCTTTTGCGACTTCTAGAACGCATCCTCACGAGTCGGAGGACATGCAGGACTGGGCACAGAGCCACGAAGTAGTCCTTTGACCGGAGGTTTGAACCATTGAGCCTTACCCCGGAGTTTCACATCGGTCAGGATCCATCAAGGAGGCGCATTGCTCGCTATCATCGTGAGAGACTATGAAGCCGGCAGACGATGATAGATTCGAGCCATTCGTTCACCACACTCACTCAGCTCCGTATCCCTGCGCGCCTGCTGGATCCTAGTAGTTGATAAGTTGACCCATTGAGGAGTAACGTGTGGGAGATCGTAGATCCAGGCCCTAGCTGATCAAATAATTTAAGCGGAGGGGAGAAAGGAGCCGGCCGCGAAGTTTCATCTGCACAAGGTGGTGAAAAAGGAGCAATTAAAGCTATGGCAGAGAGATGAGCGCATCATACAGAAGAGTGGTGACACCTCGGCCATCTGCATCCGGGCAGATCCACATCGGAAATGTCAACAACGGGAGCTAGTCCACTTTGGGAGTGATTTCCCCGGGGGCCTTTGTGGCCTGGATTCAAAGGCTGCCGCCTAACAATTGTTAATAAAGCTGTCGGAGAATGCAGAGTCCGGCCAATCGTAACTTGGTCGTTGCCTCTACCTGGATGCAGGAGATTGAAAGGTGGTAAATATGAGAAGCACAGGTTGATTTTTGCGGAATTGTGTCGAGTTTGCCGATAAGGGCTGAGTCTTGAACTCAGTCATCTCGACTTCGGGCGCATCGACTCGTCCTTGGCCGGTTAAGTGTTCGCAATTCGAGAAAGGGCAAAAGCCACTTCCGCCCCACTAATGCGACTGAAAGGGCCGCAAAAGGCTGCGGAAATGAAGGCTGTGCGTGTTCGGCCTTCCGCATCCAACTCAAAACACAAACACACAGTGACAGCTGACCCCGCGGTCACCTGACTTGCCGATTTCTTCTCGCGCACCTTCCATCGATGACTTAAGGCGATGACCACTTTTCCAGTCAAACTGGGTGAATTTCAATTGGCCGATTCGGACCGGTCTGCTTCCGAGAAGCCGTAATATCCGCCATGTTCTCGATCATGTGACTATGGAGTCGGCGCCGAGAATTCTCCTGCGCGGAAGCGCCAGCCATCGAACCATAAACCATCGCCAACCGCTCACAACGGCAAATACCACAAGCTTTTTCTTCTACCTCCGCGGAGATATCGACATTTCTCGGAATAAACCGCTCTTTGACCCCTTTGAATATGATTCTATTTGCCCGTACCTGTACCTGATCCCTAACTTTTGCTTCCACTTGATTTTAGAGAATCATCGGATGCGAGAATGGGCCGACGACAGCTTGAGGCCTCATTGGGCGAAGTAGATATCATGCCCATGACACACGGCTCCGAAGGTCCACGCGAGCGCGAAATAGATAAATAGAAACCAGTCGCCCACTGTATGACGAAGCATCATTTTCAATCTGTACATTCACACATTTCATCAACAACCGTCAAGGTCGACTTTTAACGACGGTGCTCTTTCCTCGACCAGAGTTCAGCAATACTACTCTCCATCTTACTGGATTAACACATCAACATGGGTTCCGTTGCCACATTGACACCCGACCAAATCCAGGTCATCAAGGCCACCGTTCCTGTTCTGGTCGCACATGGTCAACCTATTACAACGGTGTTCTACAAGAACATGCTCAATGCGCACCCTGAGCTAAACAACGTCTTCAATGTGCCAAACCAGCGTAATGGGCACCAGCCCCGTGCCTTGGCTGGTGCTCTCTTCGCATATGCTTCAAATATTGACAATCTGGGGGCCCTGGGTCCTGCAGTGGAGCTCATCTGCAACAAGCATGCTTCTCTATACATTCAACCGGAGCAGTATCAGATTGTCGGCAAGTTCCTTTTGGAAGCAATGGGCGAGGTGCTCGGAGATGCTTTCACTCCAGAGATCAAGGATGCGTGGGCCACAGCATACTGGCAGCTTGCCGATATCATGATTGGCCGGGAGAGGCAAATCTACGAACAGAGCCACGGCTGGACGAACTGGCGCGAGTTCAAAATCCTCGACAAAGTGCCGGAATCAGAGGAGATCACCTCGTTCTATCTCGCTCCCGTCGACGGCCAGCCTTTGCCGTCGTTCCAACCCGGTCAATACCTCTCCGTGCGAATCAACGTACCGGAACTACACTGCCTGCAGCCCCGTCAGTACTCGCTCAGCGACAAGCCGTCCCGGGAATTCTACCGGATCAGCGTCAAGAAAGAGAAAGGCCTTCCCGCGACGGGGACAGCTGCCGCTTCGCACCCAGGCTACGTGTCAAACCTCTTGCACGATCGCTACAACAAGGGAGATATTGTCGAGGTTTCTCACCCCTGCGGTGACTTTTACCTGTCCGCTACTGCCGCCGAGCCCTCCACGCCGGTGGTCCTCATCTCTGCCGGTGTCGGTCTGACTCCCATGACTTCGATCCTCAACACTCTCACATCCAAGCCTGCGTCAGCTGCGCGAAAGCTGCACTTTATTCATGGAGCGCGAACCTCTGCTGCGCGTGCCTTCCGGGATCATCTCGATCAGTTGAAGCAGAGCCATCCCAATCTCCAGGTGACGCTCTTCACGGGCCACCCAGCCGAGAACGAAAAGCAGGGTGTCGAGTTTGACTTCGGTGGACGTGTGGACTTGAGTAAATTGGATGCCAAGCAATCACTGTTCACGGATGCCCCCAACACGGAGTACTATATCTGCGGCCCCGACTCATTCATGACTGATATGCAGGCCGCATTGAAGGAGATGGGAGTCGGTGCTGATCGCATCAAGATGGAGCTCTTTGGCACTGGTGGTGTGGCTTGAAGGTCGTCCTGTCCATCATCAGCAAGTTGCTTTTTTTTTCTGTATGATAGATCAAGTCCCGGCATTGGTGTGATAGCTCTCCCCTTTTACATATATTGGCAGGCCGCAAAGAATTCGTGAATCTGAGCCCATGAATTGCAAACCTCGATGTCTCACGTTACGGCCAAGCTTTGATGCAGTTTTTGATATGAAATTGAACCTTCTCAAATATTCTAATCCATGAACTGATGTTGCTCGGGAGTCAATTTGCTTTAACGCCTGCTAGGGCCGAGGAGACTACCGTGCGGGTCTATCCTCCCGGGCACCATCTTGATTAGGAAAAGGTTGAACGAGACATGTATTATAAGATCACAGAATTCGTGCACGTGACCGTGAGCTCTCCAGACAGACTACAAAATACATCATGATGGATGCGCGCCTTTGCACAAGTCAAATCGAAATATGGTCACAGATTTGCAGCTATTAACAAGTTGTACTTATATACACGCTCTCAAAATCAGTAGCGAGACAAAACACTCTCTCATCCGCAAACGACGAAGAAGGCTCGCTTAGCAGCCCTTGCACTCCTTGACAGTAAGATTCATGCCCTTGTACTCAGAGCTGTGACGACCATACCAGTAGACCTTGAGAGGCTGGTCACCGGAGGCATATCCATCGACAGCAAAGTAAGCGTTGCCGTCGTGGGTGAACAGACCGTCGTCGTTGACGCCGAATCCAGTCTCGCTGGCGCCCTCGGGGTAGGCGGCGGAGTGGGGAATGGTCAGACCGACGGGGAGGGTATCGTCCTCGACGACCCAAAGGTTCTGGAAGCCGGTGGGGGTGGAGTTCTTGGAGGTGAAGGTCAAGGGGGTGTCTTGGGCATTGCCACGGACTGTTGAGGGGGAGGAGGGAGGTGTTAGTTTGATAAGTGGGACTTTTGTGGTTGTGAAAGGCTGAGGTGTGGACGTTTGACTTACGGATGAGGACTTCGTTGGCGGTCGAGTCGGTGCCGACAAAGAGGTTCTCTATTTGGTGAAAGTTGGAGGTCAGTCATCTTTGAACTTGGAGTCCCATTGTAGATATGCGATGAGTGTTATAGTGGCACTTACGGCCATCAGTGACAACGGTCTTGCCGCCCTCAGCGACGAGAGTGAAAGCCTCGGGAAGGCTGGCCGCAAGAGCGGTGCTGGCGAAAGCAGCGACGGCAGCGAGAGTGAACTTCATTTTGAATGTGAGAGGAGAAGTGTTTGTTGAAGGACTTGAGTAGAGAAGTTTGGCGAAGATGAATTGAACAGTTGCTTGGTTGATGGTAGAAGCTATTGGATGCGAACAAGGCCATGCCTTTATAGATGTCGAGTCTTGCAGCGATCCTATACACATCGGGAGAGGCCTGCGCCACCGGCAACTAAGACATGCTTAAACTGTAGTCGGGTTGAGACGGTGACGATCGCGTGGATGCCGAAAGAGTTACGCTTGTTATGTTTATGGGGTAGGAATGGGTCGTTCCAATTGGGTGCATGGGGTCACAACTCGCGGATGTCTTACTCGTGTCCACAATCCAGCACACTGTCCCAGCTATCCTCCGGGCATGGCCACAGATGGTGACAGTACCACCGAGATTCGCGTGTTCTTGGTAAGGTGCCCTGAACCGCTTCAGTACTGAAGTAAAGTGCAGGTTCCGTCGCCTCCACGCTCTGCCTCTGCCAGTATGTACGATTTACCACACTACAGTCTGAGTCTACACTCTACAGTCTACACTATTCCCTATGACGATGAAACCCAAGATTCACACCAATCACCAAGACGAGGCAGAACAGTGTCCTGCTAAATGATTGGCATTTCACACCGTCCCCTCTTATTCATAAAGTCGAAGCGCCCGTGGTACCCTTCACCCCCCCACCGAAACCCAGAAGTCCCTTGTACTCGGTTCCACTTCGGCTAATTCAGCTGTCGATCCTCAGCCATGAGGTATCTTCTACTGAGACATGGGTTACTTGTGGGGTTGCATGAATGAGAAAAGATACATCAGACATGATGGTGTGTCAAGAGAGGTAAAGGCCGCTGTTGATCGCAGCGTTCCACGGCAGCGAAGATCCGGATCAAGATGACGACCGACGATCGACGTCAAGACAGTAGTGTGGTGATCTTTTATGGACAGTACTATCGATTCCCCTGAAAATCACCCCCAGCATTCAAAATCATACGTGCAAGATCAGACTCCAAATCAATTATTGAGGGGCTCAGGGCTGAATAGAAGGCAATCTCCATTCAGATGTTGATCCATCGCTGTCGACCTTGCAAGTTAAGCCACGTCCATTGTTCTACTACCAAACCATCAATGATAACAAAGTCCACTCGCAGGACTGTGTTAGCTCAGTTCAGTGCAAAACTCGAACAAGCAGGCCAATATGATCCGCTTGGTCAATACGAGACAATGTCGTGAGACATGGTTACATCAATTTCTGATCGAGATCAGGTAAGGTAGCCTTGAGCAAAGGTGAACTGAAGCGCTGCTACTTCGGCTACTAATTTTAGTGCTCCTCAAAAGTTGATGCGCATAGAATTTATGACGTCATTTGTGCCTTAGGGCTGCGGCCGCCGTGAATATTCGCGGGTATGCACAAGGCCGGGTAATTTGATGTGCCGGGAGAGAAAAGGGTGGGATGCAACATACTCATAGTAATATATAATCTGAAGCTGCAATTCTGTGGAATAATGGGAGACTGGAAAAGAAATCCGCGCATTTGAGGTGTTGTCGGTTCAATGCCCTCAATCGACAGTTCAATGGGTAATCCACCGCGAACGCCTCCCGCGCCGATCTCGATCTCGATAGCGGCGATGATGATGTTGCGAATATGGATACATGCATGAGCATGCGAATGGCACTTGACTCGACTTTTTTGCGTCGAAGCCGTTCACCTTGTGTGAATCTTCACAACGAATTGGGCTTCTTGGCGCTTGAATCGCCAATGATGCATGTGGCTCCGTCATTTCCTTACAGTACTGCGTACTACGTATTCAGGGGCCCGGGTCCTGGGTCCTAGAATTGAGCGAGTTTGAGATGTCTCAGTGCAGAGTCGGGACAATTTGCCACTGGTTGACGATGTACGACCTCGTTGTGGGAGGGGTTCATTCTCGCCGTGACATATGGGCATGCTGATGTGGTTGTCACTTTTATCAATGCCGCCTTTCCTCCAAGATAGCCCTCTTAGCCAATGGAACAGAACCTGGTTTCAAGTCTCTAGCAGGACAAGAAGAACAAGTGTACGCCGTACACGTTGATGTGACGGCTCGTTTAAGGACGTGACCATCCATCCTGACATCAACCCGTTCACCCGTTCAGGGTGAGCGCTCCGTCACGGAAAAAGCCGCACTGCTCCAATCGGGATACCATACCCGCGAAGAAATAAACTTTCCACAATTTATGCATGTTTCTCGGCTGGGGTCGTGAAAGTTGCAAGGCGCATAGGGTGGCTGAACATGGAGGATGAAAGTTTGGACGAACGTCCGGGGGCTTGGCGGTGATGATTGGTGTCTCGGTCGCCCGGTATGGAGGACACGATGAGGATTGACAAGACACGAATCATCATCGACTGAATAGTCTTCCAATTTCGGGCTCTTCCTGACAAGCACGTGTATTACCCGATCGTGCAAGATCTCGCTGTCTCCATTTAAGCAAGGCCCCTGCAGGGATGCCTCGTAAAGAGTTCAATCTTGCTTGTCTTGCGAGGATGCCGAGGAACTTCGGCTCGGAAGTCATGCAAAGAGTACACTGGTTTCGTTTCAGCGCCTTGGTATTCTGTCCATCTGCTGGTCAGACCATATAATGAATGATCATGAGCTAAGAGGACGTTACCTTGTATCATGGCTAATAACCAAGCTTGGTGATTCCCAGTCCCGTCCAGCCTGGCTCGATAGAACAGATCTTTTCACAGATGTCCGAAGGAGAAGCTAAGCCTTTCAAGGTTCGACATCCATGCTTACCGTTTCCACAAACAAGCTGTAGATCGTCACCCTCGAGAGGGCCCTTGATATTGGGACTCTCAACGTTGAGACAGACGCCCATGGCACATGGCATATGACATGCTGAAGATCAGTCATTCAATCTTGATAGCGCCAAAGGCATCAAAACGAAGCTCCTGGCAATCCTGATTTTATTTGAGCCCCCTCTAGACACATAGCGACTCGAGAGTGGACTTACCTCAATCTTGGATCCTATGCCAACACACTCGTCGACGGAAAATGGTAGACGGTATCGGCCAGGTGTGCCATATCTGGAGACATACCAGTACCAGTGTGAAGGTTGGGAAACAGCTTCTCACTTCATGTTATGTTTGGAGAAGGACTCTGCGAAGCAAGGCTGGTCCAGCCTTGAACGATGAGAATGGTGATGGTGACTTTATCTCAGGAGAAGATAAGCTGAGTGTTGCTTGGATTGATTTGGAAGGGATTAGCCCAGAAATACCCATGGATGGCAGACTGAGATATATCGGTCGATAAGTTAAGGCGATAAAGCTAATCTTGTCATGGGAATGGAAGCTTTGAAGAATTAAAAAAATATCGGACTACAATCGCATGCTAGCTTCCATCAAGCCCACCCATATGCTGGTCGTCAATGTATCTCAACAGCTGCCGTTTCATTTCCCGCCCGGCACATTAACACTCTAAACCCGTCACATTCATCGGCAGTCCCATCTTCTATCTTACCCGACAAAAAAAAGCAAGCACCAATTTGCTTCGATCACGCGGCCTATCCGCTGTGTACCTAATCGGGAGTTTTTCGCAGTGACACATGTCCATGCAAACCTTGCCCGCCCGGGCCGAATGCAAAGCGGGTGGACTGACATGTTGGACTGGGGCTTGAACGTGCTGAGCTGAAGAACAAGGCCGGTGAAAGTTTGCTATGAACTGTCCGTGGCTACGTTCACTGTGCACTGGTGCAGTACATATGTCGGAATTAGTAGGAATGTGGCAGGGCAAAACACGGCTGAAATTCGGAGTTGGGGTTCAACGGCCAGCTTGCAGTGAGGAAAAGCTTACGACGGCCGGCGGTCCCCCCATGTTTGCGTCCAAGCAAAACATTGAGTTTACGGGAGAAACTACACTCATACTTATTACAGTTTATGCATACTTGTCCAGTACTACATTGACAAAGTCACAATCCGGTGCAAAATCTAGATTTTGTTCAGTTGAATCTGTACCGGATATTATACATTGCACCGACTCCAGAGGGCTTTTGTGAGCAGTCTGGCTGATTCTTTTTTGAGCGGTAATTGTGACCTCATGAATATTTATCAACTTCTGGAAGCTGAATCTGGACTCTAAAATAGTAAGACCACCTTTGGCCGATGATTGTAGCGAACACGTTGGGTATAATCTTACCCGTCTCACCCCTTTATAATTGTATATCTCGAGATCTCCATTTGAGGTTGACACACGCAAACCAACGCAGATACTACCGTCCTTCAAAGCCGAAACCAAGCCGATGTCACACGCACACCGAGATACCAATCCAGAGTCAGGGCCCTTCCCGCGCCTCCGAGTAGTCATCGTGATATGACTTTTCGACTGCGTCAGGAGAGCTCAGCAATGATGAGTTTCGGATTTTTGAGGCTCGTGGTGAATCATCGGAGGACTCCGGGCAGGAAAGAGACTCTGGAAATCAAAGGGAAAAGTAGCATCCGAGTCACCCCACGACGGAACACGGCAAAAGGGCCCGGTCTTTATGAGTAACAAGAGGAAAACAGCAAACTTAATTAATGCCACGAGTTGTATTCATCTACGAATATCCTGTGCAGAGCTTAGTCTTACTAGTAGCGTTTCATGTCTAGATAGAAGAAGACAGAGAATTCTGAAGATGGCGGTTGTTGGGGGGGGGGGGATCTCAGGGGTATCGCTGTTTTTCAAGATATTGTCACTTATTCTGAGTGAGTAGTAGTAAGACTAAGTACTAAGTACTTAGTACTAACCTAGGTAGTACCTAGTCGAAAGACCCACATAAGGACAGACCTCACTTTCTTACTATTGCTGATCCTCCGACAGTACTGATGTGTTTTGAAGGCTTCCATGCGTGGCATAAAACCGGTGATCAAATCCTTGTATAACTTTTGATGCCTTTTATTGAGGGGAGGATGTATTGCTGGTTGATTGATGGGCTCAGTCAATCCAGGTCTTCACTGAATTTTGTTACTGACTCTTGGGAACATACCTGAAGCAATAGTGGTACTTTGCTACTTTGTAATTTTACCTTGGGAATTGGTTAGGTAGTGACTTGTAATATTTGGACAAGGTAATAAACATGTCCGATGCATCTTGCTCAACATTCTGTGTACTTAGCATTAATGCGGAATAAGGTCATGGTCCCTCAGGCCGGTAGCTATAGCCATGGTCCATCCCATGGATCAGTCTGTTCTGAATTTTCAAGGGCCTTCTTTTCCAAGTTAGGGCATATCCACTCATAGTGATAATCGACAAGAAATTGGAAGTGACACTAAAGAGACATGAAAATGGCAGTCTGTTTGCCTTATGAAACTGGTAGCTCCACCCAATCTGGTTAGACCCTGCAGAGATCGACGCCAAATTCAATGGCCTTTGATTAGAGGATCCTGCTTCATGCATGTCACAATTTTCGCTAAACCAGGTTCGTGTTACCGCTTCTGGTGGCACGCATCCAGCATGACCAGCAGATGTGAATTGCTGCGTCGGCCTGTCTCAAGGTTCAGGGATTTCGGACGCAGAATTGGCCAAATTTGGATAATCTCCGTGACCTAGAGAGCGCTTGCCTACTGTACCGCCTTCTATTGCCTCGTTGACTGATTGAAAGATGACATGGCCAATCAGAAGTGAGCCATTTGTAAACAGTCAAATAAGACCGGTGGAATGACATGCAAGAGATAGGGTCTCTCATATCATTAAGGGTCTACCGATAACAGCTAGTTACAAGTTTCCACGCAGCATGTCCTACAGTAGGGAAGCCGTTGTCTTGGGGGTAAGAGTATCGGATCCGAGACTCGGCCGGGAGGAAGGTGGAGGCTTGGCCAAGCAACGTGACCAGCTGTCAACCCGTTTTTGGTACTAGTCCCATCATAACGCTCAAACTCAACCTGGAAGTACCCCCAAGTAGAGTGGTACGGGAGTATGCGAGTCACTTTTTTCGTGTCCAGGCCTTCCACTCGACTTTACTGAGAGGTACTTGCTCTGCTTCAGTGACTTCTGAGACAGCAGCCCCGGTCCAGGCCAGTTCGTTCTCTGCGCATTTAGTTCGGCCCCACTCTTTGTTCCGCTGGTGCGTCCCCCAAACGGCTTCTGTGCTCACCCTACTGCATTTCCACCGTCATCACTACTCGCGGTCCGCATTCTCAATTTCCACTGGTAGTCTGGATAGCCCGTTTCAATAGAGCGCCCAGGCCATACTGATGGCTTATGTTCGTGTATTGACAAGACCACGGTGAATATTCGGAGTCTGGTCTCAATTAAGATCACATCTGCGCACCTCGGGGAGATCTTTTGTCGGAGCCGGCCGTGAGCTCCCGATGTCTATCAGACCTTTCCTGTTTAACGTGCCTCGAAGACCTAAGGTGATCTCGGCTCGATAGTACCGAACGAATCACCTGGATGTATCATCGCTATTTCATCCTCAACGGGTCAAACATGGACTCGGTCGTGAAGGGGTGGCTTGAAATCTATCGCATCCGGAGGACAGATCGGTAGACTAGTACACATTCGCCATCTTACCGTCAAGCCTTTGGCTGGATTGTATGAGTGTTGAGTGTAGTCAGGGACTCAGTGTACATCTCGCCAGAATACCGCATTTAATACTATTCATATTGTATACTATTACAATGTATAGTATATACACTGTGTACTGTAAGACCGTATGTGCAATTGCACTGTTGAAGCTGGAGATACCCGCCTTTGACTCTATGCAAATGTATCGCGAGCATAAAACATGATCCGGAAACACGCGAACCCTCTCCATGTATCGCTCGTACAACTGGCCCCGTGTAGTTCTGGTCTCCATCCGGTGATTGACTCATTGAGTCTTCAGGTTGAATCTCTCAATGGTCCTCCGTCCCACCTGTCAGGTGCGGGTATTCCAGCCGAGAACGTCCACAACGGGTATCCAGTATGAACCCCATCGTCATCCCGGGTCCGGCCCCTCCCTTGGACGTGCTTTGGTGCTTTCGAGTCTGCAGCTGGACTTTGTTCCACGGATTCCCGGATTTTATATAACGGCCTTGGTCCGGCCGAGACCCAAAGTCACCTGTTTTTTTCTCTCTATATTCCATGGTTTGATTCCCAAACACAGCCTCCTCTTTCCATCAATATTTGCCTCCGCTCACGGTCACAACCTATATAAACTTGCCTACCCCACACATTGACGAACTCGGTTCGCTGGCCACCCATTGACAAAGCCCCTCCCCACCCCAGACAGGTGGCTCCCCCCAGCTCAGTCAAAGCTTCGAAGCTTCACAGAGCGAGCATTGGTTGCCAGCTGGCGTGATCGGATCAGATCTTGACCGAGGTTCTTGTCATTCCAACTGCAATCTCCTGTCGCAACCGCATCTCACAGTCGACTGGACACCTCGAATCTCTCGATCCTCAAAACTTGACAATGGCTTTTGATCGCAAACCCTTTGCTGCCACCATGTCGCAAGAGGACGAACAATACTTCAATCAGACATTGAGTCCGGAAATGAGTCCGCACTCACGCCCAATGGACTACTTTCCCTTCACCAAAGAGTCTCAAGATTTCCCGGCCAATTGGGCCTACGACGGCACCATGGACATGTTTCCCCTGGACCCGGTCGACATGAACGTTCTTGGATTTCCCGAATATGTCGACGGCGTCAACGATGTTGAGTCAAAGGGTCTCTTCATGGATCCGTTCAACGCCTCCACGGCCATTGGGGGACTGAGCATGCCCACGGCGGATGACGCTCATTCTATTTCTTCGGTATGAGCACCTGACTTGGTCAGATGACCATCCCGACGCACAGCAGACTAACACCTACCCTCAGGAATTTGAAAGCGACGATCAATCATGGTCGTTCAGCGCACGACCATCTGTCGACATGACCGCCGCATCAATATCTTCCACCACCTCGCCAGACACTGTACCAAAACCATTCACTCGCTCCTCCGTCAACAGTGCCAACTCCACCAGCCCCTCCGCCTCCACACGATCTTCCTCCAGTCCCGAGATCAAGCCCCAAGAGTACAAAGTCTCGCGCATTGAGAAGCGTCGGAAGCCTCGCAGCGTCGGTACTGGCGAGGCCGAGATGACCGCCCCCATCTCAGAATCAACCCCTGCCTCGGCCAAGGATCCCCAAAATCGCAACGCCGCCAAGCGCGCCGCTCACAATATCATCGAGAAGCGTTACCGAACAAATATGAACGCCAAATTTCTTGCCTTGGAACAAGCAATTTCCACCTCGAGCGTGCAAAAGTCCTCTCGAGCGAGTGCCGGTGCGGCATCAACCGCTAGCGCTGGCTCGTTGAAAAAGTCCGAGATTCTCAGCAATGCTCTGGCCTACATTGAGCGCATTCAGCAGGAGAACCTCGCCGCACAAAAAGAATTGGCATTGCTGAAAGAGGGTCTCGTCGCTGGCGGGATGTGGAGGTCCACCAAACAAGGTCGATCGTGACGAGAGCCACCATGCCTCTGTTCTTTTTCCTCTTTTTATGGTCTATTTTCCTTTTCTATCCACCGCCGTGCGCTCTTGCCGCCGCCTTCTACTTCAACAATATGACACCATTCACAAAGTCTCGATCTGGTGCAGCCTCATTTCTCGTTCATGGGATCTGTTGCGTCCCTTGCCGGTCATGGCACGGCTCGATGAGAACAATAATAAACGCCTTCATGATTCTGCGCTTGCATTGTTACAACTACATGATAACACCACCCTTTATTGCATCATTATCATCATCATTATCATTATCGCCTCGGTCTTTGACGGTCGTGGAGGACTCGAATCTGTGGGCTTGTCACGGCGTACCGGGAAAAAGGGAGTGAGAATACTAACGACTCGGCGTTTTGGCTCCTCATTGGTTGCTTTGTCATTGCCAGCTTCGGCCTCAAAATACTCTCCCATCACCATTCTCATTATCACATGTCATCGTTGTCATTATCAATATCGTCCTCGTGGTCTTCGTCCCGGTTGGCATCGATCTGGTCATCACGTACAATCTACGACTTGATGTTCTCGCTCTCTTACCCTGCTCCACCTGACTACCATCGTAGTCCCTAATCCCGATACCCTGTTATCGATATATGTCAGATTTGATCTACTTTATGCTACAATGTCTATAAAGTTTTGTCAGAACTTGTAGTGAGAATGGAAAAGAATGTCTGCTTACTTCCACTTGCAATTATCAAACGGGCACCTTACCATGAGCTCCAAAATCTCGACTTGGTACGGCAAGTGCCTACTCCCGATAGATTGTATTGTGATAATCTCTTGTCTTCGGTCCATGTGTTCAAGCAACTCCTCGGAGCACCGAACCTGGCTTCGAGTGAAATTAGCCTGCCTGGCTGGATCTGCCTGTACCATATGGAGTCGTACATATTAGTGAAGGGACTAGTGGTCACTGGGCACTGAGGAGGCTAGGTGAAAAGCGGGTGCTTTCAACACGGTTCCAGGAGATATATTCCTTTGACCATGGCGGGCAGCGCCCGCTCGCCGGTGGTATGCATCCAAGTGGCGCGAACACCACCTCCAAACCCAAGCATGCATCGCACCGTATCTGCTCCTCCATACTTTGTGTCGAAAATTCTAAGTGGGCCTGAAACATGCTTTGTGAACGGCATCAACTGACCTCGACCAATATCAACTGAAGAGAATCATAATCACCCGGGCATGGAGTCCCGGCGGTGAGCGACTTCTGAATTGAGTTATATATATATAGTCAGAGACTCAAGCATCGCCAATCACCGAGTGGTCGAGCAGTAACTCGGTCGTCGCATCTTCCTTGGTCTAGTGGTCATGATTTCCGCTTGTCACTGAATCTGATAAGCGCGGGAGACCGGGGTTCGATTCCCCGAGGGAGAGTATCTTTTTGAATTCACAACATGCAGCACGGTGTTTAGATCGAGAATAGGGGAAATCTACTTTTTTGATGTTCAATTCTGGTTCCTGGTGGTGAATTCATTTCTCCTTATATGTCCAGTAAATGGTTTAGGTTGGCTCAGTGTGTGAGTACTTGGACTATTTGGGATCATTAATTGGGGAGATTATTCGCAGTCACCGCGACGGCGCGGGTCGCCATGTGTGGCGATGTTGGCGCATCACAAGTGATTCTCAGTAAAACGATCTCTTCCTATAATTGTTGTTCAATTGGAAGCAAACCCGGCGACATTGTGTTTGATGACTGAAGTTTGAATGATCTCGACATCACACGTGGCTCCACTGCCATCATGCCATGTGCTCAGTCACATCAGTTCGTGTCTAGCGTCTCTCTCCACATCAATTAGCTCGACGGCCTCCCTGATGCTACGATCAGCTATAAAAAAAGCACTTGACTGTTCACGAGCCCACAGCCGCCCGTGCAGCCAGAAGAAGGCGCGAGATTTGGTAGCGAACACAATGACGCCTTCCCCATTCAACGAACATGTTCCACGGTATCAAAGCAACTCGGAAATGGCGAACATCTGGATGTTTGACAGCTCGACGGTGCAAATTCACCGAGACATTATCTGTTCAAAAAAGCACTGAGTGTATATCTCACTCAGGTTATCGATCTTTGTCTGCCACATTTCAAATATCATGCTGGCTGGCATCGCCCATCTGCTGAAATGCACGTCTCAAGCTGGTTGATCTTTCGGGTCCTCATTGACTGGCGCTGTCAAGCCCCTTTCTGCCATGCGGAGGCTTGGAGTAGAATACTGAAACGAACATGTTTTTGGTGAAACACCGAATTTTTGATTCATCAGCAATGTCAGTCATCAGCAGTGTCATTGGCGTTGAGAAATCAGAGCAGAAAAGCTGGCAGGGAATCCCGCACGAAGCTCCGACTGCTAATCTTTCCAATGACCAGGCATAGAGCAACAGACTCTGAGACGATCTATACGCAGTGAAAGAGCGGATTGCTGATTTATCAGGTGCATCGTACTCGTTGACAGTTGAAACCACCCTCTAATCCAAAGCCCGCTTGCCGATATCGCTCCCACCACGCAGGAACGGGTGGGTGTGCTTGGACTTTCCCCATTGAGATATTGCTAGGACCTGCACCGTACCCGAGAGTCCCGTCCCGAGAAAAGGTTCACGGTTCTAAAATGACTTATGGTTATCACGCAACGAATGCGCTGAAGAAGCATCACTCAAGTCACTGACACTTGTTCGGAACAAATCGTGACGTTGACCCCCTCAATGAAGACAACAAGAGCGGCGTCGCCCTTTGCCGCCTTACCGAGATTCAACCTGTCCAGACTTGTCGATTAGAACCCAGCCAAGAATGAAAGCCCTCTCTCAAAGAAGAAGGAACAAGCAGAGCTATCTCAAGACCGAGCGGCGACCTTCACCAATCGCATGCTCCGCCCAGACACACGATGATCTTGGCTTGACAGTATCATCAATCGAATCTGGTTAGCTCACTCCCTGGCTGTCAACGCCGCCCCCGTGATACTGCACAGGAACAAACTTACGCTAAAGATAGTCCGTCGTAGCCACGGTGAACAAAAGTTTGGAGCTGATCTCATTGCAGTTGCACTAGCAAAGTGGAGACCATGTCGGCTGGAATCGAAGAGCAGGTCTCCATTTCCCCGGATTATGTCGGGAAAACCCTCTGATGGATTATACCAAAGCGTCCGTGTTACAATGGTTGAGCCCAAATATGTGCTACCTGTCATTTAGCATCGACTGGCTTCCCCAGCTAGGTGCATGACCGTCCTGGCGGGTCGAATGCTTTCCCCGGATTATGATCAGCCACACAGTCCGTGGCTAGCCTTGCGTTCCCTTCTTGTCTTTGATGATTCTCAGTGGATTTTTCCAAGTCCAGACTGACAGTCTTGCTCCGACTGTTCGTCGGCTGCTTGAATTGGGCAGAAATGAGACCTCCGTGGGTCCCTGCGAATGAACAGTGCTGGCAGTGTGAGATACGATTTACCTGCATTAGAGCTGATCTCGGGGAATATGCCAGTCGACGGCGTCTCAACTCCACGAGCGATCTTTCATATCCTTGCGAGATAGAGGGCGTACATCCCGATGCAATGATATGGTTATCATGCCGGATGTTGACTGCTTTCACATCACTGTTTATGATAATTTCTTCAAGACTATGGGCAATTCGCGCAGTCCCTGCGATAGGCAATTCGTTATCAGTCAGTCCACGGCCATCGCATGGACTTTCCTCATTGGGCGTGGCAAGGACCCCCTCGGCAACGCGCGCCCGTACCCGTGTTACCCCAGTGTGCCACACGGTGTATTAAGAATCAGCCGTCGTTCAATCTGACTCGCCCGTGATCAGATCGTGGGTTTGATAGCGGGCGGAAAAGGTTGTTTTCCTGGCGTATAGCAGGAGCCAAAGGAGCCTTCTGATGGGGTTCACAACACACATCGAGCCGGCGTCTCTTGGCGCGCTTCGAAAGGGGTCGGCGTCGGCAACCGCATGCCTACACGTTCTGCATGGTTTCCCTCATAGGGATCCCTGTCTACATCGTCATGCACTCATCAGCATCCACAGATAGCTATGCAGTAGTGATTGCTCGACTTCAATTCTGCATATCTCTAATGGCGATGAATCGTCCATTCTCGACCGTACGTCTTATCAAAGTGGAGATCGGAACATCAACAATGGTTCGCTCAAAGTCCAACTCAGGCCGAATAGGGTCCTCAAATGGCTCACAAGAGCAAGTCCATCCGAAGGCGGAACACCTTTTCCCCCGCAAGAAAAATTCCACTCGACAAGGGATCAGCGACTCTATGACCAACGACTGCTTCGGACATGACCAATATCCATTAATTCACATTAGTGAACCCCGTCGGCTCGTTTGAGAGATATCATCCTTATTGGTTCTCCATATTTCGCAACTTTATCTGTCCTGTGCCCCATACTCTCATCCCCGGAGGCGGAGGCGCTACTGGACAGTGAAAGATACTGTGAGATTATTGACATCGAGACTTGATACCCGCAGATTAGGGCGCAGATTGGCACTGGACCAAGGCCTGTTTCTCTCATTATTAGGCTTTCCTAGTCAAGGTTCCACCCCCATTGAACGGTTCAACACCGACAAGCGCCCAAAACTCTCGCGGCAAACAGGCAGAAACCGCCAAAGAAAAGAGGGGAAAGGCTGGCTATCTCGCTGAAGCCCTCTCTCCTTGCAGTTTGCAAAAGCTTTATAGACACACAGCTCAGTCCGCCCAAAGGACTATCTAGACTGTTGCTTCCTCATTTTTAAATCGGCCTCGTTGTCGGAAAATGTGCCCACGTCTCTCTCAATTGCACCGCAACTCGACTATCACCGGCTGAAGAAGAACTACCAAGTTATGGACGTGGAATCAAATCAACTTCCCCTCAAAGTACCTCTCGAAGACGACCAGGATGTGCAGGATGCCACCGATTTGGCAGGCATGGGTCATGCCCAGGCACTGACCCGCAAGTTCAATATCTGGAGCATGTTTGCTCTTGCATTTTGCGTTCTCGGTAGGTCATTGCCAACGGGACCCCCTGACTCAGACTGGGCCAACATCATTGAGAGGAGTGATACATGGCCGGAATTGGCAGATTGGTGTATTCTCAAACTCTTCTCACTCTCTTACTCATACGTTTTCTTTTTCAAACCAACAGGAACCTATTCAACTTTCGCTCAAGATCTCAGCAGCGGCCTGAGTAATGGCGGTCCAATCAGTATTCTCTGGGGTCTGGTGCTGGTCACCATATGCAATCTGTGTGTGGCAGTTTCCCTGGGTGAATTGACCAGCAGCATGCCGACGGCTCTCGGTCAAGCTTACTGGGTATACCGTCTGTGGAAGACTCCTACGGGTCGGTTCTGCTCCTACATGTGTGCCTGGATCAACACATTTGGCTGGTGGACACTCACCGCATCCCAAGTGGCATTCATGACTGATTTCATCTTGGGCATGAAGAACCTTTTCAATCCCGACTGGACAGGAAATAACCAAGGATGGCTTCAATTCGTTGTTTACATCGGCATTGTCTTTCTTTTGACACTGGTCAATGTGGTCAGCTGTCGCCGTGAACAGATCCTCCCTTGGATCAACAACTTTGTGGGTGTTTGGTTTGTCGGGCTGTTCATCGTCTTGTCCATGACCATTCTCATCTGTGTTGGTGTCAAGGCCGATCTTCACTTCCAATCGGCTAAATTCGTATTTGGAGCCTGGATCAACCAGACGGGTTGGAGCGATGGGGTTACCTGGTTTATAGGTCTCGTCCAGGCTGCATATGGGTTGACCGCGTTCGACTCTGTCATTCACATGGTAGAAGAGATTCCGAACCCTCGCCGCAACGTGCCACGCGTTATTTGGATGGCCGTCCTTTCCGGAGCTATCTCTGGCTTCATCTTCATGGTCGTCTGTCTTTTCGCTATTCAAAGCGTCGACAATGTGACCGGCGCAAACATCCCCTTCATGGAACTTATCCTGGAGACCGTAGGTGCAAAGGGAGGCGCCGTCCTCCTCGCCTTCTTCATCTTCAACGGTCTCGGCCAGGGAATCAGTTGTTTGACTACCGCCTCACGTTTGACCTGGGGCTTCGCCCGCGATGGCGGCCTTCCTTTCAGCTCATATTTCAGCCACATCGACCCAGTCTGGCAAGTTCCCGCTCGAGCTCTTTGGGCTCAAGGTGTCATCATTGCCATTGTCGGCGTACTCTACCTCTTCGCCAATGCGGTCCTTACTGCCATTCTATCCGTCAGCACAATCGCGCTTACAATTTCCTACGCAATGCCCATTGTAGCCCTACTCGTGGCCGGACGCGACAACCTTCCCGCCGGGGGATCCGCAGGTCTCGGCCGCTTCGGTCCGTGGGCCAACTGGATCAGTATTGTGTATTGCGTGATCACCTCGATTTTCTTCCTGTTCCCCGGCAGCCCGAACCCGGCCCCCAGTGACATGAACTACGCCATTGCGGTGTTTGGAGTGATGCTCGTGATTGCCATTGCATTCTGGTTCATTCGGGGTAGTCGCAGGTATCTTCAGACCGAGGATGCTATTGCGCAGATGTACTATGCCCAGCATCTCGAGCATGCCGAGTCTACTGCTGAGCCTCGATCTGATGCCGATTCCAAGTGAGACTTTTCTTTATTGGTCTGTCTGATCAGTTCGCTATTGATCTTGTTGATTGAAGGGTTTTCAAGGCCGAGGAAACTTTTGCTGTACCTGCGCCAAGGTGAAGTCTCGCTTTATGGTGATGGGAGTAGTGCCGAGTGATCCGGAAAAGTCATGTTCTGTATATACCGAGTGACCTCCGCACTAGAGTTGGGTCTGTAAATACTGTTCTGTTGCTGTACACAATGAAAGACGATGAATAGTCTACAGTCTACAGTCTACAATCGTCGTATGTTCAGAGGTACTTTCCACATGACTCCATTTCTCCGCAATCAGCATGAGGCAACCCACCCACTTGCATCAAATACCCATCGCTCAACTATATCTCCATCCGATCAACCACTTTGGACAAACAAGGTCCCCATGACACAAAGTTTCAATATGTGCATCAACATGTGCACCAGAAGCCCAGTGCGTGGTGAGATGACCCGACGCAGCAAGAACCTCGAGCCTTCCGCACCGCACCCTCCATGTGAGTCCTTCGACATTCCCTTCATCAACCTTATCAAGCGCCTCCTGGGCTCATGTCTGCACGGTGCCTCACGAACGACGACTCGACTGAGCAGATCATGAGCAGATCATGAGCAGTACGACCATCAAGTGATGCGATTTGAGCGTCTCCAGACTCATATCCACTGACCGTCATCGACGAGAGTATCTCTGATCAATGTACTAAGTTGGACGATCTGACCAGGCTGCGGCTGATCTTTAAGCAGCAACATCACGGCAAGCACTCGGGTTCCGCAGAACCTTCAAAGGCTCCCCAGGCTGAGCGTCGCCCGCTTCGCGCGGCTTCGCGCTGAGCTGCAACGGCCTCAGTGACTCTTGAACCGCCATGCCTTTCTGTCAACCGTTCTCAACGAGAGCCAGGCCACTACAATGGCCTGCTGGTATTTCGGAGCAGTTTGAAGTTCGTGTTGAATGACCCGACGGAGTGTCTGCTGAGTCAAAGACTCGGTGAACTAAGGCAACAAAATGCCATTATTTGTCTGGGCAGATGCAGAATCTGGAGTGGTTGATTGATTGGTCCAGCTTGGAGAGTGAATGTTTGGGGATCGTTGTGATGTTTTTGCTGTTATGGACGTCCATTGAAGGATGTCACACATATAGGTCTATGCTTCGATCAGTCCGAGCCCATTGTGTCAATCTATTTCATTGACCTTCGCTGACGATCCCTGTCCATTTTACCCTGGAGTATACATGGATCGTTAAAGTGGAATGGATCTGGAAGCAAGAGTCTTATGAGAAGATTCGGTACACATGAAGTGTGAATTGATCATTGGAAGAGCTACAGCCTGGTACTTGACAGGGTTGGTTCTACAAGGCATCAGAATGAATTGAAGAAGTCAGCAGGGATGTAGAATATTGGACGTACCTCAAGTTATCATCACCCAAATGAAGCTGTGAGCCTGGAGCTCGTCCGAGTGTGTTTGACAAAATGTGTGACATGCAATGGGACCATCGAGAAATCTCCTCAAAGGCGTCTTCGATGAAGGCTTGTGTATTCTGACAGATGAAAGGCAGACTGACGGTTTTGCGGAGGTGATGTCGTACATGCACGAGTCATGTGCTTCCACTGTAGAGGCCCCCGTTACCAAGCTGGTGGTCTCGTGATCATTACAATATCGGACAATTGGATCCAATCTCACCAGCTCCAATTCACATCACCGCCGTCGTTTGAAGAGTCATATCCATTACTCCATCAATTCCCTTCAATCTCCGATGATCAATTCCAGGGACTATCCGCTCCATCGGCTCTCGGATCCATTGAATATTCCGCTTGCAGAGTGGCCCCCGCATGCATTGTGACCTTTTGAGCTCTGCACGTAGGAGAGCACCGTTGAACAAGATTACCTGCAGCAAGCCGTCGGACGCAGCAGCGATGCAGAACCCAAGTGCGGTACTGCCCCGCCCAGAGACTGTTTCTAGACGGCGAGACGCACTTCCCCGGACCGAAGTCCCAGAGCGGCTAGTGAACGCACTACTCCGTGAGTCCATGCCCCATCTGAACGGTGGCAAAGCCGAAGATACGATAGAGTATAGACACCAGACAGCATGCTAAGATGGGTCTAGCCTGCAAGGTGAAAATCCGACCACCTTCCTGTTCTGGAAAAAAGGGATAGGACATCGAGAAGATCTCAAGATCTTGAAGTGCCACGCCGAATGATTACGCCTTCGAATTTGACACTCGATGTGGACTCTGAACTCTCGGCAGATGATTGTTATCGCTCTGATCAATTAAGTTGAGCACATGCAGGGATTATCCCGCCGGTCTCCGAGCTTGTTGAATTATACGCACGTAAGCGAAAGCTTCCTGAGTGCGGCAATCGGTTCCTTAATGGGGGTTCCGGGGGTGTGTATGGCCTTGATTCTTGACTGATCCTGAATCACTGATGCCGGCCACAGTCGCGATCTGTCGGAATCGATGCAAAGGTGGTCTTCCTGAGCTTCAACGCGACGCGCTTCTATGAACCCAGGTCGTTCGCGAGAGGGTGGATTGACAAGAAAGGTCAACACAAGCTCGAATCTGACCCAGTCCGACCGGAACGCTCCTCGCAAGCATCAAAAGTCCAAGGTAACCTGCAGCATGCACGAGCAATGGACTTCTGCTGACCGACCTTGTACATGTACAACTGAGGCAATTATCGTGAATTGCCTCTCCTCGGTACTCCGTTTCCTAAGTGGCTTGAATGGCAGACCTGCTACCACTTCTGTGAGTGCGTATCTCCAACAATCATGGGGCTACTTGCTTATCTCCGAGCCATCTTTCCACGATTTGGCTTTGCTCATAGCAAGTGGGAATGCACCAAGACTCGGTTGGCCATCTTCTCGGATCATGACTGGCTCGACTACGGTGCCAAGCAGCAGTCAGTCTTGGCAATGAAAGGTCCGCTGGGGCCGCTCACGTGTGATTGGATCAGCTGATTTGCGAGGTCAAAGGCATTGTCTCTGGTCGTGAGGAGAGATTTCCCATTCTCCTCATGCAGGGTCGTAAGTTGAGGAAAGCAGAGATGAAGATCACTCGGAGAAAGAGACGAGGGACCCATCGATCGCTTTTGGCTGGTGACACCAAGCCTTTCAGGAACAGAACATGCGATTGAGCTGTCCGCCTCTACTCAAGGTGGTCCTCTCATTGCTGGCCAGCCACTTCTGGACGCAGCCGCCCGGTTGCTGACCTTCTTTCCCCCTCCTTGTGCCCTGAGGAATCTTCGCTGTGTGTTCGGATGGAATCTTTCTGACTGGCTGAGAGCCTAGAGGCGCAGCGAGTGGCCAGGCGGATGGGTCCGTCCCTGCCGATCATCCCAAACGCCTTCGGCATCCGAGGGTTGAAGCCAATCATTGCCAAAGTGGGGAGCTGCAGCGCGACAGTGAACAACAACAGAAAGGGACGCCGGCAATCGGCGAGTGATTGTTGTCTCACCCAAGAGTTCGATTTGGCAATCAATTCTGCAGGCAAATGATATTGTCTGCAGAAAGAGCGCGATACTCTCCTATTCGTGGTCCATCTATCCGCGGATTTTCCTCTTTCCCCGATCCGCGATTCCACTTCCCACCAGCCAAAAAGGGCCAGGTTCTGCTGCTTTGGGGAGTGCCTATTGTTCACCATGCGGCAGGACCTGCAGCAAATACCTGCGAGGCACAGCACTGTAATATACAATGTGCTACTGTATAGCGTATGGCATCCGAAAGGAATAGGTCGCAGGCCCACCCGATCTATCTACTGGCTTGTGTGGAGATGACCCCAGGGGCCCTGAAGAAGGATGCCTCTTTCGTGGCCCGACGGGCATCCGCGTTTATCAATATCCACCGAGGCGCCTCCGATCACACTCTGCACGGCCAAGAAGAGGAGGCCCGGCTGGGCAGTGGAGAGTCAGTGGCCTTGACTCGAAGCTTGCCAGATTGGCCAGTCTTGGCCCGGCGGGGAATGGCTTTTCAGGTGGAAGTCAACGTGCAACAACAGTAAGAGTTGACTAAAGATACACGCGACCGATAAAGAGACATCGGACGATTGGAGAGTCTAATCACCTCGTAGGCTCTTACAATAGAGTGGAAGCGTGACTCTGCCAGGGCATTCCACACTCATGCGTCACTTCATTCTCACGACGGGCTTCCCGCCCCGCCCAACATGCATTGCATCCAGAAGGAGAAATATCCAAAAAAAAAAACAAACACCAAATTAATTCAATTATTGAATCACAATTAGGACTGTACACGACAGACACGGGTCTCAGACCCTCCTCCGCATCTCAACTCCATTCCCAGCTGACTTTACTCGGATTATCCCCCCACCCCTTGATGGAGCTATTTAACCAGGCGTGTCCCTCCTCTAGTGCATTGAATTTTGGATTCTCCAAGCAAGACCGGTTGGGTGAATTCTGTGTCCCTCCAGCTCCAAGTTAAGAGGCCTTGACTCCAATCATGCATGTTCCTCTTTTGAACCAAGGCGCTCTGTCGCTGGCCGTGATTTCACTGCTGGCCTCGACAGTCTCGGCTGAAGTTTTCGACAAGCTCGTCGCCGTTCCGGAAGGTAAACAATGTTCCTTTTTGGGATCATCCTGCAAAAACCCTCCCTTTCTCTCCCGTACATGGCGTGGCAGAAAAAAAACTGACTCGTCCAATTATTTATCTATAGGATGGCGATTCTCCCGCACTCCTCGTGGAGACCAACCCATCAAGTTGCAGGTGGCCCTCACCCAGGGTGACCCTGCCGGCTTCGAACAGGCCGTGTTGGACATGTCGACCCCCGATCACCCCAACTATGGCAAACACTTCAAGTCCCACGAAGAGGTTAAGCGCATGCTGCAGCCTCGGGGTGAGTCGGTGGAGGCCGTTCACCAGTGGCTTGAGAAGGCTGGCATCACCCACATCCAACAAGATGCGGATTGGATGACCTTCTACACCACGGTCGACAAGGCCAACAGCCTCCTGGAGGCTAACTTCCAGTACTACCAGAATGTGAACAAGCCGGCCGAGCGTCTGCGCACGCTGGAGTACTCCGTCCCCGACGAACTGGTCTCCCACGTCAACCTGGTCACCCCAACCACCCGCTTCGGCCAGTTGCACGCTGACGATATCACCATGCACGGCAAGTCTCTGATCGTCGATGAGGATTTCCGTCAAGCGGCCAACCCAGCCAGTAGTGACTGCAACAGTGCCGTCACCCCTCAGTGTCTCAAGGACCTGTACAAGGTCGGCGACTACAAGGCCAGTGCCTCTATTGGCAACAAAGTGGCTTTCACTAGCTATCTGGAGCAGTACGCTCGCTATGCGGACCTTGCTCTCTTCGAGAAGAACCTTGCTCCCTATGCCGAGGGCCAGAACTTCACCGTGATTGAATACCACGGTGGTTTGAATGACCAGAGCTCCCCCAAGGACAGCAGCGAGGCCAACCTGGACCTGCAGACCATCATCGGGCTAAGCTCTCCTGTCCCCGTCACTGAGTTCAGCACCGGTGGTCGTGGCCCCCTGGTCCCTGATCTGGACCAGCCTGATATCAACGACAACAACAACGAGCCCTACCTGGACTTTTTGCAGAATGTCGTCAAGATGAGCGACAAGGAGCTGCCCCAAGTCATCTCTACCTCCTACGGTGAAGATGAGCAGAGCGTCCCTGCAAGCTACGCCCGTACCGTCTGTAACCTCATTGCCCAGCTCGGTGGCCGTGGTGTCTCCGTCATTTTCTCGTCTGGTGACTCCGGTGTTGGTTCTGCTTGCCAGACCAATGATGGCAAGAACACCACTCGCTTCCCCGCCCAGTTCCCCGCCGCCTGCCCCTGGGTGACCTCAGTCGGTGCCACCACCGGCGTTGCCCCCGAACGCGGCGTGTTCTTCTCCTCCGGTGGTTTCTCCGACCTCTGGGAACGTCCCTCGTGGCAGAGCCACGCCGTGAAGGCCTACCTCCACAAGCTCGGCAAGGTCCAGGCCGGTCTCTTCAACCGCGAGGGCCGTGCTTTCCCCGACGTCTCTGCTCAGGGTCAATCCTACGCCATCTACTCTGGCGGTCGTCTGGGCAAGGTTTCTGGTACTTCTTGCTCTGCGCCCGCTTTCGCTGGTCTCGTTGCTCTGCTCAACGATGCCCGCATCAAGGCCGGCAAGTCCACCCTGGGCTTCTTGAACCCCTGGTTGTACAAGCACCCCGACACCCTGAACGACATCACTGAGGGTGGAAGCACCGGCTGTGACGGCAATGCCCGTTTCGGCGGTAGTCCCAACGGCAGTCCCATTGTTCCATACGCTAGCTGGAACGCTACCAAGGGCTGGGACCCCGTCACCGGTCTTGGTACTCCTAACTTTGAGAAGCTGCTCAAATCTGCTGTGAAGCAGAAGTAAATGGGGTGATCACTCGAAGATCAAGAATCCTGTTGCAACCACGACTTGATGATCAAATTCTCCGTATCTAATCACGATCAGTATCTGCGAGGAAGGTACACAACCTGCTGCCTATTCTTTTTTGAGAGTGGACCGGGCCTCCCATACATCAATTGTACATAGAATGGGTGAAAATTGCCCAGACTGAATTAAGATACATAGTCCAATGAAATCACTGAAATGATCATGACACTTATATCTGAGCTGCTAGAAGAAAGGAGGCATCTCCAGATTCAAATCTGAAATCGGCTCTGCTCCGTCTAACGTCGCATGCATGTCGTCTTCGATGTGAATTGCTCATGCATGTCGTACCAAACCTCTCCCAGCTTCCAGTGGGTTTTTGGAAGCGATGGGCGTTGACGTTGAAAGTCTCGTGCGACAGAGTAAATTCATCACTGCCATCTGGTATATTAGGGCTATTTCAAGCTTGACATGCCCAATGCTGGATGGAAGCTGCGTTGAGTATCAGTGGTCAATTATAAGCAATATGACTTCAAAGAAAGAGATAAAATATAAATAGATGATAAACATAACAAGATTGTCCAGAGGATTCCCATGACCACTCGCCCGTTCGACGACGCATACCTCCTCGATCTCTCTTCCCTCGCGAGACTTCCATCCTGATGAAGAACGCAGCATCATTCCCTCAAGCTACTTCAATCACCTCCATGTCCCACTCACACTATCCTTTAGCCCTACACAGCCCGTCGGAACGGTATGACTACGATTGGGATCACTCTCCCACACCACAATGCCATCACTCTTCTTTCAAATAAACTTATACCGGAAACTCAATTCAGCAGGGAGATTGACCGTGGATGTCCATAGCTGACTGGAAGACGTGTAGTCGTTGGCGGAGAGCGCGATCGCAGAGGAAGGAGACCTTGAACCGAGTTGGCTGGTTGAGCCGACACGGTAGATGTTTTCGCCGTAGACGGCGATGGCGACTTCGTTGAATGTTGCTGGTACGGTGGTGGCGGATGTGCAGGGGACATTAGTACAGTACTACGGTGCTTACTAAGAGCGTGACTCAATGTGCCTATTCCAAAGCATGTTCAACACCATGCCTCCGAGTCAAGATCAGCAAGGTATCCCATTAATTCCTGATACAAAGATCAAGCCGATGAGATTCGATGCTTTCGTCTACGGACATGGAATTTATATCCTGGGATTGAATTGAGTTGAGCATGGCAACTTGAGATTGACGGTCTCGATAGGCGTAGTACGACTAGTCATGGCTTTTGGCCCCTGGCGTGATGATCTTCTTGAAAGACTGATAGACATTACAGGTTCTACACGAAGGAGGGACCGTGATTCAGTCTGATGTACATCAAGGTTACTGCTTACTGGACGTGGCAGTGTTTTTGACCTCGGTTAGAAATCTTCCTCGGCGGCTTTTCTTAAGCTTCATAGAGTTTGCCAAAAGAACTCATCCAGACAGGATGTACAATCTCAATTGCATATAAGTCCGGGGCGTGTACTGCGTCTGCCACGAGCTGTTGAATCGTTCAAGTTCAACACAATTCAAGAATACGACAAGTGATTAATGTTACAATAAAAAGCCCACAGTCAGGTCCCATCGCAGTCTCCACCATATCTCAGCCTAGGTAGTCCTTCCTTGACTCCTTTCAGGGGCCCCGACGAGTGTCTAACAGGAAGCACATCAATAAGGCAAGACAGCCACCTTCCTGTCACGGACCACTCCCAGCCATAACTCGGCTCTCCGTGCGCCAAAGCTCCTGATTAAAAGACATATCATTCGCTTCGCCTTGTGGTGATTCGTAATTCATATCATGCCGAAAAAAGAGCAGTCTGTCGAAAAGACATGGAAAGAAAAGAATTGTGATTTCTCCTCACCCCTCAGCCCATTTCGTGGTTTCTGTCCTGGCTCATTCTTTGCATGTCCTCGTTTCCTCGTTCAAATGCGCGCTTCGCTAGCAACAGAAGATCCGCCCATCGAGCCTTTCCTAGAGCGAGAGAAGCCGTCAGCATCCAAGGATCACCAATTACCAACAAGCTCCATGATCTCCTTCCCCTGACCCATCGTGCCAAATATCAAGAGATATCTCTCCTCAAAAAGAAGACTCACTTGTGATTCCCCTTCCCTGCTTGATGCAGCGAAGCCCGCCGCTGCTCCTTCAACCGACGCTCGGTGTCCATCAACACATTCTGCAGCGTTCGACCGGCCTTGGACCCCAGTCCGACCCGGTGATCATTCAACAGCTCGGTGGAGGCCTTGCGAAGCTGGTGGCTGTATTCGTCGCCTTTTGTGTTTTCGAGCTCCTTTTCTGCGGGTGCGTCTGGGTTGTGGGAGGATTCTTGGAATGAGGCAGATCGCGTGACGGGGCTGGTGGAGAGTCGTTTGGGAACTTTGTTGGTGGAGGCGGATTTGTGGGTGGAGGGACGGTGGTCGGCGGTATTATGGTCCATGTTGTGAGGTCTTGTAGGTGCCGAAGGTTGTTTTCCTTTGGTGCGATGAAAAAGTCTAGGACGGTAGGTGTTTAGGAGGGGTGGTGGTGGGAGAGAGCCGTGATGACGACGATGATGAGGTGTGGGTGAAGAACGTGATATCTTTGTAAGATTTCAATTTCTACGCTCACCCGGGAGTCTCGTGAGCTCACCACCCAAAAAGAAACCCAAAACAAAACGAGAACATGTGCTTTCTTTAATCTTCATCCAGGCACCGGTACTTCTCCATCCTCCATCCCTGATTGGCGGGACATGTTTGTATATCCCAACGGTTATCCGTGCTCTTTGCCCTCATGATGACGTGGGACTGTGGGCGCATCACCAATTCTCACAATTTTCTGGACAGTGACTTGGCGTGGGTAGAGTCGATTTGAATGGTTCGGACGGGGCTCGGGGCGTGGCTTCGTGGGACGGGAGTGTCGTCTGGGTCTGGTGGGTTGCCGATCCTTTTTTGTGTGAATTGTGTTGTATGGGTTGAGGATGGGATGGACAAGGAAGGTGACAGGGTTGATCCACATTCGGCGCTTGGAAGCTGTCATACTTGAGTCGGTCGTGCGTGGTTGGTAGGTAGTGTTTGGTTGGGAGGTGGATTTTGATCTGCAGTAGCTTTGGACTGTTGGTGGCGGCTTTGACTCCCGGTATAGAATGTCGACTATGGAGTATAGTATAGAGTGGATTACAGGGGATTGAACAGATTCGATGCTGGATTTACATGCTGCTGGAGCGGTGGTTGGTCGTGGATCTCAGTTGAAGATTATGCTGGTAAAGCTATGATACAGTCACCGAAAAAAGAGATTTCGTAGGGTAAAGAGGACGGTAGGAAAGAAAGGGAGAGAAAACCAGAAGAGAATGAAGAAGAGACACGCCTATTTGGTCTCGTTCTTGGACTCCTCCTTGGCGTCATCTGCAATCTTCTCGACCTGCTCCTTGCGCTTCTTCAGCAGATCTTGCAGCTCCTCAAAGGTCTCCTTGAGGACCTTTTCGGCCTCCCCACCCTTCTTCTGGGCCACCTGTTGGAGAGATTGCAATTGAGGGATGATGTTGGAACCACCGGGGATGGCCTGCAACCACTTGTCCATATCACCGAACCCGTGACTCTTGGCCTGGTCCACCTTGTCCTTGACGAACTTTTCCACCTGCTCGGTGTTGCCAGAGGAGGCGCTCTCCTGGATCATCTTCCACAAGTCGGAGAAGTTGCCCTTCTTCAAGGCGTCCGCGTTGTCCTCAACCAGAGACTTGAGCTTGGGGTTCTTCTCGAGCTGCTGACGAGACTGCTCGAGTCCCTTCTGCCAGGCCTCGTCGCCGAGCTTCTGCAATTTCTGCTTCTTCTCATCGATCAACTTCTTCACCTCGGCAATGGCGTCCACGCTCGCACCCTTCTTGATCACATCGGTGATCTGGTTCCAGGTCTTGTTCACCTCCTCCTTGGCCTGGGGGCCGTATGCCTCTCCCATCTCCTTGAGTTGCTGGTAGCTGCCGCCGATCTTCTCCTTGACCTGGGGGTGATTATCCAGAATCTGGTCACTCACATCACCGGCCAAGTCCATCAGCCGATCAAGATGCTTCTGTAGCACATGGAATGCCGAAAATGCGGTATCTGAATCAAAGGAGCCCCTGCTCGATACATCGCTCAATTCCTGGTAGGCATCCTGGATGATCTTCTCAAAGTCATCGCCGTGCTTCTCCTTGATCTGATCCAGATCCCGGAACGCAGTGTCCACGTAGTCGCGCGCACCGGGGATGAACACGGCGTACCGCTTGGCCGTCTTTTTGAACCAGTTGTACGACTCATTGGGCTCGGGGGCCGCCTCGGCAATCTTCTGCTTGGCCTGCTCGAGGTACTGCTTGGCTTGTCGGTTGGTGTCGACGAAGGACTTGGCCCCGGAGAAGGAGTAGATGCCGTATCCCACGAGCGCGGCGGTGGCACCGCCGGCGAGACCGCCGGCGAGAGCGGCGTTGGTGCCAGTGCCCGTCCTGGTGCTGGATGAGGGGCCGGACGAGGTGGACTGGAAGCGAGAGGGTCGAGACGCGCGAGGCTTCACCTGGCAGCGAACGCGACCGATGGCGCGAACAGCGGGTCTTTGTGTTTGGCCGAGCATTGTGTGTATGGACGTGGATGTGAATGTGGAGGTGAGGATGGTGATGGAAGGGTTATGGGAGGGAGGGAGGAAACGTAAGTAGAGAGTACACGTTGGAAACGAGGAGATTTGACAAGGTCGCAAAGATTGAATACTTGAATTGAAGAATAAGTCCAAGTACCTTGACTCGATTCCGGACATGACGTCCCTTTTAAACCCATTGCCATTTTAATTGACTTCCACTTCCCTACTCAACCCGGCAACCTTCCCAATCTCAGCCACAAGTCATGGTACAACGGTACAAGCGGATCGCGAGTGGTGATACTACCACCATAACACTCGTCCCCCGGGCTGGTGGCTGATTGCGCCCTCTCGTTCGTGGGAGGCCTCCGTCCAGGAACGAACTTTTGGCCAAGAATGATAAGTGGATGTCGTCATGATGGTCGCATAGTGAGTGGGTCGGAACTCCAGACTGGGCCACCACGCATGGCCCCGGCTTGAGTCTCTTTGAACAGCCTCGGCCAGCAAGAATCATGCCCGGCTGCATGATGATCTTCTCAGCCACTGTGGCCCCGACGGACAGGAAAACTTGTTCTCGACGTTCGGAGGCTTTCTGACACACTTACGGGATACTGATGTGGTGAGTTGTGATCGAGTCACGAGATCACGTAATGTCCACAGCTGGTACCTTAGTAACCACTTGAATCTTACTGCTTGCGCACATGATCCGATTCCAGATCGTCATCGCTTGCACTAGTCCAGATCCGGCTAGTCCGCTCGGAAGATCCGCACGGGACTGAGAACGATCACAAGTCTGGTGGTGTGAGCGGTTTCGGCGTGGTTACTCTACGCCGGGGCCAGGCTGGAGATGAGGTATGAGGTGCTCTGTAGGACAAGCTCGTGGTGGTCTGGTAGAAACCTTCTGATCCAGGATTGGTATGGGCAGTTTCCACGTTTGCTTGATGTTCTCGACTGTTCAATTAGAAGATGTCTGGCATCTAGTGGCTTGTGACCTGGTTATCCCGTCTGGGGTTTGCCCGACCGTCATCCATTAGCGCATTACGGGGGTTGAAAACGAACCTTAAAGCCTGGGCAGTAGATCGTACCTCCCTTACTTGATACTTATGCTTTGACTTACTACACAGTCCCTTACTACGTGCATCATGGGCATGACTGTACGATGACATCTCTTAGCGTCTGATTTTACTTGGGTGTTTCATGCCTCTACGCTGATTGAAGATATATATCGACTTGTCCATTGGACACGAAACATGCCTGGTAATAAACTTCCCTGCATTAAATCTTGATAGTCGTAATGTTCAAAGACTTGTAATCAACCCCGTCGAGGTTGTCAAGGATGCCTTGATGCGCAGCGTGAGAAAAAAGACGATGTAAATAGGAGAACGCTTTCATGATGCAATTGTCGAAACACCATCTTTGCACCGACCAGCAATAGTTCATCGTCCAACTTCCCCATCTTTCACTCTTCCACCATGTAACCTCAGCAGGAGCCAAAGATCAGACTCGCATCTCCCTCCTCCAAACCAAGCCCCCCCCCCCCCCCCCCCCCCCCCAACTAGGTAGGTCACCAGCTACTTTCAATCATCAACACCATCCAATCAAGCAACAACCCCCATCAACGCAGAGCAAAACATCATCGCCAATACGCCCAGCCCCATCTTCGACACGGACTGATTCACAACAGCCGCGCCAGAGCTCGTACTCGCCGCCCCCGAGTGCGTCGACGTCCCCGTCGAGCTTGTCTTCGTCGTGGCCGCCGACGCAGTCGCAGTCACGTTGGTCCCCTTGTTACAGAAGACAGAGTACGAACCGCTCTTTTGCTCGAGACATTTGGTCAATTCGCCAATGTCTTGTCCGATGGCCAGGCAGTAGATGCCGCAGTCGTTGTCGTATTTGGTTGGAGTGTTGCCTTTGCAGCACGAGTCAAAGGCGTCGGTGATGTTGCCGGAGACGGGGGCTCCACAGGCCGCGTCGGTGACGTTGGGGAGGACGTAGACGTTGCCGGTGCAGGTGGCGGCCGCGGAGGTGTGGGTGGAGGTGGAGGTGGAGGTTGTAGTGAGGGTGCTGGTGGTGGACATGTTGAGGATGTGTGGGATGTGGTACTCTCGAGGATGAGCAGTGAAATTTGTGAGCCCGGTAAGACAAAAGTCGGAGTACGACTGGGTAGGACCGAGTGGGAAGTCTGAGGCGTTGCAGCCGATTTGAATCCAAAAGGAAAGGATCGATGTGAGGCTGTCAGGAGTGCTTCTCTCAAAAGATGATGGAAGTGAGGTGGAGGAGGGCAGTGGGTAAAGCAGAAAGCAAAATTTAAAGAAGAGGGTCAAAGAATCAAGTTGCCTGAAACACAACCAGGCAAACAGCGCTGACCAGGGCAGTCACACCATCCATCAGACCAGACCCAGCCAGCTCAGACACTCGGACATGTGATCAAGGCTTTCCTGCAGGCGAAAAGGAGCCTCCTCTCTCGATCTCAAAAAGGTCATGATCGTGAATGTACACTTTCCACAAAGTAAAGCAACCCCATCATAAGATTCATAACCGTACACCACGGCACTGCACCTAAAGTAAGGATCGTCTATGTATAGCGCATACTCTCCTACTCCCTACTGACTGCTCCTCGCCATCTACAGTAGCACAGGACTGCTCATGAAACTATCAGGTCTCTGGTGTTACCTTTGTGTATCTTCAATTTCGACGCCGAGTCCACATCAAAGTACTACAGACCGGGGACTCCCCTGAAATGGATCGGTTGGTTCTCGGAACACGACCCGATGGCACAGCCTCTTGTTAGCGCAACGCCCATTTGTGGGGAAGAAGGAAAGCGTCTCCACTTGATTCTAAATTTGGCGTCGAGCGTCATCATCAAGCTACGCTTCGGTGCATTTTGGATCGCAAATGAGCATGAGCGAGAGACATAACCTCCCTGGCCAATTCCGCTTGATAATGGCATTTCACATTGGGAACCCGGTATTACAAGGAAGCTTTTCTCTCAGGTCTCTGAATGTCAGTTCGAGGGTCATTTGCTCTGGTCGTATCCGACCAGACTCGTCCGCGAATATGATCAAGCGCAAGTGACATGTATCATGCGGGTCTAGCTTTGTTGCATGGCGTTGAAGCTAGGGATGCCGTCCGCTATAGTTATATGCACCGATTGCAGCCCTATGATATACGTACGCTCACTCATGAAAGTCAGAAAACCTTATTCATGGGAAATAAACGCCCTCGTAGGCGCTTCACATACTTGACGAGATCTCCAAGGTCATCGACATCCTTACCTTGTTCGTTGAATAGGCAAAAATTGGAATTTCTTCCCTTTACTCGGTCAACTATCCGTCCACGTGAGAGGAGGAGAATGCGGAAGCCAGAAAGGATAGACGGGTACCTTATCTCCTGGCCCCTTGCATTGCGAGATCAAGATGGTCACCATTTACTCCATAGTCACTGAACAATAGAATCTCATGCACGCACATGGTAACATGGCCATTCCACTCGTCTCATCCGATCAAATACCCCCCAAAAATTACTAGTGTATGCAATGCCGATCCAAGTCCGACCGTGCGCAACTGGGCAAGAGTGTCTCGATTGAGTCTATGCAACAGACCATTTCCTCGGTACAGACTTCGGGTGAAGGTTCGAGAAGACTAACTTCCTCGTACCTGAAATTGTGCTCATAAGAGGGATTCTACTGCTGTTCAATCTTGCGATGCCCTCGACCAATTCTTCGTCTCTGGTTGACTCCATGCAATAAAGCGAAAATAAAAGAAAACAACCGCCAATTGAGCTTTGATCCGTCCACGGTTACAGCTTGAATTATCTGTGCAGTAAGTCTCAGGCTCAAATTGGCAGACCCGACAGTTCGACAAATACACAAAAATACCTTTAGCTGGTCGTCCGAATTGTCGTTACAAGGGTATCATGAAAGGGAAGATTCCCGGAAAGAAAGCTACTTCATGAACCATCTCAAATCACATGAGGTTCCTGACGTGTCATACGTACACCAAGGCGTTTGAAATGTTCAACACTGCGGGATCAGAGTTCAAGAGCGCCAACTTGAAGCGAATTGGAAGGTATTGTAAACATGTGATGTTTTGGTAGTATTGACTTGAACTCTGCAACATAAATGTATGAAAATGAACAATATCAGGAGAAAAACAACAATATTAACAAAGGCTAGTCATCGCTTGAGATTAGATCAAGTAGTAATAAACCGGCTTGGCCGAGACCAGCCCATGAACAAAAGCACCAGTACAGACGACCAGCACCACAATCACAGACTCACCACAAGCTTCTTGGCAGAAACGCCTCCTCGCAACCGCACAAAAGCCTCCTGGATATACTCCAACCCCTCACCAACAATCTCCGGCTCCGGAGCACAAACGAAGCTGCCCTCTGCCAAAGCCTCGGGGAGATACTCCGTCATAACGGTCCGAGCAATCCCATTGTCGAGAATCGGACTGATGACAACCAAATTACTTTTGAATCCTCCCAGCAAGCCGCGAATCTTATATGAGACAAGGGAGAATAAGAAGATCGCAACAGTCCGCAAGACTGCAAAGTTCTCCGGGTCTTTGTCGGGAACGGGATACGTGACCATTGCGATTTTCCTGTTTCCTTCGCATCTGCCGACGATTTGTATGCACTTCTCAGCGGCCCCGGAGCCGATGGAGACGGCGCCCACGAGTATTCTTCTCTTGAGCTCAGCCACAATATCATCAACCACAGAAGGGGACTTGTAGTCCCAGACCCGAGTGGCGCCCAGTCGGCATACTAAATCATGGTTCTTCGGCGAAGCTGTCGTGAAAACTTCATATCCTGAGGCGACCGCCAACTGGATCGCATTGCAGCCCACACTCGTTGATCCACCCCAGATCAGCACCGTCCCCTTGGAAGTCGACGCAGACTTTTTTCTAGAGGAAGAGACCAACTGCGGTAGCTTCAACCCCAGTTGCGAGGAATCGTACAATGCAGCCGCAGCGGTCATGACAGCCAGCGGCAGGGTAGCAGCATGTGCGAAATCAACCGTCTCAGGGATGCGACAAACAAAATCTTCATTGACAATCGCGTACTTCTGGAAAGCACTTTGTGCTGGGTCATTGGTATCCTTTTCAGGACCCCGACTGAAAGCCAGTACGCGGTCGCCGGGTTTGACGTGGGTGACTCCGGGACCGGTCTGCATTACTTCGCCGGCCATGTCGTAGCCAAGGACGAAGGGGTATTTGAGGTGTGTGAACATCATGTTTCCTCGGGACTGGATGAGTGAGTCAATTGGGTTAATGGCCACGGCGCGGTTTCGGATGACGAGTTGACCTGCGGATGGAGAGCTGGGAGACGGTGCATCTCTGACTTGAAGAGAGGGTGCTTTTTGAGAAGGTTGATATGCGGCTTGATTCTGCATCTTGAAATGTAGGCCACCAGGAGAGGACAGGTATAAGTCTGAGTCTGCAACGGAAACTGATAAAAAAAAGAAGGGATCAGATCAAAATAGCACAACCTTCGCGAGAAAGGATCCGATTTCAAGTCCTCGATCTGTTTACTTTCACAGCCCGAGTTCAGCTTCCTCTATTTATTTACCAACTCGATCTCAGACAAACGTCATTAACCTCGACCCATGACCCCCAAAGTCAGGCCGCAATCTTGACCCTCCGCAGATGTCTCTACTAAACAATCGGCACCGGAGCAATTCCACGCCCCACAATGCGGAGGATCGGGATCGGACTTGCGGCTCGGGGCCCATTGCCCCGCTTCCAGCCGTCAAGCCTCATATTTAGAGTTTGACTCGTCTGACAGAGAGATGGTCTTTCCTGAGGCTGAGCTGATTCACGAGTGCAAGTCGTCCTTGCTCTACGATCAAGCTCAAACAGTCTGAGATTTGCACTTCTCACAGGGTCTGACCTCGTTCTGAAAAAGACAATTGTCTCCTTCCATCGAGCCTGTACCGCTCGGCCCGACATATATCCCAAGGCACTTGGAAGGCGCCATGGCCCCGTCCGGCGTCCGTAAATCGGTTCCTCCGCCTAATCGACGGAGGGACAAGCCGCAACTCTCCTGCGATCCATGTCGAAGGAAGAAGTACGTGAATGCCCAAACCTATGAATGAAGCGTGCGCGATAGACTTGGGGATATCGGTGCCGTGGCTGTACACTGAACCTCAGAGGCATCGGACAAAATGCACTGGGCTGACTGACTCTGTCCAGACGACAATGCGACCGGGAAAGACCATGCGGGCGATGCGTGAGTCTAGGAGATGTAGAGAGCTGCAAATATGCTTCAAATAGTCATGTACCGGAGCGAAGAGTGTCTGATCAAGAGGCCAATTTGAACACCTCGGAGGACGGCATGCCGCCCTCGACGTTTGGTGACCACTTTGTGTCCTTTTGGGACCTTTATCAACGGATACCCACTGCTGTGCATCCACATGCGTTGGAGACGAGGGATGACTTGTTCATGTCCTCGGGTCATAGAACGGATCGGACTCTTGAACATCGTGCGTTACCTGGAGGACACAGTGAGTTGAGTGTTTTTTTGTTATCTTTTGAGATCTTACAGTTTCTCTCACGCATAGAGAGGGACCGTTGGAGCAAGGCCCCGCCCATTCAGTTAAAGAGAGCGAAGATAGAATTGCAGCAAGAAAGACAGCTAATCCGGGCCACAGAAGAACCTCCACTCAATGCAAGACTCGATGCCGAGTTCTTACCACAGAATTCAATCTCAAATTCATCATATCAATCGGAAACCAACACACGCGCAGAAGATCCAGAGAGACGAAAGGCGTGGGTGATCGCTGCAACCGAGTGCTTTGGTAAGATAGCAACCGAGCGAAGAGAGGCGCAGGGCGGGGATGTTTCAGAGACCTATCATAGCGTGTTCAAGTTTCCGATTTAGCGATACATATACATGATGTGTCCTTACGACGCCAAGACCTGTCGATCATTGTAACTAGCAGGAAAGAGAACGGAAAGAGCAAGTCAGTCTCAGAAGACAATAGCCAAGTAAAGTCTTGCATCCATTTCCGATCCCGAGCTTTAACAAATATCAATTCGTCATTTCAGCCGAATCAGAAGACATAAATAGCACTTGAAAAACTCATATGAGGACAGTATGAATCGTAAGGGAGGACCAGGATGACCTGGATCATGTTGTTCTTTCCGGCAAGCTCAAAAATAGGAGACGAAACATGATTCTAAACACGATGGTAAACGAAGACTTCAATCACTCCGTAAAGTGCCGTACACCTTCCTGGATCTCGAACTGTGCATACAAGTCATCCAGTATACCTTCCCTCACCGCAGGATACAACAAAAGAGTGGCTTTCAGAGCGCACTTAGGTGAGCACGGCTCAAGTGAGAGCATGTCCCACGCGAGAGTAGCAACCATTATATCGTGGAGACATGAGAGAGTGAAACACCACGTCAATCCCCCATCACTTCTTCAAATGATAAACAATCATGATAACGCGGCGATCTATGAAGACAAACAGAAGCCATTAGTTCTCGTAGCAACTGAGAGCTTTGATAAAATAGCCACCATGTCAGGAGACCAGAGTGGCAGGACCAAATTATTCCAGGTATATTTCATCGCATATTGACATTTCCGTTTGAAGACGCACTGGAGTATTGAAGAATTTGTCAGAGAAACTACAATACATTCTCAGGTCACTCTTGAACCCGAGACAATACCATAGATCAGTAAGATTGGTAAAATTAAACCTGAAGTAACTATTCTTTATTTTCTGGACCTGGTCAAATACTCACGCCTCGTTACAAAAGATAATGAGAAATCTCAAGGGAAAGACCGAAACGAAATAAAATTCCTTCATACTGCGAGAGCAAGACCGAATCCATATCTTGCTGGAAAATTTCTGTTCGCATGTCAAGCAAACATGAGGAAAATAAACAAACAGTGAAGATTGTTTCTGGACGTCACGACCACTCCCGCATAAGCCTCTGCATCTCAAACTCCTCAGCCAGCTCTTCAAGGATATTATCCCTGTAGATAGGCAGGAACAAGGTTGCCAGAATGCCGCATAGAAAAAACCCGCCGATGAACTGCGATGCGAGATTCAGCCACGCCATTGTAGCTTGCTCATTCCCAGTGGTAACGTATCCACACTGTTCGAGGACTGTTTGTATGATGATGGCGCAGAGCTTGCCACAAATGGCAGCGACTCCAAATCTCAATGTGCGAGAACGTCGGAAGCATGTCTGGAACCGTTCATTTGGCAGCAGCAGGAGGATTGTTTTTGGTTGGAAGCTGTAGGCGTACTGCACCACCAGGTATATGGTGAGCAACCCGTTGTGCAGTGACTGCACTGGATTATCATTGACCCCAATAACGAAAAGGGTGCCAGACAGGAGGAGCAAGCCTGGAAGGAAACTAGGCCGGCGAGCGAGAACGACCATAGTCCCCAGCGTGATCCAGTAACCGGGGACAGACGCGGCAGCAACGACGATGAGATTGACGACCGCGTTCCAACAGAAAGTCTCGTGGTCGTTGTGCCCGACCTGCGAACCGAGTGTGCCCCGAATGATTGAACCGTTCATGCCGAGACCGTAGATAGCTGAGAATACATAAGCTTCAGTGAATCTTCTTTGCCTGCCAGGTTGGAGAGAGGGTGTATTTGAAAGCATTACATACCGAGATCAAGAAAGCAGACCGAGATTGCGGTACCCAGCAGCTCTTGGAAATTCTTCCACTCTGCAAAACATTCTCTGGCGATAGTCCGAATCGGGTACAGGACCGGGCTGGGGGCGGGAGCTCGTGGGACATATCCCCGGGGGTAAGGTGGACCCTCGACCACATGGAGGGTTGTCATCCGGTAGAAAAGCACCGCGCATGGTACAATAGCTGCGAATCTCTGGCCCATGTACAGAAGTTTGTCAATGATGATTTGACCCAAGCCACTCTCGTGATCGGACTCTCCACGCATCTGGGCAGATCTGGCAGATCCCAGTGCGAGAGCAATGAATATCGGTGGCACCGCCAAAAAAGCGAGAGCTTCGTACACAGAGATATGAGGCATCATACTGTGCAGCTGGGCAGATGATCTTCAACAATCCTCATGCGTTAGTGCTTGTCTCATAGAGAGTGAAATATCAAGTCAAAAGAGCATACTCACTCTGCATGGTGCCCTGGCTGATTATCAGGGGCCAGTGGACTGCCCCATACATTGGCGATTCCCCAAGCAAGACGCCAAAAGAGTAGAGTAGCCATAGTCTCCATACCAGGCGCAACAGTGCCTAAGATCTGGGCCAGGATGACTGAGACGATGATACCTGATACGAGAACGTACATCTTCTCATGGCCAACCTTTCCAGCAAGCCACCCAAAGAGAAGTTGGTTCACGGTGAAGGCAGTGGAGGCGGCGGCTTTGAGCGAGATCTCAAAGTAGGCGGACTTGGGTTCGGGATGAACTTTGATACCCTCCCAAACAAGGACACCCAGTAGCGAGACGGCCAAGTTCACCAACAAGATATCGTATGCGTTGAAGAACATCAAGATGGAAGTCAGTAGGACTGCCTTGAGATAGTCGTAGCAATACTTCAAACGACCGATCAGTGTCCAGGGAGTGTCCCCTGCCATGTTTCCTTTGTATGAGGACAGTAGTGTAAGCGCAGGAACCGTACGGAGAGACGTGGAATAAGAGGAGATCGAGTTCACAAATAGACGGAGCTTGTGAATGAGAAGGCAGGAAAATCAGAAGAAGTTGTAAGAGAGGAAGTCAGATGCAGAGAGTAAGAAGAATTTATAGCTAAACGTACCGAGAAAGTAGGTGAAAGATTCTTCCAGATGTTACGTGTTGAAAAGAAGATGAGAGATAGATGGGGTAATGTAGGAAGAGAGAGAGAAATGAGAGAGAGAAGAAATTGAGAGAATATTATAGTGAGACGTCGAAAAAGTGAGAGCAGGCAGAGATGAGGTGAAAGCTGCGCGAGGAGCAGGCATCCAAAGTGGAGACGCGTGGTGACTGTGGCCTAGGAGATTGTGATTCCACAAACAGACGGGACCTTATACAAATAACAAACAAAGCTCACAATATATGAACTGGCAAACACATAAGAAAGTTCCAGGAGTTTCCCTCCCGTTTACATGAATAAGAACAATCTCGACAGTACAATTTCACTACGTGATATCTCCATATCAAACCGAAGACTACATAAACAAAACGTAGATCTGGATAGCTCGGAAAATGCTGACCTGAGACTGAAAAAGGTAGAAACTCTGGATCTATTTCAAATTGCTGTAGATCGTTCTGTAAGCCGCACAAGACGGATTTTTTGAAAAAAGAAACATGATTACTGAAATTGCAAGCTCCAACCTAATCCCCATAAGTGAGCAGAAGCGTCAGAACCGTTCTCTATGCCTTGGTAAACGATGGGTCCCCGCAAGCATACGACGAGGTTCACAAGGAGGACATCGTGCGTCTGTGTGGAAAATTCCAGGTCGACATCACCGAATGCGAGAAGCTAATCCTGAAAGGATCGCAAACGATCGACAATGCCGTGGAGGGGGCAGTAGGCGACGAGTTGTGCGGGAGAACATGGTTATCCGAACCCACCTGAGCCATCGCGGTAAGTAGGCCCAGATATAGGTGGTGACGAGACCTGTGACTTGAAGAAAAAGAGACAGCAATCAGAAACAGTGGTGAAAGGAGAGTCGAAGCTATAAAGCAACCAAGTGAGTAGCGAGATTAGCAATTCCTGGTTTTGACACCACAGGAAGAGAGTGACATGAGATCTCGACTTCATAGATACACAGGATGATCACACAGGAGAGATACATCAGGAGAGGATAAAACAAGCGAGTTTGGATAAGAGCAATCTCTCTCGGGGAGACCCAAGAGACATCGTCTACAGCGAACTAAGACGGTGCTCCAGTTTTCTATCAAGGACACTCTACTAAACAAGGTTCTCTGTACTGGCATATTCAGGCTGCCTCTAGATGTGAATACGTAATACGAGTCATCACTCACAATCCTTAGGGGATTTTATTTCATCACTCACAATTCTCAAATGATATTGTTACCTAATATCAGAGCAGGACAGAGTCACAGGTACATCAGTCACCGAACTCCTGGATTCGTAGTTCTGACTCTCCAAATGGACTCGGGCAACGGTCAACCCTGAAAAAGATTACCTTATCGAGAAACCTTAGTAGCAGACCATGTCGCGCTTTAGTTCAAAAGGTTCTGACATATGCCGCGATAATGGCTACGTCTTCTGCATGCTAGTAGAACATGAATGCTCACCTATACTTAGAATGTCCTCTCTACCACCGCCTCGCCGAAACATTTCATCGACTTCAGCTGGACTTCGACCTGAAACGAAGAGCGGAAGTGGAAGTGACGGCAGGTACTCGGTACGGATACCTTATATCCGTAGGTATCTTTTGAGCTGCGATGGATAAATCTGGACGGGAGTAGTATGAATAAGCTCAGTAGTGGCCAGCCATGATCGAAGCTTAAACGCACGGCCCAGCGATCTACAGGCAATCAACCTCAAGCGGCACGGAGACAGAAACAAGCCCTTCTTGACCGTCAGCCACGCCAATGAATTATTCAACTTGTTCCGTTAAAAATTGAAAATTGAATTCTAGAAAATGTTCATACGCTCGAATCAAAGTGAAACCCAATTTCTCTTGATTAGAGGGTATTCCACAATACGATATAAACATGTCATTAACCCATCACACCCACGTCAATAACTTCACTCTCCGCCTCCACCCTGGCCACGCGTGGCGTTACTTTTGGATATTTAAATCTAGACTCTTTCGTCAATGATCGGCGTCAGAAACGTCCATCTCCATCAAACGAAATTCTAAATCCATCTCACAAATCCAATTCAAAAATATCGATCCGAATCACGAAACACACAACATGGCCCGTCACACCGGAAGTGAAGAGAACAGACTGCGTGGCTACAAGGCGTAAGAACTTCCTCATCCACCGTAGCACATAGAAACCGTGATCGGAACCGTCAAAAGTCCGTCATGAAAACTCGAAACATGCTCAATGCTGACCTGTTCCCCCCTCCCAGAGCCGCCCACAACCTCCGTAACTCAACCCAAGCCCGCACCCACGCCCAAGAAGAAGCCAACAAGCTCTCCGCCGAATACGAGCACGAGCCCGAGCCAGTCCAAGCCGCCGAGTCGTCCGAGGAAGAAGAACAGCCCACCATGTACAGTGCTCAACACGAGAGAAACGTCAAGCGTGGACTGAAAGCGTACGTGTACCAACATAGCCCCTCTCATGCGAGGCAAAAACTGGTGTCTATGCCCTTTGGTTCAAAGGGTAGGACATGACGTGAGACTGGGAACGGAGGGACTGACAGCAGATCTTTTTCAATTTAGGGCTGTGCATAATACGCTTGTTTCGGAGGGTGCCAGGCAGAATGCGCAGCGGAGACTTGATGAGATGTGAGATGGGGATGTTCAAGGTTGGAGGATGTTGTGCGGAGATGATCGAGGACGAAGGTGTTGTCGGGAGAGTTTAGTGTATAGAAAAGAGTGGATGTGAATATGATCGAGTGGTGGTTTTGTGTATAAGAAAAGAGTTATAGAAGACAGAACTATTATTATCCTCGCAGAAACAGCGGCTATGCAGGTGAGAATATGTAATCAATGTGCTCTGGTGGTATGTACGGCAAAAATATGAACCTAAGATATAAACACTCTCTATCGACCGCTGACAAGAAAGCTGCCGCGAGGAGACCCGATGCTCCTGATGGGGGCCATCTGCGTTACGCCCATCCACGCCTCATCTTCCATCGCATGATGAAGCTGGCGAAAGGGAAGAATGCAATGGAAACACCGATCCACGCGAGCAAAATGCCAAAATCGAGTCCAATCCGGGAGTGGGTTCCGAACATGATGGTGCGACTGGCCTCAACAACTGCGAGATAACCAAAAAGCAAAGTCAGTAAGACATTCCTTGGGCAAGTCACGGAGCAGCAGCAGGCAACTTTGCAACGAGTAGTAGCATAGAAGGCAAATCAACTTACTTCTGTGTAAAGGCCAGGCGTATCCCCATCGATAGAACGCATTCGCCACCTCTAGCGGGTAAAATCCAGTGGCCACATTCGTAATGACCCAGAAAATCAAGAACAGCGCACTCCATGGTGCACCCAAGACCATGGCCATATTCTCACAGGGGAATCCCAAAGCTGCCATGCCCACCCAGTTGAGCATCCAATATACCACAAATGAGCCATGACCATAGGCGTTGGCATTTGCCACTGGAACCGTGGCTGGAGCGGGCGAATTTGTGAATGGGATGCCGTAAGCCAAGCTAACTAGACTGTAAAAGAAACTCATGAAGAAATAAGCCAGGATATTGGAGCAGATGCGCCAAATGAGCCATTGGCCCATTTTCACGGGTGGATTCGATGGCGACGGTTTGATCAGCTGCGCATGGATTGGCATCAAGAAGGGAAAATTGAAAAAGGCAACGATGATGAGGTAAATGAGCCCGATTGCCACGGCGGGGCCGGCCACGGCCGGCTTGAATGGACGTAGGTCGATTTCAGTGAAGCCGATGGCCGGATTGATGGCCTGTGGTGGGACAGAACTCATGTTGGTGTTGTTGTTGATCAGGTTCTGAACCCACTGAGGACCAAAGGACGCGAGCACGGCGTGCTGGAAATTGGTCAAGCCCGGCAATACATAAGAGCCGTAGGTTGACTGATCACGAGCCGTGACAACCACAGTCTGAATAGCGCCATTGGGATCGTAGCTCGTATTTTGCTGGCTGACGGCACGGCGCAAGAGTTCAGTCGCATTGGTGTTAACGATTATCGCGGCAAACGCCTTTTCGTCGTACACGGCTTGTCGAACAGCCAAGAAGTCGTTATTAAATTCGCTGGCATTTTTGACCTCATATCCCAAGTGCGGTTCCTGCGAGTTGGCAAATTGCGGTACAGCGTTGATCACCGCAGGTCCGACGATCGGGTTGCTTGTTTGAGAGCCATCTGTTTGACCGTCAAAGTCCACCACCCAGACCTTCAGGTTGGCGAGTTTGCGTTCGGTGTCATTCTGCACACCCCAGTACAATGACAATACCACAAGCACGAATAGAGCGAGAAAGCCCACTGTAAATCGATCTTATTAGCCTTCAAAGTGTACTCCCCAGCCTTTGAATATTGGTGGCCGCAACGATCGCCGCCCAAGGTTCTAAGTGCATTTGAGAAATGAGGATCGCCCAGCCTCACCGATGCGACTCCATTGGAGATAGACCTGCCGCCGAACATGTTTGACAGCTGGATCAAAAAACGACACGGGCGTTGGCGGCGTGGCCGCAATATCTTTCTTTTCGACCATGGCGTGGAACTCTCTATTTCTTTTCACCAAGCTGCAGTGTTTGTCCTGAGGTCGAGCCACGCGGGAATCGAACCCATTTTAATCAACAATGCATTGGCATCGCACATGTCACGCCCGTTTCCGGCGATCCAAGGGATGTTCAGGAGCGGTGCCGGTTTGGGTCAGAACCCCTTGCGACCTGGACAAACAGGTATGTATGTACTGTATGTATGTTCTGGAGCATGTCAACGAATCGAAGCAGATGGACAACACCATCATGCGGAATGACTTGGTTGCTTAGGGGTCTCTTGTGTGATCATTCCCTTTCTTCTCCCAACTTGCCTGTCAATTAGGGGGAGTAGAGGAGGAAACCACACTTCAGACCACAGGAGCCAACTGTATCCACACGTGATTTTACTTGACCCTGTCTGCAAAACATGAGTCAAGGATCGCGTCGGAACGTTCCATCACTTTAGAAGTTTAGACAGGGAGACGGAGGTGCCAATGTAGGAAAAGTGGTACTGAATTCAAAATCGTGAAGCCTTGCATTGAAACCGACCGCTTCGGCATCTGCTCGAAGAACGAGTCACATTGTTCTGCACAATCGGCCACGAAGAGCCCAGTCCCTTGCTACTGTCAAAGCCTACCCTCATCGGCAACCGGCACAACGTCACTGAGAACAGGCTCTGAGTTCGAATATGGGGATCAGGTCGCATCGCAAAAGTATGACGACGAGACTGGCGGACACAGTATGAGGTGGGTTTGTCATGCTGGGATTTCTCCTGGAGGGAAGGTCCCCCCTTGACTTGTTGCGTGCATTCTTGGATCGGATGCCGATGCCGATGCCGATGCCGATTCCACAGTGTCGATCACATGAGATCCCGTGATTTACCTTGACCTTGTCGTTTCTGAGTACAATGCAACTTTGTCTATCTCATGTAACTCGACGCTGCCCATAAGATCGGTGTAGCGCCCAAGTACCAACGCTCTCGCTGGACCAATCTTGTCAGAGATGCGCAAGAACCCTGCATAAAAGGACGAAGCTTAGACCGGATCGGTGACACGCGAAACGAGCTTCCGTGCAGACTGCATCTCCACATCCTGTCTCCACTCATTCCACAGGTCTCCAGGGAAGAAGCTTCACCGCGAGGAGCCTACCGGGTGTAGGTCTTGCTGTCAATCCCATGAATTTTCAGACCTGCATCGACTTCAATTCAGCAAGCTGGTACATTCGAGGACATTCGTAATGTGCTCGGCATTCCCTTGGATCATATACATGTATGGGGATGAGGAATTTTGCCATTACATTCACGAGAGAAATAGTGAGCATTGGATTTTGCGCCCTCTTCCATCGTGTAGTATTGAGCCACGCTTATACTTGCTTTCATCGTGGAGTATCAAGCTATACCTGTGCTTGCCTCCATCGCGTAGTATTAAGCTACACTTATACCTGTGCCACCCCGGCTGCGGGGACTGCCAATCTTCCATGCTATGCGTGGGCATGCTCATCCTACTGTGAGTTTCTGGACAAGGAGAAAGGGCACTTTGCCCTACAGAGTCAACAAAGTCGAAATGCAAGATGTAGCCAAGGGACTGCAGATCTCATATTCGAACAATTGAATTTCATTTTTATCTCTCATTGCGCCATCCCAAGTCATATATCGTCATCAAGTTGAAAAGCAGCGGCAAGTCGCTAAGCCAGGAACCAGCCTGGACTTTGGAGCAAAAATGAAACACGTGAAAAGCCCAATCCAATCCTAGAGCAACATTCCAACCATCCATCTTACACCATTTTCCAGATCCGAGTGCATCTCACAGAATCCTCTCAGAATCATTTGGGGTTCCAACAACACTTTTCGGTGATAAGATGGCCAGGACATTTAAATACTGATCAAGTCCATCGAACCCCCCCCCCAACACCAGCACTCTTCCTCCCATCATCCGCTCTTCAAACATCCACATGCCCGCACGTCACCCGATACGAAGCATACCTCCGATGCAAGTTGGGCACACGACAGACCTGCGTGCGCGTCATCGGGCCCGCCAAATCCGACAACTCATTGCGGTCGCACATGGTGTTGTCGTAGAACTCGATGCGACATCCCTCGGGGATCACATTCACTGTATATGCGGAGGCGACGCTGCCTAGGTCGGCGCGACATCCTGTGCTGCCGGTGCCGATGTGGAGTTCACTGGGGCCGTCGCAGGCGTCTGTGGGGAAGAGATTGAAGGACCATTGGATGTCGCGGCGGAAGAGGGGGAAGGCGAATGTGGTTGATGAGAGGGTGAGGGTGGCGAGGATGAAGAGGAGGGTGGTGAGGATGGTTGAGGGCATCGTTGAGGTGCGAGAGGGTATTGTATTTTTCGTAGATGGCTGCGAGAGGAGAGGGCGAGAAGAGAGGGAAGTAATCGTTTAGGGATGCAGTAATAGTACCAGGATGGATATACTATGGTACAGTGGTACCTGAAGACATCATTAGCAATAGACTCCCCCAAAGTGGAATAGTCCACTCGATCAGATTGTGGAACTTACTACCACGGGTCCTGGGATGCGAGGATCGTAGAGAACTTGGCCACGGATATGGTATGCAACCACGTGTAGTGAGGGTAAGTACTGTCGCGGCAGCTCAGCTTACGCCTAGACAGATTCCGAGTGGAAGGCGGGTAAGTTAATCAAAAGCGAAAGCAAGTGTCGAGGTTCTAACACTGCGAAGAGAACAATCAGTAAGAACAAGAGAATGGAGGTATATCTTCAAATCACATAGAGGACGAGTTGGGATCCCTGTCACCTTTAATATCCGCACTCTGAAACAAAAAATAAAGTCCACAGTTGCTCTCCCATCCATCGAGTACGTACATCAATCACTTGATGCAACAAGATACCCTCCACCTCCTCCATCTCCAATTGCCAAACCCACCTGAAGCAACCCACCGATCGGGACCCTCTCTGGCGCAGGAGCATCCAACCAGTTCCAACCCCCAACCACTCGACAATCCACACCCACGCACGTTGTCCACGATTCCACGATTCCACCACTCCACCACTCCACCACCCCCGACCTCTCTTGCTTGTCTCTCTTCTCTGCCTTCTCCCTTGGAGATCGGATGTTTCAGCGCGGCCGATCGCTGGAAGACATGTGCCAAGACCGCCAATCGTTTCGACAGGGCTTGCGTGGACGTGGGGCTTGGCAAATGCTTTTCTAACATTGTTCACTTGGAGTTGCTTGTCAGCTTATTGCTTACTGGATGGTTCTTGTTTGACTTGTCCTTGTCGTTAATCTATACAGTACAGAGGGATCCTCACTAAAACACCAACGCAAGAGATCTTCCGCCACTCATACAGTGTCACTGTCCAGTGTCCACTGTGCAAACTCCAGGGCAGACCAGTCCAGGTCGATACCCCGGGCGCCTTCGTGATCGCGGTCCAGGCCTTGCATGGTCATGCTATATGCGTAGGTCTATAGAATGGGAAGTTGAAACTCAGGAGCATTCCATTCATCTGATCGATCGTTGTCTCAAGCACACTCGCGGAGCCATTCTTTTGATTGACAGTGTCTTCTATCTCGCATATCGAAGCAGGGCAAATTGTCCTGCCCGTCGCTACCTGTGCCCACTACCCAGTGCCTACTGCCTACACCAACCGTTCGATCAACATCATATAAAGGACTGTAAATTATGTGGAATAATCCCACAATGAACAGACCACCGCATCCACCACCCACTCTCAATGAAGTCATCACAACACACATTGCTGTCCTGGACGATCTTCAGGAGACTTGACTCCCTTCGAAAAGTCGCTTGGTGGGGCAACGCCGGCTGTCCGACCCGCTTCCTACGTGCCTGGCTTACCGTGGGTACGTAAGTACGTACGTATGCCGCCCTTCTGGAAGATACAACGGCGACGAGGGAGTATGGAGTATGGACTCTTATTGTTTTGAATGATGGGTGAATAACATGAGCGTCCATCTATTGCTCTGTGCGATATCGTAGATGGCTGGAATGTGGAGCTATGGATTGGCTTGGTGGTTGGGTTCGTTCATCTGCGGTGGCTTGGGATAGGGTAGTTGGGGGCGTTAGTAAATTGACTTGGGTGTTTTGACCTACCTTTGTAGCGGATTTCCCCTACCACTTCTTGGCTTTCCCCTTCTGTTTGAGCACTCAGACCTTGCAACCCGACTCGAGGAAGAGGACGACTGGGGCGTCTGGCCTCTTAAGCCAGACCACTATCGAGCGCCAGAGGTGATACTAGGTAATGTATGGCGAATGCCCGCGGATATTTGGAACCTTGGTTTTTTGGTGCGTCCTGTTGCCCTCTCAAGTTGTTGTATCCTCTAATGCGTGTCCAGTTGTGGGATATGATCGAAGGCGAGGAGCTATTTCGGCATATCCATGATTAATAAGGTCGTTATGATGCTAAACTACACATCGCTGAAATGACAGCCCTACTCGGTCTACCCCCTCTAGAGATCATTCAAAGGTATCAATACATACGAGAATACTTATAGCCAGAACCTGTCAGACGAGAAGATGGTAGAGTATGCGAGACCACGGAAGTGTACTTCCGTGGACCATTCTTTGATAATAATGGTATTATAGGTCTCCTATCTTGAACGAATTATTTATTCTCAGACTTACGAATATCTTAGGTCGCTCCCTCTCCTAAGACCTAGTCCCTGACCGGAAACTAGGCGACGCAGTTTCCTTCCTTGAGGGTGACGAGAGGGAAGGGTTTCTAGATCTCGCCAAGGGAATGCTTGTCTGGAATCCAGATACGAGGAAATCAGCAGGCGAACTGATAGTTCATCCTTTTCTTCAACCAAAGCAAATAAGTGCCCGATTTCTGGCAGCGTTTGCCGGCGGATTGACTCGAACCCGTGGTTGATCCAATTCGGCGGTGGCATCAAAAGACAGGTTGAGGGGTTAACGTAGTTGTGGGAATAACGTCTAATAGAGTCTGTTGATGTATCCTTGATCGGAACCTAATAGCATCATAGCTTAATTGGGATCGAAAACATCAACCGCAATTTTGTGAGGGTAATGATTCTAAAAGTTGCCGTCTGTGCGGGTAATATATCCAGCAAATGTATACATTTACCATGGGGGAGCGATTAAAGGTCGCCAACGTCAATGAACACTTTAGCAGAGTACCCTGGGAGAGATCAATCCAAAGTAAATCAGGGCTGACGAGGCTATAATAATACCGCAACACAGTACGAACTGTTAACGCAGAGGATCGAAATGTTGCTCAATTTACGAGTAGCGTGGGACTCTAAACGTGCGGTGTCTGGCCGTAGTACACTTAGTTTTTCATTAACTTACTTTGGCGGACTTCTAGTACCATCACCTTTTTAGTCTAATGGCTGAAGAATGTTGAAATCGGATCGAACCACATAGATTTCCTTTGCCATTACAACCACTTCATCAAACATTCACGGCGGTGAATTTGTATATTACTGGAGTGACTACCAGAACTTGGAGGTCAGACTTTCTTCTTTCTGAGCCTACCCTTCGCCTCTTCTTTCGCCTTGGTTCAACTTTTTGCGTTTTTCTTTTCTTTGCTTTTCGCCTTTTTTTTCGCCTTAGCCTGCGCTTTCCTTCTTGCTTTAGCCTTTTTTTTCGCCTTGGCTTGATCTTCTAACTCATCTTTCAGCTCCTTCCGTTTTGCTTCTTCTTGCGCCTTAGCCTGCGCTTTCCTTTCTGCTTCGGCCTTTTTCTTCATCTTGGCTTGCGCTTCTAATTCAGCTTTGAGCTTCTTCACTTTCTTTTTTTAAGCGCCTTATCCGGTAATTTGCTTTCTGCTTTGGCCTTTTTTTCCGCCTTGGCTTGAGCTTTTAACTCATCTTTCAACTCCTTCCGTTTTGCTTCTTCTTGCGCCTTTACTTGCGCTTTCCTTTCCACCTCAATGTTTTTCACCTCTTTTTGCGCTTTCGCTTGCACTTTCTTCCAATCTTTGAGCTTTGTCTTTGACTCTTCTTGCGTTTTGAATTCAACCCGGTCAGATATTGTTTCCAAAAAGTTATTTGCTCCCTTTACACAATTCACTTCTTGTCCGGCTTTGGAATTAGCCTGCAACCGACAACTTTGGTTGACTTCACTTCCGCGCAGGGTCTCGTCGATTAGCACGTAAGATACGCCCATCAAAGCTAACAGCGCAAACTTAGACGACAGAAGGACAAAGAACATCGATAACGCGGCGACTAAAGCGGCTTGGCCAGTACCACTCTTAATATGGTGAGGACCAGTTGACAAACTCAGTGACGCTGAGTATTCTCGTGGAGTTTCAGTTTTCTCCACCCAGTCGATTGGCTCAGCAAGCGGATATAGTTTTGGGCGAGCCATCAACGTCTTCAGTCGTAGTTTGTCTCCGCTGCGTCCTATCTTTCTCCATGTTATCTTTTTATTTCGCAATCCATACTTCTGTATCCAAGTGGAGTATTCATCCTCAGGCCATCCTTCGTAGAAGTATTCTTCGCTTTCTGTCACCGTGGGATGAACCAGAACAATCTTGCGTACAGCGTATTGACCAATTTGGCCCCGAACAATAGGCTCCTCTATCGCTTGGTAATTTGTGAGGCCCGATGGATGGAAGCGTTCAGGTGGTGGGGGTAAAAGCACCGTGACTTTTTCGCCTCTGGCTATGTGCCAAGCGAAGACTGCCGAAGCACCACGGACATATTGAATCCAATGATGGGGTGTCATTTTCGACTTCAAAGATTCTGGATGTTCTTTGTCCATCAACGGACCCATTGCTGTGGTTAACGTCTGGAGATGATGGTTGTCAGCCCATTTCTGGGCCTTGTCGCGAGGTACACCACTCCAGAGGACTTGACCGTTGGGAATCCAATCTTCCGATTGAAATCGCTGAAAAATCTGCGCTGCCTCCTCTGCGTTCAGGTACTGACTGAAAAGCATGACGAGCGGTGTCTGAGGCGGCTTTCCGGTAGAAAGCCATTGAGAAATGTCTTCAAGATCCATCAAAAATGACTGGCGTAGTTTCAGTGTGGAGGATGGATGTGTGAAAGGTATCAATACTGAGATGGCGAAAAAGCCTTTGTATATAATTGGGAGAGGAATGAGGGATGATTTCTCGTCAAGTATGTGACGTCAAGATTCCGATGCCACACCTGAACCCGGCAACGGCTCAACCTCCTAGGTTCTTGGGGTACTGTGCTTCCAAAAAAATAAAAAGCGCTGAAAGTCTAGCCCTTGAAATTCACTAAACATTGTAGATACTGTGTTACTCTTGTATAATATATAACCCTCAAAGTTCTATTCTCTTGGTCTGACTGAATGAACGGTCAACCGCCAGATAGTGGTATTGGCGCGCCAAATCAAATATCTCTCGAGGCATTCGTTTTAAGGATATTCTGACATGAGGCTCAGTGACGTCTTTGAAGTGATTTCCCAGCCTGAAACGGCGACGAATATCAGGTTTCCCGATATAATGGTACATGTTTCCTTATCATCGTTTCACAGACCATGGTTTCCGGAGGTTTTTCGACGTTATGCCTTTAGTTCACTGTCCGATTGTTCTGATGTCAGGAAAATGGTGATCAGCACCGTATTTACTCAAACGGTACTTCTGAGGTTTCCGAGGATATGGTATTGGGTATTAGGATTACGCGTACTTTTCACCACCTTTTCACCACCTTTTCACCACCTCGGTTATGTAACATCCGAGTCACAGGTATCCTCGAGGGTATTTAACCCCCTCGAACCCCCAGCAGCTGTAGAGGACGAGTATCAACACTTGTCGGAGCAAGCTGAGACAGTACTGGCTGGTAATCCTAGTAGGCGAGTAGGGTCGAGGATGAGGTCAAACGGAACCAATTCAGAACGATCGAGTTGATTGATTGAAGAAAGAGCGAAATATCATGGAGCAGGTTGAAATACTCCCCATGGATGGTTAAGGTACACGGTGTTACGACAGCCGCGATGCCAAGGATACCAAATTACTATACAAAACATAAAGGAAAGTGGGTCACTGAGTACAACCTAACTGGGGTCCCACGTATGACTCTTCATACAACGAAATATAGGTCTCCCACTCCTAGGAACTCCACTGTTCGTCCATTGTTCTTTGCTCCTGGGAACTTCGATCTTCCCCCCACCAACCCCAATCACGTTAAGGGCGTCTCAAGTTTAATTATAGACCAATTTCTAACGTGGTATATAACATATCAACTTGGTCCCCTTTTTCCAGTACACGTGGATTTTTTCGTTCACCTCTATTGCACTATCGACTCCAAAATCATTTATTTGGCCCACGACCGTACCCGAAGACTTTGAAGCGTCATAAACAATTGAACGCCAGCCTTGGCGACGACTACGACCAGCGCGTCAAAAACAATTCGACTGGGCCCGCCGTTCAAATATAAGCGCCCCAAGCCCTTGCCCCTTAGGAGAAGCCAGCTCAGCGAAAAAGCTAGGAAAAGACGGTCAGCGAACTCGATCTCCCATAATTCACAGTCCCACGTTTGTCTACAGGGACTTTCGCTAACACGGTATCAGCAGTGGAGATTGGAGGAATTCCAAGGCAATTCTCGCCATGACGGAGGCCAGAGTACTTGAGTGTCTCGACTGATGAGCCGTAGATAAAAAAATGCGGCGCGCGAGCTTGCTTCTACAGGGAAGAACAAGTCGCGTGTTATGCATATCCACAATCAATTCATCTCTATAGAACATTCACATTCATGAGCCATTTTATGAAAGGCAGCGTCATACATCACGTGCCCTGTCTATAATCTAAGCAAAAGTCTTAACCTCGCCCTCCTTCAGCTTGCCGGCCTCCACGAGACGCTTGGACTCATCGGCCCAGGCGGCCTTGACAGCACTGCCGTCCTTGCCAGCGACGGTCAGGCGCGAGGCCAGCTCGGCAAGCTCGTCGACGTCAATCTTGCCCATGACAAGCTCAACGTCACCCAGGACAGCGTCAACCTGCGCGGCGGAGGCCTCACCGTCAGCAAAGTAGTTGACGTCCTTGACGGAGGACTTGAGAACACGCTTGTTCTTCTTAGCCGCGTTCTTCGCAGCCTCCTTGGCCTTCTTCTTCTCCTCACGCTCAGCCTTAGCAGCCTCCTCGGCGTTCTTCTTGGCGGCCTCGGCCTCGGCCTTGGCGCGCTCACGCTCCTCAATCAGACGCTTGGCCTCATCCTCCTTGGCCTTACGCTTAGCATCCTTGCCAGCACGAGCCTGCTGCTTGAACTTCTTGATACGCTCGTCTCCGGCAAGACACTCGTCGACCAACTCACGCAGACGGGCGATATCCTCTGACTTGCGCTTTCGGCGGGCGTTCGCATTCTTCTTCTCGGTGTGACGCTTCTGGTCACGACCCTCACCGTCATCGGGAATGTCCTCGTCGAGATATTCGAATGTGCGCCAGCTGTCGAAGTTGTACCAGAAGTTGTAGAAAGTCTCGACCTCTTGCTGGGTGGAGTTCTCGTCACCGAGCTTGGGCACGGGCTGCTTGTTGGAAAAGCGACCCTCGGCCTCGAAGACGGGTCCCCAGAGCTTGTAGAAGTTGCCCTTCTGGAGGTCTTTCTTGCTTGGGGGTCGATATCGGCAGCCTCGTCGACGGAGTCGAACTGGCGGCGGCGGACGGGGTCCAGGAGCAGCTCAGTGGCCTTCTGGATGCACTTGAAGAAGTTGTCGTTTTCATCACGCTGGCCCATGGCAGCCTTCTTGTCGGGGTGATGACGCAGGACCTTCTTGCGGTGCGCACGCTTGATCTGCTCGGGGGTCGCGCGCCAGCGGTACTTGGTCAGACCGAGAACGGCATAGTGATCCTGGGCCTAAAGTGGAGATTAGTAAAAGAAGTGAAACTTCAGCAGTTGTCAAATGTTTGCAATCACTGACCTTCCAGTCCTTGGCCTCACGAGCGAGCATCATGGGATCCTCATCCTCGGAGATGTCCTCATCCTCCTCATCCTCGGTCTTCTTGACGTTCTGCTGAGCCTGGATGCGCTCATCTTCAGAGAAGGTACGGGCGTGACGCTTCTATAGAATTGATCAGAAAATTGTCGTACGATCAATAGAGATTAGATCCAACAATGCACATACTCTGCGGGCGTGGGCAAGGAAGTGCGGGCCCACGGGCTCAATGTTGCGCTGGGTGGCAGCGGAGAGAGCGCCAACAGCCTTGAAGTCCTTCTCGGCAGTCCAGCCCGAGGGCAAAGAAGGGAGAGAAACGTTGACAACCTGCACAAATGCCATTGCGATTTTGATGTGGTTGAGGGGTTGGAGCTCAATGTTGTGGGAGCAATCAGCGGGTTGGGTTTTTCGCCCGCAGTTTTTTTTTTCTGCCTCTGCTCGCCGCCTGCCAATCGACAGTCGGATGATCCCGTCATGGGCATTGGAGGCCTCGACACTTGCAAATTCACTTTTGTTGCCTTGACGACGTCTTACAACTCACGAATCTAGACGGACTTTGATCGATCTTGATTTTCAAAATGTCCGCTCCTAGTGCCACTGCCTTGAGTGCATATCGCCAGATTCTTCGCGCCACCCGCATCGCATTCAGAGGTTAGTGTAGCGCCGCTTGCTCCGGCTGTTCCTCGGTTGGAACCCATTGCTTACAAGTTGCTGTTGCCCAGATGATCTACGTGTGATGGTCGCCGCGCGACAGGAGGCTCGTCGCAATTTTGATCAGAATCGACGTGTCGGTGTTGACACTGGCATGCACATCAACCACGCTCTCGAGGTGGCCAACATTCTCCGACATAATATCGTGCAAGGTGCTCGCGAGGGAAATGACGAATCCGCAAAGTGGCGTATGTTTCTCATCGTATCTTCTTGAAAGACTCGGTCTTATCGAATGTTCCATTCAATGAGACGTTCTTCACCTTTAGGATTGAAGCTAACATACCTCGTGATAAAGAACTCCGAATCCACGACGAGATCGAGCGGGGTGACAACGATTCGATCAAGGTCGGCAACAAGGACGTCAAGATCCATAAAGCATGCTCATCTTAGAGCGCCTACGTAAAAACTCGCACTCTGGCGCCTTGCAACTTCCTTCTGACACGCGGAACCATATGAACTATATCGACTCACAGTTGATCGAGACGGGGGAGGTCAAGAACTTCCGTCGTTACAAGACTGGAACATGTACAATAATATACCCGACTTTTTGTATCATTGCTGGCGTCTCGGGGTACTTTTGATTTGAAAATATTGCATACACATACATACAGACTCCAGAAAAAATCCATTTCAACGCCCGCTTATTGGAAATCGTATCATGCAAACCCCATGTTGTGGCGATCCTCAATCGAAGTGAGCAAAAGAAGAAGGAAAGAAGTGCTCGACTCGCATATCTTAGTCGCCAGACATACTAGCATACTGCACGGAGCCCGAACCAGGAGGGGGTGCCACTGTGTAGGGTTGGCTTTGTTCCTCTTGATTGGCAGCTCCGCCAGCTGCTGCGATGGCTTTCTTCTCAGGACCGCCCTTTGCTACTGGTCCCACAGCAGCCCGACCATCACGAGCATTCCTCATACGTTGCTCTCGGTCCATATTATCCAGGGGCTTGGGCTTGCCCCACCGAACTCGAAGGGGGCAGCCATTGACAACAGCTTTGCCTTGGCATCTCTCAGCGGCAGACTCGGCGTCGGCACGTTTGACATAATTCACGAAAGCGCAATGCGAGCGGTGAGAGCACACAAGTGAGCGCAGCTGACCGAATTCAGCGAAGAAGGAACGGAGTGAATGTTCAGGGAGATCGTCTTCCACACCGGTGATGAACAAAGAAGTCACGTTGGGATCGGCTGGGGGTTTGATGTCTTCCGCCGAGGGAGGCAACTGTGCAGTACTGGGGAATGGACGACCTCCACGGCCACCACCGCGACCTCCGCGGGCACCTCCACGACCGGGAAGCCGGTTGCCTAGACGGCTCTCGCTGGTGCGGACGGGACCAGGCCCGTTGCCATAGCGAGATTGTGTTCGTGCAGAGTCCGAGGGGCCTGCCTCCTCGGTCTCTTCGCCTTCAGGGTTGGATGGACCTTCGATCCGACGTGGTCTGCGATAGTAAGGTTTGCTGTTGGCGAGTCGGCGCAACAGCTCCCGAGCTTTGTCGTCTGTCTTCTCGTATTCCTCCACCGCACCGATACCATCCTCGATATCCTTCTCGTGGTTCTGCGCATAGTATTCGCGGTTGATAGAGCTTTCTGGGCCGGGTGCGACCATCTTGAGTGCCGCATCACGGACTTGTAGCGGCAGGCCAAATGACAAATCCAGCATGCAACATTGGCAGCAGTTCTTCAGACGTGCGCAGGTCAAACAGATGTTGGTTCGCTTCTGACGCGAGGTCCGGTCGGCCTTCCATCGGAAGATTGTGAAAGGTCGAGTGCACTATTGACGACGCTGTTAGCGAGAGTCCCGGGTTCTGCAAAGCATCGAAAGAGATGCAATATACTCACAATCTTGCATTCTGCGCCATGATCCTCCTTCAGCATCTGCACATAGGGGTTCTCCGGAAGACAATTCTCACAGACCGAGGGAAAGTCGGTCGACTCCCATCCGGAGCGGTTGAGATCATGCTTGATTTGCGGTGGCATAGTGAGACGGTGATGGCGTGAGCTTGGTCACTCGCGGAACTTTCGTCGATGGGCAGCCGGGCAAAGACGATAGGACTGTGGCGGTGTGTGGCTGAAAAACCCACGTGATCTTGATATGGTTGTTGACAAGATAGTTGGGGTAAAGGTCTGAGATTTGAAAGTCGGATAGCGAGACCAGCGTTATTCCCGAAAGATCTTAGAGCAAAAGGCAAAGTTCCTAGTAATAATTGTACATGAGTATCGCTGACGACCTTCATCTGCACGCTCGCACGGGTCGGGATAGTCGTGCTGCTTCGACAAGAGTATACCTGCCAGTCTCCATTTCGCGATGTACGACACATACTGCGCTCCCCGCAAGATCAGTCCACCCACTGATCTCGCCGGGCCCTTTTCCTTCCGACGCAGCCACCGCCCGGAAATCCTCAGTCCCGCCGCTTGACCGGACGCTTTCACGTGATTGGGTCTCTGTTTGAACTCTTGGTCCCCTGCTTGTCTCCGCCGCCAGGGGCATGTGATTGGCCTGGTCGATGGTCGGTCCGCCAAAAAGTTGACCCTCCTAAAAGGTGCACTCCCTATTTATCCTTCGAGGACACCTTCCACTCACACGATATTTCTGGTGGACAGTTCTAATTCTTGTTCGCTTCTTCTCAACAATTGGAAAAGCTTTGATTGTTGTTGTTGTTGTTGTTGTTTGTTTAACCCTACGGGCTACTGACCCCTTTTCACTCCCCCTCAAAACCTTCTACCTATTCCGATCTCTACATTTCCCATCCTTCCCCCCTTTTCTCAATACCCACTTCCTCACTTCTTGACGATGGCTCCCACTGCTTTGGAACGCGAGGATGTCGCGCGCGATGCCGCCTTCAACCAGGCCATGCATGGCAAGTCTGCTAAGGCTCGCGGTGGCTTGACTGCGCTGCGCGCAAAGGACAACGCGGCCCAGAAGGCCGCCGTTGACGAGTACTTCAAGCACTGGGATAACAAGGGTCATGAAGAGGAGACCGCCGAGGTCCGCGAGGTGAGTTGGCGAGCAATTGATTGGGCCTCATAATTGGAAATACATGTCTGACTGACTCTTTTCGTTAAACAGGCTCGCCGCAAGGAATATGCCACTCTTACCCGACAGTAGGTGATCCTGAGCTCCCCTCTAGCCCTAGGTTCTGCTCGTGTCTCAAGCCCCGTGGCTCCCTTGAACGCAAATCCCATTTACTAACGGTCATCCAGCTATTATAATTTGGCTACCGATTTCTACGAATATGGCTGGGGTTCGTCTTTCCACTTCTGCCGCTTCGCGTACGGCGAGCCCTTCAACCAGGCCATCGCCCGCCACGAGCATTACCTGGCCCACCAGACTGGTATTACTGAGAATATGAAGGTTCTTGACGTGGGTTGTGGTGTCGGTGGGCCTGCTCGTGAGATGGTCAAGTTCACTGGAGCGCACGTCACTGGTCTCAACAACAACGACTACCAGATTGACCGCGCTACCCACTACGCTGTCAAGCAGGGTCTCTCGGAGAAGATGGCCTTTGTCAAGGGTGATTTCATGCAGATGAAGTTCCCCGACAACACCTTCGATGCCGTTTACGCCATCGAAGCCACTGTCCACGCCCCTGAGCTGGTTGGTGTCTACAGCGAGATCTTCCGTGTCCTCAAGCCCGGCGGCAAGTTCGGTGTCTACGAGTGGTTGATGACCGACGAGTACAACAATGAGGACCCTGAGCACCGCCGTATCCGTCTTGGCATTGAGCAGGGTGACGGCATCTCCAACATGGTCACCATCTCCGAGGGCTTGAAGGCCATGCGCGATGCTGGCTTCGAGCTCCTTCACCACGAGGATCTGGCTGCCCGCCCTGACGCTACCCCCTGGTACTACCCGCTGGCCGGTTCATTCAAGCACATGGGTTCCGTCTGGGATTTCTTCACTATTGCTCGCATGACCTGGTGGGGTCGTGGCATCGCTCACCGTTTCGTTGGTGCCGGTGAGACCATCGGACTTTTCCCCAAGGGCTCTCAGAAAACCGCCGACAGCTTGGCCCTGGCTGCTGACTGCTTGGTTGAAGGTGCTCAGAAGAACCTGTTCACCCCGATGTACCTCATGGTCGGCAAGAAGCCCGAGTAAATGTGACATTTTAAAGAATGTCGTCCGGTCTTGTATGATCTCCGTGGTACTCACCCGGCTCGTGTTATGAAGATTCTCGCGCTCAGCTTTGCTTACAAAACCTCCATCTTCCTCTCGCTCACCTGTGATTTTGAGGCCGAAATCCGACTTTTCGTCACTATTCTACCCTTGAACGTTCTGATGCTTTTTACCTTCTTTTCTTGTCTTTATTCAAATACCTCTTCTGTTTCACGGCCCACAAGGTCAAGTTGGTTTGGGATAGCCCTGCTCTTCAGACTCGGTCGATCTTTGGCTCTATCTTGATATGTGGTGACGCTTGTTACTTTCTGCCGGACCCATTTCAGTTTCTCTCCCCCTCCGCCCCCCCTGTTACAGTCATAGATATGTAATTTTCCTCAAGCAAGACTAATGAATCAAGAACTGGCGTTTGGTATCGCCAAGGTTTCGGCCAACTTTCAATGAAATGATGAGATTTCAAGTATTATAATTGCCAGTTCCTCGAGTACAAAGAACGCCTGACCGTTGTACGCAATTCAATCGATGCCTTGATTCGCTCGTCCATTGGTCTGGATCTTGTCCAATCGCTCGAATCCACAACTTCATCTTCATGACTCGGTTTGTTATTGCTTCAGAGCCTTTAGCCTGCACATACCCGATCTTGGATGACCGCAGATACCCAACACTTCGTTTGTACCTCCAACATCGCCACATGTATCTGAGCAAAGTCGCCGCATTCATCCACTTAATTCGGGAATTGGAATTACTATACTTTGACCCTCGTGATCGATGAGTGTTTTGGATCATCCGGATCTTGCAGTGGTCCATGTAAGCCACCGAGTAATTGCAGCATTTCTTTGTTTGTTCCGGTTTCTTCTTTGTTGCCGACACCTGGCAGCGGGGCTCCCAACTGTGAGTAATCGGAAGAAAACGACAGGAACAAGGCTGCCTCCAGCTCTTTTGAAAAGACATATCTACCTCATAAAGCTTTCCTCCTCCGTGTCAGACTTCTTCTCCTTCCACATACAAATCCATACTCAACAGCCAAGCCCGTCTCCCCAACAACCCAACCCACCAACCCATCACAATGGAAGAAGAACAACCCAACACCGCCGCATACGAGCTCATCAGCGCCTTGAATCCAGACGCAGACCAGGAAACCATGCGCATCCTGGAGAATCTCAATCCAGCAGACCGTTCCCTCTTCTCACTCCTCGTGTGCTCTCCGGGAGGACTCTGTGCCACCGATCCAACGGCCTTGAAGACGTTCTTCAAGTACATACAAGCCGGTCGCGCGCTTTCTGACAGTCTGTCTATGGCTCCCATCCAGCAGGTTCATGCTACCAAGACGCTTGTTCGTGTCTGGCATGCTGGGTTGGAGCGTGAGATGGCTGAAATCGAGGATCCTACATATTGATTTGTAGGTATGTGGTTGAATGAAGTCGATAATTGGACTGGGATCTCTTTTACTGACTGGCGCGAGATCTTCTTCGACATTGTGTGTGTGCTTCTATCTTTTTGCGAAGAGGAGACTATCACGTTTTCCATGCGGGTAACTTTGGGGCAACATCGTGGTGATGATCGTCGGTATCAGATTGGGACATATCTGTCACGTTGGGAGATGAATGAGGGGATTGTGGTGAACCGTCAATCATGGTGCTGTTTCAGGTGGAATGAAGAATTATTCAGGTTATCAGGCCGTCCGGCCGAGAAACGAAGTTATTAGATCCCAACATCCGAGGGAGTCTCATACATGGAAGTACCGCAATTCATGACCACCTGCACCTGATATGAACTATGCAGTCAATTCCCACGAGAATTCTCTCTACAAGGAGAGAAGATGTCAGTAGATAGGCGCCCACGGTAGTACCTCGCTACCTTACTCAATTTGGCAATTAATCCACACGGCTCTCGATGAATACATTAAGAGACTCGTATCAACTAAGTCGGGACATCTCCGCGTGGGATCATCAATGCTTTCTCTTGTCTACCCTGCACCCGACAGTAATGCTAAATTGAGCGATGAGATACCTTACGACGGTCTGGGTGACGACATTTCCATTTGCGCAATACGTGAACTCTGGCGTGTCCTCGGGATCAATATCCATGGCTGACTGCATCCACAATTTGCCTCTTTGAGTCAGTAACCCGTCGTACTGTAGGCCGTAAGGGACAATAATTAGAATGTGACAGTTCTGAGATCAAGTTCCAATTGTAAGAGCCATATGATATTATATCTCCATCCATCTCTGCTTGTTATCGAGTATGCAATTCTGCCAGTCCCAGCTCCGGTAGAACCTCACACTCATTAGCCTCACATTTTTCACAATCCCTTTCTGCCCTCTTCCGGCCTGGCTGCACAGTAGCCCTTCGACTCCCTTCAAACATTATCATACTCTGAAATTCATCCGACCGGGTTCAAAATTTCTTCTGGTCTGGTTCATGATCGATCAACTCCGACCGAGAGCGCTGGAAATACGAGGCAGGCTTTCGCAAGTTCCAGAGATGATAGAAGCGCGTGTTCTAGACTATGATGTCAATGGCCATGCGCGTCTACCATGCCGCCTCAGTGTCATGTAAGCCGGAGCGTGCATACGCTTACCCATCTGGGTATCATCACAAATCATTCAAGGCTCACTTCAGTCGGGCATCACAGCCTTTTCTTTCCTCACCAGACCATAACTCCGGAGACAGGTGCCACATTCAGCGATGTCGCCGTCGGTCAACACCTCAATATGGACGAGGATAAGAAACCGAGCGCCACCATTCTCACTCACCCCGGCCAAAAGGGGCGGAGTCAAGGCTTGGCATCAAGGTGGGCGGGTTTCGACTGACTTGATTCCATCCCCTGCGGTTCTTACCGCATGCAGCATTCGAGTATTGGGGGTCGGTCATGGCAAAGAACCCTTAGGATCGACATGCTCCGTGCCTGCCTCTTCTGTCGAGACGCTTGGCGCTCTCCGCGCTTTCACGATCAGGGTCACGGCTGAGATTGATGGTATAGGCTTTTTGGATTAGTGCTGATTTCTCCAGAGCGGCATGGACGCAGTGGCTCAAAAGATGAACGAATGAATGGCGGCTGGCTTCGTCGATCTTAGTTCAGGGTCCTCTGAACAACAAATGGTCGACTGGTCGAGGTCTTACTGCGAAATGCTGTGCATCTCGGGCTCAAGTCCTTTGACGTCATTTCTCTTAATACGCCCGGAGGGAATGAGCATGACACGAAGAGTTGACGCTATAAAGAGTCCAGCAGAGACCATGCTGTATCTCCAAGGCAGTATCTTTTCATTTATCAGAACAATCTCCGCTTGATATACACAGAACGGTACTGTACCTCTGCCGCCACGACTCAGGATGAGGTCAACTCAATTCTTTCAATGCTGGATGATCCTGGCCAGTCTTATCTTCCCCAGCCAAGTCACTCTCGCTAAAGAGACCGAAGACAACTGCTCCGTCTTCGACTGGAATCACAAGCCCGCTACGTCAAATTCTCAGAGTCCGCGCCCAGTGAGCGCTGCGAAATACTGCCCGGCACGCTCAGACGAAAATTCTAAAGGCCAGAACTGTACCCTGACTGGCAATGGTACTATGAACTTTCTGTTCAGCGACAACACTACAGAACCCGAATACCATCCTTGGTTGGCCGATCTCATAGAGCGAACTTTGTCCACTGCAAATGTGGATATGCCCGCTCCCCATTTCAACCGCTCGGTCAATGCTACTATCGAGCAGACGAAAAGCCTGCAGCCTGGCCAGGCAGGGTTTATTGCTTTCGAGGCCGCGATGTTCTGCTACGAGGGCGCCCTACAAAAGTGCACGGGTAATATCAAGGACGGGAGCAGAGCCAGGATTTGTGCTCCGCTTTGGAGCAAGCGTGGTGATCACGTCGTTGTCACCGGTAATTATTCCGTGGTCACAATCGACAAAAACCAAGTTGAGAACTACCCTGATCCATACACGTCCACCTCCGGTGGCATTTGGAGCTCCAAGATACGTGGAGATGTCCTGGCTATCGGGTTGGCTGTGTCTTTGTTGGCCGTGCTGGCTGTTTAAACCCGGGGTCTTGAATTGGGGGGGGGGGGTGGGGGTTGTTTCTCGTCCTATGACATGTTGTATGCATTGAAGAGTACTGATGATATTTGAGCTGCGCGGTCATATATGAAAGTTACGTTTGAGGTTGGTAGCAGTTCTACCTAGTACCTATCCACATTCGAGCCACCGGTAGCTACTGCTACTACTAGTCTGTTACTATTGTACCTGGAGATCCCATGGGGCCAGTGGTGCTCCACCCGATTTATGGTACCATGACGGCTGACGATGAATCTGAAGCTTGTTTCGAGACTGAATCCACCGGATCCGCCTACCTACTTCGCCAGTGGAGTAACTGCTATAGTCAATCCGTCCAGTACCGTCGCAATGCTTCATGTTCTACGCTCCCCGTAATTGACAGGGACGCCGGAGGTTATGGGCGTTGGCAAAGCCGAGCAAGTCACCTCGTTTTGGCACGTCCAGACCGCCACGAACAGCGAATTAGAAGAGGAACATCCTGCCAGGACGACGGGTAACGGGACGAACGGCGGTTTCGAGGGTAGTCACGTGATAACCCCCCTTGATTGGGACTCAACACCGCCCCACCAATCAATCAGACAGCCAGAATTCTGCCGGAAGTGAGATCCTGGCTCCAATGTAGCGTCGCTTCGTTCTGCAACTAGCACACAGTACCTGAGTACACACTAATATACGCAGTACACACTATAAGGTACACAATCATTCATGACCAACTATGAGCTCTATACCTGCTTGCCCCCCGGAGCTAGGTTCATCTTTTCCATGGACAGAAAATGCGAGTAAGAAGGTGCTCACTAGATTACCTCTCTTATGCACCCGATTTGCTAGTTCGTCTCATTGGGCCTCAACGAATAGAGACCTGAAGAGGTCGGCCCCTACTCCACGCACGGGGGAGTTCGTTAGTGCTTTTTCTTGTTGGAGTTGTTCCCTAGAGTGGTTGCCAAGTAAACGACCTGTTACGACCCTGGGAAGTGTGTAACGATGATTTCATCCGCGCAATATGTCATGGTCGCTTCCAAAGGATAATCATCTCAACGGACGTAAATGAGAGGAATCCCCATCACGGATTGTATCGATTATTTCCCTCTTTGAGTAGGCAACCCCTTGTACTGCCTATTGCGATCGTAGATGCGTGACATTGTCGAGGCCAAGTGCTGTTAGGCATAAGCATGGACCGTTTTATCTCGCTCCATCTATGTTGGATGTCTAGCATGTGATTCTGCCACTATCTAGCTCCGGCAGAACCCCGTACATATTACATAATACATGAACGGATCAATTTACCTTCCTACTCTTCCCTCATTCAGGTTGTCTGTGTTGCAGCCCTTTCCATACCAATGATCTGGTTAGATAATATGACATCTACCCGATTGGGCTCGGCATTTTTGCTGGCATGGGTCCGTGAACGGGTGTTGCCCGAATAAATGCGCTGAAACTATGGACATGCCCTTCAACTGCTCCCAAATGTATGTGGAAGTGCACGTTCCTCCTGGACTATGATGTCGATGATGTCGTCCGTGTCTGCCACTCGGTCACACCGCTGAGTGCCATGGAAATCGGAGCGTTCACACGGTGGTTTATCTGGGCAATTACGTCTTTCGTCGCACTCGACCTGTGCACCACCATTCTCCCATCGCTCGACATGAGCCCTGAAACAGATGCCACAGTGAGCCATGTCAACACCAGCCGTAACCTCGACATGTTCGACATGATTGAGAATAAGAAACCGAGCGGTAGTTCGAGGGGCCGGGGGCCAAGACTTGGCGCCAAGCTTACAACCCCCCCTGACTGATCCGATTCGATCTCCTGTGGTTCTCTCAATATGCAGCCTCCGAGTAGTTTTGGGGGCCGTTTGTGGCAAGCAACCACTCAAAATGCCACGCTTCACACATGACTCCCCTGTTGAGACGCTTGGCGCTGTCCACCGCGCTGGATCAGGTCAGGTCAGGGTTCGGAGTCTGTGGACATATCAAAAGCTCTCAGAGGCTGAGGCACATGGTACGGAACTCCTGGGGCACTGTGATGTGGCGGTCTCCATAGCGGTGCGAGTGCAGGGGCCCAAAGACTGACAAGTGGACGATGGCTTCGTTCGTGGATCTTGGTTCAGGGTCCCCGGACAGATTGGCCAGCTAGCTAATGTCTTTTACTGCGACATGCTGGTCATCTGCCCCAGCGCACTCTTGGCGAACCTCCTGTTTGACGTCACATTTCTCAGTATGCTCCGAAACCCGATGAACTGGACTGTAATAAGCAGAGCATAAAGCAGATACGATATAAAATCCCGACAGGTGTCAGACTGTATCCCCAAAGCTGATTGACTTCTTTCCTCGAAGCAAACTCCGCTCGACACACCCAGAAAGGCACCGTACCTCTGCTACTGCCAGTCAAGATGAAGTTGACACAACCTTTCAACTGCTGGATGATTCTGGCTACTCTCCTCTCATGTGGTCAAAGCACTTTCGCTGAATACACCGAAGATCCATCAAAACAAGAGGGATGTACCATCTTCGACTGGAACCACGAACCAGCTATGATGAGCGCTCAAAACCTCTCTCGAATTGGCGCAGCACATTATTGCCCTTTACACTCAAACGAAACTTTCCAAGGCGCGAACTGTACCATAACCGCCTACGGCGACCAGATGTTCACGCTCAGCGACAACGTGACTTCTACGTACCGTGCGAGCTGGGCTAACCTCGTGGAGCGAACTCTCTCTGCCGAGAATGTGACCATGCCCGCTCCGCATTTCAACGACACGATCATCGCCACTGTCGAGCAGACGCGTATCCTGCAGCCTGGCCAGGCGGGATATATTGCTTTCAGCGCCGCGACGTTTTGCTATGAAGGGGCTCTCCGAAATTGTACAGGGAAGGTCAAGGAGGGTACCATTGGAAGATTTTGTGCTCCGATTTGGAGCCAGCGTCGCGATCATACCGTTGTGTCTGGGAACTACTCCGTGGTCACTATTGATAAAGACCAAGTCTCGTCCTACCCTGATCCGTTCAAAAGCCAGTCTCGGTCTGGTGGTGTTTGGAGCTCGGAGATACGGGGTGATATGTTGGCGACTGGGTTGGCCGTGTCTTTGTTTGCAGTTTTGCTTGTCTAGGACTTCAGACCGGGAGAGGTGAAGCTCTCCTTTTCATTAGACCCTGTCTCAATCAAGATGCACTGTTGGATGTATGACCCAGACAATTACCAATGAAAGTCATGTGCGGCGGTACTTCATCCGATCTTCCGTGGGCGGCTGATGGATACATAGCTTAATCTGAAACTTTACCATCGGGATCCGCACCGTTATAAACATGTGTGGAGAGCTCCAGGCAGTCTTGCACTTTGGAGCCATCATGTTCCTTTTTCATACTTACGAGCCTACCTCAGCATGCTTCAACTACCTCTATATACCTATCTTACCTAGAAACGGGAGTAGTAGACCATGGAAATCTTGAATTATGACTCAGTGTCGGGTCGTGTCGGGTCGGATCGGCCCCGAAGCGATTGATCGGATCAGTGTTTTTTGCATACTTGACGATGGGCACCCAAAGTGAAAGACTCGAGACGTTTCAGATCCGATATCAAAGGCCTAAACCGTACAAATGGGCAGCTCACTGCTCCCGAGCATTCAAGTCAAACACGATCTTCCTAGGTCATGGTTCGAACTCGCACAAGATCAGTCATAAAATGTACCTCAGAGGATATAAGGTGAGGTGTTCGGCTCCAAGCGGGGCGGATCGCCCTGCTGGGGGGTTCTACATAAACACAACGGACGGGCATGACCGTGCTCCCGCTACCAAATGCGGAGAAAGCCCGCCTAAAGTGATCCCGTGACGGGAAGCTTCAGCAGCCAGCAGTACTTTACTGGTGAGTTAGCAGCTCGATGTCTTGCTGATTTGGTATTAGATGGGATTTGGATGTGTGTGAGTCACCGAGTTTGTTCAAGCTTCAACTACGCCAAGGGGTCCCGATTATAAAGTGCGCAACGCCTGGCGCCTTGGAGCAGGCTTACATCCATCCGTCGCACCTTGAGCTCAGTGTGTATATACCGTTTGAAGGGCTATACACTCTACGTCTAGAATAGCCTCACACTTTCTGTCTGAAGATTAGAATCTCACGAAAAGAATTCGAACTACAGTCGCTATGTTTACGGCGGAAAAACACTACCTTCAGAGATACCCAGATTCCAATGGCTACTTTGGTCAATTCGGCGGTAACCACTATCCAGCCGAGCTCCGCCCAGCGCTGGAAGAGTTAGCCGGGAGTTACGAGAAATTACACTCGACGCAAGAATTCCAACATGTTCTCACCAGGGCCCGAATCGGTCTCCAAGGCCGGCCCACCCCAATCCACTGCCTCGAGAACATCTCCAAGGAGATTGGCGGGGCCCAAATCTTCGTGAAGCGAGAAGATCTGAATCATACCGGGGCACACAAGATCAATCACTGTGTTGGATTCGCCCTGCTGGCCAAGAAGATGGGCAAGAAGAGACTTATTGCTGAGACGGGGGCCGGACAGCACGGGGTTGCTCTGGCCACCGCGGCAGCGTTCTTCAACCTCGAGTGTGAGATTCATATGGGCGAGGTGGATATTGCGAAGCAGAGCTCGAATGTTGGGCGGATGCGATTACTCGGCGCGCGGGTGGTGGCTGCAAATCAAGGCCAGTCTGCTTTGAAAGAAGCGAGTGATTCTGCCTTTCACGCATACGTACAGCAGCATGAGATTGCGCTGTATGCGATCGGGTCAGCTATCGGCCCACATCCGTTTCCGATGATCGTTCGCGATTTTCAAAGTGTCGTGGGCCAGGAAGCACGGAAGCAATTCTTGGACATGGCACAGGATGAAGATCGTCTGCCGGAGCACGTGGTCGCGTGTGTGGCTGGAGGATCGAATGCCATGGGGATGTTCTCGGGCTTTGTCGACGATGCCGAGGTGACTCTGCACGCGGTGGAACCGTGCGGTGTATCTGAACGGCTGGGTGAACATGCGGCGACTCTTTCGTACGGGAGACCCGGCACATTGCATGGTGCTCGGTCTGTGGTACTGCAGAGAGAGGACGATACACCTGCGCAGGTTTCCTCGATCGCGTCCGGACTCGCATACCCCGGCGTTGGTCCAGAAATGGCAATGCTTCACGAGACGGGACGTATATCGGTTGCCGCGGTGTCGAACGAAGAGGCCGTTGAGGCATTCTATAGAACGACTCGATCCGAGGGTATTATCCCGGCGTTGGAAAGTGCACATGCCCTGGCGTTTGCCTTTCAATTGGCAGCTCGGCGTCCCTCCTCTGAGAGGATCCTGGTGAACCTGTCTGGCCGTGGAGATAAGGACGTCGACTTCATCCTTGAGAACTATGGCGTAAAGGCTCCGGCGACAGATGCGAGCGCTGTTGGAAAGAGTTTGAATGAGGAGACTACTAACCACCTTTCCCCTTAAATGCTGGTCACAGTACAATTGAAGCTGGAACGCCCTATTTCAATCGCCCAGGGCATATACCCGGCCTCTTTACTTTTCGCTTTTTCAACAATAAGACTGTACCTGTGTGAAGGTTCCGGCACCGAGAAACACTTGCCTGTTTCCCGACAGCCAGGGCACCGTTTAGATTAGGGTGGTCAAAGGATCTCACGGCGAGGAATTCGATTTGCACAGAACGTAACACTAATGTCGTCAGTAGAGGTCTGATGTAACAGATCCGATAAAGCCTTGGCCATCATATGAACCATGGTGTGTTTGCCATACAAATCAAATGATAGCTTGGGAAAGGCCTCGATTTACTCCTGGCGTCTCACCAGGCCTCGGGATCTTTTGCCGGGGTCTTCTGACTCGTCTGCAGACTTCCACCTGTCTTTGTTCCGTTCCCTGCATGTACAGCACGTGTTTGGAAAGAAGGATCTGATAGCGGGAATGAGAATGTGGCATCATGGTATGTGCATCGGGTCAGATGAGGACTTCCAGAGACGGAATGTCGAGAGCACTGGAGTACCGTCGTCAATCTACCTAACTTACTGAGTTTGCCTTAGGTACGGTAGTTACGAGTCACGACTCCTGCAGCGAGCCATGCACGGACACACAGACCCCCGTCCACCACGAGCATACGAGGCCACGTGACCGTGCCGAGATGCCGAGCCCAGCTGGGTCCGATGCGCAGTCCCCAACCGAGTCCACTTGCCACTACAAAGAGGCATTGGGGTGTCGCGCTAGACCGCCGGGCTTTCCAACTGACCTCCACCACCTGCCCAAAACAGTGCAACCGACCGGTTCAGGCCGTGTTGGCGGCCATGACTCAACTGGCCCACAACTAACTACTCAATTGGAGGGGGGACCTCGGAGATAATCGTGAGTCCGTGACGATGTCAAGCTTTTTCGGATGCCGCCTATGAAAGAGCAGTGTGCAGTTGTGCACAAAACTCAGTCCGGGCAGCAGGGGAGCGGAGCGAGTGGAGCGCAAAGTCTCCAGTGCGATTCTCGATCCATTCTTGACAGCAAGCAACCCGGACTTAACGCTCCACGTAATGGCTAATCACCGCGCTTTGATCATGGAAAAAACAGAGAGCTTCCCTTCCTGTCCGTGGCTTTCGGCACCTCTCAGACCGCAACGGAATGAGCCGAATGATGGTAGGGTGGTATAAGTTCTAGACGCGCTGCACTCGGGCTGCCCGGTTTTTGGATTTGATTGCCGTTGAGGAGTCTGAAAGTGTTGGAATCATTGGCACATTGGCTTGTTTCTGCCACTACCTTCAGTAAACTGGTCGTCGAGGTTGACAAACCATCGATCGCTTTCTTCTCTCACGCTCCATGACTACTAAGGGTATCAAACTATTTCAATAGTACTTGACGCGATCGTTCGTTCCATCCGTCCAAGATCACACGATCCGTAGAAGGGACTCGGGTTGGTGGTATACGCAACGATGACAGCAGAGGTCGGCTCGGACCGCCGCTCTTCAACACCGCACGCGACCTCAACTTCAACCTCGGATGAAACCAGTTCCACCACCAGTGACCACGCATCACGAGGACCCTCATCATCAGAACGACGATCAGCCTCCAGGAGGTCCTCTCGGTCACAAAGCCAACGTCCAGAGGCAACCCGGGTGCATTCGGCCGCTTATCTCGATGATCATGCACTTTATCACAGTCACGAAGACAGCGATCATCGGGAGGAGGCGGCAAACGATGAGGAGGAAGATGGCTCTTCCTTGGACGCGACCAAGATCGAGACGGTGGAGGAAGTAAGAGGTGGGATTGTGAATGAGCGCGATGTCGATCTAGAGAAAAGTCAGGCGCCGGTAGAGGATCTGGAACAATCAAGGACACTCCGGTCGACCAAGTCACGTCATGGGGGGAAACTGGTGAGTACTGGATCTTCGAGAAGGGGTTGACTTTCGGTTACTCGCACTCTCTCTCTCTCTCTCTCTCTCTCTCTCTCTCTCTCTCTCTCTCTCTCTCTCTCTCTCTCTCTCCATTTCCTTCATGAACCACGAAACTAATACTCTCAAAAGGTAACATGGGATGGCCCAGATGACCCCGAAAACCCCAAGAATTGGCCAACGGGGAAGAAGTGGGCTGCGACGCTCACAGTGTCCATGTTCACTTTCATCTCGCCCGTCTCGTCTTCCATGGTCGCTCCAGCCTTGTCCACTATTGCCAGCCAATTCAATGTCACCGATCAGATCATTTCGCAGCTCATGCTTTCCATCTTCATCCTGGCCTACGCGGTGGGGCCTCTGATTCTGGGACCCTTGTCGGAGATCTATGGGCGCGCAATCGTCCTACAGCTGGCCAATGCCTTCTTCCTCGTGTTCAATGTCGGTTGCGCCGTCTCGCAGAACAAGACCCAACTGATTGTGTGTCGGTTCTTCTCCGGCCTGGGCGGCAGTGCCCCCCTTGGCCATAGGTGGTGGTGTGCTCTCCGATTGCTTCAGACCGGAAGAGCGAGGGAAAAGCGTTGCCGTTTATAGCCTTGCTCCGCTTCTGGGGCCTGCACTGGGCCCCGTGGCAGGAGGCTTCATCGCAGAAAACACATCCTGGCGGTGGGTGTTTTACTCTGTATCTATCGCGGACGCCCTGGTTCAATTCATGGGTCTCTTCCTGCTCCGCGAGACCTACGGGCCTCGCATTCTGCGCGACCGCGCCAAGCGGATCCGCAAAGAAACCGGCGACCCCAGCTGGAAAACGGAAGCAGAGATGCAGAAGAAGACTCTCACCGAAGTCCTGAGCGGGTCTCTTGTTCGACCCTTTCGTCTTCTCCTCACTCAATCGATCGTCCAGGTCGTCGCCTGCTACATGGCCTATATTTACGGACTGATGTATCTCGTGCTCTCCACTTTCCCCGTCCTCTGGACCAGCAAAGCATACTACAACGAATCCATCGGTATCGGCGGACTCAACTATATCTCCTTGGGCCTGGGCTTCTTCCTCGGCTCGCAGATCTGCGCCCCGCTCAACGACCGCATCTACCGCCGTCTCAAGGCCACAAACAACGGCGTCGGACGACCCGAGTTCCGCGTGCCTCTCATGGGCATCGGCGCCTTCCTCGTCCCCGTAGGACTCTTCATCTACGGCTGGACCGCCCAAACGCATTGCCACTGGATAGCGCCCAACATCGGCACCGTGCTCTTTGCCGCGGGAACAATCATCTCGTTCCAGTGTATGCAGACGTACATGGTGGATGCGTACACGCGGTACGCGGCGAGTGCGTTGGCAGCGTCCTCGTCGCTGCGCTCGCTCGCCGGGTTCGGGTTCCCTTTGTTTGCGCCTTATATGTATAACAAGTTACACTATGGGTGGGGAAATAGTCTGTTGGCGTTTATCTCGATTGCGATTGGGCTTCCGGCGCCGATCTTCCTATGGAAATTCGGCGAGATTTTGAGAAAGAGGAGCACGTATGCTGCTGGTTGAATGGGTCACCCGAGATTAGTTTTGGAAGGGTTTTTCTGATGTGGCTTCGTGCTCGAATCCAAGAGTTGATCTCTCAAAAAGAAATAAAAAGAGAGTCATTGAAGCGCTCAGCATTTTCTATACTCAAGTAATTATGACAACACCGGGAAACTTCTCCTCAACACCCCCGCTAGGTATCTAATTCGTAATCCCACTCTCCACGTGGCCGTGCTTCTTAGAATCATAGAATTAGTATTTGCCAGACTCAAAACTTTCTCTCGAAAAGTGCGAGGAGCACCGGAGGCGTGTCTCACCTGAGTACGGGTATACTTCACACCCAGATTGATCCCAGCAGGAACACTATACGGCACCGGGCTGGTATAGTTATAAGTAGGCTTCAGCCCCTTATAAGTCTTCTTGACCGCATGCAGGATCCCATGTCCAGCCGAGCAGCGTTCCTCCGTCGTAGGCACGGGCCACTCTGCCACAAAGTGCGTGTGCGACCCATCGGACAGCGGACCGGGCGACGTCTGATTGAAGTAATCGTTGGCATCGATCGTCTGGATGTCCACCTCCCAGTTGACGTAGCCCGTCTTGTCGGCGACAAGCTTGAATAAGTTGGCGCCGCAATCCCAGCGGCCCAGGGACGGCAGCCCCCAGTTTGCGCTCAGCGAGGCGATGACCGAGTAATGCGTGTAAAAGGTGTCATCCTGGGTGCCCTTGAGGTGTTTGGGGACGGCGCCGCCTAGCAGGATCGAGTACACGCGGTTGGACTGCTTGTAGGACGCGGTTTCGTCAAAGGTGAGCAGGATGAGGGTGTCTTTGGTGAAGTAGTCGTTTCTCAGGAGCGGAGTCATGAAGTTGTGTAGGAAGTTTCCGGCGACTTGGACGTTGGTGTCGTGGGCGTCGTTGGTCATGTTGGGGGTGATGAACATGTGTTGGGGCAGACGGTGGTGCTCGATGTCCTCGTAGAAGGTGGTGAAGTTCTTGATTTGGCGCGGGCGGACGGCGTCGTTGGTGACCGAGTCGAAGAGGACGAGGGGGTTATGTTTGCGCACGTAGCTGTTGGGGCCGGAGGCAGGGTACCGGAAGCCTTGGTAGCCTGATCGGGGAGAGGAGAAGAGATGGGTGTTAGTTGATTCAGCCCATTGAGACGACTGGCTCGGTCATGGGGGAGCCCTGGGCAGGTGGGTGGTGGGCATGACATACCGGCGTAGGGCATGTCCTCCTGGTACTCGCCCCAAGAAATGCGCTTGGTATCGAAGAGGTCGGCAATGGTGGACACATTTGCGGGGACCTGGTGCCAGGCATCGTTATCCATGCCAAAGTCATCACCGGCAGCAGAAGCGCAGTAGTTGGGCTCCGAAGGGTGGGTGACGGCGTAGTAGTTGGTAAGAAGAATACCTTCCTTGGCCAGAGCTTGAAAGTTGGCATCCGCCGCCGTGGTATCAAAGTCCTATGGGTGATAGTCAGTGGGGGAAGACTCAATATTTTTTGCGCGTAGTTACCACTCACGGTGTTCTCAATCCAGATGTTGACGAGCCGGTTGAATGCGGCACCCTTGACATTGGAGACCGGCGAAAAAGGGAGCACCGACTCACGAGCGGCCTCGATCTCAGCTGCAGTAGAATACTGGACAGATGAGGTGTCGGCGGCAGCAAGAGCCAGGCAGCTGGCAAAGGCAAACAGACTCTGCTTGGTGAACATGATAGATAACAAGGCCCTCTTTTCGGTTCTGGACATCTGTTGACCTGCCGGTTCGATGGCTGCACGAGTGGGAAGACTTTCTTTTCTTCTTCTTTTCGTTCGCCTGGCTGGATCATGCTGCCTTCTTATATCTCGAAAATGGTATCTGGCTGGCAATCCACGCGCAGGAATGAGGGTGCCACCCGCCAATCGTACCGGCCTGGAACGTCGTATCTATCTTCCCCTCTCCATCGCTTAGGGAGATGGATACGAGGGCGTCCGTCGCGGCCTTTGAGGGCCACTGACTCCGCCCAGACCGATGGAGATTCATCGTGGAAGCGAGGGACGTTGCATCGCAGATCAGCTTCACTGGTCAGCGGGCGCGATCGCGTCCAGTTCTTCAGGCACCATGCGGTCTTTGAAGGCGTGAGGCATGCTAGACTAGGAAGGGATTGGAAGGTCGAATCTCGCCGTTGACCATGACTGCGCAAAAGTTTCACTGGTGGGATGTTTGCGAGTGGATCTGCCGAAGGGCCGCAGTGGAGATGCAAATTGGCAGGGGTGCCTGGATGCACGTTGCGCCTCGTGCAGTGCTCAATGGCTGGATGATCGATAGGAAGATGATGGCCGAGATCTCCAACCGATGTATGCATGGGTAGTCGAAGCATGGAGAGGTCTGGATCCATACTCTGCTCGGAGGCTTGCTCAACGCATGTCGATGGTGGTTTCCATTTAGACACCACGACTGACATGACGAGCCACCTTCCACTGCGAGTCAGCTTTCTAAGCACACGCCAAGCATTCCGCCAAGCCATCCTCTTGATTGCGAGGGTGCTGCCCCGCCAGCTTCATCCGGAGGGCAAGAAAGGCAGATTGTAAAAGAATAACATAAGATCAGACATCTACAGAACTTTCCCTATCTCATTCTAGACCGAGCTACAATTCAGCCATTCCGAGACTCTGCGGTAACTCCGAGAATTACGAGGCCGCTATTCCTCGCATGGATTCCCCCGCAATGGACAGATTTCGAGAGAGATCACGTATGATAGTCGGGTCAAAAAACTTGCTCCTTGGGCTGAATCTCATACTGCTCTGCAGGTGGGAATTGTTGACTCTCTCCAATGAGTGTTAACTGTGTTGAGGATCCCGCCAAGCGAGTCGAAATTGGAACTCTCTGTGGACGTGATTCTGGAACCTTAGTAGGGTCGGGCGCAAGGCACGATCTTTCTTGGTCGGGAGAAACGCTCAAATATACTGTCTAGTAGATTCATTGGTAACTTGCACCTTGCGATGAGATACTCCAGAGATCTGGCGCATTTGATAGAGTTCCTGCACCGAATCTCGCAAATATGCCAACCCCATTGAGCACGGCTCGGTAACTACCACCTGGGAAAGCAAGGACAATGTCAGGTGAAAGACTCGGTCGCCGTTGTTGCGAAGGAAATATGGTGTGCATTGAAATAGTCATTTGCATTGATTGCGACTTTGATCAGCGGGGATTTTGAAATCGATCTGAAAGCAATCTATATACACAGGAACACAAAGAGAAGCCTACGCACTGGCGCAGTATACAGCTATTACCACAGGCTGTAGTTACAAAACTCAAGTTCTTCCATGTCAGAGGCTATAGGGCGGGAGGACTTCTGATAAGCTAAGAGTTACAGATAAATGTGAGTGAACGTGAGTACATGCTATCCCCAGACATGATGATCCCGTCGAGGCCTTTATTCCTCAGAGTTGACTCATGCTCAGCCTTGCACGGCGGTCTAGGATTCCAGGCTTGATTCATGTGGGCCGACAATAACCTCGAGTCAAGAACCTACGGGTGTCAACCACAAGAAATCTCGGTAGCCCTTCTCACTTGAAGGACCCTCGCGGACTTGTATAATTGAGTATTTCTGATTCATTTAAACCTACCATGGGTAGCCAGTTCACCACATTGCTTGATGCGCGCATGCAGTTCCATTTGGACATGGAGACCTTAGGAGCATCAGTTGCCAACACGTTGTGTGGTGCCCTTGCTTTGTTCTCGCATCGCGAACAGATTCCGTCGCTGGTACCCTGGCCACGGTCGGAACGTCCCGCGTGCAGACCTTGGAGGCTTGCTCTACCGAGGAGAGACTAAAGAGTAGAGACATCATCACCTTGACAAGTTTCCGGACCGAGACCAAGCAGCTTCCGATACTTCAACATCAGCACAAGTTGTACCATACGATAAACCACGATTGACCGAGGATGGAAGTGTACGAAAGGTCGCAGAATGTTCACTTAAAGAAAGCACGACGTTCTGGTTGATTCTGGCTGATGGAATGAAAGCTCGACTCCCAAGTCTCCCATGCATCGCACCTGAACGCCCCGAAACCCCACATAATTCTCCTCGTCTCCAATAACATCGACGGCGATTCTGCATTCGAACAGCTACATGGTGATCGAGTCGGAGCACGGGGCAAAATAGACTTCGGCTTACCCCACACCCGATAGGCATAGTGTGGCCCGTTTCTTATCAGCCCCGATCCTCCCTCGAAAGTTCCACTTGGCACACTCCATTCACTCCCAGAAGCTGGGAGACAGCCCTGCGACATTCCGTCGAACTGTCCTCCATGCGCGATGCCGCCCGAACGACAGCCGCGCACACAGCGGATTGTTCGCGTCCGCACAGGATGCTGGTCCTGTCGACGTCGTAAGAAGAAGTGCGACGAGACTCGGCCGATCTGTGCGGGCTGTCGACGGAACGATCTACAGTGCGAGTGGCCCTTGACCTCGAGCGAGAGGAGGATCTCAAGTGCAACCCACGATGCACAGGGACTTTTCTCCACAGATCGAAAATCGAGCCACGCTAGCTCGGGGGAAGACCTCGATGGCATGCAATTACCCGCGAGTCCGATGTCTGCGCGCCATTCATCGTGTTCGTCGAGCGCGGGGCTTTCCGCGGTCTTCGAGGAGCCGCTAGCACAAGCACAAGTGCCAGTGACAGTGCCTGTGCCCATCATCGAGGAGATTGTCGAGGATGTTCCGATCGCTTCGAGCGAGGCTGAAAATGCCATCGCTACCAGTCAGGCTATTGGCCACGTGCTTCCCAGAACCATGTCCATGTTACCAGGGTATGACCCCGAAAGCTATGGCCTGCTATCACACTATCTGTCGAACACAGCCGATGTCATGGCCAATGGGACAACACCCATCAATCCGTTCCTCGTACAGATTGTACCGCTAGCGTTCAGCAGCGACCTTCTGTTACAGCTCGTTATTGCTCAGAGTGCGGCTCATCGCGCCTTTCGACGAGGCGATGACTCTGACGCCGTCGCAAGTTCACACTACACAAAAGCTATTCAATTATTTCGACATGGAGTGAGCGACTTCATCGAGGGCAAAGAGTCCAATCCATTGATGTTGCTGGTGGGGGCATTGCTCATGTGCTTCACGGAGGTAAGCCCCTTACTCACAAGTCTGAAAATGTAGCCTGGCTGGCTGGCTTTCCGCTAAACAGCGACAATAGACTGCCAAGGGTGACATGACTGGCACGGTATTTGATCATCTATCCGCTGCCCATACATTACTCGTGAAGCTGTTGGAGCAGAGCGACACGGCCGTTCCGCGAGAACTCAAAGACTTTGTCATTGAATACTACGTCTACACTGCGACCGTCAGCATGATCTCCATCGATGCGCGTCTCAGCGGCCAACTTTTTCTGAACTTTGACCTCGAGCAACGCGCTCGTGATATTCTTCGCACTCAATATGTGGGCAACCTGTGTGGCTGCTGGCTGGAATTGCTTCTGCTCATACCATGTATATTTGACCTGGGCCGCCAATGGATGATGGACGACGCCCCATCTACTTTACCGACGGCTGATGAGATGGCCATGTTTGCCTCGGTTCAAGCCCAGATCCTGCGTTGGTCGCCATACTCATTTGTTGAGCCAGAAGTCTATTTAGCTGGCTTTGTGTTCCAACAAGCCATGCTCATCTACCTGTACACTTCATTGGGAGGCTACACCTACGCTCCCGATGGAATGTACAGAGGTCTCGTTCAGACGGCCGTCACAGAAGCCTTGTCCTACCTGGAGAAAATCTCACCGCAAGCGCGAATCAACTCGGGGCTATGTTGGCCTATTGCCGTCGTAGGTTCGTGCTTGGAGCACCCTGAGCAGCAAGACTCTATGCGGGCCCGATTAACCGCAATGGCAGAGCATTTTGGACTGGGCAATATGCAGCGGACCCAGCTTCTTCTCGAGGCCATGTGGGAGTTGAGCCCAGCAGACGCGGGGCCATGGAACATATGCCGGACAATGCAGGCCAAACAGATTTGGATCTCTTTTGCTTGATCTACAGGCCCTTGCAAAAGAATCCAACATCAATACTGGCTCTGCTAGCCTGGCGCGGAGTCAGGCAATTCTCATCTGACAGAATCTCGCCCGCGGTTCCTTTGCGTTGCCCTGCCGCGTGGATTTCTCTATCACAGATGACTGAATCCGGGTATTGAGACGAAGGTGCTACCCATGAGCAAGAGACCTCAGCTCAATGACCATCGAATCCCCTTCCTGCAGCAGCCATTCGCCGGGCCTCGTGGTGATTGCGCACGACCCTCTTAATCACCGTGAGAGTCGCAAAGTCAAAGAAAATTGCTCCTAACAGATGGTTCCATTGTTTGTACGAGGAGATCAGGACATTTTCGATAAGCGAAAAGTCTTTGATTTTCTCAATGATCACAAGCTGGCGAGTATGCACATGTCTATATCAAGCACCGCAACTCAAATACCATGCAGATGACGAGCAGATCATGGCATTGACCAGGGTACATGAACGACCGCGACGTATTTCGCTGTTCCACTCTGCACATACATAGGCAGACGTTACTCGCCCTCATCTCTCATTCCTCGAGGAAGGCGTCAAGGCAACAACCCAGCCAGAGACCACTGGAGCATCTGTTCGCGTGCACATCACTTCTCGCCAGAACTCGCAAAACATGGTGCACGTCGTGAGACTCGTGACATCACGCATCTGATACCCCTTCAAGGTATCTTGGACCAGCTGACAGAGATTAATCAGCCTGGTCTCCCTCCAAAATCTTCGAAAAATCCAAGCAACAGCTCCATCAGCAGTGCAAATGCCGGGGAGGCTTTCTTACGGCCAGGGTACTATCCTGTTTATCTAGCAGCCCATGGCGATCTGAAAATCCCCCAGAATTATCGCATCCCCGTAACACACGGCAGTGGACCTTGTTGGCAAGATCTATACGCAAAACAATCGGATCTGAAAATATATACGAATACATCACTTGTGTACCCCTTTGATTGAACTACTTAGGAACCCGAATCCCCTACTATGACAAACACACCGGCAAAACGAAAATGATCCTGTGATCTTAGGCCGGGATAGATCTCTTCCTCATCTCGCAAATATAGTCGGATGCACGCTAACCCCAAACAAATCCACGCTGGTCCCGTCCCATGGGCGCCCAGATACCACTCGCGACACGTGGGACCTCGGGCTTGACTTGGTCCTCTCCATCTGGGTTCACTACTATTTCCGACTGAGATTGTGGTGCCAGTCACGTGATCGACACCGCGGCATCGGATCGGGTCCAGCGCGGTCCGGGACCGCGATCGCGCGCGCGGGCTGCTCTGCAGTGCGTCAAGTGTGGTGAGCCCTCGGCCTGATTGGTCGGATGTGTTTCTTCGCTGCCTGGGTGCCTACGTCTACACTCTACTGCATTGCCAGGAGAGTAAATGCCAGCTACCAAGACGAGGACTCACATGCAAGATGAATTGGCGGTCAGGGTTTTGAGGTTGTTGTGTAGGACATACGGAGATATCTGCGCTTACGTCGATCTCGTCCGTTGAGCATCGAGTTTGGTTTTTCCCGTGGTGGCAGGTGTGATTTGAGAGATCATAGAGGGAATAGAATGGATGTTTGATGTGGAAAGTCTATTCTGTCATGTAGATTATGTTCATTTGAGACTTGGGTAACGTGATCAGATCTAGATAGGATTTGCAGTTCAAGAAGCGTTCTTGATGTGGTAGCTCTTCAACTTGACGAATCCGTCGAATCCTCGGGGTCCCAGGGTGCAGCCCAGACCCGACATCTTCCAGCCAGTCCAAGCGAGATCCTGGAAAGACAGTCGAGTTAGCTTTTTGTCTGCACAAGTCCGTAGTGTTTTCTGTGGTGAGAACATACCGGAGCTGGGTAGTCGCATCGGTTGATGAAGACCGTGCCCGCTTCAATCTGGTCAATGAGTTCCTCGCCACGGGCGATATCCTTGGTCCATACGCTCGCCGTGAGACCGTAGTCGCTGTCATTCATCAAAGAGATGGCCTCCTCGTCGCTGGCGACCTTCATGATGGGCATGACGGGGCCAAAAGTCTCCTCTTTCATTGTGAGCATGTCGTGGTTGACGTTGGTGAGGACCACGGGGGCGACAAAGTTGCCCTTTTGACTGGTTTGGGCGAGTGAAAAGGACTCGTTCTCGGGTGTAGCGTCGACGGCGCCCTTCTTCAGCGCATCGTCGACGTGAGATTGGATCTTTTCCTTGGCGAGCGCGGAAACGACGGGACCGGTGGTTGTGGTTTGATCCAAGGGATCTCCTAGCTTGTATCTGTACTCCCGGATATCAGAACTCAGATGCAACTGGAAATTGTGATCCTTCACAAACACTTACCCCTTGAGCTCTTCCTGGACGCAACGAACAAACTCATCGTAAACCTTCTCGTGCACATAGACACGCTCAACTGAGCAGCAGCTCTGTCCGGAGTTGAAGACCGCTCCATCGACCAAGTTCTCGGCAACATTCTTGACGTCCACGTCAGGACGAACATAGGCAGGGTCATTACCGCCCAGCTCCAAGTGCACAGGCTTGACTTGCTTTGCAGTTGCCTCCCTGAGACGGATACCGCCCGCGGTTGATCCGGTGAATGAAACAGAGTGAATCTCGGGAATCTGGACAATCTGATCCAGAACGTCCAGGCTACCAATCTGCAGGACCTGCAGAACATCCTGGGGCAGACCAGCCTCTGTGAATGCTTCAGCGAGCCCTTGACCGAAGATGGGTACTTGGGGAGAGGGACGCAAGAGGACGGTGTTGCCCGCTAGCAGCGCGGGGACGAGGGCATTCACGGTGGTGAGGTAGGGGTACTAGACATTCAAAGAATATCATTAGTAAGGTGTGCTCCGGGATTCTCCCATGAGAGCTTCTAGAACTCCATGAATCTCACATTCCAAGCAGAAGCAACAAGAACCGTCCCAACAGGCACCTGCTTCACCATACGCCTGAAGCCCTCTTGGGGCTCACCAGGCAGATCAGCCAAGCTCTGCTTGGCAATCTTGATCATGTGTTCCGCGCGAAGAGCGGCCGTCTTGATTTCTCCCGCACAATAACGAACGGGACGGCCCATCTGGATGGTCAATTCCTTGGCCAAATCATCGATCCGAGAGTCGATGATTTCCAGTGCACGCTTAACAATAGCAATGCGGTCCTCTAGGCTCACGGTGCGCCATGACTGGAATGCTCGCCTGGAGGCGGTGGCGAGCTTGCGAGCTTCCTCGACCGAAGTTCCAGGTTGGTCGAAGATGATCTCGTGGGTTGCAGGGTTGACTGTCTTGATCTGGTTGGACATTGTGCTGGTCTGATTCGAATTCAAGATGCTGAATCGGAAACAGATGTCAAAGATGCAGAAGCTTGTGAAACTGCGAGAGGTACAGAAACTTGAAGAGGGACAGGACGGAATTTATGCGGTCCCGCCGCTTATCGCGGTCCTTGTCTGGCTTTCCGCCCCGCCTATCGCCACTTGTCCGCCGAGCGCTTAAACGTGAGGGGATGATGAATGGGCGCTTTACCGACTCCTATTCTAGTCGACATACTGAGACAGTATTGAAATTTGATGATAAAAATGTGGTTTGCAATCACTCTTGATGTATCATAATGGATGTACAATGGGGTTTCAACCAAATACTGTTTATGATGTGGCCTCGGCAATAAACTTGACAATCTCAGTAGCCAAGAACTCTCCATCATGGGCCTTGCCTGCACGAGAAAATCCGTCCTGAAATAGCTCGTCGTTGAAGACACCACTCTGATGCCGGGCTTGCAACACCTGAGACATGATGAACTCGGTGAATTCGGGATGTGCCTGCACACTCCAGATTCGCTTGGGCATGTAGAGGCCTTGAATGGCGCATCGCGGACTGGATCCGAGATTGACACAGCCTTTGGGCACCTCGTGCACTACATCCCGATGCATTTGTTGGAGGTACTGTACAATGTCAGTGTCTCGACAGCTCCGATTCAAGTTGATATGTGTGCAACTCACCAGCTTGTCCTTACCAAAAATCCGCTGCCCAGTCTCGGTGAGATTGATTTCGTCAACGGAAATTTCCCAACCATGATCCCCACGGCCAACGCGAGCACCCAGGGCCCGAGCGATAATCTGGTGCCCGAAACAAATGCCCACGACAGGCTTCTTGTGGTCCTCGAGAAGGCCTCGAACATACTCTGTTAGACTCACAATCCAGGGGTCGTCTTTGAAAGAATCATGTTCTACATCGAGGTGATTAGTTCTCCCTTTCCACCTAAGGTACCACCAGTTCCCAAGAATGCAGATCACCAACTTACTGCTGCCAGAGAGAAGGAACGCATCGTATTTGTTTGGATCAGGATACACAGGATTATCCACGACATGCCACTTGCTGATTTCCGCAAACTCCACCCCTGAATCTGGGGACGCCGCTAGACCTTTCAGCAGCAAGCGCTCGAAAATCTCTCCATAGCCGCCGAGCCGTTCGGTCACGGGAGCAATAGGTGTGTCGCATTCCAACACTGCGATGCGAAGTGAGCGAGTCATCATTGCGCGTGAACTGTGAAACGCTCTCGAAATGTGGTATATCTGAATCTGGAGAGGTTGGAAACGTATTCTTGATATTGAGTATGCCGGTGATACTGTGAGCCACCAAAGATGCGATTATATGGGGGTTAATCGTCCACCTCCAGTTCCCCCGCGAGTAATCTTCATGACCCGAACAGCGCGCTTGGCCCCACTACGCGCGGTCCGCCGACCTAATGCCGAAGGGACGGGACCGGTTAGTTCAGCACGCTATCGTGCTATCGTGCGGCTGTCGCAAAGTGGGTTCGTGATAAGCAGCGTCCTGAACTATGAGATACAATAATGAGCATCAACACCGGACCCCTTTGCAAAGCCAACGTTTCATATCGCTTGTTTTTCACGTGACCGGTCTTTCGATCGCAAGTTTGAAAGGTCGAAAATCTCTATCTCTTCCAACATTGTCGCCACCAAGCACATCTCAGATGGTCGTACCGTCTGCCGACTCTCGACGGTCGACCCCACGCAAAAGTACCTGGGATTCTAGAACATGACGTCATCCACTTATTGCCCGCTCGTGGCCATTCAGCCTAAGATGTGGCTGAAATTAGACAGTCCATGAGCGAGATGGCAAACGTCAAATACTAAAAGCACTCTATGCTTCAAAGTTGCCATGCATTCAAATTCAAAGTTGCCATGCATTCGACGTATGTGTTCCAGTTATACCTTGCCTCAACATGTAAGCTTCAGGGTCCCTGATTGAGCCGCAAACATGGTAGTCCTATATTAAATATTATGGGATGCAGATGGAGACTTTGGCTCAAGGACGCCCGGGAAATACCGGCACGATAGATTTCATGTCTAAGATGATGTCTGTTATGTCGGCAGACTAACTGGCTAGCACCTGGACCAAGCGACAAATCGTTCGAGTTGGAAGACAAGGCAGCTCTATGATACTTGGACGTCAAGGGGAAGAGCGTGTCAAAGAGTGTTGTAATTTGTTTCCAAGAATTGAAATAGAGTGGGCGGACTTTTTTGAGTCTCAAGAAGCCCACATGAAAATCGTCTAAGTACATGTCATATACAAATCTGTCAATTTGATATCATCAAAGCCGTGCGAACAAAGGAAATAAAACCAGCGGTCTAGATGAATGTTGGAGAAAAAAGAAAGAAATGAAGGTTGAATCCGTCTAGCCCAGAGTGACGGTGTACTGCGAGTTGACTGAGCAGGAAAGTGTGTTCACGTCGTTGGGGTGCTGGTAGGACTGGGCGCAGTTGGCATCACCTGGCTTGCAGACGGCGGTGGTGCAGCTCGAATCGCTGGGGATTGCGGAGAAACCGGCCTTGACGAAGGGCGAATCCGGGCTCATGTCGATGGAGGACATGTCCCAGTAGAGCTTATCCTTGTTGACAGTGTACTCGAACTGGAGAACACTGCTCTGGGACTGAGTGGTGGACAGCTTGATGGAGATACCACCGCCGTTGGGGTTGATCTGCCAGCCCTCAGAATAGGTGCCGCCGCCCTTGGGGAGAGTGTGCATCTCGCCGGGGTTCGCGGATGTTGTCCAGAGGTAAACATCGGTGTCAAGGTTGTTGACGAAGTTGACACTACCGCCGCCGGCATTGTCGCGGGCCTGGTGAGGAAGGGCCGCAGCGGTCAGAGCGAAGACGCTGGCGAGGAGGGTCTTGGCGAACATCATTTTGAATGTGGTGCTTTGTTCACGAAGGGACTTGATGCGGATCAAAAAGCAAGTGATTTTGAAGATTCGGGAAGAAAAAGGAATGTCTTCACGGAATCGAAAAAGAGATTGACAAGAGAATGTGGGATCTGAAAGAGAGTGATCAGATCGCAATATTCAACAAGGAAGGACAGACGTATCAGAGAAGGACAGTGATCGTTGATGAGGAAAGAAAAAGGCATCTTGGTCGTCGACCATCCTGTCTTTATATCCTCGATCTCGGTGGGAGTGTGGAGTCGTGGCAAAAGACTCCATGCTTAATGCCTTCTGGGCGTAATAAAGTTGAGATATGACGGAGATTCGCCGGGTATTCCAGCACTTTGTGGGTCATTCTCTCCTCCCCGAAGGCCTCGAATGTCTAGAGCATCGCCGCATTTGGCAATGCTCAGACATGATCTAGGGTTCCGAGAAACCGAACCTAGAACACCCACATGTTGGAAACCATTCTGGTTTGCGCACTCCCCTGGTCGTCCACCGTCACACTGGGCAAAAATGTAATCTCCTCAGTGGCGTCAGCCTCCTGCGCGTTTCTTCCTCGTGGGCGACAGATTTGCCTGGTGAACCAAAGAACCACCGGACCCCGATGTCAAGACCGTCGCCGCGGCTGGTTACACAGGGCCCAAACCAACTAAAAATTCCATGTTCTTTTCCAAGAGTCGGCAGTCGGCACTCCTCGCCTTGGCCGTGGCTATTGCGAAGCAACGCCGCAAGACGCCGACATCTTCAGGGAAATGACTGAAAGTATGGAATCGCGAACACTCTCTGCAAATACTTGCAGAATTAAACTCATCATGCGGCAATATTACCGTCCATTTGGTAGCGAAGGTCCCTTCAAGCAAACGTGCTGAACTTCAATATTCCTTGGTCGTAGCAGATGTATCTGCCTGGAAAGAATGTCACATGACAAGAACTTGGTCGCATTACGAGGGCCCAGAGGCTGTCCACTTCATTAGCAGGGTACACGAGCGCGATGGCTGTCATATGGATGATCCTAGACGGTAGAGGCACCAAATGGGGGGTCTCCATACTCCTCATTGCATGGGGGATCTCTCCCTTGCCCCAGAACGCCACGCAGGGTACGGGGGAACACCACCAAACAGGCAACCATGCCGAGCCACAAGCCCTACTGCGCCTTTCAATTCACTCCATGGTCAACAAGGACTCGAAGCTGGTCCGGTTCCGGGGATCTGGCGACGATCCCATCTGGATCGCCAACGTGGCAAGTGGGACCAAGGGCAAGCGGCTACAGAGGAAAAAATCGCCTCCACGTTGCGAGAAGACATCTGGAATGATGGTCAACCCGTGGAAAGATGTGTTTCGGGCAGAATTCTGGAAAAGTGTGAAGAAGGCATGGAAGGACATGGTCGCTGAGGCGAGCGGTGTCCATGGTACCACCATCACGTCACCCTGAATCACAGGGGGGTTTGCCTAGTCTGATGAGTGGCAAGACAGTGTGAACTGGGCGGGTATTGGCACTCTCGTATATACCCTTTCAATGATTCCAGAGCAAGATACAGTTGCACCGATCAACACTCCATATTTCTCGCAGGACATGACAAATTGGAACGTTTCACCACGGTGAATTACTGCCACCAGAGAGGACTCATCAACGTGGCTATTGTACCAGTAGTCCTGTCGCCGAGGCCAAAATGTGCTCGGTACTCTTCATACTTCGGGGTCTGAACAGTTCCTGCGCCAAAGGTGCGATAAGAACCAGTTGAAATACTGCACAAATGCACCGACAGTCAAGGCACCAGAGAGATGATTTTAGGTCAGCTCCGTACATGTCCACTCGATACATTAACTAATTGATCCACGAAGGTCTCATTGAGAAAAGTCGCGCTAATCATGATGAATCACGCAGCTTCCTCAGTCTCGGTCATCTGCTATTTCAATGCAAAGTATGTACCCAATACGGGACCATGCTATCGCGGGTTCAGTCTCAATACTCGGCCGTCACGAGTGCTGGGGGTTACAAAGCTACCCCAACTGGTGCGGGGAACATGTACAAAGTAAAGCCGATAAGAGAATTGGAGACCATCTTGGCCATCATCAGTGAACTGGTGTATTTAAGGACAGAAAAAGGCCAAATTTTGAAATATCTCGGATAAGTATTTTGATATGCATCAGAATGTCAGTCTCGCAAGTGATCGGAAATCCCACAGACAACTACTGGCTGTATGATCCTGCCAGCGACACATTCGATCTCTCACGTGGATCCAAGTCTGACTCGCTCATCACACTCGAGACCACGACGCAGAAGACATGGCTCGATCCTGCCAGCACTGTCTTGCTTCTGATTGATCTTCAAAACTTCTTCCTCCACCCCGCGGTACGACCACGCAAGACAGATATGCCTTCACCGGCAGAAGCAGCCACCGAAGCGCTCCTTCGCGTCGGTATTCCTGCAGCCCGTCGCCATGGGATCAGAATCATTTGGCTCTGCTGGGGTCTGACGGAGCAGGACCTCAGCCAGATGCCACCGGCGATTTTTCGCACGTTTGGATGCTTTCAAGATGGGCGCCCGGCAGTCGGACATGCCACAGATCCCAGCAAGAGCAAGACACCGACTCCATCGCTCCCTGACATGCGTCGCGTCAAAGACCCCGCCTTGTACAAGGGCCTCGGGACCGAGCTTGGACCCGTAGCGCTAAGCGATCAGGAAACGGTTCCTGGCGGGGCGGTCCTGATGCGCGGGTCGTGGAATGCGACTCTGTTCGACCCCTTTCACCAGGAATACGAGAGAAGCCAGGATCGGTCCACGTCCACGGCGACTGACTTGCGGCTCAAGCCCGATGTCCTTTTCCACAAGAATCGCATGTCGGGTCTGTGGGGGGCCGGGTCCGAGCTGGAGACTTTTTTGCAGCGCGAGGGAATCACGACCTTGCTCTTTGGCGGGGTGAACACCGATCAATGCGTGGGGAGTACATTGACGGATGCGTTCAGTAAAGGATACGATTGTATTCTGTTGCGCGATGGCGTGGGGACGGGGACGCCATATGGTGCTAGCACGGTGTGGGAGTATAATTCGATGAATTGTTGGGGGTTTGTCACGACCTGTGATGCTTTGGCTGATGCATCGGTTGAGGCACATTAATTGAAATGAGAGCTACTACTTTTTCAGGTCGACTGATTCATGCTGAGACTCCATGGGATGTACGAGTTGATACTCTCGTTGCAACGGCAGACGGTCGGCGCTCTGTAAGCCTCATTGCCCCGTAAACGCTACCTAACTAACAGTCTACAAACTGTCCAGAGTTCCATGCCAAGATGTGCTTATATGCGCTTACCTGACTGGGTCCACAAACAATGGCACCTCCATGATCCTCCTTGATCCTCCTTGACTAATGAATATTCCACTAGGCAATCCCTAGTCGGCCTGACCGGATTTTCATCATGACTCGCTCCATTCATGATGAGGTGGGACTAGGTACGTAGTTGCCTGCGTCTGACATTTCAGAAACGCCGACGCTAATCGGGCTCCCGCTTCGGTTTAGAGTCATTTCAGAATCGAGACCCAATGGCTCGCACTAAGTAACTAATGGCTGCCGAGAAGTTGACTCACCCCGTTAAGCTCGAGGCATAAATACCAAGGCAACTTTCTGACGAGCAAAAAGGAAAGTCGATCCTATTGCATGTAGATGAACTTATTGATTCAAGCATACTCGCGCAATTAAATCTTATTGATATCATAATCACCATGTCCGACCTCAATCCCAAACCCACCAAACCAGACTACCAAATCCTCCCCGCAACACAGTCCGACTGCGCCGCAATCGCGAAAGTCGAGGCCCTCTCCAACTTCCACGCCTCCAACACAGCCCCCCGCTGCAACCCGGCGCAAGTCATCTTCCCACCCCCCGACGATGTCTCTTCGCGCACGAAAGACCTGTCCGATAAAACACAGAACGACCCGAGCATGAAAATGTGGAAAGTCGTCGTGACGGACCAGGCCGACGGCCAGGAGAAAATCGTTTCGCTGGCCATTTGGCATTTCTATCCGGAGCCCAAGGTCGTGGATGAGTGGAAAGATATTGAATGGCCGGCGAATGCGCAGGGCGAGGCTTGTAATGCGTTCATTCGTGGGATGGCGGCGTTGAGAAAGAAGCATATGTCTGGGAAGATGTTTGGGCGTGAGTGGGAGATGTTCCCTGTCTTCTTTGAGTCTACTATTCTACCCTGATACTGACGGTTTGGATTGACTGCACAGATCTCCAGGTTCTCGCTACTTTACCAGAGTATCGCGGCTTCGGGATGGGGTCGGCTCTCGTCAAGATTGGCCTTGACGAGGGCATGAAGATGGGTCTGAAACTTTTCTGGCTCGAAGCTTCTGCTGATGGATACCCGCTTTATCAGAAGTTTGGGTTTGAGGTAGTGGAGTCCGACAGCTTTGACTTGACGAAATATGGTGGCGATGGACCGGTGCAGGTGAGGGTGATGCAAAAGGTCGTCGATGCGAGTGCTTGATAGAGGGTTTTCCTGGGGGTTCACTTGACGGAGCCCAGTGGGTAATCACATGCAGATATTGTACATAGGCGAAACAAGCGGAGCTCGTAATGCATTCACTGAAAAAAAGCGTCCCATTATTATAATACTTGAAGACTTGAACAGAGGTAATCAAGTAAGCTTGTGAGTAAGTATATGCTCAATCGTCATTCTCAGCCACACATCCGAAATGGCGAACCAGTTGGTCATTCAGTCATTCTCGTTGCCCCTCGTCGAGGTGAAAAGACAGCAATATCAACTGTACCTCAGATCACGACTTTGCGCTTCCCTCGCTCCCTTCCTCAACAGTAGCTTTGCGAGTGGCAAGCTTGGGTGGCTTGGATTTCACTTGCTGTTTCGCCTTTGGTTTTGCCTCGGCGTCATTCCCATTTGCTCGCTCTTTGTGTTCTGCGTCTCCATTCGTCTCGTCTGCTCCATTACCATTGATCGTCTCCTTTGTGTCTTCTGCATCTCCATCAGCGTTCTCCTTGTCGTCTTCTTGGGCCTCCTCCTGCCCCTCCTGCCCCTCCTCGGGTTCTTCCTCTTCCTGCACAGTCTGCACCTTTTTCCGCTGCCTGATCGGCATGCCCGGCTCGACATCACTCTTGAGCTCAGCAGCTGAGTCGTATCCGGCCACAGAGCCGGCCCGTGAGGCCCGACTCTTCCGAGCGCGCGCCCGACGAATCAACCGATTATGATAATCCATCTGTTCTTCTTCCTCCAGATCTTCCCGCAAAATACGACGAGCAGCTTCGCGGCCCACGACCGGAAGACGATCAACACCCTGCGCGGAGGGAGGCACCATCTTGGCATCGAGAAGGCCAACCTGGACCAACACGCTAGCTTGGTCCCAGTAGGTGTGTTCGGAATACAGACGGCCGGCGCGCAGGCTGACGATGCTGACGAGGATGATTTCGACGCGCTTGTTGGTGGGTGGGACCCCCGGGAGCATCCAGGGAATTTCCTGGGTGTGCTCGAAGGTGACGTAGAGTTCGTCGACGACGCGGTCGGCGCCGGTGGTCCGCGAGAGTAAGCGGATATGCATTGATGGAGGCAGTTTGCCGACAAAGTATTGATCGTAGAAGCGGCGTAGAGCTTGTGTGCCGATTCCGCCGCTCACGGTTGGCGCAAAGGTGACTCCGGGCTTTTTGTGTGTCACGTAGCCGTCCATGGTCTTGCCGAGGTTCGATTTGAAGAATTTGGCTGGTAATTAAGTTTGTCATTCATTGGGCTCGAGATTCATAATCTCATGTGTGGGGGGTTTTCTTTTTTCAGTCATGAAGTCTTACCTTCCTGGTGTTCCTCCCACCTGCTCTCGAGGTCGGGGTCTCTCGAGAAACCCCTACGCAGAGCCCTCAAAGTCCGAGTGAATGCCAGATCTCCGGCCAAATGATCATACTCTTCCATGTCGTGTTCCGCGAATCCCGGCTCAGCCTGGTCATAGGTGTATGCTGGATACGCCAGGTCCAGCCGCTCGCCTGTGCCGATGCCTGGGTTGAGAGGACGTGTCTTGCGTCGCTTCTTCCCCTGGATTCCTAGTGCAACTGGAATGGTTGCGACATCGATGGTCTTTCCGGCAAGGTGCACCACGACCTGAAGAGACATAGGAAACCTCGAACGTGTGTCTGGAATCACACTGGGGTAGTAGGCGATCAGCGCGCAAAGACGGCTGGCATTTTGCGACTTGATGTAATAGTCCAAGCAGTAGTTGGCCGCGTCTCCATAGGCTATAGCCCCAAAAAGAAAGGTTAGCATCCTCACATCCTCGCCTGCGCATTGTTGCAATTCAGAAAAAATCCAGAGCAGTCTTACCGATCACCGCATAATTTTCTCCGACGCCCAATCCCTCCTTGACACTTCGCAACCGACTCTCATATTCGCGGCCACCCCCATCGAGCGGAATATACACAACGTCAAATCCCTCATCCTGCCAGGCCTTGATAGTCTCGACATCGAATTCCCCCGTTTCGGCCGTGATACACACACGCGCATTGTTGTTGCCATTGTTATATAAGAATCCACCCCCGATTCCGGGCGCATTGATTGACACCGTCGCCATCTTATGTTTTTGTCTGCTGGTCTTGCGCCCCACAACAATCGATAACAAGTCAAGTGTTTGGGTTCCTTCTTCTTGACTACCGCTGTCGTCCTCGCCAGCTGGAGGTGTGTTTTGGTCCGACAGTTGGTCTGACGTGAAGATTTTGACGAAAACCTTCAATCGAGCTGCTTTGGTCGAGAGGGCGTTGAAGCGCTTTTTCTTTCAAGGTCTGATTTCGACGAGGCTGAACCGAATGCGCTCGTTAACTAATCACTACGGACGATGCGTGGTGTGACACCTAACGGGCTGCTACGTCATGGGCGTTATTGTGTCCACCGCCGCCACGTCATAACGGTCGCGAGATCCTGGATCCGGGTCAGGGTCAATCTATTTCTGTGAGATGAATGGCTATAGGTAGTTGCACGATATGTGAAGAGGAATAGGTAATCAATTGCGGGCGCATTTACCATGGTGTAAAGGGTTGGACCATGCGAATCGATGGCGACCGAGGAGCCGCCGCATTGAGCGGTGGCTCAGAGTAACGCTGGCTGAGTATCGTTTAGTCCCGACTCAGGGTCACTGGGCAGAAAGAGATACCTATAGGTATAGGAACTTGGGCAACAGAGATTCAATGGGTTGCGAAGAGGAGAAAGGGCACTTCTGGCTATGTAAAGGAACAACCCTCTCCTTCACCTAGACAGACATCTCCAGGGCGGTGGAACTACATCTGTCATCAACTCTCCGGCGTGCGATTCGCAGACCCGGTTTTAAAGGTGTATCAAGGCCCCACCTTGAAACTTGAGTGCCCACCAACATCCGTAGTCAACCCCCATTCCGTTAAATGGAACCTACCTACCTGACAAGACGTTGAGAAGACATCCCACTTCTGGAGCGTGTGGTCAACTCGAGGGAGTCGGAGCGCCGTTCAAACTAACCCCCCCGGTCCCCCCCCTTCCCCCCGGAAAATCAGTATATCCGCCCATGAGTCAAGGTCAACTGACTGTGGAGCAACCCTCCTCGGCTGATATTTGTAAAAGCATACCAGGTAACTACCACCATATTCACAAAAAAAGTACTACCACTATTCATCAAACTGGAAACCCTGTGAATCATCGCCAAGCCAAGTGTGAATCTCTTCTAATGCATGGAGGTCATTGTTCAGAGCTGACTGTCGCACCCTCTCGTCGACTCGTAAGTACGACTAGCGCCTTCGAGACCCTCCCCGAGCGGCCGACAAGAACTATTTATTGTTCGTGATGATCAGCGTATCGCCATCAATCATAATGTTACTCGGATTAAATCCAGAAGACGCAGATGCTTGATCGCACTTCGACACGCGGGAGTTTTGAGTCGCTTGGCGCGTGCTTCGCCACCGTTTCTTCGTGAGACTGCCGGGGTTGACTCCCTTCGATAAGGTGTGCGAGTACTTCACAAAACAAGTCCTGTGGTTCTGCCGCTCAAGACCTGGCAATCGAGGTAGGTCGCAATAATCGGATGAGGATGTCACATCAAGAAAGCATGGAATAGAATATAGATCGCTCTCCGCTCGATACACGATGAGTGATTGTCAAGCTCTACGTGGGTTAATCCAATGTGGAGCCTAAGTAGATGCGACCGTGTGAGTATATGTCTGTTGGAGGATATCATTCTTCTCGCCCATACCCGGACCCAAGAAGCGGAAGTTTTGCAGTTTGAGGGGCAAACTGCCCTAGCCGGAGGATATATCATAGTTCAAGAAAGAGGGGGGGGGCCCAGAAAGTCATCCACCTGCATCTTACTCTCAAGCTAGAGACGCCTTTCAGATCTTGAGGATCAAATGTCGGGCGGGTTCGAGGAAGCTTAATCAAGATCACGTGAGTGATATTCGGGTACCGTACCCCGGGGGAGCACAACTGCCTGGTAACATGAATGGGTTCACGGTTATTGTCAAGATTCTGGCGAGATTAAGCCATTTCGAAATTGAATTGGAAATACATAGCATGCTGCGAGGCCATTTGGTCCGAATGAGAAGCGCATTCCCGTACTTCATGCCCACGTGATTTCAAAGAACTGCCGAGATACTGGAATACTCAACTTCACATCCGCGTGCTGGGGTCGAATCAACCCCGTAGAACCTTCTTGTTTTTGGGTGCCCGATAGCCATCAAGCCTTGAAGAAACAATCGGGTATTTTTCTCGAGAGGACAAAACGTGATACGTCAAGCGCAATGGAGCGACTGCCACCGAACAGACGCCGACACAAAGTGCCTGCAGAGCGAAGGAAAAGGGTCGCCAAAGCGTATGCCAAGATCTCAATCCACTTCGTCTCTTCTGACCTCACTTTCTGACAGTGTGTCTCAGTTGCGATGCGTGTCACATTCGACGGATCAAATGCAATGGCCAGAAGCCCTGTGCAACATGCCAGGCTTCGAGTAGGGAGTGTGATTATCCGTCCGCCGAGGAGAGAATCTCAATCTCTCGACCGATCTTTGACAGCATGATGAGGAGTGAAAAGCTCCTACGATCATGCCTGGCGACACTTGTGCCATCGCCACAGGCGAGGCTACAGCTAATCGAAAAAGTACGGGAAAACGAAGCATCTGTCAGGATGGTTGAAGAGACAGCGACCGCTTCGGCGGATTTCGACTCGGAGGATTTGATAGACGGAGGCCGCTTCCTCTCAGACCCGGACGGCCAGAGCAGATTCATTGGTGGTGCATCAGGGGCTGCATTCTTGGATCAAATTCGCCAATTTGTGATGTGCGTCTCGGCATTCCTGCGCGAAGTTGATGAGGGCTATCAACGGGTGTTGATCGATGAGGCCTTTGGTAACCTGCTCGGCATGTACCAAACGCATGACTCTCGCTTACTTGAACTACCGGAAGTGGACCCCTATCATCTCGTACCTTATGCAGAGGCCAAAAGGCTCCTTTTGCCTCTTTGCACCTCCTCGAATACAAATGACCAGATCAAAATCTATTTCTGGGGACCTATAATGGAGTTGGTACAGGAAATTTATTACCCAGCGCCCGGTACTGACCGCCGTCTCGATCCTATAACACTCGCAACATTCAATGCCGCTCTTGCTTTTGCCACTCAACAAGATACGATCGCGACACCTGAATCTGGAAGGGAATACTATGCACGAGCAACAATCTTTCTTGGAAGGCCATTAGAAGCGACTACGAAGCGACACATAACTTGTTTCTTGTTGCTGGGATGCTATCTCTTCGGCGAGCACAGGAGAGATGGTGCATACTCTTATATTCGCATGGCTGGACACCTGGCTGTCACATACGGGTTCCATCAAAGCCAGGCGACGGGTGAGGGACAGAAGAGACTTTTCTGGACAATCTACGCCCTAGACAGGTAAGTTGAATAAAGCATATTTGTGATTGTTCGGAGAGCGATAGCTGATTGGTATAGATCATTGAGTGGTCTGCTGGGACGACCGCCGATGATGAACGATGAAGATATCAGTGTCGCCTTGCCAGTTGCCAGCCCGTGAGTGTTTGTTTCCTGCCAGGCAGAATACACATCCATGTATGGTACTGATGGACATACTTTAAGGGGGTTGCCGGATCCCGATGGCCTGAGGCTTCATGCAGAGCTTGCAAAGATCGTCGGGCAGGCCGTGGAGAGAATCTACGGCTACGGCGGTAGAGGATCGCGCAGACCAGAGTTAATCAATATCCTTGATTCTCTGGACGCGCTGGAGAAATGGAAAGCTAACCTGCCACAGTCATTCGATCTCTCTGCCTGCTCCATATCGACGTCAAGCAGGGACTTGCTTTCCCTGCATATGACATATAACCACGTGAGTGCTTTCAGGTTCCATGCGCGGAGAAAAAGCTTCTTGAGAACCCTTACAGACAGAACCTAATCAAAAGACCTCAGGCGATTTTGATTGTCACGAGACAACCCTTTCTGCTGGCCGTCAGGAGAAAAGTTGCGCAAAGCTTTGTCAACTCAGACGAAAAGACCCTGGCAAATGAGGCGTTGATTCATCAGTGTTCTGCAGCCGCCGAGAGAAATACGCAACTATTCTGCCAACTGCTTGAAGCGAACACTGCCGACGCAATGTGTGCGAGTACGATTGACTACCACCATGCTTTCAATGCCGCCTTGATACTCGACCTCGCCCGATTACTTAATCCCAACGGTATGACTGCTTTACAGAGCAAAGTCCAAGTTCAATTCACAATCACGATGCTGGAGAAGGCTTCCCAAAGAGGATCTGCGTACACTGAAGACTGTTCCTCTGTGCTCACGAATCTACATCGTTTTATTGAGGAGCTACTCCGAGTTCTATCTCGACTTGGCGATCTCAAAAGGGTCAAAGTGACTGAAAGACAATTGCTTGCGTTCGATGCGATGAATTCTGACGATCTCGAGGATCAAGTGGACGTCCAAGTTACATCTATCACGGGAGCGTTGCCAATGGCACAGAGCGACATTTTTGGTGAATTCATGGGTTGGCTCGATGAGGCAATTCTGTGATATGATTTCACAAGGAAAGTTGCTGATAAGAAAAGATGGGAGACTTTGTTTGCACCTATTTTCGCCCGCACGGACGTTCAGACGATAGACCTATTGTTGTTGATATCGGAAAGATAATGTGAAATTCGAACCCATTGCCATGCTGCTAAAGTGCGTTTTGCGGCAAGACGACCCGCATCCGATCACGAAGAAGAGCCGAGCCGATCATGCTCCCAGGCCAGCTGAACCAAGCCTTGCTCGTACATTCTCCGGTCAGAGCATCCACGGCCTCAGAGAAAAGGCCGTCGGGGAACATAGATCCTTGGATCTTTTTCCACGCGAGATCTCTGCCAGCGGAATCGCCCGTTAATTCTGCAAACACCAGCTCTTGGAAGTAACCCAATGGCCAAGGAGCCCGAGTGTGCACACTTCCTAGCCCTCCGAAAGGCCCATTCCCATAAAAACCACCTTCATTGGCCGCGGACAATCCGAATCGGATTGTGCGAGTCCAGATCTCAGAAGCATCGCCAGTACTTGCAAATCCCCATTCTTGTGCAAACAGAGTAGGAATATCATTTGCATCGTGGTAGAAGGTATGTTGCCCGGCACCATCGGTTAGGTATGCAAACATCGTCGTTCCTGTTGTTGGATTTCGCGCAACAAAGTGACTCATGGTGGAGTGAAATGTTTCAGCTGCGAGCTGCTTCATGCACGAAGCCTGTAGTGACTCTGTATCTCCGAGCCTCTCTAGCAACACGGTAAATCTGTGGAAAGTGTACCACAAGAGGATGTGACTTGAGAAATGAAATGGGAACTCCACTGGGTCATCTCCCGGTGTCTCATCCGTTGGAAACAGATGGGTCCGGAGGTCTCTCTTTCCAAGCAAAACATCAATGACGACAGCAACTCCGCTTTCTTCGAGAATATCCTGTACGGAGAGGTCTGAATCCGAGATCGTATCGACGAAATCACACAGCTCCAAAATAGGGTAGCACTGCTGATCCAGCTGAAAGATTGGTCCGTCCTTGGGAACTCCGTTGGCCAAGTATGAACGATGCCAGAATCCGTGGGGGCGCTGAGCATCGCGAAAAACCCAATTGAGATGGCCTTTGACTCGGGCCGCGATTTCATTTCGATATCGATGCGCTGTCTTGGCATCTACAATCAAGTCCGACTGTCGAAAAACGTCCAAGAGGAATTTAATCTGCCAGCTGGGTGATGGAGAAAGGTTAGTACCTTGCAAATCAAATGACCAATGGTCGAAGGGGCATCGACTGACTAGTTGTCCCTGTTCCAGCCTAATGGAAGAGCTACATGATCTGTGATCACGCACACACTGGCATCGGATATTGGGATCATACAGTTTCCAAGGACGTATGCAAGGTTTCCGCGAAGTATTGTCAACGCTTGCGGATCCTCCAATTTCCAAACTGGAGAGTAGGGAATTGCACAAGAGAGATGCTGTCTGGATTGAAAGGCTAGCCCCTGCGCTTTCGGTTGCAATTTCAAACGGAAAACAAACGGCGAGTCAGATGAAATTGTCACATTCGCTGGAAACTCTTGGTCGGCTGGTCCTCCGCAATAGGTCTGCTCTGTGTCGCGAAGCAGGAGATCTGTGACCTCCTCTCGGTTTGACCAGATTTTGCCGTCCACTGCTGCGTCCAGATTAGAATTTTGGATCGAAAACGCGTTACACGGTGAGGCTTGTGATTTCAAGACATTCAATGTCTCCGGAAGCGGAATCGGCCCTCCTTCAGTGAGTTGCCCGTATGATGCACGGTTCATGCTCATTTTAAGACTCAAAACAATTGGCACGATGCATGCGCGGTCAGAAGTCGTGGAAATGGTCGTTGTCTGTTCAAACACACCGTCCGGAGAGATTGCGTGGACTCTCTGCACGCGGATATTTCCCGTGATGTGATAGTAAATGGTTTGGCGATCTCGATGGACGGAAACCTCCGGGTAATGCAGTGGACGATCACGAATCTGCAGCCCGAATCCAGGTAGATCTTGTTCGAGAAGCTTCAACATTCGACAACGATAGGATCGAACGTAGGAAGGGTCGTGGAACTTGCCGCCGTCGAATTGCTCATAAGGTGAAAGCTGAACGACGCCATGGTGCGGATGGTAGAACGCGAAATGCAAGAACTATTGAAAGAGCCGATAAGTTGACGAATGGATGTTCTGCAGAGACTGAAAATCCCATACCGTTCCTTGATGATCCATTGATACCATCAGGCCGTCTGAACCCCAATCCAGTGTCTTTAGTCGCCTCTTCACTGCCATCATGGCTGGAGAATCGGGTCCTATGGAACCCATAGATGCTGCACTACCACAAGTTGCACGAGAAAGATTGAACAATCTGCTGAATAAATCGAGCGATATGGTTTCAATGAAAAAGCAGTTTCACCAAGTATCATCGGATTCTTGAAAGGGCAGCATCGAAAGTTTAAATCGTAAGTCGTTGCGGCAATTTCTCCAAGCTCAACTGTTCTATTGACTGACACGATTCCCGTGTTGCTATATCGGCCCACTTCTCGGCTGCAGTACCCGCGGCGGGTAAGGGGCCCCCGGGTACCGCACCCGGCTGCAGCAGCTGGCTCGCGGTTGAATAGCGGGCCTATGCCGCAGAAAAGCTTAAATACTATCCCACACCTTCTCACGTAGCCGAGGAAGACGGTTTTAACTCCAGATTTTGCTGGGTACTGTACCCGGATACAGCGCTGGTAGCGCACATCACCGTTAGACTTAGGATGTCTCGACTTTGTCGAGACGGTTGAGCTGGGCGCTATATATGGATTGCCTCGAACCCCGGATTATCGCAATCCAAGAGACTTGCAATCAGACCGACTCTATCAGAATATCTTGATCCCAGCCAGAAAAAGGTCACAATGGAATCGGTCAGCCAGGAGTCTAAGGGCGCCTCTGTGCACGAGGAAAAGGTCATGTCTGACAATATACGTGATGATGTGGATCACCACAGACCCCTTCCAGATGGCTATCATCCTCGTACGGAGGAGGAGAAGGCTTTGAGTCGTTCAGTGAATCGAAAGATGGATCTTTTCCTGCTTCCGTTTCTCTCTATTCTTTACCTGTTCAACGGGCTGGATCGAGGGAATGTGGGTAATGCTCAGACTCAAGGTATGCCTAGAAGTATGTTTGGTCTTATGAGCTTGCACACTGACTTGCTGAATCAGGCTTCTCGAAGGATATTGGCGTCACGGCGAACGATGTGAATGACTCTGTCTCGTTATTTTTCGTGACTTTCGTGATCTTCCAGCCGATCTCTGCTGCGGTTGGTCGTCTTGTCGGTGCCAAATTTTGGATTCCGACGTTGATGGTATGCGACTTTCAATGCATTGAATCTCCTAATTCTCAGCTGACCGGCAGTTATTAGTTTCTCTGGGGCGGGTTGACTATTGCCAATGCCTTTGTTCATGGACGAGGTATGTCAAGTCTGGCCAAGGATGAGAAAAAATTGTCTTTTGTTAACTGTCTTAGGTCAATTGATTGCTGTTCGTCTGCTCATCGGTCTGTGTGAAGCCGGTTTTTATCCCACCGCCTTGTTCTATCTTTCGACCTTCTACACGAGGTATGATCTTGGTGTAAGAATCGGACTGTTCTTCGGTCAATACGCCATTGCAGGGGCATTTTCGGGGGCAATTGGTATGTTCAATGACCACAGCGCAGAGTTCCCTTCGATGATAGAAGTGCGAAACACTAATAATGGGCTGTTTTTCCAGCATATGGCATTTTTCACATGCATGGCTCACTCCACAATTGGCAATATTTGTTTCTCATCGAAGGCGCCTTGACAATGGGTTTCGCTCTTCTCTCCTGTGCCTTTCTACCTCGTGATCCCGGCTCAGCTTGGTTCTTGTCCAAGTCAGAAAGGGATTTTGCCTGTGAACGGATCCGCACAGACAGCGAAAGCTGTACTCCCTCAGATCTTGAGACAAGCACTTCGAAGAAGAAGACAAGTCAACTAACGAGGAGCGATGTTGTTGGAACCATGCGGGACTGGAAGTTGTGGACTGCTTTGGTGTGCAATATTTGCGCCAGTGTGCCGAGCCAGGCTTTCTCCGTCTTTCTTCCCCTGGTCGTGAAGGGATTGGGGTATACATCGATCCAGGCGAACTTAGTAAGTCCCGCTACGAGACTCAAGTCAGTCAATCATCATACTCCTTTCTTGGCTGACAATTTTCATCTACCCCCCAGATGTCTGTTCCGCCATTTGTGTGCGGAGCAGTAGGTCTTTACCTTTTCACGTTCAGCTCCGACCGATGGTAAGTGCTTTTCTGCAAGCCGCTGTTTGTTTGCTTTTTTCTCCTTTTTGAAAGTGAACTCGAGCTTACCCCTTCTCCAGCAAAGAGAGGGGATTTCATATTGTCGGCGGCTTAATCGTCTGCCTCATCGGGCTCGTCATGACCATCACTATTGAGAACAACCACGGTCGTTACATCGCATTGTGTGTCCTCTTAATTGGCAGCTACGCGACTTCGCCACTGACGATGGCTTGGCTGAGTGGAAATACCCCCGGTAAGAGCGAACCGAGGCATTTCTGACGTAACCACTTTTTCTGACCATTTTTAGAGCCTGGAAAACGTTCGTTAGTCCTGGGAGTCAATGGCTTCGGAAATCTTGCGGGAGTGATCGGGTCACAAATTTTCCGATCTGAATACGCTCCACGATATCTGGTACCGTTCTACGCCACACTTGGCTTCATATCATTTGCTTTGGTCGGTTACATAGCCTACCGAATCATGCTCAAGCGTGTCAACGTGTATCGGGCGAGGAAAATAGAGACATGGACTCTCGCAGACATTCAGGCCGAGCGAATGGATAATAAACGGTTGGGAGACAAAAAGTATACATTTGTCTATGGTCTGTGAGTCTGCCTTTTGCTTACCACCGGAAATATTTTGAAGTTTGAATTCGGCATTTTGAATTGTGCTTCCCCAGCACCTTTGAAGTCTATGAAACTTGATAGTTTGCCCATAACACAATACGAGTATGTCACGAGACGCATGGATATGCGTTTTCAGATCCTATCGTTTCTCTCGGGATGGCCGCTCGCCAAGGCGTTAGGTATATGAGCTTCTGCATTCCTTGGAACCAAAGCTATCGTCCAGATGTTATTGCCTCGGCTCGTTGCTTTCAAAGCGCAAATGCGTAGCTATTTGGAACTATAAAATTCACTCTGACCTGGAGATCAGAGCCATCCCTCGTGCCGCGGTTCAAATACGCTCTGCTAAATATTCCTGGTGGCCCAGAACCAAGCCGAGTCATGAGACAGATAGACCATGGCGAGATCATGTGCTCCAGTACTCCTGTACGTTGAACGCCACGAACTTCCAGTCTTCTGTTGAGAGCTAAGTTGGGTATGTTCCGAGGGTTAAGCGCCATCCAGCTCGATAGCAGCTATTCAACCTTCCTCTATCGGCGCAGTTCACACGGATATACTTTAAGTTAAGGTTGTAGGCTTTGAGGCAAGTGGCGTAGGGCGAAGTAAGCTGTTTGGCAACTCGGATGAACTCGGAAGTCTGTGTACATTGATGAGTTTGCTTCAAGCTGGATCACTCGCTTTCACATCAATTTTGAGTTGACGGACGGGCCACTCAATCCTGCCCTGGGAGTCAAGTATGATGATAAGTAGACTATAGATGCTTGCTGTCCGGCATAGGGTCCAGACCCTTGGGGCACGTGGATGTTACCAAGGCGGCTAATCGACCCTGTCATGCGCAAATCCCGTCAACATCCCTGTCCGCTAGAACAGCCCGCGAGATTTCACGAATACTTTCCTAGAAAGACATTTGAATCTAGCCGCGGTTGCAAAGCCCATCTTTCCAGGTTAAAAATTAAGTTGTGAGGAGTGTGGAACACTATTTCTCGCTCAGACAATCGCAAGGTTGGCCTGGCCAAGACAACATGACAATGTCCTTGGACGGACATGATTTGTTCACATGTCGGCCGTTACCCCAGATTTGCAGCACGGACATTTGCAGCATACCTACCTATCCATGTCTCCTTCCCGAATTCGCCTAGTGAACCTTCTCTCCCTCGCCTGTCGACACGAGACGAATGGCAGCTGACTTTGGCGCGCAATCGCCATATGGACTGGGTCTTGGCAACCACCGGCCGGGACGGAAATCGTCAAGTGTCCCTCCAGGCAGAAGGTAGATTGTCCCTTTGGATCGAGCGCTTTTGCAAGGAGAAAAATAGACAGCGGCAAAGAGAAACTAGAATGTTTTCGTTGTTCAAATATGGTTTGATACGCATCACGCTGGATGCTGCATTCATTCAATAAGCTTCGCTAGTCTGATCGAGCGGCTTTCACTCATGTCCAGTCCACCTTTCCGTGTCGATGGATGCACCCTTTTCGGAGGCACAGACACCTAGTACCACATTCAGTCCAGGTTGAACCTCCCGCTTATTGTCTGTTCCAAACTTCCCTAACAATTCTGCTACTGCGCATGAGGGATGAGTCTATGACCCAGTTTCGCCTTCAATATGACTCCACTCGACCTGAATACTAGCGGCCAATACACCTGACTACTGAGCTCACAGCACAGGCCAGCCACGAGAAAGTCAAAATCATTTTGTCTTTCTCTGAATCGTTTGCACTGGGAAACTCGATCTCGTCCGCCAAGCTGCCAAGCTGCCAAGCGCCACACGCACCCAGATCACTGGCTCCGTCTCGTGTCTTCCCCGCATTCCCCCCGGGTCAACAACCCCAGATCGTCAACTATCCCTGCTCTCCTGCGCCCTGGTGTATGTCTAGATCCGCCACCGACAGGACCACTGTCGCTTAGTGTGACTCGACCGAGACACCTTTGAGCCCACACGCAGTGGGGGTGGTTGACGCTCTGAGTCTTTGACCCCTCCTCTTTTTCTCCTCGAGGATTGAGAGTGCCACCTATTGTGGGAGGACCCGATATCTGACGGGTGAACTCGTCCAATCCTCGTACTCCTAGTCCTGCGGCTTTCTATCCCAGACAGTCTGCTGCACCGAGGCACTTGTCGAAATTCTGTCGGCTATTGCTCGCGATCCAGCCTGGAGGTGAGAGGGGCAAAAGGCTGGGCATGAAGAATGGCTGATCCGTCCACTGCTAGGTGATGGAGTCCATCAGGTGCTCACCAGCCAACGAAGGGTCGGCGGTGGACTTCTTTGGGGCGGCGTTCTACGATCAGGCTCTCCGTAGTCTGAGCCCCCTCCTCATCGTTCCAATTTCGAGACTGGGGGAGCTCATCGTTTTGTCATTCCCAAAATGATAAAGATGATCCCGCACCCCCTCGTTCCCTGCAACCAACGGGGCTTGTTGTTATCCACGAGACCTGACTGAGTTGCAGCAAGTCTTGTAGTTGACAGTACAAAAGTCGCATCCGAAATTTCTTGTTAATCGACTTCTGACCCTGACTACCATTGCACAGTCTCAATCACTCGCTCATCATGTTGGCCGACGAGAAAGTCGCCAGTGTTGATCGTGTTGAGGATGTCGAAAGACGGACATCGGGCCAGAAGACCCCTCCTTCCGATTATGACGATGAGTTCACCCCAGAAGAGCAGAAGAGAATCATTCGCCGAATTGATCTGCGTCTGGTCACCATGACTGGCTTGGCCTACTGTGTCTCACTCATGGATCGAACCAATTTGAGTGCAGCTGCTATCGCGGGGTATGTATAGTCTGACTCCAGCATCGCGCATCATTGACGATGTCCGAGCAAAACGCTAACTCGTCTGTAATGTGTCAGTCTCAAGAAGGAATTGGCTCTGGATGTTGGAGATCGCTATGTTCGTGACGACCCTCTTCCAGCGCTCACCTCAGACAATAAACTAACGATTCGATCTCTTACTGCTTTTAGTCTATTGTGGTTCTCATGTTCTTCGTTCCATATATTCTCTTCCAGCCGCCAATGACGGTCATCATTCGCAAAGTTGGGCCCACATTATTCTTGGGCTCAATTATCATGACATGGGCCGCTGTGATGATTGTAAGACTCTCAGGCTTGCGCAAGTGGAGGTACTGTTTCAAAGATGAAGCCCTCTCTGACTTTCATGCAGGGAACGGGGTTCGCGAAGAATTGGGGCCAATTGGTCGCACTACGAACGTTACTTGGTCTCTTGGAAGCCGGCTATTTCCCAGGTTGCGTGTACCTCTTGTCCTGTTGGTACACTAGGTGTGAGTATCATGACCAGTATCAAAAAAAGTCAATATCTGACCGTGCTGACCTCTCCATCAAGATGACGTACAAAAGCGATTCTCTGTCTTTTACCTCATCGGCTGCGTTGCCTCTGCAGCGTCCGGTATCCTCGCCTTTGGTCTGATGCAACTAAACGGCACCCATGGCTTGACTGGATGGCGATGGATCTTTATCCTCGAGGGTGTGGTATGTTGACAAACCCCTCTCGTGGGAGAATTGGGCCCATACATTTGTCTCCCCCTGTCAGAGAGTCGAACTGACACAGCGACGACTAGATTACCGGTGTGATCGGCCTCATGTGCTTCTTTTTCCTCGTTGACTTCCCCGACCGCGCTGCGAAATCGTGGAGATTTTTGAGCCAACGGGAGTGTGACTGGGTCGTGCGCCGAATCAACAATGATCGTCAAGATGGCGAGCTGGAAGCCTTCTCTGTCAAGAAGTTCTTGCGACCTGCGCTAGATCTCAAAATCTGGGGATTTGCCATGATTTTCTTGTATGTTTTCCGTACCCACCACGATTCATGCCAAGTATTAATTGAGCCCGTCTCTACAGTTGCGTGACCACCGTCACCTACGCCATCGCCTACTTCCTCCCTATCATCCTGATGGAGGGTATGAAATTCGGCGTCGGCGCTGCTCAATGCCTCGTCGCTCCCCCTTACGTGTTCGCAGGCTTTGTCATGTACGGCACCGCCTGGTTCGCTGACAAGTACCGGGTTCGAGGCCCCGTCTTGGTTTTCAACTCCATGCTGTGCATCATCGGTCTGCCCATGATGGGCTTTGCCCAGGGCAATGCCGTTCGCTACGCCGGTGTCTTCTTCACCGTGGCCGGTGCCAATGCCAACATCCCGTCCTGCATGGCTTACCAGGCCAACAATGTGCGCGGTCAATGGACGCGTGCGCTTTCCAGTGCGACTCTGGTGGGATTCGGAGGTATCGGCGGTATTGCCAGCAGTTTGGTCTTCCGTCCTCAAGATGCACCTGGCTATCGACCCGGCATGTATGCCGCGATTGTGTAAGTTTTGCTGTTCTTTCTCTCTCATCGCTGCTTGTCCCGACCATTCCCGTGTCGGGTGTCGTGGTCCCATTTCCTTTGCTGGATATGCAGACTCCTGGCTGGCTTTTGGGTACTAGTCTTGATCGTGCGCTAATTCCTTTTTGTCTATGTTCAGCTGCAATATCACGATCATGCTCATTGTTGCCACCCTCAGTCTGTGGTTCCGCATCTGCAATCGGCAGGCTAACCAGGGCAAGCGCATCATCGAGGGCGAGGCCACTTTCCGCTATACCATTTAATCTATGTTTTGCGCTTTCTTGATGTGATTTGATGTTCAGGGGTTCTGTGTGTGCATTTGTGCAATGTATGGTGTACTGTATCCTTTTTGGGTGCGGACAATAAGGTGCGGGTTGTTGTGTAACTGAGATCCGTGGCCAGGAAGAAGTCTAACAGGTACTACTACTACTGGTTACTGCTACTACTCCTACTGTGCCCCAGTGGTGGCCCCGGCTATCACTTCAGTGGATCACATGTGATTAGCGTCACGATTTCACGTGATCTATCAAGCTTCTTGGCAGTTGTGTTGTGGCTAATGGCTATACTACTACTATTCGTACACCGCGAGCCTCCAATTGTCCCGTATGTCACGTTCCGGGCGAGTAAAGCACACGCCAAGTTATTACTTTTTTGATTCAAGACACGATTGATCTGTCTGCAATCTGCATCATAGTCGCAGATCCCGAACTCAACGTCGGTGCCGATAATAATGCCCCTCGACTTTGTCCAGTCTAGAGTCGGTGGAGTGATGGAGTGGTGGCCCCCCCCGCGATTCCATCGGTGAGAGTCGGTGCAGGACGGTGTGGGGAGAGGAACTGGAGCCCGGATGTTGCCATGTTGAAGAGTTTCCCGTCGGAAAACGCCATGTGCATCCTGGAGATAATCGTTAGTGGCCTCAGGCAGAGACCAGGGTCAGGCTAGCGCTTATCCCCCTTGGGCCATGTTTGCACTGTTTCACCTGTCCGATAAATCCCGATAAGTCAATGTGGACTGTTTCCCTCCGTCATTCGTCCGATAAGTCGGCGCTTATCATCTGCACGGTCAAAGTTTCCCGACGAGTCTCTCCCACCCTGCGCTTACCCGTTGCCCGCCTCCTCGGTCAAGAGAGTCATAATGAGATGCGATGGTGCCGAAGGGGGGAAATAGGAAAGGGAAAAAAAAAGATGGGATGACTTTTCCATGGGTGACACAGAGCGAGGGGGGAGATGATAAGATATAGTATTTAGAGAATTTCCGATCGGCGTTTCACTTCTTCTTCTTCTTCTCTTGAATCATCACGCCTTCGCTCTTCAACTACCTTACTTACTATCTCAGTACCTCTACCTCTACCTCTTGAGGGTACTACTGTACATCTCTGGGAATCGCATTCACTTGCTGAGACCCAAAGCATTCTTCCAGCGACCCTCGAGCTACTTGTCAACCGTGCTTCCTTGGTTCACTACCGACTCAGTCTATTCCTCCACACACCATGGCAGCCTCTTGGTGTGCCCTGCGTGGTGGCCGTCAGTTGGCCCTGCGAACGCGCGTGCGCGTAGGCCCTTCACCAGTGGCATTGCGAACGGCAGCGGTGACACCGATCAATATTGCTCGTCGCGCCCTACACAGCTCCAACAATGCCAATGGCAACGCTACAACGACAACACCTCGTCGTGGTGTCTACACAAGCTCCGTGAACGCTCATGGTGTCCCTCACCCGGAGGACATCTTCCAACCCCTCGATACTTTCCCTCGTCGCCATATCGGCCCATCTCCCGAGGCCGCCTCAGGCATGCTAGCTGCATTGGATCCCCCCGTTGCTTCTCTGGATGAATTTGTGAAGCAGGTGCTGCCAGCGGACATTCTGTCCAAAAAGGACATGAAGGTGTCGGAACCACAGGTCGACATTAATCTGTACAGGTCACCCATCCAGGGTGGTCTTGGTGAGACGGATATGCTGAAACTGCTGGACTCATACCGCAAGCAGATCGACATCTCAGGCAAGACCTACATTGGCACTGGCTACTATCCGACCATTGTGCCGCCAGTGATTCTTCGCAATGTCCTCGAGAACCCCGCTTGGTACACCAGCTACACACCCTACCAGCCCGAGATCTCCCAAGGCCGTCTCGAGTCTCTGCTCAACTTCCAGACCTTGACCGCTGACCTGACGGCCCTGCCCTTTGCCAATGCCTCCGTCCTAGACGAGGCCACGGCCGCTGCCGAGGCCATGACCATGTCATACGCCACCATGCCTGCTTCCAAGCAGAAGAAAGCCGAGAAGTCCTACGTGGTCTCGCATCTCTGCCACCCGCAGACCATTGCCGTGATGCAGTCGCGTGCCGAGGGATTCGGGATCAATCTGGTGATTGGGGATATCATGGCCAATGACTTCCAGCTTGTCAAGGACCAGGGCGACCACCTCATTGGTGTGTTGGGTCAATACCCGGATACGGAGGGTGGTATCTACGACTTCCAGTCCCTTAGTGATTCCATCCACAGCCAGGGTGGTACCTTCAGTGTTGCAACCGATCTTCTCGCATTGACTGTCCTCAAGGCCCCCGGTGAGTTTGGTGCCGACATTGCTTTCGGCAGTGCCCAGCGAATGGGTGTCCCAATGGGCTTTGGCGGTCCCCATGCGGCTTTCTTCGCCTGCGCCGACAAGTACAAGCGCAAGGTCCCCGGCCGTGTTGTGGGTGTGTCCAAGGACCGTCTGGGTAACCGGGCTCTGCGTCTGGCTCTGCAGACTCGCGAGCAGCACATTCGTCGTGAGAAGGCCACAAGTAACATTTGTACTGCTCAGGCTTTGCTAGCCAACATGACTTCCATGTACGCCATCTACCACGGTCCCGAAGGCCTCAAGGCAATTGCTCAGCGCATCATGTCTATGACTTCATTGCTCCGTGAGAAGCTGGTGGGCCTGGGATACAATGTTCCAATTCGGTCTAACGTTGACGGTGGTGCCATCTTCGACACCTTGGCCATTGAGCTTGCTGATGCCTCCGAGGCTGATGCCGTCTACGCTGCTGCTCTCAAGGCCAACATCTTCCTCCGTCGTCTCGACGGCAACAAGGTCGGTCTGTCGCTAGACGAGACTGTGGGCCGCGATGAGGTCAAGGGTATCTTGGATGTCTTTGCCGCCTACAAGGGTGCTTCCCCTGTTCAGGTGGATGGCACACTGGCGCTGGCCTCTGTTGCTGCTCCTCTCGAACGTACGTCTGCTTACATGACTCACCCCGTGTTCAACACCCACCACTCCGAGACCGAAATGCTTCGCTACATCCGCCACCTCGAGTCCAAGGATCTCTCTCTTGCCCACTCCATGATTCCCCTCGGATCATGCACCATGAAGCTGAACGCTACCACTGAGATGATTCCAGTCTCGTGGCCCGAGTTCTCTCAGATCCACCCCTTTATGCCCGCCGAAAAGGCCAAGGGCTACATCAAGATGATTGACGACCTTGAGGCTCAGCTGGCCGATATCACGGGTATGGCCGAAGTGACGGTGCAGCCCAATTCTGGTGCGCAGGGTGAATTCGCCGGTCTGCGCGTCATCAAGAAATACCAGGAAGCTCAGGGAGACGCGAAGCGCAATGTTTGCCTGATTCCTGTCTCTGCGCACGGGACTAACCCAGCCTCGGCTGCTATGGCTGGTATGCGCGTTGTGACTATCAAGTGTGATACCAAGACCGGTAACTTGGATCTGGATGACTTGAAGGCCAAGTGTGAGAAGCACAAGGATGAGCTCGCCGCTTTCATGATCACCTATCCCAGCACATTTGGTGTCTTTGAACCTGGTGCCAAGGAGGCGTGCCGCCTGGTCCACGAGTTCGGCGGTCAAGTGTACATGGACGGTGCGAACATGAACGCTCAAATTGGCTTGTGCTCCCCTGGCGAGATTGGCGCGGATGTCTGCCACTTGAACCTGCACAAGACCTTCTGTATCCCCCACGGCGGCGGTGGTCCCGGTGTTGGACCTATTGGTGTTGCTGCCCATTTGGCTCCCTATCTTCCCTCTCACCCGACGAGCGAGTACCTTCAGACCAAGCGTGGGTCTTCAGCGTCTCCGCCCATCAGTGCTGCTCCCTGGGGCAGCGCCAGTATCCTTCCCATCACCTTCAACTACATCAACATGATGGGCGACCGCGGTCTCACCCACGCCACCAAGATCACCCTCCTGAACGCCAATTACCTCCTCTCTCGTCTCAAGGGGCACTATCCCATCCTCTACACCAATGACCACGGCCGTTGTGCTCACGAATTCATTCTCGACGTTCGAGGCTTCAAGGAGACCTGCGGCATCGAAGCCATCGACATTGCCAAGCGTTTGCAGGATTACGGATTCCACGCCCCGACCATGTCTTGGCCCGTTGCCAACACGCTCATGATCGAGCCCACCGAGTCCGAGAACAAGGCCGAACTCGACCGTTTCTGCGATGCCCTCATTTCTATCAGAGCTGAGATCGCCGAGGTCGAGGCAGGCAAGCAGCCTCGTGAAGGCAATGTTCTGAAGAATTCTCCCCACACCCAGCGTGACTTGTTGTCCAGTGAATGGAACCGATCATACACCCGAGAGGCTGCCGCCTACCCCCTTCCTTGGCTGTTGGAGAAGAAGTTCTGGCCCACTGTTACGCGTGTTGATGATGGTAAGCATTCACTGCCCCCTTTGTTTAGATGAATCTTGTGTTTTGTGCCGGACACTAACAATCTTTTTCACTACAGCTTACGGGGACCAAAATCTCTTCTGCACCTGCGGCCCCGTCGATGAGACTGAATAAATATACAGACGCTGTATATGATGATACCCACGTTGCGTTGCGTTGTGATTCCTAAAAATTCAACTTTATCCAACCCTTCACCTCACCAATGTCTTTTTGGAAGAACATGAGTCTTGAGAAGTCAAGAGTCGGGGGTAATTGCATTGGTGATAAGCAGATACATTAACTGGTCTGCTTTGGCGTTGCGCTTTTTGCTTCCTTTTGCGTCATTGTTGAAGATGAGACTTTTTCCCACTTTCCGTTTGTTTCAGGAAAGCGGTCCTCTTTCTTTTCTGATGTATATATTCACGATGATTCATTCTTAACAACTCTCGGATACTATTTACTGCTCTGAACTGGGTACATGATAGAGTGTTGGGTGCTGTATATCTCGCGGATCATGTTTGTTATTGGCTATCCACCTTCTATTACAAATGATTGATTCACTAGTTAAATCGTGCAGACGAAAACATTAGCGCCGCGGTGGAGAACTGGTCATCTCAGCGCGAGCCGGGCCGGGCTGGTCCAGACTCCAGTCAGTTACTTCGATATCTCAGGTACGATTATAGCCTTCTATTCGCACGATTCGTTATCAACTTCACTGGCTCCTAGCCCAGTGTGTTGAACTCTACTAGAAAGATGAGTCTCAAATACCACCTTGAACTATCCAGATCGAATGGAAGAGACCTTTCTCTTATGTTCGAATCCGATTCTCAGGTACCGAGATGGTGAATACTCCGATCCGTCTCGTTCGTTGATTTACTGCCGAGCGGCTGAGGGAAGATTAATCAAGTGACATAGGTGGATAGGGTCGATATACTCAAATGATCACCTGCATTCATAGGGTCATATACTTAATCGAGGTAGTGAATAACTGGTGCAAGTAACCTTCCTTGTCCCTTACAGTGACATTGACCTTGTGCTTGACCTCGTACTTGTCCTTGACGTCATGTACACGAACGGTACTGGTTCTATTTGAATAGCTCCACACAGTCGAAGATCTAGCAAAGGGCACGGTCAGTACATTTAGTTAATAGTCCCTGATCTAGCAACTCTCTGATGATAGGACTGCGTTGTGCTTCTCCTCGAAAAGGGGTAAACTTACAAAGTTTGGACTGAGGAATTGGTCCCCTGAACTTCCGGAGACTATTGAGATTGTTATCTGTGTTTTGGGAAGAAGAGCTATGGGTTAGCGAGATCTGCGCAGCTTGAAGGCGGGTGTTTTTCTAGGTAGGAAGAAAGGAAGAGGAGGGGAGTTTGAGAAGAACGACATGGGACGCATTGATAGGAGTTCCACAGAGACATGAACATGACGGTGATTCTGGACTGGGGGTTGGTGGATATCTCACCTCATTTCCACCCTCCCTGATCACACCCCCCGGGACATTCACATTGTAAATTTCTCCTAACCCTCTGTACGCCCCGCGCGTCACACCCCGACTTTTTAAATTTGTCGGCGCGCTCGGTATGGGACCTGTCCATCCGTTGACGGTGACCTGCGGCCGTCCGCCTGCGAAAGAGAGCGTCGTGCCTATGCGTAGCGTGACAGCGCCGGTCTGCGAGCTCGAGGCGGTGAATCTGATGGTCAGGGGCGAGTTCACGGATTTGAAGAGGGCCATCGGGAAGGAGGATGTCGGGGACGAGCCGATGGTAAAGGGTTGGGGTGTCCAGGAGGACATGCGTTGGTCGGTTGGATGCATGCGGAGTTGGGATTCGGAGTTGAGGAAGCCTGTTGGTCTGTTTTTCGTTGGAAAGGAGGAAGGTATAGTTGTTAGTATGGAGTTCTTGCCCGTGTCGAGATATGATATTTCCCGATACTAGGTTGAAGGGGGTCGGTGGAAGAAAGGGAAGATGGGCTGCGTCGTGTCGCAGGAGGCTCATTCTTACCTTCCGTCCCATTGACCAATTCTGAAAATCGTATTGCCGGTCTTGACTGACCCTGATATATCTTTGTTCACTGTTGCGCCTGCGCTCACGGATACCGAGGTCTTTGCGACGAGGTATTCGCCTTGGTAATAGACCATTGTGTATGCGCCAGGTTTCATGGCCGGCGAGGTAAAGGCTCCACCAGATGCAGCATAAGTCCAGTATTGAGCGTTGTCGTTGTACCTGATTTCATTCCATATGAGTTACTTCGGTCTCAACTCAAAGTTCTTGTTCTCAACGGCAGGCTGGGTCCGACTTTAACTAACCAGTGAATGACCCATTGCATGGACGAGTCTGCGCCAGAGGCTTTACCAACGACTTTACCCCTTCCCGACGCCGCAATGTAACCCTTAATTCCCAAGTCGGCAAAGAAAGAGGTATCAATGTCACTGCTGGGCGTGCCGCTTCGACTAAAGTACATCAGGTATGGACCGTGCAGACCTGTTCGAAAAGGTTCTGTTTGGACGTGGCCAGAGTTCATGTACCAATAGAGACCGGTATAGTCGCCAACGTTGTTGGTATTGATATCTCTGAAAATTGATTAACACTGACTTTGACAGAAGGCGGAATGGCTTATTCATACCGATGGAATGGTCCTCCTGAAGATGTTTCGTATTGGTTAAGGATCATGCAGACCCTGTGTTGAGAGCCAGATACGCCTGGGAAAAATCAATATTTTCATTGTATTGTTTGAACTTCGGATGATTCTCACAGTGTCTATGATCATCGATGAATCGCTCGCTCGAATAGAATTTGCTGCGCGTTTGGGATCCTACTTTGAACACGTCGGAGCCCTCAATGGCCGTACCGCCGGCAATATTGGAAACAACTCCAAATGGCTCTTCATTCGGGAGCAAGTTTGCGTTGAGACGGGCAATGTATCGAAGCTCTCCGATCGACGGCTCTACAGGTAGTGTTAGAAACTTTTGTCCGGCGGAGTGTCGAGTGTGACAGACCAGCGCTGGTGTATGTTGCCATGTAGATGATGGAATCTCCATTACGTGCAACATAGTAGTGAGTCAGGGTCGATGTTTCACAGGTAACCTTGATATAATTTCCTGCCGCGGATTAGACATCCAACCTCATCATGATGCACAGTGCTATCGCCAGACTCACCATTCTGTGTAGCAGTGACAGTAGCCTGACCTAAACCAGAACCAATGTGGGAACCTGTGCGCTGGTATTGCAATTCAGCTCCGTAATAGCTGATGGATGTGATATCACAGTTTGATCGATTAATTGTGTAACGCAGTGGGTTCGCAGACCCCGTGTCGATGACATATGCATTAGATGTTGTGGTCACGCCAAAAGCAGCTTCAACTCCCTTGCCTAGCATGGCCAGGGAGGCTACAAGGAAGCCTGAGACAAACATAGTTGGCAGCCAGAGAATATCCAAGATACAAGATATTATGAAGGAAATACCAAAGCGGCTTAAGGGTCTCGAAAGCTTCGGCGCCTTATAAACAATTCATCGGTCTTCGACTTGAACGTGAATTTTTCGACGGTCGCCACTAGCTCAATCGCGCAGATTGTGGACAGCGACGACATTCGATGAGCGTTGGGTGTACACGTGAAATTCCCTCTGCGTGAAGAATCTTTCAGCCTCCCCCACAACTGAAGCGCCAGTGAACGCCGGATTTTCACCAATCTTGGATAGATGAGCGGCAGCGAAACTCCGAGATGGGTCTCTTTTCGTCACGGCACCTGGCTCAGCCCGGTAATTTCAAGCGTGGATCTCCCGCTCGTGCATCTGGGGTGTCACTCGGTCACAGATTCTCTGACGTGCCAAGTCATTGTCGAGTGATAGAAGCTGCCAAGAGCGCCCTTTAATTTTCCGCGAAACAGAGAAGGCAAACCCAGTGGTGATAGAGAACTTGAGAGCAGAAACTGGCTTCGTCGCTTGTACGACGGTCTCTTCACATGGCTTGGCACTCTTCTGCCGACCCTTCGCTTTATGTTGCGCTGGTAGAAGTACGTCCACGAGTCGAGTTTGGGGTACCTCGATGTACTGCTGCTATGCGTCAGTAAAAAACTTCTGGGAAGATCGGGGGAGGTCTCCCGAGACTGCTCACCCTCAGTCATATGTCTGACTTGCCGGGCAGGGAGTCAACTGCGCGCGGTTTCTTGTAAAGGGCACTAACACTAGGAAGTATCTTGGATTGCCCCATAACGGATCATGTAATTTGTGCCTCCAAGTACTGTATGCATTTGACAGCTCTGCTTGCGCCTATAGTGCGTGTCAGAAAAGTCTGAGAATTGATGAATAACATGCCAAGTATCATGTGCGAGCCGATGCTTGAGACGCCGTGTAGATATTTCTTTACCCTGGTAATATGACGTGCATGTCGAAGTTGCGAATACTCATGCTCAACAAAAACCGTGTGAGCACTCGCTCCCACCTGTTTGACCCAGCAAGACCTAAACGGCACAAAGATAGACTTTGAACGATAGCGTATCGTGTGATATCACGAGGAAAGACCATTATTATCGTTCGCCGGTATGAAATCCACGTGGCCGGTTTTGTGGTTCATCTTGATCGCCGGCGATCTTTACGATTTGTCTTCGGCTCGCAACATAATCGCATGATTCACGGAATATCTCATGATTTGAAATCTTCAAAGTGAGACGGTCAACACAGGAAAGTGCATGTTCCCGTGATGCAGGCTCGTATACACGTATTGTGGCGATGGCTCTGGGTCGTGATTTGTCCTTTCGAGCCGAGGTCATATCGTCCACGGGTGAGCATTCCTCTTGACGCCGGTGCATTCCTGGAACAATCCACAGGTCACCCCTGCAAGCCGTTCTCGGCAACAACTCAACACCCCCTTTGATACAGGTGCAAGGCGAGGCTTTCAAAAAGAAGGCGGTGGCCTGATTGATAGCAAAACATTCACTGAAATCTTCAATCGGCCAGTCGATCCTCTTGTGGAGAACTATCTATCGGCACTTCTGTCAACACAGTCCACCAAAACAATGTCCAGACCCACTGATTGATCCGTCCCGCTGTCAGTATCCGAGCCCCGACTGGCAACTTCACATTTAAGAAATCTTGTAGGCATCAATCTGGTGATCAAGTAACGGCAAGCGAGATGTCAAAGAGTATTTCTGTGTCGAGCTCCTCGTATGGCGGATCAATGTCGCAACATTCAATGTGGGTTTCGGGTCGAAAATGCGTCTAAGTTAGGAAGATCCACTCAAATTTCGACACGATGATCATGCATTCTGATTTGCAATTCAATTCAATAGGTTCGTGCTGCGCCGTTCTGACAGAAAGTCCGGCTTCCGTCGTCCAGACCTCCACGAGCATGAAATTTCTATCAAGGAAGGAAGGCGAAGTCCCCAGTCGAAAATTTATGAAGCTCGCCACGTGCGTCCTTATCTTCATGGCCGAATGCGGCAAAAAGATAACAAGCTCGCATGCCAGGGTCAGGTGATGGCCTCCAAAGCGGTGTTCTACACCGCGGCGCCCAACTTTGTTTCTTCTTTTGATCGTAGTTCTGTAGCATGCTATCAGGTGGCTGGTAGTTGCTTGACTTTTCCAGTAGAAATCACCAGACATAGTCGATATTATGTCGCACGGAAAGCCGAACTCGGTGATGCCTTGTCTCGGATACCTTCCCGAGAGAGCGTCCCCGAGCCAGTCACACGGCACAGTTGACGGGAACCTGCAGCCGCCTCCGCAAACAATATCATCCCTGGCATTGTTCTGATGCTCTTGAATCTATTGTTCTCGACGACTGTCTCACAATGCAGCTTGTGATGCATCTGCCTATTAGTTGTCCAGGTCCTATATACAGAATGGAGTTCTGTCAGTGGCCGTTGTGCAAATTCCTCAATACTTATACAACTTGCAGTCCCCGTTGGACATACCGACGAGCTCGCCCAAGTGGTGGAAATCATTATTGAACGTCATGCGTTACAGCAACCTCGGCCGGATGGCCATCATCCTGGCTGGAATCACCGGCACGACATTTGGCATGGGAATGACACATCTTCGCCGAGAGCTCAGCTTGAGCGCGGAGCTTGGCATTAGCCCTGATACGATGTTGAAGGAACGCAAGTCTGCACAGTCGCTAGTAAAAGAGCTGCCAACAGATAACATCACCAGTTTGACTGTTTCGGTATGTACTCAGCAGCGGGACCCTGGTGTGAGCAACAGCTGACTCGAGGGCCAGATCCCGATTGATCACGAGAACTCGTCAGTGGGCACCTATGAAAACCGCTATTGGGTCAATGATGAGTACTATCGTGAGGGAGGGCCTGTCATTCTGTACGATGTAGGAGAGATCAACGCAGAAACTACAGCATTGAAGAACCTGGGCAACTCGAGTTCAGTCATTGCAGAGATGCTCGAGGAGTTCGGAGCAATTGGTATCGTCTGGGAGCATAGGTGAGTTCTTCTTTTGTGTGCACAGTTTGCCGTTAGTAGTCCGTGCAGTACTTCCTACTAATCATGAAATCTATCAAGATACTATGGAGAGTCATTGCCTTTCAATGTTAACATTGACACTCCTCCTGAACACTACAAATACCTCACCAATAGACAAGCTTTGGCCGATATTCCGTACTTTGCGCAAAACTTCACTCTTCCGGGGCACCAGGAAGATCTGACCCCAGAGTCAAAGCCATGGGTCATGATGGGAGGCTCATACGCCGGTATGCGAGCCGCTTTCACCCGTGATGCCTACCCAGATACCATCTATGCAGCATGGGCATCTTCGGCGCCGGTTGAAGCCCGCGTTGATATGAGCATGTACTTTGACCAGATTTATGACGGAATGGTTGCAAATGGGTACTTGAACTGTACTAAAGACATCAAGGCTGCGCTGGCTTACATAGACGAAGAGCTTTCCCGGAGCGAGGAATCAGCTATTGCCATCAAGCAACTCTTCTTTGGCGCCGGCGCAGAGGAGAACAACAATGGCGACTTCACTGCAGCCGTTGGTGGAATTTTCGGATACTTCCAGGCCTATGGTCTTGGTGGTGGTGAAGGCAGCTTGGGTGCATTTTGCGATTATCTCGAGACCGACGATCACTCGAAGCGTACGGCCGACGCGGAAGGTGTCGCCTCCCGACGAGGCAATCGTTACGTCGCCGAGCGATATGCCACTTGGCCCATCTTTGTTGATTTGATCAATTTTAATTATGGCACCAATTGTCGCCAGACAGATCTCAGCCAACCTCTCGAATGTAAGCTCAATCCAGCCACAACAGACCCAGATACGATCAGCTGGTTCTGGCAATTCTGCACCGAGTTCGGCTACTTCCAAGTCAATAATGCCGGACCGCATTCTCTACTGTCCAAATACCAGAGCATTGATTATCAACAATACACATGCAATCGCCAGTTTCCCGAGGCTGTCAGAACCGGATTACTGCCCAAGTCCCCCCAGGCTGATCAAACCAACCGAGAGACTGGCGGATGGACAATTCGTCCGTCAAACGTGTATTGGAGCGGTGGACAGTTTGACCCCTGGCGAACTCTCTCCCCACTCGCCACGGAGGAAATTGCTCCCCAGGGTGTCAAATTCACGACGGAAATTCCCCAGTGCGGCGTGCAGACCGCCGAGAACACCTTGTTCGGATATATCATGGAAAACGCCGAGCACTGCTTCGACCTCATGAGTGATTTTCAGCCCGGAGAAGTTTCGCGTGGATACTTTAAGGAAGCGCTGAAGTTGTGGCTGCCATGTTTCAAACCTACTTCACACAGAAAGTAGAGAGTGGCAGCTTGATGAGCCGACGACAGGCAAATCACGGTGATGGATGCGTGACCAGACTAAGTCCCATCAATTGCCACCCTATTGGAGTTGATCTTGGTGATGATGATGTACAATTAATCCCTTCTAGCGCTTCCCGCGCTCCGTGTTCATAGTCCGATAGTCTGGGGCTCCCAGCCCTCAGCCATAGTATACTTAATGACATCGAAATCGCGAGTATTGATCTTGCAATTCCTGACTTGAAAGATGTAGATGGCCAATTGCTCGCCAGACAGAAAGCCTACGGCATAAGTAGGCTCACATCAAAATCAAAACATTGAAGTCCTGGTGTTTTGATTCTCGATAATCTTGCTGGAGCTGCTCCAGTGGTGTGGGCAGGATCTTGAGTCCCAACCCCACTCATACCCCGGCCTAGGTCAGTTATGTAGTTAGACCATCCTAGTGCCACGAGAGGTTCTGTGTCTGCTACCGGCAGAATCCCCCACCGCCAGTCCTTTGCATGGTCTTTTCTACCATTCACGTCCAATATTGTTGATTTTGAGACACGACATGGGGGACGGGGGACTACTCAGTGCCGAATTCAATGACTTCCCATAGGGCTGGAATCGCGAAGCAGTATTGACCAACTCTACTTCTCGTGGTGACCTCGTTGTAGTGGAAGCTGGACTTCATTGCCACTCCCCAGTCTCGCCCTAGGAAACTATATCCCTGGTACAATGACTAGAGCTCGTATCCAACGTCCAAAATGTGGAGGTGGATCTGGGGAGTGTGGAGAGTTGAGCAATTGCGTGCTCGGCCGGGAGAAGAACTCAAATTCGGGCTTGACATCTTCTCATCCCAGTCAACCAAATGGAATCGCATACTGATGGGCTTAGATACGCCTGGCAACCGATATCGGTGACTCGGTGAGAGCCTTCGGACCGGCATGAGAGATCAATGGCTCGGACTCAAGCCGAGAGATGACAGCCCAGGGGAACCAGTGATGGAGCATCTTGTAACAGCTTTGAGGCTACGTTCGCGCCTTCATCTCTCTACGCACGGATAGCTGAGGATCTTCTCTATTCCAAGGTTCTTACATGAACTCTCGATCTGAACATCCTCTTGTCAGTGCCCGAAAAAATCTATCTGAGAACGGGAACGAAGTCGATCGGAGAGGGTCCAAAATGGTGTCATCAAGACTTTCCAAGACAAGCCTCACCGAAAGCCCTGCCGGGACTCGAATTCTACTCGAATTGGCTGGCAAAAAGCCTAATTGCTCAACAAACCTGGTCTGACTGTGTGGGTGTGGCTTTGACTTCCCAATTAGCGTCTCCTCTACAATCTCGGTCAAAGACATGGGCTCGACTGAGTCGACTTCCGACGGGATGCCGTCTGAAGGGTGCATGCTGCATACAATAGCCCCCGGCCAGGTTGCGTAGAAGAGGCATCGTAGCCGAGAAACTTTCGTTGCGACTCTGGCCCGTGGAAACTATTTGCTTTCGCCGTGCAGTGCCATCGCCACATCCAGCGCCCCGAAAAGCATATACCAAACCTTCGTCGTGATTGCTGGCTCGCGACAGCAGCATATCGGTTAGACTCGTTCTCTGCTTGGGGTTTTCGACCGTGTGAGCTCATCGCATTGAACTGTGTTTCGCCTACCTTTCGCCTCCTCCAAGGCTTTTGACCGACCAAGCTTTGAGTCGCGATTGGCATATCGTGGAAGAAGGGCACATGCCGGATTTTTAGCCTTTTCTGGGGTAGGCAGAGTTTCTCCGAAATGGCGCCGACCCCTACTCCTACTGCAAACACTCTTCGGGAGCGATCGTCGTATTAGATCGCGGGGGGCTGAAACTTTAGGCCAAAAAAGCGGCCAGCCCTGGCGGTCACGCCGTGTCGCTGTTTTTCCATCACTTTTTCCTGGCTCCGTTCAAAAACTCTGATTGTTTGTTGGGGCGGATGAGGCCAATCAAGGTGGTGAGATGATTTTGAGCCAAGGATCGCTCTCACGGGCCGTATCCTGCGTGCTTGCTTTTGGTGCGCCCCGAATGCCACTCGGTGTGGTTTCGCCGAATCCTAGGACGGCCAAGTCAGTTTGTGGCTTGCATCGGCAGAGAATTCTCAGGCCATCGGGCCCTGATCGTCTTCCTTCGAATGGTTAGTAGGGTCAGTCACCCGAGCAGGATACCGAAATGTACCCGAAATGCCTCCGGCTCAATCGCGGAGAAACTCCACACTCTCCGCGTTTGGACCATATGCGCATGGGGCAGTCCAGCACCAGCAGAATTGGATGGATAACTTACCCCATATGGATCAGTGGTTCGTTCTTCGTGATCGAGTTGAAGCAGCAAAGCTTTTTTGATCATAGACACGGGACGCTGGTTTGGGAAAACCGGTCTTCGGGCCTCCGGTGCACTTTGCTGTTTGAACACTTTGACTGGGGCCCCCGCGTTCAGGACTGGACTCCTGAACAAGTATAAATCTCCAGTCATGCCCCAGCATTGTCGGTCACGTCCATCACCTCAGTGTCAACTTCCTCATCTGTCAAGCGAGCCTTGACCTTGACCTTGACCTTGACCTTCTAAGTTTTCTGTTGACCAGACTTCCTTTTCTACCGACAGGATGGGTATCCTGCTCAAGCAACCCGAGGGCACGGCTGGCAAGGCTTGGCCTGCCATCTTGATCAGTGGTTTCGTTGCCTTTGGAGGTATTCTCTTTGGGTATGTTGTCGAGGTACAGATATTGGGCAGTCCTGATCTGCTGCTGACAGCCTTTGAAGTTATGACACAGGAACGATTAGCGGCATCCTTGCTATGCCTTACTGGGACAAAACCTTCTCGACGGGATACCGAAACGCAGACGGCCTCTTGACCATTACTGCTAGTCAATCGGCTGCTATCGTGTCGATTCTTTCCGCTGGAACTTTCTTCGGCGCGCTGGGTGCCGCCCCAATGGGTGATTTCGTTGGTCGCCGCTGGGGCTTGATTGCCTCAACCGGTGTTTTCACTGTCGGTGTGATTTTGCAAACCGCTGCCACAGCAATTCCCATGTTCCTGGCGGGTCGTTTCTTTGCGGGTTTTGGTGTTGGTTTGATTTCTGCCCTGAGTAAGTTCCACTTTCACGTGGCTCAAAGATTGGAGTCTGGCGACCAGGCAAAACTAACTGCGCACTTTCTGTCCAGTCCCCCTCTACCAATCTGAGACGGCCCCGAAATGGATCCGTGGTTTCATTGTCGGTTCATATCAATTCGCCATCACAATCGGCCTGCTGCTTGCCGCTATTGTGAACAATGCTACCCACAATCGCGATGATACCGGTTCTTACCGCATTCCCATTGCAATCCAGTTCGCCTGGGCAATTGTCCTCGTGGTGGGCATGCTAATTCTCCCTGAGACCCCACGCTTCCTGATCAAGAGGGACAACTACGACGGCGCTGTCCGCAGTCTTGCACGCCTCCGCCGTCTCCCCCACGATGACACCGCTCTGCTTGAGGAGCTCGCTGAGATCCAAGCCAACCATGAGTATGAGCTCAGCGTCGGAACTGCCAGCTACATGGAATGTTTCAAGGGTAACCTCGGCAAGCGTCTCCTGACCGGATGCCTTCTCCAGGGTCTCCAGCAGTTGACCGGTATCAACTTCATTTTCTACTACGGCACTCAGTTCTTCAAGAACTCTGGTTTCACCAACGAGTATGCGATCACTTTGATCACCAGCTGTGTCAATGTCGGCTCTACCATTCCCGGTCTGTATGCGATTGACAAATGGGGCCGACGTCCTGTTCTGCTCTGGGGTGCCATTGGTATGACTATCTCTCAACTTCTGGTTGCCGTCCTTGGAACAACCACCACCAGTCAGGATGCACTTGGCAACATTATTGTCCACAACTATGCTGCTCAGAAGGCCGCTATTGCCTTCATCTGTATCTATATCTTCTTCTTCGCCGCGTCCTGGGGTCCCATTGCTTGGTAAGCCACCCGTCCCTGCATCGCCAGTAATCAAGAACCATAGCTAACACCATCGTCTCAGGGTCGTCACTGGTGAAATCTTCCCCCTCAAGGTTCGCGCAAAGTCTCTTTCGATGACCACCGCCACCAACTGGCTCCTGAACTGGGCTCTGAGCTACTCCACTCCTTATCTCGTCAACTACGGACCCGGTAATGCCAACCTGCAATCCAAGATTTTCTTCATCTGGTTTGGCTGCTGCTTCTTGTGCATTGCCTTTGTCTACACCATGATCTATGAGACCAAGGGCCTTACTCTGGAAGAGGTGGATGAGCTCTACAATGAGGTGAGCTCGGCTCGCAAGAGTGTGGGCTGGACTCCCACAGTGACTTGGACTCAGAAGCAGGAGCAAAATCACATGGAGAAGGGTGGTGTCCCAGAGCATCAGGAGTTCAAGCAGGCTCAGACCTCTGAGCTCTGAACGGGTAGTACATCCTTGACATGACAGATGAGGCGAGGCTCGTGCATTAAACCGCGAACCAGGGTAGAAGGGGAACTGACTCTGAGAGTCCTGTTGTATATAGTATTAATGTGTTTCCATGAAGTTGACATACATCTTCCATCCTCTCACTGTACCGGAAGCAAAGATTACAACCCTCATCTGTATATGGTCAACCTTAATTGAGCAATTTTTCTTTGATGCTGTGCCAACTTTAGACAAGATACAACATATCAAATAAATCGACCGGATAAAAACGCTCTCGGTTGCTTCTAACTTGGTTTTACCTGCAATTGCCAAAGTTTTCGGGCCCGCCGTCCATTATGCAGTAGAGACTTCAAGTTGAGGTGCGCGCCCGACGGCACGGCTGCCGATGACCTCTGCCAGGTCGAGGTCATTGCGCAAAGGCGCAGTAGGTGTTACCGGGCTGTCATGGATGTTTTGCCACCTCCGATCGAATTTTCCCAACCTTCGGTAGGTCGTACTTATGGAGGCTGATCAGAGTTTTCATATCTGTCTTCCCAATAAAGCGCTTATTCAAAATATGTAATCTTTCAGTAGGGTGTAGACCCATTCGTCGACAGATGCCTAGTACTACTAGGACAAACAGAGTAAGTCTGCTTACAATTTCGAGAAGTGAAATTACAACGAGCGCCCGAGAAACGTAATTTGGTCGCAATGTATTTGTAAGTGACTCGCGATACTCGAAGAGATCGCCAGAGCACATGACAAACTCACGTGCAGTTGACATCTGCTAGATCTGCTGCAAACGGTACCCCGGCAGTCAAGGGGCCTGGAATCTCGGTAACTTCGGCATGCCTAAATTGCGGGTCGCCATTCCATCTGGTCCGGTTATGGGGTTGACCCGACTTTTAGCACTTTTAGCCAGCCCCTTACTGTGGGTGCTGATTATGGAGGTTGCCGGTTTGGGTATGATATTATGATCTGGGCTATTTCGGTTTCACCCAGGAGGTGGTGATCTTGCTCTTTTGCAAATAGTCTTATGGTGTACACAAAAGAGTACGAGTAGGTACTAAGCATGGATTCTTCCTTGGTGGCTGGTCTCGGCGGTTTTCTTGCGTTCTAGAATCTAGATGGACGGGAAGACGTGGTTTGGCCACGAGCTTTGATCGATTCTTGCGAGTCCGTGTACTCATGCTACATCCTGGATGTGTAAAAGTTGAGGCCCATTTGGTTACTGTACTGTACCGCGGGAGACCTGACTTTGTGCTGATTATTGGCCCCGTGACGGGTCTGCGACAGGTAGATTTTTTTCCTTTTTTTTTCGCGCCCGAGATGAGCTACAAGACGCCCCCAACAACTGGCGGCGCGAAAGCCACATTGGAAGGTTTCGCAAGTCGGGCCCTGCAGTGATAGCCTATGCAGCGCATCCGAGTTTTCAATAGCACCAAAAAAAGTGTGATGTTGGCACCATGTCACATGGTCTTTATCATTTGAATGGCCCTATTTGAAGTGACTTAGGACGCATGCGAAGTCGGCATCGGACGTTGTTATAGGGGTTGAGGCACATGTCATGTGGATGTAGAGTTACTTCTGATTGCCTATATCAGTTAGTTTCTGACTATGTACACTGTACCGCACCCCAAAATAGCTCACAGGGTAAGGCGGTGTAGGTTCGCCTTCTGCCCTCCCACAGGAGGACTGAAGAGAATTTCAATTTATCAAGTTCCAATTGTTTCTTGACGTGCTCAATTTGGCAAGTCAAACACTGCGCTATCGACAGGCTATTGTCCGCCCTCTCTGCTTAGTCTCCCTCAAAGACGAATTGATATCTGGCAATGGCGGGTGCTTGGTCAAGTGACCTGGGAAGGCGTTTGGTGGATGGGCGTGGAAGAAGAAAGTTGCCTCCGTGATGGCCAACAGATTCTCCACCTCCCCTCCTTATCTCCACTGTTTTCGTCCACCACGACCCATAGAGCTTCCGAGAATGTCGACAGACTCTGAAAATCTTTCCCAAGTGCCCAAGGATCTGGAACCCCACCACCGACCGCATGATGTAATGCTGCTCCCGGCGTTGGTTCAGCGTTTGTCCTTCAAAACCGGCGGTGTCCCAGTCGGACAGCTGATCGCTGTTGTTTTTTTCTTTGCCATCTTCATCCTCACTTAAACATCATCTTCCTACCTCTCCCTCTCATACCTTCTCATTGCCATTGTTGCCCGACCCTTCTACAACCTCCCTACTTGCTTAACAATGGCACCTCTTAAGCTGAACAACAAGAACCTGGCGCAAATTGCGACCGCGGGTGAATCCCAAGTCAAGGTTCCTAACTACAAGCGCGGTGATGCTGTCAAAGAGGGCATTGTTCACATTGGCGTCGGCGGCTTCCACCGAGCACATTTGGCCGTCTACGTCGACCAGTTGATGCAGAAACACGGTGTGAATGACTACGCCATCTGCGGTGTTGGCCTGCAGCCCTTCGATGCCGGCATGCGTGACGCTCTCGGTTCCCAAGACTATCTCTACACTGTCATTGAGCGATCCGCCAAGGGCAGCTTCGCCAATGTGGTTGGCAGCATCAACTCCTACCTCTTTGCTCCCGATAACCGCGAGGCGGTCATTGCCAAGATGGCTCACCCAGACACACACATCGTCTCTCTCACCATCACCGAGAGCGGCTACTACTACAACGAGAACACCCACGAGCTTCAGAGTGAAAATCCCGATATTCAGCATGATCTGGACCCCGCCAACGACAAGTCTCCACGCACCACCTTCGGCTTCCTCTACGCGGCGCTGGTTCGCCGCCGTCAACAGGGCCTCAAGCCTTTCACCGTCATGTCTTGTGACAACATGTTGAAGAACGGCTCCATCACCCGCCACATGCTCGAGTCCTTTGCCGAGCTCCGTGACCCTGCTATGGCCAAGTGGATCTCTGAGGAGGGCGGCTTCCCCAATGCCATGGTGGACCGCATCACACCCCAGACCGCCCCCTCCGATAAAGCGGCACTTGCGGAGCACTTCGGCATTGAGGACTCATGGCCCGTTGTGACCGAGCCTTTCATGCAATGGGTTATCGAGGACAAGTTCTCTGACGGCCGTCCTCCCTTCGAGAAGGTTGGTGTTCAGGTTGTCACGGACGTTCACGACGTTGAGCAATTCGAGAAGCACAAGCTGCGTTTGCTCAACGGTAGCCACTCCGCCATTGGCTACCCAGGCCAGCTGGCTGGCTTCAAGTATGTCCACGAAGTGATGGAAAATGAGCTCTTCCGCAAGTTTGTGTGGCAATACATGCAGGAGGAAGTCAAGCCCCTTCTTCCCGAGATCCCTGGTGTCAACATCGACGAGTACTGCAAAACCCTCATGGAGCGCTTCTCCAACCCCACCATTATGGACCAGCTTCCCCGCGTTGCCCTCAACGCCTCTGGCAAGATTCCTCAGTTCATCATGCCTTCCATCGCCGAGCAGATCTGGGTGACCGGTCCCTTCCGTCGTCTGTGCTTCGTCGCCGCTGCATGGTTCCACTACCTCAATGGTGTCGACGATAACGGCAACAAGTTTGAGATCGATGATCCCATGCGTGAGGAGCTCCAAGCCAAGGCTCGCGCTGGCGGCTCCAAGCCCCACGAGTTGCTCAGCATCCGCAATTTGTTCGGTGACGATCTCCGCGCCGACAAGCGTTTCCTTGATGAGATCACCACCGCGATGGAAGACATCAAGCGCGACGGTATCATGAAGACTCTTCCCAAGTACATTGATTAAGCGAAGAGCGATCTTGGCCTAGTCAGAGTGAGCTCTCGACGGAGACGACTTTACGGATTCAGCAAGCGATTCTTTTGATACTATTGTTCTTTGGTCTTTCTAGGCTTTATGCATTATAATCTTTCCTTGTCATTTCTTCATGCGGACATAGAGATACTAGAAGAGGACAGATAGAGAAAATGGGGAATACAAAAATCTTTTGAACAGTTCTAAGGATTCTAATGTGTTCTTGCCCAGGAGGCAACTAACTCTCGATACCATCTAGATCTTCATACTCACGCAATCTCAGCAAGTGGCCCCATCCTCTCTGTTCAGAAGAACATCACGATGACGCAGGGCCCACAGTGAGAAGTCTTCTGGGATGATGTTTTTATGGGGAAGAGTGGGTCGACATCGGGCGGAATAGAGTGCACCGGCCAGCCATTGCTGAAGCTTATGAAAATGCGTCAGTGATGATTTCCCAACTGTGAGTACTGAACCCATTCAACATGGGACGATTGGAAGCCCATCGTAAAATGTGATCTGCAAGAGACGGGGCTGCTTCGAACATAAAACCCATGGACTGTCTCTTGACTTCTATTCGCCTACTTTGTCCTTCGGTTAGGTCCAGTTCATGGCACTTTACTCGATTAATCGACGGTAGCTTCACTAATTGATATACAGTTCACGTTGGATGGTTTGTAGCGATGAGTAACTTTCAAGATTGTACTATCTAACTACCGTCCAGGGGGAAACGTCGTGGTAGGAAGCCTACATGACTACAGCATAGTAGGATCCTGAAGCCTGCCATCGGTCTACGGCTCGGTCTTAGGGCCGCGCGCACGGATTAAAGCTTATCTCCGGTTTGTGCCAGTATCTCCGTTCTATCCCAGTGGCATACAAAAGATTGAGCGAGAAGCTACGTGGTGAAATTGTAAGCACCTTCAAACATCTTCATTGGAAATAAGGTGTTTGAATATTTTCAATTAGCAAGCCATCCAGCTTTCAATCAGTGAACTTGTTCAACACCGTCATGTCGGACTCTACTATCGTGCTAATCACTGGTAATGATATCCAAACAACGCCCAAAAATGGACCACTTTCCTGCGCAATTCTCTAATAGACGGTAAAAACAGGCGCCAACTCCGGGGTCGGCTATGCCACCACCGAGGCCATTGTCTCGCAACCAGGCTTTCATGTCATTTTGGCCTGCAGGGACCCAGCAAAGGGCAATCAAGCACGCGCCGAGCTCCTGCAAAAGCACCCAAAAGGAAGCCTTTCAGTCCTTCAGCTGGACGTCGAAGACGACAACTCCATTGCACAGGCCGTGACATCGGTCACCAACGAGTTCGGTCGAGTCGACGCCTTTATCAGTAACGCTGGCACCACAGCAGTCGGGACATCCGGCCGGGAAAAGCTACAGAGGACCTTCTCGGCCAACGTCTTTGGCGCGATGATGGTCACGGAGGCTTTCATTCCACTACTGCTCCAGTCAAAACAGCCACGTCTCGTCCAGATATCCAGTGGACTGGGCTCACTTGGACTCGCCTCGGATTTGTCCTCTCCGTATGCCGCTTCGCCTTGGGATGAGTATCGGATGAGCAAGGCTGCACTGAATATGATGACCATTCAGATGCATAAGCGACTGATGGGGAAGAATGTTCGTGTCTTTGCTTTTTGTCCTGGTCTTGTGAGATCGAGGCTGCGGGGAGAGTCGGAAGAAGAAGTTAGTGCGCAGGGAAGGGCGGGTGATCCTATGGTTCCTGGGAGGGCGCTCTTGGATATCGTTGCTGGACGGAGAGATGAAGAAGCTGGTCAGTTTCTGTCGGCCGCCAGTGGTGTTTTTCCGTGGTAGTTTTTGCCTCTAGTGCTTTCAAGAACTAGACGAGTGAGGTCCAACAATCATCCCAATAAGCTTGAGCAGAGTGCTCGCGGCCCGGAAGGTGAATCCGTCGAATATCATGTATCTTGCCGTCAATCAATATTCGCGCTCATATCAGTGCATCGCCCTAGGTAGACACGCGAATATTGTTTGGTGTGGCCCAGCAATGAGTATTCCCCCACGCCGCTTCTAGACGATTGTCCCGTCACTATCTGCGATACCGCCTCTTTGCAAAGCTATTCTGCATGACCCAACATCGTTAGTCCGAACGTGCTTCAGTGCCTGTCAGAATGATTATTAGCAGATGAGAAGAGCAACCTCGGGTACGTTCCAACATATAAGGATGAACAATTCCTGCGATTGGAGATGATTATATGCAGTCATTGAGCCCTAGCATGAATATCAAGAGCCTCGTTTCACAAAGTATATGTATAATGAAGTGCCGCCTATGTCCGCGTCAACGCGCCCTCACAACTTCGATTTGGCAGCAGGCTCTCTGATGCGCAACAGACCCTGACGGAAGCATTATTAGTCTATTCAAACCTTAAGGTCGCGGGGATTGAGAACCAGTGAAAGAACGTTTGGACACTTACCTCCTGTACACATGTCGCTACTAGTACCCCCTCCCGATTCCAGATTCTTTGAGCTACGAAGGCACGATCATTGCCCGCCCATGAGCTCTCTCTCTCCGAACACATCCACTCGTCGGCTCGCACAGCATCCGGTTGATGGAAGTAAATGACATGGCTGAGACTAGCCACTTTGGCTATCTCTTTGTCTGATCGTCTGCTCAGCTCATCATAAGCATGAACCGCGGCGGCGATAAAGTATGCATCTGACATCCACGCCAGTGCTGCAAGGTGAACATGAAGATTGTGTTTCAGGATCGGTCTTTTTGCACGTATCCAGTACCGAATGAGAGAATGGACAGGGTTGGGAGATATTCCTGATATCGCGCTTTCGTCAGTGAAGCAAACACAAAGTACGCAAGAATCAAACCCACGGTTCAGGCTTTGCCCTCCTCGAACCTCAAGAGGACCAGGTATGCCTTCTCCCTCTATTGACGCCTTTTCTGGTGGAATTAGACCTTGCGGGATTTTATGGCTGTGTTCAAAGCTATTCGTGCCACGGAAGGCTGTCGCGTCGGCTGCCGTGATACCAACAGCCACAAAGCTGACAATTGCCACCGCGATCAAACTTTCTTTCTGTATGGCACGAACAGTTCTTGTCGCGAAACTCTTCCCATCTCGCGTGTTCTCGACCTGATACTCGATCTGCAGAGATGGGTCTGCGCGGCTCAAGAAACTGCAATGAAGAGAGTGGGCTACGTAATTCTTCGAGATACTTTTCTGGGCGGCCATCAGACAGTGCGCCAGGGTTGTACCGCCAAAGACCCCGAAACTGCCTGGGAAGCTCCACGGCGGTATCACATTGGTGAAGGTATTCTACGCATAGCGTCAGAAAGCGCCCGATCAATTTGGAAATGAGTGTTCGATTTCCAAGCTCACCAACCATGCGGACACAATGACATACCGGCTTAGTAGGAACAGAAGTCAGCTCAACGGCCTGTTCCATTGTTTTAATAGGTACACCTAGTCATCTGAAGCCCAAGTCCTAGCATTGGCGTTGTGTTAAGGAGCCGAGGGCTATGGAAAATTGGCGAAGATCAAAACCGAGGTAAAAAGAGGGGGGAAGAAGCCGTCTTTATATAACGATGAGGAGTCCCGGTTAATCTCGTTAGTTAGTGCTCAAGTCGCGCACGGCTTGGCCCGGGCCTCTAATTGGACCCTGACTGAACGGCAAGAGAAAAAAGGAATATAGTACAAACATCAAGATGTCCGGCCCCTTTTTGACAAGCGCTTATGTAGGCAGGCTCTACTTCCGAGCACACTGGACGTTTAATCTGCGCCATGTGCGGGATTCTAAGCGTTACGCGAACTCAGTGCCGACCCTTGAGACACACACATGGGCTGCCAGTCATGTCCGAAATGGGAGCAAAAGGAGAAATTAGCTGGCTCGAAGCGTAAAGCAGAGTTTTCTCGTCATCGGTGATCAATACGTGTTGGAAAGCCTTACTATAGCCTATGATCTCAATCGACGCGCTTCTATAGCGCAGGCGAGGGGAGGTCGATTGAAGACGGCATGCCCGGGAGCGCGAAAAAAAAAAGAATTCCAGAGCATTCAACTAGGCAAGGTGAGAAACGATTTCCCATGCCTGAGAAGTAGAGGTGGTCGTCTCTATCCATATAAATAACCAAGCTTTGTACGATCGCAATCATTAAGCTATTTCACATGCTAACTTCTGAAGGTAATGAAATCATGCTATAGCATTATATATGCCGCCTGGATAAGGCGATAGGTAGATTGGTAATATAGATGTGATAAGTGATCTAAGACTCCAAGCCTGCATGGCTCAGTCTGGAATTATTCCCAGGTTTTGTTTAACATGCGATTCTATTGACCGGTGCTGAAATATAACATTTTACTTTCAATATTTCGGCAGTTTAATGATCTCAATTCTTCGTAGAACCTCTGCTGATAGCATTTGTCACATAGATAATCATGTCACAAGCATAATCATTCATGTAGCCTGTATGTAGCCTGTGCAGAGGATAGCTTCAAGCGAGATCGAAAATACGTAGCAATACTTGGTCGGGTAGCTTGAAGAAGCCGAGTCATCACTGCTATTAACCTTACTATATCCCCATTCTCCTGTATCCACTGTTTGATCCGACAAGGATTATGCGTGTACCCTGATGAAATTCAGTAGTACGGCAAAGCAATTCAATCTGCCCGAAACGTTATACGCGTTCCCTAACTGCCACCTGGGAGCGGTAATAAGGCATAGTATAACCATATAGTTCACACTGTGCCATGCAGCCGGGTTGATTCCCCATCCCCCCATCGCACCCAGCCATCCAGGTTTACGAACGCATCAAGCCTCAACTTCTGAGGCGCCTCCGCACGCAAATTCCTTATGACTGGACATCCCTCACCTTCGTTCTACTTAGCCGAGCCTCGCAGACTGCCTCGCCAAGCACGGTCAACCCGCAGAGCTCCCACAACTGGTTCGACCTAGTGGCGTGGATCCGCGTATTGATCTCCCAGAACTGCCTGTCAGGCCTTGCCATCATGATTGACTTTATTCCGGGGCGCTTCGATTTATCCCCAGAGTGCTCTATTTCGTGCGAAGACGGGAACACGTCTGAGGGGCGTTCCCAACTAGGGTCGTGTAGGACTGAAGGGCTTTCCTACATTGGTTTGTCAATTACCGAGCTAGGCTAGATACGAGCAGACACGATAGGTGGAATAGTGATGCTCACTTACGAAGGTAAGACTTATAAGTGTGGCCCTGTGGCCTTATAAATCACTATGTTGTCCAACCTACGGTCTCGAAGAACGAAGTTAATAGGGCCGTAGCCTAATACTATATATTGATTTTATAACACTAGAGATTTCAGCTCTAGTATAGAAGTCTCCGCCTCGCTGACCAGATCGTGGCGGAAACTAACATAGAGATCAAGAAGATTCAGGAAACGGCGCTTAGGGCCGAATTAAAGCGCGGTGAGGTATCCGAGGCCCTCTAGTTAACGCTATAGCTTCTACGAGCCGGTTATATAGAAAATAATACAACGTATGCCCTAGTCTCGTAACTACCACGGCCCTTAGGTAAATTCTTTACTTAAGTAGTTAAGGAGTACGGGGAGGCCGCCTGCAGGACTAGGCGCTAATCCAACTTAGCGATAAGGCTCCCGCTGTTATATCGCCAAAAATTAACATAGACGAAGTCTGGTAGGTGATCGATGACTCGATAGCGGCCCTATCGGTAGACGGACTTAGGTCCCTGGTACGTTAGCGCTCCCCGGAGGAACACTTTGGCAAAATCGTTCCTGGACACTGGTACACGCATATTAGACGGACTACGGTGAACGCAGAAGTTGCTAATAGCGTTAATGTGTGCAGGAACTGGACTGGAAACAACAGTATCAGATATGATCTAGACGGTGTCACAGTCCTCATGCAGCATAGCGAAACCGAGGAACACCTGATCACCGCGTAGCTCAAGCGAGATTATCCCGTGTCAATTCTCTTTAGCCTGCCTAGGTACTCTGGATCTTTGCTTCTGGGTGAACCTGCGGGCTTGACTACGGGAATGTTATGAAGTGGGTGGGAGTTGAGGGAGAGATCAGCGGCAACGCCGGTCTGGCCATATCGATGGACGATCTCGGGAAAGGGATCAAGAGTAAGCTTGGTCAAAACGTTGCTTTAAGTCCAGCATACTGAACCTTCTTTGAGCAATGTTCATGTTTCTGCGGTGGATGGTATATTTCCTATCCCTGTGCTTCCGAATTATGACGACCCCCGATTGTTAACACTGCTAGAGAACAGTGCTTGAGAACATTGCTTAGAGGGACGTCGGCATTTGCTATGTCATATGACCTCAACAGATTAGTCGGTGATTGTTAATGACAGTTCAGAACACTCTGTCCTTTTGACATGAACTAGTAGTCGACCAGCTGGCTAGGCAAACGCAAAGTTAAATGGAAAATTACGAAATGAGACTGTTCTCATTACTCAGAATGTAAGTACCGACTCTGTACGCCATCTTCTACCTTACCTTGTGGGTTGGGTAGGCAACACCGCCATCACAGCCGTACCGTTATCATGTGTCAGTCATCGCGGACGATTGCCATTATAGTTTCCGACTGCGTTATGCTAGTGTTTGTATGGCATGTGATACTGCCGAGTGCCGACTCACCGCAGTCCATTGCCTAGATAGAATCTCTCCCCCGTAGCAGTCTCAAACCTCATCCCTCTCACACATGGTGATGCTGCACCTACTGTAGCCACCTCCCGGCAACTAGTCTGTTTTATCTTGAAAGACGTCAGAGACGAAATATATATGATTCTCGCCATTTGATTAATTCTTCCATACTCGCTCTGGCGTCGACGCTTGTCCAATGTCCCGATCTTTCAGCTTGAGCTCGGAAGGCATCAAGAATCCTGTTCACATTCATCTTCAGCGCAGATCACGACCGGCTCGTACCACTTGACTTTTTGTTCTTCGTGGTGCTCAGAGCTAGCCATTTGTGAATCATGAGCCTATCAACGAAACAGTATTGAAATCCAGATAATGATCTGACCTGTGCGATGGAAACTTGTGGCGGCGTATTTGCATTGATGCGTGTCCGCGCCTGTCTTGAAATGCTGGTACAATACTCTGCTGCTGAATGTGAACTTCCAGACACGATACGAAACGTACGCATGGGTGTCTAGACTCATCACCGTATCATCACCGTACATAGTAAGTGACTAAGTGTATGGGACTACAAACTGCTTAAAATCGACGGGAGACGTGGATAGATCGATCCATGATAACGTAATTCACGGCCGGTCGGGACACACGGCCGGTCGGGACACCTAGCACCATTACAAAGATTCAAAATTGATTATCTCAACCAACACCTATTAATTCAACTAAATAATACGATTTTTACATGAAGTAATCCTGTGGCTAGTTTGGCTATATCCACTATAGGTAGGCGGAGCCCTCCTGGCCGGTTAAATCGGCTAATTAGGTAAATCGACCTCCTTGTGCGATACTACCTTATTAGCTTTAGGTAGTTAAATTAGCTGCTGAACTAGCTATAGGCCCTCTTCGATCGATAGGCCTCCCTTATAAGCTATCTGCCTAGTCGATCGAGTACGCTTTTGACGTTTCTTTTTATTCGCTACGCGTAGATCGGCGTTTTCCTTTACTAATAAGGTAGTATAATATAAAGCTTAATAGTAGCCCTTAAGAATCTAATTAACTACTAATTTTAATAGGCTTAGAGGGCTTTTTAACCGCTAATCTATTAGATCTTTTATTATTTTAGCCTACTTTTCTAGCTACTTTACTATTTGAGGCGTTTTTGGTATAAATTAGCTAGATCTACTACTTAGTCGACTTAATAGTAGTAGAGGTGTTCGAAGCGATATATTAAGCTTAGAAAGTACTTAACTAGTATTAACTAGTATAATACTAGTAGCTACGAAGCTACTTTAGACGATATTCGGTTAAAAAGCTTCTAGCCGTACGCGAGGATAATCTATAAGAAAATTAAGCTTATCGATATAATTATAGCCTATTCGGGCTAGATCGCTTACGAAGCAACTATATATATACTTTAGTACTATAAAGTACCTAATATTAAGCGGCTATAGTAGATAAGACGAATATAAAGATATATAAAGTAGTATAATATTATTTTCGGTATAGATTCGATCGAATTAAGGTATAAGATAGCTATTATACCTATTAAGGATTAATAGCCGAAATTATCCTCGTATATATAAAGTAGTATATAGAATAAAGAGCTTTTAAAGCTAGTAAAGACCGATTTTATCGGTAGTCTAGCTATTATTCGATACTTCGATTCGCTAATCCCTAGGGATATTCGACGATTTAAACTACCTAGCGATATAAACCTAGCCTTTAAAAATAATATAGGGCGGTAGCGTATAGCTATCGGCGTATATTACTTCGATCGTAGTAACCTATTCGCGATTACTAGGCTATAGAATCGATCGCCGACTATAGTATTTAGCGCGCGTAACTATCTTTTATAAGGATATAAGGCCTATCGCAAAGCCTATCTTATTAAAGTTATAGATATCCTCCGGTTAAATCCTATTCTCCTCAATCGTACGTTATACTATTAAAAACTACTCTTTAATAGCCTTTAGATCCTCGTTAAGAGCGCGCTAATAATTATATTATTTAGAATAGCGTAATTAAAGCTTATCGCGCCGTTTAACGAAGGTTAATGCCTAATTAACGCTAATAGTTAATAGGGGGTTAGTTCTACGCGCTGTAAGAAGGATATTAGCTATCTCTCGAATAGTAGAGGGCCTAGGCGCTACCCTACGCGAATCCATAGAGAGGATCTATTCAGTAAGCGAATCCTCTTCTAATTAAGTTAATTTATAACCTGATAGGCGTTTATTAACGTGTGAGGATCTTCTATACGCGCGCGCGTGTTGTGTAGAGCGCGGTATACTGTATAGCTCCGTAGCTGCGCGAATAGATTTGATACGGCCATTTTCCATATCATCAAGGGCTAATAGGATCCTGCCCTCCTGATTGGCTGATTTCTGCGAAGATTCAGTGCGAATTGGTGGCATGGTAGGTGGTTGAATTAGGTAGGGTGGTAGGAATACGCGATTTTGGAGTGGGCGTCCCGACCGGCCGTGTGTCCCGACCGGCCGTGAATTACGTTACGCCTTGCGATTACATAATAGCCGCAGCACGGGCAGTCCCACTGCTCGTGCTAAGCCCGAAGCATCTTATTTGTGGAGCATTGGAAAGGCGCTGGTCCAATCACAGAGTATTGGTGCTCATGCTCTTCACGACGCATGATGAGTCAAAGCAGATCATTTCTCGTCGTTGTCTTTGGAGTTGTCAATGCGCGTCATTGTGGATACGAAGTATCTCCGAGCTTCCTCGGCCACAACGATGGGACTGCACTATAAGGAGCCCGTTTGACTTCGCCAAGAGTGGATTTGTCCTCCCCGACAGCATTGCCAGTTCATATCAATTCGTTCAAACCAATCCCTGAGCCATCTTGCGCAAAAAGAAACTCAACGCACGATCACTACCACCACATCCACAATGTCCGACAATTCCAAGACAATCACTTTCTATGACATTGCTCTCAAGCCACCAGTCCAAGAACATGCATGCTCACCAAATCCGACCAAGGCTCGCATGGCCTTGAACTTCAAGCGGCTACCATACTCCACAACCTGGGTCCCTCTCCCCGAGGTCTCCAGTGTCCGTCGCGATCTCAATGTCCCACCTTGTCGCAAGTTCGCCGACGGCAGTGACTATTACACGCTCCCAATCATTGACGATCAGCACACCAACACAAAGGTCGGCGACTCATTTGACATCGCCGTGTATCTCCAAAAGACATACCCTGACGCAGGCGAAGGCGACTTGTTCCCACCTCAGACATTGGATTTCGAGTACAAGGCCGGCGCGGTGATTGCCGTGCCGCTGTCGGACCTTCAAAACGAAGAATTCCCCGAATACGCCAAGTTCAATCAGCATGTTGACGCGGTGTTCACAATGCACACAGGTCTGGCAATTCAGTGTTTCCCATTTGACCCTGCAACGGCGGAGCAGTGTAAGGCGGAATTTGCTCGGCGGGCGGGTGTCTCGTCCATGGATCAGTTGAATGTTGTTGGTGAGGCGAGAGAGAAGACCAAAGACTCACTCCGGGATGCGTTGAGGGATCTTGCGGTGCTGTTTGAGAGAGACAACAGCGGGCCATTCATTCTCGGGCAGAAGGCGACTTATGCTGATCTCATTGTTGGTGGATGGTTGCGCTTTATGAATGGGGTACTACCGAAGAGCGAGTGGGAGGAGCTCCGAGGATGGCATGGGGGCGTCTTTGCTCGGCTTTTCGATGCCTTGGAGGCTTATAGAGAGATGAAGTAGAGTTTGGATGTGGGATCTCGCGAGTGCCGAGGTTTTGAGCTCGATGATGATGCTCGCCTGTGTGACGACCAAGATGAAAATTACTCAATTGTGCTCATCAGGTCATTCACGATCATCGTCAAGAATTATTTACCAATAAATTCAAGCACGTTTTGTAATTTGGCGCCATCTCTATAATCAGTTATCTTCCAGTGAAGGACTGTAGTGTTAGAAGCTAGTGTAGGAAGGAACTACCGAGACCGGCTCCACAGAGCTTGACAATGTCATGCCTGCCTCAACGGCAGGCATACTAGTCACACTCAAGCCCGTCCCATGTAGCATCATTTTCCCCAACAACACTGTCCATTAAACCACCAAATTATCATCGTCACAGGTCACAAATATTTTGGGAATTTCAAAAGCACTTTCGCCCTGGCTCGAGCTATATGTTCCACTATCAAATTCCAAAAACCGGGGTATGGGGTAAAGTGGGTCTTCTTGGCGCCACTGGGAGTTGAACCGGAGACCTTAATCCCCTTCAGGCAGAAAAGCTCAATATAGAGGACGATGTATATCGCTTCAAGGCGATGCCAGGATGAGGTTTCATCATGGTCTTGCACAAAAAGGACCAGAAAAACTGGCCTCAAACTTTGTCAGGATGTAGTGCCAGATCTGATCTTCGGCTATTCCAAGTTGAAGCATTTTTATCCGCGGTAAGGGCCTCAATTTCCCAAGATCAACTCTCCACCTCCATCGCAGAGCCCTCTAGAGAAGTTTTGAGGTACCATATGCCCTTTCTGTCAATCAACCCCCTCCAGTGGTCTAGTGATACTCTCACACTACCGGCACTCCATGTAATGAGGCTTGACGGGAACATTGTTCCTCCTCTCCCTCAGAGCATGTCGCACCCGGCCAGTGGCTAGCGCCCCTAGTTCTGCTGTCGCCTGGGACGAAACCTGACAGGAGCCTTGCCAAGACTACACATAGGGCAGACCCGGTGCATTGTTCGCCAACGGAGTCCGTAGCTAGTAACTTGGCCGATGTCAGGTGGACCCCCAAGGCGTGGGAATTTGCCAAGCAAATCCTTGAGTCCATACAGGTCTGGGCGCCCTCGAAGCACTGAGGGATGGGGGACTTTTTTGGGTTCTTGTTGGTCTATTGATGATGGTCACTTGAGGTATGAGGTTATATTGTGGTGGTTAGACTTTGGTCTTGCATTCTTAGTATCCTATTTTCACGCCAACTGAGATGATGTTTCCTAGCTCCTCATTCTAGGAAGTTTGTATAAACCCATTCATTCACCATACGATGATTGATTGAGTCCCCGTTCTTCGTAGCTTGTCCTGGGTAAGGTCAATCCTGACTGTGAAGCTTTGAACATTACCCACCCAACCGACAACCAGCAATCCACATACCCGCGTTGCTTGATGATATTGCCACTTTTTCATCTTCTGTGTCCATTCTCACCACAATTCCCTGGATGATGTTGTTTTTGAACACGGATGTTCACTCTCAGCCCACACGCACCGCCGTCTCATGATGATATTATTCTCTACTTGTGATTCCCACCCACACGTGATTCGAACACAACGCAATGATACCAACAATACTTGTGCCAACATCTGCGTATTTGTCTCACAAGGCTACTACATGTTGATGATTTTTTGTTCGTCACCCGAGTCGCGTAAGCACACATGATATTATAATTCTATCTATGTCATTTTCGCGCTTTGGCACTGACAAGCTTACGCCACATGCACGCTTCATCGCAGTGATTCTGTGTTGTTGCGACACCTGTGTCACAATGTTTTTATCAACGAAGCCCGTCAATTTGGTTAATTTCGACGAATAATTGTTAGAACAATCTCTCGGGGCCATCTTCTTCCGGCTCCTAGGTTTGTTTACACGCCTATCCGAAGATTGCACTTACCTGCTCTAAACAGACATCAACAGGTATACATCGCAGTTCATACCATACACAACGATACAGCAGCTGCTCAGGTCTTCGTGCACATTATGACATCAACAAGTCTGTGCATTGACCTCACATAGCCCGAGAAACATGCCCGCTTGATTCTCACGCATTATACAGAATCAGCATATGGTCTCTTGTTGATGTTGATGTTGCACCGATCCGAATGCAACCATACTTTCTTGGCATCCGGCCCCAAACTCTCGGAAAGAGCTCCACCCATCTCCACCAGTGATCGAGCACGTGGCTCCACTTCTCTGCATTCGCAGCCCCCAAGGTCCTGTACATATCCAATGAGATCATGCTGAGGTAAGTTCGCCCGACTGCTCGCTGTCATTCACGCGGGAAGATCGTCGGTTCCTGAAGAGGAATTTGGTTACTGCTACAGCGCTGATCTGCAGGGGACAAGTCGGCTTCGTCCATTATTTACTTCGTCACTTCCCCGATTTGGAAATTCGTCAACGCGAGGAGATGGCATTGTCCGCTAATGCCGGCACATTGACCTGTCTAGGTCGTGAACTTCCATGAGAGGTTCGATTTCATGGAAGACAAGTATAAGAATCAGCTGCCGTCTAGCTCATAGCATCCCATCATCTTCATCCAAAGACAACAACACTCTCTGCACGACCGCATCATAAACTCTGAGAGTCCGAATGGCCGTCATCAAGTCTTCTCTTCTCGTGGCCTTGGCTGCTGCTGCCACTGCGTCTGCGCAGTCTGCCAACCCCGGCGTGGGTACCAATTCCAAGGCCCAAGGTGCTACGGAGCAGGTCACCCCTAACAGTGGACCCAACGGGTATGATTGCGCAAAATTCCACTTTCAATACTCATACAACAGGCAATCTTAGGGTAACTGACCCAATGATCTCTACAGCTCTGAAGATTGGCTAAACACCGGCCTGACTGGCGACGGCTGGAACCCACCATACCTCGACATCTCCGAGGTTCTACACGTCTCCCTCGACCAGTTCTACGGCAGCATTGGCTCCGCCTGTCGCCAATACGATCAGTACTTCCAGAGCGCCGGCTCCCAGTACGGAGTCGACCCCGTCATCCTGGCCGCTATCGCCATGCAGGAATCCTCCTGCAACGCCTACGCCGGTGGCCCCACCCCCGGCCTCATGCAGGTCTCCTGCGACAATTACCCCAACGGCCAATGTACCGACTCCATTCAGGACAACGTCAACGCGGGTACCAACTACCTGAAGTCCCAGCTGGATGCCTCGGGTGGCAATGCCATTCAGGCGCTGGGTTCTTACAATGGTTGGTTCACGGCTGGCAGTGGTCTGAATGGTAACAGGGGCTTGACGGTGGATTACCCTTGCTCTGCGGAGGGCAAGTCCAATGGTTGGCCTCAGAACCTGGACTATCTGCACCAGGTTCTGAATGGTTGGTTCATGGGTCTGGATGTGTATGGGAGTGACAACTGGATTGGAACTTATCACTGCAACCAGGACTGCAGCAGTGGCAAGTGCTAGACAATAGCTGGTTGTTTGTTGTTTGCCGTCATTCTTTCTGTATATACTCGTGCATAAAATTACACGTGTTGATGTTTTCCTCTATCTTTCCTTGGGCATTTTGAGCTAGGGTTCGCTTCAAATGCAGCTGTTTCCCGCGCGATAATCATAGATTCATACAAGTGACATCTTTCTCGAGTAAATACGGGTTGAAACTCTACACTGGAGATTTATCCTTGAGCAAAACTTGAACGTATTCTCACATGCTCTGCCACGACAGCTGTCTCAAGTAAAATTGCGTAATCGTTCAGCATGTGACCCAAAGGCCCTCACTTCGTTTTCCCGCACCGCTCTGTTCGTCTCCATCTTACGACACAATCCAGCGATGACATCCCTCTCGACCCATAGGTTTCGTCGCACAACAGAATGACCAGCTTCTGGCTTCCACCGATGAAGACATAGTGGCTAGCAGCCCAAGAACGACCGATCATTTAGAAGAGACAGCCCAGTGCCTCGATATCTTGGCTATCTGACGTGGCGAGCCAGTGGTTTTGCTCGGCAATGACATGGTAGTATGAATCGTCCCTTTCTTGGATCTCGTCTGAATCTTGGAAAAGGCGTAGTGAAGTCGTGATTTCTGGAAGCGAATACCCGCACCACGAAGAGGTGTTCGCAGATGAAACTACTTGCACATTGACTCAAGTGTGGCCACAACCAGCCGTATTAGCCACGATCAGGTACTACGGATCGGCGGACATGTTTTCGTGAAGAAAGTGAGCATTGTGCCATGCTGTCTGGGTGTTTTTCTCATGGGCCATTGCGCCGTCTCGGCTCTGTGGTTTCGGCAGTTGATGCTTGAAGCCGAGCTATTAGCTGAGAACTTGGCTTGGATCACGCCCGAGCATTGTACGTATTGCTGACGTTGACCGGGCCCAAGGTCCAGACCACGCACTCATACGTGACTTGTGCCAAATTCAATGATTCAACATCTCTCCAGTCATCCAGTATCCAAATGCCTCAACTTTGGCAGGTCATTGCGCCCGCTCGTCAGGAGACGACAGGGATGATAGGCGAGTTGATGGATGCATTGCTTTCGAGCAGTGCCGCCGGTCTAGTTTCTCTTTTGGCCGTTCCATTGTGCACTTATCGGTTCGTATATCCATAACATCATGTACCTTGTGTGTATATTAAGACTATCATCTCAGACAGCGATATGACGGGCTATTGCCGGGCGAAAATGTCGAAGACAACGAGGACGACGATTTCGTGTGTGCGAAACGAACACGAGTCAACGATCTGTCGCAGAACCACTCAAGTAAAGCTGCCAGAATCGAGATTCATGATACGAATGCTGCGAGTCTAGAGGGACCTAAAACCATTCTTCATTTGCAGTCTACTATCCACCACCTGATCTTCGCAAATCTTCAAGACGTGGAAGATGTCTTGCGATTCAGTCTTGCAAATAGGTACTTCTGGGCCGTTGGTCTCTTGCACATTGAGACGCATATCATGAAGTCCCTTGCGCCATGGGCAGGCGAGCCAATTGTCTGCGTTAGTGAAAAGACTGACCCAAGGGATCTTCCACCGAATGTGCTCAACGCAGTCCCGACTCCAACGCCCAACGAGCAAATCTCGCATCCACCAACCCCATGGTCCAACTACGCGAAGAACAGCGGTCCTGCACTTTCCCAGAGACTACAAGAATGGTTTCTCGACTACGAAGCCCACCACCCTATGGGCTCTGCTCATCGTACAGAAATTCTCACGGGTCTGAAACCTGAGATCCTCGCCTTCTATCCCCAAGACCAGGAATGGATCCTACGAAACCTGTCCACCTGCGAATACGTCCGCGGCGAGGTCATCGCATTAAAGCAAGAATTCATCCACGGGCCGCAGATGGAAATCTTGGGATTTTCTGAGATTCTGATAGCGCGGATCTGTTGGTCCTCGGAACCAGAGAAGTTAGGCGTGTACAAGAATGTCAACCGGGGTAAATGGGCCGGGCACCGCTTTGATATTGCGCCGTTAGCATGGCTGGAGGACGATTGTGGTGGGGAGGTTTGGAACGATGTGAGTAATGAGATATTGCGGGAAATTGATCTCCTTATTGGTGGGCAGCTTGGTGATGACTGGCGGGATCAAATGGCGAGGAGTTATCGCAAGTTTGCGACGCTGGATACTGTTGAGACTTTGGATGTTCTTTAAGAGTGAGGTCTGGTATGGCGACCTTGTCGGATATTTGAGACGAGACAGAAGGGGGCTCATGTTAGTCGTTTTTTGAATGGACCCAGATATTTGGTTCTGAGAATCTAGAACTTCTTCCATGCTGTGTTACAGATATGGCTCGGATATGCTAGAACATGAGTAAAGGGTCCCGACATTGATCCGTGCAGGATCATGGATGCTGGTCACTCCGACGAACTGGGCAGGAATCTGGTTATTGAAATTATCGAATGACCTCAAGGCATGCAATCAATTGATGTGTTCCCTTTTTTGTAATGATGTATTGACTTTGAGGCGTCTAGCATTTCACGTCGAAGACAGCCAACATGATACGAACTCCTTATTCATCTGATGCTCAAATCATCGCTTTCTTATCGATTCTTGGCTCCCGGCTCGACGGATCTGTCTCACGCCTCGATCAAGCATCGATGTCCCCTCGGGGCCATCAAAAAGAACGCTTCCATATCCATATCATTCTCCGACATTCCCTCTCGAGCCGAGACTTGTGCACTGGGAAATTTGCGGAAGAAAAGAGCAGTGCCCAGACGCATTTCCATATGCGCCAAATGAATCCCGATGCAAACTATAATGAGATTTAGTCATGCAAACCTCATACAATCGTCCGTGAGGCAACTTACCTCTCGAACCTCCACCAAACGCCAGCGACGCATCTTTCATCTCCCTACTTGGGCTCTGCCATCTTTCTGGCTTGAACTCAAGTGGGTCTGGGAAGATGATCGGATCGCGATGCACACTGTAAGCCTGAGTCCCAATGCCGGTTCCTCCTGGAATAAAGTAGCCGTCGAAAGTATATCCCTCCGGTGGCACGGTCCGAGGGAGGGCCATGGACACGGCTGGGTGGAGACGTAGTGTCTCCTCAATAACCTGATTAAGGTACGGCAGCTCACGCAATTTTTGACTGGTTAAAGGTTCAGAGACAAGGGAGACTTCTTCGACGAGTTTCTTCCGGATTCCCTCACTGCGACAAACGGAGTAAATCAGGTAGGTGAGTGTTACAGCGGTGGTGTCGCTACCTGCGATGATGTAGGCTTGGGCTTCGTGTCGGATTTGTTCGTGGGTGAGACCGCTTTTCTCCTCGAACATTTTTGTGAAAAGGGTTGGTTTTGGATTTTCAGGGTTTTCGGCCAGAATACGTTTGTAACGCTCAATGGATTGGTATGAGTATTGTCCGATTCTCTTTGCTGCTTCTCCAGCTGCTTTGAAGGCCGGGAAGGGAACATATTTGCCGATGCTGACGAGGAATGGGAAGGCGATCCGGACGGCCTGGACCCGTGATAGGTTTTCAAGGTCGATGCTGTATTGCGTTTTCTGCATAGATCAGTGTGAGTTCCGTCTCACTTCGACGCTGCAAGTCAAGCCTCCTCGAAGGATCTAGTTACCTCCTTGGCCTCCAGCATTCGAAACGATTCTCCAAAGCTAAGTTCGCCGATGATATCGGTGGCCATGAACAACCACCACTTGAAGACATCAGCCACCCCGCCGAGTCTCATCTCTTCCTCCATCCTGTCGATTGCAGTCTGTACTCGTGCAAGAACAATAGGCTCCATCTTGCTGAGCGATGATTCCGAGATGGGCATTGCGAGCAATCTACGTCGCTCCGCGTGGAATTGTCGATCTAAGGTCGAGAACATCGTTTCATGACCACCAGCGACGAGTTTGCGATACCACTCAGATTTAAGAAATCGGCTGTTTATCTTGTGGATATCTTTGACGGCGTCGAGATCGCAAATGTCGACTTGGCCCGGACTAGTTCGCACGATAGGTCCTATTCCAAATTCTCATTAGCATCGGCGCCTCACGTCACGAGAGACAAACTGACCGTATTGTTCGTGAAGCCGGTGAACGTAGAACGGTATCTCGCCTCGTAGCCAGTAGTAAACATACACAGCTTCAGTCCACTTGGAGATTTCAGGTCCGGGAATCTGGGCCAATGGTCCAGTGACCTTTCTGTATATGAAATGCTGTCATTTGAGTGACATTAGCCACAGTTACCATTGGGTATTTCCCGCTCGGCAAAGAATCTTAGACTCACCGTCACATAAAGAGCGAGGCAGGCGAGCACAGTCGCCTGTATATTGTCGATGAACATCTCTCCTCTGTGTAAAAGTCAAGTGTGGTAAGAGAACCGCTCTGTCCCAGTAAGGCAGGATCGAATTTGCAACTGAAGGTGAACCCAGTTGGCGTACGGCTGGGCTGCACTTAAATAGCTGCGTTGATACCGTCCTGTCAGACCCAAACTCATATTCCCCGTCGATCGGGTCGCTGCATTTGACCCGCCTCGTCATTCGAACGGAGGTGTCAGTGCGGGGACAATCTTCATGTGAGGCAGGAATTTTGAAAGCTTTCCCTTTGGTCGCCTTCGGTCGCTCGCTGTAGGCCGGTAAGCCGACAGGCCGAAGGGCCGAGATCAGACTCTTCTGGGCAGTGAGGACGCTCGATTGCATCAGGCTGAAGCTGCATATGTGGACCATGATGCAGATTGATGGCCCTTTGGCGTTAACGCCGAGATCGTGCCACAGCGAACAATAGCTGAGGAATACCCGGCTCGGACTCTGGTAAGATGAAAGAGCTCGAGTCCCGAGTAGAAAAGGCTGGGTGATTATTGTTCTCCGCGTCAGTGCTATCGCCGGATAGACATGAATGTTACCATGTTCAATTCTCGCGGGATGGCTTGTTTTAGAGGTTGTGTCGGACTCATGTGCCTTACTGTTTTGAGTATTGGCCTGGGGACCATACTGTACCTCAGTGGCAAGGGCTGTCCATCTCCTGGTCAAGCATTCTATCTATTTGCGGGCATTTGACTCGAGTAGACTCTCCTAATGTTCAATAGGCATGTCGCACCCGTGAACCAGGCCAAGGATGTGTATATTTTGACAAGACTTGTAGTGGTCCTAGCTTGAGCTTTGAATTTTACTGAGGCCCGACTGTTTTCTTTCTGATGAAACGCGCAAATGCAACTTCTTTAAGGGGGTATAAAGCGCAAGAGACTCAGAACTGGAAGGCAACCTCCTCTCATCAATCACCAGAACACATTCAAACAAGTTTTGGCCGTTTCGAATTGAAAACAGAATCAGGCCGACTACGCTTGCGCTCTGCAGCTTCCATCTCTGCTTTCATAATCCTTTCCTGCTCTGTCATTTTCCTTGGTTGAGCCATCACAGGACCTTTCTTGCCTGCCAGAGCGTTCTTCTTCGGTACAGAAGCAAAGACATTTTTCGGTTTCTGAGCACCACCAAATGACATGGATATCTTCGCAGGACCTGGTGCAGTAGCTGGAATCGTCGAATCTTTGCCTGTGTCAGGTGAAGAATCTTTGCCATCAGAAGAGGCTTCTGTAGTTGCGATCGCAGTCGCAGGCTCCTGGAGTGATGCAGTTTCGGCGTCCGGTTTTGACTTCGCGCTGGCGCTGAAACCGAAGTTCAATTTGACCTTCTCGCCTTGTTCGCGCTGCAACAACCTCTCTTCTGCATTTTCCTCCTTTTGCTGTTGTTGCAAGTTGCGCTGCGCTCGCTCAACCTGCTCTTGAATGAGACGCTGCTCACGTTCCTCATCTCCTTTGTCCTGTCTTTCCTTCTTCATGATCGCCTCTCTCCGGCGCAATGTCTCCGGACTCTTGTCGATCCACGAGATGAACAGGCCCTTTTCCGTGTCCTCAACCCGACAAATTCCATTCCTGCCGAGATGCGCGACAAAGGCCGATAGCGACTTCCATTCTGTAGCGTTCATGTGGATGTGTGTTTTGTCGGCAATAACTTGCTGGTAGAAGTGGTTTGCATTGACCTGCTTTTCTCCGTGCGCTATTCGTTCTGTTAGATTTGTACCACCGTTTTGATTGGCCCGAAAACAGGGGACGTACTGGTCTTGAGGAGATCGATAAAGTTCTTCATGAATTCGTTCGAGAATTGTTTGATGTGTTTCTTGGGGTCTTCGCCGATGAGAAGCATTTGTCGAACATGCGCTTCGCTTTGAACGTGGCACCTGTCGTATGGGGGTTAGCATGTGTCATGCTTCATGGTAGCGCAGGGCCTCCAATAACACGCACTTGAAGCCATTTTCATCTCGCATTTGTCGCTCACTGTTGATCGCAACATTAGCCAATCTAGTATTGTCAATCTGGCAATATCACAGTGGAGAAGCTCGAAGCGCATACCAAGCTTGACAATACCATCTTAACCTGCCGAGCCCTGAAGGAAAGAATGCGTTAGTCCATTGCTCAGTCTAAGCGCAGAAGCCTCTCTGATATATGGCGAGCATTCAGTTGCAAGGAAGTAGGCTATACCTTTGCTCTTGATCTGATTTGAAATGGCCTTTGTACTGCCTAGTCCACTGTTAGCGAAGAACTTCTGTGTTTGCGATCGTTGAATGCCTACCAGCCTCTGCGCGCCCCATCCTGAGAAGATGTTAAATATAGCACAGTGGAAATGAAATGTTCTTGAGTCGGGTGCCTTTAGTAACGGAGATGAATAGCAAGAGCAAAGAGATGATCGAATCACATTCAGAAAGATGCTCTGCCAAAAAAGCCGGTGGCGTCACGATCGTTATCTCTATGTCACGTGGAGATAAAGACGGTGAGCACGTGGATGTTGTCCGGGGTGGGGCCTATGATCATGTAGAGTGTAGACTGCAGACTACTAAGTTCCACGAGCACTATTCAAATTGCAAGAGAAGGCTTATAGTGAGCTGTATAGTCTAAGAGAACCCGTTTCGAAGTAATGGTTGCGCCGATGCATTGAAACAATAAGATCGCGCTAATAAATCACTTCACCAAGCAAGCAAAGTCGGGTCGACCACCTCAATAATAATATGAGAAGACCCCGAACTCCAAAGCTCCTAGCCTATAAACTAAACCAGCTTTTGTCAACATGAGGATAAACACGTATTATGTAGACAACAGTTGCTCATACATGAGAAAGCCCCTCAAATCACACTAAACAAAACATTGTGTTCTTCCAAATTGGCAACATCAGGCGAGGGCCGGTCAAAGAGACTTTGGAGAGAAGAAATAAAATGACAAAAAGAACGCTTCGTAGCAGAGCACATGAAGTGAACTGCGCTCATGTATATCATGTCCATCTCACAACCCGAAGTCATGAATGGCTGAGGGGCCACTCTCGTTGTACTCGACACGGGTCATGAAACTTTTGGACAGGCCCTGATCAAGCACATAGCAGACCTTGGCGCCCATCTGGGCGCCCAAGAAAGTGGCCTCCTCGGCACCATGGCCACCCTGTGTACCACTGGGCCCCTGGCTGGCGCCAGGAGCGTTGCGATTTCCGTCATGCTTGAAGTCGGGGAAGTAATCAGGAAGGCGTAGGCACTTGACTGAAGTCGGAGTCTGCGAGTGTCCACTTGAGCGATGGAGGGACATGCTTGTGTCCATGGCTGGGGTTCCTGGGGTAACGGCAGCCATGCCCGGATTATTATGGGTGGCAGCGACGAGCAGAGGGTTCACGCCATGGGCAGCTGGGAGATACATTGGACTGGCTTGTTGGCCCATGGGTGCCGGGGTGTTGGTGCCACCGGTGGGGAGAGGCGTGGAGAAGGCGGAGGGAATTTCAGATGTGAAGATAGTTGCGGATGGAGAGAGAAGGTATTTTTGTGTAATGACACCGAGAAGAGCCTGCGCGAAACCTAGACACGAGCGGCATGTTAGCATTTCATCCGATCAAGGACACTGAGGAAATCCGATCTGCGTACCTCGAACTCGACTACCACATCCGACGATGATAAGGGAGTCCCAGAGCTCACTTCTCCTGGTAGCATCAGGTACGGATTGAATGGTGTAATAAATTTGGTAGGCAATATCTTCCAGAATGCCAAAAGACAGACGGCTAGCACCTTGCAAAGGGGTTGCGAGAAGGAAGCGCTCCGCTCCAACCTCGATCTCTCTGGCATGACGAATGTATCGGCGAGGCCCAGCAACAGGTGTGCCATCATCCTCGAGAGGGCTGAATTCTTCGTATTGAAAGCTTGCTTTCTCTTTCTGGTGATTGGGGGCGTTCTTCTGCTTAGATTCTACGCCACCCTTCTTGCCAGTCTTCTCCTTCTCAATCTTGGCCAAATACTCTGTAGTATTACCGCTCACGATAGCAGCAACGTCCAAGACACCTTCGTCGTCATCGGGTCCATTCTCGGTGCCAGTCTGCGTGTTCTCTCCCGGGCCCCGGGGAACGGCGTCTGTGGCACCTGATCCACCGGTCGAGGCGGCCGCTGCAGGGTTGGGACCCTGATGAGCTGTTACAGCAGCACCAGGCAAAGGCGTCCCGGGCGCTAAGATTTCGGCAATGTTGCTTCGTTTCAGCTGCTCACACATCTCGCGCGTAAAGCCTCTGGGGGCCAGGAGCTCGACCAGTCGGTCGGTCATAGCATCACCACCGCATCCCTTCAGAGCAATACCACGGCCATAGGGGTTCACAACGCAATCCGTGACAGCAGTGACATCCACCTTCGTCTTTCCAACGTCGATGACGGTGGCAGTCTGCACACCATAGCCGTAGCATGTAGCAAGCGCGGAGTCCATGATGTTAAAGCCAGGAGTCTTGAACTTCTCAAAGAAGAATTGGGTGATGATCTCTTTGTCACGAGCAGTCCACACAGGTTGCGAGACAAGTAGAATAGGAGTGTGGAATGGCGGGCTTAAAGCATTGTAGATGTGCGTAAGCAGAGCAAAGAAACAGGGCCAATCGACAATGCGACCATCTTGAATAGGGCAGACAGCGCCTTCGTCGGACGCGACATCCTCTTCGTATAATGTCTCCTGCACTTCAGTCTTCTCGACACCATCAGCTGTCGCGTCGGTCGAGTCCTCTGCAGTCTTGGAGGTTTCGCTCTTAATGGCGGCAGTGCCTTCAGCTGCAGGCGCGGCATCTTTCATCTCCGTGTCTGATTTTGCAGGTCCATCCTCGGGCGCGCGATGACCATTGCTCGGTTTGACGGTGTGATGACGTTCGCGAATACGATAAGGCTCAAACTCGCCCTTCTTCTGGGCCGGAAACATACGCGTGGGAAATCGAAAACGCGCGGGCGTGAAGCTTTCGGGAAGACCGAGTTGCGCCAGGGTCATGTGCGAACCTGGCGCAATCAGCTGAAATGAAGATTGCTTGTCAATATAGGCTGATTCTCTTCTGAGAGGCGTACGATGCAGTTACAACATACCATAATATGCTCATCCTTGAAGGGTGGCATGTTTTTGGGGTTGCGGTTTGGATATGATCGCGCGCAGACCAAACGACCCTTCCTCGGAATGGTCTTTGAAGGCGTCGTGTCTGGCTCCTCTGAACTTGGAGTACGTAGAGGGACCCTCTTGGCCGCCCTTTTCGGCATCTTCCTGCGCCGCTTACCCGACATGGTTTAGCGTGGAAGTGGTGGTAGAACAGTCACGTGATGTGAGTATGTGGTCGCCTTAATTATGAGGTGAGAACTAGAACACGTGCAAGTTGACCGGGAAGTGCGTAACTACGGGAAGTGCGGCTCCGGTAGCTTGACGGCCTAACTGTTCAGGCTTGACATCCGTCACTACTATACCCCCATTTGAACTATGACGATTAAGGGACAGGCAAACTGACTGTCATGTGGAAGAGTAAAAGTAGTGATTGATAAATATGGTATCGATCTGAAAACAGCGCAAATATCCCTTAACAACCCCCTACTGGCTACCATTATCCTACCCGGAACGAACTATGCTGTGCTTCAAGTTAACTTGATCACTAATCCCGAATCTTTCTGGGCTAGCCATTGGCACCAACTTTACAACAGTTCAGGATACTAGACCGTTATTCAAAAGATTCAACAATCCGTAGGAAGAATGACATTTCGTAGCCATCAGCTACAGCTTTGAAATGTATGCGCTTGATATCAGTTTCATTAGGACCAAGAGAGAGAAACAAAAGAGTCGTGATCACCCTAACAACGCCGAACCTGTGAGATTTCAAAGTATCCCGAATAGACCAACCCAGACAACGCCATTCATCCGTTCATATTCTCTATGACCAGCAAGAGCCCATTCATTATCTTCCATGAGATTTCATTCAGGGCCTGCATTGTACTTTTCTGTTGCAGACCGGAATAGCTCTTGTTGTTGCCGGAGGAGCTCTTCTTCGGATAGACCACTTTGCTCCATCTTGCTTTGCTTTTTCTCCCGTGACTAAGTGAGGTCAGTTAGCATTGGGAACCACTTACGTGTAGTAAACAATGTCTTTTGCTGATCGAACCTTGAGTTGTTCACGATGCTCTTCCGCTACTGCAAGCACATCGGGGATGTAGTCCGCGAAGCCAAGGTCGCGAAGCGCCTTCTCCACATGTTCACAGGCAATAGTCTTCTTCGCCTCCTTCTCGCTAATGTCATTTGCCTCAGAAGAAATGAGAGTGATGAATTCGACACAACATTCCATCAGTAGATCGCGCGCATCCTTAGAGAACGTTTGGCCCATGCTGGGAGGAAGGATCTCGGTAATAATTTTTTGGACCGTCGCTATAATCAAGCACTGTCAGCAAGAATTGGTCGATGACTAAAACATGACGAACTGCGAACGTGGCCGATTCCGAGTGCGTTATGTTGATGCGATTCGAGCGACAAGGGTTTGGAGTTAACTCCGGAGCGGAGGTTGAAGCGGGTTTAGTATACCTTTTGGCAGCGACAGGTCGTCATTTGCTATTTTCAAGAAGCGACCGGTTAGATAAGAAGTGCTTGTATATATCAAGACAACCTTAGAGCACTTACAGTTGAATTCTCGATCAGACATGATGATATCGAGTCGAGATGCTGAGTGCGCAAGGCAAGCGACCGGCAAAGTCCTCGACAACCAAGTAATTTAGTAGTAGCAGACGCGACTCTTTTTTCTTTGGAATCTAACGTGGGGCGGCTGGAGCATTAAAAGCTCGCCGAGGCGCGCGACCAGGGACCCATATTTTCCTGCCGGCAGTTTTCTCACCGCCTCTGCTCACATTTATCTTCAATTTTTTTTTGCTTCCCAGACGCTCTCTTCTCACACCATCTTTCATCTCTTTCAGCTTGGACTGAGAGCCTTTCCGGGAGAATACTCTGATGTGAAAATTCTCCCGGAGCAAACTACTAATGGTAAGATGCCTTGCGGAAAAGAGATTCCTTTCAATTTATTGCACCATCATGATGAACATCGTTGTCGCCCCTATCATACAAAACCGTGGTGATTACACTGTCCTAGCCAAACGGACGAACTGATCTTGCTCCAAATCATTGCTTTTTTCACAAACGATTGTCTCAAATGGAAAACATTGCTGACTTTCCTCGAGATCAACAGGATTCTACACAATAGCGGCTAGGCTTCAGTCATTCGTGATACATCGCAATGGTCGTCTCGCTTGAACGAATTTTTCGATACACCCTAGGTACGAATACTACAATCACAAAAATTTTCACCCACACCCTCCTTTTTGTATGATGAACATTTTACATTCCATGCTAAGTATGAAGGTGCCCTGCGCCTGATGCTTATAAAATGTAATGCTTTTCATCTTTCGGCTGATTACATCTAAAACTGTTCTCGGACCACACACTCATGAAAATTCGTGGCATGCAATACTAATTGCTGTACAGTGACTAGAACACAGTTTAATAAATCTATGATGAGCAAATGCCAAGTTTGCACATCTATTTCTGAAATTTCTCGAGTTCTTGATCGTTCCACCTGTAAAATTTGTATCAGTATCTGCCAAGCAAATGTAACGTAGATCTGCAGCGAGACATACGAGAGGAATTGACCACTCAGCTCAGGAGAGGCATCAAGCACAAGCTTGGCCATGACATGACCCGGTTGCTCTGGCTTGACAAGCTTGCCGTTCTTGTGGGCGCCGAAGAACTTGGAGTGCATCTCGGCATCCAGGTTTGAGACGTGATCTTCCCTAAGCTCACGCTGCATCTCGGTGTCAACCATGCCGGGACGAATGGCCACGGAGACCACATCGGGTTCTTCGCTTCCAAGGCTCAGGGCAAAGTGGTTCATGGCAGCCTTCGAGGCTCCGTAGAGACCCCAGCCACGATAGCCGGACACAGCGGCACCCGAAGAGGTGAAGATGATCTTTCCTTTGGACTTGCGAAGAGCCGGGAGCGCAGCTTTGGTCTGCGGATCAATCTGTCAGTCGTCTGGTCCTGTTGGCGAGGCTCAAGTGGCATTGACGTACGAAAGCAACCAGGCTGAAGAAGTTGACATCAAAGTCCTTCTTCCACTGTTCGACATCGGCTGAAGCAATCTTGCCGACCTGGCCAAGAATGCCGTGGTTCAAGACCATGCCGTCCAGCTGGCCGAAGGTGGTGATTGCAGCATCGACGGCCTTTTGAGCGAGTGAGAAATCAGCAAGGTCGCCATTGACGACTTCCACTTGCTTGCTATACTGATCCTTCAACTTCTGAAGAGGCTCAACACTGCGGGCCACGACCACCACATTGTGAGCCTGAGGGGCAGAGAGAAGGTACTTGGCAATTGCAAGACCGATGCCTATGGGAGGGTCAGTCGCAAGTCTGAAGATGAAGTTTGGAATACTTAAATACTTACCGCGAGAGGCGCCGGTGACAATGATGGTCTTGGCAGACATGGTGGAACCTGCAATTCAACTTAGCATTGACATCTCATCATCAGCGTGGTGTACAAATGTCAGGTTGACAGCCAAGAAAATGATTATCACAAATATTGGAATTGAGAGGGGCTTCGCTCCTCGACGTCACGATGCGTTGCGCACAGCCTTGAGAGGGGAGTACCTGCACTTACTTCGAAATTTAAGAAGAGATGTTCCAAAATGTGCGTGTGTGCAGCTAGGTAGCTCTCGTGGGTTAAGAGGATCAAGAGGAATCAGGTCCAGCTGTGCTGCAGAATGCCTTTGCTACTCACCTAACTGATCTTCCAACTTCCAAACCTGTGAACGCCAATGCCGCGGGGCTTAATAATCTCGAGGGGCGTCCCTGTCGGCAACCTTAAAGTGCAGGCAGCACGGCGGCCCTTCTCGAAGCATTCGGCAGACGTCATGTCCCTCTCTAATGGCGCATCCATGCAACAAATGCAGTTTCACCAACCATCGATTTGTGTCCAAGCTTTGCCAGTCGAGTTTAAACAGTTGGCATCAATGATAGGCTTCTCCCAGTCATTTCATAAGATGGACGTGCGCTGCTATTTCAGATCCTTCACCTACCAGCACCTAGTACCCATTAAATCGGGCAGGGATAGGTGATGAGCCCAGGGTAGCCCGTACCCACCTTAACTCCTCCCATGCCAAAAGTATATATCGATAGAACTTCCACAACCTCCACCTAGGTAGGAGATGAATGAGGAGTGAGTTCCACCTAAACCTAAGCCTCCTTCAACACCACCCGCTTAATACTATCTGATTACCAGATGGGATACAACCTGAATCAACAGTACCGCATTTACCTGGAAGTAGAGACCAACTATCAGAACGTACTACCTGCCTACAGCCCTGGGCTGCCTTCAATAGACGTTCATTCGGACCCCCAGACACCTGACCGTTTAGGTTTTGTTACATCGCAGTTGTAAAAGCATCATGTTTCAACGGTCAGTGACCCAGCTCAACGCCTACAATTCCCGTAGACAAGGGGTAAAATGCCCGAGGTCTTAGTCCTAGACTTCAAGCTTGGTCACCAGAGCATTCAGTGGCTTTTCACAACGATGCCACCACACCGGCCATGGTTGACCCTCGGATAATCTATTTTCCGACACTCACAGAAAATCCGATGCGTGAAGCAAACGGCGGCGGAAAGCTGTCCGACTTTACGCACTTTAGTCAGCCGTGCCGCAGCCCCAAGGAGCTCTCCAGAAACTTCAGGCATCTGATATCTCCATCCAGTCCGCTCTCCTCGACTTCGTGCGCGATCACCTATCCAACTTCTGTCAGCGCCAACAAACGCCCGTTGATCACTCTAATTCGACACCTTCACTCACTTTTTGACGACCTAAGAAACCACAACTCCGAAATCACAAATCCATCATGGCTAATTATCTCGCCTCCATTTTCGGTACCGAGCAGGACAAAGTCAACTGCTCCTTCTATTACAAGATTGGCGCCTGTCGCCACGGCGATCGATGCTCGCGCAAGCATGTGAAGCCCTCCTACTCGCAAACAATCCTGATGCCCAACATGTATCAGAACCCTGCCTACGACCCCAAGATCAAAATGAACCCCAGTCAGCTCCAGAATCACTTCGATGCTTTCTACGAAGACGTCTGGTGTGAGATGTGCAAATACGGCGAGCTGGAGGAGTTGGTCGTCTGTGACAATAACAATGACCGTAAGTTTCGAGTGCTTGAGTTCCACCTGATTTTCTGCCCTTTATGTTCCATGAACCCGAGACTGACCGTTCTGTCCTGTCGTTTGGCCGCAGACCTTATTGGCAACGTCTACGCTCGATTCAAGTACGAAGAAGATGCGCAAGCTGCATGCGACACGCTCAATTCCCGGTGGTATGCCGCGCGACCGATATACTGCGAGTTATCACCGGTGACAGATTTCCGAGAAGCATGTTGTCGATTGAATAGTGGTGAAGGCTGTGTCCGCGGAGGGTTCTGCAACTTCATTCATCGCAAAGACCCTAGTCCAGAATTGGACCGAGAGCTTCGCTTGAGCACAAAGAAGTGGCTCAGGGAACGTGGTCGTGACGCGCGCAGTGTCAGCCGCAGCCCAAGTCCCGAGCCCACCCGGCGGAGACACTAGGTCAATGTCCCCTTGAACACGTCGTCCGCCTATTTCTTTCTTCTATTGCCAAATCTCAGGCTCACCTCACTTCCGTCTTCATATTATCGGCGTTGGGCGATAAACCTCTATGCAAAAGTGGCATCATGGGCTGTTGAGTCGGGGTTTCGATATTCGTGATCTGCTTTGCTGGTGCGCAAATTGTAATCTAGGTCTTTCAAGATACCATGACTGCAGCTCAAACGGACTTTACTTGAATTCTTATTGATTGTCGCTTTTTGAAGTGATGTGCTTCTTCGAGAATCGAATCGAGACAGCCCTCACCGTCCTGATGGACTAGGTGTCGACTAATTATCGGTCTCCAATATGTTCGTACTCCCATTCGCGGCTTCCTGCGCGGTACAGTCACTCACTATTGTGCTGTCAGAAAGGACCATACCTGCTTAGCACTCATGTACTCGAAAGTATAATCCTGCGGTCAGTAATCCAATGTCAATGATGAAGTATCTCCATGCAGTCCAGACCATGATGAGTCAACCCTGTAGTCGGAAATTCCCCGGCTCGATAGGTGGTCGTAGTAATTAGATCCCGTAAGTTTGCCCGCACATGCACTTCTCTGCTTCTTTGTTCACCGGTCTTGGCACCCCCCACACACGCGTCTAATCGCGTCCCACTGCGCTTTTTGACGGTGAAGCTTTGGCGCTGCCAAATGGTTGTTCGAAGCAGATAGCTCCCTCATCATTGCACAATTCGCTTCCTGTCCTCTGCAAAATGGACATCTATGATGACCGGCATCGCGCATTTCTGCAGGCCTTCATGGCTCGGTCAACCATGACATTCGAAGAGTCGCAGCCGGTGCTAGCAGCAATAATCTCGGCTCACGGTGCGAATGATTTGTCTCCAACTCTTGATAGGCCCTGAAAGTCCTCAACTAACAGGTCAAATACCAAAAAGAAAGTCGCGATATTGCCCCGGAAGATGTCACGCAATCCACATTGAACGACTTTGTCGATACGGTCAACGGCGCCATTTCTACCTTCGACCTAGAAATCAGAACGTCCCGACGACAGGATCCCAAAGACAGCGCGGATGACTCAACTACGCCCCCGATTCTGATCTACGCCCTAGTTAACACGACCAGCGACGCCCTCACCCAGCTCGCGACGACCTACTCTGCCGACGAGATCGCATTCGTCAAAAGAGTGCTTGACTACATGTTTGAAGAGAACAACACTCGGCGATCTGAGGGCATGATCATTTCCTCGATGCAGGCCATGCGCCTGTCTAAAGCAGGCAGTGACCGAAGACGATCTACAAACGTGGCCACACAGCAGACTGAGAGCGGCAATGCTCAGAACTTGACCATGCAGCAGGCCCAGGAGGTGATGAAGTCTTTGACACAGGAAGGGTGGTTGGAGCAGAGCAGGAAAGGCAACTACAGTCTCAGTCCACGGGCACTGATGGAGCTGCGCACTTGGCTGGTTTCAGAGTACAATTACGAGGATATGAATGGGCAGATGCAGAACCGGATCAAGTTTTGCGCTGCTTGCAAGGATATCATCACAGTGGTGAGTATCTTGCATTCTCACCAGAAGCCTTCTTTGAGATGCGCAGAGACTGATACGGATTTCTCAGGGACAACGATGCGATGACCGAAATTGCCCGGGCCGACTGCATGACCACTGCGTGCGCAACTTCTTCCGCATGCAACAAGCTGAGACGTGTCCTGTCTGCCAGAAGGGCTGGTCTGGGAACAACTACGTGGGCGAGAGAGCTGTTGTTGAGGCCGCCCGTCCTCGACACAGCAGACTCTCTCAGGCTCAAACCGTGGTCGCCTCTCCCACGCCAACGAGCGAGGCGGGAGATCCTAAGCTAAGCGATGAAGAAGAAGGATGAATGACGCCAGAGTAACCAAAAACTACTGAAAATGGAAGGTTGGTGCGAAATTTTCTTCACCGAACAAACGCTCATGACGACCATACTGACAATTACGCAGAATCCCCTCGACAGTACATACTTTGAGCAGCCTGGAAGAAGTCACCAGTCCGGTTACTCGGATTGTGATACTCATGAGCATTGAATATGAGCCCACATCGTGGATGCTGGAGCCCGAGGGCATTTGCCGAGTTCTAGATACTTCAACTCCCGGGCTTATCTACCAGAGTGAGAGTGATCCTCACGCACCGCTCTGGCGCACTCTACTAGTCCTCAGTACACCTGCCTTTTCGGGACGACCATCTGCTGCCGGAGGGCTCGCATTGAACCCCTACCGTGTTATCAATCATCCTCGCTAAGACTCGAGCCATTTCATGTCTTTGCCCAAGTATCATATTTGTGAGAGTTGAATGGGGCTGCCAGATGTCATTCGTTGTACGATAGAAATGTTGTACCACCCGCTATGAATATACGACCCGCTGGCGAGCATTCGGTCCGAGGGTCACACCCGCTTCGATCAGGGAGAACAAGCAGAAGACGGAGTGTAGGTTGACCTTGAGAAGACGGTAGTGATAGATATTTGTTTGATTTCATGTCCTCGACGGATTTATCTTTCATGCTATTCATGAGACGACGGGACAGCGCTGTGTTGTCTCTCCATAGCTTTGAAGAACTTCAATTCTTCATGTGATCGCTACAAGCTCCCACCGCTGTTGATATTATTCAATCATACATACGTCTATTCAGAGAGGCAATGTACGATTACTGGACGAGTTTTGTGTCAGGTATGGTATGTCACTGTATGTACCAATGTGGTAGAGAGAAGAGACCTGCTCTTCTCATAGGTTCTAGTACCTCAGAAAGGGAAGTACATCTCAACCCCGGTTCAGAGAGTATCGAGCATCCACCGGCGGACTATTATCGGGCATTTCTTAAGTTTGTCGATAGATGATCGTGTAGAAGTACGTGGTTCATCCCGTCTCAAACGCGTGGTATTGAGGTACCTAGTACCTAGTACCTATCACCTACAAAACTGCACATGGGCGGCATCCAGCCTCCTCCACAGACACCAAACCTTCTTCCCCCACACCCCAACCAAATCCTCTTCCTCCCTGGTTCCCTTACCCCAAGATTTGTCTTTGCCATCCATATGCTAGCGTCCCGTGGATACTCCCGGTTCGTGCGCAACCTTCGGTGACAAAGAAGATGCCGTGCGTTTCTGCCTAGTCGCAGGGTCCAAATCCGGCCTCGACGAGACTTTCTCCCGGCCGCTGTCCGACCTCGAGAGACTTCGGCCACGAAGAGACCAGACGCCGTCCCGACCTGGCAACGGCACAGGTGCATTTCCCCGGGTTCCTTCACCAGCCTCCCCCACCTGGGGATCCACCGACAACCTCTCAGCCCGCGTGGAAATGGCGTAGAGCAACCTTGCTCCCAAGCCGCTTCTTCCGACGCCACCGTGTGGACCGACTGGACGGTGTCTATTCACTGACAGACGTCAAACGGCAGATGGCAGATGGCAGATGACAGATGGCATATGGTAGACGGTAATACGTAGTATAGTGGCAGGGTGTAACAGGAACTGAGAACTGAAAATGGGTACTATGCTAACACTTTTACCTGGAAGTTGCATTTAGAAGATGTCATCCGCCATCAGGTGGCCGACGACCAGCCGCATACGACATGGCTCTCGCTCTTGGCTTGGCGGGGCAATTGCACAGACGCTTTCCAGGACCGGTCAAACTTTGCGAAGATCCTGCTCGCACTGAAGTTGCCGGCTTTGGGCCAGCGACGTCCAAAATAAAAGGCAAAGGAACTTCGCATTGAGTTTACCACCTTGTGGAGTCCCTAGTTACAACTGGTCCTCGAGGTGAAGTAGACTTCGTGCATGCACAGTCACCCCCACACTGAACTCACGCAGGAAGTCATAACTAAGGTCGCCTGCATTAGGTTTGCCTTTGGCAGAGAGGGCCATGTGGTTTTCTCGGTGCTCGGATCAATATTCTTTCGTAATTGAGTTGAAATCCCCGAGTGTCACCCGACTTTCCATAAATATCGTCTAGCGTCATACCCTGGGGCCTCGGGCATCTTTGTATGAACGTTTAACCTCTTGCATATATTACTCCCTGTCCTCGCTCCTTTGTCCTCATTTCATCCCTTTCAACCAGGAAGGTGCAATCCAACTCACAATCATTCACAACCGCTTTCATCAACGAACGGGACTCTTAGCTACTCAGGCATCTGATTGTTCTCACCAAGAGGAGAGACTGCAAGATGCAGTACAAGGTGAGCTGGAATTTTACAGTGGACATGTAGACTCATGCTGATTCCTATCTCAGTCACTTGTTTATACAGCTCTCCAGGCGATGCTCTCCCTGAGCTCACTGGCAGATGCGTCAAGTCCGAAAAGCCGTGTGGAACGGTGCTTGAAGTCTTACTCGGACCATGGCAACTCAGCCGAGAAGACACATGCCAGCAAGAATGTGTACAAGACCGACTTTGACGGCGTGACTTGGGACGACGACAACTGGGTGTTGAAGACCACGACTCTGGAGCAGGGTCGGTTCCAGTCCCGAGGTTCCGTGGCCAACGGCTACTTGGGTATCAATGTTGCCAGTGTTGGTCCGTTCTTTGAATTGGACAACGCGACCAAGGGCGGTGACGTGATCAGTGGTTGGCCGCTGTTCTCACGTCGCCAGTCATTCGCGACAATCAGCGGCTTCTGGGACTCCCAACCTACGACGAATGGCTCTAACTTCCCCTGGCTCTATCAGTACGGCGGTGATAGTGCGATCAGTGGAGTTCCCCATTGGAGCGGCATTATCCTGGAGCTTGATTGTCAGACTTATTTGGATGCCAATGTGGACAATGCGACCCTTTCCAATTTCACCTCGACCTATGATTTCCAGGCGGGTGTTCTCTCGTGGTCTTACAAGTGGAAGCCAAATGATCATTATGGATCTTTCGATATCAGCTATCGCCTGTTTGTCAACAAGTTGTATGTCAATCAGGCCGTCGTGGACATGACAATCGTCCCTTCCAAGGATGGCAACGCAACCATCGCCAACATTTTGGACGGGTACTCTGCAGTCCGTACCGATTTTGTTGAGTCTGGCGAGGAAAATGGTGCTATCTACTCTGCTGTGCGACCCAATGGAATTGCCAATGTGACGGCTTACGTTTATGCCAACCTCACTGCTTCTTCCTCGGTGGATTTGTCGTCGCGCAAGCGCGTCAACAACAAGCCGTACGTCAGCGGTAACTCCTCGTCTGTGGTGCAGACCGCCCCGGTTGCTTTCAAGAAGGGGAAAAAGGTCCAAATTACCAAGTTTGTCGGCGCTGCCTCTACGGATGCCTTTGCCAACCCTCAGAATGTGGCCAAGGAGGCAGTCATGGCAGCGGCCAAGAACGGCTACGCAAAGTCCCTTAAAGCCCATGTGGAAGAGTGGGCGAATGTCATGCCAGTTGACTCGGTCGATCGCTATGCTTTCCCGAATGGTACCTTGCCCAATGACAACTACATCATTGACTCTGCTGTGATCGCAGTCGCAAACACCTATTATCTTTTGCAGAACACCGTTGGCAAGAACGCCATGAATGTGTCCAACAACACCAGCTTGAACAGTCACAGTATCTCTGTCGGTGGCTTGACTTCTGATTCTTACGCTGGCCAGGTGTTCTGGGATGCCGATGTCTGGATGCAGCCCGGCCTGGTTGCTTCACATCCCGAGGCTGCTCAGCGCATCACCAACTACCGTGTGGATCTGTACCCGCAAGCAAAGGAGAACATCAAGACCAAGTTCACTGGATCGAAAAATAGCACGTATTTCGCACCTGATGCTGCCATCTATGCCTGGACCAGTGGACGATATGGTAACTGTACGGCCACGGGTCCATGCTGGGATTACGAGTACCACCTGAATGGTGACATTGGTCTCGCGATCATCAACGAGTGGGTAGCGAGCGGTGATAACGAGACTTTCAAGAACTCTCTCTTCCCTATTTACAACTCTGTTGCCACGGTCTACTCCAATTTGGTGGAGCGAAACGGATCTCACTGGACCTTGACCAACATGACCGACCCGGTGAGTGCTTTGCCTCTTTGATGACATTACTAGATTCGAGCGACCATTGACAATCAGCAGGACGAGTACGCGAATCATGTCGACGCTGGTGGCTTCACGATGCCGCTCATTGCGCAAACGCTTACCAATGCCAACAAGTTCCGTCAGGAGTTTGGCTTGGAGCAGAACTCCACCTGGGATGAAATTGCCAAGAACGTTCTCGTTCTCCGTGAGAACGGGGTGACTCTTGAGTTCACAACCATGAACGGCAGTGCTGTGGTGAAACAGGCCGATGTTGTCCTGAACACTTACCCGCTGGACTACACTGCCAACTACTCCCAGCAGGATGCCTTGAATGACTTGGACTATGTGAGTGTCATGACCACCCTGTATTGATAAGGGCCATGTAAACATGAACTAATCAGAAACTGCCCTACTTAGTACGCCAACAAGCAGTCCCCAGACGGACCAGCCATGACATGGGCTATCTTTGCAGCTGTCGCCAACGAAATGTCGCCCTCGGGTTGCTCTGCGTACACCTATTCTCAAAACGCCTACAAGCCCTACACGCGAGCACCGTTCTACCAAATGTCAGAACAGCAAATCGACAATGCCACCATCAACGGCGGCACCCACCCTGCCTTCCCATTCCTGACCGGCCACGGCGGTTCCAACCAAGTCGTTCTCTTCGGCTATCTCGGTCTCCGCTACGTAGCCGACGACATCCTCCATGTCGACCCCAACCTGCCCCCCCAGATCCCCTACCTCAAATACCGTACCTTCTACTGGAAAGGCTGGCCCATCTCCGCATGGTCAAACCACACCCATACCGTGATCAGCCGCGCCGCGACCAAGCCCCTCGACACCGCAGACCAGCGCTTCGCCAACCAATCCATCACCATCCACTCCGGCCTCGACACAAACCACACCACCTACATCCTCCCCAGCAACGGCAGCTCCGTCGCCCTCCCCAACCGCCAAATCGGCGCCATCAACACCATCGACGGAAACCTGATCCAATGTCAACCCGCCCAATCCAGCGAAACCTTCGCACCCGGCCAATTCCCCATCGCCATCAACGACGGCGCCACCTCCACCAAATGGCAACCCAGCCACGCCGCCAACCTCAGCGCCGTAACAGTCCCCCTCGACCAAGACGCCGGCCAAATGATCACCGGCTTCCACTTCGACTGGGCCCAAGCACCCCCCGTCAATGCAACCGTCATCTTCCACAACAAGACCCTCGACAACCCCGCCCAAACATTCACCTCCTCATGCGCCTCAAACACAACAGACTTCCAGATCATCAGCTCTCTAACCAACATCGCCCTTTCAAACCCCTACAAGCCCAACATCACAAACCTAGACGAGATCATGATCCCCACCGGAAACACCACCAACGTGACTCTCTCCTCCGCCGTTCCCGCTGCACGCTACGCATCGCTTCTGATCATAGGCAACCAGGCCCTTGATGAAGCCGACGTCAAGGCCAAGAATGGTACCGGTGCGACGGTGGCCGAGTGGGCGATCATCGGACAGTCGAAGACCAAGACGAAGGCAAAGCAGACTCGCAGCGGCGATGTTGGTATCATCGAGTCGCGGATCTTGAAGAGTAGAGTCGCGGAGAGATTGGCGAGCGCTCAGGCCAAGGGTCGTCGGTCGAGAGGGTTGTAAGTTGATTTTGTGTGAATATGGCACATGAACATGGACATGACCATGGACATGTCTCTCAATTTATTCATTTTACTTGATGGCCTCGGAATGAGATTCAAGATCATACCTTGTTAAAATCTCTCGTCTCTACACAGAAGTTGAATAAAAGGATTCATTGAGCCGCAATCTAGTTTCATAGCTTTAGTGAATCATAAACTGGATAATTCTCGACTGATTACACTGTGTTCCGTATCTATTCCAAGGAGATTTGATAACACACTGAAAATAAAAAAAACTCAGAGTATTTGTAAAGTTGGGATACTGCAGTTTCCGTGGATATTTATGAATAATCCCGTAATTCATTGAAAGGCAATGATCATCAAACGACCTGCTGAAAGCCAAGAATGAGTGAACAGCTCCACCGCACCAACTATGTACAATAATTAAAGCTTTCACTCATCCAACGCAAACCGATCCAGGAACTTGAATGTGCGCAGACCCTCCTTGATCTGGTCGCCAAAGTCCTCATTGACAGCATCTCCAACATACACACCGTCTCTGTCGCTGGAAATCTGCGCATTCTCAAGGGCGACAGAGCCCTGGCCCAGCGAGCCGACTGGCTTACCGAAGCGGAAGGCATCGATGAGAATCTCCATGGGACGACCAGCAGGGTACAGCGATGTGGCGCCGGAGGACTTGGCCTTGGGCGAGACGGTGCTCGAGCTGGGGTTGAACAGACCCTGTGCACCGTCCGCAATGACCACGGCATCAAAGTTGATCGCGTCACTTGCAGAGTAGGTTTGGTTCACGCCTTGCGCCATGCGCTCACCAACAACGATCACGTCAACGCCAACGTCCTTCAGTTGACCCTGGAGGGTTGCGCCTTGGGTAAGAGAGGAGGCATTGGTGACGGAGGCAAGGACGCCGACTTTGAGACCCTCAAGCTTCATCAGCTTCTGACCAAAGGCTCCGACGTTGGCGGTCTTGTTATCGTGGTAGTATGTTGGATCGGGCTGGGGTGCGTCGACACCAATGGCCTCGGCGACACGCTTAGCAAGGTCATTACTGATACGGTTAAGCTGAATGATGACATTGCTGCGAACAACTTGGCTCATGACATTGGCACTCTCGAAGCGCATAGCGTCAACAACAAATTGCTGCTCGGCGGGGACAAGCGAGTTCCAGAACAGGCGCGGCTGCGACCAGACATCCTCAAAAGTGGAGCTAACAGCGCGGAGCAGTTGACCCGTTGATGTGCGACCGGGCGCAGTGAAAAAGCCCTTGCCAACAGTCTCGTTGGCTTGCTTGGGGGAGCCATTATCGAGGGTGCTGGGCGAGTAGGCATTCCGATTGAGCGGGATGTACATCTGACCGGCGCCATCGCGGTTGTTGTTGTGAATGGGCACGCGAGGACGGTTAATGGGAATTTGCTCGAAATTGGGACCACCGTGACGATTCAGCTGAGTGTCCAGGTAAGAGTAGATGCGACCTTGGAGGAGAGGATCATCGGTGAAATCGACACCGCGAACGATATGGCCAGGTTGGAACTAAAGCGGGGTCAGCAATCGTCAATCTCAATGTTTCAGCTGCATCCGAGGACATACCATGACTTGCTCAGTCTCCGCAAAGTAGTTCATCGGATTACGGTTCAGCGTCATCTTGCCGAGCTTGACGACAGGCACAAGCTCCTCGGGGACAATCTTGGTCGGATCCAGAAGATCAAAGCCGAATCGAAGCTGATCATCTTCTTCCATGATTTGAACACCAAGCTACAAACCGTCAGTTTGAAGAAGCTAATCCAATCGGAGCAGAGCATACCTACCTCCCACTCCGGAAAGCGGCCGGCCTCGATTGAATCGAACAGATCCTGTCGCATATAGTCGGCATTCTTGCCGGACACCTGTTGCGCCTCCTCCCAAACTAGACTGGCCTTACCCTGAAGACCCTTCCAGTGGAACTTGACCAGCTTGCTGTCACCCTTCTCGGTAACGAGTCGGTATGTGTGCACACCGAATCCATCAACGTGGCGGAAAGATCGAGGAATACCGTGACCGGCCATGGCCCACAGCAAGGTGTGCAAGGTGCTGGGTTGCTGGCTGAAGAAGTCCCAAGCAGAGTCATGGGCGGTTGCAGCCTGGGGAATCTCGTTGTCGCCACGAGGCTTGACTGCATGGATCAAGTCGGGGAACTTGATGGCGTCTTGGATGAAGAAAACGGGAATGTTGTTACCAACAATATCTGCAACTGATCAGTACTTGGCAGAGATGCGGGCGACGTGGATCAAGTATTTCCCTACCAAAATTGCCCTCATCGGTATAGAAACGTGTCGCAAAGCCGTGCACGTCGCGAGCAGTGTCGGCACTTCCTCGACTACCGGCGACAGTAGAGAAACGAACAAACATCGGCGTCTCCTTGCCCTCCGAAGACAGGAACGAAGCCGCAGTAATGTTTGACCAATCGCCGTAGGAAGTGAAAACTCCATGTGCGCCGGCACCACGAGCATGAACTGCACGTTCCGGGACCTATGCGAGATGCGTTCAGCTTTGAGTAATCATAAAAATGAGAATTGAGCAGCCGCACATACTCGTTCATGATCAAATCGTTGGATCTTCTGGCGGAAAATAAAGTCCTCAAGCAGCGTGGGCCCACGTTCACCAGCCTTCAAGCTGTTCTGGTCCTCAATTGGGCCGCCGACGTCCGAGGTCAGAAAAACAGTGTTGTCGTCCTTCAAGTAGAACTCGGACAGGAAATTTTCTGTTCCAGAGACGGCGTCCTTGTCGCCCCGACGATCCAGTCCACCCGCTTCTCCCGTCATGTAGGGACAAGCCGCATTGGCAACGCCAATGAGACCTGTGACAAATCCGACAGTCCGCATTGTGGGGATTCTGGCACAAGCTAGAAGGTTACCAGAAAAATAATGGATAGACGAAAAGAACCTGATGACTGTGGATGAAGGCAGGGCGGAACTTGTTTATATGTTGTGATGGCTCATCTGGGAGCTTTCTCAGGAAATGACGATTCACTCTACAGGCGTCTTCCGAAGGAAACAACGTCTTTTGGAAAGAGCCAATTGATCCACCCTATTCACCCAAAGGCTGATGATGCAGGATATCGATACCCTTGCTCAAGGCAGTCGCGCTGGTAGATCTGCATGCGCTTGCCGATTGTGTAGACATCCGAAGCGGAGACAGGATCATTTGGGTTTAGTCCCTCAAACATTCAGTTTAGCGGTGCAACATTCCAGGTGGGCCAATTGTAAGATGGCGGAAATAAGCTAGTGGCTGTCGGAGAAGCTGATGCTGATTAGATCCTTCGAATACGTCGCGGAGCACTCATCTGATTACAAGTCTCGAAAGATCTGGGCCATACGACGTGCTCATCACAAAAATCCTCGGCGCTCTGATAGAAGGCTCCAACCTGTCGGTGGGGAATCAAGCTGCATATCAGGTGACGCGGTGTCTATCTTGTGATTTAGACGATCAAACATGTCTCCGAACGATCGAAGGACCAATTTTAGGTTCGATTGGCTATCCGGCCGAGGATGCCAATGACCGGGCATCTCCCGTTGTCTGAAGCCCGTCAGCTCAGTCAGACTCTGGGCTGGACGCCAAAGAATCAGCGCCGTTCCAAATCGAGGATAGGTCACCAGAAAGACGAACAAGGAACAGGATGGCTACATCCTTTGACACCATCAACGGGCACAGCATGCCCATCCCCACTGCACTTATCCAAGGCACATGGCGATTTTCAAGCAAAACGTTCGAGGCCTGGTGCTTGGTAATAGCGTACGCCGCACAGTAGTACGCTCTGGACGGCTGCACTCCTCCATCCCCACTTTTTCTCTCTCAATCCAAGCTCCGGGACTGGTCGAGCCTTGATGATAATCGTTCTTGGCCGCAGGGGTTCTGGTTGTGGAACTGTAACGCCTAGAGCTCTGCTCCAATTTACTCAAGCTCGTGAGTGCTTTTTCTCAGTCCTCTTGTTGGGGGCGTGGAGTCTGCCAAGAGAGGTTTCGTCGCAACCCCAAAAGTGGGCGATCTGCATGGGCCATGGATGACGTTCTTCGTGGAGCGGACACAGATCGAATCGAGTGGGGCCGTCAAGATCGGTGTTGCAAACTTCACCCAGGGCTGCAAGGCACGGGAGTCCACGATTGTTGGGAAGATGTTCAGGTATGCGAGTCTCCTCCGGGTTTTCTCTTCATTGGATGTGCGTCAGAATCTACAGATAGTGAGTGTGCTGCGACGTGCAGACTGTTGAGACCCAGGTCGACTCGACGGACTACCGGCATTGACCGGACGAGCTTGCAGGCTGCGCAAGGAGAATCAGTTTGTCCAGGCCGTTCATGCAGTAGTCGTGCCGAAAATAAATCCTCCCTGGTCGCCAAGCCAAGCAGTGGCAGGGGGCTGGAGCGGGGGCACAGAAGGGATCAGTTACAGGTACTTTTCTCACAGGAGTGGCCCCTAACGATGGTCAAAACGACGATCATGGTAGGATCTGTGGCGATGGACTTGGAATGGTACCATAAGGGGAGATTCAAAAGTCGAATTGTTTCTCTTGCTGATGACTGGCCGGATACCGCGTGCGCTACAGATCACCTGACATTCGACTAGTACTCCCCAGCAGAGCCAGACAGACTCGGGTTAGCATTTGAACACTTGATTGATTTTTGATCCTCACTGGTAAACTCTTGCTGTCTGGCGAAACAAGCTAGACTATACTAAGGAAAGTCGTTCAAGTAGATGCTAGTACAGGTCAACAACTCAACATAGCATACGCAGAAAGCGAACCTGAGGCTATACCGAAGCAAGCATTGCTCTGAAAGTCCGACATCCGAAGTGCTAACCGTGGCAGACAATCTTCCCCAGTTCAGTCGGAACTGGAGACCAACTTGAACTCAGGGGACGATCTTTCACCCGCCAAGCAACGGACGGGGCGGGGATTAACGGGCTGGGTTAGACGAAAAGAGTCAGCCATTCGTCTAACCGAATTTGATTGCGATTATGATTATAATGGTAGGTATGGGACTGACAAGACTCCATGGACTCTATAGTTTATACTCTTCAAACTTGCTGTTTCGGGTACGAGGAAGATCCATCCTCTCTCCACCGTAACGGTGGCTCAGCCGAAGATTCTCAAAAGCAAAGAAAATTTCTCGGCATTTTTTGGTCTCTCCTGAATAAGAAAATGATCCGCGTGTCTTCTATTAGTGCTTGCAGGGCCTCAAACTAATGATCTTGAAAACGAATGGCCTGGCTGGGTGGGAGATCTGTCTGTAACGAGTCAAAGACACTCGATATTTTCGACACAAAAGCATTGCCAACGATACCGACCTTCACCTGCAATGCCCTCCATATTCACCCGTATCCAGTTATCAAGCAGATCAGTCGTCAATGTCCCGCCGATGGACGGACTGCTTCTCCCCAGACACAACTCTCACCTGCTTTGACGGAAACCTAACTCCGCGCCATGGAGACGATCAAATGTTCTTCAGACCTGGACTCGCTGCGATCGGCAAATCCAAAGTTCTGATACAATAGCACTCCCGCCTGACTAGCATCCATATAAGCGTTAATCCGACTGAGATCCGCCAAATCACATCTCCGTTTGACTAGCATGGAGCCTGCGCCTCGCTTGCGATAGCCAGGGCGAGTTCCGAGCGTGTTCAGATGTAAATAGAATTCTGATTCAGAGAGTCATTCTGCACGCTGAAGGATCCTGAGTGTTCTACTCGGCTCGCAAACATATCAATCAAAAGGAGAGGACTGCCCCAATTGTTCGCTCACAACTATGCTTTTGACACCCCATAACCCGCACTCATCCTGGTCCAATCTCCACACAACGCATCGCATTCATGTCTGGGTTCACTCTCGTGCCAAGGTGGAAATCGCGGTCCCCGCTCTTCAGGCATTGATAGATTCCATTTCGCGGAGGGGATCAGTCGCGGTCGGCCTGGCGAGTCGAGCGCTTGTGTGTCGACAACTTTGAGATATATCTGTAGTGGTTTGTGAGCCATGTCGTGACCATTGGCTTTGTTTCACCATTGATGCATGACTTCGGGTGTTGGGAAAGGAGGGTTTCATGTCTGTAAAGACGGCGAACTAGAGCTCGGTGATGGCGGGGATGTCTTCCAAAGTGGCGTCCTCGAGCTTGAGAGTTTCTGTTCTGGTCATTGTCGGGTCAATCTTTGGGTGTCTTCTCCTGTGGTTGAAGATGATCTTGGAAAGAGAGCTTGAGGTCGCAGAAGAGAAGGAAAAAAAAGTGTCATGTACTCTCACTTCGGGCGGAGATGGTTCATTTCGATATCGATCGATTCTTTCCGGTATTTAAATATTCCATGAGCATCGATACGTGACATATATGAATCCAATCATCTTGCGGACTTTCGACAGCCCCTTGCATACTTGCATCTAAGAGCGGCTGTACAAGTCTCTCAAACACACCGGCAATGCCATATCTCAAGTCACAACAACACCACGGCACACTAGCAACACCTCTCTACTTATGCCGAGGCATAAAAGTCCCGCCTGACCTGTACAACAAAGTCCACAACCGTCTCCCGAAATCGATGGTACCTGAAATGCAGCTCTCTCGCCACAGTTTCCCCATCAACTCCATACGATGCCTGCGGCTTCTTCCCAGCCTCATAATCTCTCGTCACCGAGTCCACAGCCCACTCAAACTGATCCTTGATGATATCCGCCGCGGATTCATAAGAAAAAGGCTCCGGCGACACAGGAATGTATCGTTTCCCACCCGCACCGGGGCTCATAAGAGCTTGAACATGCGCTTCCGCCAGATCCCTCACATCAACCCATGCGGGGACTCGTGCTGTCGGCAGGGGATCAGCACCAGCTGCCACGCTCCATAGAACCGCGTTGGACTCATTCAGCTGATCGACGCTGGACACAGGGTGGACAGTGGGGCCAAAGACCATGGGTGGGCAGAGAGTGACGAGGTCGAATCGGGGTGCATTGGTCTTGATAAACTCCCACGCAGCAAGTTCTGCGAACTTTTTGGATCCGCGATATGCCACTACAGATGAGGAGCCTGGGTCAATGGCGGTCTCGTAGGACAAAGGATTCCAATGCTCAGCGGTATAGACAAAGTCCGGTGGAGGATTGCGGTCGACGTCCAGGACAGAGGCGAACGAGGAAGTCAAGACGATCCGTCGAACTTTGCTTCCTGATTGAGCTGAAGCGGACAAGATAGACTTTACGCCATTGATGGCGGGCAAAATCAGGTCCTTTTCGTTATCGGTGGTGTTGTAGAAGAACGGCTGTCCCAAATCCGTCAACCGGGCGCTTCTGAACCTGTTCAATCCGCTTGAGAATTGTTGCACCTACACTTGCGACATGAATTACAGCGTCGATGCCATCCATAACGGCATCAAACACGCCGATATGGCTGAAGTCTTGAACGGTTACAAACTCCAACAGGGACGCATATTGCGGTCTAACCGCCTTCATCTGCTCCCCTTTGCTGGCTGATCGTGTTGCGCCCCGGACTCGAAATCCTTTGGCGAGCAGGTTGTCGACGACATGGGCGCCGATGAACCCAGTAGACCCCGTGACCAGGACATGCCTGTGGATTGTGAATCAAATCAGCATGCAGCTCGCGACTTCTCAGGATGATGCTCTTACAGAGGCTGTTGAGCGGCCATCTTGAAGATAAAGCAGCGCGGGGAAGTTGTTGACAGTCAAAACCCCCGCGTGGGGTAAATCCTGGTATTGGGAGCTTAAGCATGGACCCTGGTACTATGGGCGGAGTCCCAATAACTAGGTAGTCACTAAGTACCTAGTAGACAGTGTCTACTAGGTACTAGACAGAAGGTTGTTCAAACCTCTTTTCATGAATCATCTGTCATTTCACATGAGTTATACTCCTCTTGATCGACTTCATTCAATGGGGTTTGTCACTTTCCTCTTCAAGACCTCTAAATAATAAGCATCAGGTACCTCTGTGCTCGTGCCTGGAGGAAGCTCTGAGCTTATGCTAAGATTTACCCCGCACGAGTCTCCCGGTAATAGGCGGTTGCTTATTCCTCCGATCAGCGATCTGACGTTGATAATCTGTCCGATCACCACCTTCCAGATCTCTACCATCTAGTCTCGCGATTTCTTCTCCTCACCACTTTACATTCCCCTCCTCCCAAAGATAATTCCACAGTCGAAACTCCTTCCCCATAAACAATGCCAACCGCCAGAGCAAAACTAGGTGATCTGGTCCTTGCCGAGGCCGACACATGGGAGACCGTCGAAGGCAACGTCTACGTATGTCTTCCTTATACACTCGACCAGTTTCATTAGAATGAGCGCTCCAAGCAGACCGAATCTAAATGACCTGACTCTGTTGACGAGATGAGTAGTTCCCGCGCTCCGCTATCAAAGACCCAAATGTCTTTGTGAGCTCCGAGACCAAGACGTATTGTCCGTGGAAGGGAGAAGCGGAGTATTACTCTGTGAAGAATGGTGGTATGTAAAGACGAAGGCCCTTGCGGAAAGAGAGGGAAACTTGAACGAATGTCTGGTGATTGACAAGATGCAGATAACGTTGTGAAAGATGCAGCGTGGTATTACGCCACTCCGAAGGAAAAGGCAATGAACATTAAAGATCATGTTGCTTTCTGTATGTTGATTGCATCTAATCAGAACTGTTCGCTGATGTCACATATTGGAAATACAGCTGATTTATTTGTGAACAGACAAGTCGAAAGTTCAAGTCACTGTGGACTAATCGCAACAATCGAGGCGGTGGAGTGAAAGGAGCGCCATACGCAAGGTCTTTAACGAGTCGAACGGGTGCACTTTGATATTCTTCATTTTCATGTCCGAAAATTCTCTATACATTCATATCAGCTACCTGCACAGTCCCGAAATACTGTAAAAACCCACGTAATCCTCCCCAAAATTCTAAAACAAAGCCCCAACCCCTAACCCTACAAGAGCAAGCCAACTCCCTCGCCCACTCACACTAGTCATTCTCGCAGCACCGTTCGACGGCTGCGTCGAGCCCTTCTGCCCATTCAACCCAAATGAGCTTGTCGGCGTCGTAACCAACTTCTCAGCGGTCTTGGTCGCAGCCGCATGCACATGGTTATTGTAAAAGTTCATCGTCTTCCATGTATCGGGAACCACGGTGTTTCCAACATCGTATGCATTCGCCGTGGCGCAACTCGAGGCGCTGGACGACTGAGCGGCGATGTACGCCGCACTATCCGGACAGTTGACGTAGCAGCTGGAAACAAAAATTGCAGTCATTTAGCCAGAGCCAAACTGAGGGGGCACATGAGTTGATAGGGTGAAGTTCATGAATTGAGTAGGTTGGGATGCGTACTTGGCCATGTTGGCGTATCCTGAACATTTACAGTCCCAGTTATCGGAGGAACACTTTTGGAGATACCGTTGCATCATTGAGACGCAGGTATCGACGATTCTGGTGATGAGGGAATAAGATCAGTATGTTGACTCTATCCAGATATTATAGACAACACCCGTGGACCATTGTGGAATCGACGTACTCTTGTGACTCGCACTGCACATTATCACTGCTCAAATCGACCGACGCGAGATCCTGCGCAAATGCCAGCGGGATTGCACCGGCGAAGAATATCGTAGTCGCAAATGTAAGAAAATGCATTTGAACGGTTGCTAGAACGATGAAGGGAACCCTTAATGCAAACAGAAAGTGATCCTGGCTTTGGAAGACTGTGTTGCACTACGGATAATGTATAAAAGCAAAGAGACGAACGAGAAAAGCCTTCCACAAGAAACGTGACGGGGTCCAGGATCAAGATATACAGCGTAAAAAGTGACTGAGGGGCTTCGGAGGGGGTTACACTCCCGTCATAACGAGACGAATGGAACGATTGAGGCTAGATCTGTCATGGTTCTTTGGATCGGCAATTATCATGGTTGTTCTGTACCTGAACGCTACATTGCCCTCGTTAAGTGGAGAGTGACTATATCTCACACTGTGGATACCTTATCGTTAAGAGGGCGGGTTCGAGATCTGACGACAGAGTCAGCTCGCGGTAGGTTATGATGTATGCATAGTCTACTGTACCAATTTGAGTCCAATCTGGAATGGCTCACGATGATAGCCCATCAAAGGAGCCCGAGCAAGTCAAATTTCACAGTACAGTTCGGCGATCGAGTTCAAGGTCTGATAGACTTCAACCGAATAGACCAAGGACATCAATCTTCAGACCCTTCACCATCTAGAGTGGTCTTAAAAGTCCCTGACGTCTTGACTTCCTAAAAGGGGTTGGGTTACATTCCTCGGATCTAAAGCCGCCATCTCCCCGTCTCCGCCCCGGTCCGGCACGCCAATTAGACCTTCGGGATTGCCGCATCGGGGAAGACCAGAGGGTGCTTTCCTCAAAGGTGTCCACTCGATAGATGTCAAAGCGTAATAAGGTAGTATGGAGCTCGAGGGATCAGCAGTGTCCTGTCGACGGTGTGCCATGGAAAGCGTGAGATGTGATACTTGACAATGACATGGTTGATGGACACGAGGACCTGAGTGATCAGCGTGAGGAGAGATTCACCAGACTGGGGCGAAGAGAAGGTCGTGGCAAAGGACACTACAACTCTGTGCTGAGACAATACTAGTGGGACTCGAGTGTCTTCATGGACATGGAACGTTTCACAGACCGCGGCATTGCATCGTAGAAATGAGATTGTTCTCGGCTCAGGAACAAGGGTCGTCTGCAAGGAGGAGCTACGACGAGCTATCTGGCAGCCATCACGTGGATCTGCGGCTTTCTTTTGCCAGACGTCGACTGTTTCCTGGTCTCGGCAGTCTGGAGCCGGACGGTGTAAAGGCATGCTGGTCAAAGACTACAGGATGGGCATATAATCATCAGATTCAACAAACAACCGTCGACGTGATTTGTCGGTCTATTACACTTCAGTGTAGTACATAGAGACTAATGCACAGAAAGACACTCAATCTTTCCATCAGCCTGTCCCAACTCCACATTCTACAACCTCTTCCTGTTCATCCCCCGTTAGCCCGATCATAGCCCTCATCATACATCTCCTCTCCCAACTCCTTCCCATGAATCACAAGCCTCTGCATCGGCAAGAAAACAAACAACATTCGACACCACTCCGTCTCACTCCGATTTCGAAACGAATGCGCCGTCCCCCTCTGCACACTCACATCCCCGCGCCTCAAATGTCTCGTCGCCCCTGAATCCAAAATCAGATCCACCTCCCCCTCAATCACAATCCCGTAATCCACACTCACTGTCCGATGCATCGGGCTGATCTTACCCGGCCGCAGATCAATCAGACGGAATATGGTTCCTGACGCGGTCGTGAGCCCGGGCGGTTGGTGGAGGAACTCGTCGTACATGGCGAGATCGGCTTCATTGTCGACGATAGCGGGGAGGGAGGTCGTCGCGTAGAGGAGGGCGATCTCGCCGTCTTCGCCGGCGGGCTGAGAGGGCATATAGTCGGGGATTTGGGCATGGGAGACAAAGACCGCCTCGCCTTCGGAATTGTGGGTGGTGATGTAGCGGTGGATGGACGGGAGGTCGTTCCTTTTGTGGGTGGACATGGCGAGATTGAAGATGAATTGATAGCATTGACGTGGTCACTTCTGAGGAGGGTATCGTCAATGATAAGCCTGAGTTTACAAGGAGATACGCTCCGTTGCAGGGTTTGTGTTTGCGTAAGACTCGAGCGTTGAGGCAAAGAGGATGGCAATGTACATCATTGTGGCATCATGATCGAACACCTGAATGCAATCTGTTGCCGCGAAGAAGACCCCCAAATTCAGTGCTGAGTTCTGTAAAGATCACTATACGTAATCTGACCTGAGGGCTGAGCGCTACTTTGGCTGCCTTGTTTCGTATTGCATAGAAGAACCCATGTATTACGTGTGATCGGGAGAGGCGTAATACGAAACGAGAGGAATGTGGTTTCGATGGATAGGTAGATCTGAAGAAACGCCCCGATTCCCAAGGTGCATTACACAAGAGGTCCAGGCAACTATTTGAATTTGCTTTCGTGGGGACGTGGGGAAACTTCTCGGTGCGTCTCTTACCCCGACAGTCTCAACGTGGAACAGTGCATAAGTGACAAAAGGTGATCAGCCCCTTGGAGCTACTTTGGCATTTACCATTGACAAGCTGAAGCAATCACAAGAAATCATGTCTCTGATCGCAAATCTTCACGTACGCGGCTTGGAGAATGAATCCGAATCAGAGACTCTCGCATCCAACGGCCCCAAGTTCCACATCGAGCGATCTGCGCCTCAGATAGTATACCGAAAGCCAGGTACACCAGCAATGATCAGTTCGCCACGGTCGGCTCTTCTGTTGCATCGTCGATACCAAAGGGCAAGGGCCGTGACTGTCAGGAAAAACACAATGTTCGCTCTGCGCCACACTTTAATTAGCCTAGCATCTTCGCCTCGGGGTGTTATTACGAGAAGACAAGTCGCCTTGGAGGTTCACTTACCCCAGCGCAGTATACACGCCTGGTCGGTAATGCGGCGCGTCCTTCTCAAACACCAGACTCGCGATGATGCCACCAATACCATCGAAAGCGATAAGAGTTGCGCTGGAAAAGGCACGAGTCCATTGACCTCGCACATTATTAGCTTGCCACGCCATACATGCGGGGACATTTGCGTTGGCTCCTGCCACCGTCAAAAAAACGCCAACGTAGCGTCCTGCATTGCTTTGGAGAAATCCCATCATTGGCAAGCCAATAAGAGAGAGACAGACATTGAAGTATAAGATGGGCACCCGTCGTTGAATCTTATCGCCAATCCAAGCTGTTGCGAACATCACCAAGGCGGCAAAGATCCATGGTGGTGCAGAGAGGCATTGAGATGCTCCTACGCCAAATTCCATCCCCTCGGAAAGGATGATGGGTAAGAAATATGCCATGGCGTACGTGTTGATTGTCAAGCAGCTGAGATAGCCATGTGGATGTTAGCGCATGCACACCTCATCTAACCGGTCAACGTCGATGGAAAAACCGACCAAAAGAGTATAGCAAATCCCCAGATTTTGATATCAAGAGCCGGCTTCAAGAATCGACCCAGTGTGAGCGCCTCTGGCTCCACGTCGTGTCGATCTCGATCAATACGGCTGATTACAAAGTTGCACTCTTCCACAGACAAGAATCTCCAACTTTGTGAAGCTTTGTCAGGGAAGTCGACGATGAGGATGTAACAGAGAACACCAAGTGCGACCGTAATCTGCAGGGATTAGCTTTTTGTCGCCACTTCTCACGACAATCTGCTGTTCGCTTCCCCCAGTCCACTTACAACCCCTTCCATGATGAAAATCCAGCGCCATCCTGCAATGCCTTGGACGCCGTCCATATGAATGAGCCCGAAGGCCAAAATACCCGCCAAGGCTGATGCGACGCAGCCAATGCCGTAGAATACAGAGAATCGTTTTTGAACCTCATCTAGGATGGAAGTGTCACGCTTTCAGTATATGATCATACGCCACTGTGAGGGCCCTTGGAACTTACAGCGAAGATACCAACAGGAGAGCAAATACATACAGCCCGGGAAATAACCGGCTGCAAAGACTCCCAGCAGTATACGAATAGCAAGCACTTGGCTCCATGACTTGGCAAAACCCATTCCCTATAGACAAAAGATTAGTCGCGGGAAAGCTGGTATGTGACTGCTTCTACACTGACCAACATGAGTATTCCCCATGATAGGATGATGCCTGATAGAAAATTTGGGGGACCAATCTTCCGGATCAAAACTGTGGATGGAGGCTGGAAAATCACGTATGTGACAAAGAACATGAGAACCATCAAGGACTTGCATCACTTGTCAGCGTTTCCTATACAATATATAAATAAAGGCCAAGATCACTTACATATCTATACCCGACAAAGTCCAAATCTTTCAACATTCTTCATGTGGGAATTGCAAAGAGTCAGTGAAGAGCTCAAATAAGCACAGCTCATGGTTCATACCCTGCAATCGCAGCCATACCAACATTACCCCGATCCATGAGGTTGACAGAATACCCTAGCGCTGCTCCAAGAACAAGTCGAAGATCAATTTTTCTCATGACTTGTTTCTCACGGTGTGAAAGATTGTAGTCGTCCGTGAGAGACTCCTTCTGAACTTCTGTTAGGTCAACATGTTGGGTCACCATGTCCGGCTATCAGGTCAGTGCGATTAACACTGCGAATCCTCGTTTTGGTTGAATTGAAAGGACGTAAGGTCAGAAGACATGCGTCCAGAAGGAGATATTGTCCAGGGACCTTAGATTCGTAGATGTGGTGGTTGAGCTCGCTTTATCATGTCAGCTCGAACCGTGGGAATTATAGGTGCAGCCAAGCTTCGCATTCAGCATATTTGACTTATTCAGCAGAGAAACACATTCCGTCGAATGAGAGCGTCTTTATGCCCTACCTCAGGTGAATCGGATCCGATCGACGCAGTGCACATCCGGTGGCCATGTCAAATTCATTGTAAACAAAGATCTGCTGGGTCTATGAGGCCCTGGCCACACCTTTATTGCGGGGTAAAACAAGCTTCCAATTCTGTAAAAGGCGATTGGTTTGCATGTGTAGCCGAGCTAGTATGCTGAAGAAGTCAAAGCTTTCATGTCATCTACTATTGGCTTCATCTAGACACTGTGCGCCTCGCGTCGGTTCGGATCCGAGCTGCAAGATCGGACAGACGTCTTGATTCTTCTGCATCAGCGTGATGTTGAGAGGAGTTGCATTGGTAAGAAAGAACTCAAGCGTGATATGAATGAAAAAGTGAGAGTGCTGGTGGGAAGGGAGCCCACCCATCCGGCCGGCTGCCAACTGACCGAATCAGGTGGTGATAAGTCCCAGATATCAACAACCAGGCAACCATTCGACAACACTTTGCTCATGGACAACGGAAGATCCTGAATCTTGAAGCAAGCCCGATCGATTTCGGATCCGCAGCTGATGTGACTGTACTTTTCTGGGGTTACTCCTCCAAGCTTTACCCCGCGCGCCACCATTCAAATCCGGGGTAAGCACAGGCTTCACACCAGCCCCAAGTGCAAAGGAGATGGCACGGCACGTGTCTGCATCACACATTGAAGTTCCCATTCAGATGAGCGGATCCAAGTCATTGGATTTTGGCAGGCCAGCAGTTTGCAGAGTTGCAGAATCTTCACGGGATCTCTCGAAGTTACCTCATTGAATGGAATACTACATGGCGAAGTGCATCGTGGCTGCGACCACGCATCAACTGCCGCATGAAGATCGATCTATATAAGGCATGCGGTTACTCCGTGATGAATTTATGAAACGATTCCCAGCTCTGTCTTGCACGCACAATCACCAGAGCTTTTATCAATATGCCATATCGAAGTGCTCTCGTTGGGCTTGCCAGCTTCGCCGGAGCCACCACTGCAGCGTCAACACTGGGCGCATACAATGTCGACCCCTCTTCAGTCTCGGTCTCTGGTCTATCGAGCGGTGGCTTCTTTTCAGCACAGCTTGGCGTAGCATACTCGAACGTCTTCCAGACCGGGTTTGGTGTCTTCGCAGGTGGTCCATTTGATTGTGCTCGTAATCAAGCGGTCAGTTGTGACATTCCTCTTGATCACAAAATACAGTTGCTAAGACTCAATCCTTCAACACCATAGTACACATCGTGCATGTACAATGGAAATCCATCAATCACCACTCCAATTGCTAATATGAAATCCTGGAGCGGTAATCAAATTGCCCCTACCAGCAATTTAAAGAATCGCAAGATCTATCTATGGACCGGATCAGCCGACACCACTGTTGGACCAAACGTGATGAACGCGCTGAATTCTCAGCTCAGTAACTTCGACACCTCGGCCGATGTCTCCTATGTGACAACCAGCGGCGCTGTTCATACATTTCCTACTGACTTCAGTGGCTCGGGCGACAATTCTTGCTCCATGTCTTCTTCGCCGTATATCAGCAATTGCAACTATGATGGAGCAGGAGCCGTCTTGCAATGGATGTATGGATTCCTGAATGCGAGAAACACAGGTACATTATCCGGTAGTATTGTCTCCTTTGCCCAGACCGGCGCTTATGGTGCGGCTGGCATGGATAGTACTGGGTATTTGTATGTTCCTGCCAGTTGCCAGGGCGGCAGTACTGTTTGCAAGCTTCATGTGGCTCTACATGGCTGCTTGCAAAGCTATAGCAATATTCAGATGGAGTTTGTCCAAAACACCGGGTATAATAAATGGGCTGGTATGTGTTCTCCTTCGTTTCTCCTTGATGCATCTTATGTCCAACATCCACTGACTCTCGGACCCCTTCTAGATACCAATAACATCATCATTCTCTATCCACAAGCCATCCCCGATAACACAATCCACTCCACTTGGGAGGGCTCTCTGAGCAACCCCAACGGCTGCTGGGACTGGGTCGGCTGGTACGGCAGCAACGCAGATCAGATCGGAGGTAAGTTACCTTGCGCGGAAACATCTGCCTCATGCATCATGGATCACTTATTCTAAAATTTCGAGAATAGGTGTGCAAATGGTTGCAATCGTCAATCAAGTCGCACAGATCATAAGTGGTAGCACTGGCGGGGGTAGCACCACGCTTACCACCTCCACTAAGCCCTCCACAACCACTACTTCTGCAGCTGGGTCCGGAACAGGTGCCCCATTGTATGGACAGTGCGGAGGCTTTGGGTGGACTGGTCCGACAACTTGTGCCCAAGGCGTCTGCACGGCTTACAGTGCATTTTACGCTCAATGTCTACTTCCCCTGTAGTGCAACAAGGAGTTCAGTCTATTGAATGATCAGTATGTAATTGTTGAGGGTTGTGGTTCACAGGGCACTTGATTGAGGTGGCCCGTCAATGGCATCATGAAGTCAAATTTCTCGATTCTTCTTCAATCTACCGGTACGCCTTCTTGTATCTTGAATTTTTACACACATGCGCGAATCATGCTTTTTCTTGAATTATACGACCTATTTCCACTGATTCATCGTTCATGGATGGTATTGGAAGCTCTCATTAAGTAATGCTAACTCATGTTCTCCCGTCCCTCTAGGGCTTCAGTTAAGTTTACAGCCTCAAATCAGGTTCTCTCGAATCATTTCGTATACTTAAACAACGTGCGACCATATTAGCTCCAGTCTGAGTCTTAGATCCAAATGGTCACTTGTAATCGGATTTGAACAAAAGACCAACCGGCATCCCTACTCTCGCTTCAAACTTACATCTTCATCTAGCGTAGCCGAGTCATAACTACGGACGCATACGTAGAACGTAGCACCCACCGCGGCCCTCTAAAATCTCGAGCCAAAGCTTCAACATTCTCCGAAACCTCGTCGAGAGCATTAACTTGCTCTTCAATTCGTAATGGTTCAATCACTAAGACACTGCCCTTTTTGCGGTAGGCCAAGTGATGCTGGATGCCGACTTCGTGGATGTTGGCATAACCTGGCCAGCCAAGCTCATTGTCCTGTTTCGTCAAGACTCGATCACTGAGTGACGTCGGCCAGGGCACGCGTTCGAAAGAGAGGCAGCTAAATGGGATCCAAGCCTGGGAAGTGTCTCTCGAGCACTGCGGGCCTGTCGCACAGATGCCGGGTCGGTTGTCAATGCCGGTGCGATATAAGACGATTATTACTGCTTGACATGGATCTGAAAAAGCTGTTGGATAGATACCTAGTGTGAAATGCAACGCTGGGAACAAGAGATTGTTCGGGCTCGAGAAAAAAAGAGATCGAGTCTGATCCTGCGAACTCATAAGTAGTTCTGTTCTTTCATCAATCAAGGAAGTGCCATACGCTCGGACCAAGTCGGAAGTTTCATTATATTTGATATATTCGAGTTCATTTAAATAAGATGTGACTCATGACAAAGAGACTGCGTCTCACGCGGCTTCAACAGATTTGCACGAAACGGGATTCTCCCGGGCCTGGTGGTCGTCAAGGTCTAAAGACCCTTTAAGGCTTCATCTTCTACCAGCCTCATTGCACACGATACTTTTCAAGATCATCCAAGAAGCTCTTTGTCCATTTCTCACTGCCAAGCATTAGTCAACCACATATTCCTGTATTAATATGATCTCCAAAAACATGGTAAAGGCAACGCACCTTGAGTGTGTGGTAACAAAGTCTCTTAGAGCATTATGTCTGTTTTTGCGATCTTCTTCATCCATTGTAATCGCTTGGTAGAGCGACTCTGAAAGACCTTCGGCACTTGATGGATTGCACAAAACGCTCCCGTGGCTTAAAAAGCTTGCTGCACCGGTGAACTTTGATAACACCAGAACACCGTGCCTCCTGTCTTGGCATGCGACATATTCCGAGGCCACCAGATTGAGTCCGTCTCGGCGGGATGTAAGAAAACACACGTCAGAAATCGCATAGAGAGCCGTCAGATCTTCAAACGAGACGGAGCGGTGAATATAGAGAAGGGGTGTGGAATGGGGCGTAGCTATAAATGTCCATGAGCTCTAAGCTCAAAAAGCATTCGACATGTCGCCGGGACAAACTCACCGTGTTTTCCAATGATCTGGCCCACAGACTTGCTCACCTCGCCTTCTAGATCTTGGTATTCTTTGACGTCTTCCCGACTGGGAATAGCGATTTGTACCAATATCACTTTATCGCGTAGCTCTGGATGTTCATCCAGGAAAATTCGATACCCTTCCATCTTCTCTGTCAACCCCTTGGTATAGTCCAGGCGGTCGACTCCAATGATCACTTTCTTGCCTTTGTAAAGTGACTCGAGCTCTTTGATTCTAGCCTGAACCTTTCTATCTTCGAGCGTTCTTGTAAATCTCCCAACGTCGATGCCTGCAATGTATCTCCCTGTCTTTATCATACGGTCCTTATAGCGGAGATGGTCATTGGTCACTTGAACGGATCCGCTACCATAGAAGTTGTATTAGGGATGGTACGTCGGAAGAGCCATCTGGGACTTCAGGCACTTACAGCAACACATCACAAGAAGCGACAAAGTTCTTCTTGTATTCGTCGGTGTGAAACCCAATGACGTCGCTGCCAAGCACTCCCTGAAGCAAGTCCTCCTCAAACGGCAGTCCTCGCCAGTAATCATCCGCTGGAAAGGGAGTATGGAGGAAGAACCCGATGGGACATCGTTTTCCCTGAGCCTTTAAGCGATCGCGCAGCATCTGCGGCAGGAGAAAAAGATGATAATCATGCACCCATATCAGATCGCCATCTCGCGCCTCATTGCTGACACTTTCTGCAAAGATCTCGTTCACGCGCCTGTAGGCTTCCCACACAGTCGGGGTCATTGATTTCCCAGCTTGATAGTGAAGAATTGGCCATAAGATTGCATCTGGTGAAGGAAAAGCCATCAGTAACAGGTCTAGTGAACCCACTAAAACAGAACGCCCATCGATCATTCACTCACTGGAAAAGCCATTGTAGTGATCTTTGGCAAGGTCTTCATCAAGGTATACAGCAGCTGCATGTTCTTTGGCTAATTGCTCGTCGACTCTGTCTCTGTGACTTGGATCAACGGCCAATCCAGGCCAACCTAGCCACAGGAACTTCGCGGTTTTCAGACCTCTCAGTGCGCTCACCAGGCCGCCGCTCGATGGGGTGACATCATATTTTCCATCGGTCTTTTTGACCGACAGGGGCAGGCGATTCGAAGCAATGACCAATCTGGGCTCGCCAGAGGAATTAACAGACCCCATCCCGGCTGAGATAAAACGCCGTATACTCTTCAGGTTGGTTTTTCAGTATTGGGGACAAGACCGAATGTTCAATCTTGTGGAAAAGTCTGTCCTTGATATACTCCGTATATTAGGCACAGGGTTGAAGTAGGCGTTTGATCGTCATGATGACAAGTAGCACGGCGGTATTGCATGACGAACCATTAGTGCCGTTTCAGCGCATCGGTTTTCGATCCTATCGGATCTCTTAATTCAAGCACAGTGACCGTCATTGTAAAGTCAATGGCGTTTCGCGGTGACAAAATTTCTACATCATTGGCGGGATTACTATGTCGTGGACTCGTGGTAATGCATGGTCCAAGGAAGACGATATCAACAGCCGCTAAAGCTGGAATGATCCGGACGACATGGTCGACATCTAAACATGACAGTCTCAGCAAGACGCGACAGATTCACATCTCATTCGACATTCGACAAAGCTTTTGCGTAAGTGAAGTCCACGTATTGTGGCACGAATTGTCGAGGGCGTTGAAGCGCGCTGATTGGTCACATGATCACTCTCCGACAGGCTCACCACCAAAGTACCTCGAGTGATATGGGAGCAGAGGTGATTTCAAAAGTCCCTTCTTGGGTCTTGGGGCATGCATGATAAGGCCGCAGCGTTAGTCATCTTGATTTGCGCTTTCAATTCGAAAGGGAACCGCTTCCATTGTTCCTGTAGCCGGCATTGACTTGGCTGTCTAACAAAGCTCTGCCTCCTGCGGTCTCGAGCAAGGTCGTAAGCTCGAACACTGCCACAAGGAGACAACACATTTTATAGCATGTGATACTGCCTGTCCCCGGCTGAGGTCGAGCCCACGACAATCTCACAATACATTCTCCCCCAACTTTCAAATTGCTCTTGATGGAGTTCCTCTTTTCAAAATAGACCAAAATCAGGATTGTCGACTTTTCACCGATTGTGCTGTTCATCAATCATCGAAGGAGTAAGGCAGCAATCACACTGTCTCGCCTGGTCCTTCGAAATGACCTGATCCAAGCATGGGGGCACAATCCAGAGCTCACATCTAGTCACACCAAGTCAAGACAACCCCAGAAGTGAGCCTTTTCCATAACTCGAAGCCGCAGGTCTTTGAAATTCTGCTTGCTTGGACCAACCATGCGCCCATCAAGCCGCAATTGAAAACGTGGACAGAGAACAAAGATGCAGCGAAGCTCTGCAGAGTCCACGCTACTCAGCCTACAGGCAAGAGAAATCAGGTTACTTTGAGACCCGTTTACTGAGAGCCTCAAGCCCAGTACCCTCGCGCGAGATCTGCTCGTGGCCTGGAAATTCACCGAGTGTGGAGTTTATTCCAATACAAAACATTAAGACGGGGTCTACTCTCCAAACAAAAGAACAAGATTATGTATGATATACCGACACATCACAAAGGCATCCTGCACAACATTACAAGACGTATACACATACACAACACATGCAACGATCAACGATCAACGAGCACTCCGAATCGCGAACAAGGTCGAACACACGTGTCAAGTTAATGCCTGTCAAACTTGGTTCGAAGCAAGAATTCGTCATATTTCTTGGAGAAGAGACCCCTTCATATTCGAACAGAAAGCCCGTCATCCTTTTGAGTCCCTCGGGAGACGAAAATCCACCTCGTCGTTCATTTTCCAGAATTCGAAAATGGCACCACGCGTGATAGTCTTCGACATTGCAGCATCATAGAGGACAATACCGCGCGTGTTACATCACATAGCTTGAGGGGAAATGTCGTCATGGGGCTCGCATCGTTGTTTCGCCACGGAGTGCCACAATCTGTCGGATCCGGGGCTTCGATCGTATGCGGTGTCCTGCCGGTCATCATTGATCTTGCAGATAAACTCCACAAAGGATGTTAGTCAGAACATGAGTCAACACGCGACAGATCACGAAAAGGGCGGAGGAGAACATTCCTATTGTTTGGGTATGAACCCACCACCATCCTCCCCTATGTGCCTCCAGGGCACCCCTTGCAACTGGGTTGTTCGTCGGGTCTCGACCTATAGACTGTAAGCGCAGCCAGTTATGGCATATCGATACGATGAGATTGGGAAGGGGCATTGGTATAGTTTTGTTTTTGGGATTTTGAAGGTTGAGTGACGGAACGCAGGAGACAAAAAGCAACAGACGGCGACGACCGGTCCCACAGGTGATGAAACACAAAACATGCAAAAGAACAAGACAAGGACAAGAGGGAGAAGTCGGGGAGGCAAGCAAACTATCCTCAACTCACCCAAGCCACCACAGAATCCCCATGAAGGCTGCACAACATGCGGTACCAACGATCAGTTCCTTCACTGAAGGAGGCTTCACGAAGGACTCCACGTGCCGCTGGTGAGGCTCATGCATCACATCCTCCACTTCCAGTGAGGGGGAGGGAAGTTCTGGATGGGTAGGACGAGTGGTAGGGAAGTATGCCCAGCGGGGAGGAGGGAACACTCTGACGTGTACGTCGGGCCGTGCAATTTCCTGAACAGCCACGTCTCCAAAGGAAACATGACGATCATGACGCTCCACTGGACCACCGACACGCTTCAGAATGGACCGGGGCGGGGGACGGGCAGGACGCAGGGCAGGGCGCAGCACGGGGGTGACAGGCTGGGCAGAGGACTCGGTCATCAAGCCCAGTTGGCTCGCGCGTGGAGATTCATCTGCACGCAATTGAGGAGCAGCCAGCAGGGTCTGTCTGGCCCCAGAAGCGAGCACGTTCTCCAGCGAGCCGCCAACTTGGGACCGTCTCCAGGGAGCGAGGCGCCAAGGGACAGCGAGGGGTTTCAAGCCTGGGAAGTAAAAAGGCTTCTTCTCTACCTTGGAAATGGCTTTTTTGGCCTTCTCCATCTCGAGAGTTGGCAAATTCACATTCCCGGCGAGAAGAAGACGGGCAGAGCGAGGCGAGCAGATGGCCGGAGCCGCCATTGCAACACCGGGGAACAGACAGAAACGCGGAAAGTTGGAGAAGGGTTAGAAGTCCTCAAAGAGGACACGCAGAACGTCAAGGAAGAGTGCAAATCGCTATGGGCAGTGGGAAATGCTCAAAGCTCGCAGCAGACTACCAAGCGGCGCGAGGAGAGAAGGGAAGAGAGAGAAGAGAGAGAGAGAGAACATCATGAAGCGGGTCATACAGAGCAGAACGGAAGGACCAACACGCTTTCCATGGCAACAGGAAGGATCACGAAGAAGGGACGACTCGAAGAAATGCAGTTCCGAAACAGACACCACAACAGCATGGATGGAAGGTGCGAACCAGATTCCCGGCCATCATGAACCCCGTCCGAAATTGGGTCCAACGGACAGCAATGGCCTCGCGCATACCACAAGGTGACCATGATGGCATTTCAGGTTCAGAGGACCTTCAGAGATGATAGATTGACCTTTAGAGTTCATCGGAATTGTACGATTCTCTTCCAATTCACCTCACTCTGACAATTCTCTCTTATCTCGCACGTTCAAATGTCACTTTTTCTGTGAGATTTGAGTGCTTTGGCCAGAGAAAGTGAGGCGACATTCCCATATGCACGGGGTTGGTGCGAGCCTCAATCGCTACTGGGGGTCACTGATCATGCATCTGGGACTCATCTACATGATTGCATCCAGGCTGACCTCGAGACCGCTTTTTCTCGCAAGCCAAGCGACAAGTGTAATAGAATGTTGGAGAAGTATCAGGTGCTCTAAATTTTATCTCGAACTCGGCGAGTAGAACACGAGATAGTTTCTGAATTTTCAAACGCAATGCATCACATGTAAAACTCCAATTGAAAATATTACACATCGACATTTTCAACCTCACTTGCACCTTGCCGTAAGAGGAGGTCCACAATAACCGATCTGCCCTTCTTTCTAGCCTGCTGCAAAGGCGTCAACCAATAAGGGGTACGAACATTGACATCAGCGCCATGCTCAATAAGAAAAAGGACAAAATCATAATCCATCCGGCCCGTCATGGCCATGAGTAAAGGCGTCTCGGAGAATCTAGTTGAGATATTGACATTCGCCCCTCGCGATACCAGAAGCCTCGCCAGTTCCCTCTCCCATGAGAAGTCCACAAAACTATTCAATGTCCCGTTCGCTCTTGCATCCGAGACGGAGAACAACATCGGCATGTCTTCAAAACTATACTTGAGCCAATGTCTAGGCCGGAGAACGTCAAGCGTCTCCGGCAAGATCCCAGCAACGCGACATGCGAGTAGCATGAGGGGTGTGAGACCATACTTGCTCTGTGCATTGACATCAGCTTCATGATCGATGAGAGTTTTGGCAACTTCATCTCCCCTTTTTATTATCGAGACGAGCAGCGGTGTCTGGTGTAGGGCATCACGCGCATTCACGTCAGCTCCCCGTTCAAGTAGTAGTTGGGCCATTGTGGCGTCTCTAACTTTGAATAAAACCGTTTGACCATCTCGATCTGTGATGGTCACATCAGCTCCCTTTTCAAGTAAGAATTGGGCAAGAGTACAGTCGTAGTTGGTGACCACGTGCGACAGGATTGTATTTCCTTGTACATCGCATGTATTGATGTCCGCACCCCCTCGAATGAGCATTCGAAGTATGTCGTCATTGAAAGGTTTTGACAGTGGAGCATTCGAAATATGGGCCTGTGGAATGGAACCTCGAGTGCTGAGAGCTTCTGTCAAGGCCGTTCGACCCATCAGATTGACTCGATTGACATCGGCTCCCTTCACTAGCAAGATGCTAAGGAGAGCTTGATTCCCCTCGCAGACGGATCTGAAAACGGCAGTATTCCCAAATCTGTCGCACGCATTGACATCAGCGCCATGGTCAATCAGCAGCGAGGCTATGCGAGCGTCGGTGGTTTCTAATAGAGCTGTCCGACCATCCATATTCTCGGCGTTGACGTCCGCACCTAACTTGATCAAGCGGGTTGCAAGAATCCAGTTGTTGTTCTGAGAGGCTCGAGTCAGGATGGGATTTCCAGAGAGATCGCGCACATGAATATCTGCTCCATGCCCCAAAAGAAGCAGAATAATATTTGTATCCTTGGTTGTGGTGATCGCCGCCTGCCCAGTCCTGTCGGGCTTGGTCACATCTATGCCGCTCTCGAGAAGAGTAAGGACCAACGACAGATATCCTCGCTCACATGCTCTTGTCAAAGGAGAAAAGCCACTTTGGTCAAACACATCAACATTTGCACCCATCCGTAGGAGGAACCGAACAACTTGCGTGTGGCCATGCGCGCATGCTTCTATTAAGGGTGAGGAGCCACTGCCGTCGAACGCATTGACGTCCGCGCCGTTGTCAAGCAGCAGATGAACTACCGGTAAATGGCCATACTCGCATGCTTTTGTGAGAGGCGAATGGCCCCTGTAGTTGATCGCATCCAAATTCGCGCCGAACTCAAGGAGTAGCTTTACCGTAGATTGATGGCCCCGCTCGCATGCGAGTATTAATGGTGAATAGCCATCCTCGTCAGTACCGTTTGCCTTCGCACCATACCTCAGGAAAAGCTGAGCGATTGACGTTTGTCCCTTCTTGCATGCTTTCAACAATGGCGAGAAACCGCTGCGATCATGGGCGTTTACGTCCGCACCTCGTTCAAGAAGTAAGTTGGCTATTGCATTATTGCCTCGTTCGCATGCTTGTGTCAGTGGTGAAAAGTACGTGCCATCGGTCGAATTTATGTCTGCGCCGTAGTCGAGAAGTAGGTTGACAATCGGTTGATGGCCCCGTTCGCATGCAATGACCAAAGGTGAGCGGCTATTCGGGTCAAGAATGTTCGCTGTTGCGCCAGTTTCAAGTAGTGTTTGGACTACAGACATATGACCTCGCTGGCACGCTTTAGCTAGAGGTGAAACTTTTCCGTAGTAAAGAGCATCCGTATCCGCGCCATTCTTAAGTAGGAGCCAGATCATTGATATATGGCCCTGCTCACATGATACTATCAAAGGCCAAAGACCATGATTGTCAACTGAATTCACCTCCGCGCCAGCTTCCAGTAGCAGCTGGACAATGGACAAGTGCCCTCTCTGGGCTGATTTTGTCAACGGTGAGAAGCCACTACGGTCACAGGCATTCACGTCGGCGCCATTGCGTATGAGAAATCGTGCCACCTCTGGTTTGCCCTGTTCCGCTGCAGCCAACAACGACGAGTATAGACTTCGCGAACTGCTATGGTTTATTGTCGCACCTCTTTTTATCAATAGGGTCACTGTGTGGAGGTGGCCGTTTTTGGACGCACAGTACAGAGGTGTCTCGAACGATGAATTTTGTAGCTCAACGCTGACCCCGTGATCTAGTAACAATGATACCACATCGTCGAAGCCACCGGTGCAGGCCAGGAAGAGGGGATTTTCGTCTGGGCCGTAATTCATATTCGCTCCACATTCAAGAAGCAGCTTTGCAACGTCATGGTTTCGTTTTCGCAAAGCAATATCTAATGCGGGCGAAGTCCGTCGTCGAGAGTCGTTAGGGTCAACGCCTTGCAATAGAAGTAATCGAGCCAATTGGAAATGACACCATTTCATAGCCCAAATCAAGGGCGTCAAGCCTCTTGAGGTCTCGCTAATTCGTCTCGGGTTAACGCCGTCGGTGATGTCGGTTCCATGGTAAATGTGTGAGGAAATTCCAAGAAGAGATGCCACGGTTTCCTTGTTTCCATTGGCTAACGCAGCGAAGAGTGAGTATTTGAAGCTCTCTGTTGGGAACATCTGGTGAATGGTTGGGTGCTTTGAAAGCCAGACGCGAGTGAGGTTCGGACACCCTAGATCCGCGAGGACGTATTCAAGGGATCCTGAATGGTACTTCCTCAGACTCGGCTCTTCTAAGAAGTTGTTCAACTTGACCCAGTGATCAATGTTGAAACCTTGAAGAAATCCATCCTGAGAGTGAGAAGTGGCTGCTGAATCGGAATGGCGTAAGATGTATGAGCAGGCATATACAGAAAATGGATACCGCTGTAGCAATTTTTTACGTTCACTCCGTGGAGAATTCGCGCAGTTGTTTGGCATCCGTGCGAACACGAGTGACAAGTATTTCTGACAAGAGTCACGCAACACTTGGTGGCTTGAGATTTCTGGATTTGGTCCGATTTCAGGCCACAGTTGATTCAATCCTTGGTCCTTCATGAGAAAATCTCGAACCGATTCATGGATAAATTGCACGATGGGCTTGCTGCCCTTTGTGATTTCGGCGAGGCCTTTTGTCGAGGCAATGACGAATCTATTCATAGACTCAATGGAGTGCGTGTCGCTAGTGAAGTCTTGGTCCTCGTCTGAGAGCTCTTCGGGTGAAAGGCCACTCCAAACGGCATGACGAAATTCCTGCAGCTGTAATGGTCGCTTCGCAAACAAAATCCACAGTAAACCAAGACGTAAATCTTCAACGTCGTCTCCGTCTCGTCGCAGAATATCGCGAAAGAGCTCACTTATATCGCTCGGCAGCTTTTTGAGTTTTTGATGGAGAACTATGCCACCGCGTCGATAGTCTCTGTTGAGCATTTCAACCACGAGAACAACCCACATGAAAACACCGGCTGCTTTCTTGATGAGCAAAGACCCTACTTTCTCGAGGATGTGACTCTCATCAATCTTCAGACGGTTTGTGATATAGAGGTTTAGGTCTTGAAAATGACCTTGTTCATCTTCCAGGGTGAGGCGAATAGCTCGTTTGACCGCAATGTGCGGGTAGTGACGGCTCGAAAAGCAGATCTTGAACGGGACGCCCTGGGAAGACGAGCGCTCAGCCACATCTTCAAAATACTGAACCATGTCCACCGCTTGTTGCTCGTCGCATTCGTCAAGTGCGTCAACGAAGCACGTGAATCCCTTTGATCCAAGAGTCAGAATCGCCTTTGACAATAGGTCTTTCAGCGTATTCAGACAAGGACAAGTTTTTTGACCTCGGGGTATAATGTCTGGGTCATCGAGAACAACTTGAAGATACGGGTACCGCTCAAGCAGTTGGAGAAGAAGGGATCGAAACATGCCCTGCACAGTTTTCTCTAACGTGTCACCTCGAGCGTTGAAGAAGAATGAGGCAATTAGGGAATTTTCACGGCTGGTGGCCTTTTTCAGCTCCAAGTAGGTGAACTTCATGATTGTTGATTTTCCAGCTCCTGGCTTCCCACTTAGCCAAAGCAATCCATGATGATGAGCTATCATTTGCGGATCGAGCCATTCGTGGAATTTGGGGTGGTCGAAGAACCATGCGCATGTGCTTGCATGGGCGTTCTCAATTGTCACTCGTCGTGCGTCCATTTGTGAAAACTGCAGGGACTCGAGCAGACCTTGTCGCCTTTCCTTATGTTTAATGTCATCTGCCTAGAAATTAGCCTTTGACTTGCTAACCATGATTCAATCACGTACTGATTTCTATTCCCGAGCTCAAGCTCATGCGAGGACGAGAAACAGGTAACTGCCCTATCAGTGCTCTAGCGTACGCAGCCGCAGCGGACGCGGCAAACCTCTGCCATTCCTTGTTCTTGTGGGAATCGGCGTAATCACATATTCCACGAACAATGAGACATGGTAAGGAGTCCACAATACCAGCAGCCTCCATTTCAAAGCAGACGATGTCATGCGCTTTTGCAATGGCATCTCTGATCATGCCATTTTTGATCACTTGATTACCAGAGGCGATTCCACCATAATGGATTCTAATATCACTTGAACTCCGTTCCCAGCGAGGGACCAGATTCGACCAGTCACACTCATTGCAGTTGATGTGCGAGCCCCCATGCTCGTAGTCAGCGCGAAAAAGGCGATCTGGAGCCGTTGGTCGAGCAAATGCAGGTTTTCCCGCGAACTTATTCTGCAGGATCTGAGGAATTCGAGAAGGCAACAGCTCATGTTCCGCACGAAGGGCAGATACCGCTGTAAGAAGTCGCAGTGGCGGTAATCGGGGCACTGCCGTGGTAATCATACGGCCGTCGCCGATAAACTTTCCAAAGTCATGCTGCATCACTCTGGTTCCGACGACCACGTCCCCCAAGCGTATATCCCCCATGTTCGGAACACCTCCACCGATTCCGATCATAAGCCCAGTATGCGCGAAGGGAAATGATCGCTTTAAATTCGTCACAACGAGCGCAGCATTGACAGTACCGTATCCCTGTGCCGGTAGACAAGCGATCACCACGTTATGCTGGCCAATGTGGCCAAGCTGATAGGTATTGCTGTCATCAGGATCGATGTGGAGGGGACCGTGAAGCTCATCGAGTACAGCCATAGCAGCTGCCATCTCAATGTGGAGCGCACAAATCCAGGCGATCGTGTACGCCTCATGATGTAGTTTCAAGGAAGGACTGCTATGGGAGAATCCGTGGCGTGTAGCTGATGGCGTTGAGTACCGTTTTGTCTCATCCTCGCTTTCCCGCGCATCGCTAAGCGCATGAGGCAGGCTATGGTGCATTTTGAGCCGCACATCAGTTCTCCTATCTGTTTCACAGCGTATTTGAGAGCCTGAACGCCCTGCGAGAGTCCATCATGGCACGATTCGAAGGGATCATTAACTGGTCGCTGGATCACTGCAGTCAGCGCTTCAAGGAGCGAGACTTGCAAAATTTGAGTGAAGTGAGTCTTCTCCCATGTGGGTGGGCGACCATCCACCAAGTGATCACCCCTCAGCACGATCCTCGTGTTTCTGACTAGTCCGAGGCGGCTCGGGGCCCCGTGTGGCGTCAAAGAAGACGCACGTATCCTCCATTGCTTGTCACGAATAGAGCAACATGCCACGCATCATGTCGATCGGCGATTAAGAGCCTCGATCGATATTCTATTCAAGAGTTCGGGGCTCAAGGTGTGTGCGGATGCTGTTCGATCAGCTGCGTCATTCACAAATGCTGTAGTGACGCACCGATCGTTCCTGGATAGTGACACCCGTTTTCATTGCCAACTAAGTTGGCCGACCTTCCACAGAGCGTGAGTGTATCACGTGATTATGTTCCCCTTGGTGTCTACGCAATAAGCAGGGGCGAGTAGACTACTTAATGTCTACTGAGACCAAGCGAGATGGAGTTGAAATGATCTGGCTTGTAGAAAGTGCGCTAGGAATTCCAGATCAATCAATTGGGACCCAATACATCTCGCTCGACTCTGCCTATCGGGCCGCAGTGGCTTCTTTGCAATCAAATAACGCCTTGCATGCCTTTTCCACTACTTCACATGCCAGCAGAAGCTTCGCGGCAAAGGTGACTATCGACGCACGTGTCAGTTTCACCCGGAAGCCGTGGGCTTCATTAGTCGGTGATTGTACGTCTTGGTCATGAACTTCTGCTCATTGGACGGGTTTTCAGGGTCGCCGGTCGTTGCTGCGGCACATCGAAAGTGACATTCCACATGGAGGGCCTTTGCGTGCATTCCATCGATAGCCCGGGAATGCTGCTGGAAGCACCGTCAACCTGGAGAGCAGAAAACATAAAAAGACAGTCCGACGTACTTGGGGCGCAAACAATCGTTCTGCCCCAATCGAAGCGATCAGCTTTCCAGGCAATCACAAACTCTCGTATCCTGTTAAGACGCATCCATCCCAATGAAGACACAACTTTCCGCAATCGCCTCCCTGGCCTATTGTATAGGTTCAGTGCACGCAGCACCCCATGCAAATACGCCTATCTATGACTTCGTCATCGTCGGTGGAGGTACCAGCGGCCTCGTCGTTGCCAATCGACTAAGTGAGAACAAAGATATCACCGTCGCTGTGATCGAAGCCGGCGATTCCGTGTTTAGCAATCCCAACGTGACGAATGTCAATGGATATGGGCGAGCGTTCGGCACAAATATCGACTGGGCATACCCGACCGAGCCTCAAATATACGCCGGTGGTGGCAGACAGATCATGCGCGCGGGTAAAGCCATTGGGGGGACAAGCACGATTAACGGTAGGCGGATCACCGATGAAGTTGACTCCCCAGGATCGACGCATATACCTTTGCTTTCTTGTTTCTCGTGAGGGGGAGCCAAATCCTGATTCTGATTTTTTTTTTTTTTTTCACGCAGGAATGGCATATACTCGAGCACAAGACGTCCAAATCGATGCTTGGGAACAGGTTGGCAATGACGGGTGGAATTGGAAGAGCCTCTTCCCATATTTCACGAAATCCGAAGAATTTCAAATTCCTACTCGAAACCAAATCTCTCGAGGGGCCGATTACTATATCACTTATCATGGAGAGAATGGTAATTTGAAAGTGGGCTGGCCGTCGCTAATCACCAACCGCACCCTGCTTCCTCTTCTTGATCAGACGTTTAACCAACTAGGTGTTCCCTTCAATCGCGATGTGAATGGCGGCCGTATGGTTGGCCTCACCTCGCACCCAGACACGGTTGACTCCACGGAAAATATTCGTGAAGATGCTGCCAGGGCTTACTACTGGCCTTATCAGAATCGATCGAACCTCAAGATTCTCACCAACACATTCGCCAACAAGATCATCTGGTCTAACGATACTCGAAGTGAAGCCACAGCAGTCGGTGTGGAAGTGAAGAACTCACGAGGGGTCCAAACGATCTACGCTAGCAAGGAAGTCATTCTCGCAGCTGGAGCTGTGAAATCGCCGGCTATCTTGGAGTTGTCCGGAGTTGGTAATCCGGATATCCTCCGTAAGTATAACATTACCGTCAAGGTTAACATTCCCACCGTTGGTGAGAACCTGCAGGACCAGACCAACAATGGGATCAACTACCAAGGCCTAGAGTTCTGGCTCGGCTCGCCAACTTTTTCCGTCCTCCCGTCAGCAAATCAACTCTATGGCAGCAACGTCTCGAACGTAGCGGCTTATGTCAAGTCCAGCATGACAGAGTATGCTAAGGTTGTGGCTAATTCATCTAACGGAGCAGTGTCGGAGGCCAACATTCTAGAAGCATTTCAGGTCCAGCACGATTTGATCTTTAAATCACAGGTCCCTTATGCCGAGATTGTCTTACTGCCTATTCTAGACTCGTTCTCAGTTGAATACTGGCCGTTGCTTCCATTTGCACGAGGAAACGTCCACATCAAATCCGCCGATCCTTCGGCGACCCCTGCAATCAACCCCAACTTTTTCCAATTTAGCCAAGACCTCGACGCCCAGGTCGACGTGGCCAAGTTTATCCGCAAAGCATTCTCGACAAACCCATTGAACGATCTCGTTGGGGACGAGTTCGCCCCTGGACTCGACAACCTGCCCAACGACGCCCCGGCATCAGAGTGGAACGACTGGGTCAAGTCCAACTGTAAGTGCTTGCGAGATCGCAATCACTCTCTATGAACCCCTACTGACCCGTATCTTCCAGACCGCACCAACTACCATCCCGTCGGAACAGCCAGCATGCTTCCTCGTGAAAAAGGAGGCGTGGTCAGTTCCACGCTCAAGGTCTACGGCACAAAGAACGTCCGCGTGGTCGATGCATCCATCATTCCATTCCAGGTGTGCGGGCATCTAACCGCCACCATCTACGCCGTGGCAGAAAAGGTCTCTGACGCGATCAAGAACCGGTACCGCATTTGAGCGTGGAAGCGGTGGGCAATACTACCTTTTTTTTCAAACTTTCAGCGCGTTGTCTGTCATTTTTCATTGCACATCTTTCTATCCGTGGGCTGAGCCTGCCATCGAGATCGAGCTGGGACTGCGAGTCTGGATTTGGACATGGAGAAAACTTCTTAAGACTGACATTTCTTGATGATGTTTCTATGGGCAGGATTTGGGATATGGGATTTGGGATATGGGATTTGGGATACCCCTTGTGATTTTGATGATGTGATCATGTCTTTTGTAGGGCCGAGCTCCGAAGCCCAAAAAATATAGTGCAGCGAGCAATGTACAAAAACAGCTGCACATCCACTTTTTCCTCATGTTTTTGAGTCCAGAAATAGATTTTATTGGGAAAATATAGCCAGACCCCAAGCGCTGGAAGTATCGGCGTTCTCGGAATTTTACACCGCAGATCAGTTCTGGACACCAGTGCCGCATACTATGAGTGTGGGCGACTAAGAATAAGTAGATAGTAGTGGTTTCCGTCAAGCGATCAATGACATCAAGACTTGGGTGGGATCAGCACGATATAAACAAGACGACTCCCGACATGTCTCGGCTGTTTCGGACCCTGGATACGTGATTTGTTGGGTCCAGGGTCAGGGTTCACGGGTGGATGGACGACTCGATTTGTGACTGTGTGTACGACTGTACGGGTGATGGATGATTTTGAGTATGAAGTCGACTCTGGCTGGGAGGAGTATCGAGTAAAGGATAGTTTAACAAACTACCTACCAGTAGATATTATCTGGTAGTTTTGGGTCTAGGCCGTTCTACGTACTAATATACGAGGCACAATAAACTAATATGTAGCTGCGTACTTGAGCTCGATGACTGGGGTTGAATGTGTGAAAAGTGTACAGTAGACTGTAAAATGATATAATGGATGCTAGTCCAGGTTTCTACGAGGGTGGACACTTCCTGTGCGGCAGTATTTACTCGGTATAGAACTACCTACTTGTATAAGGCCTTGATGCGTGTCTGACTGCGCGTATACTGACTGACCTGGTGGTGGTGACTTTAGGAAGATGTATGATGACACTAGCGTGGTCTTAGGCACATTGCACACTGCACTGGGGAACAATCTACCTGTAGATGCCCTGACTTTCTTGCTCGCATGGATCCTCCCACCTACCTAACGCACTGTTAGGTACACTTCATACCTACTAGGAGTCTGTGAGTCTGTGAGACTGAGTAGTCCCACCGCGTCGGTACGTGTCGGCACTTGATCGATTCTTCTGATAACTCGATGCCTCGTGTCCACTCATGACAACTTCATGCTCCTCCGATCCCCCCGGCCCAGCTTTTTTTTTTTTTTTTTTTTCCGCTGCAGGATATATAGCCTCGAGAAGATTGAAAGGTCTCGGCCCGGTCGGTCTCTCATGTGAGAAAACAACAGGCTCCATGGGCGACGTGGGCTACGGCTAACTTTCCGAAAGTGGATTGACGGTTACGGTGGAATGGAAGCCCTCCACCTGCACGCAGTCCACTCCGTCCATGCCACCTCCCGGATGTTCCTCGCGTCTCTTGACCAGAACTCGGCTGGAGCACCGCGACAGTATTTCTCGACTCTTGTACAGTGTACGTTGATAGTCACGCTGCGGGAGTAGTTAAACTCTTCGCTGGCGAAGGAGTCCCAGCGTGCTGGGTCACGATTGTTGTGTCATTGTGCGAATTTCGGCCTCATGCTTGCCACTGAGGCTACGTCACCTGGTGGAGGTGGTCTCCTCAGTAATTGACTTCCGAGTCGTCGACGGGGTGGTACAGTACCTCGACAGAGACATACAATATATACACAGGTAACGGTACACGATCATCCACACATATTCCTTTGATCCTTCTGTTTCAACGTGCAGGAGAAGGATTGATCTTGGCAGTCATTCTCAGACCCGACGGGTACGCGTCTTGGTGCCACGTGAACCTTTGTTTGCCGTGCTCGAATTTGGTCCTCGTTCCAGGCCACGTTCAGGTCACGCTCAGGTCACGTTCAGGTCACATTCAGGTCACGTTCAGGTCCCCTGGCTCGAAAGGCTGGCCAGCAGGAAGAGGAATACCCGTGGGAATCGGCTCTGCTTGACCCAGAAAAGTATTGCATCTGGATCCACGGTGATTGGTGCAGAGTCTGTCTTGCCCTGCCAAGAGCATACAATGTACTATGACTGGGCACTGATGCTCTGCGCGTCTCCATTCTCGGGGACGTGTCAGCCAATGGCAGTGCTTTGTGCAAAAGTCTCTTTCACCTTTCGCGAGGACCGTACTTGCCGAGACCACGGCGCCCACAGTCGGCTGTCGGGATCAAACCACAGGACCGGCAGTGTGCGAAGTTGTGGTTTAGCCCCTGAACCGATAATTGCATGCCACTGGGTATTGATGTTGACCATCAACTCGAAGAGCGAGAAGGGGGGAAACATCCCCCATTATCTGAAGAGAGAACAACGCATGTGCATGAATATGGATCGTGGGCATCACATGGAAGATCTGAATGAGACATACTCTATGTGCATGAGCCGATGAGGTACTCTCCATGCCCCCACCGCCCACATCCATTGCAATGGTCTAGAATCGAGTCCATTGCGCTTGTACCCGCTACAAAGCCCCCTGCTGAGTCGTAGTCTCCGAGGCAAGCCTTCTGGATCGCTCATCACCACACCCAACACACCAAAGGGTATCCGCCGAGCCAGCGCATGACCCACCGCTGGCATCCACTTGTCCCCCCCATCGTGGAGACCACAACAAATTCTCACTCGAACGGTGTTCTTGCTCCCTTCCCGCGACGAGTCGGGTCTAAGCCCTCGCGCTGACGACTACTCCGGTACACGTCTACACGGACACGTTGACCCTCCATGAGTCCATCGTGGCGGCCGAGTTTCAGGTGCCACAAAGGTACCGCGACACCGGGGTCACGACTCACGACGACTAGTCCTACCGAAGATGGTTCATGCAACTTTAATCGATGAGCTCACAGTGTGGGCGGACTCACATGACACCCGAGCGAGAGGGCAGGGCTATCGAACTTGGGATATCTTCCGAATGAACCACGGAACCGTCGCAGTGGGCGACTGTGCTTTGTGTCTGTTCCATCACGACCCGACGGGCTCAGGAGAGGTAAAGAGCGCAGAGAAAAGAGTCTTGGCTTTCGAAGAGTCTGACTGGTGGTTTGTTCCATGATTTGTGTCTTCTCTTTTCCTCTCGGTTGCTTGGGGTGCCACGAATCAATCGGGTCCCATCGCAGACTGTGGCTCTCTCCATCGACATGTCAACTGTACATCCATCACATCTCATCCAATGGGGATCATCTCCATGTTGACTTTCCAAGAAAACAAAGATGTTGATCCGAACCATGGACGACGCACTGCTCTTCTGATTGAAGACGCCAATCCTGGATCCCCCAGCAAGCCACCCATCTCCACAGACTCCAATGCAGTCCAACGGGTCATACGTCAAATCCACGGCATCGGCCCTTCTGGAATGCGCGTGGTCGACGAGAAGGTCCCTCGTCTCTCATCAGTACATGCGGTAACCACGCCAGCCTTTGACGGATCAGAAAACTTTCCCATACAACCACCGTCCATGGCGCTTGATCTCTCCAGGCACTGGGCCAGGCACCCTCGCTCACGACTGGTCCCGACGGGCCTCTTGGTTCTGGTGGCGGCACTTTACCGAAAGACGTTGCGCGGGGCCAGGATTATCACGTTGGGTCACGCTCGAGGGAGGGAAATATCTAGCCCTGAAAATGAGAATGGGATATAAAGATGGTCGTGGACTGCCGTCGAGAGGACTTGTTGTTTTCTTTTTTCCATCACATCACTGTCGTTCTCTTGTACACACTCTCTCTTGTTCATCTTCATTCATTCTCTCTCTCTCTCTCTTTACGAAGTTTCGACAACTTCTGTCATTCCTTTCAAGTCCGTCTCTAGTGACTTGTTCAAGACATTCATTCCATATCTCTATACTCACATTCACTTGACGTGATCAATCTATCTCTCTCTCTCTCTCTCTCTCTCTCTCAAAAATGCAGTTCACCAAGTCCATTCTGCTGCTGGCAGCCCTGACCACCAGCACCTTCGCTCTTCCCACAACCGTCGAGCGCCGTCAAGATTCCTCCTGGCTCAGCGTCCCCTCCAGCGGCTCCTATTCCACTTCCGGCTTCGGCTCGGCCACCAGTGCCACCGGCAGCGGTAACACCTACGCCGGCAACGTGGGCAGCCCCTACGGCAGCAACATCATCGAGGTCTCCGCCTCCGACGCCAGCCAATACAAGTACGTGATGGAGATCCAGGCCCCTTCCACCGACTCCTACACCGTCGCCGTCTGGAACAAGTACGGTCCCGATGGCCGCATGGACGGTTGGTACGGCAACGCCTGCAAGACTCTCACCGTCCCCGCCGGCTCCAGCGTCTACCTGGCCTTTGACGAGGACACCGACGGTGGCTTTGCCGCTGCCCCGGGCTCCATCCCCACCGACTCCAACGGTGGCTATGCCTCCACCTGGGGTGAGTTTGACTTTGGCTCTTCTGCCAACAACGCCTGGTCTGGCTTCGACGTCTCGGCCATTGCGGCCCAGAACGCCGGTCTCACTGTGCAGGGTATGAAGATCTGTGACGCTCTGGGTGGAACTTGCTCCTCTATCACCCCCGGTGCTGCCGTTGTCGACAACGCCTACACCGCGGCGGAGACTGCCATCGGGGGTATCGGTGGTAACCTCGGTGCTGGTCCTGTCCGTCTGGTTGCCACTCTCGGCTACAGCGGTTAAATCAGCGATTTCCGTTCCCCTCCAAAATCCAAAAATCGAGACGATCTGTTATGCTCAACAGCGAGGATGATCTGTCAGGCTCAAGATAGACAGGCTCAATCGGACTGAATTGAGAGGCTGTACAATCCTCAGCAGACCTCATCCTCGTTGACTTTATGCCCTAGGATGAATTGTGTTTTTTTGTGTGTGTGTTTGATGTTGCGATAGACTCGCGTTGGCTTTTACCTTGCTTTTTCCCCGTCCCTGCACTGATGGCGACTAAAGCCGGTGTTTCACGTCTTGGACTATACCCAGCTGGTACTGTACATGTCTTATGTCACGGATCGATTCTACATCCCTGTTCCTTTTCCTCTCTCTCTCTCTCTCTCTCTCTCTCTCTCTCTCTCTCTCTCTCTCCATGTTTCACTTCCATCCAACCATCTCTTTTGGACAGATACCCAGTCTCATGCTTTCCTCTTCAGGCTGGCCCTTGATTCTTTACGTCTGGGGAACTGAGTTCCTAGATTTTCCCCGCTTGTCAGTATTGTCAGTTCGATCATCTTTGTCCAATCATGTCCATTACATATCCAATTCGAAAATGAATCGAACCAGCCGCTGGGTACCGGTTCCCAAGAATGACATTCTCTTCAACCGACTTGCAACGATTCCACCTCTCCTCCTCCTCATTTACCAGAGAGATAGAAGCGTGTTTTCCTGTGACATTAGACCCACTACCTCGGTAAAGCTGTCCTAGTCATTCTTGTCCGTCACCCAGACGCTGAGGCCAGACGGGTTGACCTTTAGTCTCGGTCTTAGTCTCACCATAACTTGATCTATACCTGTAAGTAGAAGGGCTGCCCATCCCTCATAGAAGTAGGATGAGATATTGCCGAACCCAGGAGGATGATTTATTGCAGGCTGTGCAGCTTAGCTGTTTATGTTACATTGTCCGTGTCAACAATAAGCACGGCACGTTGGGAGCCATCAAATCAGATATTGGAGACCTGGTACACTAAAGGTAAGGTCAGGATTTCCGCGGCTTCAGCTAGCTGTTCATGTGTAGTACGATAGATAATCTATCTACCCTCTCTATGAGATTACTCCTGCACACTTCAGACTCAAGCACAGCAGCCCAACCAACACATCACACATCACATATCGACTTCATCTTGAAACCCCCCCCCCCTTTATCTTAGTAGACCACACGATGACCAGATAAGCTCTACACCGATCGCACCTGAACAACCGGAACGAAGTCGGGCCGGCAAGTACCGCAATCTCATTAGATTCTCACCCGAGCCCAACTGCGTCAATCGAGTTCCATTCCCGACAGAATACTGTGATGATGGCTCATTGGCGCTCATGACCGTGCTACTTGGCCTCGAGGATCGATTATTTCCTGCTAGGGCTGGGTTTTGACCGGGTCATGTACTTTCGATTCACATTGTGATCGGCATCATATAATGGGTGTTACACGACCGTCTGAATATCCGGGTGCCCAATGTAAGGTTAGTACCTAGCTACCTAGCTACCTAGCTACCTGCTCTAGAACTGAAATCGGCGTGTAGATGGAATCATCGAGGCATCACCGACTCGGCGCCGGAATCGAGCCCCGGTTGATGCGTGGCGGCACGAAGTACTTATTGATATGGATGAGGGTGCCGGTGTGGTCGGTGGCGTCATGTGACCTGGACAATGACCTGCGTTGACTCGAGTATGCGCCAGTTGGTTTCCCGTCTGGTGCCTGTGCACTCGGCGTCTCCCGAAGGCGTGTGGAACTGGACTGGACGGGTGTCTGTTACCATATGCAGTTAGCGGGTATAGCGCACCTCCAATTTGACTACGACGGCTAACCACGTCAAGTACACCAAGATCAAACCTACCATAATCAGACCTACTTCTGAGTCAATTTCAAATCCATCGTAAGAGAATTACACATAATTGGAATACTCACTCTTCATCTACATCCTGTCTACTGCCTATTACTACTGCTACTACTACTACCCTCCCACCGATGATATCAGCACTCCCAGTCCCGTCCCCTCCAGAGCTCCCCACCCGACCTTATGATCTTATCATCTCTCCCAGACTTCAAAGAGGCTCCTTGCCTAAAGCGGAAATCTACACCACCCAAAACGTCCACGATCGGACAACGTACAATACCAAGGACACCACCCAGATCTGTGGTACAACCTGATGTGACAGCCCGGCCGTCATGTGTGGGCTCAATCCCAGTACCTTGTACCGTGCACCTTGCACTGTCACCTTCAATCTTGAGGTCCACTTTTGGATCGATATCTCAATATCTAGGCGATTGCGCCGCGCTGGAAGATCTTGGGGATATTCCTCATCCAGTTCACCATCTGTTGCGCAGGGACGTTGATTTATCAAGCTTCACACTTCTATCTTGTCCTGCGCCTGTCTCTCTTGACTTCTCTCCAAAGTCCCAACCCCGAGACTTGCACACACCTTGATCTCAACCCTCAAAGCTGGACCTCTCCATCAGCACGTCCTCAACCCACACCACCGCCTAGATACCAAACCGCAACAGTCACTCTCACCATGCACATTCTCAAGCGCACCACCAACCCCTCGCCCGCAATTCCGACCCTCTCGTCCTCCCTCTCCCTCACCCTCACTTTCCTCCTCGCCCTCCTCGCCCCCACGCTCGCCACCTCCCCAACCGACTGGTGGTACTTCGACGCTTGGGACGGCCTCAGCTGCGGCGACATGCCGCAAAACGGACACCTCTTCTTCACGGCGGACGGGTCCGGCACCGAGATCTGCATCAGCCTGAACTCGGGCCAGCGCGCCTACTCGTACGCGGCGTCGTTTGGGCGCGACGAGACTGTTGTGCATGGGTTTTTGAACGAGCATTGTGAGGGGCCGAGTAAGGTTTTGATGAATAATACGTGTACAAATCCTGATGTGGAGATTCCATTTGCGAGGTCGTGGAGGGTCGTGGTTGGGGGGTGAGGCGTGAGCGATGGATGGTGGTTTCGTCTCGAATTGCGTGAAGTGTGGTCTTTTTCTTTTGTTGGAGAAGGTGAGGAGGTGGAGAGGGGGGGGATAGTTGGCAGGCTCGGGTTGAGTGTTTGGTTAGTGGTGGGACAAGGATGGGATCCATTGAAAGGGGTGTCATGCTCTGAGCTGCTGTCTATGTCATTTTCTTGGGGATCAACCAGCATGACGGGCTTTGATCGACATTCTGTGTGCGCGAGGACTCTAATAGCAAAAAAATGGTATCGAAGAGATACATGGCGGTAGAGGTACTGGGTACTGACGGAGTCAAGATACTCACATGTACTTGCTTTGAATTTTCAGGTACATACTACAAATGGCTGCTTTATTCATTTGGTCAACTATTTCTATCAACTTCAACAGTAAGGGTGGTTTGAATCTTGATTCTAAGATCGAGATTTTCAAGCAGGAAATTCAAAAAAGTTGAGCGATACAGCACAGTTATTGGTTATACTCTGCTGGAGGTGCTGGTTCTGAGCTACTCAACCTTGAATCGATGATTGACACGCCTCAATCAATTCCTTCTGCGGCTCTTTTACAACTTCGAGATGCCGAGCAGGTTCAATGCACTCGGGCCGAAAACGGCACGGCCCTGGTGGTTCCTTTTCAGCACTCCAATGACGAGCGTCACATTGTCCAAGTATGGTGATTTTGTAAAAACCTCACGAAAGACAGATAAGCCACTTCCAACGATTCTAGTCCACGAGGAATCAAAGCCATCAATTGGTGGGATCAATGTCGAATCTGCTCCCGCCGAACAAGGGGGGTGTCAACACTCACCTCGACCACGACACAAGCAGGGAACAATGTCACAGTCAACTGCCCTGAAAATCATGGCACGGATCGTCTTGAGCCAGCGATCTTGAAAATCCAGGCCAATGATATCAAAGCATGTCCCTGGATCGACTGTGGTGATTGTGGTCGAGACCCAAAAAGTGTACCACGTTGTCCGCTTCCGTCGATAAACGTGGCCAGGAACGTCCAGAGCGATAGCCGCACCGCATCACAGCTCGACTGGAGAGTGTCTAGTTCTGAAATCCAAAACAAAAAACCTAATGCAGGCGAATAATGAGGGTTTCGGAATTCATGGAGGACTAGCTTGATCAGTCTGCTTGCATAGTCTTCAACATGTGAATTCCCTGTAAAGATCACGTCGATATAGATCCTCCTATTCTTTCTCTTTCCTTTCGATCGTCTACACTCTCACGCACGGGCACTGTGTTGCCTGACCAAAACATGTACAGGATGAAATCGTCCTCGTTTCTTGGGTTTTCTATGACGAGGAAACCCTCGTCCAGCCTGCGACGGATCCTGTTTCTACTAATGGTGCCGACCGCCATTCTGCTGGTGCGGTATCGTTTACAGCAGGGACAGACATCTGCATTGGACCAGAAGCAATACGCGGCTCAGCCTCAGGTGGTTGCACCTGCAGGTGTGATAGGGGATAGCTTGAACTCGAATGGTAAGAGTGTTGTTGCGAGTCCGAGGTTTCCGGCGACACTTCCTGGAACATGATATACTAAAAATGTCCCTGTTTCATCTAGATGAAACAAGTCCCTACAAGCTCTCAATACCAAGCATCGAAGAGCTCGTGCCACCTAATGAAGTCGTGCAGGACAGGATTGAGAACAATCCAGTGGATCAAAACAGTCAAGCCCAAGCTCTGGATGTCGGCTCTGGGTGGCAGCGCTACACCCAGCCCCACGAGAGCAAAGACGATGTTAGCATTGTGGCCGCACGATCTGGTCCCGAGTCCACCGACTGGATAGAGGAGTTTTGTGACGAATAGTACGTCTTTCACCCCCCGTGCTCATGGTGTTTTTTCTTAGATATCCTCCGGGCTAACGGTGATTTCAGTCTCTGCACACCCTACATCTACTCCCTCGACGAATTCCCCGAGGAAGAATATCTCGTGCCCTACTCTCGCAAGGGCCACGAGGCAAGTGCCTACCTGAGCTACATCGTCGACAACTACGACAATCTCGCCCCTTACACCATCTTCATTCACGGCCGCGCAGAGCAATGGCACAACGACGTCTCCGGCCCCTTTACACCCAAGGTCCTCGAAAACCTGCGCTACGAAGCAGTCGCCATCAACGGCTACGTCAATCTGAGATGCACCAACAAACCAGGCTGTCCCAGCACCATGTTCCAGGCTCACCCTGTCACCCTCGACTGGGACTACCAATACTTGATCGACCAGCTTCCACAAGTCCTGGGATATCTCCTTGGCATCGATCCCAGCGAAGCACCCCAGGATATCGGGCACCAGTGCTGTGCCCAGTTCGCCGTGACCAGGGAGCGTATCCAGGAGAGGCCGCTGGAGGATTATATCCGGATCCTGGACTGGGTGGCCAACACCGATTTGACGGATAATTATGGCATCGGGTGGTTGATTGAGAAGTTGTGGCATCTCTTCTTCGGCATGCCTGCTGTGCAGTAAGTTGAGGAGCGATCCGTTGCTGGGTCATCCATCCCCTCTTGTCTGATAGATGCATAGGCTGATCATGGTTCGGTGGGGGTTGGTTGTAGTTGTGCGACCGAGGCCCAATGTCGCTGTGATTTGTATGGGTGGTGTGGACCGAATCCGTCCACGGGTGGTTTGACATTGACGCCTATTTCCTGAGGTGTGTAGTGTGCAGTATGAATATGCAATGTATGCATTTGTTTTTGGATCTACACAGAAGTTTTGAGCAAGGCCCAGGTTGGACAAATAGCCTCATCACAAGTTTTCTGACTCTCACTGGAATGTAAAGCCTATCATCATGATCAGTTTTCTGTTGACTAAAGAGTAACCCCTTGCAATGATCTCATTTGAGTGACGGGTATACCTTGTGATGCAATTTATTGAACGGCTTCTGTCGATCCCTTCGAGCATTGCAATTTACACAGACTACCTCATGAGGTGGCTACATTAGACATGAAGCGTCAGGAAAATTGCAGTGTAACATCTGTTGTTGAAGGAGAAGCGCGCCCGCTATGAATCATATGGACTTGTAGAGAGGGCTGGCGTGGTATTCTCATTGCCACACGCAAGCCCTACTACAATAGCCATTGAGGACAGCAGCTTCACTCCACGAATACTTGTAGATTATTTATGGTAGTAGACTACTAGACACTGGGGCTCGATGGTATGAGAAAGCCTCTTGTGACAGCTGATGTCGTAGTGGCAACTTTACTTCCAAACTCATACCACAGTACTAAGTAGCCCAGGTAGAAGCGGTCAAGTCGCGTGAAGATCATTGCACTTGCATCGCGCCGTGTCCTCCCCGGCGGGACGAACTCTACGCCAGCACATACCTTGAATGGTCACTCAAACACCTCCAAGAATCCACCAAAGCTAAACATCATCCCGCTGGAATCTACTTGCCTGGTTTACTTGTCCGTGCTTGGTCACAGCACCCACAGCCTGCAGCCTGCTCGACCTCTCAGCAGCGCCGCTCGATGGGATGCAGCTGTGCTGAGCTGTAGCTTCGCCAAGCCGCCTATCAGAGCTACATGGCTGCATGATGGGACTCTCCACATCTGCACGATTGCAGGCATAATCATGTCGACCTGATTCGAGCTGAACTCGGCTGAATCGTGAACGACGGGGGCCCTCGGTGACGCTAGTGTCCTGTCTATTCCATGTTAGGCCTGGGGCGGTGGTTCGTGAGATCTGTCAATCGGACAAGATGCAAGCTGAAGAATCATAGCGCGGAAAAGCTGAGGGTCCTGTTGCGCAGGATGAATCTTCATTTCTGGCTGACCCTTGCATTTGGGGTCCCCCCCCCCCCGTTCATGTATTCATGTGAGAGGGGTTTCTTCTTGTTTTTCCCCCTCTAGAGGAGATTAGATCGCTTTTCTTCCATTGTCTAAGGAGCACTGAGGCTTTCCTTTTCTTTTCTCACAATTTCTTGGTCGATTGTGAGCGCTTTGCGACATCTTTTTCAATCATGGCCGCTGAAATTCCTGGCCCGCCCGGTGTACCGCTGCTGGGCAACATCTTCGATATTACACCGGGCGAGACGTGGAACTCGCTGAGCAAATTGGCTAGGCAGTATGGTAAGAAACCATCTGCGAAATAGCGAGATTGGTCTGGTCGAACAAGGCTGATTCCCTACCTAGGTCCCATTTTCAAGATCAATGCGCTCGGCCACCAGATCGTCTTCATTGGCAGCGTCAAGCTTCTGGAGGAGATTTGCGACGAGACCAGGTTTCGAAAATGCGTCACTGGTCCGGTCGTCGAGATCCGCAGTGCTGTACATGATAGTTTGTTCACTGCTAAACATAGCGAAATGAAACAATGGGGCATTGCTCATCGGATCATGGCCCCCTACGTCTCGCAAGAGGCGACGGACGCGAGCTTCAAAGATATGGCCGAAGTGATTCCCGACTTGATCACAAAATGGACCTCCGGCACTCAGCAGAAATGTCTTGCCGCCGACGACCTGGACCGGATTCTCTTGGCCTCGTGTATGAAATGCTTCTTCAATCAGCGAGTACACGTTCTCGGCACGGATGCCGAATCCAACAAAGCGAAGAAGATGGTGGATGCATGGGAGAGTGCGACCATGGAAGCCTTGAAACGACCAACTCGACCAAAGCTTCTCAACCTCGTGTACTCGAGCCGCTTCTCATCCCTGATTAAAACAATGCGTTCCTACGCCACCGACATCAAGAACAGCAGATTGAATCACCCCGAGCAGATCCGCAAAGACATGCTCGACGCAATTCTCAACGGTGTCGACCCAGAAACTGGCGAGAAACTGACCGATTCACAACACCTCGACGAGATCGTGACCATTTTCATCGGCGCTGCCACCGCCGCAAACCTCGTCTCCTGGGCTCTTTATTATCTCATGCAAAACCCCCAGCCGCTCAGAAAAGCTCAAGAGGAAATCGACCGCATCGTCGGCGATGGGCCCATCGCCCTCGACCACCTCACCGCCCTCAACTACGTCGAAGCCTGTCTTCGCGAAGCCATCCGTCTCTCAGCAACCGCACCCGGCTTCAACATCGAACCCATCCCCCCAGCAGACAAGAAAGACAAAACCCCCGTCCTTCTCGGCGGCGGCGAGTGGCAAATCCCAAACAACCAGCCCATGATCGCAGTCCTCAGCTCAGTCAACCGCGACCCCGAAGTCTTCCAACACCCAGAAGAGTTCCGACCCGAGCAAGTCTACGGCGAAAAATGGGATCTTCTCCCCGCTGCCGCGAAGAAGGGCTTTGGAAATGGCAAGCGTGAATGCATCGGCAAAAAGTGGGCTTGGCAATGGTCGTTCTTCACCCTGGCCAGTATCATCAAGGACGTTGCCTTCGAGCTAGAAGATAAGGATTACAAGCTTCATGCAAATGGCGCATTCAGCACCAAGCCGCTTGATATGTGGACGTTGATGAGCCCGCGCAGGAAATAATTCGATATGAATCCAGGACGAGAGACTTGGATCGCGGAATGAAAGCGTGAAGCCAGTTTGATACTCTGTTTCGAAATTTTGCGCTTGAATTTTGGCTCTATCAGCTCGCTTGCTTCCTGAAATTTGCATTTTAAATTCATCCATCATATCTATATTCATTAAATATACCGCTTTTCTCCGACTTCTTGCCGTCTGTCGTAATCCTTACTTTTATTAGTATTTAGTCCTGTCTTCAATGACTAAATATTTTCTAGAAGTTTTCGATCTTTCGAACAAAAATCAGGTCACTTAGTACCCGTATTACTAGCGAGAAGCTCGCGAGTACTCGCGAGCCGAGCTCGGTCTTACTCCCAGCTGGAGCACGTAGCTTACAACCTCTAAAGCCCGCGAGCTTTGGTAAAGTCTTCTTGGAGTTCTCCCGCTTTCCGAATCCAGATCCATCAGAGAGGACGGAGAGTCTCAGTCACCAGTTCTTTAACCCCAATAACCGATTAAGTGCTGGAGCGAGGCACTCAAAAGAATGGATCTAGTCGCTCTCATAAAGGGCGTAGTCGTCACGACTGCGTTTCCTTTCCTACGAATCGTGCTCAATTCTCGGCCCTTGAAAGACAGCGCAACCTAGGGTAATTCAAAATATAGTTCGGGCGCGGCCGTAGTTCGCCAACACTCGCTTGGTCCATCGATTCTCAACCAATGTTCATTCGAACCACCTCATAAAGGATTTGTAGTGGGAAGTGGCGCTTGTTTTGATTGGAAAGACAAAATATTTACTGCGGCGTCCACATAGAAGACTACCCACTGACCGATTTGAGAGCAAAAAGGAAGCTGGCTTGTCTTCTGGGAAGACCCGAAAAGAGCAAAAAGAAAGGATCTCAGGTTTGTTTGTAGGAATAGCCGAACGCGGGGGTCGAACCCGCAACCTTGAGATTAAGAGTCTCACGCTCTACCGATTGAGCTAGCCCGGCAGGGCTGGTTGAAGACACGAAATTGTTTTGAACATATGAAGCAAAAACATTTATCTCCTCGCTCCCTTAGTTATCCTCCTTTTGCCGTACCCGACGGGAAGCTACCTAACAAAGACTCACTGGGAGCTTCGAGCTCTCTCCAGGTGCTTTACACCAGTCACTTTGGACCGGCTTGCGCATTGTCCGACCACAGAGGGGCTTTTTCAGAATGGCATAATGGAGACCCAGTCGCCAGATAGCATTTCGCCGGCTCAGCAGTCAAATGTCAAACAACCAGCGTGTCTGAATTGTCGCCGCAGCAAGATCCGATGTAATCGCCCAACAGGCCACTCCCGCTGTGAGAAATGCCGACAAAGTAATGTGGACTGCGTTGTGCCCAGCCACCACCTGGGTCGGCAAAAGGGTGTCAAAAAGTGAGCTAGATGAGGCTTTTCTGAACCCTCGAGATGGTAGATGGAAGTTCGGTGTTGACGCGATATCTAGCAAGCGCAAAGGCCTCGAAAAGGCTATACATCAGATTGAACAGGCCATCAAGAGGCCCAAAGTGGACCCATCAAGTTCAGACGAGGCACAAAAAGCAATCTCTGGCTTGCAAGAATTGCTCAGCCAAGTGCAGAATCAGCTGAAGGGAGGGTTTGAGAATAGTGCGACCGGCGACAGCAGCCGTGAAGGCGTTGAGCTGTCTCCGCGGGAAACCGTCGCAGACGAAAGCCTGGCTCTTGATGATGCAGAAAATCCACTTCAGCTTCTAGCGAGAGCTTCAGATTTGCAGTTCTCCCCAACAGAGATTCGCCAGCCCTTGAAGCCGGCAGTGTCTGTTTCCCATCAATCACTGGGCCCACCGCTCGATATCCACGATAGTGGCCATACGAGCGCAAAGTCGTTCTTCGTGCCAGTGCAGGCAAAACCCGATGTCGGGCCAAGTCTGGATCCCATAGATCTGGGGCTTGTCACTTTTGATGAAGCAGACTCATTATTCTCCTTGTGAGTGGCCCTCGTCATAGATTGGGACTATGGACCTGCTATTGACCCATCCAAATATAAAGCTTCTATCAAAATCTCGCACACACGAGATGGGGACTGGATCCTCTTGTACATACAACCTCCTTTGTGCGCTCGCAATCTGCATTTTTGCTTACCTCGATCATGGCGGGAACAGCTCTCTTCCTGCCATCTGCCGCAGCCCTCTCGAATCGCCTGTCCCGACACTGTAAGTGGCTCGCAAAGCAGATCGTCGCGCACCGCTATCGATCAGTCGAGATTGTCCTTGCATTCATGGTCAATATACCGTGGATGGCACCTGGTGAGAGACTTGGGGATGATGACACTTGTTCATATATCGCCATGGCACTAACACTAGCGATGGATCTTTCCCTGAACAAGATTGTGTCACCAATAGTGTCAGGCGTGGATGGAGACTCATTAAAACGGCTATCACGAGCGGATTGCATTGACGCCAAACGAGCACTGCATATGGACGGATTCAGCGACGTCGACCCCCGCTCACAATGGGGTCGCCGCTTGTTGCTTCGGCGTGAGAGGGCCTGGATCGCGCTTTTCGTGGTCGAAAGGGGTGTTTGCTTGGCTCGTGGACGAACCTCGACCATTCCCTCGACCGCGCTCATTGAGAAGTGTGACTGCTGGTATCTGTCAGATCTTGCTGATCAACGCGACGGTTCAATGAACTCCATGGCAGTATTGCGTCGAGACTTGGATGAATTGCTCAAAAGGGTCAAAAGCAGTTGCGACACCTACCGTACCAATGACACCGGCTCGCAGACTGCACAGGCCATCAAGACAACCATCGAGAGTTTCTTTGAACGATGGTACACAAGATGGTCAATCTCGATCAGCGAGAATGGTGCACAATCTCTCCCACCGTATGTTGAGATCCTCGTGACCCACACTCAACTGTCCACTTATGGCGGTGTCATCAACCACCCTAACGCCCCGGTGGAAGTCAAACGCTTCTTCCGGGCAGCAGGACTATCCTCGGCACTGAATGTCCTCCGGGCCGCCATTCAAGGCGAAGCACGTCTGAAATCGATGCCTAACAACACCGTCATCATGATCTCCTACGCTGCATGTGCTGCGCTCAGTCTGAGCGTAACACCAGGCGACAGCCGTTCAAGCCTTGCGCCCAGCGTGCGGGCCTTGATAGAAGAAACGGCCGGTGTCCTCGAGAGAATAGGCGCAACCCCAAGCCATCGAAATGGCGCATCCGTGCTATACGGGCGATTCTTACGTGAAATCATACGTCGGGGCCCAACACAATCTACCCATCCGCACGTCAACCCCAGACCACTCAATCCGTCTCAGCCCGGCGTTGCGACAATCCCTCTCGCTGCGCCAGGGCCATCGCTGGCGACATCAACCGCTCTGTCTCAGGATGTTCTTCAGACCGGGGATCTCTGGTCTGAACCAATGCATTTCTCGGCAATGTCAGACAATCAGATTATTGACGCGGTTAACCGCGCTGGCAGTGCATTTGGAGCTTCGATTCCCGATGTCCCGGTGGATGACATGCTTAGTTGGGATTGGCTTGATTATGCTACTACGGATTTTACTGGATTCTAATGCCATGATTACCTCATTATTCGCTATGGAATATTTCTGAGGTACTGCCATGAATATCCCGCAACTTGATGCTGTAGCATTTTGTTCTACCAAAAATCGGAAATGAACCGATTTGATCTAAATTATGCAATGCATGGCTACAGATATACTCTCAAAAATCTCAAGCTCAAGCTGACCGAGCGGATAATTCTAGCATCAGTCTCATGATCACCTACAAAGTTTGCATGACAATCTCGGAAGCGACATCCAGCAGCCTATAGTTGATCGTAGCATGAGCAGTGCCGAAGCCATCATCAGTAGGCTTCACGCCTGTGTCAGTCTGTACACGTGACATGGTCTAACCTCTCGGACGAATGAGCCATGGGGGAGAGAGTACTCGGCTTATTAGAACACGCACCATGCACAGCCCAGATCCAACAGCGCAATTTCCAATGCCAGTCAGAAGAGCGCCGCGCCCAACAATTTTCGTCGAAGGAAACCTTCCAAAAGGCCAATAACGTCGGCCCGAATAGACAAGCGATCGCCCCCTCTTCGACCCACTTCGGAGCAATCGGCCACTCGGCATGCAAAAGTAGCCCCGAGACACATACGTCAACAGAGCTCTTTAAAATCAACACCGGAGCTTGTGCCCTGCAAACTATCCTTAATCTCGTCCTCTTCCTGAAGCTAGGCTGAGCATATATACACGATATATCATGGCTTCCTTACGAGTATCATCGTCTGCGTTCTCGCACAAGGCGCTCATAGCAAGTCAGACGCGGTTGCACTTGGTCGCGCCTCGCGCAATTACCAGCTCCAGATGTTTGGTACCCGGGCGGAATGTACGGTTGCCAAAGGCCGGGCAGGTACGCTGGATGTCAACAGAGAAGCCAGGAACCCTTGCACCGAAGATTGAGCGCGGCGGATCCAAGTTGTTCAAGGATGCGGATTCGGCCGTTGCAGACATTAAGAGCGGGTCGACTATTTTGAGCTCTGGGTTTGGCCTTTGTGGTGTTGCGGGTGAGTGGAAGAACGCTCCGTCAAACACTTTCTCCTCCAGACTTTGCGATCGAACCTTCTGACTGTGGTTGCTGATATATTCAGAAACCCTCATCAATGCGATGCACCGGCGTGGCGCAGATCAATTACACTCGCTTACGGCCGTGTCGAATAACGCTGGTGCACCTGGAAGAGGCGGATTGTCCACACTGACGCATGGCGGACAAGTCAATCGCTTGATCCTGTCATATTTGGGTAACAACAAGGCTCTTGAGAAGAAGTACCTTACTGGAGGAATCGCAATTGAGCTATGTCCCCAGGGCACGCTTGCGGAGCGACTTCGAGCCGGCGGTGCTGGAATTCCAGCCTTTTTCACTCCAACTGGTGCTCGTGAGTGAAATCGCTCCGAATGCAAGTCATACAGCAGGGGGTCGCTAATACTATAAGCTAGATACTTTCATTCAGGAGGGAAAGATTCCCGTGCGCATGGACGAAAAAGGCCAGGTTGTCGAGTCGGGCAAGCCACGGGAATCGCGTGAATTCAATGGCAAGACCTATTTGATGGAGACTGCCTTGACCGGTGATGTTGCTATTTTGCGAGCATGGAAGGCTGATGAGGCTGGCAATTGTGTGTTTCGGTGAGTAAATGCTCGACCGGCGTCTCATTGAAAGATCACACCTGGAAATTTTGCTGATTGCTTCTTTACGCCGCACTATGTAGTTACACAACGAAAGCATTCTCTCCTATCATGGCCAAGGCAGCAACCTTGACCATTGTCGAAGCTGAGAACATTGTCCCGATTGGTTCGATCGATCCCAACGACGTGGATCTACCCGGGATCTTCGTGGACCGCGTGGTGCCCGCAACAGATGACAAACACATTGAGATTGTGAAGTTGCGTGAGGATGAGTCGGATCCCAGCAATGGCATTGTTAAGGACGGGGCACAAATCGAGAGAGAACGAATTGGTCGCAGGGCGGCAAAGGAGTTGAAACACGGATACTATGTCAATCTGGGGGTTGGTAAGTAGACTCGCGCATGAGTTTGCGGATTCGGGCATACCTGGGGCAAATAGGGTATGTGACTGATACGAAGTAGGTATTCCTACCCTGGCCCCATCATTCTTGCCAAAGGATGTGAAGGTCTGGATTCAATCCGAGAATGGCATTCTCGGCATGGTAAGCTATCAACCATATCTCCGATCTATTGACAAAAACGAGACTGATTTCCTACAGGGCGCATATCCGACTAAGGACGAAGTTGATCCGTAAGTTCTTCACGTCTTGCCAGCCATCAGAAGAAGGGCCCCTCTGACACACAACAGCGACATCATTAACGCCGGCAAAGAAACTGTCACGCTAGTCCCTGGTGCCTCAACTTTTGATAGCACTGAGTCATTTGGCATGATCCGCGGTGGACATGTTGATGTTTCAATTCTAGGGGCAAGTCCATCTTGATATTTGCTGTACTTTCTCGACCTTCAGCCGAATCTAATATTTCTTCTCTAGGCCCTCCAAGTCAGCGCAAACGGCGACCTTGCCAACTACATGATCCCGGGCAAAGTTTTCAAGGGCATGGGCGGCGCCATGGATCTTATCTCCAATCCAGACCAGACCAAGATCGTTGTGGCTACGAGCCATGTCGCGAAGGACGGTTCGCCCAAGATTGTTCAAAAGTGCAGCCTGCCATTGACGGGTGCCAATGTTGTGAGCACGATTATTACAGATTTAGTGAGTCTAATCATTGGGCTATTTGGATGTGGATTCTCGAGGGTGCTCTTACTGACAAGGGAACAATGCAGTGCGTCTTCCAGGTCAATCGGGCCTCGGGTGAACTGACACTGACGGAGCTGGCTCCGGGCGTTGAGGTTGAAGAAGTGCGCAGCAAGACTGATGCCAAGTTTGCCGTAGCGGACATTCTGGAGATCATGCAGTAGATGTTGTGAATTAAGGGCCTCTATGGTCAATGCATTTGCTAGTTTAGATCTAGAATCATGAACGGACAATTGGCTGTATATGACAAGTTGAAAAAATCTCTATACTAGGTGGATTGGTCCTTGATTTCCGCATGAAACAAATGGCCCGAGTAGCTCCTATTTCCGACAATCATGTTCAGACACCCTACAACTTCGCTCTCGCCGGCGCAAAATTAGAACCCATCCCTCCACTAATCGCCTCCACAATTGCATCCACACTCTCCAAAATCCACATATTCCCCTCATCACTCGCCAACCACCGCGCCCCTTCTTCACTCTCCACATCACTTGCCCAACTGCCATCTTCCAACGCCTTCCGCAGTCCAAAAACATGCGACAACACCTGAGGCCCAACACCCGTCTGCGCGCGCAAACAAGCCACCGCCACCAAAGAGGTCAACACCCTCCCCGCCGACGCACCCGTCTCCCGCTCAGGATCCGACAGAAGCGCACCGTAATTCGCATGCAGGATGTGGACAGGCAGATCGGGGTGCGAAGTACCCAGTTTTTCGTACAGCTTCTTTTCAAAGGGGCGGTAGATCGAGTCCCAGAGGGCGCGGCCGCGGGCAGAAATCCCGGCGATATTCTCGGCCGTGGGTGTGCGAGTGGGTGTCGTTGAGAGCTGCGATGTGATGTCTTCGGGGAGACTGGCGCGGAAGGCATTGAGGCAGTTGATTGTGCGGGGGATGCCGTTGAAGCTGATGCATTTGAGACCGACTTCGCGCATGAGCTCGGCGGAGGAAACGGCGGAGTTGGGGGCCGTGTTGGAAGCTACGTGGTAGAGGGCTGCTAAGGAGTTGGGCGAGTTCATGGTCATTGTTGCGGCGGTCTGTTGTGAGAGATGGAATTAGTCTTTGACATGGGTTGAGCATGGATAGGCTTATGATATTGAAAGACTCTCGCAACACTGAATTCTTCGCGCTCTGGTTCTTGAGCCGTTTGTTGACATACCGAGAGCGCAAGCCATGACGGCTGCGAAACCTTGTTAGCCGCGGCTGTTTGCTGGATCGTGCGATAGACATGACCGATGTTGGGCGGCGCTGGCACAGTATGCGGCCGAGCAGCAGGGGAATTGATCAAAGTCTTCAGACTGGCTGAGAGTTTCGACATTGTGTATATGTTGATCCGGATGATCTATACAGGATTGAGAAATCGTCCAGTGGTCGAAAGGTCAAGAGGGTAAGAGGGTGTCTTCGTAGTGGGTCTTGGAGAAGAGTCAAGTTCTCCAACGACCCGCTTGGCACGCGCGGGTCGGCATTCACTTTTGAATGCCGATACCGGGTGCTCGGGTCACCCGAGGGATACATCCGAGTACAAGCCAGGCGGGGAAAGTGCCACACGTTTCGTCCACTTTGCTAGGAGATCCGTGAATTCTGGCGGATTTTGGCTTTGTACCACTTAGTATCTGAAAGGGCCAAGAAGTCTCGGCGGGCTTAACCCAAAGCGTAGATCAATTTGGCGAAGGTCCAGCCCGAGCTCGGTTCTGATTCTGCTTACACGAACCATGTACGAACGAGGTCCAACCAGACTAAGCATGTATGGATAACTACCGCGCCTCTTATCTCCCACTAAGAGCCGGAGCGGCGAATCTGGGGAACTGCGGGGAAATAATCGAACTTTTTATGGGCCTCTTGGGTCCTCGAGACCGCTAGAGGCCAAAGACGACCAACACTCTGCTGACTGGACACGCCCCTCAAACTCAACGGTCTCTTCGGCAGCAAGAAGTGGTCACCGATCGACGGAGAAGTTCCTTGAGGGAATCCATTTCCCTTTTATGAGGATCATCTTCCCCGGATTTTCGGTTCATGTGTTGTGGAAGCTTGGCTTTTCTTCTTTCCCCCATTTATCAACTTCCACCTGCCGTGCGGGAGGAAACACACAAGTTTGATTAAGAGTTGTTCCCATTCTATTGTCATGGAGTCCAAAACAGGCGTCATGGAGATTGAAGATGCCAAGCATAGCGAATTGAACCGCTTCGGCGACTTGGATCGCCAACAGAAATTGAAGCGACGTGTGCTTCTTAAGTTGGACCTTCGGTGAGTGATGAATCTCGATCAACGCTTGAGAAAAGAGACATACTTGGGACTGAAAAGTGTCCAAATTTCGAAATTTCTCTAACCTCGCGTCTCTCAGCATACTGCCAATTTTGGCCCTGCTCTTCCTGTGCTCGTTCCTCGATCGAACAAACGTCGGAAATGCCAAGATTATTGGTCTGGAGAAGAGCCTGGGGATCAACGATCATCAATTTGATATTGGCCTGACGGTCTTTTATCTGACCTATATCTGCAGGTAAGCGTCCTGAGCCTGGGCTGAGTCCAACAGTATCTCGTCAACTTGAAACGTACAGCAACTAACCCCATCAAAGCGAGCTACCGAGTAATCTGATATTGAAAAAGGCATCGCCCAAGTTGTGGCTACCATTCTTGACAGCAGTTTGGGGAATCATAACCATGTGCTTGGGCTTTGTACAGAACTATGGAGGATTTGTCGCTGTGCGCGCACTACTGGGAGTTGCAGAGGGCGGCCTGCTTCCTGGAATGGTATGCTGTGACCGGAAACGAAATGAGTTGTACTAGTCACTGACATATCACAGGTGCTCTACTTGTCGAGCTTCTACCGACGAGAAGATTTGGCTTTGCGAATTGGTCTCTTCTACACCGCTGCGTCCTTGTCGGGCGCCTTTGGAGGTGAGTCGAGATATCTTGCTCTAGAGATTCGGTTATATCGTCGATTAGAGTCTGACAGTCAAAGGTCTACTCGCGCGTGGACTCGCAGCAATTGGCCCTCGTGGCGGACTTGAGGGCTGGAGGTGGATCCTCATTATTGAGGGGCTTTTGGTATGTCCTTATTTCCGAGAAGAATCTCTGACATTCGGACTAAGTTGTTGTTGCAGACATTTGCATGTGGGATTCTGAGTTTCTTGGCCTTGCCCAACTCTATTGACTCTGCAAGCTTCCTGACTGCGGAGGAGAAAGACTTCGGCCGCGAAAGGCTAATAATGGACAATCCTGTGCAACAAATGGGGTAAGAGTTTCAGTTTCTACAAGCTCGCCTTACTGTACTGATTCCTGTGATAGAACAATTGCTGCCGAGGTAGACGCATTCAAATGGTCCGAAGTACGTCGTGGTATCTTGGATCTACAAGTGTGGTTCTCTGCGTCTGCGTACTTCGCAATTCTTTCTGGACTTTATTCATTCGGTCTATTTGTGAGTTGGAGTGGCCCGTTCTCAAAGTCTGGAAGATTTGCTTACATCTGTCCAGCTTCCCACCATCATTCAAAACCTCCAGTTCGCCAAGGACGCCAACGAGGTGCAGCTGTGGACTGTCATTCCCTATGCAGTGGCGGCTCTCATCACAGGTACTTCTTCATCCCATACTCTCATTGAATTCGATCTTGGACTAGCTTCTGGCACATTCTAACACCCTCTTCAGTGGCGGTCGCAATTGTCTCTGATCGTCTCCGTCTCCGTGGCGTGGTAATGCTCTTCACCCTCCCAATCGCAATTGTCGGCTATGCTGTCATCGCCAACGTCAAAAATCCCCATATCCAATATGGAATGACTTTCCTCATGGCCACGGGCCAGTTCGCCAGTGTCCCGTGTATTCTGGTTTGGCTCTCTAACAACTCTGCTGGTCATTATAAGCGGGCGACTACATCCGCACTTCAGCTGGCTATTGCGAACTGCGGAGGATTTGTTGCAAGTACGTTTTTGCCTCCTGCACCCTTGGTTGATCATACCTCGGTCATTCCAGTCTTTTGGCATTGTTTCGATGAGACTGACTGTATCTGCTTATGTAGCGTTCAATTACCCTAAGAGTGATGGACCCATGTTCCACCGGGGACATACCATCATTCTGGGCCTCTTGGTGTTTGCGTGGTTCATGTAAGTTTGAAATTTACCAACATGTCGGGATTGAGTGTCTAAAGCTAACCTTCATGCGTTTTTATCAGGATACTGTGCAATGTGTTATACTGCGCCAAGATCAACAAAGACAAGAGAAACGGAAAGTATGATCGATATGTTGACTGCAATGATGATCGGAATCCCGCTTTTATGATGGTTCTCTGAAACAAGAAGTATCTGCCGTTTGATTATGAGGGTTTATTGTGTTTTGTCAACTTGGAACTTCAAATATAATCTATTACGTGTTTTACTTGGATCCCTCGGCGTCAGCGGTAGACATTCTCAGCTGCAGCCTGAGAAATGCACCAGGGGAAAGGCACAGAATTCTTGCCTCATGATTCGACAAGATCCCTCGATACGAAATCATGTCCTGCATCATCTTTCGGCGTTGAAAGATGTCTCGAATTTTCTTGTGGGCCAAGTATTGGGAAATAGAATAAACGGAAGGCCCTTGATATTTGCTCATACATGAATAGAGACAGGCAGCGAGGGCTCCATACGTGCACCGTTTGTCATGAAAATTCCGGATCAGGAATCGGAAAAAAAAAGTACGCTACAGTATGTCGGACAGGAATAACCGAGTTAGTCATCTTTTAAAATTGCTTGGAGCCATCAAACAAAGAGAAGAATATTTGAGTAGGAAGGACAAGTCTCTTTCCGTGGGCCTTTGGGTTCACAAGATCGATTCGGTGTGCTTCGGAGCCATACCGCCAACACCATTGTGGCCCAATATTCGAAGTTCGTTGGACGGAACACTCATAAGAAAAGATCCAATTTGCAATCGTGTCTGAATATATTTCAGTACGTCAACGCTGGGCAAAAGCCTTACGTTTCCGTGCAAGAGCCCTACTAATAGGGATCTTAGACTTTACACGGCGCCGTACGATACCTGATATCTTCAAAACCTTGCGAATTGTATCGGTAGATGGTGTATCGACTACCCTAGTAGATAGAGCTCTGTAGGACCAAAGAGGGTTCCGGCGGGCATAAATTTTCATCGATCGGCGGGCATAAATTCTCATCGATTGGCGGGCATAAGTTTTCATCGATCGGCGGGCGCGGCGGTTATATTTCGGTGGTCTACCACTGCGAGGGCGCGAGTCCAGATCGTTGCGTTCCTGCCAACGTTTGAAGGTATTAGCTATAGTATTGCGGTGGCAGCCGAATTCAAGGGCCAACTTAGCCTGGCTAGATAGCCTATTTTCCAACGCATGTATTATAGCCGCGCGTTGCTCGGCTGATAATTCAGCTCCCTTACTACGATCTGCACCAAATTGCATATTGATCGTAGGTGAAGGGGATGTGTAGGAGGAAAAAGAAAACAGAGGGTGGTTGTTAGGGTGATATAGGGTGGGGCCGACTGCACACAGACTTATCCGAGGGGGCTGTACAAGTCATGAAAGCATAGAATAGATACAGTGATCTCCAGCAGGACATGATATATACCCTGTTTTTATTCAAGAAAGTAGAAAGAACTTTTCGACTGTAGAGAATGCGATGGAAGTTCTAGTCATTAATACAATCAATTCTAACGCGTATTTATGGAACTCTCCAGTCGAACAGCAAAATCTGTCCCGCTTATCTAGGCTATAATTGAGCGTCTCGCTAGTCCTGAAAATTCATCACCATCTGGAGTTGACCACCACCGCCATGTAGGTATCCCACTCAAACGACTGAGGTTCTCCGTTTTGCCTTCGTCCAGGTCCCGAGAGCTCGCCACGATGCATTCATCATCAGCTTGACCGAACAAAAGCCGAGAAATCGGAGATCTTTCAAAGTGGCCTTATGTTTGAAGTGAAAGATTCTCCACACAATACATGCCCGTTGATCGAAGAGGACAGAATGCAGGCGTTTATCTGCGGTATATACAATCAGTACCAAATAAAATCGACATCTTTCTTCCTACATAGAGAGCTAATATCTTCGTACCGTCAAGTAACTGCCACGCTCATTTTTGCACTCTAAGAAGGGGGTTGAATTCTTATAAAATCCAGACCAAGAATTGATATGTTCGACCATGCCTTCCTGTTTCCCTCCCGCGGAACCCTAAACAGAATCAATCAAGCATGATCAGTAGTTAGGCCAACTGAAGGATGGCCTTGCAAAATGCTGTTACGTGTTTTGAGGGAGCCCATATACGAGGAAATTGAGGACATGATGCTTAATGACGTCGAATGAGAGGTCGAGGATTTGAGCACAAATACAGCCGGACCAAGCCACTAAATTGACGAAAACTTTTATGTGATATTAAACCATGACATGACTGTTGAAATCAAGAGTCATGCCATCGAACAGAGTCAAAAGCTCCGTGGTCTAAGTCCAGTCGTGTCCATGGCTACAATCTGAGTCTCCTTCATCATGATTGGCGCCTTGGCTTTTCATGATGCTTTCTGCTTGATCATTTCCTTTCGCTGGGGTATGAGAAATAGTGAAATGAAATTCTTTTCGTGGATAGTTCTGTAAAGCTCTAAGCAATAGGCATCCGTCAAGCTATAGCCATTCGTCAAACCACAAGTGGGAGCTTCACCCTCGAGTAGCGGGCGTTCTCTATTACGTCTATTCCTTCAGCACCTCAAACTATGTAACCCGGTCTTGTATTCTTCGAAAACTTGCTTGCGCTACTCAGGGCCGTTAACACACCTTGGGAGCTCTGAATAACAGAATCTGTCTAATTGCATTCCTTGATGTTGCGAAGACTAGTCAATGAGGATAATTGGCGATTCCCATCAAAGTATCAAAAAAGTGTTTGATATGGTCGAGGAAGGGCATAAGTTGTGTATCAGGATGCTGATAGAGTCCGTCCGTCCAGAATTTTACTGCCCAGGACCTGCTCAGAGGTTTGCAGGATTTCTTCCGCGTAGGCAAGATTTTCCTCCTCACTCTTCCCAATCCTTTCAATATCTCTGCTACAATCTGTGCTTTGAGGCCTGTAGGTCTCTCAAATACTACTGCGAATATCCCGTATCATTTCTACAAAAATGGATCACGACTGGTACCAGAAACAGGAGATTGAACTCTGCAACGTGAGTCCTACATCCTGCTTGTCTGTCGAGGCTCCTTGTAGCTGTCAGACCTGGCCGCAATAGATAATCATCAGGCAACTATGGAGTTCTTCGGAGACTATGCTGCCTCTTATCCACGGTGGCTATTTCATTTTGACAGAATAATCTGGAAAAGCTTGGACTGAGTCTGTATGGCAAACAGTACTCGCCGGGTTACCACTCAAATCTAGCCCACCTTTGCCTTCAGTGTGTTGCTTTTACCTTAGGCAATTTCAAGCCGAATGTATTGATGACACTTATTTCTCACTTGTAGTCGTCATCATGGGTCATCTAGGGAATCACTTTGTAGAAAATGCAGAAGATACTTGGTACCTCTCATATACGCAACACTCACATCATTTTCTCCTAAAGGAGTCAATTTACGATTCAAAATATGATGGCTGCCAGAGTTGATAGGTCTTGAAGGAAAGTCCCTTGTATGCGCTCATGCGTGACAGGAAAGTTTCATGATCAGATATTATATGATGAGGCTCTTTCCCAATTGCAAGTTGTCGCTTCCTCTTGCTGGGTATTCCTCATAACCCATTACGCTGACTACGTCTTCGCCCAATTGACTCAATCTACTGGTTTATGGCCTGGCCCATACTAGCCCACTAACTACCTAACACCCAACCTGAAACGATGATCATGAGTAGCTATTCAAGGAATGCTTATTATTCCCCTCTCGGAAATTCTCTTCCCCGGCTTGAAGATATTGGGGAGCCAAAGCTCAGCGAGCCCGTTCTGGGTAAGCCTTTCCGAAATAATAGATTAAAAGGTGTTCGATCTTCAGTGTGGACTGTTCAGAGATCTAACACATTTGGAACGCCCAAGATTTTGCGCAACATGTATTCCCAGATCACGATGGATTCCATTACGTTGTCATCCCTTTTCAATGTATGCCGTGCGCGCAATGGACTACGCCCTATGACTTGATCTTCCTTTTACCTCGGTCGAAACGACTACGCTGCGCACCTGATGAATTGTTGGTTGCCAAGTCGACCCAATGATGTCCCTTGAACGCGCTTTTGCATGTTCTAAGACAGATGCTTTTCAAGCAGATTGAGACCAGCCTGCCTGTTGGAAATGACAGTCGATGGTCTCCTATGGATGTAAACCTTTGGAAATTGGCCCCGTAATGGTAGTCATTTTGAGCCTGCAACCAGAGGCAGAATCATATCTTTGGTGAATCAATATCTCCAGAATGAAAGGCTATTGAATGACGAAATTTGCTGCTGATTTCGCTGTGGCTCAAGGATGCAAGATGTCTGACCATCACCGATGTGGCTTTTCTTGCTTTGCTTATCCGTTGCGTACCAGTTCATTTCCGATGCCATTGATGAAAATCTTGAGAAATTGAACTCTGATCTGAGGTTACTCTACAAAGGACCCCGATGACAATACTTATGACTGTTTTCCCCTACTAAGATGGGCCGATCTTTGCAAATGTGTACTTACTAAGGTATAAGTCACATGCTGGCCACTTTTTCGTGTGTGATATACTCATTTTCTCCATGAATGTCTCCCAAGGATTATTTTCAACGTAGGTTCTATGATCGAGTTCAGCGAGTGCTCACTAATGAAAGAAATTGGGATTCGATGAGGGTGGACGTGATTGACCCGGCTGATCCATGTTTGATGAGAAATCATCTCGAAGCTAGAGGCGTGCTTATTGAAGCCGAGGCCATGCAAACTGATTTGATATCACTTGTATGAATGGGGTGTATTTGATTACCTTGAGCTTCATAGTATATCTTGTAAGAGGTATATTGTCGTGGAAGACTTGGGATCTTGATATCATTATTGCCAATGTGCCGGCTCATGGAAAGTACCTAAATGAGGGAATGCTTAACTCCATCTGTACAAGACTGAAAACGGTCACAAAAGCATGTTCTTAACCCACAAGATCGCTCCCTACCCTAATGACCTGCAAAACAAGTACTTCCAAGCTGAACCAGGCAAGGGGATACAGCATGGCACATCTTGAAAATAACACCTCCACCCAGAAATAATCTAAAGCAGGAACCCCTGGACAGATCCTCATAGCCAGGGACGGGACTTTCTATAGGATTTGGTCATCTCCACTGACTTTATTTGAAATACTCAGAGAGCGGATATTCCTACTTGACCCGCTCTCAACATCATTGTACCTGACCCGTGATCGATGACTGCGAGACAACCAACCTCTTTCACACAGTGTCATCACGATTCATTAGGAGTGGGATTTGAAATCAGATTGATCGAATGGGAGCCTGACTAATGAGTGATCGGAGTCTGTCAGACATTAACCATAAAAGATCTTGCTTACGGGCCAGTGTACAGGCCGCTAGTGTACTTGGGAGATAAGGTATAGCCCCCGGATGTCGTCATGCCCAGGGTTTCATAATATCATCTAGGGAAAAAAAACAATACCAACATCGCTAGGTCTAAAAAGGCAGCACCAAAAACCAGACTCTCAGACTCCATATTCACATTTACCTCTCACCATCCCCACCACCAGCTTTCCTCCCTCCACGTCCCCCGACTCGCCGCCCTCAAATCATCCACATTCAACATGTCCACCCCCTCTCGTTCTAACACTCTCCACACGTAATTCCGCAAGGCGGCCGGCCACCCGGGGGTACCCCAGTACCGCACCTTTAAGCCGCGCGCGTGAGCTGTAGCAATTTGACTCTGTACTTTGGTGAGCTGGTCGTTTGAGAGACGGCCGAGGTAGAGTGATCCGATGGAGTGACGGAAACTGACAGAGGCGTAGTAGCTGTTGTATTGGTTGTAGGGGGATATAGATGTGTTGGTAGATGATGATGTTGATGAAGGACGAGGGGAGAGTTTGTCGAGAGGCGCATCGTAAAAGATGTCGCGATAGGTGGAGTTTCCTTGGATGCGATCAAACGGTGCATCGCCGGTTGCCACGATCGTGAGTGGACGATGTACGATGTTCGACCCGTTGAAGTGTGTAAGGTAGCCCTTTTGACGCAGAGGCTCGAGATCTGCCATGAGAATGGGCCAGAGGGTCTCGGGCTCGATTTTGAAATCGATGAGGAGGATGAGAGGTTGGGAAGGTTCAGTGAGGAAGACGCCGACCGGGGCGAAAGTCTCCTGCTGGATGATCGACGCGGTGTCCTTGGACGACACATTATTGGCCGGGTTGTGTTGGTCCAGAATATTCAGAATAGGATCGAGATAGAGACTGCGCAGAGTCTGATTTTTGATCACCGTGCGCCTGGTGTGGCCAACGCGCAGATTCTTGCCGTCGGGCCAAATGTCGGCTTCCACGCCGGTGCAGCCCACGGCGAGGGCCGAGAAGAGCGGGACATGTCGCCAGTAGTCATTGTGAGAGTGACAGGCGATCGGGACGACGCCCTGGATGAGCTGATCTGTGAAGAGGTCCACGTCGCGACTGTCTGCCAGAGTGGCGAGGATTCTGTCCCATGCGAAAGAGGACAAACATAAGATGGTACTGCGCGAAAAGGGTTAGCACTGTGTCACTGTTACGGTGAAGCAGAAGGGTTGAGAAATCCACATACAGAACAGCGACCACGATCCAGAATGGTCGCCTCCACCTGCGGCGGAAAGAACTATGCTTTGTACAGCCGTTGGCTTCGCATCGACGGCGTGCACACCTCCACGGTGATAGTCGGTATATGATTGACTCTCGCCTCGTCTTGCGTGTCTGGATCTTCTCGTGAGCACCTGTGTCGCTGAATCCGTGTCCACCCACTTCACTCTCAGCGTCAAAATCCTGATCGTGGTCAAATCCATACTCCTGCAATAGATGAGCGGCTTCGTCCCTCTCCTCCATACTCTGCGCATGTGACGTGGGACTGTCCGGTGTGTCAGTCTCGTCCAGACGGACCTGGACCATCTCCAGCCCGCCTACTACACCCATGATCGACAACAAGGGTATGAAAGGATTGAGGAGCGCGAATGCAAGAAGAGAAAGCCCGGTGTATATGAGCCCACAAAGCCTCCGATAAGTCACTTCGTAGTGGTGTTCCTGCACGGGGGTGGCTAGATTCCTCTCGACTGTACTTCTTTTGAATGAGATTGGGGGCCGACTTGGGGCGAGACTCTTTGTCCTCTTTTTCTCTCTCTCTCTTAAACGGGGGCGTAGCACGGGGTTTAAAGTAAGCCACACACTAAAGCAACCGCTCGGCTGATTTGATCTGCTTGTGAAGATGGATGTTGCAGCTGCGGTCTGGACAATTTTTCTACTGGTGTGACTCGGCAGTTTGGAGGCGGTCGTAGGCCTTGGACACTGTAAGACGAAGGACTAAGTACTTTGAGGTCACAGTGTGACTGCGTAAGCAGGTATGTACCTGTGGGTGTCCCAATGCTTACTCCGAATTTGAGGGGGTCGAGACGAGAGCGGCTTGTGGTTGGTGCGATTGGGGGTTTAGACTTCCCCGAGAGCGGAAATGCGGTTGCCTAAGGGGGGAATGCGATCATGTTCGGAGACTTAAGGAAAGGGTATACCCAAGAGGAACTGCGACATTGACGATCGAGCGTCTATTACAGGATCAGTAAATGATATTGTACCGTGTTGAGAACTGGAGTGTACAGTACAATTACTGCACATTGAATGTCTAAGTTATTGTACAGTAATTTAGTATACAGGTGCTGAGGTGTCAGGTACGTGTCCTGACGTACCCCGCTGGCCGCGCGGCCATGACCTCCGATTGGGCATATTCAGCATGGAAAGAAACGGTGACGAGTACTCAGAAAAGGACATAAGCATTAATATCCGAGATCAACCAAAAGAACAGGGAATAGTCGAAAGTCCAGTGCCGTGTGCTTGTTTCTTGATGCTCCCGGTCCGTGACTCGACCGAGCTTGAAAGCTTGGTGCGAAAAAGGTAGTTTCGACCGAGATCAGCGAATGGGATTCGGGAGTACTTGGCCCACGCTCTCAATTACCAGCCAAAGAGAAGTACCTGCGTCGGCCCGTCGGAGACTCTGACTCGGTCGCCTCAGGGTCCAAGTGGGGGTCGGAGACTGGGCCCCTCCAAAAATAGACCGGAAGTCCGGGTGAATAAATGCTTGGCATTGCTTGGGTTTATTCGAGAAGCCTTTGACGTTCAATTGAAGTGGGGTCTTGGGAATGGAAAATGTCATATCTTGTAAACAGCTGGGCAGTCTAGTTCTACTGTTGTCTTGTCATCCTCGTCTTGATGAAAGAGATCTTACAATACACCAGCTGCAGGTTCAGAGAGTGCCAGGGATGATCTTGATTGCACCAATGAGACAATCCAATCTTCTGAAAATGAATGATTCGAAAGCCATGAGTTATCCTCAGCATATTACGTCACAATTGCCACTAGAAACCTCATCACGTGGGATGAGGTCGATGTGAGGTTGAATAGAAGACCCACGAAGCTGGCTCAAAGTCAAGCACCACAAACTTGCAATACTGAAGGCCCAATGCGACATCTTCAACCAAGCTAAATATTAGATCACTACAATGGGACAGAGTAACTTACTAGTAGATTATTTGGCATTGGTTAGTAATCTGAGCGATGTATAAAGATTGTAAATTATACCTATCCAGTCTATGTGTATGTGATTTGGCTTCTGACTATAATACATTCAAGGCTCAGCTACGCTTCTTTAGCTCCTCAGACCCGGTGACACCACTCAGTCAATCGCAACAGACGTATCCCAGTATGTATCGATGCACGTCGCCCGTCAAATTTACCTAATCTCCTCTTCTTCATCCCCCGTCTCTTCACGTGCAGCCTGCTTTCTAGCTTCCGCCTCTTTCCCAGCAAAACTAGCCAACATGCCCAAGTCATAAGTGACCTTCAAGCAACCCGCAATAATGAATGAGACGCCAAATCTGTTGTGTCGGGCCAAAATACCGGTCAACAGTGGACCGAGACTTTGACTAGTGGTCTTGACCACGTTGACGGCGCCCATGATCGCCGTACGCTTGTCCGCGGGAAGGGCTGCAGCGAGAAAAGCTGAGCGTGGTGCAACGTCCATGTTTTGGGAGCACGCGCGGAGAACAAGGAACGTGAGAGCTAGAGGGAGACTGTTGGGGACGGAGATGAGGGCCAAACAAATGGCGGAGGGCAGGTGGGTGAAGACCATCGTCTGAAGAAATGTTAAGCTGCCCGGTCGATGTGTGGAAGGAGGGAGAATAGATGTTCGATGGGGAGGGAGCAACTGACCTTGACGTTTCCAATACGCTTGGCGATGGACGATGCTATCAACATCGATGCTGCAGAGATGGAGCTGGTCACGAAGAAAATGGTTCCGAGCTCACCCTCGGGGAGGCTAAACTTGCGATGGAAAAAGTATGTCATCCAAGACCTGCGTGTGTGTCATGTCAGTAAGTTGAGCGTCATCTTCACACTACCACCGAGCTTTGAGAAGAGGAAACTGACAGAGAAGCAAGACCAGAGGCAAATGAGTCGATTCCGAACAGGATGAACAATCGAATGATGAGAGACCAGAGATCCTTTTCGACCGAAGAGAATAATGATTTCTTTCCATTTTTGGGTGATGAAGACTCCTGCGCCGCGGGTGATGCATCGGCTAGCAAAGGCTGCGTCTCGCCAGTGGGACGCTGTTCACGAGCTCGCTGCTTGTCCTCTGTCTCGACCTTGTGCGTCAAAGCAAGCGTGAGAACCAACTTGATCAGACCCACGCCCGCATATACGAAAAATATGACTCGGCACGAGGGGATAAACGTCCAGCCGTGCAAAGCTTGTAAAGAGCTGATCAACCATCCGCAGATCAACTGACCAAGCGCTGTACCCGCTGTACCTAGCAATGAATACCAGGCAAAGATGTCAGGCAACTTCTCCTTGGGACTGAGGTGCGCCAGTGTTGATTCTTCCACGGCGCGGAAGGGGCCGATTTCGTTTCCACTAGATGTATCACAAAATTAGCCAGCATTCCATCCTTCTTTCATCGTCTAACCAACAACGCAAAACCAGGGCATGACTGCATACCTCGGACTGATCACTCCAAATACCGCCGCCGCAAGAAGCACCCAGTAGTTCCCCGACATGGCAAACACCACACCACTGCCCGCCATCAGAGCTGAGCCCAGCGCCAACACAGCCTTTCGACCCATTGCATCCGCAAACAAAGTCAAAAAGAAACTGATCACCACATCGCCCACCAACGTCAAGGTCATAAACAAGCCAATGCGATCATCCGTGACTCCAATGGCCGAAAGATACGAAGCCAAGATCAACGTCGATCCGCCATACGCGAAGAGCCGCACGAAACGCTGAGCGCAGAGAAATTTGACGTCGCGAGGGGATTGATACATTGTGACGAGGCCGAGCTCGTCGAGTGCGTGGGTGAGGGCCGTCATGACGCGACTGCGTCCTGAGGCTCTACGATCATGGTGGTCTGGTTCTTGTTGCATTGTGAGGATGGCAGTTAGGTGCCGGGCCTGATGAGCCGTGATTTGATTCAATTGGAAAAGTACGAAGATGTACTGTAGCTGCAGGCAAGGCGGCGTCTTGGGGGCCAGAGTCAAAAATTTAAATTGTTGACAAGGGCAATGACGATGATTACATTTGAGAGCGCGAGTGTGTTGTCTTGCGGGGCGGCGGGCTCGGTATTCGGGCGAGGAATGTGCTTGAAGCAATTAAATCCGAGGTGCGGCTCGGAGTTTACGACTAAACGCTGCAGCAGATGCGGATGCGGATGGTTTCACTTTGAATTAGTGGGGATGGGGACGTTATCAGCATGTGGCTGTCAGTGTCCATAGCCATAGTCCGCACTCCACACTCCATCATCGAAAGCCATTAGTATGTGGCTAGTCACGCCTAATGAATATGAAAACCAGCCATGAGGTACAGTGCTTCGTAGGAGAATTCATAAGCATTTGATACCCTGGAGTCGACTAAACGGTCAACCATGTCAAGTCGCTCAGCGACCTGATTCACGGTTCAAATCCTTCTGAGTTACAAGTTTGTGATTTGAAGGCAAAATATTGATCCTGAAACTTCAGGCAACAGGACTCATATAGATTTGCTCATTTGATAGTCGTGGACCAAGTAGCTGTACGCTGATCACGTGGGTGGCGGTCACCTCTCTGGTCAGTCTACTTCTAGTATGGAAGTCTGTAACTACCGGATCTTTGTCGTCTCAGCTAAACGCCGTGCCTGAATTGCATTGATCTCGGCCACTTCCATCATGATAACGAGATTGGAATTTTCGGAATGTTTTATTTTATCTATCAGGTCCATGATTCAGCAGTACCAACCGGGGTCGAGAAATTGACATCGGCCGCGGGAACTTCCTAACGAGAGCCATCATTGCATCATGCGAGAACATTCATACGGAGTCAAAAAGTGAAAATGACGAGTATGTGCTTTATAAATACACAGAGAAGTAGAAAAGCAAATGCCACGCCTCTAAAAGGTACCAGAAATCCCCAAGACCCAACCCATTCATACAGTCCACATATTATCTTTTTTAAGCCTCCGACTTGGGAGGCCACTTCTGCCGCCTCTCAGCTCGCACATACAAGTTGTTGGGACGAATCAATTGGAACATGGGATCATATTCCACAGGGCCATCATTCTCCCGAGTGAACTTATACCGGTACAACAACTTAGGCAGGAAGACCTTGACCTCCTGCAGCGCAAAGTTGAACCCAATGCACATACGCGGGCCCGTCGCGAAGGGGATATAAGCCGCCTTGTGACGATTGCGCACGGCATCCGTGTCCCAGCGGTCGGGGTCGAAGCGAGCCGGGTTATCCCAGACAGCAGGGTTATTGTGGACGTGGTGGAGGGCGGGGATGACGACGGCGTCGGCGGGGAGCTTGTAGCCGCCGGGGAGAATCATGGAGACCTTGGCGGTACGGGCGGGTTGGTAGGATGGGTTGTGACGGCGCTGGGTTTCTTTGATGAACTTGTCCAGGAAGGTGAGTTTGTCGGTGATGTCGGCGGTGATGAGGGTGTCGGCATCGATGTCGTTATCGATGAGTTCTTGGAGAAGACGCTCTTGCATGCCGTCGTAGTTGACGAGCGAGTAGATCAGCCATGAGAGAAGTGAGCTGGTGGTGGTGAAGCCGGCGCCGGTGGCGACGACGAGAGCCTGCATGAGACTGGTCTTGGGGAGTTTTTCACCCTTGTTGTCGGTGGCTCGGATGGCGTAGTCTATACAGGAAAAGCAATCCAGTCAGCGATAGTTCGGTTATTGTGTGCAGAAGCCCACGAAGCACAGATATGAATAATCCTTTTGAGTATCGTAGGTGTGGAAACACTGGAAAGTACTCACCGATCATGTTGGACGCCTTCAAAGCAGCATCCTGTAGTGGTAGGTCCTCAACGCCTCCCTTCTCCGAGTTTGCAATAGATTCGTTGACCATCTCGATAATGCGCCACCTGGCATCCCGCAGCTTCTTAGGATCGCCAAACGGTAGCTTAGCATACCAGTCACCGCGCGCAGAAACCTTCTTGTTGAGCGTCAGAGACTCAGCAATACGGTAAACCAGCTCGTGAGGAGGCGCATCCGGACTCGTGAAGTGCTTGAAGTCAATGCCCAGCACCAATTTACCCACGGCCTGAGAACCAAGCTTCAACATGTATTGGTAGACGTTCCACGCCTCACCTGCCTCGTCGAGTTGATCGAAGACGTTGAATGCATCTTCAACGGTAGCTTGCATCGTCGGCGCATAGTGACGCACGGCCTTGGGACCCAAAGCCGGGGGCAGGAACTTGTGTACAGTCCGCCATTCGGGAGTATCGGTGTCACCGAGAAAGACGCCAGCCTCCTGGTTCTTGATCGGGTAGAGAGGATGAGCTTCGATGATCTTTTTGGTGAAAAAGTCGGACTCGGCAAAGACAATGGCGCTGAGTTGGGGGTCGTTGGTGTGATATATAGTGCGGCCCATATTTGTGGTCTGGAAGATCGGGCCATATTGATCGAAGAGACGCTGGTGGTTACCCAAGTGATCAGGGTAGACCTCAAAGTAGTTGCCAACAAAGGGCAGACCCTGGGGTCCGGGGACCTCTCGCACAGCCTTGCCATCTATGGAGATGGCGATGGGTTCTGTGGCAGAGTAGACATCGCTAACGCTGGGGAGGTCGGAGGAAGATGATTGGAATCCAATGCCTGCACAATTCATCAGCAAGATATTCCTGTTTGGCTCTTGCCTGCTTTAGGCCGATTTGTTTGAATTCGATCCGGGTATGAAGCTCTCTCTCTCGGACTTATTGTCTGTTGACGGGCCATGCATTCTTTTTCAATCCGCAACGTACCGTTAGGCTCAACAATGGCGAATTGGCCCGCAATCCAATGTTGTAGGCCTTCAAAGTCAAGCTTGTCATCAAGCTCGACATTTCGGGCTGTTGAGACGGGCTCGCCCAGCAGATAAAATTCCTTGACAACCATTTTGACTGTCAACCGACAAACTGAGGGAAAAGGATGTATGTACTTTTGAAACGTCTGTCGCAAAGAAGACGAGGAAACCACTCAAGCCGCAAGAGATTCGAGGCACACTAATATAAGCGGAATTTCCACAAATTTTAAATCACCTCTTCATCGATCCTGGTCCATTCGTTTTGTTCATTAGTCCTTCTCGACCTCTGCCCATCTGGCTCTGCATAATTCCTGGCGCACACATTTTTACGTGCCTCCTCTGGTGTTCCGTCGAGACTCGGACGGGTGGCCTGCCTCGGCACTTTCGCAGCATCTGTTTTTTTTCTTCTTCTCTCCTTAGCTCTGTTCCATCGATTTAGGATCGCGCGACCCACACTTGAGTGCCAAACAAGATATGATCGTCGTATCTTTCGAGCCCAGCGACCATCGAGGTCTCCACTGAGCCGGGCGGCGTCCCTGATCGGACACTTGGCGCCGTAGCGGACACGCCGATAAATGAGGAAATTGGGTTGTTTCGGGATGGCAAGTGGGCCGTCGGAGTCGGCGTGCCGTGGATTCTCGGGTCAGGGATTCGCATCGATTTTAAAGCGACGATTGTGGCTGAACTTTGAACTTGCGCCGAGGTTCATTGCCTCCTCTTCCCACTTTAGCTTCTATCGTTTCGTGGCTTCTGGAGCAACGAGTGGATAGATATCACCAGAGGCGCAAAGTTATGCATGATGAGAAGCGCATAGTCCAGCCAGCGAAAGAGAAATGGGAAAATTCTGATTGAATTGGGCAGGGGATAGCGTCGACTCGGCTTCTAGATCTAATAGCATTTATGTCTGGCACTCGGTGAGATGCTTAGTGATTCCGTTTTTCTTTTCCAATTTCATTATCTCTTTCTTTTTTTTCGCGACATTTACAAAATAACTTCAACTCTCTGCACGTGGACATCCGATACTGTTCCAGGCAGAGTACTATTATACGCCCACGTCCATTTTCAAGTACACCCAGAATGGCCGCCTCAGAGACAACAGAACTCAAGGCGCAATGGAAGGCCGATACGGACCTGCCTGAATACTCAATGCAGGATGTCGCGGCACACAACTCCAAGAATGACACATGGATCGTCATTCATGGGCAAGGTAAAAATCACAGCTTCTCTCGTGTGGTCTAATGAACAGGACCGAGAATGGCTCACACTGTGGAAAATCTAAATAGTCTTCGATATCACCGAGTATCTCCAGGACCATCCCGGTGGCGCAGAGATTCTGGTCGAAGTCGCCGGTAAGGACGCGACTGCGGATTATGAGGATGTTGGTCACTCTGAAGACGCTCGCGAGATCATGCAGCCCTACTTGATCGGCGTTCTCAAGGATGCGCAGCAATTTGTGCGACCCAAAGCTGTGCGCGTCGTCTCACAATCGACCCCAGAGGCTCCCAAGTCATCCTCATCAATAGTCGGTCCCGTCGCTATTGTTACCGGCACGTTAAGTGCAATCCTGCCCGCCTTGTACATCTACAGGTCCAACTCCCACCTCTCCCACCGACTGTCAAGCTCAGTCGCTCATCTGATCCCCCGCCAACTGAAGGGCGTGCACCTGCCCCGTGGCGGCTTCGTGAATGGCTTCCTCGCCGCCAGTCTGATCAGCGGTGTCGTGGGCTTCTACGCTGCTAAGCAGCTTAACCGTTTCACCAAGATTGAATCCAACTTCATGCGATACCCCCCACGCATCAAGGCGAAGAAGGTCATCCGGGCCGATCCCCATTTGATCCGCGGCTTCCTCCAACCCCAAACCTACCAGGATTTGCCTCTGATCGCCAAGGTGCCGCTGTCCCCCAACGTCTATCGCTTCGTCTTCGGTCTGCCCGACGCCAACGCCGTCCTCGGTCTGCCGATCGGCCAACACGTCGCCCTCAAGGCCGAAGTCAACGGCACCACCGTGACCCGCTCCTACACTCCTACCTCCAACAACCTGGACCGCGGCCGCGTCGAACTCGTCGTCAAGTGCTACCCGGACGGCCTCATGAGCCAGTACCTTGCCGGCCTTGAGATCGGCGACAGGGTACCCTTCCGTGGCCCCAAGGGCTCCATGAAATACACCAAGGACATGGCCACCCACATCGGCATGGTCGCCGGTGGCACCGGCATCACCCCGATGTACCAGCTGATTCGGGCGATTTGCGAGAACGACAACGACACCACCCAGATCAGCCTGGTCTACGCGAACCGCACCGAGGCGGATATCCTGCTCCGTGAGGAACTGGATACCTTTGCGCGCAGGTATCCCAACAACTTCAAGGTCTGGTACATGCTTGATTCGGCGCCCCAGGGCTGGGCATATGGCGAGGGCTTTGTGAATGCCGATGTTCTGCGCGAGCGCATGCCTGCGCCGGGTGCGGATAACAAGATCTTGCTGTGTGGTCCTCCTGGTATGATTGGTGCTACCAAGAAGAATCTGGCTACATTGGGCTTTAAGACTCCTGGGTCGGTGTCGAAGATGAGTGATGAGGTGTTTTGTTTCTAGATTAGGAGGGTGACTTGTAAAAAATTGGGAGTGTTGCATCATCTTGTATAGTAGTATAACAAATTTCAACACAGAACTGGCAACACCATACTGCGCGAGAAATAATCCAAACTCCAAAGTATGTCCACCTCAATGACACTGTATTTGGAATGGATCTCAAAACGGTAGCTTTCACTTCACAAAACCCAAATTCCTGCAAAATCGTCGAATGCGTATGCACTAGGCATTATGCGTCGTTGCGTACGCACTATGCACAATTGCCCACCACCGACGTTATCTCGCAATCTGCAGGCGCCCAGTGGACGATTGACCCGCTAACCTAAACAGGAAACAGCCGAGGTCCCTCTTGACCGCAATCTCCATGAGGATACCTTAAATCAGTCGCACCCTCAAAACCCTGACACTACAAAAATAGATCAAAATAAATCAAAAAAGCTTCTGGAACCTTTCTGCTCTGGTGGACTGCCGACCACCAGCAGAACCCAACTTTTTTTCGGCGCGCTGTTGATGGGCGAGCGAGTGATTTAATATCTCTCACTCATGCAGGGACACTGAGAAGAACAGCTCGATCGGGAAAGCTGTGCATTCGTCAATGTAGGTTTCTGGTCAGTACGGTTACTCATTCAGCACTTGCCACTGAGCACTGAGCAGTATTGTTATTTGTTATCAACAGGGACCTAGTGCAAAGCATTGCAGCCTCCGTAGAACAGACACTGCCTGGCAGAGACAACAGTGGAGCTCGCCTCGGCCCGGTTGTACGTAGCCCATGCAGGTATCAATATCAATATTCCCATCTCTCCGCCTCCCCGAGGAATCAATCTATGTCCAATAATCGAATTGCCGAAACTTCGCGAGTCGTTAAGCGACGTAAAGCCTCTATGAACATTCGAAGTCATCGTCTGGGATCGGTTATGCCATACGGAAACCTGAGATTCGCCTAAACTTCGTTAGTCAAATCTTAGGACTCGAATCAAACCTGCATCTTACGTACATATTGCCAGTGGTCTAATTGTAGATCATCCTTGAGATCCTCGACATTTGCGGCACCGCTTTACGGCGAAGGACGTCTCTAAAAGTTGAATGAGTAATTAGTCCATCAGGATCTATGTCTGGGTTTATCAAACTTACTCAAAATCATTCAAGAACTACGAAACTGAGCGCGGACATCGTCACGCTCAGGGAAATCTAGACTCCGAAAGTATTCCTGTGTAAGGGATTCGCCAGGGACATTTTTCCAACTGATATCCTTCATAAAGCCTCCGAGGATAGGTCAATCTCTTTCTTGTTTCTTTTCGCCATAGCCGAGATAGCGTGGAACGGAGCTACAGTTTTCGGTCTATGAAGAGCTTATACGCTTCTGATTCTCCAATAGTCTGATCGGTATTCAGATCAGCTTGTCGAGCTCTGGTGTCCGGATTTGCCGGCTCGGTTCCTGAGATAGGTATCAGATAATAAAGTCGCATGAATGCGAACTGGCGCAGATCATCCTCTCGATGGCACAAGAATACACCGACAGTCTCGGGCGTCCCAATCTGCTTCTCGACTTCTTCTAACGTTCAGTAGTTCGCTCTTTTAAATACCTTTTCAATCAGAACCTAATTAGAGCATAGCCTCTGAAGCGGTAAGCTGGAAGCTGCGGCGACGGTTGATACCGTAGAGGCACAAGCCATAACATGAGACCTGGACCCTGGTTGTCAAAAAGTGGCTAGCGAGGCCGGACTCCGGAGGGAACGAGAGACTGGAGGGAGTTGGTCCTGGAGGTGGAACCTCACAGACTGAAGCGTCACGGGAAGCTGTAGGAAACGAAGCCAAGGGGCCATACTTGCCAGAGGCGGCGGGGCATACGGCCCGTTGCTTCTGACGGTCGATATCGTCGAATGTGGTGAATGTGGTTCCCACCGAGCGATTGAGAATGCAAGCATCGAATTTACTTAGACTCGTCGTGTGTGGCGTGATTGTATTTGATGGTAGCGGGACAACGTGGAAGATGCTCTTGGATTCTTTGATGCTGGGTGTTTTGAAGAGCGTGCGAGAGAAGCGTTGTCATGCCAAGTTACACGCTTTTTAAGGGAGGTCATAACCCTTCCGAACTGGTCGGTGTCATGATAACGTGATAACGTATATTTAACATCTCCTGATTCATGTCTACCATTGACTAGCATACTCAATGAGCCCAGAAACAGGCTTGTCCCACCTCTTAAGGATCGATCAACAGACTAGAGCTCACTGGTTGATGCCAGTTCTTCTCTCAATCGTCACCGCAAAAGATGTATCAGGACTAGACCTTGCAAAAGCTCGCGAGCTGGACTCAATACTCGGTGGTGGTACGTTACTCTTAGAAGTCAAGCGGGCTTGAAGGGTCCAGGAACGAGCACCATGACTAAGCAGCTGATTTCCGCTTTGAACGTGACCTCCACCGTCGCTGCGGAACTCAAGTGGACCCAGTCGGCTCCCAAGGAACCCGAACGGCCGAAGCCGGGGTCTAACGCGTTTAATAGAGCCTAAGCTCTCTGACGATCTGCAACCTCAACCTCAACCTCAACCTCAACGGCCAACCAACGAATCTCGTCCAGTCCTCGCACCATGGCCGAACACCCATCCTTCACCCTGGCCGCTCTCCGTAAGCTCCCAGTCCAAGCATTAACGTGTAGAGCGAAACTACGGAATCCATACTTGCCGAGCATTACTAACTCGTAACGTCTGAAAAGTCCCCGCCGGTGGTGCCTTGGGATACTTCAAGACACGCTCTGCGCCGTCATTGATCGCGGGTGTTGGTCTTGGTCTTTCATATGGATATGCCGGTTCGTTCTCTGAGATCTTTGCTATGCTAGGCTTTCATGTTTTCATACTAGTGGCGGTGCCGAGCTGAGCTGAGCCGAGCTGAGCCGAGCTAATTGAATGTTACCAGGCTACCTGATCAAAGAAAATAAAGACTACGGAACCGAGCTGGCGCTGGGGAACAGTGTCCTCTTACTTGGGTCCGCGATTCCGCGCATCGTCAAGACGAGAGCTAGAGCTCCGATGCCGTTGATTCTTGGCGCGACTGGTCTTCTGGCGGCGTTCTATTATCAGAAGAAAGTTCGGGAGTTCCGGTTTGGTGTTTGATTGGGAGGAGCGGAGAATGGGATGGCGGGTTTGAACTTTTTTGGGTGGCGATCGCTCTCGCTCTGTATGAGTGGTTTGAATGGAAACGGAAATATCAGTGTGCAGGATCGTGTTGATATTGTATGAGGTACGGATTTAGTGGGATCGTCTCGGAATTGCATGTACTCATACAAAGAGCCGAATTACAATTCAAATTCTTCAAAGTGAATTGTATTCGAGTCAGTCATCTGATCTTCGCTCCCGTCTGCTCGCTACTTGCGTCATTATTCATCCAACATAATTGAACGAGTGCCCAAGGCCACACCCTCTTCAATCAATCACTGCTCCCGTACCGGCTTCTTCACATTCTTGTCCACCCCGAGCCACAAAAGGTCCGGTCTACTATAATGCCCACAGACATCGATAAATGCCCTCGACTTGAGCACCTCGTTCAGATCCAGCGTCGCATAGATGATTCCTTCCTCGGTCTCGGGCAGATCTGTCGAGATCTTGCGCCCATCTGGGCCGAAGATGGCGGAGCTTCCACCGCCCGGTGAGCCCATGATACATCCTGGGAGGGTCTGCATGCGGTCGATCCCAGCTTGACTGATGACGGCTGTGGTGTGGAGTACGAACGTCTGGGATTCGATGGCGTAGGTGCTGGCGATGGCTTGAGTTCCTGCAATTACTTCGGAGTCAAAGGTTTGATTCATTGAGAGCCCAAATCTTATCCTTTTCTTTCATGTCAGAACCCCGGCAGGCGGATACACTTACCTTGTCGAGACATGGACCAAAGCTCCTCACCCCCGGTATGATCGAACAACGGAGGCCACGCCGCCACATGAATCTGTTCTCTCTGCGAATAAGTGTGGTACTTGAGTAATGGCTGCGTATGCTCCCAGCAGGACAATGCGCCGATCCGAGCAACCGCGGTATCCGCCACACTGTCCAGACACTCGGCCGATGCGTCTCCAAACACGGTTCTCTCCATATGAGTGGCTTTGATCTTGGAGCGGGTGGTGACGATCGTACTGTTCGAGTCGATGATGGCTTGCGAGATGTAGAGTGAGTGATGGCGGTTCTCGGCAAAGCCTAGAATCACGACGATTTTGCTGTCCAGGGCGCACTTTTGGATCCGGGCCATCTGGGGAGAGTCTACCTGCAGAGAGTTGAGAATGTACTCGGAGTGCAGCTGCGGGTCGACCGGGCGTGACCTGGTGAAAGGGTGTCAGTTAAGAAAACTGAAAGGAGTCGTCATCGACAGCTATTCTCTTTTTGCAACTGTCAAAAGGCCAGTCGTTGATCATTGTTTCATTGTCACGCATGGGACGTAGATCTGCCTACCATATCCACGCAGGATAACCAGGAATCCAGCACTCGGGGAACGAAATCACCTCCGCGCCATTCTCGGCTGCTTCTGTGATGAGCGCGCAAGTCTTTTGCACGGTCGCTTCCAAGTCAAGCCAGACCGGCTCTGCCTGAGTCACGGCGACTCGAACGTGGGTTGTCTTAGTCTGTGTCATTGTGGACAGGTTTGGGAAGAATATATCCCTCCAGCTCTTGTTCCAGATTTGGATTGACGCGGCAGCAGCGTATGGACTCTGATAATTAACCTGAAACTAGGGTTCCTCGCTTATAGTAGTGGAAGTCTGTTCACGCCGTCAGAGTGATTTCGACTCGAACATATCGATGACCGAAAGAGATACCCTCTCGATCTCACTGGCGGAGAACACTCCGGGGCTCTTTATACCTGTACCCAGGGAGGGTACACCACTCCTCGTATGGTCGATTGTGGAGAGTCTAATCGAGAGCGATCAGCTTTGACTTTTTCCACTCGTGTGACTCCGCTGAAGCACTCGAGTCGAACTACTCGTCTACTACTACGACTACTACTGCGACCGTAGGTATCAGACACGTCCCATCTGCCAATCTCACCTCAGCTGCAGTCCCGGTCCACGTCAACCGCGGAATTGATCCCACGCCGACCTCCGCCCCGCTCACGAGAACACAAGCTACGAGTCGCGAGTCGCGACTCGCGACTGCCCGCAGTCCATTCGGAGAGTTTCCACAGATAAGACGTGTCTGCGTCTGTCCCAGTTTGTCTGACTCGTCTGGCCTTCGAATATGGGAGTGGCGACTGGCGATGGGCGACGGGCGAGTATGGGAATGTGTTTTCCCCGCTTTGTCGTGTCCGCCAGCCACCTGCAATGTGCTAGTCAACTAACTACTTGTAGTGAAGGTACCTGTGCACTACCGGGGACTAAGGTCAGTGTGTAAATGTACATGTACATGTACATGGCGGAGTTTTTTCCGTTTGATGCGCTGGGAATCAGGGGTGTTGTAACTTATCTGCGCTCTCTTAATAGTACCTTAGGTAGTTACCTAGGTACCTAGGTAGGTACGTAGCCAGCGCTCGCTTATCAACAGACAGACATAAGTGTAGGACCTACTAATATCTAGGCCGGCGTTATAACCTCTTATTTCACCCCAATATCCCAGAACATGCTTCGCCAGATTCGCCAGCGGCCAGCCTCGCCAGTTGAATTTGAATTAAATCTCAGCCCAGTATTATAAAAGAACGAAAGTAAAAGCTTGCACCGTGCAAAGCCCCACTAAGTTGATCATTTTTCGGCTACGACTTGATCACGGGAGGATGAGGAGTATACCATCCGAGGTAAGTAGGGGGTAGTACAGTAGGAGGTAGACAGTAGAAGTGCAGGGGATTGAGTCCAGTCACGCAGATACTTGGGCAGGTTAAAGGTACTGGTAGTCAGATTGTACTCTGCCGTCCCGATCTCAATTCTATTGCTAGTTCCTACCAGTACCAACGCTCATCGTATTGTGTTCGAGAGCCAAGATCGCTGCTGTTTACTTTCGCGCATCTCTGGAGTCTGGATACTATACTAAGCTCTTACTGATCCTCAGTTCTAGCCATGGGGCAAGTCAAGTTCACTGGGGATAAAGGGGGGAGATTGCGAGAGATGGGTGGTGGTTTGTGATTGGGAGGGAGAGGTTTGGGTTATTGCGTTGTGTGGTAGAGGATTGGAGGGGGGAGGGATCCGAGGGAAGTGGTGATGAGGAGTATGGTTTACTATTGGATTGGTGTTCTGCTTCGATCAAGGTCAACGGGTGAATGGCCGGTCTTGGCTGGTGGTTGAAATGACTCGAGACTTGATTGGGATGGAAAGCTATTTTTTGAATGGATTGGTATTGACCGAGGGAGAGTGATTAGGTACAAAACATTAAGGTCGATGAACACCACATTCTATCTTTGCAGAAAAAGATGTCACGATATGCATAACATGATCGCACGGGTCGAAAAATCAAAACAGCGTCACTCGATACCAACGTTCGTCGTCATGGGCCCACCCTTAAGGTGAGGACCGGAATTATTATTGGGCTCGTCCGATCCCCGCATCCTGTGGACCGTTCTGGGGATTGTGCTGCTGGGTCTCGGTCGTAGCGTCGTTTGCAGGGAGAGAGGTGGTCGCCGATCCAGGTCGTTGAAGCTCAGCGCTGTGCTCGGCTCCTTCGAGATCGGCGGCCTGCGTCGACCTCGCGGGGTGAGAGACATGCTGCTCGCTCGGGAGGACCTGGCTCATCTCTGGACCCGAGACGTCAGACGCAGCGCGCTGATCCAACGAGCGCGCCGGGGTCAAAGGTCCATTGACATCTTCCTGGGAAGCGGTCGAGTCCAACAAGGGCGGCCCCATGGCCGCCCCGGGGTGTTTGCCCGGTCTCTTGCTGGGAGTGACGCGCTCAGGGGCGGGGCCCAAGATGGTCGGGTACCTGTAGCGGAAGCCCCATTTCAAAAAGAGGGTGAATTTCTTCCAGGCGCCGAGTCTCTTCCAGCGAGCCTGGAGGACGGCGGCGTCGTGGGCGTTGCGGGAGCGATAGCCCCGGCGGAAACAGAAGAGACACAGACAGGTCAGGGGGATGATCATCAGGGCCCAGCAGACGGGGAGACCGCGGCGAGTCTGCCACCCGTTCATCAGACGGCGGAATCGGAACCAGGCCTCGATGATGCCGCAGATGAAGAAGAGGCCGGCCCATCCAAGGATGCCGATGACGATGATGGCCCACCACGTCAGGCCACCCCAGGGAGAGCCGTAGTCGCCGTAGTCATAGTTGCCGCTGTACGAGCTCCCGCTGTAACCTTCATACGCGCAGCTGTAGTCATTGGAGTCGTACAAGGTTCGCGGGTAGTAACTGCGACTCAGCGAAGACAGCGTTGCGCTGGGGACCTGAGTCGGATCGACCCAGATGAACTCGTAGACGGAAGTGGTCGATGTAAAGGCCCCGTCATTGACCACGTTGTACGAGGTCGAGACCGCCGTGGTGGGGAGCAGGTTTTCCAGGGTGTGCCCGTAGTTATATGGAAGCGTGATGGGGACCGCCGTGGTGGTTGTCCATTGAGTCGAGCAGGCCGTGGGCGCCGAGTAGGTCATGTTGACCACCCAGATCGTCGAGACCGAGGTGGCCGGGTTCTGATTACCATAGTAGTTGATGGTGTTCACAGGTGGCGTTCCTGCGGCCCCGGACGGGTACAACTCGTTGACCAAAGTCACCGTATCTCCATAATAGGACTCTGTCTTGACGATGGTGTTGGTTTGAATCGCCTCGGGAAGCGAGGTGGCGGTTGGAACGATCTCCTCGTAGGTCGTCTGGGTGCTGAGAAGATAAGCCTGTTTGGAATAATCATAGACACGCTCGGTGGCTTGGACTTGCTGATAGTGATCGGTGACGATCCACGGGGCGCTCAGAACGAGTGGAGACAAATATGCCAGAACGAGTGACAGGATCTTGATCAATGAGAGTGTGGGCGCCATGATGAGCAGGCCCGGCTGGAGCGAAAGGATATCGCAGAGAAGCGATCAAATATTACAACGGGCCAGGTGAATCGTTGCATGAACGACGAACCACCACAGTGGGCAAGCACAACACACACAAAACACACACGAAATGGAGGATGGAAAGGGGGAAACAAAAAGGAAACAAAAAGGAAACCGAAGCGAGGCGAGAGCTGACGAGGGAAAGGAGAGGTTTTCTCACGATGCGGCTCTCGTGATGAGTCGAATCCAGCCGCTACGGAGCACAGACTCTGAGACTACAGACTGGACATGCCGGCACTGGGCAGTGGCACTGTAGTGAGTAGTGAGTAATATCTTCTTCTGGGGGGATTGGTAGATTGCTCTCCGCGAAGAGATCAATAGACGAGGAGCGGCTATGCCTCCAAGAGAACGTGCCAAGACAGCAAAGGGCATGCTTTCACTCTAATTCGCGCCACCCAAGTCCAACTTTACTAGTGACTAGACCGCGATCAGTCGGCCCCCCAAAATCAAATCTCAGGGTCAAAAGCCAAGCGGGTCAAAAGCGCTGGATGCTGGAGAATCGGACTCGGGAACTCTAGTAAACTTGTCCAGCAGGTACAGTAGTCATCAGATTTCTCGCTAACAAGAACATTCAGAGAGTCAGACTCAGAGTTGTTTGAGTCTTACGATCCACGGGAATCTACGACTCCACCGCTTGGTTGAGTCCGAATGAGGCAGTTGCTGTCGTTTCACGGGTGGCCCGCGATTGGCGGGGAGGAGAAGTGTGGAGCTCGGGGGCGGAAAATTGGGGTGCGGGTTGCCAGTTTCATCGACGGTTGGAGGGTCTGACCGGGTCCCCTTTTTTGATCCTCCGATCGGATCAGGGAAGCATGGTGCAGCGCGCAGGACAGGAGGAGTATCGAGAACTCAAGAAGAAGGTCCTGCACGGACACGCGAGAGTCCCGATTCGGTGAAGCGTTGCGAAGACGGTCCACGACCGGGTGCTACGGACCCGTGCTACGGACCGTGGTCCATGACGGATATTGTCCAGACGCTGGGAGTCTGGTCTGAAAGAGGATCCTAGAACCACAACCACACCGAAGGAGATGCATCTTTCAAGTTAGGGTTCGGATGATCTCTGTAGAGTACAAAAGATGTATGACCGGTGAGTGGTGACTACGATCGTATCCTTCAGTGTAAACGACAACCAGACACAAGCTGGAGGGGATGAAGCGAGATGACCAGTGAGGAAAATCTAATCTTCCACCTACTGTAACGCGTAAGCAACCAAGTCTAGGTCTAGCAGGCCACCTCGTCGCACTGCGATGCGGATCCGAAAGGGCAAAATGACATACCATGCAGAGTGACCGTCGAGGGGCAAATACGCTGACCAGGTCCGGTGCACTTAGACGCAAGACGATCCATCACTCCCTCTGCTCTCTTGCTTCATCCAAGGATTCAAGCAAAGTCGTGTTTCCACTTGCCGAGACTGTCACAAAGTATCTATTCTCCGGTTGACGTTGTACCTTTGTCCCGAGTGGGGATGTTGACTATGATATTACTATGATTTTATCGCCTGTCGGGCAATTCACTCCATGGATATGTAGACATCAAATCCACCACCACGGGATAAACATGGCATAGATCACACATTCTAGAAAAGCTCGACACGCGTAACCCGAATCCTGTCGACGGGAGACTACCAAACATCGGATCATCGACGACAAGTCAGCAGTCGCGACACTACCGCGGAGCGGCCATGTTGGAATCAGAAATCCAATCAACATACATGTCTAAACACATTCCAATATACATATAAACAGGTATCCCATCAACCCCCTATTGAGAAAGACTAGCTAGTATCCATAACTACCTACCTGTAGCCTACCCGGAACCAGAAACCGCCAATCCATCCCATCCCGAGCACGCCCGAAAGTCAAGCTCCCCCCCCCCCGAAGAGCCAGTACCCAACATTGAACTCCCGACGTGACTCCCCCGCAACCACCACCCAGAAACAGAAGATACGAGCTCCCCATCCTTGAACCTTCACGAATCACTACGCGGGCCGGGGACCTTCCAGTCGACACGTCTCTGATCGTGTGAGTCGTGAGCCGTGAGTCGTGAGTCGTGAGTCCGGTCTTTTCTAGGAATGAGTCCTTGATTCCGACGTGTGGATGTTTCTGTTTTGTCTAGGCGGGGCTCTCTTGTACATGGTTTCGTGTCTAGTCTTGCGCCCTACGGGAGCTTTTGTGCTTACGAGTTACTCGTGGGTAGTTGGCGATATAGTCATAGTCGTGGGAGTGCGAGCAGATCGACGACATCCATGGAAGCAAGTCTCGCCTACTTGCCCCTGCCCGCACCTCTTCGAAAAAAAAAAAACTACGAGATTGGAACGAGTACAGGTATGCCTCGATTGGCGGTTCAAACACAGACACAATATAGATAAAGAGGGATATCTATCCATCCCGGACAACTGGAGTAATCCGAGACAAACCATGACGCCTGCATAGCACAAGGGAATCGAATATCAAGCGTGGAGTGAAGCGACGATACAGCATGGAGGCGAGGCGTAGGAGAGTAAGCATTTGATCGGCTGAGAACGGCTCGGCTCCGGCGGAGCAGGTTCGTTCCTAGGGCAGGACCAAAGGAAGGTAGCGTGGACCAAATGGGGGGAAGACCGAGGTAGATAGACAGCAGAGGGTCATGAAGGGAGGATATATAAAAGAGAGTGGGGGTGGGGGTGGGAGGGAGAACATGGGACTGGACTGCGATGATGTCCAGTCAAGGGTATATCGAATATCGAGAGTCCGGAGCAGCCGTGATGGCTGAGCAGGTAGGAGGAACAGCCTTGGACAAGACAGGGAAACCCCCACTCTTCTGACCATCCAACTGCGTTCCTCAAGCGACTTCTCCAATCTTAATTGGCAGCTCTCAATGCCCTCAACCTCGCACCCAGCCCATCTTCCACTTCCCCATGCGCCCCCTCCGACACCTTCGGTTCCTGCACCCTCCCCCTCCGGCACCTGTCCAGCCTCATCCTCCAACGCCATCCTCCACTCCACCCCAGCATCATCCGCCAACTGACCCATCAACGCATCCACCTCGCCTTCTCCCTCGGCCCCATACTCCGCCATACTCACCCCCGCCGCCACCTCCTCGATCGCCGCCCCCGCAATCTTAAAGTCCTCACTCCGCTGCAGAAAATTATTCGCATGAGCCACCAAATGCTCCAGATTCACACTCTTGCTCGCGGCGTCCAAGCCCCGGCTCGCCAGCGCCAGCGTGCGCGATGTGTCGCGCGTGCTTTGCGCCGCTTTGAGTTCGTTGATGATCACGTCCGCGCGGGCGGCCTCGGCCTTGAGCGAGACTTGCCGGCGTTTTTCGCGGACGGCGGACGAGGCGTGGATGCGCGCGATTTGAAATTCGCGGGCTTTCATGGCGCGGTCGGCTTTGGCTTTTTCGGATTTGAAGGTGGCTTCGGCGCGGGCGGCTTCTTTTTTGAGTCGGTTGGAGTGGAGCTGGGGATGATGTTAGTGTGATGCTTTATTGCTGTTGAGTGGTGTGTATGTGTATGGAAATGTGAGAAGGTGTGGGTTGATCCCTGATGTGGTGTGAAGAACGTGAGGGGGAGGGAGGGGAATCACGACGATCATTGATAGCGGGGGGGGGGGGGGGGGGAAAGCGAAGATCAACAATAAAGGACAGAGCATATGATAATCACCTTGACATTGGTGCGAGCCTCAAAGATGGGATCCTTGCGAACCATGATGGATGAGTATGGCGCGGTGGTGCGCTGGAGAATATCTGCGTGAGAGGGAAGGAAAGAGAGTGTTTGGAGGAGGAGAAGATTGAGACCGAAGCGGAGGGCAGACAGCAAGTTGGATGTGTGGCTGAGACGAGGACTCGGCGCGGAGACGGAGAGGAGTGGCAAACGTCACCGACCGCATTCAGGCCTTAGCGCCGATAACCACAATTGCCGGTGGAGGTAGGCGACGGGGTTGATAAGGTGGGAGTAGTCTGCTCAGATTGAATCGTTTCGATCGGTGGATTAAATAGACTAGTGAGAAATGGAGTTCTCGAACAGAGCAGTCTCCGAACGATACTTGAGGCTTGGAATGATGATCTGTGCTCTGAAAGCAGAATCTGGATTCCACTGCCAGGGTTTTGTTACTTTTTGTAACGGAACGACTATTACTCCATCAAATTACATCAACTACACATACTACACAATCTATCGATACGTTTCAAGAGATCAACTCGATCGAGTCCAATTTGTGGATTTCGAAGAGAAAAAATAATAATAATAATCGTAATATACAGCCCAGAAAACGGACATCAGACATGGTGACTGATTGTGATCATCCTCCAATGAGTGACGGTTCCCCGCTTCCATAACCCGTGCGCAACCTTATAGTTGTTTGCTAGACAGGACCGACGACGTCTCGCCGGTCGCTGTTGATGAACTCCATGAACTCCGTCTGCTGTGTTGATCTTGATAAATGTGACTGATCTTTCCGTAACTGCGTCGTCGACCGATGCCCCGAGGTGAGGTTCTTTTTCCAATGCCCCGAGACTTGACAGCCGACGTGGATGACAAGATTTGGTTTGTCTTTGGGATCGCTCCCATGGCCCGTCTGCGTCGTCGCGACTGGCCGGTGATACTATCGATCGCCCATGCCATGGTCAATAGGGACGTCCAAGAAGGTCGACCGTCCAACTGCGTGTCCGACGCCGCTCCTTGCGGGTTGAGGGTCTGCTCCCTAACCGCTAGCTGCAATGCTCTGCCCGTCGCATCGCGAAGAGGACGCGCCAAGGCTGGGCTGCATGCAAGCAGTCGGGTGAGCAGTCTCATCCGAAAGAACGGGCCGGTCGCCGTCGAGGGGGACAGACTCGGGGTCGAAATCAACCAATGAATCAAAGGGAAATGCTGATAGATCGCCGCCGTCGAGAGCGCCAAAGGCGAACCCGTCTTCAGGGAATGAAGGATTTGAAGCAGTGGGAGAGTCACTGTGGAAGAGGCGACGGAAGTCATCGTCAGAAAGAGGAGCTGTAACGTCGTGGCTAGCGTGAGCTGGAAGCTCGAGGTCGAAGAGGGGGAGAGCCCCGCTGGAGCTGGCTCCGACTCCTTCGAGGCCACCGACGGACACTGCAGGTCTGATGGGCACAACACCGCGGCAGGATGTTGTGTCACGTCGGAGGCCTCAGCCAGAGTGGAGGGCTTGAGCGTGGGGGAGTATTCGAGGTTGACGGTGGAGGGAGTGGGGAAGGGAATCCGGTCCATGAGGAGATCTTCGCCTTCTTGTTTGAAGAGGGTGGGTGTGAGGGTAGGAGAGGTGATGGCGGGGTTGGTCATGTTGATGGAGGGAGCCGGAGCCGAAGTCGTGGCGGGGGCGGGGGCGGGGGAGGTCGTGGTAGTGGTAGTGGTCGTCGTCGATGCAAAGATGATGGCGGGACCGGGAGTGCTGGCCTTGACGGGGGTGCTGCTGCGAGAGCCGCGCACCTCGGCCGAGAGCTGAGCGACCTGTTGGGACAGGCGGTTGTTCTCGGCTTCCATCTGAGCGAGGCGCTGCAGGAGGAACTCGTTTTGTTGTTCCATCCGGATCTTCTCGGTTTCGAGCTTCTCCATCTCCAGGCGTTTCCGTTCGCGGGAGGTTTGTGCGGCCGCGCGGTTTCGAAGCACGCGCTCAATGCGGCGCTGCTCCTTTTCATCTTCGGTCTTGGCTCGTTTCCTGTGAGATGGATTAGTGAACCTGCATGGGACGAGGCGGGTGTAGGTCCACCCGACTTGTCGGGAGGGGGGTGGATGACATACCTGGGAGGAAGGTTGGTCTTGGGCACTGGGAGTTCCTGACCCCATGACTTTCTCTTCTTCACCGGCTTCTTCTCGTCCTCGTCACCGGGGGCTGGTGTCTGTAAGGAGGTGTCTGAGGGGGATATCGTCAAGGGCATCTCCATCTCCGGCTCCGGTGTAACCAAGGACTCCAACTCGCGAAGTGACGTTGTCTCCTCCATGATATCAAGTGATGGATGGAGTGTGTATGGAGTGTGAATATGGGGTGTGAGTATGGAGTGAGTATGGAGTGTGATGGATGTACTGAAACAATGATAAGAGGGTCGTTGATTGTCGGGTGCCGTCCAAGTAATGATGGTACCAGCAGCGGGCGTTTGAGATCCAAGAAACTTGCCGGGGGGTTTGCCTGAAGTCAAGGCCACGCTGTCATTACCGTGAGGCACCGTCGAATCTACCTCTTCTCGAGTTGGTCCAGGCGGCAAGGGAAGAGGGAGTGGGGGGGGGGGGGGGGTGCAAGGCAGCGAAGAGAATGAGTCAGCGAAGGGAGAGAGTCGGGAGTCGGAGAGAGCGAAAGGACAGATGGTCTTTTGGCCGGGAGAGAGGCCCACGATGGTCGGATGAGGGCGAAGTGTCCTGTTTAAGTAGAGGCCAGCGTGGTCACACCAGGCCCAGGGACAACCCAACGGGTGTCTCTCTGGAAGTGGGGGGGGGGGGGGGGCCAGTACAGGACGTCGACGGTGGATGGTGGATGGTGGATGGGTACTTGTGTAATGCAGGGAGAATGGGTGAGGGAACCAAGTACCCGTTCACCAGGACCAACCTGTTGTTCAACTGTGGGCTCCCGGAGGGGCGAAGTCGTCAGTCCCGATGGGCCCTGGCCCCTGACCAGGCTGGCCGCTGACGGTCCATGCGGTACCATACCAGAACGTAATTTACCCATCACCTCGATCATTTTCCCCGCTACTTTCATTGTTCTCAGGGGGCTCAGCGGGTCCCCCAAGAAGTACTGGTACCGTAATCCGGCCCCTGCGCCCCCTCCCCCCCCTGGATTCCACGGGACTGTTTCATCGTTGACTCGGAGTCGCACTCTAACCGGGGAGACCTGGCGGAGTCCCACTGGTCGTCTATCCCATTTGTACGTGCTGGAAAATGGAAAATGGAGGCCGGACCGGACAGGAGACTGAGGAGATTGAGGAGAACTGACGAGACTGAGGAGACCCCCTGGTGATGATCTGGATCCACTCCACATCGCCGGGGCTTTCTCCTTTTTCCTTTCTTCTTCCCTTCTTCCCCCCCCCCCCGGCGTCGCAAGCCCCGAGTCTCAGAATCGTCGTTAGTCCACGAGTCAACTATCTTTCATCTCGCTCATGTGGAGTTTTTGCCCCCTCCGCTTGACTATCAATAGCCGAGAATGAGAATGAGAATCACTGGGGAATTGACCCCCCTCTTGTCCCGAGACCTCTCGACACACTCTCTCGCAGAGAGGGTTCCTGAGGAACGATTGCGCATGATGGGAGGGGTCTCCTTTATTAATGTGTATCACCACTGCATCACTAACATAGCGTGCTACTGAACCGTACAACAAGGGCTATTCTCTTGTCACGTCCGACTTGAACCATGTGATATTACCTCCGGTAGCTCACAGTAGGGAGTAGGCAGATCCTAGTAATCAGGTACCCAAACCGACTTGAGAAGAATGTCCCCATCGACGCCGCGACCATCTTGTCCCTGTATCTTGACGCTTGTGACACCCAGAGACTGCCCCTGGATCCATGCCCTTTCAACCTCCACTGCTCGTCGAAAATGCCTCGAGCACGTGGACCTTCTCAGCGTGTGTTTTCCATCCTGGATGATAACCCCGCCACTCCCTCATCTCGACCCATCTCTCCATCCCGAGTTCAGACATGGCAGATACCGTGGGCCTGGGCCTGGGCCTGGGACTGGAGGACGGAAAGGTGTAATTGCCGCAAGGTGACAGACCAACTCGTTGATTCCATTTCTCAGTGCTCCAATCGTCGAACGTGATTGCCTGATCACGTTTTCTCTTCCTTTTCCCTCGCGGACCATCCCGAAGGGAACCCCGTCGCAACCAACACTGCGTTACATTGTACTTGTAGTGACTGGGTGGTACTACACTTGGACTGCGAGGAGAACTAGACTCGTAGTCGTCGTCTCGTACTCCTTTATCAAGTTACTATGTTCTCAACAGTATGTATGTACTACGAGACACGAGTCTAGTACAGACACTACTGTACTCCACTTCTCACCCCATTCTCCGATCCCCCAGACAGAAAGACGCTCAATTCCAGAATGATCGAGAAGGTCTCGACCCGTGTATAATTGTATATCACGAACAGGGATGGCACACAGACACAGACACAGTCCTGAGTCCTGACTCTTGAGTTAATATGCCCGGTGTGGAAAGTGCCCCGGAAAAACTATATTCATGATCATTTGGAGTCTTCTCGTCTTATCTGAATGATAGCAAGATGAGAGGTTCGCCACCTGATTCTTGCATATGATTCCTAGCCGATGTTACAGAGTCACGGACTAGGTAAACATCCGAGGGGGGGGGGGATTGGCGTCTCTTTTCACGAGAGGTTATTTGGCAAGAGTTTATTTCCCAAGTATTTATTTGGCAAGAGTTTATTTCTCAAGAGGTTATTTCCCAAGTATTTATTTCTCAAGAGTTTATTTCCCAAGTATTTATTTCGCAAGTGTTTATTTCCCAAGTATTCATTTCTCAAGTGTTCATTTCGCAAGTGTTTATTTCGCAAGTATTTATTTCTCAAGTGTTCATTTCTCGAGATCCTCTTCACTATGCCATCTGTGAGACTCTTATCATGATTTCCCTCTCGAATGATACAATCAAGCCTAAGCGATTTACACACCACAATCCTATTCAGGACTAGTGCCCGTTGACATTCACTCTGTCCTCCTGTGCCCATGGGCCTGATCGGAAGGACAACGAACACACTTGAACCCTCGATAGACCGAGTCACCCACTAGTCCTGGCTCTTGACTCCTATACTTGTACCGTAACGTGATGTACTAGAGTCTGGTCGTAGGTAATACTGTACTAGGTAGTAGGTAGTAGGTAGTAGGTAGTAGGTAGTAGGTAGTAGGTACCTACTAACTAGTTAGTAAGGTACTTAGTGACATACTCCCTCCGGAAGGAATGTCGTTGCCAGGAGCCCCTCGCCCGCTTCATTTTAGGCCCACTCCAGATTTCAATCACCGCACGGCTGCCACGCACTACGCAGATCTACGAAAGACCGACCTGTGTTGTTCATCTATCTACTGTACTTGCACCTCAGTTCCTTGACATTCTTACTGCATTCCTTGGAGTTGTGGGTTATGAGTTCTTTGCCCCGGACCTAGACTGTAAGTCCTGGGCTTCGTTTCGGCAATGTCGACTCGGGCCTAGCCGTGGCTTAACTGCTTACACGATTCAGAGCACGCAATCTCTTGTGCGCGTCACGTTGGCTACACTAGTCTACAAGGATACTATTCAGTATTCACTGCTGTTTGTTCTACATACATTGAAATAACATAAAGTGTCAAACGAAAGCGTATGCTCTGAACATACAACATAGTATGTACATCAAGGCACCTAGCTATGACCCAGACCTAGTCATATATCTGTTGTGGATTCACAATCCCCCGAACATTCCATCTCCAGCCTTGGCTTATACCACCACACCTTCCAAGCCATCATGCTCAAATTGTCATTTTCCCCGCTCAGAATGACCGCTCGCCCTCGCGTCCTCTTTCGTTCTCCCCTTTCCCTAACCTCACCCTCCAGCTCTGCTCCAACCTTGAACGTCGGACCCCGAAAGTGGATCTCCCCTCCCAAAACATGTGCATCAACCCGGCGATCGTATTGGCGAAACGCTCTTCCTCCCGCCGGCCTCTGCTCCGTTGTAAGTCGGTACCTTGGTACATAGGTCTCCTAGCCTACTAGGTAGTACCTAGTAGGTACTAGGCTGTAGGTTGTGGGTACCACCTGGTAACTAGTAGGTCATAGGCTTCTGCATTGGAAATGAAACTCCGGGTCGACTCTGGATCCCCATCCACGCAACCTGGAGACTACCAGCTTCAGAGTCTGGGAGACGATGGTAATGCTTGGATTATCACAGTATTAGTCGGGTCGGGGGTTGTAGCTGGGTTCTGGATTCTCACGGGATCACGCGTGCTTTTATAATGTTTGAGGGATGGAATTGGGGGGAAACAGATACATACTAACTAGTAACTAGTAACTACGTAGCAGTATATAGTTATACTACATCGTAACTGAGACCTATCGTCCTACGTATATCAAAGTAGACGACTACACATGTCAACAAAGGCTCGAAATTGACTTGACCAAAGATCGCCCGGCAAACCCCTCCATTTCCACACGCTCTAGCTAGCATGACTAGACTTCGTCATGTACTGTAGATGTCATGGAATAGAGTCGTACTACTAGTAGTATCCCTGTATCACTCACTACCTTCGTACCTGCTCTCTACCGGGTTGCGGCTACGCTGCTACAGTCCCACTACTCCCGTCTGCTTCATCTACCCTTGTACCCGTTCCGTCGAGCACAAACCATCCTCGGAGATTCAAATGAATCTCCCCACGTCCATCCCAGCGCCCAATTCGAATCAGCCTGCGAAAGAAGAGGTGATACCCCTCGTAGGCTCTTCATTCACTTCTTGAAATCTCGTGCTTCACAAGGTAGTTCGATTGATCGTCGTGCACGAATACGGAAGTTGGGTCTGATCTCATGGTGTTTGGATCGAATTAAGGTGCTGCCTACTGCCTGAACACACCGGAGAGAGTGTCTATGGAGCCTGATGTGTGGACTTGATGGATTCTCCAGGTGAAGATTGCCAGGGAAGACTGAGGCTAAGGTACATAGCAGTAGTTCCAGATCAGTTCCAATCGACACCCGAGTACGCCAACTCCATCGCCGAAACTCACCACGCGATGTCATGCCACGCCACTCGAATGCAAGACTCCTGCAGATCCTCGGACCTTCCAAGCCCAACCCCAAGCCCAACTTTAACCCCGCATTCAAGGGGCCGGCCGTTAATGCCGCGCCCGATTCGGCAGTGCAGCCGTCTCCCTGAAGAAGTGTAAAGCTAGGGTACTTAGGGAGACTATCAAATGGACTTCCAGGGTCAAACCCGCGCGGGAACCTTCGGCTGTCGATCTCCGTGATGTTTCAAGGTCGACACAACTTGGCATGCTCGAGTCCCGTGGTCGGATATTTCTTGAGCTGCAGAAAGGTCGAGGGCGGATATCGTTGATTACTGATGGCTTTGTGAGGTTGAAGCGAGACTGTGTCTGTGGATACCTGGCGAACCTTGTTCGCCTTTGCAAGTCTACACACTGCGCATGAAGAGAAGGAATTGGAAGCTCATCGAACCGGTGAGGATACTAGAGAGGAGGGACCTGGAATTAATGGTAACTCCGTCTTCTCAGGGTTCCTTGGGATTCCATGATCGAAGATGTCCCCGCCTTTCTGGGTACCTCTGTATCCTTCCGATCATGCAGATAATAATTGGGAACCGCAGATAGACCTTGAGAGCTCTGCTGATAGATGACTTCAAAAGCTATGAGATATGATTGAATTCGAAATTGAGGTGTTTGGTTCAAGGCCGGGCAGTGTCACCTCGATGGCGAAGCCGAAGTTGAAATTGCTCGACATCCTTTCTGATGGCAATCGGCAATGCAATCATCCCACACCGCAATGCTAGAAAGAGAAAGGAAAGAAAAGATTAGAGAGGAAGTGTTATTCGGGTTCGCACTATAAGAGTAGGACTGGGAAAAATCAATGCAAATGCTTCAAATTGCGCTCTTGGCTCAGCAACCCTGCGCTAAACGTGCCAACCAACAATCAGCAACTGAAAGGCCGTGCATGCAAAAAAAAAAAAAAAAAAAAAACAACGCAACGTATGCACGTCATGACGTCGAAAGGACCATGATGCCAATGACATGTCAAACTCAGAAAAGATGCCCGGAATGACCAATATCAACCTCATGGTATGATACGTAGGGGTCCCAGTCGCTGCATTGAAGAAGACAAAAAAAAAAACAAAAACAGCAAGCAACGCGTAAAGTCATGAGCCGGGAATGTGAAGTGAAGCAAATTTTGAAGATCGCAAAAGAAATCGAGAAAGTCTTGCGCAAGTTTCACGCGAGGACGATCCGATGGCCAACTAAATGCCAAGAACCGAGCAACGACCAATTTCAAGGCAGAAAAGGGTAAGAAAGAAAGCCAAGCAAGTCAACTCAAGACTGCTCCTCCTTGGCCTCTGAGGGCCCGGTCTCTGTCTTGACGACCTCTTCTTCGGCCTCTCCATTCTCCTTCTTGTGCTCAGGCACAAAGTGGACCCCAGCCTCGACATCGGTCTCGGCTTTGGCCTCGACCTCACTCTTGGCCTTTGCCTCGATCTTTGTCTCGGCCTGGGTCTCAGTCCCGGCCTGGGTCTTAGTCGCTATCTGGGGATGAGTCTCGGCTACTCCCTCGGTCTGTGTGGTCTCCAACTTTTCGGCCTTTCGCTTGCGGGAGGTGGTTGGGGAAGTTTTGCGGGGCTTCTTAGCGGGCGACTCGTCGGTTTCCGGTGCATCAGTCGTGGTCTTGGAGCCAGCAGCGGCAGTTCCACGTGCCATGTTTCCACGGGCGATGATCGGGACTTCCATGCCAGTAAAACGAGCCAGCTTGCGACGAGCGTTGCCGTACATGACTTTGGCAGAGGACGGGGTATAGCCAAGGACACTGGCAAGCTTCATGTAATCGATGGCGTTCTAAGTGACACTGTCAGTCAGCTGTTCAATATCCAGCAGAGTACACCGAGCCTGAATTGATGCTCTGAAAGTGAAGGCTGAATCAAGGGAAACTCACTCGGCTTCCATCAGTAGATGGGCACAGAATTCCGTAGAGGAGGATGCGTTCGTCGGATGGGGACAAGCCCAGCATGCGGTCCGAATCATTGGATCCAGACATGGTTGCGACGTTGATAGATGTAAAAGGGGAAAAGCGAGAAGGTTGCTAAGAAGTGGATATGAAGTGAAGCAGTTCTTGGAGGAAGCGAGGGCTGTCGAGCAACTTTCAGTCCGTGAGACTTGCGCGAAGGTGTGTTGGCTTGGGCCACAGCTGGGAGTCTTCTTCAAAGCTCTGAGTTGTTGAATCAGTAGAAGCCTCAGTAGTGATTTGTATCGTGAACGTGGGTTGTTGAAGAAGTAAAGAAGAAGGAAAGGATGTTTGACGTGAAGAGAATTCTTTTATACCTGGGAAGGGTGAGAAAGAAGTGAAGCAAACTCGAGAAAAGTGTCGTGCAAATGTCTCTCAGTTTGCTAAACGTAATATAGCAGATCTGAACAAACAAGGAGAACGTTTGCACGTATATTTCACAATCGAATTTCTTTAAGTGATTGTGGAGGTCTCTTACCTTGGTCGTTGTGAAACACTCACTTGCTCGTGATGTCAGATTTCTGTAAGCCTTGATTTCAGTGAATGTTTGATAGTCTTTTCAGTGACCGCAGAGTGTTGAAGAAGTAGAAAAGGAAGTGAGAAACCAGCGCGGTGAAATGGTCTTTTTATACCAGGTACTTGTTGGAAAGAGGCTCAAGGAATACGATGGAAGTGATATGTTCGACAGCCGCTCACCTTCAGCTTCAGGGGAATATGATAAAATACTGATCCGTGGAGATCTCTTGCTTTCTTCACCGAAATGCGCTGCTCGGGAACTGTTTTTTCCAGAACACAGTGGAAGACTTGCTCTCAGAAGCCGCTCGCCTTCTCGAATTGCGTTCGAATCAGTTCACAATTTGGTGTAAGGCGTTTGATCGAAATTCTTTTGTCTTTTTTGTCGAAGGCGCTGACTGGAGAATGTATCTCCGGTATATGTTAGACAACCTGTTGGCAGCGGCGGCTCGTCTTTTTCATCAAACGGCGCTGACTCGGAAAATACTCATGAACTGGGGTGGAGGGGTTGCCTCGTTTGTCAAAAGCAATGATGACCCTGGAAAAAAGTCAAGGTTCGGACGATCATGAAGTTTCCGGAAGATGGCGCGCAAACTTTTGATTTGCCGTCTATGCCCACGCTTTGTATGGGATGAAATATTGATCAAGAATATGTGCCATTGAAGATATGTAGCATGGTGCGCGGCAAGAGTATATCGTCATGAGAAAAAAGAAACAACAAAAGGTCAACTCCAACATTTTTCGCAAAATCAAACGCCAGTATCATGAATTCACATCGCCATATCCATCGTGTCGTCGCCGGCATCAAGGGCATTCTGTTGCTCGGGGTCGAGCACGACAACACCACGACCACGGCCGGCTAGAAGTTCTCGTCGCACCTCGGGCCCGATATCTTTGTGACCTCGAACCAACAACAAATCAAGGAGAGCCTCTCGCTGATCCTCTGTGATATCATTGCGGTATCGCTGGGCAAAGACCAGCAAAGACTGGTGCCAGAGGACGGGCAACTTGTAGGCCTTTGAGCTACCGGGTCCATCCGTCATGGTATCCGCCGGGTTATCACCGCGGAAGCGCAGGAAATGAAACACCAAAGCGTCGATGACCTTGTAGGGCATGGCGTACTTCTTTTCCAAGAAGACTCGGATGAAAGTGTTGACAGCACCGGTGCTCTCAAGAGAGCGCATAGATTGCTCGGCGGCCAAATCACACATGCGGAGAAGTGCAGCGGCAGAGTGAAGAACGGGAATAGAGACACGGGCGATTACCGAGGACACAATGTGAGCCTCACGGAGAGAGCAAGTTCCGCTCGAGACAAGAGGGAATAGAAGACCCTTGAAGAAGCATGCGGGCTTGTACAGGGCCTTGCGAAGAGCGTTATAAACATGAACATTCAGCTTCTTCGTCTCGTGGATCTCTTCACGGACACGGTCCAGTAGAACCGTAGCGATGAATTCCTGGGCCACAGCTGGCTTCGAGGAGATGAAGATACGAGTGGCGGCGTAGACGGCATTGCCAGTCCATCTTTCCGGTTGGGTGATATCGAGGAGAGTCTGCCAGTTTGGCACAGAAGGTAGGATCTTGAAAGGCTTGGGGAGAGGGCCGGACTTGTAGCGAGATAGGATCATGCCGACTCTGCAATCAATATTAGCCATTTTGAACAAGGAATACATTCGGCGAACGAATTCAGTCGTACTTCTCGTATACTTCCACAGCCTTGGCTGGAATCTGCACGGCATCTTCAGCCGCACCACCACCTTGAATGTAATTTCCGCCAACAGCTTCGCCATTAAGCTTGGCCTCGTGCTCAGCAATCTTCTCCAAAATCAGGTCCGCAAGGTTCGTCGTCTGCCCTTGCAATTGCTCTCCGGGCTGCCGCGTTCCAAAAATAGGGTCTTCGTCATGACCACCGGGCATGAATTTGTTGAACATGTCCAGATCATTGGGATCAACTTCCTGCGCAATCATAGTTTGTTAGAGACAAAAATTCCCCGACCACGATGAAGCCCGGCATAGTCCGAATGGAGATTCTCACAATTTCCTCATGTTCTTCCTCCTCATCGTCGACCCAATTGTCATTCTCATACTTTTCGTCGTCGGAAGGCATGTCGTCCTCGAAGCGAGTGTCAAATTCGAAAGCCGGATTGGACTTTGGTTGGGCCCCGCCAAATCGAAGCTTCTGCTGCTCAGCAGCGTCTTCCTCTGCCAGTTCCTGTCCAATTTGCAAGATCTTGCGCGACATCTTCGCGTCGACAAACCGCTCACCAGTCTCGCCATCTTCCCCATCGTCATGCGATTGGCGCTTGCCCTTCTTCGTGGTGCTGTTTGTCCGGAGATGCCCCACGGCAGAGATGTCGTCCGCCAGAGGATTGTGTCGTCGCGCCGCAGCGGCGGCTCGGGAGCTGGTTGCCTTGGGCATATTGGAAGAAATGTATTCACTCAGGTCCTTGACGGGAGCTTTGCTTCGTCAAAGTCGTTTGACGCTGTGTGGATCGCCCGATCAATCACAGGTTGAATGTGTGTAAATTCAAAGATCAGGTGATCTAATCAGTAATTTTTTTTTGCCAGGCGGGGGATCCACTCACTTTCTTATCGCTACCGCCTTGCGGCGGTCTTACCGCTGTGGACGTCTCCGATGCTTTTCTGCCGCGGAGCTGCGGACATTATTTGGGTCTCTCATGACCTCAATTCTACATTTTGCATTTATCTGGGATCTCAGTGTCTCTTTCCATATCCACTTCAAGAGCTTACGGTACGGTTCAATGAAAGCTCCTGGTCGTGAAACTTCACGAGACTTTTGATACTCGACCCGATCTTCCAATTACAGCTTCCACTTGCGGTCGCGCCGCTTTGGAGGTAAGTCACTGGGAATGTCGCAACTGCTCGTCGCGAGATAAACCGGCATGATTTCTGCAGACAATGACTCCCGACCTTCTTTTAGTTACGCTATAAAAGATCGCTTGCACCCAAATTCTTGGGAACAAAATTCTAGAGGCTCGTTCCCTCGCGGCGCTCCATCGAATCTACAATTCTCCAAACTCACACACCATGGCATCTACACAAGCTCCTGCGTCATCGGCGCCCTCTTCAAACATCAACTCACCTCTCCTTCCACCCGGCAACGGTCCGCTACTCAATGGCGCACTTTCCGAACTCAACAGTCGATCATCCCCAGCTCCGGCCAGCAATGCCTCAGTACAAGGCGCCGACGCACGAGCAAAGCGGAACAAGCGAGACAGTCGCAAGAAACGCGAAGCAAAGGGCCAAGATCCCGAGGGCGCCCCTCTTCCAAAGAAACGTGTGACAGCTCTAAGCGCTGCGCGACCTAGTTCAGAGCTCTCGATCCTTCGCCCCCTCCTGCTTGCCGAACCTCGTGCCTCCGATCGATTACCCCCACAACCGCGCCAATTTAATCTGGTGACGACCAAGTCATCAGCTGTCCTGGGTCAGACGTGGGACTTTTACGAGGTGGTTGATAAGCTCACGAATAAGAACGGCTTCCGCTATAGCTACGCGATAGGTGACCCTGGTTTCCCGCACATCAAATATCGACAGACGGACGTGGAGCCATATCATGCGCGATTCAGCTTTGAGGATTCCCCTGCGGCGATATTTTTCTCGCAAGATGCACGGGCTGTAACGACGAGTGATGCGTGGCATACTTCACGCGCGAATATATGTGCTCGGGAGGGATCGTATTATTACGAGGCGCGAGTGATCAGCGGGCGTGTGAACGACGGACAAGAAGCTGCCCAAAGAGGCGGCACCAGCGCATCCCCACGAGGCCACGTGCGGTTGGGATTCGCGCGTCGTGAGGCAGATCTAGACGTCAATGTTGGCGTTGATTGCTACGGGTACGGTATCCGAGACGTGAACGGCGAAGTTGTCAATCGCATGCGCTGCGAATTTTTCTTCCCCAAGAGCGAGGGCATCAATGAGGGAGATGTGATCGGCATGCTCATCACTCTCCCGTCACTCTCCCTACATAAGAAGATCGTCGAGGGCACCTACGACCCGGCCGTAGATGGAGATGGGTCAAGTTCTGTGTCAGACACAAAAGCCATTGCTACGAATATCATCCGAGACCGTATCCCCTTCCACTACAAATCCGATTTCTGTTGGCAACAATCCAACGTCTTTTCCACGAAACATCTTCGGGACTATGCCTTCAATCTCAAAGAAACACCTACCTTCGGCCCTCCTTCACCCATGAACAGCGAAGACCCAACGCTCCGCACTCTACCCGGCTCCAGCATCACGATTTTCAAAAACGGTGTCAAAATGGGCACACCGTTCAAGGAGCTCTACGCCTTCCTTCCCCCCGCGAGTCGTCTCGCCAATGGAACCAACAATCTCGGCATCGGCGAACGTGAGAATGCCGACGACGGTATGATCGGCTACTACCCAGCCGTCAGCTGCTACGGCGGCGGTGCGGTAGAGTGTCGTTTCGAAGGGCCGTGGTGGGTAGGACCCCCCGAGCAAGACGAGCTAGGCCATCCGGTCCGAGCCATCGGCGAACGGTTCAACGACCAGATCGTCGAAGACGTGGTCGCGGACATCGTAGACGAGGTCGAGGCCATGTTCACATGGGGCGGTATTGACGGCGATGTTATTGGGAATGAGAATACGGAGCTAGAAGGCGCGGCACCCGCTGCCATCAATGGCTCTGAGATTCTGCAGAATGGCGTGGGTGCCTCACTCGCGGCTCCGGTGAACAGAGCGGGGTCGGACTCTGTTGCGAATAGCAATCGAGCGACGCCGGCTGCGCATCCGTTGGCGGAGGACGCGATGAGTGTTGGAACCGCGGGGACGCCGGCTCACGTTGCGGACGCGTCGGTGGCAGGTGGCGATGAGGATGTTGAAATGACTTGAACAGTTTATCTTCTCGTGCCAATGAAGCATTTGAATATCCGCATTCAATTGAAAGGACAATCGTGTTCATGGCATACACGCCATGCATTCGAACGAGAGGAATCAAGATACCTGTCTCAAGTCAGCGGTTCTTGATGCTCGTTAACTTCGCGTCCAAACTCAAATACTCCATCTGCGCTTATAGTAAGATGAAGTGGTATCATTGTAGTTGTACACTAATTTCACAAATAGCGAAGTGATAGCATCGGTCTATACCTGGCTGTCCAGTCTCTGGTTCTCTAATATTTCACCAACGTTCATCACCAGCTCGTCGTCACCATACTGTCCAATGATCTGGATCCCTGCCAGATTGTCTGACCTCAGATCCTTTTCAGACGCAGAGACTGTCACAGGCACGGAGATCGCAGGCAATCCAGCCAGACTGGCTGGGACGGTAAACACATCGTTCACATAAGCATCCAGAGGTGACCGGCCATCCAAAATTTCACTCAGTCGCGGCGGAGATGACGGCGCAGTAGGGCAGACAATGACATCTACATCCGCTGTCCGCGAAGGCGTGGTCTCCATATCACATTTGGACGCGAACGGATGCGCTGCGGCAAAGACAGAATTGAAATCATGCTGGACGAGTCGTCGCACGCGTTGGGCCTGGATGAAGTAGTTGTCCATTGCGTCCGCGCTGAGACTGAATGTCCCGAGCAGGATCCGGCGCTGTACTTCGGCGCCGAAGCCCTGGCCACGGGTATCAGCGTACAGATAGCTTTCTGGCTGCCCGTCACTGTCAGGTCCCTCGGCACGAGTTCCGTAGCGAACACCGTCGTATTTGGCGAGATTGGAAGATGCTTCTGCTGGGGCGAGCACGTAATATGCGGAGAGCGCGTGTTTGGTGGCTGGCAAGGAGATTGGATGGATGGTGTGTCCTTGGCTTTCAAGATGCGCGAGGGACAAGTGCCATGCTTGGCGGATGGATGGGGTGAGTTCCGAGATGTTGTAATCTAGCGGGACACCGATGCGGAGTGCGGTTCGGGTTAATCGAGATGCGAGAGCTGGATTTTGTAGGTGGGAAAGAATTCGAGAACGCGAAGTCGAGGTAACGTTGGTTGGATCGCGCGGGTCATGTTGGTTCAAGGTCGCTTCGTGGTCCAAGTGTTAGCGGAGTGCCGCCCCAACAACTGCAGGTGGGCTTCGAAATCATACAGAATACATCTCTCACAGATGAAGTTGTTCTTCCTAGAATTCCGACTGTATCCAGGGAGTTCGCATATGCCACCACGCCCCAACGTGAGAGTAGCCCATAGGAAGGCTTAAACCCAACGGTCCCTGTGTATGCCGCTGGAAGTCTGACCGAGCCACCAGTGTCTGTCCCTAAAGCACTGCCCCAAGGGAAACGATGCGATCAGTGCCTGAAATCCGGTGGGTGATTCGCCTTGTCTTCTCGAAACTCACGCGTAGCACTGCTCCGCAGCAACGGCGACTGCACTTCCACCTGAACTTCCGCCAGCGGAAAGTTCTTGTCCTTCTCGATCTTGTCGCACATTTTTGACGGCCCCAAACTTGGAGTATGCCGAGTGAGACCCCATTCCAAATTCATCCAGATTGGTTTTACCTGCGATGACAGCTCCAGCGGCCTCCAGCTGGTCAACGACGGTGGCATTGAACGGGCTAGTGAATTTATCAAGGATCCCCGAGGCGCATGTTGTCGGTAGGTTGCGAGTACAGATATTGTCCTTGACGGCGATCAGGCGGCCGTCAAGAGCGGACTTGGTAGTGCCTGTATCATGTGTAAACTACTATTAGTACTCATCTATCTCGAGGGGCCCATTGTCTTACTCTCATACCTCTTTCGCGACGTTGGTCTGCTTCCGCTACCTGCTCGCGCCATTTCCCTGTGCGGGGAAGTGGTGTTATGAATGCATTGAGTGTGTGCTTATGTTGATTGACCAGACACTTCTCCGCTTCTCGTAGAAGGGACATGGGACGCTGATTTGTTGGTGCTTGATCGAGATCTGCCGAGAGAAGATGTTCAGCGGCGGATTCCAAGCCAGCATCTCCCAAGGCCACCGGTCCGTGCTTTGCAGGGCTCCACTCGATCGGCCGCGGCTCGATGTCGCGTAAAGGCGGTCGGATACCTCTGGGCAAAGTGTTGTGCCCTTCAGGTTAAAGTAGTAGCGGAGTATATAGCATACGCATAAGTTCTGGTTACCAAGGAATCCGGTGTCTCGTTGTCTACACTTACTCAGTTCAACGCCAGATAAGATGTTTCATGGAGTTCATCACGTGACGAAGCCCGAAACCACATGGAAGTAGCCTCATCGAACACATGCCCGTCTTCTTGAAAGCGACTTGTCACTTCACAGGTAGACGTCCAAATCAAATGTCAATTGATGGATCTCCACAAGTGTTAAACACACTAGGACTTTCAGGTGCATTGGTAGGTTCGAATCAGAAAGTGATGTCCGCAGATGGTGTACAGCCGGAAGTTGAGACGGGACGTAGGTATGTATAGGGCTTGCGTCACCTACAACAACTACGAAAACACTACTTAACAGCATCGAATACATTTCCATAAGCAAAACCCAGACCAGATATAAACTACCTCTTGTCTAGTTGTACGCAACTACTGTTACTAAGGCACTAAGGTACTAGTTAACTAAGGTTCAGTGGCGCGTTAGTAACCTTACAATCACCTCAGTCAGGCAAATTTCTTTCGAGAAAATGACATGCCTTGCAGTAAAAACTCATTAAACATCATGATCAGCGCTGTCATATAATTTTTTCATACAATAAAGCTCAAAAAATCATTCACTGCTAGCACTACGTTGGACTAAAACGGGAGATGCTATCCTCATTGCTCTAAGGTGCTACTGTACTGCAAGGCCATGCAACCCACGTTCCGACTCCTTCGGCCCGAGCTCCAAATCTCCGAGACAACCCAAGACGTCATCCGACACTCACCTTTCCCTTCCCGCGCACCCTCTCACTCGCCTCCACTTTCTACATTTTTATGTTCTACCTTCTTCTACCCTTCCCAATATCCTTACTCAAGCGCAACTTATAATGCTTTCACGTAGCGCAATTAGAGCAGCTACACTGGGCACTCGCTGCCAAGGCCCGGTCTGTGGCAGTTTCGCCGCAGCTGGTAAAGCTCTAGCTGCCGGTCAGACTACCAGCTGCAGCTCCGGCTCCAGTGCATTTGCTCCCGCACAGAGCCGCCGTTATATTTCCATGTATGGATATACACAGGCGAAAGCGCTTGTGTATTCGAAATATGGCGAACCGAAGGATGTTCTGAGGTGAGTGAGAAATTCCGCCAGATTTGACATTGGGAAACCGTGAGCTGGAACGCGAAACAAAAACGAGCACCGCAATACACGTGTTTTCGTTCTGCGCGCAACGAACTCGTTGCATTGGCATCTGGTACAAGGACTAATCGCTTCCTTCTTCTGGTTCGCATTAGTCTACACAAACACTCCATCTCCGCTCCCCACGGCACACAGGTGAATCTGCGCCTGCTCACCGCGCCCATGAACCCCGCAGATGTCAACCAGATTCAAGGCGTCTACCCCAGCAAACCGCCCTTCCAGACTCTCCTCGGCACTCCCAATCCATCCGCCGTCGGCGGAAACGAAGGCGCTTTCGAGGTGATCGCCACAGGTGCCAATGTCAAGACGCTAACCAAGGGCGACTGGGTGATCATGCGCCAAACAGGACAAGGCACCTGGCGCACGCACGCGCAACTCGATGAGTCCCAGCTCATTCGCATCGAGAACAAAGACGGTCTGACGCCGCTGCAGGTCGGCACGGTCAGTGTGAATCCGGTGACGGCGTACCGGATGATTCGCGATTTCTGCGAATGGGACTGGATGCGCGCGGGCGAGGAGTGGATGATTCAGAATGGAGCGAACAGCGGTGTTGGGCGGGCGGCGATCCAGTTGTGTCGTGAGTGGGGGATCAAGTCGTTGAATGTGGTCCGGGAACGGAAGACCCATGAGGAGACGGAGGCTTTGAAGAAGGAGCTTAAGGAACTGGGTGCTACGGCGGTGGTGACGGAGGAGGAATTGATGACGAGTGGTTTCAAAGATACGGTGGCTCAGTTGACGCGGCAGGGCCGGGAGCCCATTCGATTGGCATTGAACTGCGTGGGTGGCAAGAATGCCACGGCCATGGCGAAGACGCTGGCGCCCGACTCGCATATGGTCACTTACGGAGCCATGTCGAAGCAGCCGGTGGCTTTGCCGTCGGGGCTGTTGATCTTCAAGAACTTGTCGTTTGATGGGTTCTGGGTGAGCAGGTGGGGTGATAAGAACCCTGTGCTCAAGGAGAGTACCATCAAGGATGTTCTGCAGATGACGCGAGCTGGTCGATTCAAGGATATCCCCGTGGACGAGGTGCAATGGAAGTGGAATACTGAGGGCCCTCAACTGGCCGAGGCGGTTCAGGGCACATTGGGTGGGTATCGCAGTGGCAAAGGTGTGTTTACTTTTGCTGGGGGTGATGAGTAGGTTCGTTGGTCGAAGAGGATGAAGAAACCAGCTATTTCCACCCTTCTGCCATTCTAGTTGAGAGACAGAGAGCATTCAGATACTCTCACGTATGTATCATAATATCGACATCCGGCGCAAATATATGGGCACTGCCCCGAACTCAATCTACGCTCTTGAAGGTAGCCGAAATCTAATCCATTCCACGCTTGTACTGTACAAATTCTATTCAGATCTGCATCTGCAGAATGTACAATCTCATTGACAAAGTGATGGTACGATGCAGAACAACAAAACAAGAAGTACGGACAGACCCCAAAGTTATGACTCGCACTGCCAGTGATTCTTCACCCATTTCAGAATGAGATCCGTCAGGGTGACGCTCGGCATAAAGACTTCGCTTTCCTTGACAAAGTCCACGTCGAGTCCAGCAAACTTGGCAGCCAGCGCCAAGTACGGCTGAACAAATTCTATATAAACCAAGTCCACCCTCTCAGGTACGCGGGACTTGTCTGCAGAGACCAATGCTTGGATGCAATTCGGCGTCTTGTAAAAGGAGATTGGAGCATGGATGGTGTCGTCACCGTCGTCACCTTCGTCGTCTTTGGTGGTGTATCCGGGTAGGAGCTCGCTGTCAAAGTCAGATGGCACAAGAGGCATCTGACCAGAGGGCCCTTTGTTGGAAAAGAGACCTCCTTCGAGAAGTCCGTCATCCTCGGGCACGATCTCCTCGGAGCGAGCCACTTGCTCGGGGCCGGCCAAGGGGAGCAGAGAAGGCTCAGTAACCGCGTCTTGTAGAGTGAACAGGACCTTGGTCTGCTTGTTCAAGATTTCCATGATCAGTTGCACCTTCTCGTAAGGTACATCCTTGACACGACGGAAGCCATTGGTGAAGGGGGAAATGGTCCACATAGTATCTTGGGTAAACGGACCCTTGAAGATATCGAAGCGGATGGCTCCCGAGTTTAAAATTGCCACCGAGGGCCTTTCGACCGATGCCCCATCTTGCAGGGTTTCAGCGAGCACCTCAGTCTCCAGCCACGTGTAGACACTATCTGGGTGAGGGTATGGGACCCTTGACATCCAGAGATCCTTGGGCGCACAACCATGAACTCGGTCAAGCCCAAGAGTGGTGCGCGACTTGTTGATCTGCTTGGATACCTTGCGGCCCTTTTCCGTGTGGAAGTTCGTCTCGTTCAGATTTGTATGATGATAAAAAGAGAATAGGTTGTTGTCAATGTAGCGACGCTTGAAGGTCGGCTGTGACTGCTTGCGCAATCCTTTCTCGGTAGAGAGACCATCTATTGACATGAACCCGATGGTCTCCATGAACCGACCACTTGCCAGCGCAACGGCTTGAGAGTCATACTTGGCGTAGTCACGGATATGTTGATGACCGCTAAAGAACTGGATCGGTATATCCCAGCGAGTCCTTCGAATCTCTTCATAAACGGCCCGCCACTCGGTTGAATGAGCAGGGACATGACCTGCCACAAGGAAGAGGTCAACCTCTTTGTCCCGGATGGCCTCTTGAAACCATTCCCCTTTGATCGTGTCCTCCACACGTTGCACCACTGTATTGTTGTAGTTGCCGGTGAAATCAAAAAGAAACCCAAATGCTACTATACGGATTCCCTGTACTTTAGTGGTGAACTTGCGAAAGCGCTGCGCCAATGGAACCAGCTCGCCCGTTTCAGGGTGATGGATGTCGATATTCGAGGCCAGATACTTGCCCTTGAAGTCGGGCACAGTATGCAAGAATTCGGACTCGGACGTGTTTTGCTTATATAATTCGTGGTTTCCCGACGTAATCACGTCGATGTGTTGATGACGAAGAATCTCCGAGAGATAGACACCCTTGGGCTCGGATGAATCATAGAGCCCATTACCTTCCACCCGATCACCCGTATCTATGACCAGCAGATCCTGGCCATTTCCTTCAATCTTCTCTCGCAGGCGTTCTGCGAATGAGATATAGTCACCCCAGTCCGCCGAATACGATGGCCTATATAGTATCCACAATCAGTCACCAACGCTCTCACTACGGGGGCGTTGTCTGTCCCTGGCCATACTCACTCCTGTAGATGGCCGGCCAACCAGCCATGAGTGTCTGTTGTGTGGAGGAAGTTGAGCTGTCCGAAGTGGAGATCACGCAGAGGCGCGGAGATGGGGGCGGGTGCGGAGGGCTGGGCGGCGAACGCCGACGGGATGAGCCAGAGTAGCTCTGATAGACGCATGCTGACTGCCACGGAGGTGCACAAGCCTCCAGGGCCTTAATAGCAAATGCAAATCTAATGAGAGATTGAGAACTCTATCAGGGGGTGTTCAAGGTGGTGGAACTTGATGGGACTTGAGCGGTTGTGGTGATGATGGAGAGGTGGAGGGTTTGAGGTTGAACCGGAGCTCTCGAGGGCCCCGTGATATGATATGCGTGGAACTGTGAACACCTGACGGGCACGGAGATAAGAGTTGGAGCATGTCGATCTATCGCCGAGCAGTCCCGTGCCTGACAAGGGGATGCAGTGCACCGCCGTCATTGTACAACTAGGCACCCTGTTCAGTTGCACCATCGATCGACTTCTCTTGGAATTTATGTAATGAATCCGTTGACTACGATGCGGACTCCTTCTGCACCTTCGAGCTGTTACTAGTGTGTTGCTGGACAGCTGATTTATCTATTTATTGAAATGTTTGCAGTTTGCAGAGCATGCATAAACTTTCGGGCGGGACTGACCCCGTAACGCGGATTAGCGCAAGGTACTTTAGTTACTTCATCAATCGACGTCTCAACCAACAGTCCGGTTGAGTCCTCTTCATTTGACTCTCCATCGGAAAAAAAATTGCAAGCCGTAACCTCTCGAAGCCTGAAGCTCTGCTCTCTAGAACACGAGATAACGATGAAGAATATCATGTCAGAGAAAATGGCAATACCTTGGTAAGAGGGAATGCGGGAGAACTAGGACTTGTACATATAGGGCTGAGAGTCAAAAAGTCTTGAGGTTAGTGCTCTACTTTGTTCCTCCGCTTATACGATTAAGTATGGCTATAGTAGATTGGTAGCCCGAACTCAATGATCTTGGTGCCCTTCATGTCGAGGACGTTCCACAATGGGTCAAGAATGCGCAGAGCTACCAGTCGAAATGCATGGGCAATGTGGCCGATCTTGCTTTCGAAGAATTACGTTTGTATATGACGGTCCGTGAACTACCCGCTTATCCGTGCAATATCGTGTTGATACAGCAGGTACCGTAGGGACTATGGAAAATTGTGAAGGAAGAAGCTTTGCCTGCTGGAAACAAAGACTAGCTGGAGGTTTGTGACAGTCTAGGTATCGTTTACCACGGCGCTGCTCTTCTCCGTCTTATATCGATAGTTATATTTATTTTCTTTCTATTCTCTAGTCATTGATATGACTAGAGATATCTGGCTGGGGTCACCAGGTAGATACTTCGTCACAATAGCGACTAATATAATAATAGACTTCTGATCTTCGAAGTACTCCAGTATAACTATATGGCAAAACTCACCCGCACTTTAGCAGATAGATTGAAATTATGTCCACTCGTGATTGGAAACTTGGAGCTTTGTTCAACATCCATCCAGAATGCTCCGATGAAGAAAGTAGATAAGAAACTAAGCTATACGCTATACAAATACAGTTTCGAAATATACTACAGTTACCTCGTAAGCTCGAACTACCTATCATCGGAGAGAATCGAGACATCCGTGACTTCATACCTTACTGTGGCTGACCTCAGTCCATACGTACCTATCAGATCTTATCTGTATCATGGATGTTCATTTCAGCCATTTTTTCCTCAGATTTGCAACAAACTCTTAGTGTATCGCATTTATCGACTATGAACTCTTGTGAATTGTTGTTTGGTGGCTGCCTGTACCAGCGGAATTGGGTCCACTTGCCGCTTGTGGCCAAGTTTTGGAAGATCGATCAGAAATCCATTGCATGCAACTAAGGATCAAGGAGGGCTGGTTTAACTCAAGATTGGCAATGACGACAAATAAGGGCTGTGCACAAGGCGTCTAGGTTTCGGAATACCTAGCCTCAAAATCCAGGGTCCTACAGTATTCAAGATAAACACCCTGGACTACGGGCCTGGTAGGTTGACTACTACCCGGAGACCAGGTTTCAACCGCAAAGTGATGTGTTTGCTTCCTTTTCCGCCATCCTAGACACTGTCGAGTAATTCACACTTGATGGAGGATGACTTGTAGATGCTGTATCAGTAGTAGTTACAGTGACTTTGAATCTCTGGGATATTGTTTAGGTCGAAGTGAACATCACTGCTTGCTTGCTCACCACTTTGCCCTCAGAGAATTGGCACATACATATGTCGCCGCCATCGGACACCAGCTTCAAGAAAATTCCTGTCGCCCAATTGCCGTTTAGCGACAGGTCTACATGAGACTCGGTCGGGGTCCGAATGGAGGGTGCTGTTCGCTAGGCACCAGCGACTTTGGAAACAGTAGATTAGGCGGAGAGGGATCTTCGGGAGGATGTGGTCTGGATTTTGGACTACATATGACTATTCGTAGATGACAGGCACAAATAAATCTTTATTCTTGATCTAGTTCTCTTACAGTTGGTCTCGTAAATACTTAATGACTCTTTGATCGATTTATTCGCACATGTTGCTCGACTTAAATCATCCATGCGTGGCCGCGGAGGACCGTATAGGTCCATTTGTTCGCAACCCGTGTCGCAGTCGGGCGGACTTTACGCTGATGTTTGAAGAGGTCATTTTGACATTCATCCCGATCGCGACGTTTTTTCTGCTAGGTTTAGTCCGCCTTGTGAAATTGTCGTGTGAACCGCAGAAAGCCAATCGATCGTGGCTTTACGTCGCCAAGCAGGTATGACTTTTCAACCTTCGAAGACCTCGTGATTGGAATGTGAGGTCGCGACTGACACGTGAATTAGACGACTATCGCCTTGCATATTGCTATACAAGTTCTACTTGTGATTTTCTGGAGTAAAGAACCAATCCCAACAACGAGAGCGACAATAGCCACTGCGGTCATCAGCTTGGTCGCGTCGATTCTCCTGGGCTACTTGTCACATCTTGAACACCTACGATCCCTTCGCCCATCGATGGTCATCTGTGTTTTCGTCAGCACAACCATACTCGTCGATCTTTGTCGCATCCGAACACTCTTCGCCATACCCGGGCATCGCTCCGTGGCTAGCGTTTTCGCAGCCAGCTGGGTGGCGAAGTTGATTATCCTGGTTCTCGAGTCCCTCGAGAAACGGTCGCTGTTGAAGAAAGATTACAAGGATGTCTCCCCCGAGACTACTGCAAGTATCTTCAACCGTTGGCTCTTCTGGTGGCTCAATGGGCTCTTTTGGAAAGGCTACCGTGAAAATCTGACGGTCGAGAGTCTGCCGAGCCTCGACGATGCTCTTCAGGCGGCCTCGAAGCCTGAGCAGCTGAAGGAAGAATTTCAGAAAGGTGTGTTTGCTCGGCATGTTCCTCAACTTGGTTTCTAACTTTTGTATCAGCTAATTACTATCGTTCAAACACTTTACTCTGGACCCTCCTTTGGCACTACAGATGGGAGATCTTCGAGGGCGTTCCGCCTCGAGTCGCGTTCGCTTTACTGCAACTGGTCCAGCCCTACTTGGTCGAGCAAGTCTTGGTTTTCATGACGGCGGATGAGCATGCACATTCAGCAGAATATGCTCGTGGGCTTGTTGTGGCTTACGTGCTCGTTTACGCTGGCATTGCGGTGAGTGCAACCCAAAATGTATCGATTCAAGAACAGTCGAGATAAAGCTAATTTTCGCATGGTCTTAGGTGGCACTTGGCGCGTATGTGCACAAGACCAATCGCCTCGAGGTTATGATCAGAGGAAGCTTGGTATCACTGATTTATGACAAGACGCTCCATTTGACTCCTACCGTCGCGGCCGATGGAAGTGCAGTCACACTGATGAGCACCGACGTCGAGCGCATTGTCATGGGAACTAGACACATTCATGAGTTTTACGCTAACTTCATCGAAATTCCAATCGCGCTGTGGTTGTTGGCTCGGCTTCTCGGCTTGGCTTCCATCGCTGCTGCCGGTATTATTGGTTGTACGTCTATGACCTATATCGTAATGGGCGTGAAATATCATTCGAATGTACTGACATCCATTTTAGTGTCTCTCGCTGTTGCAGTGCCACTGGCGATGGCATCTGGTGAGGCTCAGGGCGAGTGGCTTGAGGTTGTTGAAGAGCGGATAGCTGTGACCTCGAACGTGCTCGGTGCTATGAAGACGATCAAAATGACCGGTCTGACTGAGGTTGTCTGCAACAATATCCGAGAACTACGAACTAATGAAATCAAATCGTCCTTCAAGTTTCGATTATACACCGCACTCATTATTTCCTTATGTGAGTTGTCTCTTGGTGGCTTATATCGACAAATATCTTACCGTTTATCTAGCTTTCATGTCTTCGTCACTGGCGCCCGTGTTCGGATTTGGTGTGTATGCCATCTTGGCTCAGGCACATGATTCAGGAACTTTGACCAACGCCATGGCATTCTCAGCCTTGTCGTTCTTTGTTCTGATCGATTCCTCGATTATGAGCCTGATTGACGGGTCGGAGGAAATCATGTCTGTGATCAACTGCTTCCAGCGTGTCCAGAAGTTCCTACTTGCAAAAGAACACAATGATCATCGCGCCATCCGCAGTTCTGACTCCCATCCGGTTGATGTCCTGGTCGATGTCGACGATGACGACGACGAAAGGCCCAGCAGTCAGAACACGTCTTGTGTTACCGCCAAAGACGTATTCGCAGCATGGTCGATTGATAGCGAGCCAGTGTTGAAGTCGTTGAATTTCGAGATCAGAACGGGACTGACAACAATGATCGTCGGTCCCGTCGGATGTGGAAAGTCAACATTGCTCAAGCTTTTGCTCGGAGAAATCCCCGAAGTTTCTGGAACCATGTGCACGACCTTTGCCAACGCTGCGTACTGTAGCCAAACGCCCTGGACGAGCTTTGGAACGGTGCGGCAAAATGTCGTTGGCCCGTATCTGTGGGACCAGGAATGGTACAATACTGTGGTCAAGGCATGCTCGCTGGAAACGGACCTCCAGCAGCTTCCCGCGGGGGATCAGACCAAGGTTGGCGTTCGTGGATCACGATTGAGTGGAGGTCAGAAGATGCGAGTTGTAAGCTGCCCACTTCTCGATAGAATGAATGCACTGTTGCTTACTCTAGCAAAAGTCATTGGCACGGGCCCTTTACTCCACGGAACGGATACTCATTCTCGATGATGTCTTGACGGGACTTGATCGCGAAACCGAAAGAACAGTCCTTGATGCCGTATTCGACTCGAATGGCCTTATCAAGAAGAACAAGCTCACAGTGATTCTGTCAACCAACTCAGGTTTGTGAATTCACATATGATGGCTCCGAGCGTCATCCAACGATTGCGTCCTTGAGATTACTGACACGAATCCAGCGCACCACCTTCGCGTTGCCGATCATGTTATTTGTCTCGATGAGAATGGAAGAGTCATCGAGCAGGGCTCGCCCAGCACATTTAGATCCCTGAAAGATCATGTCGGCATACTAACAGGTAAAGCAAAACCAAATACGACAGAAGAGGCGGCCGAGCTCGAGCTTGATGGTGAAGTCTTGGAAGGTCTTAATCTGAAAGAAGGCGACGATGAGGACAAAAGCAGTCGAAGTGCAAGCGATCTTTCAGTGTTCGTGTACTACTTCAGGATCATCGAATGGCCTCTTCTCTTGTTGTTCATTCTGTGCGCTTGTCTTTTCACATTCGGATTGAATTTCCCACGTAAGTCACATACTCGAATACTGACACGCGCATTTTCTTGTCTCATCTTTTGGATCAGAGTTTTGGCTTCAATGGTGGACAAAGGCAAACGAGACACGGCCGAACGAGAACATCGCATACTGGGCTGGCATATATGGTGTGCTGGGTGTGCTTGCACTTGGCTCTGCATTCCTCGCGAATTGGTAAGGCATTGGAGTCCCCGACTATGACTGGGACTAGGCTCATCCTCACGTAGGGTTTTCAGCATGCTCATCGTGCCAAAAACTGCGCGTCGTTTCCACGAGATCCTTCTTAATACAACCATGAAGTGAGGTTTTCTTCTCATCCTTCATCTTCACCTGGACGCGGTCTAATATCGATTCATCACAGTGCGACAACCTCATTTGTGACATCTACCGACATTGGAACCACAACAAATAGGTAAGGTCTCGTCTTCCATGTGGGTACAACTGGTTTACTAATCCAATTTTCTTGCCTTTAAGATTCAGTCAAGACTTGGAATTGGTGGATGGGGAGCTACCCCATGCCTTTGAGATGGCCATTTACGGAGTGCTAGGATTCATAGTCGAAGGCATGCTGGTCTTTGCCGGCACTTCTGTCGCAGCACTGCCATTGCTGCCAGTCGTGATGGTGATCGTCTCCATTGTCGGGGCGTACTATGTCCGCACTTCCCGTCAAATACGCTTGCTTGACATCGAAGCGAAAGCGCCTTTGTTCTCGAAGTTCCTGGAGACCACAGACGGTCTAATCAGTATCCGAGCATATGGGTGGTCAGAGTACTACCAACGGCAGACCATGTCTGCGCTTGACAACTCGCAGAAACCTTTTTATACACTTTACTGTATACAGCAGTGGTTGAGTATTGTCCTTGATCTTACACTTGCGGGTATTGCAGTCGCTGTTATTGCAATTGCGTTCGCGATGAAGGGCAAGTCTGAGATGGGTCTGCTGGGTATCTCTCTGTTTAACATTGTTGGATTCAGTGGGACTCTCCAGATGTTGGTGACCGAGTGGATTGATCTTGAGACTTCCTTGGGAGCTGTATCTCGTATACGCTCATACGTTGAGCAGACTGAGGCCGAACCCCCTCGATCTGAACTCGAAAGCGTATCAGCCTCCTGGCCAGACAAGGGCAGAATCCACATTTCTGGCGTCTCCGCGGCGTTCGAGTAAGTCAAAAGCGTTTAACGCTCCCAATTGTGAGATACTGACCCGCACTCTTGTATAGCAAATCCGCCGACCCTGTGCTTCGGGATGTTAGTCTTGAAATCCATGCTGGCGACAAAGTTGCGTTCTGTGGCCGAACTGGAAGGTCAGTAGAATTCTCGGTGCTTTTGTCGTGGAAGCCGCTTCTCGGCTCTAACAACTTTCCAGTGGGAAAACATCTCTCATTTCGACGATCCTCCAGCTCCTGCACGTCACACGCGGCTCAATACTCGTCGATGGAGTGGACATCTCCAGGATTCCAGGCTCTACAACAAGGTCTCGCGTGAACACAGTCTCTCAGCAGCCGCTCTTCCTCCACGGCGACGTTCGGTTCAACGCCAACCCCGAGGGCAACGCGTCGCATGAGGAAATTGAATCCGCTCTACGCACAGTGAATCTATGGCCCTATCTCGAGTCAAAGGGCGGATTGGACGCAGAAATGTCCGAAGATATGCTTTCGCAGGGCCAGCAGCAACTCTTTTGCCTCGCCCGTGCCCTGTGCAAGCGATCTACCATCCTTATCATCGACGAGGCGACCAGCAGGTAAGTCATCGAAGTGAGAAAGGGAAAGCCCCCCTTGCCGAGTGCGAAGTATCATGGAACTAAAAGTCCTCACAGTGTGGACGCAGACACCGATGCAGTAATGCAGAAGATTATTCGCACGCATTTCAAAGACCACACCATTCTTGCCATCGCTCACAAGTTGGAGACTGTGTTGGACTTTGACAAGATTGCGATCCTTGATGGCGGCCACGTTGTGGCGTATGATACACCGAGGGCACTCTTGTCGTCGGGGGTATTGAATTCTAACACATTGGATGGTTAAAAGCGTGCTAGAACAAAATCGAAGATTTCTGGGGCCTGTGAAGAGGCTACCAACTGCCGTACTGTGGAACACAATCTTGACATTCAGGCTAGGAACACCCTCGGGCTGTTTGTCCGCGGAAAAGTAAGCCCGCCGGGGTGCGAAGGAGGCCGATAAGAGAAAGCTGCAAGCCCTAACTGCATTCCAGTGGGCTTCAAGAGGAAGCTGAAATTCTCTTGATCTATGCAAAAAAAGTTGTATTGTAATGTTTCCAACAGAAGGATATGTGGTATATGGTTATTTTCTTCCTGTTAGAGGGTATTCCCAACATCACTGATCTATCTATCAGAACGAGCCTAAGATTCAGTGGTTGGAGACAATCTAGACCCGACCAGATCATTGCCTCCTAGGTTGTTATTCTACTTCTACTATAGAGGCCAATCAATTAGCCCGAGAAGAAATCGAGTTCAGGAAATATAGACTTTCATGTTGTAAAACGCATTATTTCTTTTGCACCAATGAGTGAATCTAGCAGCTAAGCCTTTCCGGTGTGAGTTATCGAAGCTGAGCGCTTGTTGGGAGGTTTCCCGTCGTTTTCCAAGACGCTAGGAAGAAGAGCAGTGATCCATGAATGTTGACAATGCTTACCAGAGTAGTGAGCCAGAGTAGTGAGAATGAAGAGAATTAACTCTATAAAGAACATCAATGCAGGTACTAACAATGTAGTTGGTCCTCAGCAGGTAACTTATCGTCTCCCGGACTGGAACTATCGATGGAATCGATGGCGATGGCATCCGACGGGAACAGTCGGCAGCGCCCGATAACAATCATTGGGAATCACGTGGATCTTGCAGCGACGCTACCCGAAGCAGCCTAGCGTGAGTGTACGGGGAGACCAGGAAACACTCCAAACCATACAAGTAAGTTACCCAAGAAGGAGCGGCCGGTGAGATTGCTGAGCGCACCGTGCTGACTCAGCGCCCAACATCTTAGGATTTGCATCTCAAAGATTCATGCGCGCGGGTTCCCTTCCCTTTTTCCAACGAACGCCTTTTCGGTCCTCCGGTCCAGTGCATTTCAATTGTCTCTATACGGCTTTGTCCTGACCGTATAGATTTTGTCAATTGTCTACCTTGTTTTTTCTGTTTTTCTCCACCCTTTCCCTATACCCTTCTTCGCCTTAATTCCCCGCCATGGCCGCTCCTCGACTTTTCCGCCCAGCTTCCCGGGTGCTGTCTTCGCGCCTGTCGACCTTTGCTAAGCGTCCGGCTTTCGCTCCTCTTTGCGCCCAGTCTGCTCTGCGCGTCCGCAACTATGCTACCGAGGGTGGTGTCAAGGAGGTCACTGTCCGTGATGCCTTGAACGAGGCGCTCGCCGAGGAGCTCGAGGGCAACGAGAAGACCTTTATTCTCGGTGAGGAGGTCGCACAGTACAACGGAGCGTAAGGCATCCTTGGAGGAATATTGGAAGATTATATATCGAGACCGTCCTCGAACGACATGAATCATGGCAGCATGCTGACATGGATCTTTTTGCCTTTCCCGCAGTTACAAGGTTACACGAGGCCTCTTGGACCGTTTCGGTCCCAAGCGGGTTATTGATACCCCCATCACTGAGGCTGGTTTCACCGGTCTTGCTGTCGGTGCGGCTCTGGCTGGTCTGCACCCCATTGTGAGTAATTTTCCGGAGCACGATGACGGCCAAGAATAGGGAGAAGAGAGACCGCAATGCAAGCTTTCAGATAAGACTAACTGATGGTTGCGACAATCATCTAGTGCGAGTTCATGACCTTCAACTTCGCCATGCAGTCTATCGATCAGATCATCAACTCCGCTGCCAAGACTCACTACATGTCCGGTGGTATCCAGCCTTGCAACATCACCTTCCGTGGTCCCAACGGTTTCGCCGCCGGTGTCGCCGCCCAGCACTCCCAGGATTACTCTGCCTGGTACGGCAGCATTCCCGGTCTTAAGGTTGTCTCTCCTTGGAGCTCCGAGGATGCCAAGGGTCTCCTGAAGGCTGCTATCCGCGACCCCAACCCTGTTGTGGTTCTGGAGAACGAGTAAGTCCTGAACAATCCGGGCGAGCTGTGTTGTCCTCCGGAGGAATTCACTTTCCTTGAAGCAGTGATGACAGAGCAGACCTACTGTACCTCTTAGTCGCAGGGATGGCTGCTAATGTGTCTCTTTTCTTCCGATCAGGCTTATGTACGGTCAGGCTTTCCCCATGAGCGAGGCCGCCCAGAAGAGCGACTTTGTCCTGCCCATCGGCAAGGCCAAGATTGAGCGTGCCGGAAAGGACCTGACTATCGTCTCCCTCTCCCGCTGCGTCGGCCAGTCATTGACCGCCGCCGCCGAGCTCAAGCAGAAGTACGGTGTTGATGCCGAGGTTATCAACTTGCGCTCCATCAAGCCTCTTGACGTTGAGACCATCATCGCCTCCCTGAAGAAGACTGGCCGCCTGATGGTTGTCGAGTCCGGCTACCCCATGTTCGGTGTTGCCTCTGAGATCCTGGCCCTCTCGATGGAGTACGGCTTCGACTACCTCACTGCCCCTGCCGTCCGTGTCACCGGTGCTGAGGTCCCTACCCCCTACGCTCTCGGCCTCGAGAACATGTCCTTCCCCCAGGAGGACACCATTGTCACCCAGGCTGCCAAGCTGTTGCGGGTTTAAAGTTCTTTTCGGAGCGACAAAGTGAGCGTGGCGTAATAAAACCCTTGTGACTAGTATCTTTTTTCCCCTATCCCTCCCAAACGTTTTCGTTTTCTACATTGTTTACCATCTTCCACGACATCTTTCATTTTCCTGGCCGTGTCTCATCATCTTCTCTACTATATGTCGTCTGTGTTTCTTTTTTGCTCCCTCTCCATCATGTCATTATTTGACCTGTCTGTTTTGTTTCCCAACGTTTTGATTTCTGCCTAGACAGATATTTGGGAAAAAATAGTGTACGATAACCTTCCTGGACTTGATCTTTTCCTGTACGTGTTTTGTAGGCTGTAGAGCGATGGTCCATCTTCGACGTTGAAGATATGGTGAATGCACAATCGTTCAGTGTTGATTCCATTGCGAAAAGGATAACATGGTCAAGGTTCAAGACAGAACAGGTCTCCTCGACCAGAGATACGAGATGTTCATCAAACGTTCAACAAACATTCTCTTACCCTTGCGCTCCTCGCCTTCTCACTCCTTTTTCAAAGCTTACCTCGACCCGTTAGACGTATCACGACGACGCCTTCAGAGGCCCAACGGCCAAACTAGAACACCCCGCATGACAGCCCGTGGGCCGTCGAGGATCATAATATCCCCCTCCGTCCCGATTCCGCGCATATTCTTCATCCGTTTCACTTTCCACGTCTTCACGATGTCGCCCATCTTCATTGGCCCGAGTATCCCCGCGCCTTGACTCTGCCTGATCTCTCTGACCGGTACCTATTCTCCCTTCCCCCGCGCCCTCGCCTTTGTCCTTGTGCTCCTCGCCCTCGTCCTCATCCTCATCTCCCAAAACGTTCACCTTTTTCACCGGCGCCGCAGGACCCTTGACCGTCGCAAACGAGCTCTTGAACCCTCCCTTCTTGAATCCTCCGCCTCCGCTTCCGCCTCCTCCACCACCACCACCCGGTTTCGTGGTCTTCCCCGCCGACGACGTCGACGAAACGCCCCCGGGCGTGCTAGCAGTGTCCAGTACTTTCAGCCCGGCCTCGGCATCGGCGCGACGTTCGGCGCGGCGCGCCTTTTCAGCGGCGTTGGGGTCCCGCGAGAGTTGTTTGAGATCTTGTAGGCGTTTGCGGTGTTGGTGGTCGTAGGATCCGATGTGGGCTTCGTATTCCGGGTGGCGCGAGTAGGATTTGTTGCAGAGCGTGCAGGTGAATGCGCTTAGGGCTGAGCGAGCGGATTCTGTCTGTGGAGAGGGGCCAGGTTTGGTTCTGGTTAGCTCTGTTGTTTGTGTTCTCGCGTCTTGCTTGAGCTGGAGCTGGAGCTAGGGCTCCCGCTCCGGCTTGAGGTATGGTGCGGGCGCAAACGTGGTTTGCGACGAGGCGACGTGAGAGTAGACGTACCTTGGGCGCGGGATTTGTGAATGCTCGCTGGATCAATTTGAAAGGTTAGCTGTTTGTGTGTAATCGGAAGCGAGCAGCCAAAGGGGACATGACGCTTGTCGTGGTGGTGTTGGTGATTGGTGATGGTGACGTACGGGTGCCATGATGGAGTGTGTATGAGAAAAGACGGAGTGGACTGGGAGTCCCAGTGAGAGGGTTTCTCGTCGATGCGACCAGATCGAGAGATGATGAGGTTGTCTGGATCGATTTTACGACTTGTTGACTCTTTTTTCCCCCCCTTTTTGTGCCTGTCGTTGCGGGGATTCTTGTATCGGCCTTGAATCTCGGAGGTTTCGCGGGCGGTTGTCGGTGGAGATCCAAATTGGAGAGACTCGGGGATTGTTCTTGATGGGAATGGCGATCTGCTCCCGCCGTTGAGGATCCGTTGGTCAGCAGTTTTTGCAGTTCATGGCCACTGCATGACTGCAGTCTGGTACACTTTAATCGTATATTAGTGTAACTACCGTACGGCGTACAGTACTGGAGGACAAGAACAGACACAGCTTAGTCTTACAGCTTACAGCGCCTGTGTTCAAGCAGTATCCAAACCGAAACCGATTTAATGGTGGTTATATTAGAAACGAAAAAGTGATAGTATAATATGACCAGCAAAATGATTTCAATGGAAGTCCGCAATCGGTGTCAGTTCAACCGCTTTTGATCTCTCCCACTGTCCGTCGTGTCCGACTCGTGACTTTACGAAACTTGTTTATTTTCAAGCTTCCAAGCCTGCGGCTCATCTGGAATTGCCTTTTTCGGCCCGATTACTTTTTTGTCCCAACGATTCACCGCTAGTGATGAGATCTGTTTGATCTACAATTTCGCTAGTCCGGCAATTCTCTTCTTCTCTTTCTTCCCCCCACTGCGCACTGCTTGTTGTTCGGTACACCAACACCTCTTTTCAAGATGCTAGGCCCGGACACCAAAGCACAGGATGCCGACGCCAAATCCATCCTCTCGATGCAGGAGCTCGAACCGTCCCCCGTCATTGACGACTATCTCCCTACGCCGGAGCTCGAATCTCTGGAGAATGGCGAATACTTTCCTCGACCGGTCGAGGAGAAGCCCGCGCGAAGCTGCGGCATGTCTGCTCCAGGTCTAGGCTTACGCGCGCATCGATGGGACGCATTACGTATGTGCTTTTCCACCAACAAAGATTTTTACCATCTGTGCCCATTTTCTCTCCCAGTCAGAGTCTCGGCTTCAGTTTCGGCTTGCCGACTTAACACTCAATGGACATTACCTAACATACTTCCTCCAGTTTCTGCTATCCAAAGATACTCGACCTATCCTCCCACCGCATTCTTCATCCTTCATATCGCAAACACATCCATCATCCCACTCGTCACTCGCTCTGTGCCCGCTAGTGAACCCTACCTCCTTCTCACGAGACCCGTCTATCAAGCCCCCGGACTCGAACATCTTGTTCTCACCGTGCCTATCCTCGCCCACGTCGCATCCGGCATCGCGCTGCGCAATATCCGCGGCGCCCGTCGCGCTCGTCTCTACGGCGCAGAAACCCGCGCGCAGCGCCACACGCTCTCGTTCTGGCCCAAGGTCTCGACGCAGGCGCGTCTGGGGTACCTTATTGCCCCGCTGGTCGGGCTGCACGCCTTGGTGAATCGCGTGACGCCCTGCGTGGTGGAAGGCGGAAGCTCCGGGGTTGGCCTGGGCTATGTGGCGCATGGGATTGCGCGCAGCCCGGTCTTTTGGAACGTCTTCTATGTGGTCTTTGTGACGGCGAGTGTGTGGCATTTCGTGGGCGGGTGGGCGACCTGGATGGGGTGGAGAGTGACGACGGCGAGGAAGGAGAGAGGAAAGGGTTCCAAGGGCTCGCTGGAAGGGTACTTGGGTCAGCCCGAGAACCAGGATCGAGTGAAGCGTCAGCGCAAGATGTGGTGGGTGGTGAATGGGGTGGCTGCGATGGGCGCGGCGGTTTGGTTGGCGGGTGGGTTGGGAATTATTGGGCGAGCTGGTCGCGGTGCTGGATGGGAAGCTTCAGGATGGGATCAGTTGTATAGCCATGTGCCTGTCATTGGGGCGTGGTTATGAAGGCATTGGGTGCATGTCTTGTGGATTCCAGTTCACAAGGGGTTTGGTACGATCATGATGATGGCCTCATGAAGCATGACTTTGCGGAAACACGCTCATTTACTGTATAGTATATATTGCTGGATCTCTGCTGGACTTAATTCTTAATACACATTCTCATATATGTACAAGTTTACATTGAGGATCATATCTCTTGCTTTTGACTCCGTTGTAGTAGGTACTAGGTTAGTAGGTACCATTACTGGTGGCATGAAGAGCGGATTTTGGGTTGGAAATGTGGTATAACCCGAGTCTCAGGGCTTTGATATGTCCTTTCCGAACATGGTAAGTTTATGATGGTAGACAACAGTAGGTAGTCTCCAGTTCCACGTTATACAACTGCAAACTCACTTGGTCCGTGCGGAGACCTCTTTTTTCCTCCAGCGCCGCGCAATTTGCCGGGAAAGTGTTCTCTTTGCTAAGCCAACCCCAACTCTCAGACGTCGCATTGACCTTATACAGTCTGGTCATGAGTCGATGAAGCTCCGGCGTTTTTTCTTTAAGATCGTTCAAGTCCCGAAATGCGCCCTTGATTCGCCACACACCATTCGAACTCCCCGACGCCCGCGCCCATCAATTCAATCGCACACTCCACGGCGTTTCCTCCGCAGCACGTCCAGAGTCATGGAGATCTCTCCCGAACCAGCAACCAGCAAGCTGGTGCAGCATGGAGGAGTCGAGTACAATGTCATCAAGGAGGGTCTGGCGCACATTCTCAACCCAGCTGCCCAAGAGGCCGCCTCCAAGGGTACGCGCAGAGATCTTTCCGACAAGGACGAGAGTCAATCCGTCTTCTACAATCCCATCCAGCAGTTCAATCGCGACCTCAGTGTTCTTGCCATTCGCGCATACAGCGAGCATGTCGCCGATGTCAGAAGGCAAAAAGCGGATCAGAAATCCAAGAGACGCTCTGCGGGCAACGGGACCACTGCCCAGGGAACCAAGCGCAAGCGCGAGGATTCGCCTAATGAGAAGAGCGAAAAGTCAGCACGCGCGGACGTTCCCGAGGAGACTGCTGTCACTGATGCGTCGTTGACCGAATCCGCGACCACTAAGCCCGAGACTGCGACAACGACAACAACGACGACGACGACGACAAGCCCTCCCTCGTCGTCTCAATTCACGGTCCTTGATGCGCTGTCTGCCACAGGTTTACGTGCTCTGCGATATGCATCGGAGTTGCCCGTCGTGACAAAAGTGGTAGGCAACGATCTTTCGGAATCTGCAATCAAGTCCATGAAGACGAATATCGCCTACAACAAGCTGGAAGACCGCATCCAGCCAAACCTTGGCGATGCCCGTGCCTACATGTATCGCGCCAGCGGGGATCCCTCCCGTAAATTCGACGTGATTGACCTGGACCCCTACGGCACGGCAGCTCCATTCATAGACGCAGCTCTGCAGGCTGTCAAGGACGGTGGTCTGTTGTGTGTCACCTGCACGGATGCCGGTGTCTGGGCCTCGACCGGCTATGCCGAGAAGGCATTCTCTCTCTACGGTGGAAACCCCGTCAAGGGTCTGCATTCGCACGAGGCTGGCCTGCGCTTGATTTTGAACAGTCTGGCCATGTCTGCTGCCAAGTATGGGATTGCAATTGAGCCACTACTCTCACTGTCCATCGACTTCTATGCTCGTGTCTTTGTGCGTGTGACTCGCTCTCCAGCGCAGGTCAAATTCCTGGCTAGCAACTCGATGATCGTGTATAATTGCGACTCGGGTTGCGGCGCATGGTCTATTCAGCCTCTGGCCGCATCTCGCGAGAAGCTCGATCGCAACGGCAACCCAGTCTACCATTTCAAACTTGCGCAGGGACCGACGGCCAACACCTTCTGTGAGCACTGCGGACTTAAGACCCATCTTGCCGGACCTATGTGGGCTGGTCCGCTGCACAACCCGCATTTTATCCAGCGCATATTGGATACTCTGCCTAAACTGGATCCGGAGGTGTACCAGACCATACCTCGTATCGAGGGCATGTTGACCACGGCCATGGAAGAAGATCTGGATCTGAGTCCGACTCTGACCAAACCGAGCGCTCAGCAGCAAAACCAAAACCAAAACCAAGCCCAACCCCAACAAACAAAAGAATCCTCCAACCCAGAAAACTCGACCCAGTCAGAACCACACCAAAACGAATACCCAGCGATCATCCCCCGAATCAACCCGGCTCTCCACGAGCCATACCCCTTCTACTTCTCTCTCAGCGCTCTCTCCAAAGTCCTGCACTGCTCCACCGTCCCTCAAGACGAGTTCCGCGGCGCCCTTCGCTCCGTCGGATACCGCTCAACTCGCAGCCATGCCAAGCCCAATTCCATCCGCACGGATGCCCCCTGGGCCGTCATCTGGGAAATCATGCGCGAATGGGTCCGCCAACACTCTCCCGTCAAAGAATCCTCACTGAAACCCGGCACCGCAGGCGCGGTCATCATGGCCAAGAGTCGTGAGAATCTGCGCAAAGGTCCCATCGCCCAGCCCAATCCCTCCGGCGAAGACCGTCAGGACCCCTGGCTCGCACAGTTAAAGAATGACCTCCTGGCTGCTGTCCAGTCCGGCAGAGACATCACTGACCTTGTCACCAAGGTCGAGGCCTCTCTATACCGATCTGGTCCCCGACAGTCTTTAGTATCGCCGCCTCAACAGCAGCAGCAGCAAGATTCCCCCGAAAAAGACCAACCCGTCCCAACCACTCAACCCACATCTCAACCACAACCCTCCTCTCACCCCAGCACCCTGAACGTCAAATTTGACGCCGCCCTCGGCCGCGAAGCCTCAGCCGCCCATTCCAAGAAACGTCTCGTGCGGTATCAGATCAATCCGCGCGCGAACTGGGGACCGCTGAATCGAGCCGCTATCAAGTTGCGGAGCGGTGGGGCCGACGAGAGTGCCAGTGCCGGTACCAGTGGTTGATTTCTTTTAGAATCCTTGATTAAGGTAGTTTTCTGGAGTCGTGTGGAAACACAAAGAGATGGCTCTAAGACGTCGTGATGTCATGTGTTGTGTCGTGAATGTGTTTTAGATCCCCTTGCTTGATCTATTCGATCCATCTGTACATCTGATGGGAAGTTTTGAATCTTCTTTCTCCCCTTCTCTTTTCAAATTTCAACGTTGGATGGAATACGAACAAAAATCGAGATTTAAACCATATCCCTGCGTACAACATTCTCTGTAATGAAAGTAGCCGCTTCACCCAGGTAGGTATCCTGTCTTTCTTAAACAAAACACGGAAGTACCGCGACACTCATATCCTCCACCCTTCGGATCGAGAAGAACACCATCTGAGGCCCGGAAAATTGGAACATGGATGCTGTCGCGGCCCACGGGAGGTTGAAATCCATGGGAGCTACAAGTGCTCGCCGTCTGCAGGTGATCGATGATGTGGATGTGAAGACATAGGGTGTTGGATTCAAACTCGTTGTGACTTGTGCTGATGGACATAGTGCAGACTGCAGACTGCATACTCGCATCTACGTAGTACGTACTACTAGCCGCGAGGGGTGATCTAGGTGGCCGAGAAGGATTGTTTAAACATAAGTCCAAATCGTTCTATAAAAGCGAGTGAATAAGTCTAAGGATAGAAGCACCCTCGACAGTGCAATTTTAAGGATATTAGGCTCGACTGCACCTGCGCTTGCTCTTGCAAACACTGGAACTGAGGGAGACAATGTAGCTTCTCAATTAATCAGAGACAGATACTCGACAATGCAATAAACAAAAATAGACCAGGTATCACGTCACAGTATATCAGAAAAAAGCAGCACCCGTTCAGGAACATTCATCCCGTCGTATTATACGAACATAAAAAAGAAAAGCAAACAGAATCCCAGTGCAAATGAAGGGGCAAAAAATAGTCAGATCTATACATCTAATTTGAGGGCTCGTGAATTCCAGCTTCGGCAGTTCACTGTCCGTTCGTAATTTTAAAATTGCGAAACAGCGACCGCGACGGCCTGAGTCTCACTGTGGCTGATACTAACAGTGACTTGCTTGACACCGGCTTCCTTGGCAGCGGTAGCGGCGGCGCCATGGAGCTAAAATGGAAGATCTCCCGTTAGCGTGGCTGATCAAACACGATTGGATGTATTTGGGGCTAGGGGTGCGAAAGGGCATCAAAGCGGGAATGGCTTGGACACCTTGAGGAAAGGGGAAAAAAAGAAAGAAAAAAAAACTTACATTGACAGTGGGAGCGCCATTGGCGTCGCTTCCAATCTCAATATCCTTCAAAGCAGCTCCGGCACCCTTGCTGCTAACACCGAGTGACTTGAACACGGCTTCCTTGGCACTCCAGCGGCCGACAAAGGACGATTGAGGAGAAGCAGCCTTGCGGCAGTATTCTTGCTCGGCCTCAGTGAAGTTGCGCTCGACAAAGGTCTCGTTGAAGATGTTGATAGCGTCGATGTTCTCAACATCGACACCGACCTTGGAGTTTCCACCAGTAGCGTGAGCCTTGGCGAGGGACTCGACCATTTGGCGGGTGCTCTCCCGCTCCTCGGCCTTGGGAGGAGTGGTAGAGAACTTCAGCTCAGAAGTCTTCTTGTCCACACTGACACGGTAGTCAGGGTTCAGGAAGACTTGGCTCTGTTGAGCATCCTCATAAGGAGCCTTGCTCTTGGCCACAAAGATACTGTTGTTGATCAGACCGTTGTGGAAGTAACGGTAAGCTTTCTTGTGGCGAGACTCAACCTTGTTCCTGTAGGCCTGGTACTGGGCCTGGTCCAAAGTGGCATACAGGTACTTGGGGTGGATACCAATGACCTGGGCGCCCTTCTGACCGAAACCGAAGGAGGTCACAGAGAAGGCATTGACACCGTCAGTCTGAATGCTGCGACTGGGGTAAACAATGTAGTCGAACTTCTCCATCACCTTGTCAACATTGTCGGCGTTCCGGTTGCCAGGAACAAGACCGGAGTCAAGGACCTGCAAGCACCCGTTGAACATCCAGGCACCGGCGGCACCCTTGGGGTGACCAGTCAAATACTTCTGGAAGATACCCATGACGGCATTACCCTTCTTGCGACCAAGATGCTTCAGCTGCTGGCAAATGACATCCGACTCGTTCTTGTCGTTGGCAACAGTCGAGGTACCGTGGAATGAGGCAACGCTAATATCATCAACAGTCAGGCCCCAGGTAGCAAGGGCACCACGGAGGGGAGCGATGCGCGAGTCCTGCTTCCAGAAGTTGTTGCCCAGACTGAACTGAGCATCCTTCTCCTGACGGACAGCCTCGCGCTCAATGTGCTGGGCACGCTCGTGCATGTACTCGGAAGCATTGAAGGAGGAGTCGCTCTGGGCTTGCATGGCGTCGACCTCTTCTTGGAGATAAAGAAGCTCGGACTCTTGCCATTCTTTGATCTGCTTCATGCGGAGCTCAAGCTGACGACGACGGTACTTGATGTCCAGGAGGGGCGAAGGGAACTTGCCAGGATTCTCACGGGCGGTGGTAAGAACACCCTGGCCGGGAGCGGGCACAGATCGTCCGATCTTGTCGGTAGCAGTGGTAGTCAGAGCAATGATACCGTGGATGGGCACACCCATATCGAGAGCGAGCTGGGCACTCATGATGAGCTGCATACCGCAACCCTGCGACTCCATGAAACCGGCACGGGTAGTAGTCGTGGGGCGAGACATCTCTTGAGGGGTGCGACCGTGGGCGAACTCGGTCTCAGCGTTGCTAGTAGCCTTCATGTTGGCGAACTCATACGAACCTTCCTCTTGGAAGTCGTCGAAACCACCAACGAAACAGACACGAGCCTTGCCCTCAACGATGGTCTCGTAACCAATATCAACGGACTCGACGGCAGTGGCACAGGCTCCGACAGGAGTCTTGATGGGACCGGTCGAAGATAGGAGCAGCATGTTCACCCACGCACTCATGGTGTTGATGAAAGATTCTTGCAGAATATCCTTCTGGACAGGCTTATCCAAGAAGCGGTCCTTGTACATACCACGCAGAGCATGGGTACCACCGATACCAGAGCCGATACAGTTACCCACTTCAGAGAGGTGGACATACTTGTAGAACTCATAGGGATCGGTGATACCGGAAGACAGCATGGCCTCAGCGGTACACACCAGAACGTACAGAGTGATAGGATCGACTTGCTCGATGATATCATCAGGGACACCGTAGCGCTTAGCGTCCCAGCCAGTGGGGACTTGACCGGCGACAAGGCGATCGAACGAGAGAGCCTTAGGAATGAGGAGGGTGGCACCCTTGCGCAGACGGACAGTGTACTCGCCGGATTCAGGAATCTCGAAGATATCGACCTTGTCTCCGTGTTCACGCTTGAACTCAGTGGCGGTCTCCTGGGACGCCTCGAATGGCTCAAGATCCTCCTGGATGACAATTTCTTGCAAAAGCTGCTTCTGCTTAGGGTCGTAGCCCTTGAACAGCTCAGGCTCGATCAGGCGGATACCAGTGTGCTCCAAGATGTACTTCTCGTACTTGGCTTTGACATCCTTATCATCGACAGGCTCGCCGCTCTTCGCATCAACCCAGCCAGAATAGGCCTTACCCTTGAGAGGGCCGTTGTGATGCTTGATCAGGCCCATAATCCAGGCCATTTCAACGCAACCCTCGAGAGAGAACTTGCCATGGGCCTCCATCTCCCAACGAGTACGAGAATTACCCCAGGGTCCAACCTCGGAGAAACCAGTGACAACGACAACCTTGTCCAAGTTGACCATACCCTTCAGTTTCTCGTTCAGGAGCTTCACTTCAGTCTCCCAGTCAGGAAGCTTGGGGAAATCAAGCTTGATGTTGGCGCGCGGCTCGGCGATCACCTTCTTGTAGAGAGCACCGCTATCCTCGCCATTGACGACCTTGTTCTCGATGGCGGTTTCCTTGATAACGGCCTGTCGGACGTCGCTCGTCTCCATAATATCAGTACGGAGGCGAGTCATCATGCCCTTGAGGTCAGGGATGAACTGCAAACCACCGTTGAGATCAGCCCACACGGGGTCAATCTGGCAAAGATTGACGACAGCGGGAGACATCAGACCCAACAGGTTGAAGGCCATCTCCTGCTGAGAGAAGGTGCGAACGCCAAGCTTCTCAACACCCTCCGCGACCATGTTGTTACCGCTCATCAGGCCAGTGCCACGGGTCCAACCGATGACAGCACCGCAGATGGTGAGGTAGTTGGCCCAGTTCTCAGAGTACCAACGGTTGAACAGGGTCTCCAGGCCCAACTTAGACTCGGAGTACAGACCGTCGTTACCGAAGGTACCATGGTTAGGCGACAGGGGCAGGATGACCTGCGCAGGGCGAGTCTCGAAGCCATGAGTCTGCTTCTGAGTCTTAATCGAACCCAGCATACGGAGCAGATTGGTCAACATGATACGGTGGGCCAACTCGGATTTAGAGTCAATAGAGTCAATCTCGCGACCGTTCTCGGGAATGGCAGCGAAGGGCACGACAAAGTCGAGGTCCCATCCGAGGCCCTTCTTGGTGTCGTAGATGTAGTCGACCAGAGCCTCCACATCCTGTTTGCTACCTTGGTTGAAGGGCACAACCACCAATTGAGAGCCACGGGCACCATAGCGCGCGTAGATTCCCTGGTAGTACTCCGTGACTTCACGGGAGAAGCGGCTGGTGGTCACGACAACCTTGGCACCACCGGAGATGAGACCCTGCAGGACTTCGGCGCCGATGGACCCGGCACCGGCACCAGTCATCAGCACGTTCTTGCCCTGGAAGGAAAGACCGGAACGAGCGGCGGACTCCAAGACGTTCAAGTAGACACCGGTGAGCTTCTTGTTGTAGTCCCAGCCGTGCTCGGACTTCTTCTTGAGGTGCAGGAAGGGAATGGTCTCAACCTTGCCGGGGCGAAGGGCGGCCGAGCGCTTCAGGCCGGACTTCTTGGCGGCGCCGTTCTCCTGAGGCATGATCTGGTTCTCATTCATGTTCATGGCGTGAATGACGTCCTTGTACAAAGCATCGAATTGCAGCTGCGTGGCCTTAGACAGGCGGTGTTGCTTGCGAATGAGCTTGTAAACATTCTTGAGGTCATTCTGCACCTTATCGCGGTTGCTGTACTCCGAGATAGGGCCACCTTCGGCCATCTGCTTGACGTAGTGCTCGAGCTTCCGAGCACTGGCACGTGGGATCTCCTGATAGCTAATGTTACCGCGCGCGTCCACAGTGGTGTGAGGGCCGGTGGGAACAGCGACATCTTTGTAGACTGGCGCAACGTCCATGACCTCCTTGCAATTGTCAATAAGCTGCTGTCCCAGCTCCTTGGCCAGCTGGTAGGTCTCGCCGCGCTCCGTGGGGCAATTGTCGATGTGATATTGCATGAAATCCAGAAGAAGAGGGTTGGAACGGTTCATGATGCGGATGCACTGGCTGACGATCTCACGATCAATCATTTGGAGACGCCCAAAGATGATATCGTAGTACATGCTGAGAGCGTCTTGGCGCGCCCAGTTCCATGAGGAGTCGTATACTCGGGCCTTCAGGGGATCGAAAGAAGGCTCGATACCCGAGGCATAGAAATCGCCGTGCTCGGCAGACCACAAATCCAGTTGAGCCTGGAGTGCCTTTTGGCTCTCCTGTGAGACCAACGCCGCTTTGTCACCGGCGCGCAGATCCATCTTCAAGTAGCGAGCAATGACTTCCAATTGCTGCTTGAACAGGGCCCGCTGGTCCTTGGTCAGGGCATCAATGGCGGCGGGATCCATCATCATACCACCTCCACCAGCACCGCTGTCACCACCAGCCGCCGGAGCTGAAAGATTGATACCGGCCGTCGAAGCATATTTGTTCGTCACGGTGTCCAAGAAAGCCTTGGCGTCGGGCTCGGAGCCCAGACGAGCAGCAGGCTCCATGGTGATGGCCAACAGCAGCACTCCATCCTGGCGGCCTGCGCCCAGTCCCCACCGTGTCTCGAGATATTTGCGAACCGACGTGATGTTGAAGCCACCGGGCATCTTGGAGGAGACCATGCGAGCAATGAGGGAAGAAGATTGTTTGCCCAACTGGCCGTTGAAAGTAGCCTGCATGGCGGCACCTAGCTCGTCCAGCGGTGTGTCTTCGGGCTTCTCTGGTGTCGAACCGAACTCTTTGCCCAAATCTCCGAGGATTTCGTTTTGTAACGTCGACTTGCCTGATCATACCAGAACACAATGGAGATTAGCATGTGCTTTGTTGGAGGAACGTGGCCCAGAAGCGTTGAAGATTTGAGATTGACTCCCCACACTTACCTCCTACGAGATCTTTGATGGCCTTGGTCAAAGGCACCTCTTCCAAGCCCTTCTTGAGCTTCTGTGCCACGAGAGACCGCACAATATCCACAGCGGTCACTGGAGCATCTTCCACTGCGGCAGCCGGGCCGGCACTGGGAGGAGGGGGAGCGGCGGCGGCGGCGGGAGCCGCAGCCACGGGAGCAGCACCGGCAGCGGCTGCGGGGGCTTCGGAGCTGGGTTCAGGCTCATCTTCGACGGGGTCCACGTCGTAGTAAATCTCCTTGGCGTCCTTGTTGTAGCAAAGAATCTGACGCTGTACGGAGGTAGCGGCATCGTAGGCCTCGTACTTGGAGGCGAGTGTGCGGCGGGCCATGCCACCCAGGGTATCTGCGGGACCAATTTCAACAATACGCTCCGTCCGTTGCTCAGCCAGAATGACATCTTGAGTCTCGATCCATCGGACCGGAGAAGCGAATTGGTAGGCGAGCAGCTCCACCAACAAGGTGTGAGCCAGCTCTTGCTCAATCTCGGGACGCATGATGGATTGTGTAGTGTGTGCGAGTGCTTGAGCAGTTTTTAGTTGCCCGGATATACGAGAAATCAAGAGCCGAGGAGGTGTGTGAGTGCTGCAATTGTCGAGTTGATTATTGTTTTTTTGAGACGATAATTAGGGTAGGTCGTCAAACAGATTGCGGCCAGAATCTGGGCGCGACGGGGACGGTCGTCGCTTGATACCCGCGAAAGGAATGGGATGTATGAGGAATTGGAGAAGAAGAAGAAGAAGCAGGAGCACCAAAGTATTAGGAAGAGATAGGAGATAGAGAGTCCCAGATGATCACCAACGCAAAGGGGGAGGAGAAGATTAAGGAGAAGGAGGGGGAGAAAGAATCAAGAGGATGCCAGAGGATGGGACTCGGTGGAGTGTAGACCAAAGTGTCGAGGAGGGAAAAAAAAGGTGGGAATGCGATAGGCTCTTACGATAGGCGGATGGAACTGATGGGTGTGGTAATACCGAATACGCGGTGTAATTTTGGACCGGCTGATCAGTGATCACCCACGCTCGCGTCGGAGATGCTGAGCCGACGCTTGGCTAGCGGGTCAGTGTGCAAGACTAAGCTTGGTGCAGTTCCACGATTTGCACTGATATGCCGTAGTGCTTATCTACCGCAGCTAGAGTACATTGAGTTACAAGTACCGCGGGTGCACTGTCGGAGGCATGCAATAATCATATGCCCCCGAGAGGATTCAACAGTTCAAGAGTTTACTTTGATATTTCGTCAATCTAGCGAATTTCGGAGATTGAATGTCTCAACGTCAGGCTTGTAATCGTGTATCATACAGTATTGAGAGAAGATGATACATATGTACGATGTGTACTTGTGTAATATGTAATACCGTAGCTACATACCGCTACACTGAAGCTCGTCGGTCTGTATTGACGATGTAACGAGTTCAAAACTTCACACTTCAAATTAGGAAAATTCGGAACCGGGTTCATGTATCATATATTTACGGCCAACTGTCGGACTCGGGCGTGGCAAGTGACAAGATCCGCTGTCTCTTCACCTGGTTTGGCCAGACAGACCCATTGCCTGGCCAGTGTCCACCAACATGGCAAGTGCGCTCCTCTGGGGGTGTGGCGGACAGAAGGGATGAGAGAAGTGGTGAGGCCGTTGGGGGGGGCTCTGGGGGGCTCTGGAAGCTCATTCAGAGCAGCCGTGCGGCGGGTACAGACGCCCGTTCCTGGCAGACCCTGCGCTTCCAATAGGGACACTCCCAACACTCCATTCATGGCCCCAGAGACCCACCGCGCTAACCCGATCAGAGTGGACTGGTCGACCAGACTCCCGCCGGCTCGGGTCTTGGCGTCGCGATTGTATGAGAGAAGCTCGAAGAGACGATCAGAATACGCAGTGATCATGGCTTTTGACAATGGACGGGTTCACAGTGACACGGGCACATCGTCCAATGATCAGGTGTCATTGATGATTGCATATGGAGCGTCTCGACTAAATGGGCTAGGTAATGAGTATGTGGTTAGGTACAAGGTACAAAAATTCGAGTGCTCGTGCTGGGGTCGAGCTTCCCGAGCTATTCCCGACAATTGACTCCGGTGACCGACCGGTCATCATGAAAATAGATACCGTCCTAACGTGCCATTAGTAGTGATGCCTAAATATATACCAGCCTGGGTACCACCTGGCACCTAGAGATTGATCCCAACGCTCTCATTTATTACAGAAGAATGTATGTGATTCTCCATCAGTCGAGATGTCATCACAATTGTCTCGTAGAACCATACTACTAAGGTCCGTCCATATGTAATACTGACCGTTGAGACCATGGGTGTGCCCGATACGACTGGATGCCTGTTTCCGTGTAGAGTAGGCCAGCAGGTGCTTCGTATTTGCAACGATACACATCTGTTTTGACGAAAGCATTCAACTGGGTTCCAGTAACTGAAGCCGACTAGGTAACAACGGACCTCTCGTCTGCATTGCTCGGCTCGGTGCTCAAAAATGAGGGCAGAAGGACCTTCGAGGAAGTACTACCGTAGTCTGTAACAGATCAATATATTACCGGTATTGCGAGGACCGGCCGAATCTCATTTCGCAGCGACGCAGGCCAACACCCGTTGAACTCCGGCAACTGGACATGCCACGACCGATTTGTGCTGTACAATTGTACATAGACAATTAGGACTACCGAATGGACTACTAATGCTTGAACTTTCAGGTGGCCGAGACTTCTCTAATGATCAGATAGCTTTGATGGACTCTACTACAATGCATGGCCATGCCAGCCAGTACCTGAGTGCCCTGTTGATGAGCTCTCTTCATGGAGTTGGAAGCTGCCCACCAATCTCGAATACTCCACATCACCGTACATTTGAACACTGTACCTGTTTCGATCGTTACAGGGAATATCGACAGCAGGCCAGGTTGAAATTACCCTGCCGGAATCTACCATTGCTTACAACAAGCTCTTCAACAAAATCCAGTTGTTCTACTCTCTTCTGACAAGTTCTGTGCTATACTAGTCCAGTAGTCGCTATGTTTATTGTATCGTTATGTGCTCGACCCTCCATGCCTGTAAATGTCAGCCGTCTGATCATCCCTGTAAGTAAGTATTGTAATTACACGCGTACAGTACATCCGCCAACTGTGAGTGTGCACTTGTACTGCAAACTACACGCAAGGTCAATGCTCTTCCGTGGTGTCGGGCGGAGTCTGCCAGAGTATTGGGGCGGGTCACCCCTCCACGCTAAACCTTATCAAGAAATCTACAATTCAACACCCAAAATGACCGAGTCCATTTTTCCCCATTTTCGGTTTTTTTTTCCCAATTCCTTACGGCGACTGTTCCACCAGACCACCAAATCTGCGGTCTGCTTGCTCGTTGCTGGAATACGGCGAAAGACCAGAAGGAGCAAGAGACGACAATATTATTCGACCAGAGGTCTTTCTATCGGTCCCCAACTCCATCTCTTCTGCTTCAACTTCCCCCTCTTCGAAATCCCTCCTCCTCCATCTATCCTGCCATCTCGAATACCCTCCCATTTCCCCCCTCCCCCCACCGGCTCCCAGTCTCCCTTCCTTTGACCTGTTGATGCTTCTTGTGAACCCTGCTCTTACCATTATTTAATCCACATTTCTCGTGGTCGACACGACTATATTGTGTAAGTTGTCGTGAAACCCCCTTCACCGACAAGATCCCAGCCGAGTTCCTCCGCCGAATTGAGGTGATGGCTCCTATGGGCACCTAGAACACGGAAACAGCCCAATGACGATCCAACAAGTCGCTAATTTGTTCCTCTCGCAGAATTCAATTCCCAATTGACCCCTCGCATCCGGGTCAATCATCAAGAGGCTCAAAAGGAGACAGAAGAAAAAAAAAAAGAGACCTCATCATGTACGGCACATCCACCGGTCCTCAGACTGGGATCAACACTCCCCGGTCGTCGCAATCTCTGCGTCCACTCATCCTGTCACACGGCTCCCTCGAATTCTCGTTCCTCGTTCCCACCTCGCTTCATTTCCATGCCTCTCAGCTCAAGGACACTTTCACCACATCATTACCCGAGCCCACAGATGAATTGGCCCAGGATGACGAGCCCTCGTCTGTGGTGGAGCTGGTCGCCCGCTACATCGGTCATGTAGCCCACGAGGTCGAGGAAGGCGAGGATGACGCCCAGGGCACCTACCTGGAGGTCCTGAAGCTCGTCATGAACGAGTTCGAACGGGCCTTCATGCGCGGTAACGATGTCCACGCTGTCGCGGCTGCCTTGTCCAGCATTGTCGGCAAGAAGAACCAGGTCGTCCAGGCCTACTACGCTGGTCGCGCCGCCGCCAGCCGTCCGACTAAGCCCTACGATTCAGCTCTTTTCCGGGCGGCCTCAGACGGCGCGGCGGGTATCTACACCGTGTTCGGCGGTCAGGGAAACATCGAGGAGTACTTCGACGAGCTGCGCACTGTTTACACCACCTATCCCTCGTTCGTGGAGGATCTAATTGTTTCTTCCGCTGAGCTTCTGCAGTCTCTGTCTCGCGAGCCCGAGGCGAGCAAGCTCTACCCCAAGGGTTTGGATGTCATGCGCTGGCTGCGGGACCGAGACGCTCAACCCGATACTGACTACCTTGTCTCCGCCCCTGTCAGTCTGCCCTTGATCGGTCTCGTCCAGTTGGCTCACTACACAGTGACCTGCAAGGTCTTGGGTCAGCAGCCTGGTGATCTCGTGGAGCGCATTCGTGGTACTACCGGTCACTCGCAAGGTGTGGTCACTGCGGCCGCCATTGCTACCGCGACCAGCTGGGAGTCATTCGCTCAGGCCTCTCGCAATGCCCTGACCATGTTGTTCTGGATTGGTCTGCGCAGCCAGCAGGCCTATCCCCGCACTTCTCTGGCTCCTTCCGTGCTGCAAGATTCGGTTGAGAACGGTGAAGGCACCCCGACTCCCATGCTGTCTATCCGGGACCTGTCCCTCAGTGCGGTTCAGGAGCACATCGATGCGACTAACCAGCACTTGCCCAAGGATCGTCACATTGCCATCTCTCTCGTCAACAGTGCTCGCAACTTCGTCGTGACTGGTCCTCCCATCTCACTTTATGGTCTGAACCTGCGTCTCCGCAAGGTCAAGGCTCCCACGGGACTCGACCAGAACCGTGTGCCCTTCACGCAGCGCAAGGTTCGCTTCGTCAACCGTTTCCTTCCCATCACCGCTCCCTTCCACAGCCAGTACCTCTCCTCTGCGTATGACCGTATCTTGGAGGATTTGGAAGATGTTGTGGTCATCCCCGCCAAGTCTCTCCGTATCCCCGTGTTCAACACCAAGTCTGGCGAGGACTTGCGCAACTTGGGTGATGAGAGTGCCGTGCCCGCTCTGATTCGCATGATCACTCACGACCCTGTCAACTGGGAGCAGGCTACCGTCTTCCCTGGTGCCACTCACATTGTCGACTTTGGTCCCGGAGGCATCTCCGGCCTTGGTGTCTTGACCAACCGAAACAAGGACGGTACCGGTGTGCGTGTCATTCTGGCCGGCGAAATGGATGGCACCAATGCTGAGGTCGGATACAAGCCGGAACTCTTCGATCGCGATGAACACTCTGTGAAGTATGCGGTGGATTGGGTCAAGGAGCACGGCCCCCGCCTGGTGCAGACCTCTACTGGGGAGACTTATGTGGACACCAAGATGAGTCGCCTGCTGGGCATTCCCCCTATCATGGTGGCGGGTATGACTCCTACTACTGTTGCTTGGGATTTTGTGGCTGCCACCATGAACGCTGGTTATCACATTGAGCTTGCTGGTGGTGGTTACTATAATGCCAAGACCATGACTGCTGCTTTGAGCAAGATCGAGAAGGTCATTCCGCCTGGACGCGGCATCACCGTCAACCTGATCTATGTCAATCCTCGCGCCATGGCCTGGCAGATCCCCCTGATCGGCCGTCTCCGTGCCGAGGGTGTCCCTATTGAGGGTCTGACTATTGGTGCCGGCGTTCCTTCCATTGAGGTAGCCAACGAGTATATCGAGACTCTGGGCATCAAGCACATTGCCTTCAAGCCCGGCTCTGGTGATGCTATTCAGCAGGTCATCAACATCGCCAAGGCGAACCCCAAGTTCCCCGTCATCCTGCAGTGGACTGGTGGACGTGGTGGTGGTCACCACTCTTTCGAGGATTTCCACCAGCCTATCCTCCAGATGTACGGCCGCATCCGCAAGCAGGACAACATCGTTCTGGTTGCCGGTAGTGGTTTCGGTGGTGCCGAAGATACCTACCCTTACCTTTCTGGTGCTTGGTCTGCCAAGTACGGCTATCCCCCGATGCCTTTCGATGGTTGCTTGTTCGGTAGCCGTATGATGATTGCGAAGGAGGCTCACACCTCAAAGAACGCGAAGAAGGCCATCGCCGATGCGCCTGGTGTGGGTAATGACGAATGGGAGAAGACCTACAAGAGTGCCGCTGGCGGTGTCATCACTGTTCTGTCTGAGATGGGTGAGCCTATCCACAAGCTGGCCACCCGTGGTGTTCTGTTCTGGCAGGAGATGGATCAGAAGATCTTCAAGCTTGACAAGGCTAAGCGTGTCCCCGAGTTGAAAAAGATGCGTAACTACATCATCAAGAAGCTCAACGATGACTTTTCCAAGGTCTGGTTCGGTCGCAACGCTGCCGGCGAGACTGTGGATCTCGAGGACATGACCTATGCCGAGGTCGTTCATCGCATGGTCGATCTGATGTACGTCAAGCACGAGTCTCGTTGGATTGACGACTCGCTGAAGCGTCTGACTGGTGACTTCTTGCGTCGTGTTGAAGAGCGCTTCACCACCACCAGTGGTCAGGCTTCGTTGCTCCAGAACTATTCTGAGCTGAACACTCCTTATCCTACAGTCGACAACATCCTGGCTGCCTATCCTGACGCTGCCAAGCAGTTGATCAACGCTCAGGATGTTCACCACTTCCTCCTGCTGTGCCAGCGCCGCGGCCAGAAGCCAGTGCCTTTCGTCCCTGTCCTCGACGAGAACTTCGAATACTTCTTCAAGAAGGACTCTCTGTGGCAGAGCGAGGACCTTGAGGCTGTTGTTGACCAGGATGTTGGCCGTGTGTGCATCCTGCAGGGTCCTATGGCTGCTCGCTTCAGCAATGTCATTGATGAACCCGTGAAGGATATTCTGGATGGCATTCACAACGGACACATCGCTGGCCTGCTTCGTGACGTTTATGGCGATGACAAGTCCAAGATTCCTACCATTGAATACTTCGGTGGGAATCTCGTCGATGATGAGGATGAGCGCGAGGCGGAAGGTCTTACTGTATCTGAAGAGGCCAACAAGATCAGCTTCCGCCTTTCCTCATCTTCTGCCGACCTGCCCAGCTTGGACCGCTGGCTTCGTCTCCTGGCTGGCAAGACCTACTCTTGGCGCCATGCTCTCTTCTTAGCCGACGTGTTCGTTCAGGACCACCGTTTCCAGACCAACCCAATGAAGCGTGTTGTCGCCCCTACAGCCGGTCTATTTGTTGAGATCATCAACCCCAACGAGCCCGCCAAGACTGTCATCAGCGTGCGCGAACCTTACCAGTCTGGCAAGCTCGTCAAGACTGTCGAGGCGAAGATGAACGAGAATGGTCAGATCGCTCTGAGCATGTTCGAAGGCCGCACTGCCGAAGGTGGTGTTGTTCCCTTGACGTTCCTCTTCACCTACCACCCCGAGGCCGGATATGCTCCCATCCGCGAAGTCATGGGTGACCGCAATGACCGCATCAAGGAGTTCTACTACCGTATCTGGTTCGGCGACAAGAATGTTCCTTTCGATACTCCTACCACCGCCACCTTCGACGGCGGCCGCGAGACCATCACTAGCCAGGCTGTGGCTGACTTTGTCCACGCTGTTGGCAACACTGGAGAGGCATTTGTTGAGCGTCCCGGTAAGGAGGTCTTCGCACCCATGGACTTTGCCATTGTTGCCGGCTGGAAGGCTATCACTAAGCCTATCTTCCCTCGCACCATTGACGGAGATCTCTTGAAGTTGGTCCACTTGTCCAACGGCTTCAAGATGCTCCCAGGTGCTCAGCCTCTGAAGGTTGGCGACGTGCTGGATACCACTGCTCAGATCAATGCCGTCATCAACCAGGAGTCTGGTAAGATGGTCGAGGTCTGCGGTACCCTGAAGCGCAACGGTGAGCCCGTTATGCAGGTTACCAGCCAGTTCTTGTACCGCGGTGCCTACACCGACTTTGAGAACACTTTTCAGCGCAAAGATGAGGTGCCAATGCAGGTTCATCTTGCCAGCAGCCGGGATGTTGCCATTCTCCGCTCCAAGGAGTGGTTCCGTATGGATGAGTCGGAGACTGAGCTCCTCGGTCAGACTCTGACATTCCGTCTTCAGTCCTTGATCCGCTTCAAGAATCAGACCGTCTTCAGCAATGTGCAGACTATTGGTCAGGTGCTTCTGGAGCTGCCCACCAAGGAGGTCATCCAGGTGGCCTCTGTCGAGTATGAGGCTGGTGTGTCTCACGGCAACCCCGTCATTGACTACCTGCAGCGCAATGGTACGTCCATTGAGCAGCCTGTCTACTTCGAGAACCCTATCCCTTTGAGCGGCAAGACCGCCCTCGAGCTGCGCGCCCCGGCCTCTAACGAGACCTATGCTCGCGTCTCGGGTGACTACAACCCCATCCACGTCTCCCGTGTCTTCTCCAGCTATGCCAACCTGCCCGGTACCATTACCCACGGCATGTACAGCAGTGCTGCCGTCCGCTCATTGGTCGAGACTTGGGCTGCTGAGAACAACATTGGTCGTGTCCGCGGCTTCCAGGTCTCTCTTGTCGGCATGGTGCTGCCCAACGATATGATCACTGTGAAGCTGCAGCACGTCGGTATGATCGCCGGTCGCAAGATCATCAAGGTTGAGGCTATGAACAAGGAGACCGAGGACAAGGTCCTTACCGGCGAGGCTGAGGTCGAGCAGCCTGTGACCTCGTATGTTTTCACTGGTCAGGGTTCCCAAGAACAGGGTATGGGTATGGAGCTGTATGCCAGCAGCCCCGTTGCTCGTGAGGTGTGGGACCGTGCCGATCGCCACTTCCTGGAGAACTACGGCCTGTCCATCATTGACATTGTCAAGAACAACCCCAAGGAGCTCACTGTGTACTTCGGTGGTCCTCGTGGTAAGGCTATCCGCCAGAACTACATGGCTATGACCTTTGAATCTGTGAACGCCGATGGCTCTATCAAGTCCGAGAAGATCTTCAAGGAGGTTGATGAGAACACCGCTTCTTACACTTACCGCTCTCCCACCGGACTCCTGTCGGCTACGCAATTCACCCAGCCTGCGCTCACTCTCATGGAGAAGGCCAGCTTCGAGGACATGCGCTCCAAGGGCCTTGTCCAGCGTGACAGCAGCTTCGCCGGTCACTCCCTAGGTGAATACTCTGCCTTGGCTGCCCTTGCTGATGTCATGCCCATCGAGAGCTTGGTCTCGGTCGTCTTCTACCGTGGTTTGACCATGCAAGTTGCCGTCGAGCGTGACGAGCAGGGTCGTTCCAACTACTCCATGTGCGCTGTCAACCCCAGCCGTATCTCCAAGACCTTCAACGAACAGGCCTTGCAGTATGTTGTTGAGGTCATTTCTGAGCAGACTGGCTGGCTTCTGGAGATTGTCAATTACAACGTTGCGAACATGCAATACGTTGCTGCTGGAGATGTAAGTTTCTTTCTCTTTCCCCCGAAACCAGCTTCATGCCATCGTGATTTTCCAAATCAATACTAATATGATATTTTACAGCTCCGCGCCCTGGACTGCCTCACCAACCTTCTCAACTTCCTCAAGGCTCAGAACATCGACATCCCCGCCTTGATGCAAAGCATGTCGCTCGAGGATTTGAAGGCCCACTTGGTCAACATCATTCAAGAATGTGTCAAGCAGACCGAGGCCAAGCCCCGACCCATCCAGTTGGAGCGTGGTTTCGCCACCATCCCCCTCAAGGGCATTGATGTTCCGTTCCACAGTACCTTCCTGCGCTCCGGAGTCAAGCCGTTCCGCTCATTCTTGCTCAAGAAGATCAACAAGACCACCATCGACCCCTCCAAGCTCGTTGGCAAGTACATCCCCAACGTCACTGCTCGTCCCTTCGAGATCTCAAAGGAGTACTTCGAGGACGTGTACCGCCTTACCAACTCCCCCCGTATTGCTGCTATCCTGGCCAACTGGGAGAAGTACGAGCAGGGTACCGAGAACGCTGCTCGCGAGGCCTAGATGGACAACATTGCATTGGAATCTTCCCCTCTCTTGCTTTGTTGTGATGTGATGTGATGCGATGCGAATTCGTGATGTCTGATTCCCCAAACTCTTTTTATGACTAGTCAATTTTTCTTGTTTCCTCGTTGAATGTCGATCTCATAGAAATGACCTTTTATGTCATTGGTGCTTTTTTCTCGCTTTTTTAGAGTGTTCCATCCGTGTTGTGACAGTTTTGGCGCTTGTGCTGCATGTATATCTTGTGTTGGTTTCTCTCTACTTTCCATCTATGATGCTCTAGACTATTCTATATCCTCAATCGAATACATTCATAGAATCCTGGCTCATATCCTGTTGGGATAGACTTGAAAATCAATCCAGACAGGATTTCCATTTGATCTTAGGCGCTTCAGAAGAATGCTGGACTCTATGAGACTCTTCCATTGTACTCGAGTGTAAATTCACGAAACGTGAATCTCCTGTGCGTATAGAACGCTGAAAAGTGAGGTCTCATCTATGGATAATCTACGAGTTTCAAAGACACGTGGCGCCAAACATCGATTCAATTATCAGGAAGGGGTTTCTATTTCTTTCCCCAAGATGACCCTGGAAAATATGCAGAAATAGGTTGTCTTGGGCACGGATAATCATACAACTCCTGTTGATCCTCATCAATGCTCACGGATGACACCAAGTCAAGCAAGATCCGATGCCCAGATATGCTACTTGGATGCCTTTTTTGCTTCGTCAAGTCATCCTTGGAGTGCGTTACTGCATCTAAGTGGGCTTCAGGGTACCGGGTCGCAGGAGACGGTCCTCCTTACCGTACAGGCCGACGTCCTTGACGATAGCGATGAAGCGGCGGTGGTTTTCCTTGGACTCACCAATACGAGGACGGAAGATTCGCAAAAGGTCGGAACTGGAGATACCGGTGGCTGGGATTGCGGCGTGGATTTCGGCCGGGGTGGGGAAGGGTTGGTTGGACGGGATAGGGGTAGAGCGGCCAGCGCCTGAAGTGAGTACGGGCAGATCGTTAGTGTGACCCTTCCAGAATGTAGAGGCCAATTTGGGGACAGATGCAGGGGGCGAAGGGGAGAGTTGGAGGAGATTGGACTTGCCTCTGATTCCGTCAGGGCTTGCAGCTCGGCTGCCGGGGAATGGGTGCCCAGCAACGGGGCTGGTAGCACGGGATCCTTGGGGGGTACCACTTCGTGAAGCGGCTGATGGGAGGTTTAGTCTAACTTTCTTGATCTTGGCACTCTGGCCAAGCTCGTTTCCAGATCGAGGGTCGACATCGACCTCACTGCCAGAGCCAGAGCCATTGTGGGGGGCATCTCGAGTGCGTTTCTTACCAGTCTATTCGATGAGTTAGCTTTCGATTCTCTCTCTCGCGAAACTGCCCACGAGACTCTGAACCGTGAAGTGACTGACCTGTACTGCAGATGGGGACATGGGACGCGAAGTAGGCTGAGAAGTCTGATGCATGTTCTTCGCCTTCTTTCGGGACGTGTCAGTGCCGCTTGCATCCGAACCGGGCGACCCCAATCGCTTGCGAGATGCGGTTGGCTTCTTCAAGGCATCGGTGTGCTTGGGTCGGCCAGAAGGTGTATTGCTGCCCTTGGTGGATGTAGCTGAATCCTTTTCTTTCTCCTTCTGCACCTTTTCCTCTTCAGCCTTGCGCTTCTCTTCTTCCTTTTGCCGCTCAGCTTCGCTGTCATCAGAGCTCTGCGGGCGAGCAACATCCTGTTAGCAAAGATCGCGGCGACAGTATGACCGATCTTAGATGTTGAGTTCTCACCTCTTCGTCAGTGTATGGATTTGCGTCGGAACCACTGCTGTAATCAAAGTTTCGCTCTCGCTTCTTAAGAGCTTTGCGAACTTTCTTGCCGAATGTGCGGCGGGCTTCACGCTCCTTCTTTTCGCGCTCCTCTTCGTCTTCATAGTCCTTTTCGTTCTTCAAGTCGAAGACATTGGCCTTCAGCTGATCTTCTTTGATACGTCTCTCGGCGGCTTTTGTATCCTCATCTTGCTCGTCATTGAACAGATCGGCATGCTCTTCGTCGTCGGCGAATCTGTCCTCTTCAAAGTCCATCTCGCTGGCCTCCAAGCCTTCTCGACCGGACAAGCCTCCCGTTTTGCCCGCATAGACTTTGTGCACCTTTGCGTAGCTCTCCAGCTCCTTCTTCTCTTGGATTTCCTTTTGCTTCTCCATGAACCATCTTGGATCCTTGATGCGCTTTGACATGATCTTCTCGGCCTCTTCAATAGTCAAAGCTTTGAAATGTTGTTTGGCAGTAAATTTGTACCACTTCTCTGCTGGAATCATGCGCATCTTGTTGTTCTCGAAAACGATGACTGCATGGTTCTCCGACAAGGCAGCTTCGTAGTTGCCCACCCAGACGTTACGATCATTGAAATCTTCCAAGTGCCATGGCAGAGCTTCCTCGTACTTGATTCGAGCTCGCGCAATCTCTTCCTTGGTCATATCCGACTTGAAGACCTGCTGTGTCTTCTGCTTTGGCGCATTTGGTCTCTTGGCGGTTGATCCAACCGAGGGCGCAATCTGCGCCATGTTCTCGGCGCGTTCCTTCTCACGTGCGGCCTTGCGGGCCTCGGCGGCTTCGCGCTCATTTTCATCCAGCTGGCGGCCGTCAGGACCGACCATTTTTGGGCCATGGTTCTCGTGGGCTCGAGCGCGGGGATCGCGGCGATGAAGTCTGACAGGGCGGGTGAACTGGGACTCATCGCGCGGGTCAATCGCTTTCTTGGAGGAGAATCGGGCAATGTGGTGTTTTAGTCCCTCGCGCAACGCTTTGCGGGTAGTGACGAGTGGGTAATCGACATATTTCTCGCATAGTAGGGGCCCGCTGAATCCGTTGACTGATCGTGCATCCGGGGCCGGGGGTGGTCTGGTGTTTGGGAGCTTCGACAGAGGAGCAGGGCCGCGAACGGATGGGTGTGATGGCAAAGTCTTTGAGGCTACAGCCCCACCGGCGCCAGCACCAGGGGCAGTACCAGGAGGTCGAACAGGCGGTCGCCGCTTAGGTCGAACAAGGGGGTCGCCTGCATTTTTGGCGCGGCGAAGCCTCATCGGAGGAAGAGGAGCGCCGTTGGGTCCCGTTGGCGTGGGGCCATTGGAGGCATTACCTGGAGTTGACATTTTTCCGAGCTACGGGGAACGAAAGGAATCGCGTCTGAGTAGTTGAGTCGAGTTGAGGTCGCAGCGCATCTACCGGTGAAGGAAAGACGAGGCTGGAGTCAACGAGATGGAAGAAGACAAGGAACAAGAGGCGGGTTGGCGAAGTGAGAGTTGGAGGTCCCGGCGAGCGGGCAGTGATGACACGCTTAGGTAATCCTGAAGGGCGAGTGCCCGGACGTGTAGTTTACTACTCCCGTCGGAGCTGTAAGTGTGGGTGATGTCCCGCTCAACCTCTAGGCTGCACTGCTCTAGGCAAACATAACCAATTTGAGATAGATCTTGCAAATCAGTCGCCTGTAGTTGGCTGCTGCGAATCATTGTATCAAACTTAGCCTCTTGCAAGCATAGGGTTGTCCATGATATGATCCGTAGCGCAGACGTTTCGATATCGAAGTTGGCATAGGCGGCCGCTTACAGCCAGACTACTATGAGTACAGTGATACATACCATCTCAGGAATGCTTTTCCAAAATACAGACGTTGGGCAGTGTTAGAGTACCTCCCAATGACGGTGATCGGCCACAAAGTCTCACTCCTGCTATGGCAGAGGCTCTCTGTGATCACTTCTTCGAGGATCCCGGCTTTGTCTTGAATTCTCGATGAGGCGGCGAGTTTTGGGTGTGACGGCATTTATATAGATCACGGTATACACTGGGACTGCCGAGCAGCGAGCTCAAAGCTCGAGGACGTAACCTAGACTTAGGGTACACGTATGAATACTTGTACTTTTTATTCAAATTCCCTTCGTACTATTATGTAGGTCTAGATGGACAAATCCGGATACGTAAAATCATAGGCTTTAGGCGAATAGTCAGATGCTCTCTAGGCACTAGGCACCACCTCTGTTTAAGTATCTAAGTTCCATTATAACCAACTATATCATATATACGCCCAAGAAAGTGGTGTTTTGTCTCGAGTATCGTGAGGCTTAGTTGGTATGTCCGCCTTTAAGCATATTGTTGAGTGAGTTCCTTCGGTGATTCAAAAGATAGCCTGAACCGAAGTATGTGCTGGTCATAGATGATATATCCTTCTACCACTCCGAGAGAATAAAACAGTGTCATTTTGAGACCGGTGCCAAGCTGGTGAATTTGACTCCATATTCACCAGACTCGGATTCTATGAAGGAATCATTTGCCGAGCCCAAAGTCTAGATCACAGAAATCGGCAGTCTTACGAAGGAAGTCCCGACCAAGGCTTCAATGACTTTTCTGAGTGGTGCGTTGACAACTTGACATACTTCCGGCCCTCCGGGAGGACAATTTTGAGCGCAGCTACTACGGGCAAAGCTCGAACTTACTCTCATGGTCAGCCCAGCCGCATTCTTTGGCTGAGCTTTAATGCAGACCGCGTAATCTTTCAGACTTACCAGAGTAATCTCTGAGAGGGTTAAGAGACGAATTTTGGCAGGACGCCAGGGTCATCGCGTCAATGGTATCGATGCAAGGTTTTGACATTAACACATGGATAGGGTTGTTGATAAGCCGTCAGGTTGTGGACGGTGGACCCACAAGATACCCAAATTGCTTCAGTCCATTCTCTCTAACATCTAGTTCTTCCATATCGTGAAGAACCTTTTCGCCGATTGTAAATGAGGAGAAAGGAACCCGACGTGCGCGGAAGAGGGAAGCTGTCAATGATGATAAACCAAGCGATCTTTTCTTTAGCGTCGTTGAAGTTCCCTCCCTTTCTTTCAACACACTAAAAGGCGAACCCACGGATCAATGTAGGATATTGTTCGTATGGCATGTGATAATGCCGTCTCACCGCACCCCATGGCGGCATGGCCTAGATAGAATGTCTTCTCGCTAGTCAATCCCACACTCATCCCTCTCACACATTATAGAGCTACACCAACTAATACAGCGGTAGTCGATCAGATATTTTGTGATGATTATTGATATACGCGTATTGCCCCGTTGAGAAAAGGGTCTTGAGTACACTTGAATACTGACTTTATCCTAAGACTTTTCCTAGCAGTGGATATCAAAGCACTTCCATCTTGATGTTACGTACAATCGAATCACACTAGGGCTGACTGCTGTCATACCTTGCTTACTCTTGATCCCGATCCAAGTGTCTGATTATAGCCTCCACCTGGACACCATATTGCTGTTGATCCATTGAAACAAATATGTAGTAAATCCCTTGGCTCGCTCCCCATTCCAAGGTGCACTACTCAGATCGAGGCCAACATATAGATCTTCCGTTGCTGTTTCAACCTAGTCTCATATCTCTTGGCCATGGGCCGAAATAAGCAGTCGAAGAGTGTAAACAGACCGGTTTTGAGGTTGCCGCCTGCCTTCTGCCCTGTGGCTAGGAGCCACTTCCTACCTGTCGCTTCTTCTCCCGACCATTGAGGGCGAGTATCTACGTATACTCTATGATCAGCCAGGGCAACCTCGATTTAATGGCTAGTTTTTACATGCCCAAGTCATGGCAGCTCTCGCGATTCTGGATTACCCTTCAGAACCATCCTTACACATGAAGAAAGAGAAGTATCAGATAATCATGAGAATCTGCATTTCCGTCGTAGTCAAATACATTTATAAGTCTCTAATCCATCAAGCGTCAGTCACTGGCTTCATAGACGAACTCGAAGAGCTCAACAGGCTCTTCAAGTACCAAACTTCTCTCCCGGTGCCAACGGCTTGTAAGGACAAGCAGTCCAATCACAACCCTGTTTATAAATCTCGGTCCCCCACCACTTGAGCCCATCGACCAAGCCAGGGTATACCAGACAGAAGAAGACGACGACCACCGCAAAAGCGAGCCCCGAGTCCAAAGCCGCAGAAAGAGTCATGGCGTACTTCTCCCACCAGGCGGTCCGCTTCCTCCGAATCACATAATTGAACAAGAAGCAGACGAGGGCCCAGATGGAGAAGTTCAGACCTGTCGCGGGAGGAATCCAGCTGAGACTGCCAAACAGGATTGGGAAGTTGACTTTGCGCCAGAAACTCTTCTTGCTGTGGCGACCTAAGAGCCAGGCTGCGAAGGGAGCTACGGCGCCGATCAAAAAGGCCCACACGAGGGGGCGATACAAGCCCCCTGGACCGAAGAAGCGTTGGGGTCCAACGACGCCCCAGAGAACACTGCCGTTGAAGTGAACACGGGCGATGGGACAGTTAAAGCCGTTCAGGGCTTGAGGGGTGCAGAGACCGGGGATGTAAGAAAACATCCAGTTGAGCACGCCGATCTGAGTCAGACTCGAGACCAAGGTGGCTACCATCTGCACGGAGAAAAGAAGTCGCGGAGGGATTTTCATGTAGTGTCCGAGTTTGAGATCGGAGGAGAATTTAATGCCCTGGGCTGAGCTTATGTAGGAGTAGGTCACGAAGATCATGTTGGCGACCGGCCGTCCAGGGAAGACTATGCCGCACAGAAGCTGGCAAATGAGGTAAAGACTGCTGTGCTGATTGGTCACAGCCATAATGATACCAACCGGAATGAAGAATATACTTGTGATGAGAAGGGCCAAAAAGAGGCCGTACCATGGTAAGTGCACAGGGTAACTGTTTGAGGAAAGATATACAGTTAGCTCCTAAGACAGATCTACCCGGAACCTCTGTGGGAGAAACTTACTGCTCAACAGTGTAGGTGGCAATGACCAGCATTGTGACCAGCACAACCAAGTACCACGTAAGAGGAGCATCTTCGTAGCGCCGCATAAGACGGCAGTGCACATCCTCAGTTCCCAAGGGCAACTCGCGGCTTGGATCATGGGAGCTCACTCTGGATGGCTCAGTACTCCGTGGGGACGGGGATTCTTGTCCATTTTGCGAGGGCAGAGGTTGGTAGCCATCAAAGTCCGGTACCTCCTTCCGTTCATCAAATGCTTTTCGAGTTTGATGCAAAATATCCTTTCCATACCAGCAGACCGTATGGGTAACGAGAGAGGTCAACGCAGCGAACTGCACTCCGTATGAGAGGGCATAGGTGATGGGAAGATACACTGGCGAGTATTCCTCATACGCTTTCTGATCAAAGAGAAAGTCAGGTGTCAAAATGCGACTGACGTCGTACGGATGACCTGTGTTGTCAAATACTGTTGTAGACAAGATGGGCATATATGAGGAGAAAAGGACGTTTTTGTAATCTGGGCTCAAATTCTGGTCAGTGATCAGGTGTTGGACATCAAGTCTAATAATGAAGCACACTATTTGGAGACACTAACACAGAATTGGGGCAATAATCCAAATGACCACTATCAGACCGGTGACGATATTGGCTGCTGCCCACCACGGCGTGAGAAGAGGCGATCCGATATAGGCAATTTGAGCCCAATCGAAAGTCAACGGTAACATTCCAAGTCCAGACGCCACTCCGAACTATACACGTCAGCTGAGTCTGAAGATACAATATGCAGTGGGAGATTGACTGGAGAAAAAAATCACCCACCAAATTTGACACCACAACATTCTTGGGTGCGAACCAAGTCACAACATTGAAGTAGCTGAGCGCCGGCATGAGAAGACCAGGTACAAAGTACCAGACAAAAGCGGCCGCCCACACCAGGATGAAGAATTTATAGCGAGAGATACTCCAGCCATTGGCTTTTTTGTTGGCAGATTTGTGCATGGTGGAAAACATGGCAGTAGACATCAGGGTACCGGGCCAGATCATGGCGGATGGGCGGACCAGAAATCTTCGAGTCAGTCCAGCAAATGCATACCCTAAGACCTGAGTCGAGATGATAAGCAGAAGTTGATATAGGATAGGGACATCTTGGTTGTAGAACTTGTGTTGTTCAACAATGACCTGTTCGTGCTGGCTGTCAGCCTTGACCACCAAGAGCAGAATTTAGTCGTACAAGAAATCCAAATCCCTTACATCGGTGGCAAACGCAAACCCGAAAGAGACATTGCTACTAATGTACACGCAAGCATGCTCCTTCTCGTTCCATCGTCCCTGTCCAAACCAGAGCCGCCATCTGGTCAGCCATGGTAGATCGGCGGTTGCGGTGTCATCCGACAGAAACTCTCGACGGCTCAGTGTGCCATTCTCAAACACCTCAACAGGGTCGTGCGCACGCTTAAGAAGCACATCCCAAAATTTGCCCAAAGGGTGCACCAAGACCAATGCAATTATGGGTGTGATAGCGACACTCGGATAGCGCAGAGAGAAGAAGAGGTTTGCGGCCGACCCAGTCAATGAAAAAACCAATGAAAGGGTCCACATTCGCGGAGCTGGACAAGCATCGTGGTCAGTCAGTGTGATGGGGTCTTCTTTTGCGAGGATAAGAAGCGGTTGTTTGGATTGTGACCACCACCTGCACTTACTGTTGATTGAAAGAGTAATGTCGTCTGTCGCCGGGACGCTTGCGCGGACTTGGGCATACCTATTTCCCTCGAGTGTCAACTACAGACCGGACATCTTATACATGCCACTGCAAGCGCCACATGTCCTAGGCCACTTCAGAATAGGGACGTACGGTGAATTATCTGGAGGATCTTCATCCCATGGTTTCGCATCCTCGTCGTCAACATCCAGAAAGCCTTCGTCGTCTGTGCTCACACTTGACGACGAGGATAATGTCGCGGGTACCACAGGGCTCTCCGGCACCGCAAGCCCTGTCGCGAACGAGAATTTTGAATCCGGCCCGAAGCCCACGTCCGATGTTGCCGAAGACGGCCGACGATTGTGTCCATGTCTTTGGAACACACTGCTCCGTCTGCTTCTCCTCCTTCGCTGTTGCCGACTTGATGACTGTGACGGTTTGGTCGATTGTGACGATCGCCAGTACTCTTCTTGCGCCTCGTTAGAAGGACCGCTCAGACTGCCCTCAACGCCCGACGCAGGTATTTGCGTTGGGGACAGCTCATCCGAAGATTCATTCTCTTCGTATGACGCGCGCGACCCACTGTTGTTGCTATTGTGTTCGTCGGGCTCGACTTGCGGAATCCGCACTGCTCCGTACGAGGACGAGCCGAGCGCGGGCGACGTCCGAAGCAGTGGAGTGCGCGACATGTAAACGCCGACAATGCTGCGGCGTAACCTGTAGAGTTCTTTTTATTTCCTTTATCGAGCTTCTCTAGTAGCAGAGCTTGATCCCGTGTGGTAACATTTCGTCCATGGCCGAGTAGGTGACAAGGAAGGAGAACCTGGCCGCGGACGCGTGCGAAGGTCGACGTCAGAGTTCAAGATCTTTGATCGAAACGGTCCCGTCCGATTTGGCGGGGAAGCTTGTCCCTGTGGGCTTTCTCGGAGAAAAGTTCGAGCCCGTTCTGAGTTACCGCTTTGGGATGGAATATTGATGGATTCAAGAGAAGTACTTTGAATTCGAGTCTAAGATGATCGGCGCGGTTGAGTAACGATTACGCGTTGTTTAATGAGAGTTGTGTTTTTATAGTAGGTCAGGACTTACCCTCTAGGTGGTTGCATCACTGTGGTTGAATCCTTCGCCCAGACGACAACTTGCTACTTGTGACTAACAAAGGGCTGGGAATGACATTATAGCCTGATTGAACTCGAGCGCTGTCAATGACACTTCACACAGCTTAAGCAGGGCACTCGCGACTGGACTGACATGTTCTTCTTTTGACGAGAAGGTTCAGCTCAAGGGAAAAGTATAAACTAACGAATGGGTCTGTTTCCGATCGCAAATCCCATCAAAAAGTCATATAGTACATTCGGCCCTATACATGCGTGAATTCTTCTTCACCAAACGGCATCGTTAGATAGTAAGAGACAATATAATCTTCAGAACAACTCCACCACTTGGTCATCCTCGCTCTTGGCCTTTGCCTCAGGCGCGGGCTCGATCGCGTTCTGAGCCTTGGCCAATTCAGCCTCGGTCTGTTCACCTTCACCTTCCTCATCACGCATAATGACCTGGACCACTCGATCGCAGGCCTCTTGCACTTCCTCATCGTCCACGTGCAGATGACATTCTCGGAGGAAGGGGTATACCTGCACATCACGCATCTTGTCGCGACCCTCGCGCGTAGTCGATAACAGGGCCAGCGTTTCTAAATGAGTCGTCAGGATAGTGTTGTCAGGCTCGCGCTTCTTGTCGGGTGGCAAGAGCTGCAAGTCTGGAAGCATTGACGACATTTCTTCGTCGGAGAATTCTTCCGGCCCCGCGAGGGGAAGCAACAGATATGGGAGCAGGTTGGCGCCATCCTCGCTGAAGAGCATGGGATGCGAAGAGATGTCAAAGGCGACATTCTTGATGGTTGACGCGACACCCTTTCGTCGAATATCGCTCTTGTGTTCGGTGAATACAGTCAACTTGGTGATGGGCACAACTCCATCGTAATCCTGCCGCGTTGTGAAGTAGGCTCTTCCCGTCTCGGTTTGGGACAGATCGGCGAACACATAGGACAGGTAGTCGAAGTTGGCCTTTTTGTTCAAGTCACCCTCGGCGCCCTTGACGAAGCAGTCCATCAACTGGTCAATGACGTTCTCCGAGCTGGACACATTGGCAGGGGCCTTTCGCTTCATGGTGTGGAGTTTGTTGAGGTGTTCGGACTTGACCAGATTGGCGAGCAACATCGCGAACTCGTCGGCATTAGGTTCTTTCACATCCTGGTTTGAAAATGGAGGTTAGTACAGATAGGCAGAGTATAGATCAAAAATATCCAAAATTGATCGAACAAAGTAAGACTTTGTGACATACCATGAGCTTCCTTAGCACAGTTCCAATAAACTCGTCATCACCGGCCAGGCACTCCAAGACCTCCTTGTCACTGGAGAGGTTGATGAGCATGGTCAAAGCATTTTTGGCAATAGGCTGATGATTCACCCGTCAGTCGACAGGTAGTCCTTTTCGATCAATGTAAAACGCAGTCTCCAGTCGGACGCACAGTGTAATCCTTGCTGAGCAACTTCAAGTCTCGGATGGGAAGCAATTGATGCGCCTTGAACAGGCTCGGCTGAGCAGTGGAAAAGCCCACGAGATGCTCGACGGCTATAGTCAGAGAAGTCTTTATTAGTTATGCGCTTGTAGGTGCATTGAACGGTTTAAATTGGACGAGACAGATTGCGTTCGTCGGAGGCGGTTTGGCGGGGTTCTTACCAACCTGTCGAATCTGCGTGTTGCCATGGTGGAGGAATTCCACCAGCTGAGAGAGGTTGTTTGGTCAGTAAGTACTTTCCAGACAGAATTCGGCAACAATGCTGCTCACCTCTTCTAACTCGGTGGGCATTGCGAAGGGGATTCGGTGTGTGAGATAAATGAAGTATACAAATCTCGTTGCAGTCGCTTCGGAACTTTTTTTTTTCTGCCGCCGCAAAGTGGGGGGCAACGTCACGGCAAGATTGAAGTACGTCAGGCAGACTTGGTACCTGGAATAACTCACCAGCGCTGTTACAGTCAATTCCTTCAGGTGAAATATTTAAATTAGAAATATCGAGGACATAGCAGCTACGCGATTCCTTCATTTTGAAGCTCAATTGACTTGTTTCCGATGTACAATGCCGTACCTTTAATGCACAGATGCATACAAAGTACGTGTACCTTTGCATATAACTAGTAGTACGAGTCCTTCCGGAATTAACAATTCCCCGCATTGTCCGTCGTCCTCTCCGCCGGAGAAGAGGGGGCCACCCTTTTCTCAGCCAATTCGCAGAAGCCAAAGTTCAGGAGTTCTGGTTCCTTCTTTCAAGGTAGCAGGTGCAAGCTCAAGGAATACAATTCTCACCATGTCGAATCCTGATTTACAAGATATCCATGACTTCCTCGTCTCGCTTGCCTACAAGGCCGGCGAGATTATCAACAATGCCTTGCCTGATACCAGTGGGCCTGGTTCGAAGAAGAATAGTATGTTTGCTTTGTGATGAGTTGATAAGGCATACTAATGAGAATATATTGGATCGTCGCTGATGCTCTGCTCAATGCAGCTGCCGATCTAGTCACCGAGTATGATCGCGCCGTAGAGAACATGATATCGACCTCATTGAAGGAGAGGTACCCTGACTACCAGTACGACACCCGTGGTACCCGTCCACTTACATGTCCTCATATCTACCCTTTTAATCTCAATAAGAGGATGAAATAGTAAAAGACTCACCTATATTGACCCTTTTCATTCCAGATTTCACGGCGAAGAAACCTACTCCCCCGACTCACCCCTCACCGACGCCCCAACTTTCGTCGTTGACCCCATCGACGGCACCGTCAACTTCGTCCACAGCTTCCCCTACGCCTGCGTCTCCCTCGGCTTCGCCATCAATCGCATTCCCGCCGTCGGCGTGGTCTTCAACCCTTCCACAAATACCCTCTGGTCCGCAATTCGCGGCCAGGGAGCGTTCCGCAACAAGGAGACGCCTCTACCTCTCAAGAGTAAAGGCAACCTCGAGAGCGTGGAGCCGCTGTCGGGACTTTCGAATGCCCTGGTGGCGATTGAATGGGGTTCAGATCGAAGTGGACCGAACTGGGAAACTAAGGTGAGGACGTTTGAGAAATTGGGCAAGGCGAAGGAGGAGGGGGGTGCGATGGTGCGATCGTTCAGGAGTTTAGGGTCGGCGGCGTTGAACCTGTGTGCGGTTGCCGAGGGGACGATGGATGTTTATTGGGAGGGGGGTTGTTGGGAGTGGGATGTGTGTGCGGCGTGGGTGATTCTGACGGAGGCGGGCGGGATGATGGTGGATGGGAATCCGGGAGATGGGATGGAGGTTGGGCAAGGGTGGGAGACGACGTTGGATGGGAGAAAGTATTTGGCGATCCGGGGAGCATCGAGGGAGAGCCAGAGGGAGATTGTGAAGGAGTTTTGGAGCTTCATTCAGGGTCGATTGGAGTATTAAGAGGGGGGGGGGGGGGTCTATTGCGATTGTGAGCATGACTGGGAAGGAAACCACCTTCAAATTGACACAAAAACAGGGAGGCGAGATCTCGGTAGAAAAGACAGAGATGTAGACGTATGAAATTCTCAAATACAGGGTATTGTTGACCTAGGAAGTCGTAATGCGATTATATACAATTCGGAGATTGGGACTCGTGACATTCTTCCTGATTCCGGCCAGTCGAAACGAGGAACGGTGAACGCTGGATATGAGTGAGCTTCAGGGGTACGCATCGTGCTGGCCATCCACCTAGCGCGCGAGTGGTTTCTGCGAGCTACTCGTAGGACTTGAAGGTGCTGAGGACTGGAGACCGACTGCTTCACGAGAGTCGGATCCCTCGAGCAGTGCATCTGCGAGCCCTTGCAATTGGAGCACTTCGTCCATGGAAGGAGAAGCCTTGTCATCATCGGACTCGCTCGATCCATGTTCCCGCTCGCCCTCACCCTCGGAAGGGACATCTGATTGACCTTCCACTTCCTCGCCCGAACTGGTTGGTCCGACGTTCAATGCCTTGGCCCGCTCGTCGTGGCTCTTCAACGTATCATCGACCTCGGCTTGGGACGAAGGTCCAAAGTGGGTGTCGACGAGATGCTTGACGACGGGCCAGCCATAAGCATTAGTGAACATGCGACGTACGATGATATTGTTGTGTGCGTCGGGTTCCAGGCGAACCAGGACCTTGCGCCATGTCAAACCGCGGTGGTACGCTCTGGCAATCTTTTCTTCGAGCTTGAGCCCACTTTCTTCGCTCTTTGTGCTGGAGCTGGACGTAGGACTTGACGGTATATCTGTCGTCTTGGAAGAAGGCGATGAATCATGCTTGGAACTGTTGGAGCTAAACGGAAAAGTCCGATGCTTCACTGGTAAGGGTTTGGGAATATCCTCGGGGTGATAGACCCGGTCGTGGAAGATAGTTCGGGGGCGGGCTGAGGGATCCAAGATAAATTCAGCCGGGGGCAGGGGAGGCATCAACAAGTCACCGGCCGATTCAAAGAACGTGGTCTTGGGAGGGGTATTGACGCCCGCATTTTCATCTTCGTAGAAGGAGTTGCCACGAACCGTGGGTGACGGCGAGACATCGGAGTCTACATTGACCAGTGTCTGGCTGCGTTTGTAGATCTTGGCATGCTTGCGGTGGTGCTGGGGCGGTTTGGTCTCTTTTGGCCGGAAAAAGGCCATAAGGCTAGCCAAGGGACCGTGATTGTTTCCAGTATTATTGCTGCTTTCGATTCCCCTTCCTACGTCGCCATTGTCGCCAAATGTGGAGGATTTCCGCCTTGCCAGGAACTGTTCGGGTCTGGGGGATGTTGGCTCGCCCTGCGAATCTGACATGACCTCGTCTCGCAGCGCTCCTCTTTCTTCAGACTCGGAAGATGTCTTCTTAGTCGGTTCTTGGCCCTCACCCATGCGAGGAACATCGTCAGGCCTAGTAAGTCGTGGTGACTTGGAGTTGGCACCCGTTAACTCGGCCCAGCCCCATTCAGCCATGGTGCCAACAAGACCGTTGCCTCGTCGAGCTTTCTCGACTCGACCGAGACCACGCCAGTCAAGGAAGAGAAGACATGAGGTTCGCAAAGGAACAATTCCATCATTGACGACATTGGAGTATACTGTTCGATGGTGGAATTTCTTGAGAGCAGCATGTGCCGGGCCGCTAGGCAGGATTCGCAACAATGGTTTCGAGCCGGGATCATTTTGATTCTGGTCGTGACCCGAGTCTCCTCGGCCGCCGATGATGGCACCCCATCCACTGCGCACTTTAGGTGGCGTCCAGGTCAGTCCAAGATCTTGTCCTGTGCGCCCGACAAGCCCGAGGTCGAGCGCAAAGCGGACGTATAATGGATTCTCGTTGCTGAGGCCCAAGAAAGGAGACGCCAGGGCAATAAAATTGACAGGCTGAATGCGGTCGAAGAACTCCGGCGAGTGCTTCTGGATGTAGGCAATGGCATATGTTTGCACCAATCCACCCAGAGAGTGCGCAATGAAACTGATGCTGGAGATCTGATAAGCATGGTCGTCGCTCTCTGAGTCCGCCTCATGGCTCTCGAGGGGTGGATGGGACTGCGGAGATTGGCTCTTTTCTTTGCGAGAGCTGAACGCTCGAGTGAAGGAGTCGTTTCTACTGAGCTTCAAGGGGTAAAATGGCTGGTCGGGATATGTCATCAAGAGGACATATTTGGCGAGACGTTTGCCAAGGTATTGGATGCCTCGCTCCGTACGGGCGGCATTGCCAGAGAACCCACGCACGATGATTTCCTCGTCATCGTCGTCATCATGATTTTCATTGCCGCTCTTGCCATCCTTTTGCCTTGCCTGCTGTTTCGCTTGTTTCTTCTTGGCAGCAGCGGCGTCGATGCTTTCTTTCATATAGAGCATGTCTGCACCCAAGTTGCTATGTAGCCCGTGGGTGACAACGACCAAGTGGATCTTTTTCTTCTTTCTCCCAGCTTTGCCTTTGGCCAGTTGAGTTGATTCGGGCATCTCGTCCTGCGAGATACGATCCGCTCGCTCGGGTGGGCCATCCACGCGCTCGGACGCCCAGGATGGCAGCGGAGGTGTGTTCCACAAGCTGCTGGTATCGTCCACCCGTAAGGTCGTTGATTTCGAGTATACCCCCCTTGAGACTGTCGCCGAGTGACCCCGTGTGTTATGTCTGTCCCAGTGGTCCTGTAGCTTTCCTGGAGGGCCATGGCTGCCCGAATTCGATCCTCCCGACGAAAAGTACTCGATCGAGTTGGCATCTCGAGCCACTAGCAGTTCGAAGTGAACCGCGGCAGTTGTCGAGAAGATCACTTGGGACACGATTTCAATCACCCATGTCATAGTGCGATCGTCGCCTTCCTCCGTCTGCCCAGCCGCCAGACTGTGGGAATCCCCAAAGCGCACCGGCATCTTGATAGTCGCATCCCAGCTACCGCCCGCTTTGAGGTAGGGCTCAAACTGGGGCACACCCTCGGTATCTTGCCGGTCATACTTGGTATTTGGATCAAATGTAGACGGATAACAAGCTGTATATAGGGTATAAGGACCGTGGAGGTATGCGGCACGCAGAGGAATCGCCGAGGTATTTTTGATTCTGACGTATAGCTCGGAAGGCAGGGGTAGGATCGGATCGGCTGCAGGAGTGTAGGTCAAAGTATATCTGCACGATTAGGAAGAGAAACATGAGTGAATGAGACTTCTAGTAAAGTATTTTCCTCCGCCAGCCTCTGGGTGCCTCAACGGTCAAGGTACCGGAGACCAGCAACACACCCGCCCCCAGCACGTGTCGGTTGTACCAGGCTAGAGACTGCGTCATGACGTACCGAACAACCTCTCCAACACGAACACTCCCAGTCTGGTGAATCAACAGCATATCGGCCGATGGAACCTCTCGGCGTATACGTTGTTTCCAGCCCCCAAGCGTGGAGAAATAAGGTGCACCCTCGGTAGGATCAAATGTTCGGATGCCGTGGTCGGGGTTCTGCGATTCGGAATACGTTCGGGGGTGATAAGCATCGGATCTGCGCTTGTCTTCCATGGCCTGGCGATGGATCAATGGTTCCGCGGCGTCAACAGAGACGCAACTTCTTGCTCATCTGGAAGGGCCAAACAAGAAAAGTAAAACACCCAGAGTATTGTGAGTTGCGACCGATCCGCCCAGGTCAACAAGCCGAGTATTTGGAGTTGCTCATGTGAGCTGAGCGGAGACGTGCCTGAGCTTCGCGGAGTTTCGAAGATCCGGCTACTGTCATGATCCTCCGCTGCCGCTTGCGATCAAGCTGGGGGTGACCGACTGAGCTAGATATGTCTTTTGACTTGGACATGCGGGGTCTGCTACAGCATCCCTCAACAGTCAGAAGTATTCTCAACTTCGGCACAGTTGTGCGATAGTCTGCGAGAATTCCTCAGAGAATGCTGGAGAAGTAGAAGGACGCGACTATTTAGCCAGGAACTTATGCATCACCAAGTAAGTACATAACCGAGTGGGGCCGACTGGCATTTAAGGTGCGATCCATACTCGGTTGAAACAGGCAACACTCTTGGCATTGTTATTGTCCTGCAGTAGTCTGATTGTGTCTGTCATGCATCTGCGAAGTAGATCTTGGCCTGTGATATAGGCATCCTCCAAGAAATGCGGACATGCCTTGCTCATGTCCAACTCTGTGTGGAAAGTGGTCGTGATATTTATTCCCACTAGACTGGAAGACCTGCGGGTATGTAGACACAAGATAAGATTGGAACTTTTCAGATGATCGATCTCACATTCGCTGTCAGCTTTCCAGGGTGCTCTTGAGTTGCAAGGTGTTGAGGCTATAGTAGCAGACCAGATTCAGGAGGCGTGTTGCAAGTCATTGCTCCAGTCTCTCTTCAGTCTTCAGCAGTTCTACTCAATAGGAGTAATCAGATTCAATAGCCGTCTCGCATCCATCGAAATCTCCATCCAGCCCGACTGCTCAACAGCCACAATCTTCCCATCAATACAGACACGTCGCCATCGTTCCATTTCTTCGTCAAAATCAATGCGTACTCTCTCAACTTCTTCATAAGTCATCAATTCATCTTTGACATGCGCCCCGTCCTGATACGCCAACATCAGAAGACGCATAGCCTCCTCGCCGGACAGGGGTCCGAAACGGAGGAACCGCATCCGACCATCCAAGGCCTTAGAGGCGGGAGAGATAACAAAGTCTTTCTCTAGCCGTGGGACGAGTGTGGTCAGTACGTACATGTGCTCAGTCTCGGGGAGAGTGTACTCGTGAGATGTGATGGGTTGTTGACTGCCGCTTTCATCTCCGTTCCCACCAAGGCTGACGCTTGGTCGAGAGGTTGTTAATTTGATTCGACCTTTGAAACGATGGGGCATGCTCCCATCAGCAGGGTGGAGGAGCTCTGTCGCGGCCATCTTGAACCGCTCCATGCCGAATTTGCGATACTCGGTCGTGTCGCTATCCGCTACCAAGGCGGCGTGAAGCCCCCAGCTAGCGACCACAGCCCCGAACAGGGTCTGCTGGGATGGATCTGAGATGTTGCTGATAAGAGCACGCTGTCGGCCTTCATCAATCACAAGCTGTGCACCTGGCGAAAATCTCACAGCGATAGTCGGCACGGAACAAGATTGACCACTCAGTAAAGTGCGGACGGCGTAGATCGGACCGAATCGCAGTCCGATCGAACTGGCCATGGCGTTGCCTGTTCCACAGGGAATCAGAGCAATGTCAGGAGCAGCCTGAATGCTCCTTTGGGATTTGCTAAAAACGTCGATGAGATCGACGAGTCCTCCATCACCGGAGAGGAGAATAATTGTTTGTGCAATGCCCGCGCACGCATCTTCGAGGAAGCGCGACTGTGCCAGTTCCAAAATGGTCTGAGAGGATTGGGTTTCGGTGGTTTCATAGACAAGTCCGAGGGACTGTAGAAATGGCTCTACGCCATTGCGAAAGACATCTCTCGCTGTGCCTGTGCCGCTCTGGGTCGAAACAACCACATGCACAGGCTTATCTTTGCAGAGGTAGGCGGGGAGATCTTTCACATGCGACGAGAGGCCGTCAGGGAGAGACGCTAGATCAAAGTGAGTCACACGACTCAGCATTTCATCTTCTTCGTTCGCACTCGACGTGCTCTCGATGTATAGCACGCGGTATGCGGATGTTGACGAAGCCGAGGCTCGCACGATGCCCACAATATCATTCAATTTGATCTGACGCTCATGTCCCGCCGAGGGGCTCCATCGCAGAGCTCCGGCGGCGACGTCAACGGAGATGTCTGCTGCGACCTCTGATGGCGACATCCGTGATACAAAACTCTTTGATTTTTGCTTTTTGTCTCTTGTCTTTAGGCACGAGGGCGGGAAAGAAGAGTGAGAGAGAATAAGCTGCGGTGTTGGAAGGATCTTGCTTGGGTAGATAAGCTGACGCCGACTGACGCTAGGCGCCAAATGTATTCTAAGTTATTCGGACGGACGCTCGTTGTCTCGAGTGTCAGACCAGCCTTGGAGTGCTGGGCACATACCACGCTGCACAAATGGCGTGCTTTTATCATGGCCTATTCGCCGTGTATTTGCATACGCTCCAGATCTCAATTCATTTCAGACTGAGAACTTCGATCACAATAATCCTACCCGATTTCGGCCGCGAGAGCTCCCTACTGGTCAACATGCCAAATGCTACGATGACGCCCCAGTTCATCAGGAAATCAGCTTTATACCAACGTACTCTTAGCTATCGCCCGACATGAAATACGTCTCTAATGTAATTACTCGTACAACACGCAAAGCAACACAAAAATTGACAAGTGATACAGGCAAGGCTGAGTAGCTTTCCAGCAAGGTATTTGCGCAAGGTACAACCACCGGAAGGAATGACAGTAACCATTGCCGATGATTGCACATAGTTATAACAAAAATCAAATAAGTCGGTGCACGACTTCTACTCCACTGGCGAGGAAGCAAAGTGCTTGTCACTGAGATTCACGGCAATAAACGACTTGGGTAACTTGACACTGTTTTACTTCGTCAGCATGGGCCGCGGTGTGTACAAGCATTTGCGGTGAGCGATTTACTTACGTGTCAAACTTCGCTTTCAGAGTCTCGATGACTTCCTTCCAGTCCTGATGGGCAGTGAGACTGCGTCGCGGAGCACAGCCGATAGCATGGCGAGAATCAAGCTGCACATCGAGAGGATCAAAGGCGTGGCACCCAGGACTGATGGAAATGCGGATAGAGTATGAGTAAGGGTCAGTCTCGCTTTCACTGTCGATGGACTCGTATAGCTCGAAGCAAATCTGAGAGAGGTAGTCAAGTTCTGGGATGGCGCGTCGCGCAATCTTTGTTTGGATACCGCCCTCCAAAATGCAGTTCAGGAGAGTGTAAATGTGGGACTCCTTAGTGAAGTAGAAGAAGGACTTTGCGTCGTCGGATGCCTGCACCTCCTCGAGATCATGCACAATTTCCTGAAGCAATGGAAGCGATGTGAGAAGGCCAATCTCGAGCTTCTCGCTATCAGTGATACCGTACTCCTGCGGCGTCACGTAGTCGAAGAGAACCTTGGCCAGTTTATATAATTCGCGAAGCTTGGATAACCGCTCATCAACCTTGCACTTGGTCGAACTCGAGCCAGGGAAGAGCTTGAAGTAGTGGTCGTAGGAGTCATCCAAGGCTCGGAGGTGGGGCAGAGACTCGAGCGCATGGAGTCGTTTCTTCCAGTTGAAACGATGACTGAATGGTTGGCTTTCTCCGCGCTCATCCATTCGCTCGCTGGCTGGTTCCGATCCCGACTTGCTTTCAGAAGCCGAGTCGGACTTGGAGGAGCTTCTGCCCTTGGAACAGCTGGAATCATCCTCGTCGCGCTCGTTCTCAGGGGGCATGAATACCCACTCGAGGAACTGCCGATTATGCAGTGCATCAAACTTCATACTATCGTAGAGCTCAGAAATTTTGCTCGGATCAACCTTTTCAGTATCGCAGAACTCGGCAAACAGCTTCTCCCAGCGTTCTCGGAAGAGTCGCGGGTCTTCTCCTGCACACCAACGGCCTTGGATCCTGGCCAATTCAGAATTGGCCGCATCTTCCACGTCCATAGTGCTGTCACCGTTCCTCGCCGCCGAAGCTTCAAGTCTTTCAAAGTTGTGTCGCATGACACTACGATGATACTTCATCAGCTCTACGACTGTTGAGAGAACAACTGACGGCTCAGGAATATTGCTATCCTTGGGCCATGCGAACTGAGACGGCGCGAATCCCTCTCGCAAGAGTAGCTTTAGCTTCTTCTTGACCTTGTCCATGACATCTTTCGCAGCATTCGAGTCATCAAGCAGATCCTTGCGAACCTGGATGAAATCTTCGGGGAGCTCTTTTTGATCAAGGAATGAGGATGCCCAGATTTGTGCTGGTTGAAAAGAAGTCAGTAACCTATAATCCACGAAGTAGAGTGACAATGGCGGATGCACTTACCACTGGTGCTAACTCTCCTCTCCGAGCTGGTGAAAAGCCGCACGTTGCTGAGCGCTTCCTTGTTCATCAACTTGAGGTCGTCTCGCATGTTGAGACCCAGGTCCTGCGCTTGATAGCGTGCTGCATGCGTAGGTTCTCCACCCCATTTGATCACAAGCTGCAACTTATCCAAGATAAGATCGTTTTCCACAGCAGAGAAACGGGAAAAAGTAGCACCAGATATTGAGTCACTGCGTGTCTGAGGTCGACGTAGAGGGTCATTGTCACTCTCCACCTCGACTCCTGTCCCACCCGGCGTGGGCGGCAGTGCCTCTTCAGGGATGTGCTCTTCGGCTCCTGGAGTCAATGTTGCCTCCGAGTTCCGCTCACGCATTTCGGGTGACATTTCCTCGGGCTTGCGTTTGCGGAACATGGGCTTGATCTGCACCTTCGTACCGGGCCATCCGCCCTTCTTTTCCAATGAGGTGCGTAGCAGCTTCAGCTTCTCCATATCCTCAAGGCCTTGGTCCAACGCGATCTTGACGGCATTTGAAACGCTGGACAAGGCAGCCTCGCCCTTGATGACAACTTCTTCTTGGTGACCCTTGAGAAGATCGACAAACGGCTGACTGTGGAATGTAAATTTGAATTTTTGCTTTGGTGTGCGATCAGCATGACGGATGACGGCCACCATTCCCTTTAATCTCCACGAGTGCTTCGATGCCGGAGGGGGAGGAAGAGCAGCTAGACCATCGGTTGACTGGTGAATGGAAACCGCGGGTGACTTTGTATTGGAGGGACTGGGACCACGGAGCTCAAATTGAGCATCTCGAGGACTTGCCACCACCGAATTCCCAAAGGCATCTGCGTTCTCAGCTTGGTCGTTTGAAGAGGTGACTGACCCGGCACCGGTGACCGTATCCGAAGCATTTGATTCGGGGGCCTTGTGCACACCGGGATTTCCATAAAGCCGGGATGTACTAGGCGACTTGAGTAGGGTTTTCAATGCCTGCCTATGCGATCCCGTCATACTCCGTCGGGACGAGCCTGCCTCCGTAGTTTGAGATTCCATCATCTCCGCGTTAGGCTCAGCTCGACGTCTCTCGAGATCTGCAAGGAAGGTCTCTCGCAGAATGTGGGCGCACTTGTCGTAGTAGTCATTGTTGTCTTTCACAAAGCTCCACCCATTGACATCAATCACATAGCTCTTGTCACCGACCCGAAGCATGTCGAAGCCACAGATCCGCTGTCCGAATCCATTCGAGATTTTCGAGGCAATCGCCGCCTCTTCCTTGCTCAGTTTCGTGATATAGCGCAGCTCTTTGCCGTGAGTGTTACGCCGCACCAGACCGTCGACCACAGGAGATTTGCGTGTTTCGGCATGACAGAAGTCCGGTCCAACCGTGTACGCTTTCACGTCCTCGGCATTATCAACCCGCAAGAATTGTTCATAGAGATAGCTGGCTTCGGGCTCGGTGACTGATCGTGGGATCGTCATTTCCGGATCGTACTCGGAGCTCTTATTCCCCACCTTGCGAAACAGCTTTCGGCCTCCACCGCCGTACTGTTCATCATTGGGGAAATAGATGTGGATGTTGTGATCCTCGCCGTTCACCGGCTTTTCCACGAATGGTTTTCGAAGGACCTGCCCATCCACGATTAATGACTCTCCGTCCTCGGACATGGACACATTCTGCGTTCTCGGAGCACCACCGCCCGTCCCATCTTCCGGACCATCCAATTTCACACCAGTCAACTGAAGGATGTGCTCGGCCAATTCAGCGGACTCCAACACTGGACCTCCATCTCGATTGACCTCCATTCTCTTCGGCGTGGGGACTCCCATTTGATCGAGAATGCGAAGGCATAGCCGTCGGTCCCACAGCACTTTTTGCATGGGCAAGTCGTTGACGCAGAACGGTCTGCGAAGCTTCGCATAGGCAATTGCCTTGTCCAGTGGAAACCCATCAGAGAAGAAAGCGATCAAAAAGTCACAAACAGGCCAATTCTCGACTGCTTCGTCCAAAATCACTTTGTCGCCGAATACAATGACCTCAAAGTCTCCTTTGGACTGCAAGCGGGTCAGGATATTCTGACTGGGCTTGCTGCGAGCCTTGACGTCCAGTGCGCATACTCCCAATCGCCACGGTTTTGGTCCACTTGACTCCATCTCACTGACAGAACTGGCGGCTGTACTCCCGCTGAACCGCCGACGAGCTCGACTCGACGAGCGAGTGACCTGTCCGATTCTGCTCCCCGAGCGAGGCTCCTGTGTTGTGTCGCCTCGGGCTGCCTTGACCGGTGAGTGCTGATGGTGCACCCGACTTGATGACGATTGGTCTGCCGGAGAGAGACCCTTGGTGTCCTGAGCAGGATCCAAGACTGGCGGGACAGACAAGTCTGACACAGGTGCGTCATCGGCAGGCGCTTTCAGCAACTGGACATCCACGGGCGATTGAGCACCAGACGTACCGTTGTCGGGCTCCATTGCATGAATTGAGTCAAGAAGAAGCAGAGACCCGTTGAGAAAGTATTGGAGCGAAGACGGTCGAGTATGCAGGCAGAGATCGAGAGATCTACGGGTCAGTCTGTTGCGGTGTGGCGATAAGGAAAGCGGAGGATGAGGAGGGGATCAAGTTGAGTGGGGTGCGATTGTGAAAGAATTTGAGAATTCTGGTTCAGCGGGGACAGGATTTAGACCGAAGATGGTCTGCAAACAATTGACAAGTTCCTTCACATAACACATGTAGGTGAATATGATTTCAATTCCTGGCGAAGACGAGAGGAAGAAAGGTGAGAGTTGGTGCAGCTGGTTGCAGAGCGCAACTTTTTTGGCTGGTATCTCATTGGGGCTTTTCCGCACGCACAAGACGCCAGACGGTCTCGGCCCAGATTAGCTCAAGCGGGCCTTGGGAGTCTACAACATTTCCACGAGCCACTAGTGATATATGAGGAGTTGCTTTGGCAGTTCCGAGTCTCCATCTTCAATCAATCTCCAGAAACTCTGGGCCGAAGGATATGATGTATGAGGATGGATCCACAGCCACTAAAGGAAGGAGAGGATTGGCACTAAAGAGGTGATGCGTTGACTGAAACCAGTGACCGGCAAGCGATAAGAATAAGCCTCAGTACTGTTATGCTTGCTTTTTCAAGGCGAACCGTTTGAAAAGCCAAAGGTGGGGAGATTATTCAAGTTTCAACTGAAGATAGGGTCTATTGACTTGATAAATCAGACAGGAGCCCAGCTTTATAATTTTGCAAATCCAAACATTCAATCACCAGAATGACTACAGAATGCGAGGCTGCGAGGGCCGAGGTCGGCCGACCGAAGAGGGCCTAATATATCCGGCGTCGATTGGAGGTTCTGAGATCGAATCAGAGCATAACAGATCCGCTCTGTCGTATTTCAAGATTGTAAAAATCACCCTCAACTACGATGACTATCATAGGACATAATAGTTGTACCGCACTGCCTACTTACCAATCGAGAGAAGAGCTCAAATCTTCAATGGAAAGTTATCCAGAACGCACTACGCTCTTACGCAGTGTGCCAGTACCGATAGGATATTCGCGGTACATTTATTGTAAGGCTCTTATCGCAGTACACTGCCTGCAAGATAATGCACGATAAAAGATAAGAAGTACAGAAGCCTTGAAAGATGTACAAGTGATGCGGACCAGCAATGTAGGCGGTGTGGCTAGAAGCTCCCGCAGAAAAAGTCCCGCTTGAAAATGTCGAGTAGGCTCAACAGTATCACCGGACAGTAGCATCACAATGCCGGCTCTGGCTAATGATACCTTTGATCTGCCTCTGGCAAAGAGGCAGAAGACTGTTCTCGAGAAGACTCAAGGTACTTCCCGAGGAGGCTCCAAAATATTTGCACCTTTCAGGGTACGACTCTTACTCCCGTCTCAACTTTGAATCGGAGAAAAGTTGGTACTGCGCGGTCGCCAGTCTGACTTATCCATTGTTTTTTGTGGAAGAGACGCAGTCAGAAGCTAATTGTTCCCTTCTATCTTGACAGACATTAGGCCTTGTGTCGTCAACCTCGGTCCCCTTTACCTTTGTGCGCCTGGGCAAATCAACTTTCCAAATCACAACGTCCGTCGGCCATACTCTGCAAACTTACGATGTGCGCAAAGGCTTGGGATTGATCTTTTTAAGTCGGCCGCAAACCCCCGAGACGATTACGGCAACCTGCGCCTGGCATGACAAGGTCTTTGCGGCATGGGGTCACCTGCGACCCCGATCACCGGGTGGCATCTGGGTCTTCAAACGTGGAAAACGCGTCGCAATCTTGGACAGCCCTCAACTGGATGCGCCCATTGAACGCCTGGCCGTATTTGGCTCGTGGGTTGTTGGGTGCTGGTCCGGTGGACTGGAGGTGTGGAAGAACGGCAGCTATGAGCATTACACCAGTTTGCGACCCCGGCCAAACCCCAGTGCCTCGGGAGATGGAGTGTATTCCGGCATCATGTGCACGATGCCCACCTACCTGAACAAGGTCTTCGTGGGTCGCACTGATGGTGCCGTGGATATCTGGAACTTGCGTAGCGGCAAGCTTCTCCACACCCTTCAGCCCCCATCAGCCTCTGCGCAGCCCGGCCCGGTGACAGCAATGCAACCTACCCCCGCATTGTCTCTCATGGCCATTGCTCACAAGGATGGGTCTTTGGTCATTCAGAATGTCGACTCCGGACAATTGGTCTTGTCCCTGAGAAGTTCGGCTGCCCGAGCTTCCCCGGTCACATCTATTACTTTTCGAAGTGATGGTCTAGGCGCCGGCCACGACGGACGTATGGCCGGTGTTATGGCCACTGCCGCAAGCGGGACCGGGGACATCACCATGTGGGATTTGAACAACGGTGGTCGAGTGGCAGGTCTCCTGCGAGGCGCTCACCGCGTCTCCAACAATGTGTCGGCGATGGGTGTGAACCGGGTTGAGTTCTTGGATGGCCAGCCGGTGCTTGTCTCGTCGGGTGACGACAACGCCTTGAGAACGTGGATTTTTGACGAAACGCCTTTCTCCCCCATCCCTCGGCCGTTGCATTCACGAGCGGGTCATTCTGCTGCCGTGAACACAATCGACTTCCTGCCCGCCTCTTCGGACGGGTCGGAATTCGGCGGCAAGTGGCTTCTGAGTGCGAGCAAGGACTGCAGTATGTGGGGCCTGAGCCTGCGAAAGGACAGTCAGAACGCAGAAATGTCGCAAGGCAACGTGGAGCGCAAAGCGAAGAAGATGGGACCCTCTGATCAGACCGGTATGACCTCGGCAGAGGCTTTCAAGGCGCCTGAAGTGACTTGCATTGCAAGCTCACTCAATCGTGACGGTGGAATGGGCACTGCCGCCTCCGGAGCTGTGTGGTCGAATCCTAAGTTTGGTACTACCGATGCAACCAATGCTACCGGTTGGGAAAGTGTCGTGACTGGTCATCGTGGTGATCAGTACGCTCGTACCTGGTTCTGGGGTAAGAAGAAGGCCGGTCGGTGGGCTTTTCCCACTAGCGATGGAACGGAAGTCAAGGTAAGCTAATGCGAAGAAGACGATACTGATCCGAGCATTCGGGATTTGTCAGATCGAGCTAACGTGTGATTGTCGCTTGATTTGACAGAGCGTCGCGATGTCCCCCTGTGGTACATTCGCCGTTGTTGGATCAGCCAGTGGCGGCATCGATATGTTCAACATGCAGTCCGGCCAGCACCGACAGAGCTTCCCTCCCCCCGCACCCAAGTCCCGTAAAGCCAGAGTACCGGTGGCAGACCGCTCGGCTGATAAGCATACCAAAGCCGTCACAGGTCTTATGGTGGATAATTTGAATCGAACAGTCATCAGCTGTGGCTTGGATGGCAAGGTTAAGGTGGGTGATCGGTTACATAAGCCTTGTCTACGTTAACTCTCGGACCTACAGCTAATCCATTTCTTAGTTCTGGGATCTCCTCAAGGGTACGTTGATCGATCAGCTTGACTGGAATCCCATGGCGGCAATCACTGGACTTCGCTACAGCAAAATCAGTGATTTGGTCGCGTTCAGCTGTGATGATCTCTCCATCCGCGTGGTAGACCTAGAGACTCGAAAGCTGGTTCGTGAGTTCTGGGGCTGCGTTGGTCAGGTCAATGATTTCATCTTCTCCAACGATGGACGTTGGATCATTGCAGCTTCCATGGACTCCGTCATCCGAGTCTGGGATCTGCCCACAGGTCATCTGGTCGACATTTTCCGAGTTTCCAGTACCTGCGTGTCACTTTCAATGTCGTCAACCGGCGAATTCCTGGCTACTGCTCACGCTGGAAGCATTGGTATCAGTCTTTGGAGCAATCGCTCCCTGTTCATGCCGATCTCTACCAAAAACATCGATGAAGATGTCATCGAAGACGTGGCCGTGCCTACTTCTTCTGGTGAGAGTGGCGCGGGCCTCGTTGAAGCGGCCTTTGTGGACGCAGAAGAGGTGGATGAGTCCGAGGGCCCAGTGCTGGCAACTGAACAACTCCAGAAGGACATGTTGACATTGAGTTTGGTCCCGAAGAGCAGATGGCAAACGTTGCTTCATCTTGATTCCATTCGGGTAAGTCGGCTGCCATTGCGTGATGCGGCTGCTCGTACTTGACTGGGTCGAGCGAGCGAATTGGAACAGAACGCTAATATCATATCAATCGCAGGAACGCAATCGACCAAAGGAAGCACCCAAGGCCCCGGAAAAAGCGCCATTCTTCTTGCCTTCGCTACTTGGCCCAGGAAGTTCCCAGGCTGCCAAGGACGCTGCCGCCGCCGACGCTGCTGAACTGGCAGCCCTCACGCAAACCGTGGATGCCGAGCGGTCCCGCGTGTCAAAGCTTCAATCCGGCATCCTGGGCACTGCTGAGTCGGCCATTACACGACTGCTGGAAACAGCATCCCAGTCTGGCTTCTTTGATCCGCTGGTTGAGCACATGAAGTCTCTCTCCCCCGCGCGGGCTGATCTCGAGATCCGCTCCTTAGACCCTCGTGTGCGAAACGGATTCTCTGAATTGGCGACTTTCGTTCAGGCGCTCACTGCGCGCCTCAAGATGCGTCGCGATTTCGAACTGGTGAACGCTTGGATGGCGGTGCTTCTGAAGATCCACTCCGACACTGTCGCTCTTTGCTCGCACCGGGAAGAGGCCGAGTATCGACTCTTGCGAGAGGCCTTGGCAGCCTGGGCTCGTGAACAAAAACAGGAAGGCGAGCGCCTGGCTAGCCTTGTTGGATACTGTCGGGGTGTTGCCGGTTTCCTTCGATCGGCTCGCTGATGTCTTTTTGTATCTTTTTCTGGAGCTGGTATCACGAGCAAGACCTCGTCCCTGAGATTTAGTTAGACATCTTTTTTGGGGTCTCTACATCAGATAGCGTGTAAATTATAAGGATATCATATGATTCTCGTCGTTCACCAAAAGCAGTTTACAAATGGGAATGCACGTCAATAAATGGTGACTGTGAGATGGTGATCATTTGATCGGTTGAAAATAGAAAGAGTAATGTTTGATACATAAGACTCATGCATATAGCTCATATCACTTGCTGACAGACTCTACAATTCTCACTTTTTACAAAATGCCAAGTGTAGAATCGCCGTGCGCGCACTGCGACTTTTTGTCTTCGTCGCGGGAAGTCGAGAGAATCGGGTCCGTCAAATGCAAAATCTGCGGGATGCAGCTCCGCACTTGGCTTGGTCCAGTATCAGCAAATGTTGACTGCTCAAAGCCTACGCGCGAACACTAGTCAGGACTTAGTAGTGAGTCCAGTCAGATTTCCATCTCGTGCAATTCTTCACCGTTCACCCCATTTCCCATGGGCATTGCGAATCTAACCAAGCATCTCCTCCCGTATGCCGACTCGGTCGTGCTGGGAGATACCGCTGCCGCCGGGGCGGATGAGGTGTCTACGATAGACGAAAGTGCCCGCGTGCGATCGGTTGTCATCGACGGGCCTAGTCTGGTATACCATGTATACTATCGGCTTCTTGCTTCGATGAGTCCTGCTCACGATGTATTGGATGTGCAGCCGACGTGCGATGAAGTCAGCTGTGCCGTGGTGACTTGCTTGTCGGAGTTGACTCGACGGGGCATTCAAATGTATGTAATTGCTGACATTTGTATCCCGTTCTTCTCTTACATGGCTGGTGGTTTGGGTTCATGTGTTAGTTTTCGTGTATGACGAACACACCGGGCTCAGGTTTTTTCTCGATCTTTCCAAGATTCCTTTTGCTATACACCCTTTGACTAATCCAAAGCTTCCAGACACAAAATCTGCTTCGATGGAGCATTGCCCGTCTTTAAACGAGCAACCAGACTGTCCCGGATTGAAAAATCCAGGCAAAAGCTCGACGCGTATCGTCGAAGAGTGCCGACATCAAACAGAGAGTGGCGCGAACAAGCTTCTCTCCCACCACATCAACTATGGCAAGGTCGAACGCTTCCAGCTCGGTGGAAGAATCTTCCCGAGAACCCGTTCATGGTATCTGCGGTGTTTGAAGATCTGCGGACGCGGTGGGATAGGGCGCAGATTGCGCGATATACTCGCTGCAATGCTGACGATCTGCCATGTGGAGATTATCCATGGGGGGACTTGACTGTTATGGTTTCTGGGGAGGCGGATATAGAATGCGCAAATGTGTCGAAGATTACTGGAGCGGCGATCTTGACGAATGATTCGGATCTGATTGTGCATGATCTTGGGTCAGATGGCTCTGTGGTGTTTTTACACTCGGTGCATTTGATTGATGAGGATGAGACTGAATCCCAATTACAATCGCGATCAGATCTGAGCCAAAGCTCCAAGACGAGGATCAGCGCCATGAGACTACATCCAACAGATCTGGCACGTCGAGTTGGGATCCACGACATACAGCTCTTTGCTTTCCACTTGAACGAGGACCCTCAGCTTGGTTTTGCAGAGCTGGTGCGTCGCTCAAATCAAAAAGAAAGGCTGGTATCCCCTAGTTACACGGATTTCATGCGCGAGTATGAGCAGGTTGCTGAGGGCTCAGCTTCGGCGGTTCACTTGCTGGCCCTCGGCGACTTGGATCCTCGTATCTCGGAGTTGGTTTGGCAGTACCAACGTCTCGATCTATATTGCAACGTAGGGAATCCGCATATCTACCTTGGTATACTCGTGGAAGACTCCACTCGGCGATGCGCCTGGGGATTCGGGACCTTCTATCGAATCCTGGGCTACTCTTTGCTGAACCAGGCTTACCATTCTGACGCTCGGTTCTCCACTGTCAGCGAATTCACACGTCGAGGTGCTCGTGTATTCGCTGAGCAAGTGACACTCAGCGGCGCGGAAACTGCCCTTGCCGATCTCAAGACGTTCCAAGACAGTCTGCAGCTTGCACGAGACGCATTTGGTCCCGTCGACCCGTCCACGTTTTGGATTATGTTTGCCCTGGCTGACATCTATTGCGATGTCGATAATCAAGCATCGCTCCCATGTGCAGAAAACCTGGAACGATTCTTGACAAAAGGCTTCCAGGGAAAACGGACAGAATGGAAGGATATTCACCTGTGCGCTCAAATCCACGCGGTCCTGTACTCGCTTCGGATTTTGCAGCAGTTGTTGCGAGTGCTGCCCGAGAGCAAATACCTCTCAGAAATGGACCGACGGGCCTTGGTGGATCTACCTCCATTACATATTCTCCTTCCGTCTCGCCAGGAGATGGTTCGACGATTCGAGGGTAAAGGGCGCGCTCGGGATTTGATTGAAAGCTTGTTTGCAACTTTTGGGTGAGGACTTAACTGCTGACGACTGTTTGGTACCTTTCTTGCTTCCGTACTTTTGTATTGAATGTTCAATCTTGGATGAATTCATTGAGTGACTCACACTAGCCCTTTGGCCGAATTGCGCGCGTATAGAGGAGAAAGGCTTTTGCAGTTCTCAGTCTGCCGAAGTATAATAGAAAATGCGTGAATGTACATGAACGGAGAGGATCGCTAAGTATATGGGTTCCCAGAAAAATGAGCAACACAAAGAGGGAATCGTACAAGAATAGCACACCATTTGATAGGTCAAATCTTGCTGTAAACGTGGGACCTGAAGAAGCAGGAATGCGCAGGTACTTTGCTGGCATAAAGGTACGGCGGTCAGTATCCTTCGCTGCGAGGAAAGACAATCCAACTTGAGTGGCCAGGTCATAGCTCCCTGAAGCAGTCATAAAAGATCGAAGAGCCAACTGCCATTTCAAGGGAGATGACCGTGAATTTCAGGGACCCTGGGGCACTTCAAGCAAGATCTGCATACGACTGTATGCCCAGAAAGTGAATGCCTTTGGCAAAGACTGTGTAGGGTCTTATCATTTCTCAGGAGCATCGGGAAGTCGTTCAATAACGTATTTACCACGAGCGACGCTCATGATTGGCGCACCGGGAATTTTTCTGTCCAAAGATTTAGCGAGGATCCTCACAATCAGACTACTGTGAGCATGAGAATAAAGCTTACCGAATACGACGCTTTAGGTCGCGATCGTTCGTGGCCACAATGTAAACACGATGTTTGATAACACGGTCCACTAAGCAGTCATCCGCATATGTTCCCTTGTGGTCACACTTGATGCGCTCGAATCGGGGGTCCTTTGCCACGCGTAAAGCTAGGCGGTATTTCTGGCCCAATTTTTCCAACTCGGCAAGCACGCAATCTGTGATGATGGGAATACACTTGGCATAGAGGCAGTCCATCATCGTGGGGATTACGTCCAATTTGTGTTGAATGGTATGTGAGATGAAGTTGGTATCGACAAGGACTGAGTAGGGTGGCGTGAGGGCGGTGTTGTACTGGAAGAACAGAGAAGAAGGCACTTGCGGTCTGGAGGCCCGTCGATACTCGGTATTAGCATTGTTGCTTTGAAGATCAGACGGAAATCGTCGACGATCACTGGGGCGACTCACGCTTCGCGAATCACATCATCCTTGCCTTTAGATTTCTCATCCTTGGCTGATTTATCGTTGGCTTTTCTAAAATCGCAGGTGAGTACGGCATGTCTGGCGTATTGAGTTTGCGCAGCGACAGAGAGACTGTCGAGAAGGGAGGCGTCGGTGAGACCTACAGGCGACTGTCACGGAGCTGGATAGTTCGCTTTGCGACTGCGAACTTGCGGGTCTTTTTCTGAACACCCATGTTGAGTCTCTTTCAAGGATGTGAAGGATTGCGGAGAGCGCGTGCATGAAACCAAAGCCGAAGTCGAGTCTGGGAAAAAGATTAAGAATTTCCTAAGTCTTATCTCTTATCGCTTCCCCGTCGGGTGTTATCGATTGTCATATCGATAAGAACTTCCAGAGCCCCACCCCCGGTCACACTATCAATCACATGACTTCAGCGTCCGAAGAATCGTTATCGATCAACAAATTCCATTCACGTGATGTAAGAGCGGCGCCGGGACTGTTGTTTGGACAAGCTAAACTCCGGGCCTTTAGAGAAGTAGGACGGACCCATGAGCTCACTTGTGCTAGTCGCCACGCATCGTAAATGTCAACAAACTCTACTCCGGACATATAGGGTCACGACTCGGATCATGGAATCAGTAAAACATTCGCTTCCGCTCAAGAATAAGTCACTGGCACCGCAAGGTCGCTGGTCGGGTTAACTGCCCTAGACCTCGTCTTCTCGCGCAACGCCAATGCCGCAATGAAAGTCATCAACTTGACGCTCTCGCCCAGATCAGCGTATAACCTCACCACCCCATCTCTTTGCACCCGACCTCCTCCCGGCAGAAACACGGCAACCACCTCATTAGCCTCATCCGTAAGCTTCAAGCTTGCCGTGGGACCAAAGCTGTCGGCCTGCTCGGTGCGTTTCCAGGTAAATGTTCGCCTTTGGCGGTCCACCTCAAGTTCGATCACATAGCGAAAGGACATCAGACCTTTCTTGCTGAGCTTGGCTGCTGTGACCGTCTTGGGAAGATTGGGGTCACCGAGGGTGATCTGGACGTCCGAGGAGAAACGGTTGGTGTGAGCTGATCCCACGACCGGACCCTCGGTGGTGTTGCCGGCGAAAAACAGGAGATGAGGCTTGTTGGGGGAGGTGCTCTTGTTTTCCACGTGATATATGGTAGTTCTGCTCTGTGTGACTTGGTATTCACGGTTCCAGTGGCCGCCTGTGACTATGTACTCGACTGCACTGGGGGATGAGGATGATTCCTGGGCGTCCATTATGGTGACGACAGTTAGCGGCGTACGCGCTACGGAAGGCGATCCTTTTTGGCAGAGGGGCAGATCGTTGACGGTTATAAAGATAGGATGTTTTCATTCAGAAGAGTCATCAAGGAATGTCCAGTATTTATGTAGTAGTAGATCCCTCTCATGTTACCCGGTCCCAAAGAGTCCACCGAAAGGCCGAGCCGCGGTTCTCCTAATCTGGTGGGGGCCCGTCAACCCGCCCATGCAGGCACCGCCACGTCCTTTGGAGGGTCATACCGAATGATTGTGATAGCCTTGCCAATCGTCTTCTTTGTGGAGGAGACTGCTGTTGAAGGGCATTTGACCTGGCCTCTTCGTGCTGAGACGTCATGTGTCCTCCCTGTTGCGGGCTTCGACCGGTTCGGGTCATGTTAGACTTTCATGGCTGCGGCTGACCGATTCCGACTCCACAAAATACGAGCGAAAAGATCGAGAGAAAATTGATGCAGTTCATCCCTCGGAGTTGCGTGGTTTGCGTGGTCTGCGCGGTCAGGCTGCTCCCTAGTCTAGCCCAGCGTTCAGAGGTTTGGAGGTTTTCCCCTGCGTGGACAGGTTTTCCCTCCTTCCTTTCCCCAACCCGTTCCGATCTCGTGCTGCTTCCTGTGTCTTTAGACCGTAGGTCTCTGAGGTTATAAGCCAGTTCGTTTCAGCACTCGAGATCACTTATTATTTCTATTTCAATTCACAACTTTTGTTCCTTCGAGCCGGAATATCAAGGCTTACAACGCTCTAAAGCTATTAGTTCTGCTCAGGACTTATGTAAGGGGACTCCCTTTGTTAAAGTATCCTATCAGGTAACTCGCAGCTAGCGGGCTATCAGGTGACCCGCAGCCCACGATCGTCAGGTGATCCCACGTGATAGTCTATCGGCAGGCCCTCCCGTAGCTTCACGGAAGCTAGGCTCTCGGACCCTATTATCCTGCACGTTCGAACCGAAGGTTTAGAACCTCCCTAGTATCTTACCTCTACCGCCTCGATTAACTAATCGATCGATTAGGTCGAGGGAAATAGGGTTAAAGAGAAGCCTCGAAATATAGGAAGGAAGGACTATAAGATAGATATCTAGTAAGAGACCGATAGGGATCCCTAAGAATTAGTCTTTATACTAATTTAACTACTATAAGCTATCTCTTCTCTAATAATTAAGTCTAGCTATCTTACTAAAGTAGTTATCTTAATAGTTCTAATTCTTCTTTCTACTATTACTATAAGAGATAGTATTATAAATCCATAGTTATACCGATAAGCTCTAGGAGCTATAGATTAAGGAAGTATTTAATCTAGAGCCTAAAAACATCGAAGATCTTCTAGTCTCTTCTATCCTAACTAATAGAATCTCGAATACTTCCTAGGGAACTAGAGTTTCTTCTCTTATTAGCCTAGAAGCTTAAGGCTCTTTATTCCTAGATAATTATCTTATAGTAACCTAGGATACTATTAATAAGCTAGAATAACTAGCTAGTCTATACTAGTAGCTAGCTATTCTCTAAGTCTTAATAAGAAATAAAGAACTTAAGAAGTCTCTTTTTTTCATTACTAAATACCTACTAACTATCTTAAGATAGATATAATAGAAGAAAAGGAAATTAAGCTTATAAATATTCTTTTATTTACTAAGGACTTTATCTTTTAGAAATACTAGAAATAGCTACTTAATCTCTATTAGTAATTTAAGAAAGCTCTAAGAAAATATAGTACCGAAAAATATAAGATTATTAAGATTCTTGTCTTTATAGTATAGTAGGGAATCCGGTTGTATATATATAGAGTAGATAGTCTGTTAAGGTGTATATACCTAAAGGTGGCCTTACGGTCGGGAGGGGCTGTTTAGGCATAACGAGAGGGAGTTAATCAACTTAATAACCATGATAATAGTGAATAAGTAACCAGCGGATTAAACGACTTTATAGGAGTTCAGTATAGTCTTTATAGTCGGATTCTTTATTATTATAATAAGACACTCTTTTTAATCTTCCTCTTTACCTCTTGATATCCTACGGATAGGTATTATACGGTCGGGCTAGGAGATCTCTAGATATACGTACTAGTAGTTATGGTTTAGCTCCTCTATGAGTCGATCTATCTAGTAAGATTAGACTGCCTTAAGTATTCCCCTCTACATTAGTAACCGATATAGGGGGTTTATAAAAGGGTAGCTAAGATAGAGGACTATATTATTCCTATAGTATAATTATAAGAGGATCTAATAATAAGATTAATGCTACTAATATTACTACGACTATAACTACGACTATAACTAAAATTTTACGACTTTACTATAAAAGAGTAGGCGATACGTTTAACCCTAATAGAATTTAGAAAAATAGCTAAATATATAACTTTTAGCTATATATAAGGGGCTACGCCTATAGAGGATCCTACTACTCCTACTACTAAGAGAATATCTTTATTCGACTAATATATCTATCTAGTTTGCGGGTTATTAGCTAATCGATACTAAGAGGATCGGAAGATACTAATTTAACTACTAAAAATAACTCCGGACTAATTATATAAGAGAATATCCTTAGTATATTCGAACTTTATATAGAATTAGTATATTACTTTAGAACGACTACTATAGGCTATAACTACGAAGATACTATTAGATAAGAATACTACTTTAAGATATTAGTTATAGATTTCTTCTATAGAAGAAATCCCTATCCGATAAGTTAAAAGAAAAATAGAAATCGAAGAAAGAGAGAAGAAGAATTAATAAGAATTAAGAGTTATACTAAGATCTAGAGGGTAGATAGGATATAGTTCTTCTAAGTATAGCTACGGATATAACTATATATATATAGAGGACTAAGGATCCTTACGTAACCGACTAGAGCTATATAGTAAGGTTATAGCTTATCTAGCTCTAGTTATCGCGAAAAGGAAGGGTTAGGATATCTAAGGTAGCTATAGGCCCGTAATTATATCCTCCCCTACTAGATTTAACTATATCCTTATAGTCGGGAATCTCTTATAAAGAAATACGCTACGAAAATCCTTATACTCGCGCTCTCCTATCGAAAGAGCTATATCCGAGTTAGAATTCCTGTAATTCCTATAATTTCTAACCCGAATCCTCGCTAATCGGCGCTATATTTATAAGAATAGTAGAACTTAGATAAAGGAAATCGATTAGCGAAGCCGACTATTATAAAAATTAGGTAATAGTATTAGCCTATATAAAGAATAGATAGGATTAGGCCCTTATAGCTTTATAGGGCCTTCTAATATTTACTAAATCTAGTAATTTATATCTATATTAAAGGAATCTCCCTCGATATAGTGACTTCTAGGATAAGATAAGTCTCTTACTTAAATACTTATTCTTAGTTTCTCCTTCTTCCTATAACTTATAATATACTTCTTCTCTTAGTACTCGAAATCTTCTTCTAGCTTTAATATAGATAAGTCTTTTACTATTTATATCTATTTAATACCGATAATAATCTCTCTTTAGTATTAATATATATTTCGGTAACTTATAGTATATCTTCTAATAGTATATCTATACTAATTCGATCTCTTAGGTAGAGCTAGCTCTAATCTAGTATACTAGCTAGTAGAATCACCTATGCCGTTGCTTATATGGTATTACTATTAGACTAAAAGGTCTATGCTAAACCATTCGATAGAATGGTTCGTCATACAACGGTATATATAGTCAGATGATCCCGTACCTATATCGCAGCGGTATGCCTCTGGGATCATACTAGTAATACTCTAAGTAGTATTATTCCTATTAACTCTAATATTCCTATATATCTATCCGATATCGAGGGGACTACTTATTATCTCTATAGTAGTAGTAATAGTAGTAGGGATAATAGTAGTAATAGTAATAGTAATAATAGCGATAATAGTAGTAATAGTAATAATAGTAATAATAGTAATAATAGTAATAATAATAATAATAGTAAAGGCGAGGATAAGATAGCTAAGGATTCTAAAGAGGAAGTAGATAATAATAAGATTCCTCTATCTAAGATATATAGATCCCTTTTACTTCCTATAATATTATATATCTACTAACTTTAGTATATAGATATAGGTCTTAATATATAGTTTAATCCCCTTTTATTTTTATTTAAGAAGAGTAATAATCTTACTATATACTAGCTTAAGTATATATATAATATTAATTAGGCCTATAGCCCGAAAGATTATAAGGATTTATTATATCTTCGATATATACTTATTTAATAAGTCGGTATTAAGATACTATCTAGTAAGTCCTATCTCTCTTATAGTAAGAAGAAGGATCTATTTAAGTCCTATTAGATCCTTATCTTCGATAGGAAGCCTTAGTTTAATAGGTCCTACGCGAATTATACTTAGGATAGAGATAGAGCTAAGTATTTATTCCGTAAAAGGAATAAAACTCTTTCTACTTAGATTACTATTCTCCTAAAAAAGAAGAATCCGAACTATCTAGCTATCTAGGTAGTAGAAACCGCGACTAAGCCTAAGCGTAAGGATATAGATAGCTAGTATTTATATATAGAAGAGCCTTCTAAGTATATAAAGATAGCTAATAGCTCGAGTAAGATCTCGAAAAAGTCTATCTTATAGCCTTTTAAGAACGCTTAGTTTAGCTTATCTCTTAATAATAAGAAGTTATATACTACTAATTATAATCACGGGCCTATAGCTATCTTAGGTATCCTAACCCTTCCCTTTTCGCGATAACTAGAGCTAGATAAGCTATAACCTTACTATATAGCTCTATTCGGTTATATAAGGACCCTTAGTCCTCTATATTTATATAGTTATATCTATAGCTATACTTAGAAGAACTATATCCTATCTATCCTCTAGATCTTATCTAGTAGTAAACCCTTATATTAGCTAAGCCTCTATACTTAACTACTTAAGAGTAAAAACTTACTTAGAACTATACTTACTAAGCTCTTAAGACTAAATAATCCCTAAAGATCTAGCTTAAATTACCGACTACTTATAGTACTAAGTAA